ATGAACCATCTTTTTAAAAAGATTTTTTTTTTTACTCCTCCCAAATATACATTTTTTTGGAAATGTTTCACTTGTAAAAAAATTATTTTATTGGATAGTTCTATACGTTTCAGCTGTGGAATTATTTGTATGTCGTATATTCTTATGAATTAATTTTTCTATGTAGTTAGCTATCTGCTTTTTACGGTCCAACCTTTGTAAATTCTACTAGAGGTGTTAAAAACAACAAAATTTTTATTAGATACCCTATAATAGAACTTAATTACCTTACTCACGGTTCGTCGTTTTCGACTATCCGGATTTCGAGCTTAAAGCTCATCATCACGTTGAAGGATTTACAACCACGTAATCATCTTACAATTCATCCCGAGAGGCGTGGTTGTAATTTCCTTAAACCTGATGATGAACTTTAAGCTTGAAATCTAGTCGTCGCAAAAACAAACTGTTAATGAGAACTATCTTTTTAAAAAGATCTTCCCAAATATACATTTTTTTGACATTTTTAATTTGTTTAAAAAAATATTTTATCGGATAATTCTACACGTTTCAGCTGAGGATTTATTTGTATGTCGTGTATTCTTATGAATTAATTTTTGTTTATTGTTAGCTATACACATCTGTTTTTTATGGTCCAACCCTTGTAAATTCGACTCCATAATTTTTTTAGACACGCTATAAATAAAAATTTATTATCTTTGATATTTTTTATTTTTCATAGGAGGTAAAAATTTGAATAAATCATACGACTTATAAACAGGTGGATACCTTTTTTCTTTTTGACGAGGAAAAGAAAATAAGTTTGGAAAAACCGATAGCACGTGTGAGTCAGGGATATTCTGGTTGTCCTTCCACCTGCATGGTTTGGTTGATTCACCATTTACACAGAAATTCTTCAATATATGTATTTTCTTTTTTACACCGGCCAACAATCAGGACGTTTTTCTCCCCGGGATCATCCGGTTCCCACGGATTAACAGATGAAAAATTTCTAAACACTGCCGGAGAATTTCCCTTGCGTCTTTAAGAGAAGAGGGGGGCTGATAGTTTTCAAAAATATATGATTATAAATTTCAGTTTACTCTCTTAGATAACGTAGTGGAAATGCTACGATGCGTCACCCCTAATCAAAAGAATCGGTCAATTTTGTCGATATTTTTTTTAAGTTTAACGAGTGCTACCACTATATTGTGACTAATTATGTCTGTCTCCTTGTCTTTCTATGCGTTTGTCTGTGCTTTTTCTTCTGTCTGTCTGTACTGTTTATGATATATGTATTTTTCTATGCCTGTTATATCTCTCTATGTCTTTGAGTCTGTGTGCGTGTGTATGTGTTGTGTGCTGTGTGATTTGTTCATTTTGGATAATACATGGACATAGCTTTAGACTCTAGCCAACATGCCTCATTCGTGGTGTTTCTAATCATTATACAACGTTCTCCGTGTTACAAAATAAACGAAGGATTTAAATAATTACTTAAATGAACAGTGCATTAAATTTATAATTTATGATGAACTAGACATTCTTCTTTCTGCTTCTCCGGATTGGACGAACCGTAGTTGAAACTTTTTCATCCACTTTGGATACAAAAGGTTACTTACTAAGGATACTTTCCATCAGTACACAGGAAGGCACATACAAGAAGTAATGACTGATTATTGTTGTAGACGACCGTCACAGGAACATGCTTCACTGGTTATTAGATTGAATCTCATTTCATTTTCATCAAAATATGTTCTTGTGTTGAATGGATGAGAAACTGGTCAATCCTCCTCTATTCGACGACTGCGAATTTCCATTTTATTCTCTGCTGACAGGGTTCAGTTTGAGATGGGTAAATCTTCTTTTAGGGAAGTATCTTTTATTGAACCAAGGGCCGTTTTTTTTCCGAGTAATCAATCCTGAGCTTTAACCCATATACATAAATTTGACTCTTTTACCTGTACCAACAACCTTCTTAGTTAGATTTCTAATTTTCTCCAAAAGTGGTTGGCAATGGAGTCCATAGTGATTCACCCATGCCATCTTCGAATAATAATTAAGCTCAATTTCGACCTAGGATGCAAAGAAAACCCAGGTAAAGGAATTGTAGCAATAGTCAATGACCTAGCACTCCTTAGGAGAAGAATCGAGTCGATTGCACTGAACTAAGGAATTAGGAAAGTACAATATGGTAGAAGGGTGCACTGCTTGAGAACAAAAACACCACTTCCAAGTATCCACCACCACCATCATCATCATCCATAGTGATTCTATGGTAAATGTTAATTAAAGAATTGTTTAGTGAAGTATTGCGCTGAAAAAGGTCATGGAATGTCAAGAATGTAAAAATGGAAGTTTTAGCACGACAAGTGTTTTCTGTACATCGTAAATAGAGGAAACCAATCTTTATATCGATAATATCTAACATTCTTTGTAACTTTTCAATTTGTTAAATGGAGGAATTGTATATGGTGATCAAGAACCAATCAATCAAGGAAATCTTTATCTTGTACTCCTTATAAATCCTAGTAATCTACAGGTTCTTAGTTCACATGCAATTTGAAAGAGAGATCAACTGTAAATACAACAAGTCCTAAATACTAGTTTTCCTTTCCAAAAGATGTCCATCTATTTATACTTTGAGAACAGCTGTTATTGTCAGTGAGTGAGGATTGAAGGAAAAGACAATTGGCAGGTATGACGATTTTTGGGTACTCCGCATAGTCATTCAGGACAAGTTCCAATCATTCACATAGAAAATTGGTAGCATATGGTAATTAAAGTCGGTCGTAGTTGGGTATGCAATATTTGTCAACAGCTTTAAAAACTGGTATAATATGACTGAATTTAAGACAACCAGGTATAGTTAGAATTCTTAAAAAGGTGTAAGCAGTTCATGATTTCCTTATTAATCCGAGTCACAGAAACAATCAACCAAAAAAGAAATAAGAGAGTAGCAGGATATGTATCGGAAATTAGAGATTTATTGGAAAATTTGGTCAATAGAGGTTAGTTGAGTTTGCTGACGGCTATGGATGTTTTCAGGATCAAGTTGAGTTTAAGTTTCAGTTAGGGGAGTCTGTGGCGAAAATGGTTTAGGCGTTGACATGACTGAAACATACTTATAAATGCATAATTATGACCTAAAAAAAGTTTAAGTTACCTAATGAATTAGTTGGAATGTAAGCCTATATCGCTATATAAAAAGACATACCCACGGGGAAACGCACAGACAAACGGGGAAAAATAATTTATTAAAAATAGACAGGTATATCTGACAGTAATAGTTAAAAAGTTTACTCACGGACGTCTGGTAGTTATTATGATTTCAAGCATTTTGTTCATCGTCAGACTGAAAAGATAAACGTATTTGTAGATCTCTTTTCACTCTGACATTGAGTAAAATACTTAAAGTTGTCTGCGAATTGTCATACTGAAATGAGATCTACATGTACGTTTTTCTTTTCAATTGCATAAAATTTTCTGTTCATTGTCATACTGAAATGAGATCTACATGTACGTTTTTCTTTTCAAACTGGCGATAAGTATGCGTTTGTATTTTTAATCCGAAGATAAGCAGCCAACTTCAGGCATTTTGCTCATCGTCAGAATGAAAGATCTACATGTATGTTTTTCGTCTGCCAAAAACAGTTTGTGAGTTGAATTTATGCATTCACTCCATCGAAACGATTTCTGTCTATCAATAATTATTTAAGGAAATATAATTTTAAAACTTTTTTTTGGAAAACGTTTCCACCAGAACAGCAGAGTATTTTGTAGTAATATAATATTTATTTTTTTATTTTGGGAAGGGGTAACGTGACAAAAAGATCAGAGGCGACGGTGGGTATTGAATCCCCAACCCCGGGATCTACGAATTCTTTGGATTTGATCCTTCTTATTGTTATTTATTTATTTGCCCTTTTTGATAGTTAAAAATATCTTAGGGGTGTAACAATTGATCTACCCGTTGCTTGTTCTGTATATCAAGCTTGTAAAAGGGATTTTGGCTGGGGTCCGATTCCTCACGTAAAGCTTTGCCATTAGGGATGATGAGTCAAAACCCATATCCATCCATATGTATGAGTAATGAGCCCGATGGACCATTGGCGGCTGGGTACGATCAACCGTCAACGTAGTACCTAGTACGTTGTCGTCCTCAACCCCTCCTACCCAGTTGTGAGTTGGTGGGAGTGGTGACTAATACCAGCAACCCCTCCCGAACCCAGCAGCCGTCTCGCATTCAGTTCAGTAATCGTTCAGGCCCGGTTCAACAACAGACCGTTACGTTAGTATTTATTGTGGTTGTGCGTTTTTATTGTTGTTGTTTTGTTTTTTTATCCATTTGTGGAGAAACATGAAGAAAGAATCGCCTTGTTTGATTCTAAACTTGGGGCCGTTCCCGACTTGGAGTAGGACGGGTGGGTTTACCATTTTAATTTTCTCTTTTACTTAGGTCGTTCAGTACATTCCTCGTACTGTGTATATACACTGTTTTATATTATAATTTAATATTATATGTATATTGTTAGTCTTTTTTAACAACTAAATCACTTTCTCGTGGCCGTTTTCTATCTATAATAAATAACTTGTATGTTTTTCTATTGGAAGTAAAATTATAAATTAAACACTATTTTATTTTGAAAAAAAATCTGGTTGTACCTTTTAAGTACAATAAATTTTTACCTCAATGTTAATTTTCTTGGGCTTTAGCTGTTAATAGGTCAATTTGTAATAATTCTATGTTGAATTTGGAATTTAGTCTCTATCAATCCCAGTAGGATTTTTATATAGTATCCATATATCTCAAGCCTGAGAACACTTCCTGCTTACCAACGAATGGTATAGATTAAATAATAATGTGTCAAGAAGTATGTACAAATTAAAATTTAAAAAAATCGTTCATCCTTAAGAAATTTGGGTCAAACTTGACAAGACTTTCTCATTTGAAAATATTTTTTCATTGTTAATCTGATGTCATATTATTCGTTTTAATGTACTATTTTCCGTTGTTTTTTTAGGTGGACACAAGGAATTCGTGAAGCGGCACAGGGAGCATTGCGACAGTCCTGTTGCGACGACCCCCCTCATCCAGGAACCGCAGAATCCAGATATCGAGAGCCACCCTCCTTCTAGGGTCCTTCCTTTCCTCTACGTCGGCAACGCGAGGGACGCCCGTGACATCCAGCTCATGAAGGACCTCGGCGTTACCAAAGTCCTCAACGTTACCCAGGCTGGGGTCCCGTCGCAAGAAGCGTCTGGAATCGCTTACAGACAGTTACCAGCCTCGGATTCCACACAGCAGAACATCAAACAATATTTCGAGGAAGCTTTCTCTTTTATAGGTAATTCGAAACAACTTTAATCAATCCATAAATGCACGAAGAGATTTAAAATATTTGCTTAAACAATTTTGTTGTAATTTAAAATAGGAATAAAACCTAGACGCCATTTTGTGCAGGAGTCAAATTTGGAGAAAAAAAAATATTTTCACTAAAATTTCAATAAATAGAAAAGAAAAATTATGTTAGTCAGAAATTAGACAAAATTATAACTGATTTTACCATAAGTAAAACCCAAAATTGCCAAATGTACAATTTAAAATGAGGATATAACACACACCAACCTACATTTTGTTCAGAATTGACCCTAAACAAGGAATAATTGGTACTTCAAAACAAGTTAATCAATCTATAAATGCATGAAGAGAGAAAAAACACTTAAAATACTCTCTTAAATAATTTTAGCTTGTATAATTTAAAATAGGAATAAAACCTAGACGCCATTTTGTGCAGGAGTCAAATTTGGAGAAAAAAACTTTCCAATAAATTTTCAATTCAATACAAAAGAAAAATTATGTTAATAAGAAATTAGATAAAATTTATAACTGATTTTACCATAAGTAGAACCCAAAAATGCCAAATGTACAATTTAAAATGAGGATATAACACTCAACAACCTACATTTTGTACAGAATTGACATTAAACAAGGAATAATTGGTACCTCAAAACAAATCAATCAATCTATAAATGCATGAAGAGAAAAAAAACACTTAAAATACTATCTTAAACAATTTTAGCCTGTATAATTTAAAATAGGAATAAAACCTAGACACCATTTTGTGCAGGAGTTAAATTTGGAGAGAAAAAATTATTTTCACTAAAATTTCTATTCAATACAAAAGAAAAATTATGTTAATAAGAAATTAGATAAAATTATAACTGACTTTACCATAAGTAGAACCCAAAATTGCCAAATGTACAATTTAAAATGAGTATATAACACATACACCAAGCTATATTTTGTACAGAATCGATATTGAACAAAGAATAATTGGTATTTGAAAACAACTTAATCAATCCATAAATGCATTTAAATTGAAAAACAATACACTCCCATAAACAAATTTAGTCAAATTGCCTATACTATAAATAATTTTATTTGCTTTTATCGTCCTGACCAATTAGCTCGAACAAAAACTTTATGACTCATAATAATCATAATAAATAAAAAAGTTGTTTTATGACTCAGTTCGACTTCAATGGGATAGGGGTGCTAATTGTTAGAAGAACGCAGTTCATTCTGTGTCCCCCATCTAAGTCGAAGAATGAAGTGGGCCGTTGGCCGTGCGCGCGTGCGAGCAGAGGGACGCGCGTACGAGTGTTGTTTGTAGTGTATGACTCACCCTTCGTTTGTGTGACGTCAGGGGAAGCACCGCCGGTGACCTCCGATCCTCGATCTGTAGGACGTCACGGATTCTTGTCAGAATCGATCCTGTGCTTTGTCCCGTTTTATTTTTATTGGGGCAAACGCGAATCCTTTTTCGCGTGATTCGCCTATTTAATCGATCTACACGGGCTACGGGTTAGGCTTCGCGTGTCGGACAGGTAAATTTAGAATGGTGAGAGGGGGGTGCTTTGGCTGCCAAGTCCGTAGAATTTAAAAGAGAATAACACCAAATAAAACTGGCTAGGCCATTTTGTTCAGGTGCTATATTTGACACGAAATGATCTTAAATATCTTATTTATATTTTATATACAATTGCTAATCTTCCTCGAATTCGCCAAGCCTGTATAATTTCAAACAACAAAGAACCTACGACGCCATTTTGTTCAGCAGCCATTTTTAGCGAAGAAAAAACTATTTTCTCACTAATTTAAAATCAATTCAAAACGAAAATAATGTTAATAAACAAACTAGGTAAAAACTACAACTGTTTTACCATAACGAAACCACGATATTGCCAAATCTAATAAAAACCGACCACCATTTTGTTCAGAAGCAATATTGTCCACTAGTCTACCTCCACTAAATTCAAATTCTATTAAATTGAAATTGAAAACAAAAAATACTTGTTTAGGCATATTTGATATAATATGAGGTAATATATTCGACTCAAAAAGAAGGCTTTCTGTATAATTCCAAATAGAATAATTCCTTCAACGCCATTTTGTGCAGTAGCCATTTTTAGCAAAGAAAAAATTATTTTATCAATAATTTGAATTAATTTCAAAATGTAAATAACAAACTAGGTAAAAACTACAACTGTTGTACCATAACTAAACCACGAATCAAATAAAACCGACCTCCATTTTGTTTTGAAGTAATATTGAACAAGGATATTCTATTTCCACTGAATTCAATTTGTTTGTATTAAATTGAAATTGTGTAATATTAATATAAAAAATACTTGTTTATCCATATTTGAGATAATTTGACATATATATTTGACTCAAAAAGAATATTTTATATTTAATATAATTGACAAGTTTAATTATTAAACGCATAAGCTGTATAAATAATTGTTTATCTTCCTCAAATTTGACTAGCCTGTGCAATGTTATTGAGAATAAAACCTACGATGCCATTTTGTGGAGTAGTCATTTTTGCCAAAGAAAACAACTATTTTCTCAATAATTCGAATTCAATTCAAAAGTATAATAATATAAATAACATCATAGGAAAAACTGCGACTAATTTACCACAAGGAAAACCTCAAAATTGCCAAATCCAATAAAAACTGATTTACATTTTGTACAGAAGCAATATTGAACTTTTTGATTTTTTTTTTTTTTAATATTCTATCTCTACTAAATTCAAATTGCGTTAAATTGAAAATTTTTGAATATTAATACAAAAAATACTTGTTTTGGCAAAATAGTGTGCCAATATTGTCAAATTCTATACAATTTAATGTCAGAAAGCCATCTAATAAAATTGACTCCATTTTGTATCACAGCAATATTTGATAAGAAAACAGTTTGAATTGAAAATTGTTGAATCAAATGTAAAATATCGTAGAATTATTAAATTGCCAAGTCTGAACAGTAAAACTGGAATTTAATACACTAAAAAAATCCTATTCTTTTTTATTTGGTAGCCTCTTATTTTCTCCGTGTAATAAATGCAAAATAATGTTAATAACAGGCTAGATGGCTAATTGTTTGCAAGTAGAGCACAATGTAGGAGCATGAAATTGCCAAGTGTGGGGAATTGAAAATGAAATTAAAACCAAGTGAGACTTAACTTAGTTATGCATCTACCTCCATATAGTAGTCATATTTGTCAAAAAAAATAAGCTTTTAATTGCATTAAATATACAAATTTATTAAAACAGAAATAGTTCAATATTAAACAAAATCAAAATAGTTATGCCTATATTTGACAAGAAAACATATTACAAATACAATACACATAATAAATTAGTACAAATAGCATATTTCATAATGTAATGTTTTTTGTTTTTGCAGAGGATGCGAGAAAAAGCAATGGTTCAGTCCTTGTACATTGCCAAGCCGGTGTGAGTCGATCGCCTACAATAGCCATTGCGTACATCATGAAGCACCGAGGGGTATCGATGGTCGAGGCGTACAAGTTGGTCAAAACGGCCAGATCAATAATTTCGCCCAACTTAAACTTCATGGGCCAACTTCTCGAGTTGGAGCAGTGCCTTAGGTCAGAGGTGAAACCCTGCTGGTCTCAAGCAGCGACTCAGACGCCAGAAGAAGTCACATCTTCCTGTAGTGTTTAACGCCACACAATTTTTTTTCTTTTGTTTTATTCCAGTTTATTTTCAAGTTTAATCTAGTCTTTTAATTTATTTCTTTTACTATATTTTTTTTAGTGTATTATATTGCAAATTCAGTTTACTTGCATAAAAGGCTGTGCTGTAATACCAGAAGTTTTTTTACCATTTAATTTTTGAGATTTTTTACTTCTTTAATTTTTTGTGTGTATATAGAGGACATTGGAATATTGCCATGATACTTGTTAGAAAATACTATTGTTTTCCTTTTAATACATGTACATTTTACTTTTTTTAATGTACTGTCCCTATTAATTTCTATTCAGTTGATATTTTTGTTCCTTTGTGGGTTTTGGTCTAAATGGCAATATAAGAAGAAGAAAAAAACGTGTAAATGATGTAATTTTTTGTAGAATTTACTTAATTATTAAGTTCATATTAAAACCAAAATGTTTTTGGATTGTGAATACTTATTTTTCAAATGTTAATTTATTTATACTCTCAAAGGGAGAACAGAAAAAGAAATATAAGAAAGAATATTTTTTATTGTATTGTGTTGAGAAATGAAAAACCAAGTGCCTTGAAATAATTATATCAAGTATAAAAACAAAAAAAGGCTATATATCGATATAAAACAGACATATGTGTATAAGTACACACATATATGTTGTAATATGTGTATATATATTTTTGAATTAATGTAGAATTGTCAAGTTCTCCTTTATTTAGTATTGGTATTTTAAAATATTAGTACCCAACAAAGTTGAATTTTTTTTTTTTTTAATCCTTTTTTAGCCTTCAGATACTGTAATTAGGCTCCAAAGAAAATACAGTTTGTGCTCATAAATACCCTTCAGATGGTGTTTATTTTGTGCCACAATATAATTTATGAGTTACTTTAGTACGTTGTTACAAAATTCATAAATAGCATGAATTTTTTTAAAAATAGGTCTTAAAACTGAAACAATCTTTATACATGTTTATTTATACTATCACTCAAAGTATTTTCTCCTCGGGTTGATTCCAAATAAGTAATGCCTGATGACTGGCATGAGAAGTTTTCGGATGAGAGAAAGCCGGTATTGCAAAGTATTGACAATTTTGCACTTTCCCCTCCTGTCGTAGATTTCCGCTCCGCCAATCACGCTGTCCGGCAGGAAGAACTTGTTGTCAACTGTGAGAGATACATCAAGTTGTGTTAATCTTGTGTATTCTTGGGCGACTTCAGTCACAACATCCGATGCTATGTGAACATCATTTTTTCTCACTCTGATATGCTGCTTGGGTACTAACATCTGCCAAAAAATAAAATAAACATACTATAAGATTTTAAAGAGTGCAAATGGTATAAACAAATAATTTTTACAACAAAAAAATGCATACTATCTAAAACATTTAAAAAATATATATATTTGAAGGTGTGTATGTGAACCTTGATGCAAGCCTGAAGAATCAAATTTTTCATTGTTTCTCGGTACTCATTTGTGTAGGATAAGTTCTTTATTACTTGTTCTCTCGTCTTATTAAAAACATCTTCCAGTACTTCCTCTTTTAGTCGAAGGATCCTTATACGTGCGTTGTTTACTGATGACGAATGGGCTCTTTTTACATAGAAATACTTTTATTATATATTATTGATCTGACTAGCATTTAATGCTTACATACATAACTTTCTGTTTTTCAACTAGTTTTTCCAATTTTTGAAAATGATTGTTTATCCGAAGACGCTCAGTTTGAACCATTTGCCCAACGAATATATTGAATTCTTCTTCAGTTTTTGCGTCAATTTCCTGCGCTCTTTCTTCACCCTCTTGATCCATAAAAGCGACCATCCTCTCAACCTTATACAATATGAATGTTATAAATTAACAAAAACGATGAAACAAGTGAATATAAAAAACAGTGATATTACATTCCGATTTAAATTTCATGATCATTTTTGTATTAATACGTGTAATTTTTTTGTATCATTATCCTACTTTCTTCCCCCCCCCCCCAACATAAATCAACTCCGAGGACGAATCCTATAGTGCCAGTGTTTTGATAACAAAAGCCCATTTGTAAATATGCCCAGAGGCCTTGAATTCGGTCTGGGGTCCTTACTACGCCTTAGCCGTTGCGGCCACCAACGCCCCTCATCTTTTAAAAATATATCATAAATGGTAGGTACCTAAGTCTTAAAAGAAGGTACCTAAGATGCTGAGCTTTTAAAGGATATGGCATTGTCCTTCATTTAGGACTAATATTATTAGTTAAACTATTAAGTCTTGAAAATATTTAATGATAGCAGGTATGTGTAAAGATATAGCTGCTAGGTGTTAAGTAGCAATTAGTAGTAGTTATAGTGGAAGAAAGAAGAAAAATAAAAGAGACATTTCTACTAAAAGTTTGTACTGACAAATATAAAGAGAATAAACCAAATTTTAATTGACCTTAGTAGCTTTGTCTTTACTTTGTGAAAAAATATCCCAAAAATTGGTTACCAAAATACCCGTAAATTTGGTGATATAAGATACACATTTTTGCTGATCCAGAAACAAACTCCCTGATAAAACTTCAACAAAAATTCAAAATTCAGTTATACATTTCATTTTTCAAACAAAACTGCATTTATTTTTCACTACATTTATAATTATTGTTATATTTATTTTAATTAAACTGCTAGTAATATTTTGATAAACATACCTGCTTATTAAAGTTCATATTTGCAAAATTATCTGAAATCAAAAAAGTTTAGTAAAAACCAACTGAAATTGTTTAAAGCCTTAATTTATAATACAAGAAATAGTTATGGAAGCATAGCCATATTTCTAGTCTTGGAAGCATAATATTTTAACTATAGCGAGCTCACCTTATAATCAAACTTATGGATCATTAGTTGAGACATAAATTTTATTCATTTATTTTAAACAGGCTATAACAAGAAAATGTCATTTTATAACAGTTAACCTAGAATAGGACACACTAGTCTTACACAAATCAACCATTGTGACCACTATTATTTTAGCTTTCAAATCTTAGGAGACAGCCCAAATGAAAGAATTAGTGGTACAAAACAGAAAATTGCTAAATACATAAATAATCAAATATAGTATAATATAAGAAATGAGTTGTTGGAGTAATAATAAAAATAAATTTTAAACACATTTAAAAAATATTATTTACTATTAAAATATTTTGAAAACAACACTGACAAAAAATATCAACTTTAAGATTGTTCTTTTAATGATTACAATATGTTTTCTATTTGCATAAAGTAGTGTGCAGTATTCCCCCCCCCCATTTATGAATTGCTATTACTACTAATCGATTTAATCTTGTTAAGAAAATGACTAAAAAATTATCAATTTATGGCATGATTGTCCCAATGTTGGATCTTTAAGCTTGGCAAATCCTTGGTTTTGTCTCAGCCATATTTCAGCATTTTGCCAACTTTGGCTATTGGTCTGTACATTTATCTATGTATGCCCTTTTTATGGATAATATGCATCTGATGGACGAAACTAACGTCTAAGTGGATATAACAATATATGCTATTTAAAACAAATATCCCAGGTTCAATTAATAAGCTAAAAAATACTAACCTTTTATTTAAAGATATTCTTCTTGTTATATGTACAGAAATCGTAGCATTTTGATATAAAAGCACTAAAATTATTTAAAAACAGTGGTGATTCATAAATCTTGAATGGCAAACTTGCAATAGTTTATTCTTACAATCACTACCACCAAGCATATGTTTGCATTTTATTTTTGTTTTCAAGAGCTTTTAAATTATTTTTTCTCATGTAAACATTTTTGACCTCTTCCTTAAATAAATAAATTAAAAAAACATATGCACGACTAGGCTGTTAGTGTTTTCAGTGATCCTGTCATAAAATTAGCTTTCGATTTTGAAAATAGTTATGTAACTACATGATTTTTATAAAGAAGTAGATGTGGTGGCGTATCTTCAAATTTTGGGCAAATAAGGCTTGGGTGAAACCATATTCTGTTGCATAGTTTCATGTCACCTCTGCAACCCTGATCAAATGTTCAAATCTTGACAGATATTTGTGAAGTCTGTAATTACACAAATTTTGTTAAAAATCAAGCACAAAAGCCCTGGCCTGGTTACACAACTGCTATAAAATTGATCAATTGAATGAGTCAAAATGGATTAAACAGACAAATTCTACTATGGAAATGTATTAAAATCTTGCTGTAGTGATGGTTTTGGTGATACGGTATTTTTGGAGAAAAAAAATGTAAGTGTTCTGTGTTTGAATTCAGAACAGCAATGAGTCGCCATGTCAACACTAATGTAGTTGGTCACTGACACCCACATGTTTGAGATAAGACCAAGGTATCTTTTTTATATGAAGGACTTTTTATCAAGTATGATCAGTGAGATACATCATTTATAGTCTGTCTACCTTAATCCACAATATACTCGAGGTCCAAAGCTTAAAAAAACCATTCTGGTAAATGAATTGGACAATATCAGATTTACCTATATCATTAATAAAACAAAGCCATTTTGGATTAAGTAAATTTTGGTGTAATGCTTGGATAAATTACATAGATTAAAACAACAAAAATTGTTCTCCAAAGTACAACTGACTGACAAGTGCAGTGAGACAGGCCACGACATACAATTTAATGTTATTTAAATAAATAACTTTTTCGACTAGGATGATTTTTATTACATATAATTTTCAATTAAAGTTAATAGCAAAATGGATAATACATCCAAGTGCATATTAAATAATTAATTTTATTAATCACAAGCTTTGGAGTACACAAGCCTTTGTAATTCAAAAAAATCATAATGCAAAAATGAGCTAATACAGTTGTTTTTGTTTGGAATACTTATGTGGTATAACACTTCGAAATCTTTTTGTAAGCAGATAAAACACCATGTATTATATTTATTGAAATACCAAATTTTAAACAAACCTTATTAAGTTTACTACAGGTATTTCATCAGATAATCCACAAGTCCTTAATACAATATAAGAATATCCCAGGGATTAAGAGATGGCAGCACATATATCCTTGAACAACCGCACCACCGTTGCCATGGGAAACGTCAAAACATTGCTCTAGCCCTTTTTATCCCTAATAGAGTTACAAAGAGAAGATAAAATGCCGAATCTGGGACTGGCGTCGGTAATGTTTTTCAACTATTACTACTTCTGGATGTTCTCCGTCTCGATCGGCCTCACCTATCTGTACAAACTGTTCAGCCTGCCTTACCCTAGTGGGAACATAGCGTCCGAAGTAGTCATATTCATCTTCTTGTGCTGCATCGAATCGATGAAGCTTTTCCTAGGACGGAAAGGCAACCTGACCGACTCCTGGCCACCTATCCTAGTCTCGATAATATTAGTCATACCATCAGTCCTCGGCACTTTGTACTTTCTCCTGTGGCAAACTTACGTCCTGAGGATCGAAGTCATACTAGTGTACGTGGAAATCGTCTTTGAAACGCTTGTCTTTCTCCTGGGAATCCTTCAGCTTGTCTCTGTTTTTTATTACAAAGGATAATTATATCAAAAGTAAGTTTCTGATTTTCTAATGAATAAAACTTTTTTTTTATAAATTAATATTCATTATTTCATTAAACCCATAATACATTATTCTATATTAGAATTAATTTTGATTCTTAATTAAATATAGAAATTTTTAATTTGCAATGTGTAACAAGAACAATAAATAAAATTTATTTATTAATGAAGGGATGAAAAAGTTACTCATAAAATGCTAAACAACGTAATAATAAATAAAATAGCCTTTATATTTGTTTTTAATTATTGTGGCACAATATGTTTTAAACATGACACACATAAAAAAAAATGAGTGTTTTGTCAACTACACTGAAATTCAGTATAAATTAGTCAACAATCCTAAAATCAAAGAGGTCTATGTAATAAAAGAAGCAAAGTTAAAACTATCACATTTCTTTTAATAATTAATTACATCATTTCACACATAGTTTTTCCTTTCAAAATCAAGGAACTTATAACACATCACACTTTGTTCTTTTATTTTTCTGCCTTTGTTCCATAAAATGAAGAAAACTAAAGAAATATTTGTACTTATGGAATGTAATTTAAAGCTCGTCTAAGGTCTTTGTTCACACCTTAGAAGAAGAAACACTATGCAACCTCAATCTTATCGCTTTCAGCCTTTGGTTGCAGTAAATCCTCAGGAATATAGCACCAAAGACTAACATGATGCCAAAAATTCCCAGAGGTGGAAGTGTATGGTTGTATATCAGACATGACAGAAGGATTGCCAAACCCTGAAAAACAAAAAATTGTCAATTACATACAGAAGGAACGTACTACTCGTTGTGGACGAGGGATCAAACCACTTTTTAAATAAAGGCTACGCAGGGATTCTAGTGTGCCAAATATGAGTCCAATGCCTTAACCACTCGGCCACTTAAGTCCCCAAATTAACCATCATGTTGTAATTAATAGTTTAAATTAATAGAATGAGCACAAAAAAAGTTTTTATTTCATTTTATATTTCCACAGAAATTACTTTTATATCATGGAATTAGTTGGTGAATAATAAAATATTTTAATCTAGATTTTAATGTCTTTCATACAGTGAACTTCCCTTAACAAACCTCTAAAATGCAGAATCACCTTGGAACGGACAAATTATGCTTTGCTGGTGTCTTACCAATAATTTCTTCATATTAAAATCTTGCTTCTGGACACTCCCAATAACGGACTATATTCTGACTTTAAAACTCTCCCAAAAGTGGACAGCACTACAACAGCCTACAGAAAATGGCCGTTTCTCCTATGTATTTTGTTTGCTTCCCATATTTTCCCAATATTCCTACATTTTGACTATGTCCACTTTGCAAACGTGTTTAAGTACTTCTTCAGTGCGTTTGACATTTAAAGAAAAAAAATTAATATAATTAAAGTGAATGAAAGTGAAAAACTAAGTGTGCGAGACTTGGCTGCAAAATTTTCTATTGGAAAGACCCAGGCAAGTAAAATTCTAAAAAATAAAAAGGAACTTTTAGATAAATTTGACAAACAGAAATCACCGATCCCCAGATTTTTCCTAAAGTGTCTGGTTCAACCGCGTTTAGGACAAACTGATTTTAAAGCTTCTTCAAGTTGGCTCAACAAATTAAGAAAATGGCATAAGATTTCTTTTAAAACTTAGCAAAGAACCAAGGTTGTACAAAACTGGACAGAGAAATTAAACAATATTGTGCCAATTTTGAACACAAAAATATTTTTAATTGTCATGAAACAGCCTTACATTTTAGAGCACTTCTGGATAAAAACTATGCAGTTAAAAAATTAGCATTGTCAAGGAGGAAAAGTTACAAAACAGTATTTAATTTTGTTCTTATACAAAAGTATGCTCAGTGAATTTGAAAAACCCTCTGGACATAGAAAATACTAAAAATACTCGATGTTTCAAAGGTGACGATATTTTGTAATCCCCATCTTGTAATACTAAACTTTTTTTTTACTTTTATCCCAAAAGCAGACACCACAATATTTCATGCCCCAAGAGTGTCAGTTATAGTGAAGTTTCACTGTATGAAGATCAAGTCTGAAAAGAGCTTAAAATTGATAAAACACCCTTCTTCGGGGAAGACACAATGAAACGGAAACAACTTCAATAAACAATTTAGAAAAGTTGTGAAAGGTCGAGTGGTTTTTACACATTCCCTTACATTTACAAAGATTAGCATGAATACCTGTCTTATAGTCATTATGATGACAAAAATAACTGGTCCGTATGAATAAATGGTGAAAAACACGAAAAGTTGTCCAGCTCCTGAACTTATTGATATCAGAAGGCAATCGATGGTAAACTTAGGAAACTGAAATTTAAACGCATTATTCCTTCAAATATCAGTAGATAGACTGCATAACAGGATTTTTTTTTATATAAAAACTAGCACATTACTGACCGTTGCCATGAACTGAAGCGATGTGGAAAAGGCACCCTGTTGAAAGAGAGAGACAGAGGTGAAGAGGCATGAAAACAAATTGACGCAGCACATCATCTGCACCGGGCTGACTTTGTACTGAGTGAACAATGCGCCCTGCCAATTGGACGTGAAACTGTCAAACGTCATGTACGCCCCAAGAAGAATTATTCCTGACATTGTAGTCACAGTCTCATCTGTATCATTTGTCATCAGATTATTTGACAATTCTTAAAAATTAGGTCTTTAATTAAGAAGAGGAAATTTGCCTTTTTTTGGTGCTGACGATAACATGAAAAATGTCATCCCGATCGATATTAAAACAGCAGTTACATACTCGTAATACTCATATTTCTGCTTTGATACTATTTTCCCCATTATCATAACTGGAATCAATTTACTTGCTTTGGCTAATACCTAGATCAACAATGTAAAAATATATATTTCACTAATTCAAAATTACTTTATCATGTAATTATCTTCTTTTTAAAAATAAATAAATAAGTTTATTACTTGAGATGGGAAGCTGACATATTTGAGAGCCTCATACTGGCACCAAGAGCTCATGATGTTTGAGAATGAGCAGTAGGCATACTTGTAAAGGGGCATTGTGTGTTTTGGCTGTTTCCTGAGAAGTAAGTAACTCCCGGAAAGTGTAAAGGCCAATATGCGATTCACAAACACTAGGAACTGTGAGTCCTTAAAATGTCCGACATCACCAGCGCTATTTGTGTACTCCTGAAATCAAACATTTGTCATGCAAAAATTATAATCAAAAGTTAATCGATTATTTACCTGTGTCATAACTTTTTCCTGAAGAATACCCCAAGTGAGGTAAGTGCCCTGAAGGCCGACAAAACAGAATAGCAAGAGCAAGGTGTCCTGTTTGAGCGTTCGCACTGGAGAATCATTGGAAGCTTCTACTAAACCAGGCTCTCTGCCATTAATACAGCAATCGATTATATTTGAAAGGCATCCAGCACCTAATGGAGACAAGTGTGTGAAAACATAAAAACAGAAAGTATTTGTTGATCGACTTACCAGACCTCTCGAGGTACTTGGTGACTCGTACGTATTTAAAAATAAAGTACCCTGGCAAAAGTATTGTTGAATAACCGATCAGATTGATTAAGAGCCGGTACATCCACGTACTCTGGAATGACCCTTCATCATGGACAGAAGGAGAGGAAGACTGTAGAAGAGAGGTTATCCCATACAGCAAACCAAACGATACAACAATCACAGTACTAAAAAAAATCCATAATTTATTACTACTATATGATTATGATGATGGATACAAGGAAGCGGGGTATGTGGTCCCCAGGCACTGCAGCCTTCTGGCTTATTGTACCTTCCTAGCTCCCTAGTTCAATGCAATCCTTGTGTGTATAAGTTGGACAAAATCAAAAATTTTATTGAAAAATGCACCATAACCTTTAAGAAAACGAACCAATTGCACTAGCAATTCGATTGCTGGTAGTGGACTCCTTGTTCCTACAAAGAGAATAAATAAATCCCTATGATAGATGTGCCAAGGTGCTCTTTTGTGACAAGTTAAGCTAGAACCAATCAATAGAGATAAGTTTGTACTGGGCATCCTTCCCAGTTTAGGTTTCTTTAGATTTTTATCCTTTCATTAAATAATTTCTCATTAAGTTATTAATTATTATTTATTTAAAGTGTGATCAAAAAATTGAGAAATGTTATAATATGCAAATATTGTTGTGTAGTTATCTAAGCAAAAATTACATATATGGTCTCACAAGTTCAATCTTTTTAATGCAGTCTCTAGGTCAATCGCTTGTTATACAGCTCAGGTTTGGAGGTTTGTTCAGTATGGTAAGTTAAAGCAATTATTGTTTTTTTTTATTAAAAAAATATTTTCTCTGCCGGTCATTGACCTGAACTATATGCTTTATCTAGACTGATGTAGACTTTTGGTTTTCATGAGAACGCTTAGTCTTTCAGCCTGCAAACTAACTTGCCATTGAGGTGGTTAAAAAAAACTCTGTTTCAAGATTTGATTGAATATTTTTGAAAAATACCATTATTACTTCAGTCCTTCCTTAGATGAAATATCTCTGGAAAAACCATAAAACCAAAAAATCCAATTTAATATTAAAAATGAAAATAAACTACATTGGGAAGGGACTTTGGCGAACACTAGAGTTCACCTCTTATAAACAATTGGACAATGAATGTAAATTATTTTTATTTAGGAATGCACTGCTGATTAATTTGAGGGATCTGTGTTGTCTTGTTAAAATGAGGGGTGAATTACTTTACATAAATTTCACCCGATGGATTGAAAGGAGGGTCGTGCTATGTTCATTGTGTAACACAGGAGCGAGAGAGGATATGGTTGTTTGGCTACATGTCCAGTGTTAGCGGAATTCAGAATGCGACACCCTGGCGTCCTTCTTTAACAGAAACAAAATTTGATGCACTTTTTAGTTGGAAATCTTTTACTCCTTCCAGTCTCGGATGAGAATCGGAAGGAGAAAATTGGACGAGACTGGAAGGAGTAAAAGATTTCCAACTAAAGAGTGCATCAAATTAAAGCCCTTGACATGTAATTAGAGTAGTACCGGCATGGAAAAAAAAGAAAAAATTGAAGATCTACCACTTCGAAAAAACGAATTACAGCTGCAATTTTAATGCTAACACCGGAAAAAAAAAGTGGACAAAAGCGGCTCCATCTTTATTCCAGTGTTGCCTTGAAAAAGAATGAAAACCATTCGAAACATTGGCAAATTAAAGAATTAGGCACTACATTGTGTTTTCTGTATGACTGCACATCCCCCAACCCAACATCGTTGAATATAACAGTCATAAATAAAATAAAAATAAAAAGAAATGCAGACAGTTTGAATCTTGTAAATTGTGCCAGCTCCGTTTGGCATTATAGATATTATTTAGTTAATAATAATTATTAATTATTTATTAATATTTAGTTAATTATTAAATTATTGTTAATTATTAATATAATATTAATAATTAATAATATTATTAATATAATTGTTATTCTTATATTATTGTTTTATCTTATTTTATTGTTATATATTAAACATTGTTTTGTACCACGTATGTTTTTAGTTTAACTATTTTTTCAATTTTTTCTGAAACCTACATCACACCAGATCGCATCTCACGATTTCTGAATAATATAATTTAATTTTTAATTAAGCGTAGTATAATGTAATTCTTGTTTGCATGTAATATAGCATTGTCGCTATCTTTACATTAGTTTTCTTCTGCATTATTTTTATTAATTATTATTATTATAGCAAAACTATGTATCACTCTCTAGCTGACAGATACCCAAGCTGTATATGCTTTATATAGCTTCTATTTTACTATGTAAATTTGTAATTATTCTTAAATAAAGCATCTTATTATTATTATTACATATACAGATGGAACAAGAAGAAAGATTCTTAGAAAACAGCTTTGGGAATATCAGGGATGTTAACCCTCAAACGGTACAATGGTTTGGGATGAAATACATGGTACGGTCAGATCGTATCCAACCCTATCTCTTTTTGATGAAGTTTTTGGTAGACATAAGTTCACAATAATAATTTTTATTGTACTTAACATTTATGATAATATCTTACATATCTTTTATTCTTTTTAGACATCTTGTAGTCTTGAGAGATGAACTTTGCCGTTCCATCTGGGGCTGCCAACAACATAGGTAATGAACAGAGAAGTTCACTGTGCTTGAGCATTGAGTTCTCTATTTATTTATTAGTATGACAAATGATGTTTCCTATCATTTCATTAGTCACAAAAAGTGAAAATAATATTATTTCATCTGTCTCCCCACAATGCGTTCATTTTAGTTCCAGGAATTGAGCGTAAATGCTTATCGGTTCAGACTGTTTCCTCGTCCTTACTAATTCAAACTTTTTATCATCGGTTCCTTTCGCCATTTGACTTGGACCATTCTTCTTCCTCATCATAGTCGAAAACATCTTCAATAACACTGTTCATGAGACTTCCATCTTCCACTTATGACAAAGATTCATCCAGGCCAGGGCCTTGACTTGACCCCCCCCCTCTTTGTCTTGACGGCGAAACTCAGCTAGAACTTTTTCAGTAGTGCGAAACTGTTATTGCCAAGACATTTTTGGATCAAAACTTTGAAAAATGCCCTTGGTAATATTAGGAAAATCATTGGTATCCTTGGGACAGAAGCGACCCAGAATAAAAATACTTCAAGGTAAAACTGGAATAGGAAGACAAATCACTTATCCGACCACAACAGTTACTACACTAGATTTCAGTATTAGAAGTATTGACCATTTTTCCACTCGTGAACACTGAATCAAGGTATGGTCTTGATGAAGAAAGTAAACTCAGTTGTTATTGCTGAGATAAAGTTACAGGTTTTGACTGGGACTGAGTCAGTCTTCAAGAAAAAATTGAGATCACCTGTAAAAACAAATATGTCAATCAGAAGACACATTTAAGATTGTTTTGCCCTGATGATGAACTTAAAATAGGTCGAAAGCTCGGCACTAACAACTGAATTTTCTTTCTTCAAGACCATACCTTGGATCCAGTGTTCGTCACTTCACTAGATGTCGGATGACTGGCAGGTAGGGTTCCTGGTCGATTTGACCACCGACAATGAAAGTGGACAGTGGGGAACAGGTAAAATGAACCACTGGGTCAGATCCGACCCTTACCGTACCGTTTGAGGGTTAATATTATGCTGTCATGAAACTTAAAAATAAATAAATAAAAAAAGGTCCTTGGACAAACAAAGATAAGTACAACAAATTCAAACCAAGCAAAAATATAAAATATCCATTTATGGAAGTAACTTGTCCACTAACCATATAACAATTTGAGGGCCATTGTATGCCATTTGAAACACCGACTCAAAAATCTCCAGTACCGTTCTGTTAAGACTTATGACTTAGAAAATAACACTAATATGTACAATGTAGGCGAATCTAATTTTTTAAAGTCCAACTCACAAATTGACTTGACATGGGATAACACTAATGCTGTAGTCAAACAAACGGAAAAATCCTTGGGATAACTTGATTTGTTTGATAAGGGCGAGGTTACTCGTTTAAAACAAAATATAAATTTGTTTATTAAATTTTAACGATAAATGAACAGTTGTAGTACGCGATTGTTTAATAATTAACATATAACATCAATTTTTGATTATTGAGTAATTATCAAAAATTCAACTTAAGTTTACAAATTGCCTGGAAGGGTGGGGCCTCTTTAACTGCCCAACTGTCACTCTGAGAGAATTATTTTGAATAATAATAATAATAATAATAATAAAGTTTATTAAATTTTTAAGCAATATAATAAAGTGAACATAAATGTACTCAATAAAAAATAAACAATACGGCATGGATTCTCCGTCTGCGGGAAGAGAGAATTATTTTGTATAAAAAGAACTAAATGTACTAAAATGCTAGAAGTAATGACAAATTTAAAAAAAATATAGAACAAGGTGTCAAATGATACCAAATATTATTTTGAACAATTTGTTGAAGAAGTGAGGAGAGGTCTGGAATGAAGTATTTTAGAAAAACACCTTTTTCATTTTTTTTGCCAACGTTCGGGGCTTCTTCAAGGTCTGGGTGAATTAAAAAAACATATGTCAATTAGAAAAATATAATTCACAATTCAATTGGCTGTAATTCACTCAAGCCCTGAAGATGTCTTGACTAAAGGTTGAAACAATCAAAAAATGAAAAAGGTGTTTTTCTAAAATACTTCTTTCTTGACCGCACTATTTCAACAAACTATTAAACAACTGGTTGCTAAATAATTTTACATTTGTTTCTAACTTTTATATATACTGCTAGTATATTGCTAGGGTTTCACTCATCTATAGAAAAATCATTATTACAGTATTAAAAAGCTTCAATATTTTTGGGGATAAATCTAAGGAAATAACTAAAAAGAAGAAGAACTCAGGAGAGCATCAGATACAATGATATGGTATACATATGACTCCAAAACAAATGAAGGAACCAGATCGGGTATTTTTTGTACAAGCCCACAATATGAGCAATCAAACTCGTTAGGGAAGTACACTTCAGTCGTTCAAGCAGAAATACCTGCCATCATCACTTGTGCCCTAGAAAATCTTAAAAGAGTTACACTAGCAAAAAAATCCTCATGTCTGATAGCCAAGCATGCATAAGCATGTAAAAAAAATCACATCAAAATTAGTTAGTGAATGCATCCAAACCTGACGATATCTTAGGAGCCAGGGCACAAAGGAATTTTAGGTAATGAAAAAGCAAACACACTGGCCAGAGGAGGATCTACAAGACCACACATAGGCTCCAAACCTATAGTTGGGATAACAAAAATAAATGTAGAAATCCAAATAAAACAAAAGGAGAAATGGGTAAACTCTAGCGGCACTACATGGGCATATATAACAATGATCCCATTTGCAGATTATACAATGAGGAGGAGGAAACAGCCACCTATACCATCTTTGAAAGCAAAGCAACAGCTCAATGTTGATTTAACCTTACATACAGAAAAAACCTAGGGAATAAAATTGTAGCAATGGCAGTCAATGACCTGATACTTCCAAGAAGAAATGTATTGTACTGATCTAGGGAACTAGGCAGGTACAATAAGCGAGAAGACTGCAGAGCCTGGGGAGCACAAACCCTGCTTCCTAGTATCCTCATCACATCACCATCACCATCAAGCAAATAACTGATTAGTGTTTCCAAAGTTAACAGATGTTGTATTTTACTATTGTTTTGTGTGATTTCTCCATAGTGCCTGTAAGGTGAGGAACCAATTAAATGTTAGATACTACTTAATGGTTTGGCAGTAGTTAAATGGTTTTCTATGAGAAATGTATTACATGTAGTGGTTTAGGTTATATATTGAGTCTTGTCTTAATAATCAGCAGTTGTGAAGTTGTGAGCTGTGAGTTAGCAGTAGCTATGTTTTTTCTGCTTGTCGGTAGATGTAAGAAAAGTTTGATGCCACTTATCGGATTAGCTGAAGTAACCAACCCAGTGAAGATAGGTGAACCAAAATGATTGGTATCTGCCAAATTTAAGACAAATTTTTTATTATATGTGTGTTATAATATACATATAAACGTATCTCTTCCTCTAACACAATAATTTTAGTAGGGTTTTAGAAAAAAAATGCTCATGTTTTCAAGCTATCAGAATATGTGTGTGAAAAATTACCAAAAAATAAAGTTTAAAGTATCAGTTTATAACTTTTTTAAATATATAATTACACAGAAAACACAAAAAATTATATTAATTATATTATATTAATAAACTGAAAAACAGGTAGTCTGTACCTTTTAATGAACAAACCTATGTGACAAAATCCTTAATTTTCAAATTTTGTGAATTTGTTTAACGATTTTATTATAATATTGTTTTTAAATTAAATTAATAGCCAATGAATACTTTAAATTAAAAATTAAATTCCAATAAATTTATTTGATTCATTCAACCAAAATTTAATCAATGTGAAATTGAATATAATAATTTTTTTGCCTTCCTTTATCCCCCAAACATATTTTTATTTATTGTCAAAACTGTTAATTTGACTGAATCTTGTTTTATAATAATTGTTATATTACTTGAAACTTTTAACACAATAATCATCCTGGTCTGTCTAATCCTTTTGGCTTAGTCTGACAGACAAATTTAAGCATTTCACCATCTTCAGCAGCTGGTCCATGCATTTCTCTGCGTTTATGTCCTTTATGTTGGTTTCCAATGGTTAGGTAAAATGTGAAAACTTATTCGTTTATTTACAAAAAAAAATGTAATGTTTATTTGAATTTAAATAATGATATTAACTTTTATAAAAACAAAATGAAATGAAAACTATTTAATTCTGAGGAATGAGTAGTAAAAAATCGATCTTATCTGAAATAATAATCACTAAAGATAACTCCTAGATATCATTCTATATTAACTTACATGTTATTATGATGGAGCAAAATGGGCTGTACGAGAGACTTCACTACCATTTTTTTCCTCCAATTTTCATGGTTTTTTTTACCTGCTTCTCACAAGTGGCAACAATAATCTGGAAAGGAGAGACTGTATGCTGTGAAAGCGTATTCAAAGGTATCTTTGGCAACAGTTTTTCTTGGGGGGCAGTGGCTCTGCTCTTCCTATGGGCTTTCATCTGGCTCTGGTTTCCAAGTAGAATCGTGCAAGGACCACGTTCTCCTGAAGGTGTTGTCCCTGTGTACAAAGTGAGCTTTATAATTAACACTATACAGAAGTTTAAATAAGAAAATGATCTTTTTGCTAGTGATGAACATACATCATCATCAATTATAATCTGCTTATTTCGCTAAATTTTAACAAATTATAAACATAAGTTGAATTATAAATTGAACAAATTTTTGTTTCAGGAAAATGGGTTGCCTTATTATTTTGCTTCCATAGCTGTGTTCCTCCTTCTGGAACACTTTAACCCTGGATTGTCACAAGAGATTTACAACAATATGTCAGAAATTCTCGGAACGCTGAATATTATATCTTTTGTCCTCTGTTTTTATCTTTTTTATAAGTCAGAATCTAGAAAGGATTTACACCTTCCAAAACTGTACTTGTTCTACAGGGGGCTAGATTTATATCCGAAAATTTTCAACGTACAGGTAAAACAACTGGTCAACTGCAGGGTCGGCATCATCCTGTGGCAAATCCTTCCACTTTCTTATTTCATTGTTCTTTGCAATAGATGGGGGTTCAATTTGCCAGCTTTCGGCACACTCCTTATTCAGGTACATATTTCAATCTTATCAATTAATTGATGCTTGATAGATTTAAATTTTTATTGTAGAGTCTTTATATATTTAAATTTTACACCTGGGAGATTGAGTATTTTAACACTCTGGATATAATTTTGGACCGTGCGGGTTATTACATATGCTGGGGATGCTTGGTCTGGCTGCCTTGCTTATATCCTTCAAGTTCTTACTACTTCGTTCATTATGTACCACAAGCATCCAGTCGTTTAATTTTTGTGTGCATAATAGCTGGTGCAATTTGTACCTATGTCCAGTACAAAATTGATACAGAGAAGGCAAAATTTAAGTGAGTTGTTTTGTAATGTATACAGCAATATGTCAGTAATGAGTGATGCTGACAACTATTACCACAAAAAAAATTTTGAATTTGTATTAAAAGCATATTATTTTAGGATAAACAATAATGCAATCATATGGGGAAAGCCGGCCACTTATATAAAAGTCACTGATGAAAAGGAAAAACGTACAAGGAGTCTTCTCACATCAGGTTTCTGGGGAATTGCCAGACATTTGAACTACACTATGGAAATAATCATCGCATTCTCGTACTCTCTACCTGGATATAATTTGGGCCTTGTTCCTTTCTTATATCCAATTTTTATAACAATCCTTTTATGTCACAGGTTGTACAGAGATGAGAAAAAGTGCCAAAAACAATACGGCAAGTATTGGGACCAGTACTGTACTCTAGTGCCTTATAGACTAATACCGTATGTGTTTTAAATATAAACTGTTGCTTTTACTTTTTATATACTTTTTATTTTTTAATTAATTTAATTTTTATCTGAACAAATTAGATACATTATATACTGAGATACAGTATGATTTATCATTTATGGAGATGTACACCACTGTTGCTCTCCCAGCTTTCTGAATAGTTACATACTATTTGCAAGGAGGTCCCAGGGCCATCTCCACTTGTCCAACTGGGTTGCAGGAGTGAGTAATGTTGGACATAGATCGGGCTAATGAGTTACAATGTGAGGATAACTATTCGTAGAATATGGAAAATTCGTTGGGGATTAGGTTTTTAAGTAGGTTTATTTGTAGATCATAATGTAGACAGAGCTTTGACAATAGTTCTGAGGACCGTCTGGATTGGAAGGAATTCTTTAGATGTTGGAGAGTTTAGCAGTGGTCCACAATTCTAATTCATATGTCCAAATCGGTTTCAGTAGTGCCTAATAAAGTGTACATTTGTTATTTGTTGATATGTTTAATGTTCTTGGTAATAATTTGTTCAATAGTCCAAAGTGATTGTTTGATTCTTGTCTTTTAATTTGTGTATTGTCAGTTCCAGGTTAGATGTGGCGAGATAAAACCCGAGGTAGCGTACATAGTTTTTGGGATAGTAGTATTGTAAAAGGGTTTTGCTTAGGAGGGTAAACTTAATGTGGGTAAATTTGAGATCTTAAGACCAAAATTTGTTCAATTCAGCTATTCACAACACTGTGCTTGAAGCTCCTGCGAAGCAATTGTAGGATCATAATCAGAGGATAGCACAGCTGGATCATCGACAAAGAAAGCTAGGAGGGTGGAGGGTATAGTCAGGATATTTGAGGTATAGATGAGGTACAAGATTGGTCCAAGCACACTGCCCTGTAACACTCCTACTCCCAGGAGCAATATTCGGAGTAGTCTGATCATTTGGAAAAAAAATCATTCTATTAAGTAGGAGGAAAGGATTAGGTACAAAGTATTTGGAAGTACCCGTTTTAGTTTGTACAAGAGACCCTCATACCACGTGCAATCAAACTTTGTCATGTCAATAAAGGCCAATGAAGCATTGTTTACGGTATCAGTATTAGAAATATTGACCACTTTTTCACTCATGAATACTCTGGATCAATAAGTGTCTTGAAAAAGAAAGCAAATTTAGTTGTTACTTCCAAGCTCTCGATCTATTTTAAGTTCATCATCAGGGCAAATCAATCTTAAATATGTTTATAGATTGACATATTTAAGTTTTCTTACAGGTGGTCTCAAATTTCCTTGAAGACCAACTCAGTCTTAAAATTGCCAAGGTCTGTAACTGTCTTGAATACTGGAAATTTAAGATCACCTGTAAAAAAAAAAAAAAAAAAATATTAATTCGTAGACATATTTAAGATTGTTTTGCCCTGATGATGACCTTAAAATAAATCAAATGTTTGGCAGAAACAAGTGAATTTGCTTTCTTCAAGACCATACCTTGATCCAGAGAGTTCGTGAGTATTGTTCACACTACACAGGAAGTAAGAAGCTTTATGGATGGGTTTGTCAGGTTTTGGGAAAGTGATGGTGCTGGGTATTTCCAGAGCAAAGATAAGTGAGTTGTACGGAATATACTATTTGTAGAGATATTTTAGTAGGATTTTTTTTTTTAATTCACGGAGGTTTCGGGATGTGATGAAGTCAAAGCTAGGAGTTTTGGATTCCGCATCCGATTCACAATAAATCTGGAGTAGCTTTAGGTGGAAGGGGATGTGTAGTGGATTTCATTTCCGTTAGATTTATTGGGGTTGGGATTGGAGTGGATGTCTGATGGAGGAATGGGGTAAAAGCATTGATTTTGTCAAGATAGGACATGGCCCATGACCGAGTGGTAGGGAAATGACAGAATGTGGTGTTTTAAGTTCTTAATGCTCATGCTCTTAAGGATCTATCGGATGATTTTATGTTGGATAGGTAAGAGTTAAAGGTATTGTGTTGAATTTAATCCTGTTTTTACGATATGGGATAATCTATTGAGGGCTTGGTGGTCAAAGGGGTGCCTAACCAAGGCTGGTTGGCGTTTTAAGTACAATAGATATGAAATGTGTGGCGGGAAAAGTTCGGATTTTATGGGCATATTGAGAGAACTGGCAAGGTGTGCTCTTAAGACCACTTGATTTTTGCTGCTTTTAGTTTTTACTTGCCTGCTTATTATTAAACACCCCAGAAATGGCAAATTTAGGTGAATAAAAAAATATTTTTAAAACAACTTTTAGTACAGTATATATTTTTTTCATGAATAAATTGTGCTCTGTACTACAATCCACTTATATACATATTACACTTATTGGAAGGAATTATATGCGTTACACAAATTTAAGGATGTAACAATTCTATTTAAAATATACATATATAGTGAGAAGGAAAAAAATACTCACAAAAACTATACAATAACAGAAAGGTAACAATGTTTTAAAAATATTATCATACAATAGTACTTTATTAGTTTTTTATTGCTTGTGGTTTTGTTTCCAACTCACAAATCCTTAGCCTTACAACAAAAAAAAATGCTTTGAAAATTGAATAATGCCAAGGAAAATAACTACTGCAATTAAGTCCAATCAATAAAAATTTATATTTTAGAACATTTTTAATGTGGTAGACCACAAAATAAAAAAATTACATTAATTTTGTGTTTTGTTTTTGTAATACTCTTATCACTTTTATATTGTGTACACACACCCATTCTCTCTTTTTATTTGTGTATATACATTAAGTGGCACTGATTTGTCAACATCTCAATTGCTATCACATTTAACAAGGTTCATAAAATTACAAGTGAATTGCTTTTTATTAAACAATTTTTTTTTCAAAATTGTAATAGGTATACATTAAGAACATGATCATTAAAAACTACATCCTACACGATCTTTTACAAATTATCTCATTGCAAGCTTTTCTTTGTAAGTTTTCATAAAGAGAATGCTAAATTTCAGAGTACATAAACCAGCAAGAAAAAAAAATATTTTGTTATGTATCATAAAGTCAAAAAGCTACAATTGCAAGCGCTAGAAAACAAAAATACGTTTCTTTCCAATAAACTGGTCCCTGAATTCTATTTTAACAAATGAAATTGTTTCCCACAACAAAATATTTCTTTTTTTTATATACTTTTACTTAAAAACATAATGTATTTAAGGGCCTTTTTTTTGTCACAGTAAGAGTTAAAATTTAAAAAAATAAATTGCTAATTAGATTTACAACTGTACCTCTTAAAGTTGAATTCTCTAGTCGTATTACGGATTATTCCAAGACTGTAACCAGATGGAAAGATACAAGACATCTTTCTGTACAATCTGTCAAAACTGTTGAATGAAAAATTGTTAGTCAAAACTTCTCAACATTTAAAAAACAAAAAAAAAACAATAATAATAATAAAATAAAAATAAAATATGGCATCTCAATACATTATATATGTATAAATAATTAGAATTACTAAAAGTTGAAAGGAATGAGTAGCATGAACGGAACAATTAAACTTAATGGTAATGAGAAATGAGTGTTTTAAAATTAAAAACCTCAAGAGATCCGAGATCTGCCTTTCTTTCTTATACATTTTAAAAACCTTACTAATAATGCATTTACAAGTCAAAAATACACTCGAAAAAAAAAAAAAAAGTATATGTACATTTAATTTATCAGATAAACTAATATGATCATAATTAATAAAAAAAATTACAACAGAGGCCAATATTAGGAATTATAAATGAAAATTATTAGTTTAAACATGACATGTTTATCAATATAACTATCATTTTTTTATTTAATTTTTTTTCTTAATTTTTACAATAGTGGTAGTACAAATAAACAAATTTATAAAGTATCTAACAAATATGAAAAAGAAAGCATAAATTTTGTCTTTTTAATTGTATGAACAATAAATAAAATTAAAAATAAAAAAAATACACACCCACTTAGGAATAAAATGAGTTAAAAGTTGTTTAAATCATTTATAAACAATAACATTACATAATCAATTTTTACTTTCTTCAATATATGCTATAATCATCACAGCAAAATCTTCCCTCCAAAAAAAAATTAATAATAATAATAAACTCAAATTTTCAGTCTAATTTCATTTTCTTTGTTGTCTGTAGTTTTTAATTAATTTTTTTTTAAATTTATTTATGTACAAATTAAAATAAGAGTGAAAATTTGAAATACTGTCGAATAAAATAGCACCTATCTTGAAAACAAAACATGTTTACAAATAAAGAGTAAAAAAAAAGATCACAGCGAGCAAAATAATTTTTTTAAATGTCAGATATCAACTCGATCTACCAGAAGAAAAGGCCTATAGAACCATTTGCTCAACTTTCAACAATTAAAAACTCATTAAATTATTTATGACTGTGTATCATATTGAAATTATTATTTATTTATTTTTTATAAAATACAAATTTACGATATACCCAAATGCACTATTTTGCAAATAGAACTTTTTGAAAAAATGTACATAAGACATTAAAAATAATTGTACAATAAAAATACATTTAATTTTGATAAAGTAATTTATTGTATTTTATTAGTAATGAAATAAATATGACATCACAATTAAACAAAGTTTAAACAGAAATATCAGAGGATTTGAGAAAATTGAATTAGAGTCTAAATAAAAATCTAAAGTTTATTGGCACTGATTAATAATAAATAAAAGTGTAAACAATGACGGTAGGAAGAACAAAAACATTATTTTCCATTTACTTGAAAAATAATAAGATTTGGTAATACAGTTCAATTGTTTTAAACACAAAAAGTAATGTAACATAAAGTAAACATTATATTAATAAAAAAAGTAAATTTGTTGTACTGTTTAGACAAATTCTACTGGAAGGTTCGAAATGAGAATTGACATTTTTTCAAACAAGTCCACCCAAAAAATAACCAACTCATTCAAAATTAGGCAAGAACAGCCTCTTTATAGTCTAATTTTTGTGTCTTTCTCTTACTGTTTATAACTGTACTTGCATTTTAAAAAAAGTTGAATTCTATATTTTTTAACAAATGTTTCGGTTTGAATGTTAAATTATTCAACATTTAATTATGTACAAACCGCAAAAATTTAAATTCCAATTATTATTTTCCTAAAAATATACAATTTAATTGAAAATATATTATTCATCACAATATACAAAGAAAAAACTATGTTAGATTATTGAGTCATTTTAATTGCAATAACATTTAATGAACAATTAATAGACCTAGATAACCCTAATAAAAAAGAGAAAAAAAAAGACTTCTTGGCCTGAAATAAGCCAAATATACACACAGCTATAATATCTTAAATACTTATCATATAAATTTATTAATAAATTGATAAAATGTTTTTTTTTCTTTTAAAGACATACATAAACAGAAAACCGACAACTCATCGGTTCACATAAACTTTTAAAAGCTTTTGAATAAAGTGTGGAACACCGTGCTTTCACTTCTTCAAAATATCGTTGAGATCAGTAAAAAGAAATTTGTTGGCTACCTAAGTTGAGATTGGTCTATAGTGCAAAAGACAATGAACAACTGTTCTCTAGGTGTGGCCAAAGGCTAACTGTTGTTAGACGATGTTGGGATGTTGGAGTTTCCTGTGTTGTGGGATATTGAGCTATGAGAAGGCATACCTAAAAACAAAATATGATGTTAAGATTTCCCATCCGAACCAACCGATGGAAAAAGAAACGTGCCTGGTGTCGACGGTTCTAGAGGGCTCATGAGGTTGGCACTGCCACCTGTCGTCGGCGTTTGTGCCTTCAGCCTCTGCCTCACCTCCCTGATTTTAAGTTGTAGTGATGATTTGCTTGGGAATATGTCTGAATGGTTGGCCTGAACAAGAAAAACTTGATACACTTTCCACCACTCCAAATGAAATTTTAATTATGATAAACCAGAAAAATATTCAAAAGATGGTTTAAAATGTCATATTTTTTAAATATAATATGTTCAAGTTACAATTTTTCTAAAAGAAAGGACATTGTAAAAATGTTATTAGAGAAACATGAAAGGTCTCCATGTTATCCAACTTGTTTTTGAATCCTTGTCTGCCTATTTTCACAGGTTTTACCTTAGCATTTAAAAAAAAATTAAATCAACCAATCAAAAATAATGTAATTGCTTCTTTACACTCAATTTACATATATATCTATAAAAATATAAGTTGAGGAGGTTGTGCAACAGATTAGCAGATAATAAAAATATTACATTTCTGGAAATGAAAAAGCTGATCAACAGGCAAGAAACGCTGCAAACCATCCACAAAGAACAGATCAATTTCCTCTCCGTCCAGATGATATAGTCGGTTATGTTAAAAACATTATCAAACGAAAGTGGGCGGCAAGATGGAATGTCTGTAGAGATAGTATGAAAGAAATTAAGCCAGTTGTACATAAGTGGCCAACTGAGGAACTTGAGAGAAAAGAACTTGTGATTCTCTCTAGATTGCGAATAGGTCATATCAGGCTAATCCATAATAGACTTTTAATAGGCAACAACCTTCCAACTTGTCCTCGATGTACGCGAAGTGGAGAACGCACCATTTTGACAGTAAAACATATTTTGGTCGACTGTCCCACTTTACAACCCTTTAGGCAAAGGCTCAACCTTTCGAGTGATTTACAGGAGTTACTGGGTCCCCAGTGTTTCTTTCGAAGAGCACTTTTCAGCTTTCTCAAATTTATTGGAATTTATAATGAGATTTAGGCCTTTTCCCAAATTGTTATACCATTGAATGCCTGCTAATGTTTGAATAAAAGTTGTGCGTGCAAGATTTCTTTTTTCAGAGGTTTTTGAGGCTGCCGGAGCGGAAAAATGAAATGGAAGAAAATACAAATTGCGGGGGAATAAACTGCAATGCCCAAAATCGCAATTAAAATAAGAAAAATAGCTCCCTCCAAAACAAAAAAAAAGAAGATAAAGATAAAGAAATGTTATTGTGTTTTGTTTCTTATTATTGTTATGTAGAATTAGTTTATGTATCATATTTGAATGGAAGAATAAAAGGATAAGGATGAGCCAATACTCATGCTGAGACTGTTGCTAGTCTGACTCCATTATTATTATTATTATTAGCCATACAAGCCTACGGGGAATTTTTAAATTATGGAACAAAATTCACAATTCTAATTAAAAAAAGAAACAGAAATAAATTTTATAATTTTATTAAATTTTATGCAATTTAAAATGGGAATTTTGTATGCATTTGGCCTTCCGAATTAAGAATTTTAAAAAGAAAAATTAAAGCTTGGATGGCAATAGGATAAATAAGATTACGAGTGAATGTTTGGAGTCAGAGCTTTATAGCACTCAGAAGAGATATAGCTAACCTAAGATAGAAGGTTTGGATGTTAGGGCGTGAAATGACCTTAGCCGTTAAAACGCCCTTAAAAATTAATAATAATAATAATAATAAAAATATTAAGTTAATTTTTATTTCCCCCTTTTAATAAGTGATACCATAAACAACAACAAAAATATTTAAAAATAAAATTAAAATATACACTAATGTTAACAAGTTTTATTTTTTAACTAGTAATTATAAATGTGAACATATGTTAATACCTGGAACGCATTGGTTGCCTGTGTAGAAGGGAAAAAGCCGTGATCGTTAAACAACTGCATCACAAGATTTCGTCTTTGTTCGAGCATCCGACGGTGGCCTTTTTCAATCTCCCTACCACCAGGTGTTTTTGGAGTCCTCGGTGACAGACCCTCCATGGCCTCATTGCATTCAAGACCTTCAAATTGATGTTTGCTTTCATAAAACAAGAATAACTCGAAACCCAAACTTTGCATACCTTTAAAAGCATCTATGTTAAAATCTGGCCCGAAAAATGTGTTTCCAACCAGTTTGGCCGTTTTTGGAGTCGAAGCAATTTCGTTATTCTGGCACTCATCTGAAATATGACAAATATAAAATAATGTACATGTTATACGATATGTTTTTAATATGTTCACTATATGAAGGGGTAAGTTAAAAAAAAAAAATCCAGTGTGAAAACAGTCCCATGGAATGTTCTATATCCATTGCCGTTTGTCGTTAGTAAATTGGTTAACCTTTTTTGGGATTTGTAATGAATTACCTCATTTCAGCTTATTCGCTCCCCAAGCATTATGAGGAGTTAATTTGTTCTCGCATTTTTTTTTTTTGCATTTTAAGAGCTCTAGCTGGACACATCTATTGTGATGAGGTAGGAGGCACCTCTGTATAAATGGACGACTCATGACACCTTCCATACCCTCCTTTCCCGTCCTAATCATCAGCAAACCACTCTTTTCTCTCCTTTCTTTTCACAATCTGGCCTCTTTATCAAACTTTTGCAAAATTGTGAAACAATCGTTTTTTTGGAAAACCATTCTACCACATTATTTCTGTTTCATTGTGAACAGTACTTTCATCTACCTATAGCTCTTACTCTTCCCAACCCTTTACCCTTCCCTACCATCTGTTATTGCCTTTCTGATATTTTTCCCTCTTTTCTGCCATGTGCCCTTAGTTTTAATTTTATAGTACAGTAATTTTCAGACTATATTTTTGTCTTTATTTCCTTATTTATATCACTTTATATATAACCTCGTAGTTGAAATACTTATTAAAAAAAATTAATTTGCCAGAAGTTTAAATGTCATTATAACTTGTCCCTACCCTTCATACAAATCTCCATGCACTCACACACTTTTTACCTGTAGTTCGGTTTATCTGCTTCTTTCTAAACTGGTTGAACACATGTGGACTTGATGGAACTGATATCGCACTAGGCGACTGGCACTCATCTGGCTTATACTCAGGAAGCGATGAGAATTTTTTCTCAAAATTAACGGTCTCAAGTACTCTAAAAAAGTATATTGAAAATTTATTAAAAATTATTGTCATTATAAATAACATGATGGCTAAATCAACATGTCAAGCATCATGACAAATTGTTTATTTTCAGTTTATACAATTTTTTATTGTTTTAAAATAATATTCACCTGTCCATCCCGTCTTCAACATTTTTCTTGAAAAAGCTCTTCTTGCCAGAAGGCGAAACTGGCACTTCTTCTTCTCGTTTAACGGGAGCACTGTTGTTGACTTTCACTGCCTCTGAATTCATCTGGTTATCATTTGAATTCATAACTACAAACAAAAAAATTTTGTTATATATATTTTTTTAAACTTATTTTTTACTGTAAAATTACCCATTGACTGCCTCCTTTGTAGTGGGGCCTTCCCTAACTGAGCAGGAGTTGGGTCGAGGATGAACGTTTTTTCTTCTTGCACATCAACTTCCATATTTTCAAGATTTTCAGGCTATAAGGAATAATGCAATTAAAAAAAAAATAAAAAGGAAAGTGAGAAAATATTTAACTTACCTTCATTTCATTAAAATTACTATTGGTTTGACCCTCTTGATTACTTGGTTTCATTTCTATTTCCATTCGCCTATCTCCTATAGGGGGGAAAAATCAATTAAATCTTGTTTAATAAACAAAACAAATAAATGCCTAGAAAAATTAGTTAATTACCATCATACAATTCAGGACCAGTTTTCTGACTTTCTGATTTGTCTTGTATAGTTCTGAAGAAGAAAACTAAGTTAATATGTGTATGTTTTAGTTGGTCCTATTAACCAAACTAATTATTTTAATTGATGTATTATTATTATTAAAAAAATAAGTACTTATTTATATAACAAATATTTTATTTAATTGCTGTGGATATTCAACTTACGTGATGCTACTAGGTTTACTGACTATAACTGTTGGATTTGATTGTGCTGTGACTAATTTTATCTGATTTGCACTTCTGCCGGTATCAGCTACAAATAAAAACATTCATTAAACAATCAAATTTTGGCAATACTTGTTAAGAACATAATAATTAAGTAGTACAATAATAAAAATATGATCAACATCATAGTGGTCGGCCTATTCTTGTGGGTTTTGTCAAGCCATTAGGACCTACATAAAAATATACACATGGGAAAACTCATTGAATGCCAAAATATTTGTAATAACCAAAAACAGGTATAATTGGCATGTTGGGATGATCCGGGTAGATCAAGGTAAGTTTGAGACATGTTTGCAAACTTTGGTTCCTGCTGGCTAATTAATTATCAGATAGATAACAATCAAAATTCTCACCTGCTGCTGAGACATACACATTTTGAAACCTTGCATTCTGAACAAGATATTTAACTGGCTCCGTTGTCTGCTCATTTTTCAAAAGTAAATTTGTAAAGAGGGAATTCGTTGATGGGACGTATAAAGTGACTGGCTGGGCTTGTGTGTAGGTTATGGCTTGCTTACAGTTTATTGTCGTCGTCTTAACAATATTTGCTTGTTTTGATCCGCCCTGAATAAACAAAAGAAACATAATGTACATTAAAATTTGTTGCAAATACTTTTGTCTGAAGATTTTATTTATTTCAAAAAGTATTCACAGTATTGGATTAATCAGAAATTGTATGATTTATCATGTTTTTGTTTTTACAAATTGTTTGAGACGTTTGGTTCCTGCTGTCTAATTAATTTTCAGATGGACAACAATCAACTTCTACCATCAGATTTTGTGATTTATTTATTTATTTATTTTTTTTCAAGATGTCATTCAAGTCCATACTATAAACTTGGCAGGCTAAAATAACACTTAAAGAAAAGTATCTTGGAGTAATATTATAAATTAAATAATAAAGCTTCATTTATTCATTTGATAAAAATTCTTTTCTTTGTTTTGCGAAACGACTTAAGCCAGGAACACACTTACCCGATGCTACCCGACACAAATCCAAACTCCGATTTTACATAAGGTTGCATTACCCCCATGCACACCTACCCGATGCTATGCCACACTAACCTACCCGATGCTCTGCGATCCCCACTGTTCAGATTTTCGTCGGGTCGCATCGAGTACAGTCGCAGACAAAAGAACGGACACTCATATTTTTATTCAAACTACATGTATTATTGTCGTTATATTAATTACAACATACTTATTTTAATATAAACCAAATTAACTGTGGTTAAAAATTAATTAGTTTTTATTTAAAAAATTAATTTTAATGGTTTGGTAGAAAATTAATCAAAACAATGGAATACGATTTTTTGATATAATGAATTTAACTAACAATTTATTGTACTCGCTTCAGCGTTACATTTACTAAAATTGGAACAATTTATTACATGGTTTTGCTCATAAAATTTAATTAACAATTTATTTCATAGTTTTACTCGTAAAATTACACCATTTTCATCGGGTAGCATCAGAACAGGACACATATTTTTTGTAGTTTATTTCAAACTAAGACATGTAGTTTTGTTGTTATATTAATTACAACATGTTATTTTAATGTAAACCAAATTAAACAAGATCAAAAATTCGTAAGTTTTTATAAAAATTGTTTAATTATGATGGTTAGGAGTAACTTTTTTTAAAACAATTAAGTTTAACAAACAATTTATTAGATGGTTGTGCTCATAAAATTTAACTAACCATTTATTACAATGTTTTGCTCAAAATAGTGCATTAAGAACAAAAGATGCTTGCGATTGTGATAGTGATTATTTTGATAAATGCTGTGGACTGTACACGATGTGTGCTTGCATCAGATAGATGTGCACACCCTACCAAAACGTGGCAAGGCGTCGGGTAGCATCGGGGAACGTTGCATGGCGTAGCATCGGGTAAGTGTGTTCCTGGCTTTAGTGATTTGCAATTAAAAAAAATTAAACAAATTTTTAGTGCACCACTGGATGTTCGTGATGAACGAAAAGGACAGTAAGACGTAAAAAATGCATTTCAAGAAAAGGTTCCAGGACGATGAGACAATAAAGTTGACTGAAAGATTGTAGAAATCCAAATAATCAAACATTACAAAAGGAAGAGATTATATGCATAGGTTTAATTATGCATATTGCAATTAATCAATAAAAAGTTTGCTTTTGTTTTTTAATAAATTACCTGAGAAGTTGGTGTAGAAGGGGGTTTGTACGAATGCTGATGAAGGACAGTTGGCTGACTAGACAGAGGATGGTTTGATTTGAGGACTCCACTTTGTTCAGATTTTTGCCATTCATTATCCTTTACCCCGCTTGTGCACCAAGTTACGGAATTAAGAGCTCCATTTGACCCAAACTCCGATTTTGCAACCTGCAATTAATTTTAATTTATAATTATCTGTCAAAAAATTCCAAAACTGGATGGACGAGAAAAAGGGGTTGTTTCATTTTCCACCCTGCCTTTAAATTACATGTTGGCATAAGTATTAGTTTAATATATTAAATAATTTGGCAAAATTTTTAATTTTTTGACATTCCTTTATGAAAATGACTTAACAAAATAAGTTAATGATGAAAAAAGCCCTGTCAATTGTCAAATAGTTTGATTATCGCAGATAAGTGTAACTTGCCAGTGACACAACTTTGGGAAATTAAGAATGAAAGGTAGAAAAGTATGATTAAATTATTCGCTGTATTTGGAGAAAAAATACCTAGCTTTTGGTGAATGGGCAAAGTTTAGCTGCACATGTCACAAATGTAGAGACCGCAATAGCCAAATAGTTATGGCATCTTGTATGTATCTGCCACACTAGTGGTTCTAGGTTCAAATCCCGGCAAAGACCAAGTAATTTCAATTGAGATTAATAATAAAATGGTTTGACCCCTTGACCGAGACACCCAATGAGTAATTGGCCCTTAAGGTCTTAATTACTCTACAAACAAAGCAAACATCCTGAAATGAATGGGATTGACCTTCTACCACACCAATCCATAACTTGAGCAACATACTCCCACCTTTATGCCCAACATCTTTAAAATAAAAACATTTTATACATTGAAATATGTAAGTGGTGTAGAAGACATTTTTAGTGTACAAGGGAATTTGAGCATCAGTCCTCCAGATAATTATTCATAATGTATGATCATTTGTTATTGTTTTAATACCATTAATCAATATTTCTATTTACATAGGTGGATTAGAATCACTTCATACCAAAAGAATAATGCATCAGTTCATTAAGAAAAAGTGTCTTGAATAGTCCGCCATAAATTTGCTCTCTCTCATGGTTTCAAAACCTATAATTTGTGCGTGCTTATTGTCTAAATGTTAACTCGGTACTAGGGTGGCTGAGGCATCTTGTAAAATTTGCAATACATTCGTTGAAACAATTAGTGACTGTATGGTCCAAAAGTGGTTGAGAAGGTTTGCTTCTGAGAATGAGGGGATTGAGGATGAACTGGTTGATTTTTTGTCGTGACTGATGATGAATTGAGGGAAGCTATCAAATTTTATTAGTCAAACAAATCAGGAGTTTGTCAGAGTTTTCAACATTAGCAATGAAACCATTCCTTCTAGCTGACGACTTAACAAGACGACTTAAACACACACACACACATAAATTGACTTAAAGTAGCAAGGCTTCAGCATCTAAACATTTGCCTTTTATAGCTTTTACGGAACAATAGACACTTTTTTACTGCAATGACACATGCGACAAAAAATGGATTATGTAAGTAACAATAGGTCATACTATTGTCTGGTACCGAATGATCCTGTCCATTGTCACCAATAAAAGGTGATGCTCTGTGTTTGAAGTTGTATGGTAGCTATTGTTCACTATGCAATGCCTGACCATCACCATTGAAATCTACCCAAGCTAACTGTAACAATTATCTCATGTCCTGACCCAGAAACTACCCTTTCTTGTGAACAGAAAGGGTGTAATTTTTCACCATGACAACGGGAGACATCATGCAGCCAGAATGGCATAGGAGGTGATAATGAAGCTTGGTTGAAAAGTACTACCATACACTCAGTACTCTCCAGACCCAGCCCCATCTGACTTTCAACTTTAGCGATGGACAATCATATGTGCAACCGAGAGTTCGATGATCACTAACAGCTGGAAAATGAGCTGAATTTATTTTTTAAGTCCAGGGATTCAAACTTTTATACGATGGGCATAACTGGGCTAGTAACTTGTTGGGAAAAGGTTAAAGATGCCGATGGAGACTATTTCCCAAAATAAAATATTTCTAAACTAATTATTAAACCGTTTAAACCTGGAAAGACTTTTTCTGGTTACCTGGTATTTCCATTATTTAAAATATTAAAACTTACTGTACCAATAACCACAATTATTTATGCAATAACGTTTTGTCTCCTAAATTGCTTATGTATTTTAAATTACTGATATTATTAGCGAAAAGGCAAACCTTTGGAGAAATTGGCATTGACTTAAAAGCTCCACCCCCTGTTGGTTGAAAAGCGGAAACGCCTGTTGGGTTTATTGGTGAATGGTATGGGTATGGAACAATAGGCACGTTTTCGCCTGGCGTTGTAGGGTGTTTCACAGAACTTTCCAATCCCGTTGACCCAATTCTGCAGAAAAAAATATTATTTTTATTTTAACATCAAATGAAATTTAATTTCCTTTGCTTTAATTTGCTTACCGAGCTTTAATAGGCTTTGGACGACACGTGACATCAACTGAACCAGGTGAAGATGGCCTGGGCGTCGAACTGAAACAATGCTGTGGCATTTCACAGTCGGAGTTTTCAACCTTTTCTTTGCACTTCAAATCCACTTCTGATTCTTCAACACAAATGACCTTAAAAACAAAAAATAAAATCATACTCTAATTATGAAAATGTCATTTATTGTTATACAAATATTAATTACCATTTGGTCCTCATCAGAAAACTCATCTTCTGGGTGGTTGGTTCCTTGACCTGACACACTTGCTTCTACAGTCTTATTATTTTCAGGTACAGTTTTATTCTGAAAATCATAAATTTTAAAGAAAGCTTAGTAAAATCAAAAATATAGCTATAAAAGTGTAAAGTTATAACAATGACATACACCATTTTCCTTACTAACATCCTTTAACATTATTTTAGAAAGAACTTTCTGAATTTTTCATCTATTAACTAATGTTGAAATAAATTTGATAATATTATGTTTTAATATTCGACATAAGTTTTATTATGTTCTATTTTTATATTTACCTCAATACTAGTATTAGAGGTACTTGGGAATTGTGGTGAAGTAGGGCGAATGCATTCCGCGCCATCTTCGGCTGAACCAAGTTTGCCCCTTCCAGAGCTCGTCGAAGATTTTCTCCTGTCTTTACTACACCACTTCCATTCTGGGTGGGCTTTAAAATGAGCTTCTTTCACTTCGGAAGCCAGGTCATGGTATTTCTGCTTTTCATCTGGCCTCAAAGCGTACCACCATTCTCCGAGTATCTTTGAAACTGTCCTATTGTCCTGATTGGGGTGCCTTTGGTGGACAAGGGGGCGGTGGCGTTTTGAAAAAATCATGAATGCATTCATGGGTCTTCTTATTCTATCTTTTGCCTGAAAACATGGGGATGATTAATTGTAATAAATAAGAACAAATAATTATGAAGTGATACAATCATTTTGAAAAATGTATTAAGAATCATTACCTTAAGAGGACTTTGTGGTTCTTTAGAACTTTGCAATGCGCTCAATGACTGTGTTCTTCTTTTACCAGCTGAACTGTTGCTAAGTCCTTCTTGGATAAGAGGTACTTGCTCTCTAACTGGCTCAAATACATCATCGTCTTCTTCATCTGCTTGATGCGGTGGGTCTATCGGGACTGGTGGAGCAGAAAGTGGTGGTGACAGAATAGGTGGGGTTAATGGAGGTGACGTACCGAGAAGTGGAACAAGAGTATCCCATTGGTACAATGCCATACCACTTGATGTGTTAACAGCTAATAATTAAAAAATAATTATTATATAACTTTTTAAATCAGTTAAATTAAATATATGAAATTGAATGACGTACCGACACCTCCGTTTCTTTGTGGTGAGTCGTCGGATTTGTTCTGAAGAGGTAGTACAGGAAGAAGTTCAGTTGGATTTACGATCACGTGTTGCTGATAAACGTTCGTTTTCCCCATTTGAGTTTGCTGAGATACGTTCTGCTCATTCACTGTGTTCACAGTATTTGAAGTATTGTGCAAATTAATATTTTCATTTGTAAATTGCATAGGCTTATTAACAACCTGAAATATAAATTGTATTTCATTAATTTATTGCTAATATGTTAATTACAATCTAGTATGTATATCTTACTTGGTGGAGAACTGTTAGTGGTTTTTCAACGAGAACTGAATGGTGGGTTGAATTGTCTTTCCTGATCACAGATTCTTGGTGATGAGGGGGTCTTTGAATAAGTCTATCATCAATTTTCAATATCCTAAGATTGCTGACTTGTTGTTGGACGTCTTGTTGTTCCTGCAGCCTTTGTTGTGGTTGATCCTCATCCATGGGATGCGATTCAGGATGAGTTAAAGCTTGCTGGAGTATGTTGTAGCCATGAGGCGCATGCGTTGCGGGTGGTGATGGGCTGTCAACTTTCCAGGCTATGTGAGTTCCAATCTGCTGTTGCTGTTGTTGAGGACTGGGTGAAATACGAATGACACTCGTAGCCATTCCTGTATTAACAGGGGAGCAACGGCCTTCTTGATGTTGGCCCATTAATGTAGTTGGTCTCACCAATTCTGGCCTATAGATAGAAAATTTTAGTGTTATAACCTGTTTTTTTATTTTATTTTTTTATTAGTTTAATTTACCTAATAACATGTTGTTGATAAGATCCAACCATAAAGTGATGCTGTACGGGAGAAGGCTGAGGATGACGCTGCATACTAGGAATTGGGAGGAAGACATTTTGTCTTGAACCGACTGTAACAGGTGACTGCACGGGAATGCTTGGTGATGGATTATGGTTTGTTGGTGAGTATGCAGGAGTTGCAGAACGAGATGTACCCAAAGAAACTAAACACAAAAATCATCAATTATTAAATCTTTCTCTATTCAGTTACTTCAACTATATTAAAATGTTATCTATAAAAACTGACTAAATTTATTATTGCAATTGTCCAGAACAAAAATAAGTCAGTTTGTTATAATGTTTTTTTGGAATGGATTGAAAGTTTGAAAGTTCTATGAGAAATTGTGGCTTATCTCTGAATATTCCCCCAGTCCTGCGATTTAACACTGTGACTTCTACTGATATTACAAAGATTTTTTTGTAGTGATATTTAATTTTGTTTAACCAAAAATTTATCTTTGTTTTAAATGATTAAATCAAAAAGTTTACTACAATCAAGCCATAATAATGATAAAGTGAGTAACAACTAAAACATACCAAGCATATTAGCAGCTTCTGTTTCATCAGGGTCGAATCTTCTCCTTTCACCATAGTTGGGAGATGTATCAGAATCTCTGGATGTTTCCTCACCATCCAAAACACTTCCTTTATTTCTGAAAAATAGAAATCAATTGTGATTACTGATATTCATCATTGTGATTTCAAAATTTTATGATATAATGGAAACTTTTTAAATCAATACGGGTTTAACACACAATGATACTTGTGTATATAAGAACATGACTAAAAAAAAGTAGTTAAGGGGCAAACATACACATGCACATACTCAACAAGACGCCAACATTTTTGCTGCTAAACTCTATGCTGTTATTGGGTTACTTTATTATGGCCTAACTTCTGTACGTGCTATTTTTATTTTATTTTATTTTTTATTGTTTCTACCCTTGCACGTTAACTGTGCAGTTGTGTGACTTAGGATCACACTGCTAGTGTGCCACCTGGTGAGATTCAAAATTGTGGGTGGCTTTTCCATTTCATTTTTAAGATTCTCCACATTATACAATATATGTTTTCCATTAACTTTTCTAAATTCTAGTATACACACATGAAATCTTTCATCTTCAAATAAATCTTAATTTCTCTAATTAATTGTCCTTATAGTTCCAAACTACAAATAAATCGTCAATCGAATTATTCAGACACAAAATTTAATACTCACTCATATGAGTGATACATTTCAAATTAACTGATAATTATTAAGATTATTTAAACATACACAAACATCAAGCACCAGGACCAATTTCGCAGTTTATCTTTGTAGCCTACATGTTAAAGGTAAGTGTAGATATTTCTTAGTTTGAGGCTTTACAGTTAAATGTAAGTTATCTATCAAAGATATCTGACCAAAAATGTTATTCGCCACTCTCACACTGGAACCAACTACCAATTTTTGAATGACCGACTATGCCCAAATTCACACAAACATTCCCAAACGTAGGAAATGTAATCAATCCTCTCGAACTGGAACTGACTTAATCGTATGTATATGTCTATTTTGTTTTGACCCAGCAACCTTGGATTTTTTGCGTTCGACAGACTTCTTAAGACCTCACTTCTAAGAAAAATAGAATTTTCATTGCATTGAAGCTTACATAGTCTTTTTACAAAACTTATAGAACTCAATATAAATTATTTATATTTTTTATATATTTATTCTTGAAAAAATGCACACAAAAAAATGTTTGCACATTCTGTATTTAGTTATTTAGTGATTATTTTCCCGTTGGTACCAAAATATATCCTCTTCTAGATGAGAACTTTTTTACAGTTCATGACCCCAAGGCAGGCTTAGAGGACCCATTCGCACAGATTCACAGTAAAAATCCAAACAATTTTGAATCCGTTCGCTTCCTGCGACTATATGCAATAATATTTTTGAAGAATGAGACGGAACAATATATGAGAATATGAACATGTGTTCAGATAGTCCAACCATTTTTAAGGAAATTCACAGTTTTTTCAGATTTCTGGTTCTATAGGATGCGAGGCCTTTGTACATTTTTTAATGTGAAATTCTTAAGCACTTTCGTGAGTAGCCATGGTCACAAAAAAAGTAGGTAATTCTTTCAATTCAAGATATTGCTTTTAAAATATCTAAAGAAACCTAAGAATTTGAAGATGAAGAAAAAAAAAACATTCCAAAATCATACCAACCAATCGCTGCTACTAATGGACAAAAGGCTCTGACAAGCCTGTTCCAATGTGAAAGGTCACGCAAGACAAATCAGTCGTCCATAATCGGAGTTGAATGTAGTCAATTCTAGTGTGAAACTAGCCTTATAATTTAACAATACTATTTAAATGAATACCCGCCAAATTATCAAATCAAAGATGCATTTAGCATTGTATAGTACAAAAAAATCCTTCTTTTATTAACTACGATTTGAATGCTACTACTGACTATCAACCTGGGCAATCGATTTTTAAAATTTTATACTAAATATGAGGATGAAAAATAAGCAATCCTAAGCATTTTCATGCTGACAACATAAAACCATGAGTTTGTTATAAATGTCGGTGCAAATAATAAAGTAATAAATCCAGCCAATCCCACTTAATAATCATTATAATATAATAAAATTTAGGAAGATAGGAATAAAACGGCATGCTTTGTTTTGAATTATAACAAATAAGAAATTATTTAAAATGTTGTTAAATATCTTTGTACGTTCCCTTACACAGTTTTACTAACAAATTTACATTAAAATAAATAATTTAAAAAAATATATAAAAAAATAGAAGCTATATTTATATATTCGAGTAAGAACGGGCGGGTGGGTGGGGGGTTAAAATAATGTAAGCATTGTGAGATTAAGCCATTTCTGTAAAACTAACATCCTCATTAAAATAAAAAAATAAATAAAAATCACCATTGATCCACTAAAATCCAATTAGAAAAAAGCATTAAAAAATGATGTTAAAAACAAAAGGTCCCATTTTTTATTTTTTTTTTAATTACAAGAGCCCACATTTTCCCAGTGGAAATAAAATGTATTCCCTTACCTGGGAAAATTAGCAGGTTGTGGGCGTAACGTATTGTTGTTTCCTTTAAGGCTAAGATGCCTAGAGCAGTAGCCCCTTCTTTGAGATTCCTTAGTGCAATCCCCCTTTGAGCAAAGTCTCCTCCACTGCTTACCGTTGAATTTTTTCCTAATTCCACTAGGTGTTGAGACGACGTCACCTTTTTTATATTTGTGAGGTGTCGCCGCTTGAGATCTGAACAAAATACATTATTATAAATTCTATCTTGTCCTCATCTTTGCTTTCTTTTGTCTTGGAAGTTTTCCAATTCAAGAATTTTACCAACTGATAATTATTTGGGCTTAAAATGTTTTGCCTATTGTAAAATAACTAAAATTTTAATCATTAACTTATTTATTTTTTGTAAAACTGTGTTTATAAAAATTTCGTGAATTTTCATTTTATTTAGATCCTATACAATGTCGTTTTTAGTGTTCTGCATATGAATAAGAACAGTTTACGTTAATTTTAAGACGAAGGGATGATTTATTTTACTGAAATAAATTATTAAAATGTTTTTCTGAGTGACAACCACCACGGCTCTACTTATCAATCAATTATGCCATATACTTTTTTTTAACAACCCTGTTGAAAACAAACACCTACACAATTAACGTGCACTTGATTTCTCTTTTAAAAAAGCTCCAAAACTTTCTCTTAAAAAAAGCCAATCAACCTATCATAAAAGGGAAAATTTATTCTTACCTAATATTACCTTTCCTTTAACAAAAAGTTTATAATATTATTGTTACCAATAAGATCAGTCAAAAGTCTGCGTGCTTTTTCCTTGTAACCAACATAAATTACAACAGAATAGTAAAAAGATCAAAAACAGAGATGCTTTAAGCCTTAAGTAGGATGAAGAATTTTAAAATTAAATTTTGATTTTAGAGGACATTAAACTATATGGAGGTGGGTGCATCCTGTTGAACATGGGACTTTTTGATTTAATATCGAGGCCTGGTAAGTCTTGCCAACAGGTTCCACTAAACATTAGTCATTCTTTTGGGTTTGGGGGACAGGAAGTGTTGATTCATTTCCATTCACCCAATGTTTTTGAGTATTTTTAAGCAATGGTTACACAATTTTGCTCAGTTCTTTTTATTTTTGCTTTGTTTGTAATTAACCTTTGAGCCATTTATGGGTGCTCTGAGCAGTTTGCGCATTTTTTGTGAGCATCTTTTTCCATAGAGCTCTAGCTACTACACTTGAATCTAAACACCAAATGTTAAAACTTTACCACAAGTGGTTGTAGATTTTGCATCTTCATCCTCAACATCTAATTATTAGCTGGAAACCCTTTTCTCAAATAAAATTAATTAAATTAAATATCTCAATTTTTCAATTTCTAACTTTAAAAATTTTCTACTGATAGAACAAAAGTTTGTGTACTATTAAAACTATCTACAATAAAACTTCCCTTAACCAACACCTCTAAAAAAACTGGCTACTCCCAAAAACAAACATGGCAGCTTTTCTGACTATATTCTGACTCTAAAACTCTCCAACAAGTGGACAGCAGCCTCTAGAAAATGAATGTTTCCTGAAAAACACCCATTTCTCTGTTTTGTTCTCCTTCCAATATTTTCCCAATATTCCTAGATTTTGATTATGCCACTTTTAAAACTTGTTTAAGTACTTCGTTTGACACTTAAAGATTAATATAATTAAAGTGAGAGAAAGTGAAAAACTAATTGTGCAAGACTTGGCTGCAATATTTTCCATTGGAAAGAAAGGAAGTGAATGTTCTAAACAATAAAAAGCAACTTTTCGATAAATTTTACAACACGGAAATGACCAAACCCACAGATACTTTCCTAAAAGTCTGGTTCAGCCATAGACCAGGTCATATTTGAATAGTTTTGCTTTGCTCGAACTAATAAAATACCCCTGGTCTTCTTATTTGAGAAAAGACCTTATAAGTTGCAAAACATTTAGGCCAAACAGATTTTAAAACATCTAGAGGTTTTAGGTTAGCTAGACAAATTTAGAACACAGCACAAGATTTCTTTTAAGTTCAGTGTGGCCTGGTACATCAACTTTTCTCCCTCCTGGACAGCAAAAATTTCCTATTACTAGAAACATTGCATATCATGACCTGCAGGTCATCCACCCAGCGAGTTGGACCAGTTTGTCCTGTATGCAGTCACCAGAATTGAACATATAATTGGAGTGAAGGTCCGAGGTTGGACAAAACTAGATGAAAGAAAGAAAAAAAAATTGTGCCAATTTTGAACCCAAAAACATTTTTAATTGCAACAAAACAGCCTTATTTTTTAGAGCACTTCTGGAAAAACTAGCTACTTAAAAAATAAGTATTTTCAGAGATAAAAAGTTTCAGAAGAGCATTTAACTTTGCTCTTGTGCAAAAGTTTGCTCGGTGAATTTGAAAAACCCTCTTGCCATAGAAAAGCCTTAAAATCCTTGGTGATTCAAAGGTGTCAATATCTTGTAATCTACATAGTTGCCCATCTTGTAATACAAAACTTTTTTGCACTCTTATCTGAAAAGCAGTCACTATGAATATCAGACAATATTTTACTCCTAATGAGAGTTCATTATAGGGAAATTTCACTGTATAATAATTATTCAAAGGATTTTTTTTTAGTTATTGATGAATAACTATAAACACACAGACTTTTGATTCACTGATTGACTCATTTATTTTTCCTTAAAATTTGTAACAGTGTACACAACTGATACTTTATTCAATCTTTAATATACAAAGCATTTGAGATTATGCCTACTGCCAGAAAGAAGCACATGTACACTTAGTGTACACTATCAACAAACACAAAATTAGAATTGCAAACATTAGATTTGGCTATTTTTGTAACATTTACACAGTGTTTGAAGAGGCAATTATTTTAAACTAGTTGAAGTCTTTATATATTTTTTTAAATATTCCAAATCTGTACATTCACACTTTTTAAACTTATAATTACAAAAGAAAACAATGTACATAAATAAATCTACTCACCTTGGTGTTGCTGGTGTAGATCTTGGAGTGATACTTCCATGCTCCAATAAACTTGAGGTGCTACCTCTACTATGGACACTGCTTCTTTTACTGCTTCCTGTAGGATAAACAAAGTGCTTAAGTACAAAAAAAAAGTTTCAAGATAGAATATATTTATTTATCAAACTACTAGCTGATGGTTAAGTAGACAAATAAATATCTCATTCTGTCAAAATATAACAATAGATGTTAAATAATACAATTAAAAGCATGTTTGTTTACCTGCATCTGTTGGAAAAAGAATGTCTTCTCTCCTCAAATCATCATCACTTTCTACAAAATCATCAAACTGCCTGCGTCGTAAATCTTCGCCACTTGCGTTCGAAGGCGCAGTTGAAATAAGGCTGTTTGGTGTGGCCATATTGTGCAGTGGTGAACTGGGGCTGGTTCTGTAGTATGTTATCGATTCATTCCCTTGAAGACCAGGAACGATATGATGCAGAAGGTGTCCGTTGTTGGGAAGTACATAACCATTGTTAAGTGTTGAATGAGCAATTTCACGGTTATTTTCTTCTATATCTTCTAGCTCTTCCCACCATGGCGGGAGTAGCAGCCGAAGATCTGCTCGGCTCACAATAACTTCTTTCCCTTGTTGATTCCCTATCAGTTGTACAACGAATCTTCTAGGGGCACTAGTGACTTTGCAGACAACTCCTTCTATATATACACGTTGGTGAATGTGATGTTCATCTGAGAGAGAAGGAACCTTAACACATACTCTTGCGTTGACATTGACTTGACCCGCAGACGGACTGGCGTCTAAAATTATGTCGTATTTTCCAGAATTCAATACATCAGTAAATATGACATGCTGCCCCTTGTGCTCATAATTGTCTAGTTCCACCCACACTTCACCATTTTGTCCAGCCCGCCGGATGACTCCTGGCAAATAAGTGTCCTCCCTTTTAGCTAATACGTGAGTGTCTATCCACTCTTTCAAGTCAATATCATTTCTCACATGAACAGGTCTGTGTGTCAAATCGCTGTTTTCTACACAGCCTACATCTACTCTTTCTTCTGATTTATGGATCTCTGCATATGACAAGGAGGTGCTCTGCCTCTCGTTTTCCCTCGTCTTTTGAGAATTCAGGCAGGAATAATCCACTGCAGTAACCTGTGGTGGAACCACTACACTAGTGAATGATTCGGCTAATGGCTTTTCATAATCTTCTTCGGACGGAACAAATTTTCTCTTCTTTGGTAACTTTTTGGCACTGATAAGAGCAGCCTCTTTAGGATCATTTATCGAATTGTTATTACTTGTCATGATGATATTAGTCTGATGGTTGTCCACTCTTACAATTCCACTCTCCGTCCCTTCATAGTCTTTTATCTCTCTCTTTTCCAACATTGTTAAGTAGCCTAACATTACAATAAAACGCCTTCGAGTCTGTCCGGTCGAGGCGAAATTAGATGTGTCAACATTACAAAATTGTAAATAAAAAATATATTCTTTTTGTGAAAAGTTCAAGTTGGATAAAAGTCAAGATTTACAGATACACTGGTTCAAAGTCAACCATATTCCATAGTAACAACCATTTAAAAAAGAAATCACTTTTCACACACATAACTAAAACTAAAATCTTTCTTAAACACTACACTTGTGTTCATCTTCTAATAGTTGTATACTTCAGCCGTTTTAAAAAGTTTATGCTGTGAAGATGTCCTTGTTTTACCATTCTGTTATGCTCATTCAACCGAAAAATCTGGCATCTAATGAACATATAATTATTAAACATTTAATACCCTGGAAAAAAAGGAAAAACAAGATTATGTTCTACTTAATGAATTTCTTCAGTTAAATGAAAAATAAAAATAATTTTTAATGTTCACTAGAATATTACATTTTGTTTATAATATTTTATATTATCAAATAATTAATAACATCAGTATAGAAATCATTTTCCTCAAATCATTTGAATTTAAAATAATACATCACCGAGAACAAAAGAATTTATATTTGTTTAACCAATATGTTGTAATATTCAATGTCTTTTTTTTTTTTTTTTGTGCCAAAATTAAAAGGTTGTGAGAAATTAAATTTAATAGGATGAATTACAAAAAAGATATACTTCGTTCAAACGTAAGTAAGATTTAATTTCCAAAAAGTAGTTCAGAACTTCTTAACTCACTTCGCACAATTTTTCAACTTCGTAAAATTTTAGATGCATTAATATTGGGTTGTCCGGAAAATAATGCAGGATTTTGGTATTAAACAAAAAAAAAGAAACTAGTTACTTTAAAGCAATGTTCTTTAATCAAAATAATNTACAAATGAGTAATCCTGTAAACGTAAACAGAATATTTTATATAGATTTTTTTTAATGAAAACTTAAAATCCTGCATTATTTTCCGGACAACCCAATAATGTCTATGTTACTCACATGAACAACTAAGTGTTACGAATTTTCCCCACTTGTCCTTTTGTCTTCGGAGGGTAAATAGTAGTTGTCAATGTGATTTTTGTAGAGAGAACTAGAACACACCAAGGTTAAAATTAAACATACAGCGATTGGATTTGTAATCTTAAGTGCAAAAACAAAGATTTCATTTAATCTGATAACTATAGAGCAGGTTAAGAAAAATGAATGGAAGTTATTTTTTACTTTATTTAAGCTGTTATTAAAAGTATGATTTCAATAAGACTGGAAACAAAGAAATCGGTAGAAGAATAAACGAAACAAAAATAAACAAAAATCAAATTACGCTTAAGAAATAAGACAAAATAAGTATATTGAAATGAATAAAATATGACAATATGAAAGTATATTAAAAATGAATTTTTTTATGTTATAATTTATCATTGGTTAATTTTTCACTTTTTTTACAAGCATATTCTAGCAAGAAGGAATCTAAATTGTATTCAAAGTCAGTATAAGCTTATATTTTTATTATTTTCTTTTAAAACAATAATAATGATCAAATATAACTTATTAGTGTGAATGGAAGGGTTTATCCTCAATTACCCTGAGGAATATCGAGTACTCTGAAGTATATGAATGTAATTTATTAATATGAATGAAGGAGCTCATCCCAAATTACCTCTAGGAACATTGTCTACTCTGGAGTAGTGTGAATGTAATTTAGTAGCATGAATGAAGGGGCTTATCTAAGAATATCGAGTACTCTGGGGTAGGGTTAAAGTATTGTGGTATGTGAATGTAAAATGTTAATTTGTTAGCATGACTGAAGGAGCTCATCCCCAATTACCCAAAGGAACTTAGAGTACTCAGGGGTAGTGTGAATATTAGCCAGAGTATTGTAACTTTTTTTTTTTTTTTTGAGAGAGAGAGAGAGAGAGAAAGAGGGAGGGAGGGAGTGTGAGAGAGGGAGAGAGAGGGTGAGAGAGAGCATGAGTGAGAGAGAAGGGGTGAGGGGGGTAGGGGGATAGATAAAATTAAATATTATANAATTATGATAAATTGTGATGTTTGGTCACATTCTTTATCATTATAGACATCTACCATCAAAAACACTAAAATCAGCGATAATGGATGTCTGATCAGATAGCAACGGACATAACGGAATAGCTAAACCAAATGCTTGTAGGTTTAGTTCATTCACAAATAAATTTCAATTGTATGATCTCCTTATCCTACTAGATTCAATGAACTTTAATAAACATCTGGAATCAATAACAAACAAATAGGGGTAATGGCTTTCATAAGATAATATTGATGTCAATTCAAAACATGTCATTTATACTTTTGATTTAAAACTTTGTACTGAATTGAGTATTGTTTTTTTATTGATTTCAATCACACAGATTGTAGTGTGAGATTTCTTGTAAATGTATGCCTGGTGAAAAACCTGTAGTTTGCCTATAATCTCTTTTGGCCTGTAAGATGTGTTTAGGCATTTCATGAGTTCATTCAGAAATTAATTTGAGTTTTACAATCTGCTAAACTTTAATAAGCATCATCAGTATAAATGATAAACAAAAACAGGGTAATATTAAAAATTATCATATACCGACCAACTTTTAAAATGTCAATAATTCTTAAGAGTGAATCAATGTTGTATAGATGTGTTTATTTATAATAATAAAAAATAATAATTTTTAAAAAAAGTGCGCAGTTTATATACTTATTTAACTATGAATATAGAGGTACCATTCCAATAAATCAAAACAATAAAATTAAGTACAGCTTCAGCACATTAAAGTAAATTAAAAATGTCCAATTTAATAATAAAACTCATCAATTAAAAATTTGCAGTATTTGACTGCTTGGGATGCACAACTGTAAAGGGCTTTTCAATTTCTTCCATTTAGCATATTGACACATTTGCCCCTGCTCAATTTAATTTTACTGAGGTACATAACTCTGATTTCTGCCAGAACCAGACAGTTCACAATGGCTTGAATAATATCTTCTTTTGACCCTTTGTCACATAGAGAGCATCAACAACTTTCAGCCTGGATAAAATGACGGTAATTATATTGCTAAGGCAATACATGTTTTTTAAATTCAGGTCCAAAGATTTGTACCATTCCCGATACTGAGATTCTCGTGCTTTTGTCAAAAATTTCGAATGCATCCGATCTTTAATTTTTGATAAGTTCTTCGATCCCTCACTCTGTTGCCAACCAAGTAACAAATCCCACTCAAATTATGTCTTTTGCACACAAATCCTTACACCAACATAACTTTCTTTTTATTATTTTTTGCTAGGTTTCATGGCAAATGGGACTCTTCAAGAGTTAGTACCTTTTCAATTTACTGAATGTGAGTACAGAGGTGTAAAGATATATTGAATTGATTCCAGTCTCAAGGTAAACAACATAGGTCGGTGTATTTCTAGGTAGGGTGAATAATTTCTTTATAAAAAATACGCTTAACTTTTCAAGTTATTCAAAATGGTGTACACCCCTCAACTGTGCCCCATAACATAAAATAGCCCTAGCAACTGCTTGAAAAACATTGTACTTAGCAGAAAATAAGAATTCATGCTTTTTAATAAAACTCTCGTATGTAAACATGAAACTAAATTTAGCAATATTTAATTTTTCCTTTAAGTGATTTCTAAAACTAAGTTGCGAAGTTAGTGTCACCCCTATTTAGTAGTAACCACCTCTATACTTTGCTTTATTTTAAAACTAATTTTTGCTTTATTCCTACAAATATTTTGATTTAATAGCTGTTTAGCATTATTTTTTATTTTGGATATTATCAGTAATACTTAGGCTCTTTTCAAAAATGGTTAAAAGCTCATGTCACAGTGTTGAAAATTTTAAGATTAAAGACATCTACTGCTTAAAAAAACAAAAAACTTTGAACTTCTGTCCACTTCTTTCAAGATTTAGCAAGGAAAAATAGCAATACTATTAAACGTATTATCTACATTCTTGTACTACTGTCCAATTCAATGAAATTTAATAAACATGTGGTATCAGTAATAAAAAAAAAGGGGGTTTAATGCCATTAAAAGCTATCACTACAGTGATAACTGCTGATTTAGAATGTCATTAATTGCATTTAAAAACAGATAATGTCAAATCCTTTAATATTGTTTTGAATTTATTTAATGATAATACCAGGAATAAATAAAAAAAATCTCATAAGCTAAAAATTCTAGCGTTCATTTTTAAGCTGTTTGTGATGCCAGGTTGTTTTCCAAAAGGGTAAAAAATCAATTATTGGCTGTAAGATCTGTTAAAACTACGTCAGAATTGATCAACATCTGGCATTAATAATGTAGTACAAAAAGGGTGGCAATTGTTTTAAAGATTGGGACAATTGCGATAGTGTCGGTCAATAATGTTACTAATGTGTTGTGACCGTAAACAAAAGTGGGTTGTGCATAAACTTCAACATAGGTGATATAACATTTTTAGTAGCTATTTTTTTTTTCTGTTTGTTGCTTTACTTTTTTAAGAACGTGATATCTCCTGATGAGTTATCATGATAGACACAAGGGAAAACCACTGTCAACTGGGCAACAGAGAGCTGAATCCTTACAAAATTTAATCTAACCAGAAATAATTGTATAAACAACATCATATTTAATTAAACTTTGATCAACATCCAGCAGCAATAATCAAGAATTAAGGTGTAATGGTTACTAAAAATTGTGGCATCAATAAAATAAATTAGTTGAAGCAGCTCACTATTTATTTGTCTGAATCTATCCTCAAAGAAAAAACAATCAATCTAAAAAGGAAGAGGAGTAGTAATTTTGATATCTGTTGATTCAGAATGTCATTGATTGTGATCACCAACTCAAATGAACTACACAGATGGTGTAATGTAAACTTTTGTTTTAAACGATAATAGCCATGATTTTTATTTGCTTTTTTCCTGTTTGTCACAGTACGGTTTAAAGAAGAAAATATTTCTTCCCAAGGACATTTAATGATGGAAAACCACTACATCAAGTGTGCAACAGAGTTGAATACTTATTAAAGAAAAAGCTATTTGTCCAAAAAAACATTTTGCTGTATGATCTGCTCACTAAGTAAATTTGGACAAACAGCAATAATAAACAAATAGGGTGTAATGGCTTTTACAAATTGTGATATCTGATAATTCGGAATGTCATTAATTATTGAGATCCTAAATAGGCAGGGTCTGTAGGAACTACAAAAGATGGTGTAATGCCATAAATTTTTGTATTGATAACAGCAATGATTTTTATTTGTACGTACTGATTAATTTTTTACTTCTTTATGTCGCAGTATGTATTCAAGGGATTTTGATATCTCATATCAGGGACATTATCATGATAAAAATGCACAACGGAAAACGACTTGCTGTCACAACTTTACAACGAACCAATTCCTTATAAAAGTTAGTTTGTCCAAAAATAATTTCGCTAAATGACCTGCCCACTAGGTAAACTTTGATAAACATCTGACAGTAATAATAAACAAATAGTGAGAAGGAGGATAATGGACTTAAAATATCATATCTATCAATCCAGAACAGTATTAATTGTGATCATTGGGTAGCATGTGTATGAACTATAAAAGTGGTATGTCATATATTAATGATAGCAGCAATGATTTTTATTTGTAAGGGTTAATTATTTTTCTTATAATTTATGTTGGCACAGTATGTTTTCAAGTGATTTTGAATATCTCATATAGGCGATAGGGTGTAATGTATTGTAAACATTGTGATATCTGTTGATTCGGAACGTCATTCATTAATGAGTTCTTAAATTCATAAGATGTGTATGTACTACACTATCCTTTAAAAAAAAAAAAAAATAAATAAATAAAATGTAATGATTTTATTTGTAGTCGCAAATAATAATTATGTGTGGAGTTTAATGACCCTCAATTAATAATCCATAATAATAATTAATATCCAAATAATCAATAATTATTATTTTATTTTTGCTTCTGTTTGCCACAGTATGTTTTTTGCTAAACGCTTTCCCAAGATTTTCGATACCACTTGTCAAGGATTTAATACACAATGGCCAACGACTACCTGTCTCTACTGTACAGAACCGAATCCTTAGTTAGTGTACGATCTGTTCACACTACGCCAGATTCAACTTTGATAAACGTCCCGCAGCAATAATAAACAAATATTTTGATATCTGCCGATTCAGAATGTCATTAATTATTGATATGTTAAATACACAAGATGTGTATGAACTACATAGATAGTGTCACGTCTTCAACTTTTTTATGATAACAGCAATGATTTTCATTTGTAGGTGATAATTTTTTAATTTTTTTACTACTGTCTGTCACAGTATGTTTTGCTGAACAATTTTCGATATCCCAAGTCAAGGATTTAACACACAGGGCCAATGTCCTCTAATGTACAATGAAGAACCGAATCCTTATAAAATTCAGTCTGTCCAGAAATAATTTTGTAGTGTACAATTTGTTCGGACTAAACCAGATTCAATATAGATACATATGTGCAGCGATAATAAACAAATAAGCTGTAACGGATTTTACAAAATGTGATATCTGGTAAATCTGGAATTTAGTAATTATTGAGATCTTAAATTTGCAAGATGTGTATGAACTACACAAATAGTGTCATGCCATCAACTTTTTTTATGATAACAGCAATGATTTTTATTTGTAGTCGTATATAATAATAATTATTATTATTATTTTACTTCTTTTGTCACAGTATGTTTTCTGCTGAACACTTTCCCAAGATTTTCGATATCCCATGTCAAGGATTTAACACACATGGCCAACGACTAACTACCTCTACTGTATAACAAAAAACCAAATCCTTATCATCCTGTCCAGAAATAATTCTGTAGTGTACGATCTGTTTACTCTACACCAGATTCAACTTTGATAAACATCCGGCAGCAATAATAAACAAATATTTTGATACCTGCCGATTCAGGATGCCATTAATTATTGATATGTTAAATACATAAGATGTGTTTGAACTGCACAGATAGAGAAACTTTTTAATGATTATCATTTGTACGTGATAATTCTTTTCTTTTCTTTTTTACTACTGTCAGTCACAGTATGATTTCAAGGGATTTTTCTACATCTTACATCAAAAACATAATCAAAAATGTACACAAATGAAAACCGACTCGCTCTCTCAACTGTGCGACAGAGAAATTTGGCCTGGTTGTTTTCCGAATGTGAAAAACACCTCAATCATGTTATCACTACTGACATATACAATCCTGTCTCAATTAGTCCACTTCTTACAAACTTCAATCTGTTTGGAAATAATTATCCGGCGTACTGCTCATAATGCAACGTGTTCAACTCGAACATCTGACATCAATAATAAACAAATGCGATGCATAATGACTTTTAAAAATTGTGATACTGATTCGGAACATCATTAATTCTTCTGATCGTAAACACAGGTTGGATGTATATGTGTATGTATAGATGTAGTTTTTCATTTTTTATTTTGATGAGTTTGTATGAACATTTTTTGTAGTTTCAAGAGATTTTTGTTTAATATATTTTGATAAGAAATTTACTATTTTTCTATATTAATTTTTGAATTTTAAAGTTGTATTTTTTATGTTAACATTTTGTTTTAAAATGGCAATTAAATCGTAATTAATGATTTTTTTTGACAGGTATCACAGGTGTGATTTATTTCTCGGTCGAGCTGAACTCCCAACGAGAAAAAATAGACAATAACCATGATAAACAAAGAGTAGAAAATAGTATTTAAGCTAGGCAAAATAGTAAAATAACGTTACTACTTACGTTTGAGATCTATCATAGAGGAGTCGAATAAAATGTAAAAACGTAAATTAAAATATTCGAGGGCTGTTGTGGAGCGAGCGGAGCGAGGGAAAAAGTCAACACAATAAACTGTAGGGGAAAAAAAGGAGGAAAAAATCGACCAGAGTGGCTGAAGGTGAAAAAGGCGTAAAAAGAGTCAGCGGAAGGAAACGCGAGGGCGGCCCCGGCCCGAGCCCTCGAGGCAAGACGTCAGTCTCGGCTTTACGACGAAATTCAACACGGATAAAAGTGAAATTCCTCTGTGAAATATTGACATCCGATCTAGGAGAACCATAACATCTTTTCCCTTCCCTTCTCACTCCCCCCGGCCATGGATTCACTTCACAAAGAACGGATTGAATGAAAAAAGTTACGGGACGGCTGATTGGCGGTCGGTCTCGGGGAGCCAGGGTCGCGGATGGTACGGGACACCCGATTGGTCCGCCGACGGCCACAGGCACGACGCCACCGCCTCGCCTATCACACGCCCTTCAAATCGTTATTACGACCGATTTTACAAAAATAAAAACGAAACGTTCGAATAAACTCAAATTCAAAAAACTCCCAATTATACAATTTTCCAAACCAGATTTCTAAATTTATTTCTCATTTTGGAGAAAAAAAACAAAATTCAAAACGCCTCCTGGTCAATGTGACCTGGTCGGTGATCCAACGGCACAGGTTGTGCTCTGCGTTCCTCTTGAAATTCGCCTAGCTGGCCGTCGTGAATTATTGTTATGCCTAAGCCTTAGACACTCTTTTCTCTTAACGTATTTACCATTTACTCGCCTTAAAAAATAAAAAATGAAAATTATCTGTAAATAGACAAGTCAGGATTGCAAAATATGTTTCAAGGTAATTAACAAACTATTTATCAGATTTTTCTTTCCTGCATTAACATTCACATACACCGAGAATTCCTTCAAAAACAAGAATTTATTATTTCATAAGTTTTGGGTCATTCAACCCTTTCCTTTGCATTAACTTAATAAAATAACATTTCCATATTTTTAATTGTACGTTATACAAACAGAGCGTCATTTGTATCTAATGAAACGTTTTGTATTTTTTTTTTTTTTAATACCTACAGTTGTACAGACGACCTTTGGTATTTTCAACTTCAAAATAAACCTCATAGAAAATATTCAATTCGTAAAGAAAATGGAACGGCTACTTATGAACCTTGTGTAATTCATGATTAAAACTGATTTTGCCTTCACACGTTTTTATAAAACAAACTATACACATTACAAAATGGCTTTTTATAAATAATCAATAAACATACAAGAGTTTATTTCATTAATTAATTATTGTCAATTAACTCGCAGTACAAGGTTGAGTTTAACCTAGTTGTGTTTACATTTGCGTTTACCACGTTATAGCAATAAATCGTTACAAAATAGATTTTAATGTTATTTGAAACTTTTTAAAAACTTATTTGTAAGAGGATGATTTATTGGAAAAATGTAAGCCTTTGGTTTAATTTATGTATTTAAATTTAGATCTTGCATTGTGTATTCAGTTGTCTATTTCTTTTGAATTGGGATGCCTTCCTTATTATGCTAATCATAATAATCTAGTTAATTATACTTTTTCTCCAAGGGCTTGGTTCAAATGAAAAAGCTAGTGTCACAAGCGGGATTCGAACCCTTAACTGGCATATTCAGCCATTAGTGGGTTCGAACACTTTCATCTCAACCAAGATCTTAGATAAAAAGAATAATTAATTACAATTATAATCGTTGTTATCTGATTACCTAGATATTTATTCAAAAATATAATAGAAAATGTTTGGATTGTATCATATCGATCAAATCACTTGAAATTTAATGATTAAATGTTGTTTTCGTTTTGTTTTTTTAAACCTACAGCGTATACAGAACACTTTTTGTAAATGATGATTCTATTCACAGATTTGTTGTTTACAACGATTCACATTTCGAGCATTAAACTAAATCATTTCTATACAAGACTTTTGGCATCTTCAACTTCATAAAAATCGTATAGAATTGTTCAGTTATTAAAGAAAGCGGAACATTGTGTATGAAGTTTGTGTGTAATTCATAAGTAAAACTTTCATTTTGCCTTCACGTGTTTTTATAAAACAAACTACACCTAAAAATGGCTTCTTAAAAAAAAAAATAATAATATAAAATCAAAACAATGTTTCATTAATTAATTATTGTCAATTAATGCACAGTACAAATTTGCATTTAAATTTTGTTTACATTTGTGTGTACTTTACCACTTTATAGAAATAAATCATTCAAATACAAGGAAATTTAACATTATCAATTAGATTTAAATTTTATTTGAATGATTTTAGGAAACTGAGATAGCACTTATTGAATTTTATATGAAATTGGGTTTTGGTTTTAGATATTGCAATGTGTGTTTAGTTGTCTTATTTTTATTCTAATTGGGATGTCTTACTTATAATTCTAATCATTTTCAATTGGACCATCTTGACATTTATTAAGTAATATAATCGTGAGATGATAACGATCATCTTGGTCTTCCTATCATCGCAATTGATCTGTTAGCAGTGTTTTGCTATCTCCAACACACAGAAGAAGCTGAATGGTTGAAATGATGCGTTTCGCATAGGAATATCCAAAACAACAAAATCTAGATTTGAACCATGAAGTATTTTTTTAGATCAAGGAGAATTTATTGTTGAATATTTTGTAGCCCCAAAACATAAATGTAAAAGTTGTTAAATTGTTTTCAATGTCTTTACTTTATCCGGTTTAAATATCTAAAGTTTGTGCATTAAAATCCCAAGACAGTACTTAAAGATCAGATTTTCCTTCGTTACAAGGAGAATTAATTACCTCTGTACTTTAACAAAATTCAGATGAGAAATTTAATTATATTTCTAAAATTTATTATGAGTTTGTAAAGAAATCTTCCATTGGAGTTTGTAATTGAGTTTTAATAAGCACTACTTTTGTTTTGATAACTTATTGTTATATTTTACAATATAGATTTTCTTTTTTTTTTTCTTTTGTATCATAAAATAAATATTTGTCCTGTTGTGCTGTTGCTTGTAAATTAACAAATTTGATTTTTTTTAAACTTATTTATTTATTTTTTTAACAGCAAAAAGTTCACCATTCGGCCAAACACCATTTGGGCAGCCATCTACTACAGGCTTTAGCCCTCCTGTTTTTGGGTCAACGCCAAACACCGGTCTCTTTTCTGGAGCAACAACTCAACAATCTGGCCTATTTGGCAGCAGTACAGCAACCCCGGCATTTGGGCAAACCCAAACTACAACCCCAGCATTTGGTGGTAAATCCACTGCATTTCTGTATAAAACTAAAATATAAAAGTGTAAACACATTTTTCAACTTTTATTAGGATTTACATCCACTAGTTCGGGCACTGGTCTTTTTGGCAACCAACAAAATGTATCAAGTGGGTTATTTGGATCCAGCACGACACCAGCTTTTGGGCAACCGAAGCCTGCTTTCGGTGGTTTTGGGACTCAACAAACTGGTGGATTATTTGGGCAACAGCCACAACAGAATCCAGTTCAACAGACTTCCCTATTCGGCCAGCCAGCTACTCAATCTGCTTCCGGACTTTTTGGATCTTCTAGTATGTTCTTACTGCATACAAATATTTTTTTTTCTTATACATAGTTGTTATAATAAATACATTTTATAGGCTTTGGAGCTGGTACAGCAGCTGGAGGAACAACCATTAAATTTGTACCGGTCACTGGCACTGACACCATGTTGAAAAATGGCGTCAGTTCAACAATTAATACAAGGCATCATTGTATAACTTGTATGAAAGAATATGAAGGAAAATCATTAGAGGAGCTTAGACTCGAAGACTATTTGGCTAATAGAAAAGGCCCACAACAAGGCGTTCAACCTGGTCTATTCGGTTCGACCAATCAGCCTTCCCTTTTCAGCACCAACACCAATACAGGTACGACATCGACAAGTCTTTTTGGTGGAGAAAATAAAAGTTTGTTTGGTGGAACAAATCAAGGTATGCGTTTTTAATTTCCATCTTCTTGAATTTGCGGGTTATTCATAATTTTTTCCTTATTCTGTTATATAGGGTTTGGTACGGGAATGACTAACACTTTTGGGGCAGGAACATCAGGTAGTGCATTGTTTGGTAAGCCATCAGGAACAGTAACAGCATTTGCAACACCCGCTTCAACTACATCAAATACATTTGGTTTTAACACAAACACAACAACCAATCCTTTTGGGGCTCAAAAACCATTTGGTGGTGAGTTTTATTCGTCTTTCCCCAATAATTAGCATACCGTTTAAATTAAAAGGCAAAAGAATCTTCTCCTTTTATCATGTTTTAATTTTAAGATATAAACAAATTTATTATGTAATTCTCAAATTTTTGGTAGGATGTTACTTTCTCACTAAATATTATTATAAAAGAGAAATCGGTTTTTTAATACATTTTATTATTTGTAGCTTGACAATCTTGACACCTTAATGTCTCATATTATATTACAACTTTTAAATTTATTTGAGATATAGAAATATTTTTTGCCTTATTCCTATATTATATCCTTTGTGTCCATGTGGAAGAAACGGCTTAATTTTTATTTATGTATTTTTTAATGAAATAATGGATTTCAGCTACAACTCAGCCTGGATTATTTGGCTCAACATCCCAACCAACCAGCTCATTTGGTACTCAGCAAACAGGATTTGGAACAAGTTTTCAAAATCAAACTGTAATTGAAATTGTGCTTTTTGTAAATTATTTTAAATTTATAAATGTATAATTAATTTTTAGGTGCAAAATGGTGGTATTTTTGGACAAAATAAGCAACCATTCCCAATGGGAACAACAAATGCGTTTTCCTTCAATCAGCCAGCTAGTTCAGGAACATCAACATCTATATTCGGCAATAAACCTGCCACTTCAGGTTTCGGTACATTTGGATCTACATCCACACCTGGAACGGGATTTACAGGAACAAATTTTGGTGCTACAAACCAAAACACATCTTTTGGAACTAATTTTAAAGCACCTGGCACGACTTTTAATTTTACTACGCCAACAACAAACACACTTGGCGGTGGAGGTCTTTCCCTTGGTGGAGGATCATCACTCTTTGGAAACACATCCAAACCTGGGGGGTTGTTCAATCAACCAAGCACAGGTCTTTTCAGTGGATGTTTAGGAAATACCAACAGCAATTTCAATACAGGTTCAACTGCTCTGGGAGGATTAGGTGGAACTCAACCATTCAGCTTGGGCAGTGGTTTTGGTACAGGACAGAATACTAACCTAGGTACACAATCAGGGCAGATGAACAGTTCCATCAATCATCTCATGGTATATGGATCTAGCCCATTTGGGGACTCGCCCATTTTTAAAAATCTTCTAACTGTAAGCATTTTTTTCTTAGTATTTTATAAAAAAAACTGTGTCACTTTTCTCTCTCAAAGTAAAAGACACTTTAATTCAATAAAATATTTCAGCCAACTGGAAAGGCGGATGAACTGATAAAGCCGACAAGCCCAGCCACCCAAAAAGCTCTCATATCAGGACAAAATTACAAAATATCTCCAAAAAATAACACCAAAATAAAAGTAAAATCTGTTGAATCCAACTATCTAACAAAGGTATCTTTATATTCAAGCATTTTATAAAATAAGAAAATATTGAGTTTATTTTGTCTTCGGCAGAAGTCACTTTTTGATGGCCTCGATGGAGAGGAGGAAGCGACAAATGAAGTTCTGGGTCAGGCTGTAAGACCAAGTCCTAAACGTCTTATGTTCAAGCCAAGATCACTAACCGACATATCAATAACACAACGATCGAGCCTCCCTGGTGCTTCAAATCTAATAAATGAAATGTCACCAGTGATAAAAACAAGTCCAAAAGTCATGTTTAAAACAACTGTGTCCAGGTAAGTATTCTTGAAATGATAGATTTTATTTAGTTATTTATTTTTATTCTGCTTTACCGTTTAGCAATTCTCCAGCTGATAACAGTCCTCACGTAAATTTAATGAAAGCACAGTCAACACCTAAATCCTCACTAGTGACTAAAAAGTAAGTTATTTGTGTTAGTTTTTATGTTAAATACTTTACTTCAATAAGTTGCTAATGAACATTAATTATTTTGTAGGACTGATTCTACAAATTTTGATAATACAATAGAAGAGTTAAGATCAAAAAGTAATACTTCAAATCCACAAAATGTTTCAAGTACAGACAATAAAGATGTTTTATCTACAACTTCTAGCTCAGGTATTTTATACAAGAAAAAAAAACACCATTTATATGTATTCTGGGGTGTGTGCATAAGTTTTTCGCTTTTCAGAAAAAAATCAAACTTTTAAAATATAAATGTATTTATTTTTTAATCCAAAACATAATTTCCTTAGTTTTCTATAACATACTGCAATGTTCTGGTAGCAGAAATATCCACTTTTTGTAAAATTCTGATGTCTTAGACTAGAAGAAATTTGTAATTCCTATTTTCAGTGTTTTCATTCAAAAATTCCCTACCTTTTAAGTGGTTGTGTAAGGAGTGGAATAAGAAAATATAGAAAGGGTCTGGAGAGTAGAGTATAGGAGGTGAGGCATTTGTTGCCAGCTTACATTTTACTCTGTGTGAGGCCTGTGTTGTCAAAACAAGGCGTTGCGTCTATTTACCAAGGCTGGATGGTTGTCCTTCAATGCCGACCCAAGGCACACTAGGGGTTTGATTGCATGGTATAGTCCCTACTAGGTTATTCCTAATATCCCAGCAAACAGACAATAAGACTTACAAGGGGGGCAGTCCTGCTCTCGTCGAATATGGCAGAGTTTCATTCTTCTTGAAAACAGTCCTTCAGCGTTTAACGTTTTATAAAGGATACAATTCTCATCCCCTAGGAAATAAACTCTTCCCATGCAACAAGCCTTTCCTGATGTTTCACAAGTATCCTAGTGATCGGATTTTTCTTTCTAAAGTTGTGTGATGACATGAAATCTCTGATAACTCTGCTAAAGTTAATTTGCCCTCATCCTCCACTGCCACTAATAAGTTGTTACTTTTAAATGCTAGGTGTTCCACAATGAGGCTGGTCTTTGATTGGCCTCTCTCCATTACAAAAAAGTCAGAACCACTGTTGACACATTCAGTCAATACGTTATCACTGTAAATACTACATAAATTTCAACAGGCATCCGCCGCTCTTTTCCCGAGATCGAACTTTTATAAGCCTAAAATTAATTCTACCTGCTTCCATGCACATCGCAGTTTATTTTAGACTCTTTTGGGATCAACTACAGTTAACAGATAATAATGGATCATCTTTATAAGGATGAAAGTTGACATTTAAAATTTAAAAAAAACTTATTCCAACATACGTATATGTTGATAGATATGCACCAAAATTTTACCTATTTTGATTAATTTGCTGTGTGCTATGCTATAGATTAAAAAAGCTAGATTTTCACGTTTTAAATTTACATTTGTACTTTAGTCAGAATGATTTTTTAATCATCAATTTTTTTTATTATAGATTCAGAGATGGAAGATACTGTACCACCGGAAATGGATGGCACTACTTCAGAGCATCCGACAGGAATAGTTTTAAGAAGATTAGGTTACTATACAATACCATCATTGGACGAGCTGGCCGAACTCATGGATAATGAAGGCCGGTGTATCGTTGATAACTTTACAATTGGTAGACTGAATTACGGCAATATATTTTATCCTGATTCCTTTGATGTCGCCGGACTTAATTTAGATGAAATAGGTAATATAAAGTTTATTGTTGGCATCATCAGAAAAATAATAACTTTATCTCTTTAGTTCATTTCCGTCACAAAGAAGTTGTTGTTTATCCCGATGATGAAAAAAAGCCTCCTGTAGGCAAAGATTTGAATCGAAGGGCCCAAGTGACATTGGACCGAGTCTGGCCTGTTGATAAAACGACAAGACAGCCTGTAACTGATCCAGTTAGGATTTCGTTGTTAGATTACGAGCGTAAGTTGGAAAATGTTTCAGCAAAACATGGCACGAAATTTGTTGAATATCGTTATCAAACTGGTTCCTGGGTCTTCAAGGTAAGGACACATTTACAAAAGTTTTACTCTTATTTAATCTAAAAACATTAACAATAAATACAACTCATTATAATAAAACATTCATAAGGTATAATGTCACAAAAAATATATTAATAAATGTTAATAATATACTACAAATAAAATTAATAAAGTTATGAATTTTGTTGATCATCAATAGGTTGATCATTTTTCAAAATATGGTATAAGCGATTCTGATGAAGAAGAACTTCCAGCTAATCCACAGATGCCAAAAATTCAAGATAGCCAGCAACTTCTTATCAAACAGCAACAGCAAGCAGCAAAAATTCCACCATCCACCTTACATTTTCAAAAACAGGTATACTAAAATAATTTTTTGATATGTCAATATTTGTTTACCGTAACTGTTTGTCCTTAGTTAAGTAGTAATCTAACCTCAACTGCCATGATGTTAGGTGAAGAGGATGACGATATGGATGACGGTATTACAAATCCTTATGACCTAGGTTTGTAGTTACAAATTTTGTGATCATAAATCTTTACATAAAAGTTATTTATTTTTTATTTTATAGACGGAGATCTCGAAACTTCATTAACACTCTCGCAGAAATATGCAAAAGAGCTGAGAAAACAAAAGGAGCTCCTGTCTCATGAAAGTATAGGAGATAAAATCTTTAGTCCTACAAGTAACTTAGCTAAAGAATTGGGATCTTCATCACATAAAGTCCAACTTATGAAGGCATCTTTCTTTGACCGGGGAGACTTTGAAATAGGTTGGTAAATACTTCAAGAAAATGTCGAAACTTTTCTTAGCACATATTAATTTATTTGTTTTTAGATGGAGAATTTCTCAAATACGAAGATATGGATCAGCCAGTCAATTTTCAAGTCAATGGCTTTAGTTTTGATGCAAAGAAACTTACACAGGCTTATAAGTGGTATAGACAAAATGAAATGTTGCTCGGGGATGATCTTGATCCTATGGAAGACAAAATCACTTCTCCCTCTGGTATATTTTTTATATATCTTTTTGTTCCATGCATTGTAGCTCACTGTCCAGTCAATAAATAAATATATTAACTTTTCAGATCTATGTCGTTCAGAGTCTCCATTGGCTGAGAGTGAAGATAACAGAGCCGTTCAAGAATTTTCATTTGTTGAAGATATTCCAGAAATTGATGAGCAAATATCTCCTAAAACTTACGTATTAGGACAAAGGATTTCTGTTCTCCCATACATCAAGTCGTCTTGCAGCCTTCAAAACTCTAAATGTCTCGTCGACATGTCAATTTTCCGTGGCAGGGGCTTCAAGGTCTCGTGGGGCCCACGTTCACAACTTATTGTGCTCAGCAGTGAAAATTCTAACTCAAAAGAATTATACATGTCAATAGATGGGAGAAAAACTGATGACAATTCATCTTATGTTCTCGAACGGCACAGTCTGTACGATGTTAATGCTAAAAGTGCTGATGTTACGTTTGAGGTCTGTTTCTGAACATGTCAGTCGACAAAAACATTGTAATAACTTGTGCATGATTTATTTTAGGAGACAGTGTTACAACATCTAGAAGTTACTTATTCACAGAGCATTCTGAATGATAACAATGGAAATCCTCATTTTACATTCAAACCTGGAACTGGCACACTCCAAAAACATTTCATCGCCTCTAAAAAACTGGTGGAAAGGTTATCAGACCAAAAGAAAAACTATGTAAAAAAGTATTTACAGTTGTCATGTCATGTGTGGGGTCTTTGTGTAGCTCTGTGGGGAGATCTTGAATGTTGTAAGTTTGGCATAATTTCACAAAAACCATTATTTTTACCTAATATTCAAGAGTATAGCTTTTGGCTATAAATTTATAATTATTTGGAAAAGTCGTAAGGAGCGGTCAACAACTTCAACAAATAATTGAACGACCGGTCAAAGTGACCGTTAGTCAATGATTATTTAGAGATTGTGAGACTGGATATTCCAGTGACGTTGATATCCTGTCACCTCCCAAAAAAAGACAAGTCTGGTCACATTCACTATCCCAGAGTACTCTTATTTTGTTTTAAAATAATTATTTGGAGATCGTGAGATGCTGTCTGGTGTGACATAGGTTTTAGAAAAACATTTTCTTTATCGTGCCAACATTTCAATCTTTATCGATATCATCTTCAGGGCTCAAAGTGTTTGTTTTCTGGGTAGATGTGTCATTCTTGTTTGTTCTGTTGAGAGTAATTGAATCATTGGTTGTTTAAACAAGAAGTTTTTCTAAAACCTATGTCACGAAAATGTTCAGAAGAATACAACATCGAAGCCAACAGCAGAAAAAATTAACAATGGACAAATAGTTAACTGACAACAGCACCCAGTTGCTTAGTAGTAAGTTGCACCAATTTTTTTCTTCAAGTGTTTCTGTAACAGTGTGTGGTGAGTAGTGACTGTTAATCGATAATTATTCAGAAATCGTGAGATGCGGTCTGGTGTGATGTAGGTTTCAGAAAAACATTTTCTTTATCGTGCCAACGTTTCGATCTCAATAAAACCTACATCACACCAGACCGCATCTCACGATTTCTGATTAATTGTTTCTGTAACAGTGTTCAGTAGACCTCATATGTGCTTCCTTCTAAATCCCAAAATTTATGGTCCATATTTTTCTCATGGTTGACATCAGTATTGGGAGGTGTGTGGCAATAAATTAGTAGGTTTAGGTTTTGCATACATCTCTGCCATGTTTCTTATTTACGGCATGTTTGAGAATACTGAAAGCTCAGGGTCAATGATGATCAGATTTGACGATGAGGGAATTTTTTGTTGATGGTTTCTAGAATAATCAGTAGGGATTTTGATGTTAATTAGCCAGGTAGTTTACTAATTCATAGGCTTTTTTTCTAATCATTTACAGAATAATGATATTTAATTGTTCCATAAGTCCCTAACCAACCCTAAACAGTATTTTTATTTTTTAGCTGAAGATAGCCATGAAGGTATAATGCAGCGAAAGTATGCAGTTTCCAGTTGGCTTGAAGATGTTCTTTCAAGTTATTCCGAAGAAAATGTAATAGATGAGAATAATACAGTTTTTGCTTACATGACAGCTCATAAAATCGATAAAGCTTGTGAAGAGGCACAGAAAAAAGGTAAATTGTTTATAAATGTAAATTCTTATCTTTCTTTTTGCCTGTGGATTTTTTTAATGTGTTCGTTTTGCAAAGGTGATCATCAACTTTCTTTGCTATTGTCTCAGTGCCAGAGCACTCCAGAAATAAGAGACATGATTGAAAAGCAATTAATTCAGTGGAGGGAAACAGAAGCTGACAAACATATAGACATTCAGAGACTCAAAACTCTGATGCTCGCAGCAGCCCTTCCTGTCCACAGGACGAGCAGTCAGACATTGAATGCATGCGAAGATTTAAATTGGCTACAGGCTTTTGGAATTCACCTTTGGTATATTAATTCAAGAGTTGCATCTGTGACCGATGCTTTGTTAGCCTATGAAAATGCTTATAAGAATGAAGGCTATGCTTCAAAACCAAAACCACATTATGAAGATGAATATGTCATAGAAACTAGCCATGAAAAGGAAATTAATGATATAATTTATCATCTCTTGAAATTGTTCTCGGCCAAATCTCATCCTCTTGAACAGTTGTTGAACCCAACAACTTACTCTCCAGAACCTCTAGATTATAGGCTAAGGTACAGAATTTACAAAATTTTAAGTAATATTTTATTAATAATTTTTCTTTCTTTTTAGTTGGTTTCTGATGAGGACACTAGTAGAATTGGGATATGCCCATTTATCATTGTATGCTATGTCATTAATTCACATTAGCTTCTCAGCTCAGCTTGAAGGAGAAGGACTATGGCATTGGGCCGTCTTTGTCTTGATGCATATTAATGATGAAGAAATGTAATAAAATTTTGTTTATTAAAAATAGGTTTGTTTGTTAATTCTTAAAATATTCTAGGAGGGAAAAGGCAGTAAAGGACATAATAAGTAAACATGTATCAATTGAAGACAATGATGAAAAAGAAATGTTTCTCATGCAAAAGTTAAATATTCCTTCTGAATGGATCTATGAAGCCAAAGCGATACTCGCTTTAAGTTTAAAAAGGTAATGTTTAAAAACATTAAAATAGATTTATTATTAAGGGAGGGTCAACCGATTCGGATTTTTTCTTAATCTTTCCATTCTTCTTAATATCTGTGAACTAATAAATAGTCTGATAACTACACGATTACTTTCATTTTATTCACGGTTTTCTAATGAACATTTTGATGTAAGGTTAAATGCATATACAGTCTTTATAATATAAAATCCAAGAGGCCACAAAAATTATCAAGATGTTTGAATTGTCAATAGGAAAATATCAAATTATTAAGAGTTGATATGCACTTTTACAAGTTATAACGAATTGTACATGTATAAAACATTGTAAAAGAAATGAAAAAGTGGAAATAGATCAACTATAAAATTGAACATTGGCTATGCATTATTTTAAAAAGATTTGGAGCTTTTTTTTTTAAATTGCCTCTGATTCTTAAAATTCTGAATGCACTTTTTGTGGTATACTGTAACATTTCCGTAGGACTTTCAGACCTACCTGTTATATTTGGATTTATCCATTTGTAGATACCATTCAGATCTGGCTGTACATTTTAATTTTTTAATAGAACACGTCTGGTGCTCAAAATTGTAAATCCTTCATGCCAAATAATAACACACAAAAAATCAAGTTTTATAAAAATAAATTAAACTTTTTGGTAAACGTATTTCTCAGGGCCTGAATTTTGTCTACAAAAAAGTACGTGGCAAAACCTTGACCAAGAACCTTGTTAAATTAAAAAAAGTCAAAATATTAAACAAAGAAAAAGGAACATGAAGGGCAAAAAACTTTTTTGTGGGGGGGAGTGGTAGGGGGATTTTGACCATTTTTTGTATCTCTGACTTTTTATAAATTAAAATTGTGAAAAGTTTACTTTAATACTGTGTTGTAAGTTCTGTTTAATTTAGCAATAAAGATCTATTAAAAGGAATAAGACAATTTTAAGGGGATCTACCAATTTTGTTGTTAAAAGTCATTTTAAAAGTTAAGACAATTTAAACAATAAAAATAATCCAGAATTTTTCTGCATTGTTTGGTGTAAAAGATTTGCACTTTTGGCCACAAAAGGTGCTCAATATATTTTTTTTTAAACTAAAAATTAATAAATATGACTATTAAATGTAGATTGATTCTTAGAGTGTACCTAGTCATCCAGATCTGACTGCTGATGCATAGCAGTGAGAATATGCAAACCATAATCAAACAATAGGAATGCTCAGTCTTGTAGACCACATAACAATATACCTTCTAATAAATATTAAATTGACTTTATTTTGCATAAAAATGTGTTTATTTATTTTTTTTTTCTCTAGATATCATGCGTCTGGCAAATATTTTTTGAAATCTCACAATTGGAATCAAGCTCATAGTGTGATTATGAAACACATTTATCCAAAAGCGATAATATTATGTATGTTCTTATTTAATTTGATTGTTTAAAAATAATAAATGATGTATTAACGATTTTATTTTAGCAAACCATGATTATTTGGAAAGTCTTTTGAATGAACTCGCCATCGATGAGCGGCACAAGGAAGTAACTAATTGGAATAGAAGTGGATATGTTGTGCTGAAATACCTCCGACTGATGAAGAGGATGGGCGATTTAGTCTCTAGCAAGAATGACGATTACAAAATAGGGACGCTTCAGATTGAACTTCAAGAGCTCTTTCTTGGGCTGAAACTGTTCAAACGTTCCGATCCTCTTGAGAAGTATATCTTATTTTACTTCAATACACATATAAAATTCGCATATATTTACAACACTTCATTACATTACAGGTTGAGTCTGGAGGTGATGGCAAAAAGAACTGTTGACCTAGCACTTGAAATAGCGTTGTCCTTCCATGGAGTCGACACACCGGCTGTCTTACAGTTTACAGAGTTTATGCATGATTTGCCAATGCCACAGGAAGACAAAACCGGGAAATGGCTTACCGTTGTTGAATTTTGGAACAAGGCAAAATGAATTTTCTTGTTGTTGTCTTTTAAAATTCCTAATATAACCATTCTCACAATTTTACCTTAAAATAATAAATGTGTAAATATTTTTTTAAATGTTATTTTCTTAGCCAAAAAGTTAAAAAGTGTCAGTGTCATGTTTTGAAACAATTTTGTGTCTTGTGTAAATAAGTATTTGTTATAGTATATCAATTTTTTCTTTCATTTATAAATTTTCCTAATAAATGAAACACGACAACAATGTGAATACTGTTGTTTAAATAAATGAGCATAACAAATTGTGTTTTCTAACTTTTCAGTCCTTCATTTTTCTTTTAACCCCCTTTAAAGCTAGCCACACAGGCTTTGACCATTACTATGCAACCAGAATATCTGTGAAAAGACATGGACTGAACGTTGAGTAGATTAAATTATTCATTAACTCCTCAGCGGACACCTAGTGGTAATGTGTACAGCAATGTCATTTTTATTGAATTTTTGTTCAGATTGCACAAAAAGTTTTTAGTATTTGTAATCTACCTTTTCAAATTTGGGAAGAAAAAACATTTTTTACTTTTCTTTATCTCAGTCGTTAAGAAGCTGTTAAAGAGAAAACTCAAGCTTTCAGATGTGAAGAAGTTTTCATAATGTAAATATAATAAACTTTATTTTGTGTTAAGGTAATACGTCTTTTGGTTATAACTGTGATTAAGTTTTGTAATTTGTTGGTTTGATTTTTAGGTCAGAAAATTTATATAATAAATCTAAAAAAATCTTGTATCTCCAACAACAGTACGGATGAATCTTAATGATTTTTTTGTAGATGTTATGGTTATGAGTGACAACAAAGTAATACAAGACAATGTTATGACAGCGAATCGGAGTGATCGACCAGTGAAGATGAAGTAGAAAACAATGATGAAGGAAAGCATGTAATAAATGCTTCAAAAAATATAAAATCTAATCCAGACATGTTTAGCAGTCATAATTGATCATATTAATTATTTCAATGAATTATTCTTTTTATCTAAGGTCTTGGTTGAGATGAAAAAAGTTAGTGTCATAAGCGGGATACGAAACAAAAAGCCGAAGGTCATAAGTTCAAATCTCGCTTGTGACACTCTCTTTTTCACCTCAACCAAGACCTTAGATAAAAAGAATAATTAATTGAAATAATTAATAACTCTTGTATTTCTTTATAAGATCGTTAATGGCTTTATTAACAATGAAGCTCTTGTTAGCCATAAATTTCCTGCTCCTACCTACTGTGTGCATAATGCTTCCCCCATTTGTACACTGACTTTGCTTCATCTAGGTTTGCGCCCATGTCTCAGGCACACGGGTACAATGATCTGGACCTATTTTTCAGCAGAAGCCTGGGATAATTTAAAGAGAGAATAAAGAAAATCAAATAGTCTGCATTTTTAACTTTTTTTCTATATACACCACTTTTCTTTACTATTATTGTATTTTAATTTCCTGCCTTTATGAGATATTTCTTTTTGAGAATTCGGTTAATTTCATTATTCTTGTCATGATTGTTTTATTAGTATTGTTGTTCCTTTATTATTATGTCTACTATATAAAAGGTCAAATGATTGGCAAAAAGTTAATATGTATATGCAGGGCAAATGTAAAACAAAAGGAAGTCATAATAAGTATCCCACAAATCATAAGGCAGTACTGAAACTATACAACATTGTATATTGTCTCTATATTGGATGTACATACAAAAATGGGTTTTATTCTAATAATATATTGAAATTTCTTGTATATGTATTTGTAAGTTTGATCATGATGTGAAGTTAGGAAAATACATATCTGAATTTTCTTCTTGTACAAGCAGTTTAAACTGAAATACATATAATTATAAAAATAATGAAATATAGCATAATAATTATGATTGAATATGTAAGAAAACACAATAAATAAGAATAGAAAAAGCATAAATTAATTAATAAAAGTCATTTTGTCGATTATTGTTTGCTTTTATGTAAGGATATTAAGTAATATATTTTTTTAAATAAGGCCAATATATAATGAAATATAAACACAGTTTTGTATTAGTTTTTTGTTTATTTTTATTACTTTGTTTCAATAAAAAAATATAGTTTTCAGGACTACATCAGTCATCATAACCACACTGACCATTAACATAGCGTAACCTACCCAACTTGTGCCCAGTGTGAAATATTTTCAATTTATTTATTTGTTAATTTACAAAACAAATAGATTTAAAGAAAAAAAATTGTCTCTTTCGATGAATACGTTTTGCAGATTGAGGACGATTCGATTAATCCAAGGTAAAAAATTCGAGTCTGTAATATTGAGTTCCCATCAGAACAAATTGGATTATTTTGATCTGTAATGCATGTCCAAAATAAATTCGATTACTTATTACTGATAAGTATACAAGCTCATATCTGCACATGCAAGAACATACATACACATGTGTACAAAGTTGAGCCCATAATTTTCGAAGCCCACCGACAATTCCAGTTTTTTGTAATTTACGATAAATTTAGGCAGGCCTTGAGAATAACCCTTCCCGAGTGTTGGCAGCCGGGGTCAGACCTCGGTCTTATCCGTCCAAACACCAACATCTAGGTCCATTTCAGCCTTCACCGCAATCAGTTTCAATCCAAACCCACTCACCGTTAAGTACATTTTTACATATTTAAATACCATTCCCTCAGATGGTGGGTAATTGATATTCCTTCATCACCCGCAAATACATTCACTCTAAATATACAGAAAGAAACATAAGATGAGTTATCTATAAAGTATTTATACATTAAAACAGTCCTGTTTCCTCTAAAAATCGGAACAGAGAACTCTAACACTCACTGTTGTGCTTAAGCACAATTCTTATTTTGGGTGGCACTCCTACACGCTTTGTGGAGCCAAGGAGTGGCACCCTTCAAGTGGGACATACTAAGCTACAAGTGTGTGCCTATCCTTGGGTGAGAATGACCCTTCTTCTATGAGTCAGATCCTCCAAGAGCCATGTATCGACAGTGCTCTTGATCAAAATAAATTTGAATTTTAGTTTTAGTTTTTGCCTGGATATAAACTTAATAAAATAGCAATATTTATTTCCTTGTATGTTTAAAAACATAAAAGATTATTTATGTTGTGGGTTTTAGGTTTAGGCCTCCGTCATCAAAGCAAAGGAAATGAAGGAGAAAAATCCAATTATTTCCAGAACGAAAAGGCGACATCAAACTCGTTTCTCGAGACTTTTGCCAGGACTGGTGCCAGGAAATTCCCAGATCTTCACAAGATGAACCCGATGAGATTGAGCTTGAAAAGTTTCTGGGAATGGGAAAAACGGAAAAGAAAGGAATTTGAGATTTACAACCAGAAGTTCATCCCGAAACGGCATGACACACTCGGCAACGATCTTGCAGCGGCTCACTTCATAGTTTATAGAAGAGGAGGGGTCAAATTTGTTGGAATGCCGAATTGGATCCGCATGAGTTCAAAAGATGATACCTGTGATGCGTTACCAAACCAATTTCAGAAAGGTTTTCTATTGGAAGCAGTTGATTTGTCCAATACAAAAATCTGTTATGAAGGTTTAGAAAATATGATCGATTTGTGCCACTTAAAATTTCTTAGCCTCAGAAACTGCCCTCAAGTTGATGACTGGTTTGTAGACAGGGTCACAAGACTATTTCATCATACCTTGGAGCATTTAGATCTATCGGGCTGTTCTCAAATTTCAGAAAGATGTTTTTCATGTTTTTATAGGTGTAGAAAACTTAAAACTTTAACTTTAGAAGATATTGTTACTAACAATTTTTTTGAATTGAGTTGCCTTTTACTAGAAGAAAATATGCCCGGTTTAACTGTTTCTGGGGTCCAGTATATAAAAAGTACTTAAGTTTATTATCTTTTTCCTTTTACATTGTAAATAAATATATTACTGTAATATGGCAAAGTTTTTATCTTACTATTAACAATGAATTAAAGGTGATGAACTATACTTTATATATAAAATCCTGACCATTATTTCCTCACGATGATAGAACTTTTCTAATGGTTATTTGTAAAATAATCATTTATAATAGCAGATTTTTCTTGTGATTTTTATATTTACTTCTTAGGAGTACTTTGACCTTTATATCCCAGAAGTATTTACCTAGCTGTTTAACATTGCCTAAGTAGAATCCTGTGCGTATTTAATTAATTGTTATTAATTGGAAAATAACTGTAAGTCACAAGAAATCAGGATTATGGATAACTGGTGGAATAAAAGGTTCAGCCTTCTTTACCAAACCCAATTGTATGCAGATATAACTTTGGTGATTCATAGTAAAAATGGACGATGTGAGAAGGTACTATTTATTTCACAATACGTTCAAATATACATATATTTAATAATTAGTCTTGCTATGACACAGGCAAAACATATAATTTATTGATAGTTTGTATGAATTCAATAATTTGCATATCCAAGATTAAGTTGAAAGAATGTAATGACTATTTAGTAATTATTAATTCAATTTATACACTTCAGTTATTTTATTTAACAGACGAAAGCAATCTTATTTTTATTGGGAACACAGCTTTTAAATAAAATAACTCTATTTATTATGTCAAATAAATATATATTTATTAATATACATAAACTAACATTGCACAAGAAAAATAAATTTTCCCCAACTTTTTAACACATTATTGTTAGAAGTTATACACCAAGATTTATTTTTCAACATTAATTATAGATTTGTTTTTAAGAAAATTTTGGCGCATAAAATAGTTTTATTTGCTGCTAGTCAAATATTACAAGAAAAGATAAGAAAAAGCTTAAACGATGTACTGGAACTTGAAGAGGACCCAAACATATTTCAGTGTTATTTAGAGTAAGTATAAACTTTTAGTTAGTTGCCAAAGAAAATGAGAAATGTTTACTAATAAATTTCACACTTCATAGTATTGTGTGAAACATTGTGTTGAGATCTATGAGAGGAAGAAAATGTAACTTTATCATTCTACAGTAAGAAGAACATAAAAACAAGAAAGATAGGCAGGTCAAAGATGATCACATAAAATATATTCTAATCCTGAAACAGTTTGCTTCCTTAGAACTTTTTTTTTAATTTGCGAGATTTCATTGAGCTCTACTGCATATTGACTTGTGCAAAAATACCAGTAAGTACCAGTTCAACATCCCGAAGAAAGTGTAAAGAAAAACCAGAAAATTGGTTTTTATTGCAATTTTGACAGAAAAGTTAATCTTATAAACTGTGGGATGTTTTCAAGAGATCTGCAAGATGTTGCTTGTGTAGTTTGGTAGTCTGTTTTAGTTAACTATCACATTGACTGAATTGGAGAAAATTAATGAAATCTTGAATGGAAACAATAAAGTTGTTTTACAGGGAATCGACGATCCAATTATTTTAAGTTTCTACAAATAAATTCAAGTTCTGTTGACGTTGAAAAGTCATTTTCGAGGTACATACAAATATTTTTTACCAATAAATGCTGTACTTTTACAGAAACTAATTTGGAAATATTCATAATTGTCAGTTTTATTTCAGACCATGAACTTAATTATTTATTTTGTTATGTACTTTAAATTATATGACTTTTTGTGCGTCTGAAATTTATGCGACTATTTCCTTTCAAAATTAATGGTGTACTAGACCAAAAAAATATGTGTAAGTTAAAAAAAAAGTTAAATTATTAACCAAGTGATTCTCTGACATTCTACTTGTGTATCAACATTTTTAGTGATTGAATATACAAAAATATTTTTTCTGCATTATATAAATGCACTTTTTTCCACATCCTACGTGTATTTGCTAAAATTAAAACGATGTTTGTAAATCCCAGGCCTTAAAGATAATCTCAATAATGATCAAAACTTTGGCACAATAAAGAAAATACTTTTCTAAAACCTACGTCACACCAGACTGCATTTCACGATTTCCAAATAATCATCGACTAACAGACACTAATCACACCACATTTTTAGTACAAACTATTTGGCATATTTGTGCAATGGCACTATCATAAGCGATGAAGTTCTACTGCATAATTGAGAATTTTTTACTGCACATTATATTGCATGTTTGAGATTTTTAGGGCATATTGTATGTTATACTTGAGGATTTTTATTGCATATAAACCCAGGCTCTACTCATTACGTATAAAGTGTAATTCGTATATGTATGATGGTTATATGTATCTAATTCTGTCATTACAGATTGATTTATTGCGGAATTTACAAATTCAACAGTATAAATGAAGCCATTGATTTATTTAAATGTGGAACGCGCTATAGGAGTAGCGATGTGACTAAATATTGTTTAAATTATTTAAAAGAGCATTTAGCTGCTTCATGTATTCCTGATTGTTTTGAACTTAGCCTACAATTCAACCTGGTCGATTTGCAAGAAGTTTGCTTAAGGGTTTGTTAAATGCTTAAAAACTTAGCAATGTTGATGTAATCTTAAAACTTACATGATTTCTAGGTTATCAAGGAAAACGCTGAGATTGTTTTACATTTGTTAAATTCAAATAGTATGAATATGAAAATGCTAAACATATTATTAGATTTAAAAGAGCTTAGTATTAGTGAATACGATTTCTTTAAAATTACATCGAATTGGATAAAAACATATATTAGGAAAATAGGTACCAGCTAAAGATTCTAAAGTAATCCACTCAGATGGAAATTAAAGAAGATTTACTTTCAGATGAGACAAGGAGGCATGAAGTGTACAAACAAATTTTACCAAAGTTTTGCTTTTTTGGTATGACAAGAGAGGAATTTGTTAATGGTCCAATTAAATCTGGTCTTCTGGAAAAACACCAAAGCTTGTCTATATTGTGCAATTTGATTTTAAGACAGGAATCCCTCTTGCCTATGCCTGACGGTTTTTCTACAACAAGAAGAAAACTCTTGAGGCGAAATCCCTTTATCCTACACGAAGCAAAATTGAAAGATCTCCACCTCAGTTCAGAAAGTTTAGCAAACAAAGTTTTATTTGAAGTCGATAAAACAATTGAGATCACTTCTTTTTCTGTAAGTATTTTTTCCCCTAAATATTCAAAATGTTACAATGCGTATATTTTCCCATATAGGTTTTTACAAGAAATGACAGCTCAGGAACCTACATGGGCTGGGTTAAGGTACTTCTTGGAGTTCAAGGGCTCATGACAAAAATCATAGCAGAAAAGAAAGGAACATTCAGCTGTAATTCAGTCTACACCTTGCAACTCGGATCGCAATTCAAAATTAAAAAAGGCCTCTTGTACGAATTGGAAATAAAAATCAGTGATGGGAAGTACAGATATTGGAACGTTACAAACCTCTGTGGTAAAACAGAAAGTGTACAGTTCAAATTTTACAAGCACCCGATGTATCTCACCGGCCTACTGCCAATTTGTTCGATAGGATATGTTTGTTAAAATATTTTGTTAATATTTGCATTATTTATCATGTTATTGTTAATAAATTTTTAAAAGCAGATCCCACTTGTCCATCCAATAAAAATTTGTATGCTTATTTAACAAATTCTTTTGCACTCCAACTGATTACACAAGTATACCATAATACTTTTAAAGTAAGGAAAGTTAAGTTAGTTGTAAATCTCTTTCCAAATCCTTTAATGATTCCATGTAATTGTTTAAATAAAATAACCGGCAAATTTAAACGTTTTGATATTGCCTCTCAGTCTATTGACGTTTGGTACATGCCAAATATGAGAAACTAAAAATAAATTATTATCTGTGGAACGTACGAAAAAAATCTTTTATGGTCTCAATGGCAATAATAAATGTATACATTTATTTTTAAAATTTTAAAAATTGAAAATTTCAATGGCATTAGTGAAGGCTTCAATTTCGAAGGTTCTTCACAACAGAATCTGTGATAACAGAGTTGGCGCTGATACTGTTTTGGTCGTGTTCTGTTTTGGACGCTCTGTTGATTTAAACTTAACCAAAGATGTAACAAATAATTAGTTTTTCTTGGCTAATTAAGAGATTAATTTTTGTGGATGTGCTATAACTGTAGTATACCATCGATAGCAAGTTTATTTTAGTTTTTATTTAGAAAAAAATGCAGAAGATGGATTGTGAATCTGATTCCGGTAACTATGATTTATCATTTTCCCCCTTTTTTTAATTATTACTTTTGGTTGAATTGAAATTATTAATTTGTATACTAACTGGTTTGTACAAACTTGACAGTTGTGCTGAAAATGCAGAAAACAGGATTGTAGTTTTCCCCAAGTTGGCCCTAACTTGATGGATAAATTGATTCATCATACTTAAATAAAATACACATTTGTTGTTGTAAAAGATGACGATATAGATGATGGAATCTTTAGAATTAGGCTCTATTCTACCAGTAGTTTTCACTGATTGTCGAGGTAGGCCGACACGTTTACTTTAAACAAATTAGAGTGCTTAAAGCAGGTAAGAATCTCTGCTGGAATAATGTTGCATAGAATAATGGATCAGGTGGTTGGTTCTATTCTGTTGGTCTCCTAAACACAAGGTAATGATCAATGTGGATAAGCAGAGTACTATTGCGGCGTTACAAGTGAAATTTTGGGATTGTCGCAAAACGCACTAGAGTGAAAGCAATTGCCAAGTACATTGAAACTTCCCATAATGGACACTTTTGGAATCCTCTTTTGGGATAAAAATGAAAAAAAAGTTTAGTATTACATGATGGGCTGCAATGGAGAATACAAGATTACCAACACCTTTGAACCACCGAGGATTTTTAATCTTCTTTTACGACCATAGGGTTTTTCAAATTCATCAAGCATGCTTGGTCATAAGAGCAAAGTTAAATGCTCCTTTGAAATTTCCTCCCTGACAACACTAATTTTTTAGCTACAAAAAATAAGGCCGTCTCATTCCAATTTAAAATGCCCTTAGGTTCAAAATTGGTAGTATTGTTTAAAATTTCCATACAGTTTTGTATAATCTCGGTCCTTCACTCTACTAATTGTCTTAAAAGAAATGTTTTAAAATTTGCTCAGCCTAAATGTTTTGCAACTCTCAGATTAGCACATCAGACACTGGTATTTAACAAACCCAAGCATTGCAAAACCATTCAAATAAATTCTGATCTATGGCCATATCAGATATTTTAGGAAAATATTTGCAGATTTGGTCATTTCCACATTTGTAACATTTATCTAAAAGTTCTTTTTTGTTTTTTAGATATTCAACTGCCTGAATCTTTCCAATGGAAAACTTTGCAGCCAAGTCTCACACACTTTAATTGCATTGATTTTTTTCTTTAAGTATCAAAGGCACTGGAAAAGAATATGTGGCACTTCATCAATCTGTTGGAATTTTTGGAAGCAAACAAAATACATATGAGAAACGGTGTTTCACATAAAACGTTAATTTTCTGGAGGCTGCTGCCTGTTTTGAAAGAGTTTTAGAATCAGATTATAGTAAAAAAAAGATGTCTGTGTCTGTTTTTGGGAGTGTCTTCTTTATACAAGATTATAACGTGAAAAAACTAATCGGGGAATCAGAATTTATCCATTCAAGGGAGGTGTCCATTAAGATAAGTTTCACTGTATGTTTTAATTGAGAATTGGTTCCTTATGATGGATAAATTATTGGCAATGCAGTACAAAAATTAGGCCCACGATAGCCGAAAACATTTCATAAATACAATGTGCAATGCAAGGAAAAGGAAACCATTGTGCACTTTTTGACTAAATGTACCATTTTGTCCGAGATGCGTGCTTCTTATTTGGGTAGTGCTATGCTCTCAGAAGAAAGCCTAGTCAAACTTTTAAATGAGCCAAGCTGCAGCTAATAAAATGCGCTCATCACGCCTGGTTTTACTGCTGGGAACTGGTACAAGAGTTCAATTTTTGATTTATTAGAAGAAATTTTTACTTAATTAATGGTATATAAATCTATCATTCTATGTTCACCAGATTATTTTATTTTATTATTATTTTTTATTTATATTATTTTTTAAATTAATTAATTAATTTTTTGTTTTCTTTTTCTTTGTAATTATGTTAATTAGAGGGAATATTATTATATTATTTTATTATATTTTATTATATTTTATTGGCTATTTCATTATCTTTTTTAAATATTTATCAGTAATCTAGCCTCCAAGCAGACGGATATTCCATTGCTGTAAATACTTTTTAAAGGGTATATTTCGTTATTTATAATAATTGTCAAAGTATCATTATTATTATTATTATTAGAAGGTAGTAGTATAGTATGGTTCACTAGAGAACTACAAGCAACTTTATTTCCTTTATAAATATTGCATTACAACACTATAATGATGGAGAAGTTTAATATTAAATACACTTGTATCATAGCACAATTCACTTTCCTCACAAGGGAGGAAATCACAAGGCCCCTGGAGCTTTATATGTCATAGAGGAATGGTTCAGGATGAAAGGTGTTGGACGAGGAGGTTGGGATATGGGGTGTCTAGGGTTTTATGAGGACTTCTTGGGGTTTTGAGGACGAAGGGGATTGTGAGATCTGGGTGGATAGTAAGGCTGGATATGAAGTAGGAAGCTTGGGCAATAGTTACAGGGAGTTAAAGAATAACAAAAAAAAGTCTGGTTAGTTGCAGTTTAAATGCTGACTCCACTGGCAAATGTGTATAAGTTTTCACAGACATGCCACTTTCCTTACCAAGTTTCTTCTTTACATACTTAGAGGATGATGGTTAAAAAAAAAAAATAAATAAATAAATAAAATAAAATAAACAGCTCAGTCATTTCCTAGAGAGCCACATTTTCGTCAGTTAAAGCTATTGCACATTTTACAGAGAGAAAACCCTTATAATAAAGTAAGACAACATGATGTTTCCAGTGCAGGAGGCTTACCGCTATCCACAGTTCAAGAAATATTTTGTGAATTTCACTTATGGCCATTTAACTGTTTTCCTTGGCTTACAATTGCCATTTCTCTTTCTGATGGATCAATTTTTCATGGCTTTATGACATGGCTCAGAAAGGTTGAAAGTCTTGCTAAACAGTCTGTGACTCTATGTCAGAACACCATGTCATAGACTAAGGTCAGATGTATTTAGATATTTCAACATCTGCAATGGTCTGTTTGTACATCCTTTTTATAAGTTTGGATTGTTGATATATCTCACAGCTCCAAGATGAACAATCAATATGTAATTTAATAATTTTGTAGAACAAAATATTCAGATTAGGTGAGTGAATTTTTAGTTTGGTGTGTATATATCCACTTATATAAAAAAATACTTCTGTTTATTTGGTTTATGTTAAATATAATTTATAATTTAATAATTTTTGTATTTTTATGACTTAGCAAACATCACTAGCCATCGGTGCCTGTGGGCGTCTTACAAAAGTCACTAATTCACTGCTGTGTTAGATATTATCTAATATTATATGTTATATGCTACTGATTATTTTGCGAACCTCTCGTTGATACTTCAAGTAGTTAGTATTTATATGTATATATATTATTCTGTTGTTTTTTTAATTTAATTTTTTTAATATATTTTTTTAAATTTATTTTATTTTTATTTATTTAATTAATTTTTTTTGCTGATACGGTAGTACAACTTAATTATTATTGTAATTTTCTGGTATTTATTTTTTGTTATATTTGTTTAAGAAAAACTCAAGATGTGGGCTGCCATTTCTTTTGCCGTAATGTTAATTGTGATTGGGATTCCTCTTTGGTGGAAGACGACGGAAGTTGAAAGAGCTTTTCTGCCTTACGATGAAATTTACAAACTCAAACCTAGTGTCGTTAACATTCAAATGAAAGTATTTATTCATTGTCAGTACCCAAGTAGGACTAATGCTTTAATTGGAGATTTAAAGAATATGCTAATGACGGGTGAGTTTAATCTGGCACATCTCTTTAAATTGTATTAAATTGCAGCCTTTGTAAAGAACTTTTACATTTTTGATCTATTTGTATATTTTAGTTAATTTTTTTCAAAAAGGAGTTTTGTAAACAAAAAGAATTTTTCAGATATTTATGACTTGGTTTATACACCCTTTAAAATCAATAATGAAATTGAGACTTACTTAGATATTGAAAATGATGAGAGATTAAATAATGTTACATACGGTAACATTTTGCTGGTTGAAGTGCACCATTTACCTCAGAGATATAAAGTTCTTGTTTCAAACAAACGGATAATATACTTCACTCCTGAAACAAGTAATGTATTTTTAATATTTTTCAACATTTTCATTTGTATATTAAATCTTAAATTTTTTTAAGGTAATCATTTAATTGTGGAAGTGATGAGAGATTGGCACCTGAGGGAATCGGATTTGAAGACGAAAATAAAATCAATCATCGTTCCACAGTCTGTACAAGAAAGTGAAAATCTAGACAGCCTCAGGGCCGCGCTTAACTACGACATGGTCTTTACGATTATAAATTCCAACCCAGAAAATGTCAAACTCGTTTGGGATATTTCTACAGATATAAAACGTAGGTAGTTTACCCAATATATCTAATTACAAATTCAATGTCAAAATATCTATAGCTAGATTGTCTCTGGTCATCCTTTGTATTCTTATTGTTTTAATCTGTTGGGCAGCATTTTGAGAACAATTAGAACCTGTATATATGTTAAACATACAGAAACACACAATTATTGAAATGTTCCTGACAGACAAACCTAGTAAGCAGATGAAGATAAACAGAAGATAAGCTTTAAAAAAAATCACTAGCAGAGCATACCAAATGTTGTGGTGTGTCATAAAATTTTATGAATATCAACTGTTTTCAATTAACTTGTTTTTAAAAACCTTCAATTTTAAATTGAAAATGTTCTTTCTCTTGTTGGTTTCTTTTAGTCTTCGGCAATAAAACTATGTAAAAATTTTTTTCCAGGATATATCAAACCATTGCTTGATCAAATTTCTGCCGTGAGTTTACACTCTTTAAAATCCCAGTGGTTGTATTTTATTGATTTTGGTGTATTACCGGAAAAAAATAGCAATGGTTACACACTGCCTCTTTCCCAGCTGCCTCATATAATCACACCCCTTGAGAAAAAATTAGGATCAGGTTTGCTAAATTGCAATTACATTATTTCATAATATGTATACAAATTTGATTATTGATTTTACCCGTTTTCATTTTTTTAAGGGATATCCAAAAACCCATGTGTTCATTTAATACTGTATACATCAAGTTGTGACCAGTCTCCCTTGAGTTTTGTGTCCCCGACTGGAAGACTGGTCAACTCGATGATATCACCCCAGTGGGGAGGTGTGCAGATTATTAACCCATCTCAGAGAAACTGTAAAGAAGGAGAAGAATTGAAAGTAGATTCAAAGAAAATCATGGCAGTTTTCGTCTCACAAATACACACATTGCTTGGCATTCAAGACAACGTATGTTTTAATTTATTATTGAATTGTAGTAATATAAGTAATTGATTGATATAAAAAATAGTAAAATTTTTATCACTTTCTATATTTATTAAAACAGAAATTGCATTAATCCTAAAGCAAGTACCTGATATCCATAATTTGTTTAATACCAAATATAAAAAAGTACTTGTTTATTTACTTCCTTTGATGTCAGACTGACACTGTATGGAAGGATGTGTAGATCATTCATACAATTTAGAACTTGTCTATTTCTAAATATTAGGCACTGGGTTAAAACATTATGTTATTTAAAGTTTACCTTAAGTTGTGACCAGTCTCCTTTGAGTTTTGTGTCCCCGTCTGGAAAACTTACAATTTTTTTTTTTTTTTTTCAAAATGCCAGCAAGGGTTCATATAGCCTCGTAGTTGCAATACCTTCATAGAAAAGGGGGGAAAAGTTTACCTTCTAGAATATATATAATGTTATACAATCATAAGGGTGAGATGAAAACAACCATTTCACAAGTTAAATTAAATTGTACGCTATATTTCCAACTTGTTTTCGATTTGGATATAAAGCCCATCGTTTTTGAATGTTGGTTTTAGGTTTGTGCCTGTATTACTTACTTATCCTTTTTAAGTAATTATTGTCCATTTGTTGTAATTATTGTTGTAATACATGTCCCTACAGCTAAGCAAGGTGAGGGCATTTACACTATGCGATTGTTTTGTGTGGAAGGAATCCAGTACTAAAAAATTAAAAAATAAATTAAAAAATAAACAGAAAGTCATATACATTTATTGCGACTCAATATGTATATTGTTCAAATTAGGTAATGATAGCCACAACTCTAACTCTATGGGTGAGTTTATTTACAAAATAAACACCCCCAGGTGACATTCACCAACACTGGTCTACTTAAGATTCTTGCTGCCTTTCTTGGTCTTGGCTCTACCTTTACTCAGTCTTGCCTCTCTTTGGTCTCGACTTTCTACAGTAGAATCTATTCAACTCTGCTCTCAATTCCTCCTTTACATCTTAACCCGACTCACCTTGGTCTTGCTCTCAATTTTTCCCATTTGCTATTCCACAATCCTTCCATTTTATTAGTTTTATAAACAAGGGTGGAAGGAGCTTGAAAAGAATATTCCTGAGGTCTAACAATAAATACTCCACAAAAATAACTAAAAAAAGTATTTGTCATATATTTAGTAATTTTTCTAGAATAAACGCAATCCTTTGGTCGGATTGTTCAATTCAACTGGTGGTACTTTAAGAGATTGGGAACTTGACAAGCTCTACAGAATTCGAACTGTCGAACAAATCACTTCAGCCTCTTTAACACTTCAGGTATTAAAATTTACTCTCATTCACCAATATAACTTTCATGCTTGGTAAATTTTATTTTTTAGTCACTGTCTAAACTGCTTGGTGAAATTAGTAACATAGTTATCAACGAGGATGTCGCCAGTTCGATAAACGATGCTATTAAATATGTCAAATTGGCTTCTAATTCACTTGGTAACTCGAAATTGGATGAAGCCCTCAACTATTCACGTGTCGCCTACCAAGCTGCCGAGACAGCGTTTAGCGATCCGTCGCTTTTGGCACTACTCTACTTCCCAGACGATCAAAAGTTTGTTTATTTGTAGAAAACACATTTGTAAAATATTTAATTTTTTATGTATTTAAATTTATTTTATTTTATTTATTTTTTTATTTGCAGGTATGCTGTTTACATTCCTCTATTCCTTCCAATAATGATTCCAGTTTTGATGTCTTTGAAGAAAATACAAATGTGGGTATTTTACGGAACGACCAAAGTAAATGTGATAAGTTAACTCTGATTTAAATTTTTCAAGTACATTTTCCTTTTATTTTTTTATTTTATTTTTTTTTAAATTGAAATAAATAGTTTTTAATTAACTTTGTTTAAAAGTACTTGAAAAATATCAACATAATTCAAAAAATCAATAAAATAATAATACTAACAACAGTTTTTCCTTGTCATTTATTGATTAATTTTGTATTCTTGAAACAGAATTAACAATTTTGTGTATTTAATAAAGGCATTTATTTATTTAATTATGTAATGTATGTTATTAATGGGTAAACCATACTGGCCTCTTCACTATTCATAAAATTGTCTTTTAACATTGATAATATATATTTTTTTAATAATACATTTTGAATTTCATAAAATGCTATATCTTAAATATACATATCGATACACATGTACACATAAATAAGTTACATTCGATAGCAATAAGTACTTAATTGCCATAAGAAACAATTATCACAGTATAAAAATTACTCAAATGTAATTGGGATTGTTGTATAAGGGAGGATTGGGTTTATTGATTCAACCTGAAGAGCGGTTGCCATGCAATCACTTGACCTACTAAAGTCTCCCAGCGATTCGAGAACTTTTCCTAAATTGAACCTGAAAAATTAAATAGATTTTAATTAATTTATTAGATCGTACTTCTAATACAATTTACCATGTAACTGGTGCAAATGGATCTATTCTAGCTGCATCCCTCAATATTTTTTCAGCCATTCGCTGATTCCCTAAATAATGGTACATGAGTCCCTAAAAAAAGAAAATAAAATAAGAACTTTAATGTTAGAAACTAATACAACTAAGCCAAATTAAAATAATAGTAAGTGAAGAACATGAAAGAAATTGAATATGCAGTCAAATCACAATGACATAAACTACGTAGCAGTCCAATTGGATGCTGAATCTCAAAATGTACCTGTAAGAATCTGGCAATTGCTTCACACAGTCAGAAGTACTCAGCCAGTAGTTGTATTCAACTATCATTTCAGATCATAAATGTATACTTAGTTGTTTATCTATTAGATCTAAAAATATTTCAGGCAGTTGAAAGGTGTGGCAAGCTGTTTAAGTGCTGGATCCAAAAATTATTTTAGACAGTAAAAATAATATACTAGTAAGCCCTAGCTACCTTATGACTGTTTCAAATTTTCAACAGTTGGTAGTATTTGGATAGCTGGGAGTTAAATTCCAGGCAGAAACGGCCAATTGTCAGATTGCTGGATCCAACAAATATTTCAGACAATTGTGTGCAGCTCGCTCACGAAATGCTAACCTGATAGAAGTGTGAGGCCAGCTACTTTTTAATGATGAGTTGGGCAAAACAGACATTGGCTGTCCAAAAAGTCATCAATGGAAACAATTAGCCGCCAAACCAAATGCCATAGCTAACAATAAGTTTTTGATAGTAAAAAGTATGCAGCATGCAGTTTCCAACCATGGTTGCAATTGGTTGGAACTGTGGCCACAATTAGCTATCTGAATAATTTAACAATCCCTGGTTTCTTCTTATAGTTATATTATTATAGAGATTTTCTAGAGAAAATACTACTCTTTTTTTAAATTATTTAAATCAAGATATTGAGCATTTACATTACATCTATTACATGTTGGCACTAAAGAGTAACTAATTAATAAAATAGTATAGAGTAACAAAAAGGTGGGCGAGGAGGTTAAGGTCGAGATGTCCCAACCTATGGATTTTACCACAGTGATCCAGCCCTCTGACGCTAAAAATGCATTAAAAACAAGATTTAAAAAAGTGGCAGAGAATCAATTATCAAGAGCACTGTTGTTAGGATCAAATCGTCATGATCATCCTTGCCCATACGGCTGACCCATAGACACTTACTTTTGGGTCAAAACATGCACATGTGTCCGGCATGAGGAGAAAAGTTGCTCGATGTGTCGATTAGTGAAGGGTGCCATTCCTTGGGTCCCCTGTTCCGGGTTTTAGATGAAACAGGACGGAATTTCACCATTTCTATTAATTTGCTAGTCAAAACAGGACTGTTTTTCTGTATATAGTACTTCATATACATCCCATCTTGTGTTGCTTTATGTATATTGAGACTGAATGTATTTATTAGAGTCAATATGTAGTGTGATTGGTTATATTTGTAGAAGGTAACAGAGAAGTATCAAGTACTCCACCACCCTAACTGAGTGAATGGCATTAAATAGGAAAGGTTGAATTTAGGAGTGAGTGAGTGTGAATTAATACATTTGGATTTGGAGACTGCTTGCAGAAATGATCTAGCTGTTGATAGCCCCTGAAGCCCAACCTCGGTGAGTGGATGGGCAAGACCAAGGTCTGACCCGTACTGCCAACACTAGGATGGGTGATTCTTGAGGCAGTAATTTATTATACAAGCTGGAATTATTAGTGGACTGCAGGCTCACCTCTGTGTAAGCAGATATGTGTATACATGTTTATATAAATTGGTAAATCAGTTTAATAAAGAAATTTGAAAATGATAAAAGACGTACTAAATGTTGCAAACTTTTAATATGGGAAGGATTTATTGAAACCGCATTGTGAAAACACTGCCTCGCTTCTGCAAACTCGTGTTTCTGTTCATGTACAAGTCCCCTCTAAAACAGATAAAAATTAATGCCATTGTCGTACCATAAGTCAGCAGAGAATCTTACAATGTACATGATGTGGTGTGAGAGAGGATAAATACTGGTGGCTTCCTGTATGCAGGAAGCAGCAGAGGCAATTTGTTCCATAGAAAGATAAAGTTCAGCGAGCAAAAGCCATATCTGTAACTGAAGGAGCCAAGCTCGCTGCGGTCCTGGCTTAGGGGTGAATGTTGACAAAGATGACGCCACTTCAGATAGAGCCTGTTCAACTCTTGAAGCAGCGACTGAATGAGCATGAAGGGAGCCTAAAAAACAAATGCTTAAAAGTCTTGTTTTATGAGATTGTTTCAATTGATTTTTTAAAAATTACTTGAATCTTTATCAGACATTTCAGATGTGTATAATTGGAATACACTTTTATTGTCAGCCTGTTCTATGAGCGTTTGATCCTCATATTGGAACTTCCATAAAATAAGCATATTTTTCGCAGTTGATAGAGCGACCTGGAAAACTCAATGTAATACTTTATACTTCACTTTTAATGTCTGTTTCAATTTAGTTAAGGACATTAACTAACATCTCCACCTAAAGTATGCAATTCAATATAGGCTTTGACGTAATGCAAATCGAGACTGTCTGGAAAATCCAATAGCGCTGATTGCAAAAAACTGTAAGCTTCGGAGTACTGTTTTTGCGCTGTTAGCAGAAGGACCATTAAATGCAATGATGGAGCATGTTCAGGACACAATTTCAAAGCTAACTTCACATGATTCACAGCTTCGGAAACTTGACCTTTGCTCGCATGGCTCAACCCAATGTAATACTCGATGAGATGATCATTTGGGTCGAGTTGTTGTGCTCTGAAAATACAAACGTTCAGTCATATTTTAAAACAACATATAAAACTTTGGGCATACTTGATGAAAGAATCCATGGCTAAGTTGTGAAGGCGTTGCTTGTTTTCTTTCAAATGGGTAACTATTGCAGCATAATGTGCTCCTATTCCTAAGTAAAGGTAACATCGACATGTCAGCCCTTGTGGATTTTTTAACTCCCTTTGTAGTGCTGTCTCACTCCATTCCATACCTTCAGTCGTCTGCAATTTATGTAAAAAATCAATAATAATCATTCCTACATGATAGAATGACGTTTTAGTAGTTTAGTACATTGTTTAAGTGTTGGTAGCATATTTTAGCAGCTAAGAGGCACGGAGTAACTTTATTAGGCAGCATACGAGCAACTTCTTTGGCCACAGCGAAACCTTGTATGTACTGTCCTAAACTTTCCAAGCACAGAGCCCTTTGCAGCCAAATATGAGTTTCTTCATATGAAAACTTCAATGCTCGCTCTAAAGACTATAAACAAAAAAATACAAGAAATTATAAGAAGAACTAAATAATTCCAGACTATTTCAATCAAATAAAATAGATAAATTAATCGTATTAAAAATAAACTTTGTACCTCATGCAACAAGTCAACTTGCCCCCATCTAACAAGAACAATAGTCAGCAGATCATAAACAGCAGTCGCATTTGTTAAAGCTCTTATTCGAGCTTCCTTAAATTCAGGCGACTGACTCAACACAGCTTCTCTTCCTGCCATTGCATCACTAATAAAATATTACCAATCAATATTTAATTGAAATTATGATAAGGTGTTTGTAAAGAAACCTGATGAGAAGAAGCAGAATTATTTCTTCATACTCGCTCTTTGGTGTAAACATATTTGGCTCAGAGTACACCCGAGGTTTCCAAGGGCTTGAGCTAGCAATTTTTTTGTTGATTGACCCTCCTGCCATACAAATTAAAAAGTTACAGTCACTAATTTTTTTTACAACTTAAATAAACAAATGGTTAACAAAATCAGAATTTTCTTGTATAATTTAAGAAAAACAAACCATTATTAGGAGGGTGGTATTTTGCTCCTGTGAACCCTCGTAATAAGACCTCGGCTAACTGTCTCGCTAAAGTCAACCTTAAACTGTGCGTACCACTGGATTCAACTGCTGACAACATACCCCTTAAACCATAATTTTTTAAAAATTATAAACAGTGCTGTATATTCATGTTTATAGAAATACCTGTATCTCGAAACTGCAGCACTGAGGCGACCACCTAGAATGTGCAAGAGCGGAGCTCGTTGGAGAGCTGTTTCTAATATAGGGCCCATATGGTAACTTGGACTCACAGGCTGTGGTGAATGTGATCCTGAAGAGTTATTTGCAGTCAATAACAAATTAACACCAATTACACTTCTAAAATCCACCTATCACATATCTTCTTGGTGTTATTTAAAAACTTTCCAGCGATAATAAATGACAATGAGAAGTAGTACCTGTGCCAGTGCCGGTGTTAACACTTTGTTGTTGGATTTTATCCTGCTCTTGAAGATAAAGAAGAGTCAAATCACTTGCTAATTCAAAACTTTTGACCATCTGCTCTTCCCATTCAACATGTTTATATTTGGACGTTGAAGATGGAGGGACCTTTTCAAGGCATAGGCCTAAAATATAATCAAAACTTAAAATTAAACACAAACGTTTTAATAATAGAACAATTCATATGATACACTTTCTACAATAATATTGTTATGCAAGGTCCAGGTGTGTGCGCGCGCGCACTTTTGTGTGTGTGTGTGTGTGTGTGTGTGTGTGTGTGTGTGTGAAATGTCTTTTCTAGGTTTAAAACACAGACTATGTTCAATATTTTTATTATTCTTTTAAAGTGTAAATATATAGAGATAGAAAGAGAGAGGGTGGGGCAGGGAGAGAGAGAGAGAGAGAGAGAGAGAGAGAGAGAGAGAGAGAGAGAGAGAGAGAGAGAGAGAGAGAGAGAGAGAGAGACCAAACTGAGTTTTTATTATTTTTTTTTTTAAATTGTGTTTTTGTTTTGTCTCTGCTTTTCCAAAGGGGTTCACTATTTTCCCTTGATAAAATAGTGTGGCGCCTATTAACCTGTTCGTTTCCTGGGAGTCCCCCATTCACCTCACCACTGAATGTCAGACAATTGTTTGTCAGAAAGGTAACTATTTTTGAGCCAAGGAACTTACTAAATAGATATGCCTATGAAACTTAATAGATATGAGGAAAAAAGTCAAACCTTTAACTGCATAAGACTCAGCTACAATTCTTAAACTTCTGCTTGGGAGTGATTTTTCTGTTAATGACTGAAGATCAGCCTCCATGTAGTGTTTCAACGAGTCTTCGTACTGCCCAGTAGCATAATGCAGTTTTCCCAAAAGAAGATGTGCGTCCAATGCGACTCCAGCCTGAAATGAAAAAACTCCTTGCTGAAACTTCACAATCGAAGTAGTTTGCGTATACATATTTTAGTATAAAAATTATTTATAAGAAAGATCAATAACTACTCCATTTTGCATTCCCATTGGGAGTTAGGCTTGCGATAAAAAACAAATAATACCTACTTTTACACCTAGATCGCCAGCTGCTATAAGTAAGCATTTTTTCGCCGGACAGAGTCCAACTTTTGCCTTGTTTACATTGCACTCAAGCGGTGGGCACTCTTCAAGAAACATTTCAAGTTTACCTTCTCCCATAAGAAAGTTACAAAGTGGACCTAAAAAAAGTAAAAAATATATTTATTACAAAATATTTTAAATTTCAATATTTTCAGGTAAAAAGCTCATTAAATATTTTTCAAATTTTTATTTTTTTAACTGGAGATTCAAGTTAAATTATTTAAGTTAACTATTCTCAATAAAATCCAGAAAATAATGAGATGTAATACATAATAACAAAAGAACATATTGCATGGAATTAATTGTTTATTCAAGGTTCATTAATAAAACCTCAATTTGAGACTAATTCTCATTTATAGAAAATTATGTACGTATTCCATAAAAGGGGTTTGGAAGTACGAAGTCTTCAAATATAATGTACTATATGCTACAAGTGCCTCAATCATGTTTTCTTTCATAAAAGGGATTTATTTATTTTTAACAATAAATGTTGTTGGGAACTATTATTTTGTGAGTACCAAATCTAATTATATTAAATTTAAAACTTTACGTTGTGCTAGCTTCACAGTCAACAATTTAAATATTGACCTGTTTATCCAAATTTCGATTTTTTAGACATACACGTACTATGGCCCAAAAGTAAGCATCCATGTGTCAACCAGGGTCAATTCTGAGTTGGTTGATGATGATCCTTCTGCGGCCTAGAGTTTCTGAGGATCATCCTATCAACTATGATCTTGACACACAAGAGCTTTTTGGATGACCCACAGTCCACTAACTCTGCGACATCATTGCTCATTTAGTAGTGCCAGCAAACAATAGATATGATATAGGTTCTACGTAGATTTAAATATTACTCGATAGTGTTGAATTAGATCAATGTATGAAGTATTATTATTATTTATTGTTATAGAAATAATCTGTACAATAGAAGTTGGCACTGATCTTAAAACACAATTAAAAATAAAATGAAACAATGGTATTTTTTACTCTAAACATTGTTTGTTGACGACAGAAGTTTTTTATGAATGCAATTATTTTAAAGGTAGGGTTCCTCCTGGCCAAAACTGCTAATTTGTCTGAAAATAGGGCAGAAGCTTGAATTTACTGTTTTCTCAATGTCACGTGAAAGATAGTGATTTTCAAATTTTTTAATTAGATCACCCATTTTATCCAATCATCAAAAGATTGTTCCTAAGACAACCTGCCCAGTTGAAAGCAATGATTTGCATTTAGACAAATTGAACTAACTGGCAACAAGCATCTCAAGGCTAACATCAAGAAATGAGATTAGTTTGAACCAAAACTTTAACGCCCTATTAAAAAACAAGAGTTGTTAACTGAAAAGAACTTGTTTCTAAACGAATGTAGTCATGAAGTAGAAAATTTTGATGTAGGTCCAACATAAATTTTAATCTAAGGTGTCTTGATCCAATTAAAATAATTAACAAGGTCAAATATTAGTATTAAGTACATATTTGGACTAATGTAAATTTTAAATAATTATACTTTTAACCTAAGGTCTTGGTTGAGATGAATTAGCAAGTGCCCCGAGTGGGATTCAAACCTACGAACCTAGGTTCAATACTCTGCTGCTCTAACCACTTGAGCTATCATGACAAGTGGTTAGAGTAGCATATTGAGCCGAAGGTCATGGGTTCGAATCCCCCTCATGACATTTGCTTTTTCAACTCAACCAAGAACCTTAGAAAACAAATATAAAAAAAATTTTAATTAAATTTTTTTGTATAAATCTAAATATAACAAATATAAAACCACACCTGAGAAAATAAATAATCAATTAAAAATATTGATAGGTCTATTATGTCTACTAAATACATATATGGATTGATAAATTTTAATGTTTGCTGACAGTGATGAATCCAATCAATTTATCAAGCAGAAACTATGATTTAGGTTTTACATTACAATATCTCTTGACATTGTTGAATCGGATCAATGAATGAAGTAGAAAATACTGACGTACGTCCAACATAAAGTTTAATATTAATCCTTTTATGTTTAGTGGTCTAATTGACCAACTTACTTATTTCAATAATTATTCTTTTTATAACCAAAGCCTTACGTAAAAAGAATAATTAATTGAAATAAATCTTAATTATTCTCTTTATATAACGTCTTGGTCGAGATAAAAAAGTCAATGTCACAAGCAGTATTCAAGCCCATGACCTTCGGCTAAATATGCCACTGCTCTACCACTTGAATGGTACTCACTCTCAAGTGGTAGAGCAGTGGCGTATTTAGCCAAAGGTCGTGGGTTCGAATCCCGCTCTGACATTGACGATTTATCTCGACCAAGACCTTACATCAAAAGAATATTTATTTGAAAGAAGTAACTTGGTGAATTGACCACTAAAACATAAATGGATAAATTTTAATGTTTGTAACTCTGATGAATCCAATCGATTTGTCAAGCAGAAAATATGAATACATTATGATCTCTCTTGACACTGTTGAATCGGACATGTATGAATTAGAAAATATTGAGGTCCACCTAACATAAATTTTTATGTTTGTCAACACTGATGAAACCAATCAATTTATCAAGCAGAAAATATGATTTAGGTTCTACATTATGATATCCCATGACACTGTTGAATCATATCAATGTATGAAGTAGAAATTATTGATGTAAGTCCAATATAAATTTCGATACTATACACTGTTGGATCTGATCAATGTATGAAGGAGACATGTCAAAATTTTAATAATACTATTATTCTTTTTATGTAAAGTCTTAGTTGAGATAGCCGAAGTCATGATGTTAGAGCAGCAGTGTATTGAGCCGAAGGTTGTGGTTTCGAATCCTAATGACACTAATTTTTTCATCTCAACCAAGATATTTTGGTCAATTAGACCACTAAACATAAATATACTAATAGTATACAATGTTGGATCTGATCACAATATGAAGTAGAAAAGATTGGTGTACCTCCAACGTAAATTTAAATGTTTGTCAACCCTCATAAATCCAATGAATTTAACAAGGAAACATGATTTAGGTTCTATGCGGATTTTGATATTCGAATCGGATCAACATAGGAAGTAGAAAATACATTTCATATTGTATTATAAGCAAAGAATACAGATACAATGATTAATATTACTGTATGAGAAACCGTATGAAACTAAAAATTAAAAACAATTTAAAGATGAAATTTAATACCTTGACTACTGTGTTTCGATTTTAATTGGTCTGAAAGTTCGATGACTTTTTTCCAGTTGGATTCTTCCCGACATTTTTCAATGTCAGTCTCCAGGCGAACACCCTTGCTACTTTTGGTTGTCATTTTGGATTTTTATGACAAAATTACTACACCAGATTCATGTCAAGATTTTTTTGTCTTTTTTTTCTAATACGGAATTTGATTTTCCTGTATGGGTTTTATTTTAAAGTCCCGGATAAGTACAAGAAACGTAACTTGATAACTTGAAAAGTCGAAAGTACTCAGGGCTGTCAGTTGGACGGGAGACGAGATAAAATCAGGTTACAAATTTAACTGGGTAATGTAACAGTTCCGTTACGAACTGCCCGTTTTGAAGAGGAGTGGTACTATTGACGTAACTGGCTGGAATTTTTACAATTTGAAAAAATAAAGTTTCGATTTTTTTTATAAGTGAAATCCTGTTTAAAATTGTATAAAAATTAGAGTTTATTTACTATTATTTGGTTTTGTTTTTGTTAAGATTGAGAGTTTTTTTTAATTGAAGGATTTAGTCTGAAGTATTTCATATTCATCACTCATTATGTTTTTTTTTGTTTTTTTTTTTTAACGCTTATCCATATGTCAATCTCATTCATACATTCTCACAACATTTTTGTTTTTCATTTTCCTCTCTTCTTAAACTCCAGACTACTTTCAGAACAGACGATTTGCCTTATTTTCTCTCTCTTTCTCACTTTCTTTTTTATTATTATTAAATAATATTATTTTAGCGTTGTGGGATGAAATGTCCGGTTAAATCGACGCCCCTCGAGGGGAAAAAGTTCTCCAGTCCAACCTGACAACACTGCGTCTAGCGCCTTCGGTCTGGTGTTTCCTTCTTTCTTCGGTTTTCCTCCCGAATATCCTTCCAGATCCCCCTCGCTTGTTAAGGGGACCGGAAAACTCTCAGACCTCAGAACTTGTTAAATGTTAAGACCTTCGAAAGATTGAAAGTGACGGACGACATCTGAAAAGCACCCAGCCGAATAAACAATCCCTCAACACGATATTAACGATTTTTGAAAGGATTATTCATCTGATTATCCTTCAGATGAATATGACCTCTTCAGAAATAATATAGTAAGTGTGAAGCGTTAATCAATAAAGGGATGCGTTTTTTTACATCGTGGCCGATAAGTTTTGCGGCCTGTTTGATAATATCAACCCGTAAAATATGTTAATTTTTTCTGTCTCGGCTTAGCGAATCGTTAATTGTAATTGCTATTCTCGTTGACACTCTTCTGGTTGGATTTTACTGATATCGCTCCTTTGTAGGATGATAAAGGATAAACTAGGCAGGGTTTTCCTGTGAAATGCCACGACCCAAACGTCGTTCAAACTGTCTCTCCGCAGAAATGGGACCGGACGAAGACGAAAGGCATTTCAGCAAGCGGCTTCGGAACATGGGACCAAGGTAATTTATTTATCATCCCTCCTCAGGTTGTTCTTTAATTAGTTCATAATCTCTCTTAATTGCCTAACAATAAAAAAAAATTCATGGCTTATGATCCTTACACACAGTTTATAGCAGCATCCCAACAGGAAAAATCAGTAATATCAAATATTACATTATTGCATCATAATAGGTAAAAAACCACATATATGCACATTCTTCTTAAGTGCAGCAATAACCTTCATTTTGTTTATATAGTTACTCGTCTCTTGGTTATATTGAATGTATTTTATTAGCTTGAACATAAGGTCTGCTTGTTAAAAATGGAGTGTATACTACTGACGTAATGCATTGACAACCTTTTAGTGTATTTACTGCATCAAAAGAGGTTAAAGGCAGGGTGTGAGAATTGTTCTTAAATGTAGCAATGTCCTTAGTTGCTAGTCATCGGCATAAAAGAAAAGACAGTTGGCAGTACAGTAATCCGGTCAAACGATTCAGCTCAGTGTGTATAACTTGTTTTCTGTCTCGATCTGACTAGGAAGGTGAATGACTTTATCTTCCAATCTGACTGTCATGAAGTGTCATCTCTTTAACCATCATGCCTGTGGCCGATTGGTACTGTGTTTACCATGTAGTATGAAGTAGATAGGTCTGAAGTAACAACCATAAGTTTTTGTATATTGCTTGACAAGAGTTTGAAGATACCTTGTGTTAGCATTGATTTATCATCTAGTTCTTTAATATCTTCTTTTTCTCTTGCGTCTTAGTTGCCTAACAAACAATATTCTATTTAAAAAAAAAAGTCTAATGTTCATTACACAGTTTATAACAGCATCCGGACTGCAATAATATAAGACACGCATAAAATATTTTTGCAATTGTATTATAATAGGTACATAAAAAAACCATATATGCACATTCTTCTTGAGCACAGCAATGACTTCATATTTGTTTACTTAATAACCTGTCTCATGTTGGGTGAATGTATTTATTAGCTTGAACAAATAGTCTTCTGGTTAACAGTGAGTGTATATCACTTAGGTACTTTAACAACCTTTACTGCATCACAAGAGGTTAAAGGCAGGATCTTTTCATAATCTCTTTCTTAATTACCTAACAAACAATATTCTATTTTTAAAAAATTAACTGGCTAATGTTCATTACACAGTTTATTGTTGTACCGTGTAGTATTAAGTAAATAAGTCTCGAAGTAACAACCATAATTGTTTGTATATTGCAAGATGAGAGGTTAAAGGCACTTGGTATAAGCAGTAATCTAGTATCAAGTTCTTAATATTTTCATAATTTCTTTCTTAATTGCATAACAAACAATATTCTGACAACAAAAAATGACTAATGACTCTTACACACAGCATCCCGACAAGAAAAAACATAAGTCAGTAACATCAAATATTTACATTATTGCATCGTAATAGGTAAAAAGCCTCATGCCCATTCTTCTGAGTCATGTGGATGATTGTATGTAATAACTTCAACATATAGTCTGTTGGTTAACAATGAAATTTATAGACATCTACTTAGGTAGTAGTACCATCCCTTTAGTATATTTACTGCATACAAAAGGTTAAAGGCACCAGGACGTGAGAATTGTTCTTAAGTCCAGTAATGTCCTTTGTATGCTTATATAGTTCCTCATCAGTGTTCGTATCTATATGCATGAAATTGTGGTCTGTTTGTTAACGGTGGAGTGCAAAGTACATAAGTGTTGTATTAACCACCTTACGTTTATGTAATATTATAAAGTAAAAAAAATAGTCTTATTATAACTTTCTATCGGCATAAACAGGACAGAAAAGAGGCAGCACAATGATTGAAATATTCCCCTCATAATGTAAAACTTGTTTTCTGTCTTGATCTGGCTTGGAAGGAGGTGATGGTCTTTTGTCTTGCAGTCTAACTCTCATGAAGTGTTTTCTTCCATAACCATTATTCTGGTGGTAAACATGTTGATAGTCACTGAATTAACAACCATAAAGTGTTTGTATATAGCATCACAAGAGGTTGAAAACATCCAATGAATTTATTTCTTAGTAATTATTTGGGTGGGTGGCATTGTAACAACCATACATCACATAACACAACAACATATGTGGATTTTGTAGTACTAAAAAAGGTTAGGCACCAATTATTCAGTATTACTAATATAAGCATTGATCAATTAGCTTCAATTGAGGGTTGAATGGAGTAAAAAGTACATATCTAATAGAGTCCTTTTATATTGTACAATTGTATGTCATATATTGTAAGAGGTTGGACCACTAATAAGAGCATTGTTCTTAGACCACAGTAACTCCTTTGTATCTAGTTGCGTAATTTGAGTGAATTTTTTTGTAGCTTGAATATATGGTCTCTTGAAGAGGAGGAACACAATTACAACACACATATTACAAGACTTATTTCTTTGTTGGTTAACACTGTAGTACAAAGTACATAGGTACATAAGTAACAAATTATATTGTGTACGTAACATTAAAAAAAACGTTAAAAACCACCAATGTAAACTGTTCTCAAGCTGAATTGGATGATGGATGGCTTGGCAGGGAACCCCACAGTTCTACTCCATATGTCCAAAGTAGTCAAAGTAAAGTCTTGTATAAGGTCAGTTCAGGGTTGATGGTCAAGATGGATTTTGGTCCAAATAGTTTTCAAAGTTGTCCAAGTCTTCCGGACTGTCTTTTTCAGTCTGCCGTCCAGGTATAGTCCAGAGTTTCTGTCTTGCATGGAAATTGGTATCTCTTTGTTGTTAATGTATAGTGGAGGACAAGACTATTTTTTCAATGTGATTCTATTTTTCTTTATTCAGTTTTGTCCTCCACTTTTTGCACCGATCTTCAATAAGCTCAAAGTGTTCTTGGATGTTGAAGGTTGCTTGGATAGGATTCGAGTTAGAGGACAAAATTGCGTTATCATCCCCATAGGTGGTAAATTGTATTAGGGTGTATAGGTAGGTCATCAGTATAAATGATATAAAGGATGGGACCAAGAATGCTCCCTTGTGGGACACTGGCTTGAATCTGTTTGACTTGAATTGCTTGAATCGGAAACATTGGTTGCATAGATAGAATTTCAGGATAACGTAATAAGGAGTGGGTAGGAAGCTTTTAAGGTTATAAAGTATGCCTGGATGCCAGACCCTATCAAAAGCTTTTGCTACATCTAAACAAATAAAGCAGAGAACTAAAAAACCTGTGGATATTCTGGAAAGTTATACAATTTCCCTTTTACCCTCTAATTTAATAATAAGTAGAGCAAAAATTTTTACGGTTAATACATAATTACATCCAAAAATTTGTGAGATATCCTCTTCCGGATGAAGAACCTGCAGCTTGATCTTTCTCCGATCATTCTGAATCATCAGGAAGATTAGAGATGACAAGAAAACCTAAACGCATTTGACACACCAAAACAGCAAGGAGGTAGTAATAAGGAATGGGTAGGAAGCGATTAAGTGTATAAAGCTTGTATGACTATGGACAAACATAAGATCATAAAAAGGACGTATTAAGTTACAAATTTTCATGGCAAACCTCAGTACAATATTGCACCATTAAATATAATATAACATAATATTGTGGAAAAGATAATTTATTTCTTACCAATCAACTTAAACATAATATTGTTTGTAATGTCATCCTTATGAGGATGTAAAATTTAACCATTTGTCATTTTTACTACCAAACTCTATATGTTGGAATCATCTTATTAATATATATNATTATTTCCTTTATAATCTTGGGAGAGAGAAAAAGTAGAGGATCAAGTTTAGATAAAATTAGCCTGTTGTACTTTTTGTTTTCTCTTTTGTAGCACAACGTACAGAGTTACTTGGTCTTATATCAATTAAATATTAGTCATTCTCATTAATCAAAAAATTATATTTTTAAACAAAAAACAACATCAAACACTACATTAAATTATAACATTAACTGTTATGATAAAAGAATGAAAGATCTGTTCTTTTATTAACAAATGCAAATATATTTCAACCATTGTTGATTTTTTTTCACAAAACACAAATTATAATATATTCATTTAATTAACGGATATTTATATAATGATGTTGATTGTCTGAGAAAATTCTATTTTTAAAAAACTATTTGTGATTAAAAGAAAAACAGTTATGTAAACCCTATGGTCAGTTATACTGACTTGATAATTTCAGTTTCAAAGATGCAGTAATATCTTGTATGTGTTTTAACAATCAAGTAACCCGTCTTGAGGAACATTTCAATGGGTTTAATTTTTGGCATAGCTCTTCCCTTCTGTTGGCATTTGCGAGTTAAACCTAAAAATAAACCTCCCAGGTCAGATGACAATGTAATTCAGTCTGTTTACTTCTCATAGTTTTATGGCTAATATAAAGAAAGTTCAATTAGCCAGCTCATTTTCAAGTTTGGTTTTATTGCATTTTATTGTTTCAGTGGGCGAAGGTTTTCCAAATCTGAAGATAATTCATCTTTCAGTCAGAAAAGATGCTTAGCATGGTTCAGAGAATACACTTCTCCAGATGACCCTGAACTATTAGGTATTACAATTTATTAATATTATTTAATACAACCGTACTTCGGTAGTTAACTAATTTAAAATTTCAGGGCCAGAAGGTATGGAAAAGTTTTGTGAAGATATTGGTGTTGAACCAGAAAATGTTGTAATGTTGGTCCTAGCATGGAAAATGAATGCACGTCAAATGGGATTTTTTACTATGCAGGAATGGCTCAAAGGCTTATCTGATATTCAGTAAGGCAGAAATTGTTTTAGCATTATTATTGGTTAATAATAATTTATTTTTATTTATTTATTTTTTTTATGTTAGGTGTGATACTATTTTGAAAATACAAACAAAACTGGATTACCTCAGATCATTGTTAAATGATCAAACTACGTTTAAAAGTATATACAGATACGCTTATGATTTTGCTAGAGTAAGTTTAAACTCACAAAACTTATATTTTAAGTTGCTAAAGTTGTGCACACACTCAGCTTTGTTGTTGCATGAGAAAAACATAAACTTGAAGTATAAAGGATGCATTGTGTATTGCAAATATCTCGATAAACAGTGTGAAATTTTTACTTTGACAAAAGTCCAATGATAATCATTGCTGACACTATTCTATTTATTTATTTTTATAATTTTTTAGGATAAAGATCAGAGGAGCATGGATATGGAAACCGCGAAAGCGATGCTTCAGTTACTTCTTGGAAAACACTGGAGCTTATTTAGTTCATTTAGTTCGTTTCTAGATCATTCTAAGTACAAAGTAATAAACAAAGACCAGTGGTGTAATATTCTAGAATTTTCTCGTACAATCAATATAGACTTGAGTAATTACGATGTGGATGGGGCTTGTAAGTAACTTTGTTTTATATTTACTATTTAATATTAATGTAATCAAGTTGTATATCGTTTTTACATACATGTGTTTTTTTCAATTGGTTTTATTTATTTTTAGGGCCGGTGATGTTGGACGAATTCGTAGATTGGTTAAAGATGTCGAAAGGAGGAGAACAAAGAAGCTGAGGTCAAAAGTGTGTGGCAATTCTGTCACTTGGAAAATTGCTTAAGTCTTTTAAATTCATTTTGTAAAATTCCCTTTTGATTTTGGTTGAGGATGGAAAAGTGTACTGTTAACATCATATTTTAAATACCTCTTCAACTTTTGATTTGTAATTATAACGGTTTTGTTAATTTAACTGACTATATTTCAGGCAAATATTTAATGCAAAATAAATTAATAGATCTTTTGTACAATCAAATAGGGGGAAAAAAGGATAAAAAAATACTTTCGCTAGTTTTGTACGTTATTTATTATATTTTTAATACATGTCATGTCGTTAACTTTCATTTGTATGGTATAAACATAAATTATTAGTTTATATCAAATAAATTCATTAGAAATGTATAAAACACAGTGACCTTTATTAAAAACAAAAAAAATTATATAATGTCCTGCTCATTTATCTAAAGGTCCAATTACTTCCTACTGATCATTGATTCAATAAAGGCATCTTGGTATTCCAATTTGTTTTAAAGGTTTATTTATTAAACTTTTTTCTAATATTTTGCAAATTAATTATGTAATATAAGTACATACGTAATAGCATAATTAAAATACATTTAACCTGATTTAAAAAAAAACACATGATGTAATTAATTATTCAATTGATGTACATATTAAAAGAAAAAATCAAAATGCATTTCAATTTCACCATGAATTTAGTTGATCTTATACAATTTTTTTTTTTTTTTTTTTTACCTAGGACCAACAACTCTAGTGACGATTTTGTTTTAATGAGAAGGTTTTAAAACAGCAAATTTGATTTCTTCCTTACTCATCAAAAATATCATTGTCAAATTATAAAGAAATACAATGAATTTTATAAAGAAATTTTACATTGACTTTTGTCTTAGTCTTTTTAAAGGACTTTTTTGACATTTTGTTTACATATTAACTAATTCATATGTTTAACTCAAATGATGTATTAGATAAATGCAATGTCATTACCACACTATTCTTTAAAATTAGGACGACAGCAATTTGATAATGGTTAATTCTTTATCAACCAGAATGATACGAATGTATGATTAGCTTGTGTTAGGGGCTAGAAAGACCGTTGTTTGAGCCTAACAGTTGTGTAAAACAGACTAGACCATGGGCCTAGTAGCCCTACCAAGTTACTGGAGGTCACTCAAGAAAGCATGGGTCAGGTCACCATTGTGTCCAAGCTCAGAAAGATGATTGTTTTATCATTTTACATGTACTCCTTAATCAACAATATACCACTGTTGAGATCAAGAATCAAGTAACTTCAACAAGTTAGAACTGTTAATGTCAGTTGACACACCTTAAGACCAAAAATCTTCCTGGAAAATCTCAAGTAGTATAGTGTAGACACACAGATGAAAGTTTTAAGTGCAAATGATTTTTCTTGCACTCTAAAAAAATAAAAATAGCGAGGATAGGCAAATCAAAATGATTGGTAATGACCAAATTACATCTTTCTCATGGCCTCAAAACCCATGCGTGCTTAGTCAGATGAATTTTGGTTCAGTTCTATGGCAGACAAGGCAGCTTATAAAATTTGCACTTCTGTAATGAAACAATAAATGAGCACACTGACACTAGTGTGGTTTAAAAAGTACTTTACCAATCACAATTTGTCACCTTTTGATGGTATAAAATGGATGCACTCTAGATTAAATCGTCTTCACTCATCTGCAAAGTGTGAACTATTGCCATTTTATCCATCGTTTTACATCGACAGGCACAGCCACCAAAGGTAGTTTACAAATGAACACCTAACACTATCATATTTTGTGGGTGAATATTCAGTTTGCAAAATGGGACAGTCATTTGGTTATGCCAATGGTAAGACAGTTGTTGGTTGTAGGATTGGTCACGTGCGTTGAAAAATGGATCCTGTAAAACATCTTGACTGTACCATGAAGGTTTTGAAAGGCAAATGTTTAAATACAGAAGCTTGTTACTGGCGGTGACTATGAGAAACCATATACTCAGCTTCCATGACTTACCAAATGGATGTAAGCTAAAGCGAATGGTTTCATCAATTAGGTCAATCACTGGCATGGTTATGCAAGTTCCATAGATTCCATCAATTCATTGTGTTTCAAAACAAATATCTACTTGACTGTGGTTCATCTTCAACCATCTCATTCCTCGAAGAAAACTTTTCATACCACTTTTGGTCCATGCACTCACTTTATCACGATTTATTGTTTCAACACATGAATGCAGTACAAATTTTATGAGATACCTCAACCACCCTAGTTCTGAGCTTAAAGTCAACCAAAAGCACACATGAATAAAACCGTATTTTATAATTTACAGTTAAACATTTTTTCTTAATGAACTGACATAATTCTTTATTACATGATGTAAACCCCTTAATCCTCTTATGTAAATAAGTGATTAACGGTACTGAAGCAATAAATAAAAATCCGCCCAAATTTTTCTGGTTATCTGGTAGAAACTTTTACTTCCAAAAATTTTATTATGGAAGTGATTAAAGAATGAATATAAATAATATTAATAGTATGTATTTCTAGTCAGACTCATAGCAATCGTAATTTTTCTGCAATTACTTGCTTCATGCAAAGATTAGGATTAGACGGGATAAAATGCAAATCATCAAGTGTTTTTACTGAAATATATTTCCAATTACATATGTATGTACAAACAAACATTTCTGCTATACAATGGAATTTTTGGCAGATAGACTACAAAACTCTTATCAAAACAATTAAGCAAGGTGCTCTGTAAACATGTACAAATATGCTAATATATAAATATTAAATTATCACAGTTTAAAATTTCTGGTAATTGTTTACTAGAGGTTTTTAAGTTTCAATGTAAAAGAAAAAATGCTATATTAAACATTGTTTTAAAAAGATTTTTTCAATTTTAACTAATGACATTTAAAGTAGTTTGTTTTTAAAGTGTTATTGTAATTATCCATACAAAAGTTGTATCACTATTATTGCCTTTAAACAATTCAACTTAATGAATTTTTTTTAAATACTATATACCTATAAATATTGTTCAGAATTTTCATTATATTTACAACTTAATGCAGTTGTTTGTTTGAAAAAGCTTGATAAATGTTGGCACCGAGCATGTTGATTTTATCCATTAATAGAAATTGTGTAATGCAATCATCATTCCCCCCAGTTTTGAATAAAGTATGAATAATCGGTACGATCTTTGCCATCGGCAATACGGATTTTGTAATATTCACATCAGCCGTATTGAAATGGCCTGCAATTTGATCGACTATATTTGAAAACGCTTTCTTGATACAAGAATAAGCGACAGAAATGGCTTCGTCAGACTCTAACAGCTCATAAGTATCTTCTGTGATTTCGTCGGATAAGCCGGCTTGGGATATCCAGTTGGTTTTCACCTGGGGCAGCAGATAGGCCGCAGAGTTCCTTATCGGATCCATCTCATCATATGAGAGACTAGTTTCAATAGACCAGAATATTTGTTCAACATCTTGCAAAGTCATTTCCTTCTTGAGAGAAACGTCTCTAAGCACGATAGTCACATTTTTCTTGATGACAGAAGTCAGCTCAGGGATGCCTGTTTCTAAGAAGTGTTGGCAAAGGCTTAAATAGTCTTCTTGAAAATTCAGCGGCAAAACATCGACATTTTCAGTAAACAAGTATCCACTGAGTATACTGAGTTGAATTTTTAAAAGGATGACCAACATCAAACTAGAATACAAAAGTGTGCAGAGATGTGTAAAAACTGTTATTTTCAGTTCACTCCACAACTCAAATTTGTTACCGGTTCCACTTCTAAGTTTGGACAATAATTTTTCAGCGTCTAGTAATTTATCCACATTAATTTTTAACGACTCTCCCAGTGAGGCTATGATTTGATGGCAAGTTTTTTCTGTGCTTGTAAAATGTTGCTCTTTTGCTAACCTCGTAATGTATTCTTTCGTTCTGTTGTCTTGCCATTCCAGGAGCCTTTTTTGTGCAAATCTGATCGCAAAGAAGGCACTGCTGACTATTACCGTCCCACCAACAATAACATGCTTGTGTTGAGAGACTAATTGCTTAAGTCGTTGTAACATGGTGCTAATGGTCTCTGTTTAAATTCATCACAAGCATCTGAAATACAAAATATATCATTAATATTAGCACCAAAAGAAGGTAAAACATCTTGTATAAGTACAAAATATGGTCTAAATAAATAAAAAAAGAAGGGAAAATAGAAAAAATTCTCAAACAACCACCCTTAAATTTTCTATAATGGCATTAATCTATTAATACGGTGGCTAAGTGGTTAGGATGTCCGACTCGTATTTGCCACAATAGCGGTAATGGTTTTGAAGCTGCTACAGCTTTTTAATTAATAATTATGAAAAATGTATTGTCCACGACACAACGGGGAAGAAACAAATTAGAAAAAAAAAGTAGAATAGACAAAAAAATCCTAAGATACTTCCCTGTGCTATTACATTGGTCATCTTAAATTTTTAAAAATTGGGAAATCTAAAGAAGCCTACCGACTCTGCCAAGAAGAACCAGAGGCATAGTCTTCGGTGACTAAAACAGAAACAGTAGCCTATAAAATGAGAAGATCGACTGGTCTGCTCATTCCAACCACCATCTTCAGAGGCTGATCCGTGCAATTCCAGGAGTCTGTTTAATAGGATCTTAAAGAGAATAACAAAATGCATATGCATGAGATAATCAGCAAGAAAATGACAAGGATGATCGGAAAGGATCAAGCTGTTGGTTCATCATCAAAAGTGGTTCCAAAAGTTTGCTTTTGGTTATGATGTGATTGAAGAAGAACCACGGTTTAATTCGGTCTTGAATGATGATGAATTGAGGTGAGCTTCATGCAACAGCACTTCATGTGTCAAACATGGCAGGGGATTGCCAGAGCGTTCAAAGTAAGCGATGAAACTGTTTGTTCTAGCTTACATCAACTTGGGAAGACACGGAAGCTGAGCAAATGGGATCCTCATAAATTGACTGAAAAGCAAAACATTTTCCTTTCATTGCTTTCACAGCACAAGGTGGAGACTTTTTGACCACAAAAAATGAATCCTATACAGTAACATCAGGTCATACTATTGGCTGACACCAAATGACCAAATATACACTAACAAAAGGTGATGCATGCTTTGTGTTTGGTGGAGTTTGTTTTTAAACATTTTCCGACCATGCACCTATCGATGTAAATTGATGGATAAAATGGCAATGTTTTACACTTTGCAGATGAGGGAAGATGATTTAATCAAGACTGCATCCATTTCATATCAAAATATTTAGAAGAATTTGAGCTTTCATCATTAATACAAGGAAAAACCAATCTATATACATAAAACAGTTCCGTGACTGACAGACAACGCATAGACCAAAACACTGGATCTAAAGGGCTGAAATTTTGATAGTAAATTCCTATTAATATGGATAGCAGATAAGATTTTTTTAAATTCCATCTGTGACGGGATCATAAGATAGTGCTTTGTATAGACCAAAGTAAAATGAAGAGAGGAAATTGAGAAACAAGACATTATATTACAAATCCGTACTAGTGCTATTCATCGCATTAGAAAGGTACATTAAAACAGAGTTGTTTTATGACAAGTATGGTCCCAGGTAAAAGCTAGTATTTTTGTATTTATGACATTTATTGATACAAACTAGAGTCAATAATCTCCTCAACAACTACAAAATATTTGTTTTTAAGAAAATGAGATATTTTCATTTACAGAATTCTCTCAATAGGTGGCTCTCGGATCTGACCCATATAAGGTCATCCTCACCCAATAAAGAACAAGTCATGCAAGGTTGGCACACGAACTTTGGCCCCAAAGGTTGCTCGATGTGTTCCACCTAATTAAAAGGTGCAATTCCTTGGCTCCATATAGAGAGCGCATAGGAATGCCACCCGATATGAGAATTGTGCTTGAGCACAGCAATGGGTATCTGGGTCCCTGTTGCGATTGTTAGAGGAAAGTGGGTTGTTTTTATGGTATTTAGTACCGATAATTTCCTGTCCCTAGCATGTGTTAAGAGTATTTGGCATGAATATGTGGCGTGAGGGCAAATGACGGAATATTGAGTATCCCATCAACCCTCAATTAGGTTAGTTATATGCGTGTACAGGGTGATGGAGGAATATCGAATACTCCCCCAAACAAACTGGTGGTATTTAAATAAGAAAAAATGTATTTAAGAATGGGTGAGAATGTGAATGGGTTTGGATTTAGGAACTGATTGATTTGGGGCTGAAATGACCTAGCTGTTGATAGTACTTGGAGCCCGACCTCGGTGGCTGAACGGGATGTAACTGAGTCTAAAACCCCAGGCTACCTGATTCTGATTCAGCTGAGGGTAATTATCAAGGCCTACCGGTAATTTATTGTAAATTAGCTCACAAAAGCTGAAATGATGTGAGAAGTGATAGCCTCAATGCTGTACATATGTCTATGATGTACATGTGCAGAGTTGAGTTTATACCAAGTCAGTACTTGATTCACTTGTTAAAATTTGGCTTATTTAAAATAAATTTAAGGCTAGTTCGATATATCTAACCAAAGGGATATTTTAAGAGCATTTTCGGGACGACTTAAAAGTAGGCTTATCTTAAACTTCTATGAAGCTGCCCAACAGCCAACAATGGCATTAAAATAGGTTTACCATCGAAATCATCATTATAAGATGATCGTTTTTGCTCTATACTAGTTAAACATTAATTTTAATTTAAACATAAAACAAGTTGTTCGCACTACCTGTCACAATTTTTGTACACATACAAGATCAACTCCACAAAAAATTTACACTTTAAATACCACAGAATACTTTAATTAAATCTGACAGCATGACTACGTAGAACAATTCATTCAAATAAGTAAATAATTAAAGCAAACAACCAGAACAAAACCTCCTCTTTAGAAAGATTGTAGTTTTATTTAAATTTAAAAAAAAAATTAATTAAAGGCTAAGATTTTAATTGGCCTAATAAATTTAAATCATAATCTAATATTAAAATGAGGTTTGAATTTTATTAAACATGATAAAATTGATAATAAATGTCGAACTATAATTTTCGATTGTTGGGAAAACGATTTGTGAAATTTATCGATAATTGTTTTCAAAATGACTAGAGGGATAGGCCTATAAATTATAAAAAAATTAAACTTCACTTTCAAACTACTTAAAAATAATGTTTAAGTTTTACTCAAGTTAAAAAATTGTATTCTAATACATAAGATTGATATACAGATATCCATGTGTTCAAAGACGAATCTGTACACTACTTGATTTGTTGACTTTATGTTAGGATTTAGGATTAAGGTTGATGGAGGGGTTTTATCATTACATTTTTTATAGATATTATCTTCCTTGGAACACCTATAGTATTTGTAATCACGCTTAAAGTATAAGAAAGGCCATTACATTTTTTTAATTTGCCACAATTTTAATATAGTGTTGTAAATAAATTGATAAAATGGACTTTTTCACGATTATCGGCTTGTCTGCTGTGATATACATTCTCGTTTATTTCATAGTTTTGTCAGCTACAGACTGCGACCTTGGTCTGCTATGGGCATTATACACTGGCCGAAAATTAGGTTCGTCTATGTATTGAATACTGTTTAAATATCTGCTAATAATATTTTAGGTTTCTATTCTTTACTGGTTCTTATTCATCCTTGGACATTAGTGATACTTTATTGAAGAACTTTAGTATGGTCCATGGTTGGTAATATTTATGACCTGATAACTTTTTTTGAGATTTGTATAGTTTAACAGTCCTAAATCCACCTAATCCGGCTGCTTATTTTGACCTGATAGTTATAAAAATCCAAGACAAAACTAGAAAGGAGAAGGATCACTCTGATAAGAAGCAGCCAACAACAGTATATTTTATTTTATATGTATATTTATTTTTAACAGTATATTAGAGATTTTTGTCTATTTAGTTCATATGTAAAAATAAAAATCCACTTTTGTTGAACATACTGCAGATAACGCACTGATAAGCGTGATAGTATTTTAAATTGAATTGTTCGTAATGCAAAAAAAGTGAAGTGTTTAAATCTGCAAAGTGATGAACTAGTAAGTTGATGACCTGATGATTCAGTGGGTGATCTGTTATTTTCCTGTTTTCTTGGCAATTTTGTTGAAACACTGTGTTGAGGTATACATAGGGATGCACAGAGTTGATCTTGCACTGGAACCGATTATGTCTGATTTTTGAACATGTATCCACCCATCGTCACACAAACATTCTCAATCTAGTGAATGTAATTAGCCCTCTCATACTTGTCATCCCCAGGGTTGATGCAGATTGGGGTTGACATTTGAGGGGCAGTGGCTCGGCTGGGGACTGGAGCGACCCTTCCAGGCTGGACTCATTATTGCGGGAGCAACGGGGGAGGTACTGAGGGACTTCAGGTGTTCCTGAGACGGATAACAGAGAAGATTTCATAATGATTCACTTAAGGTCAAATAGATAACTTTCATATATGTGTGGTCTTTTAATTTTGTCTTAATTGGTTTTGAATAATATTTTATTTTTATGTGAATAGCAGAATGTTTTTTGGTTTCTAATTGAATTTCGATAATGGGTAATTCGGGGCTAGCTTGTAGATTAGGTGTTAGATCCGGGTATAGCTATTTTTCAAAATAAATTTTTTGGGATTGGATTTATCTTTCTTTTATTTTTGGCTTTTATTTCAATTTGGGGACAGGTCAATCCACGGAAACTGTCCCTTTTTGACCATTTCGGTCCAGAGCGTAACACACTAGAGCCAACTTAATTATACATAACATCCATTTTGTTTTGACAGTTCACAGTAAAAACCCAAACTTCTTTGTGTCCGTTCACTTCCCGCAACTATATGAAATATATCTAACAGACATAATGGATGAAGGCATGGTCATGTGTATGGGTTGTTAGCCCATTTTCAAATGAATTCGCACTTTTTGCAAATTTCTGGTCCCATAGTATGCGAGGCTTTAGTACACTTTTTTGCGTGTGTAGCCATGGACACAAAAAAATTAATTTCATTAACTCAAGAAATTGATTTTAAAATATCTAAAGAAACCAAAAGATTGAAAAAAATTCCAAATGCATACCACCAAAAACAGAACAACCACTACTGACGGACACACAACACCGTTAAGTCTGTTCCAATGTGGAGCTCAAGTTGGACTAATAAGTCCATAGGCATAGTCGGATGTAGACGGTTCTAGTGTGAGATCAACCACTGAAGTTGGTGAAATGCTAAAAAGAATCTGGTAGAAAAAACCTACAAAAATAGGCAGAGCAGGACATCATGGATCAGTTGTTGATATTTCCATGTATGATTTCCTCTTGGGGTTCCAACTTGTAGGGTTAGTCCTTTTCAATCATTTTGGTCTTTCAGGCACATTTTGTTTTCTTGCCATCTTCGGTGCTGTGTCAGTTTTTGCACTTCATCAGATCATATTTTAATAATATAAATTATAAATGTGCTATGTTCAAGAAACATACATGAGTATAAAGGACAGGACTAAATGAAAAAATCAACCAGAACATCGATGGTAGAAAGACTACGATTTGGAATTCAAGATTTGATTAATCCATGTTTTTAGTTGGCCCTATTTAACCAAAATAAGATTTGATCAATGAAATTTACTTCTACAAATTGTGATTAAACATATCAATATGACAAAAAAAATTGTATTTTTGCATTGTAAAGTTTGTATCAGTTTTTAAATTTTATAGCTTAATGTTTTAAATAAACTATTGTTATTGCTCTTACAACTGAAGAAATTCATTACCAAAAATGCTAGTCCTAATGTTAACCCATATTATTGTTAATTTTCAAGTATTGCCATTTTTCTTAAATTAAACCCTTCCTTTTTAATTTTTTGTATCTTATTTTTTATGTTCTAGATTACTTTAAGGATAAGGTCGTCTGGATTACAGGGGCATCGAGTGGTATTGGGGAGTTCTTAGCTGTTGAGCTCGCAAAAAATGGTGCCAGCCTTATCATCAGCGCTCGTTCGGCGAGTAACCTGGATAGGGTCAAGAAAAGGTGTTTAGGTAAATTATGAAAATAACAACAATAATTTGAACAAGAAAATGTAAAATATTATTTTAGTTTTGGTCAAAATGTTTATCGACAAGTTCTCATGGTGCAGTTTTTCCATGGTTTTTTAATTTATTTGTTGCTGTATAATAAAGAAAAATGTTATAGAAATTGTTGAAAGGGACTAAATTTGGATGTATATTCAACAAATATGGGTTCTAAGTACCTTTACAAGTGCATTTTGTAATCTTGCTACTTTCAGTTCACTTGTGTTTTCGGTGCTGTCTTCAGCTCCTATCAGTTCAACACTCCTCTCAAATTAGCTACATTGCCATTATCACTGACATCTCAACTTAACAGCCCACTTATTTTAACTAAACAAAGGGTGGCTACGGTTGTGAGGTCTAATTTCCAAATTTTGAAATTTACTTTTAGTGTTTTGCAGAGCCAGAATACACTGCAATATTTAGGGATGGTGTATTAATATTTATTAATATAATATTTAACATTTAACTTTCAACCTAATTTCGCCAAACTCATATTCATTTGTCTAATATTTTTCAATTTACTAACATCCTTCGCAAATTTCATTCCTATTGGTTTAGAAACCTGTGAGCAGCAGCAGCTTGGTGAACACAATTTTTGGTCATTTTTACACCCAAAATTTTATTCTTGGCTCCTGGAGCCCACTGCAAGGAGCACTCAGAAGTGTCCATATTTTTCAACCTAGAAATCCATTAAACAAAATTTCATTGAAATTGGTGACCCCACAACCATAGCTTCCCTTTTAAAGTAAACTGAGGTGGTTAAGCACGATTTTTATGCTGATCCAAGTATAAGGGCATTTTGCAGAAATGTCTATTCAAACTGGTGTGACTTGTAGGTTATATGGTTTGATGAGTATTTGTAAAAAGTGTTACTCTCATTGTATTATCAAGACAATGTTTCACAAAGCAAACAACACAATACTTGAATATTCTTTGTTATAGATGTTGGAACACCTGTTAATAAAATTCTTGTTTTACCTTTTGATGTAACGGATTATAAGAAACATGAAGAAATGTTTTTAAGAGCAACACATCATTTTGGAAAAGTAAGCACAAAGTTAAAATTTAAATCCTTGATTATCCTAAGTAGTACCTTATTAAAATTAATTATTGATCATTTGGAGATTGTGAGATGCAGTCTGGTGTGACGTACATTTAGAAAAATGTATTCTTTATCATGCTAACGTTTGATCTTTACTAAGATCAAAATGTTGGCACGATAAAGAAAAATTTTTTCTAAACCTACATCATGCCAGACCGCATCTCACAATCTCCAAATGATTATTAACTAAAGGTCACTAAACACCACACATTAATTTTTAAACTTGTATTAAATCATGTTATTCTAGTTTCTGAAAGTTATTTATGAAAAGATACATAACCAAATTAAAGTGTAATTTTCTTTTCATCCCGATTGTGTTGAAATGAAGTTTTACAACAGTAAGAGTTCTGTTTCAGCTGGACATTCTAGTAAATAATGCAGGACGGTCTCAGAGAGCAGTTTGGGAAGATATATCGACAGAAGTAGACAGGGAGATGTTTGATCTGAATGTCTTCAGCTTGATTTCTCTCTCAAGGCTGGCCGTCAAGTATTTTGACAAAAATGGTGGTGGTCACATTGTAGTCTCTTCTAGTCTTGCTGGAATTTTTGGAGCGCCATTTTCCGCAACTTACACTGCCACAAAACATGCTCTCCATGTAAATATAAACTCATGTATTTCAAAATATTTCTATACATAATTGTCTCTGATTATCATGGTCTGTTGTTTATTGCTTTCTTCAACATTTCTATATCTTTATTGATTTTTGTATGTCCATTGTATGCATTGAAAAGTTTGACAAACCACTGAAGATGGTCAAGTGCTGAAATCTACTTATTTATAATTAATCTATGAGGTTTCGTGGTCCGATTGACCAAATAAATTCTTTTCAATTAATTAAGGCTTTGGTTGAGATAAAAAAGCCAGTGTCATGAGCAGGATTCGAACCCATGACCTTCGACTAAATACACCACTGCTCTACCACTTGAACTATCCTGACTTCGATCCACTCGGACCTTAACTTCACATCTCAACCCCACCTTTTGATTTGTCGCTGAGAATCAAATAGATTACACGACATTTGAAAAAATGGCAAAAAGGAGTATAAATTCAAAAGGTGGGGTTGAGATGGGATGTTGGTGTCTGAGTGGATCGAAGTCAGGATAACTCAAGTGGTAGAGCAGCGGCGTATTTAGCCGAAGGTCATGGGTTCGAATCCTGCTCATGAACTGGCTTTTTTTATCTCAACCAAAGCCTTAATTAATTGAAAAGAATTTATAATTAATATAAAGCAATGATGTTTTCCAGAGACATTTATTAGGTCTTCTCGTTCTTCTAATGGGTTCTATTGCAAGTACCTGAAAATTTGATTAGTAAGTAAATAAAGTAATTGCTGTCATACAGGAGGTCTTATCATCCAACTAACCATTGGATGTTACAAATGAGGGATCTAACTACTTTATAATTCAATTTTCATACTATAATTAAAAATCAATGGTCTCTATTGGGATTTTTGCTCACAACCGCTACCATGGCAAATAAGTCACACTCTAACCACTCAGCACCGTGATCCCTGAAAATTTGATTACACATTACTATTAAAACCTGATTAAAAGTAATCACTTAGTCTGACTCCTCAGGCCTGTTTCACACATGTACTTAGTGGGAGAAGTAAACGATGTTTCACCCTTGAATGTTAAAAAATAAAAAGTCGCGGTCAATTCAGGGGAGGTCGAGGAGTTTGCAAATTTTGGGTGGATTTCACATCTAGCCGGTAGGGCATTAATCACCAGTCCAAAAGGTTTAGGCATTGGTTGAAATGGAATAAATTGTTGAGCTATTCATCGTGTTAGAACTTAATAGACTAATTTTATGGGGCCAACATCATGACAACTAAAACACCGACTGCCATATAGTCGGTAGTATTACAGGAATTACTATAATTACTTGCTTTTTATTGTTATAATTATGTATAAGACATGTATATTGTAATAAAATGGAGAATAGACATAATTTGAAAAGAAAGAAATGTATTGACGTAACGAAAAATCAAAAGGAGGACCAGTCGAGAATTTGATATTATGAATTCCCCTAGTTCGCTTTTCTTGCTGTCACTGTCTTCTCAGCTGTTCTGATGACACATAGCTAAGCCAGCACAATAACACACAATTCTAACAATATTCTAAGCAAAAAAGTTGTATGAATCTCACAGCTATAATTGTTTTTGTGTATTAATATTTTTTTTTTAATTTCAAATAATTTAATGTATATTACATAGGAATTTCATATTAAAAAGTCACATATTTTGTAATGTTTAATTTAAGCATTTCTTGTAAACTTGATTACATCAACATGAACATCAACTGATTTTTTATTGTGGAATTTGTACGTCTGAGGAAGGTCGAATTTCAGTTCTGCAATCACATCACATTCTACCTGCCATGTTCTACATTTCTTAATAATATATTCCCTTGTAGATGTTTTATGCATTGAGTAAACGACTTTTCCCATTCTTATTGCTGTTTCAAGAAATTCTATGTCAACTCCATTTTTTCTGGTCCCAAATGGAGGGTTCATTATTACAGTGTCAAAAAAATCATTCCACCTGTCTGGTATTCCTGTGGTAACATCACATCTCACCACGTGACAATTTGGCACTTCAATATACTCTACATTGTGGTTAAAAATTTCAATTGCATCGTCATCAATTTCAAACCCGATGCAACAACCGGCTCCTAATAAGGAAGCACCAATCGAGAGGATGCCACAACCACAACCTAAATCTGCGATAACTTTATCCTCAATGTCATCATACTGTGAGTGTATGGCATGAAGCACCATAGTTGTTAAATGCGGTGTCGTCGTATACTGCTCATAATGGATTTTTGGCTTGTCAAACACCTCAACCTCTTGTAAATATGATTCTAACTCTTTCAATTTCATTGCTTCTTGTCAAATCTTGGTAAAACTGGAAGTATCACATTACCGAATGATGAATCCTGTGGAATGTAATAGCCGAATGATTGGCTGTTGGCCAGATTGAAAGCACTCCGCTGAGTGGAGTTAAAAGCTTGTAAGTCTGGACTCAAACTAGTCTGCTGTAAAATAAATATAAATATAATATTATTAAAAAGTACAAAAACTTAATCATCTACTTATGCTGAACTGGCATTCGCGGGTGGAGACCTATTCAATAAGTGACCCATTGCAGTTCATCGATTCGCATACCAACACCCAGCATCAATTCTATTCTTCTACTTACTGCGATATTTATGGGTAAATTCGAGTTTGAGGATGAGACCACCCCCTGCTTCAGCAATTTTTTATTTAGCTCCAACTCCTCCAGGATTTTTCTATTTAATTCTAAAATGGAAGTTTTTGAGTTCACTGAATAATCATGAATAATAAAAGAGCCTACCTCTGTTTGATATAGCCATAAGATATTTGCATTAGAAAAAGGTTTAAAAAATATAACTTTTTACGCAAAGTTTTATTTGAAAGTATAATTCAAAATAGAAAAACATGTTTATAACCTTAACATAACCTTTGCAAATTGTATAGGATTTATTGTCTTATTGGTGGGGCTGAGGTCAAGGATTGAAATTGGTTAACTAATTATTAAGTAATAGTATTTCATTTTAATTTTTACAATTCTTTAATATTTCGTTTAACCCTTTACACACCGTCATTGCTAAGCACTGTGACAATGTTGTTGGTTCCTTGGCAATGTAGGGACTGATTTGGACTTTAAAGAACTTTAAAACCATCTATTGAAAATTTATTAAGTCTTTATTTGAAGAAATATTTAAGATCGTTTTGCTCTGATAATGATCTTAAATAGGTCGAAAGCTTGTTTGTTTTTCAGCCAGACTATAGTGATCCAGATTATTAGTGATTTTGTAGAATAACAGTAATTTTATAATACTTAAGGTCTTTATTATCAGAAAATATATTAAGTTTATTTAATATTTAAGTTTTTGAATTGGAAATCTTGGAATGTTTAAAGAATTGTTTTACATACATTAGCATTGACTGTAAAAAGCCTTACATAATTGAGCATTCCAACAACAGGCTTGTTACTTGTATGTTTAACATAAAGAAGTCACTCAAAGTTTCTCCATGTATGTTATGTGAAAGATTAAACAAAATATTAAACAATTGTAAAACTTAAAATTAAAATAATTAATTAACCAATTTTCAACAGGCTCGGCTTTATATGTGTCAAATATAAAATATATGTTTTCTTCCAGGGTTATTTTAAATCATTGCGCATGGAAAAATTAGGTACAAAATTAGCCATAACTCTTCTATGCCCTGGACCTGTTTTTAGTAATGTACTTTCACAAAGTTTCACTGGAAAAAGCGGTGAGGTAAGAAATCAATAAATAATGTAATTTCCATCCACAAACATATATATTTCAGAGCCTTTCTGTAACACTGAATACATACATATTTTTTTTTACAGATTTTTGGTCAAGAAATGTTAAAAGATGATAAAAGAATGCAGACAAGTCGCTGTGCTTTTTTATATGCAGTTGCCATCGCCAACCATCTTGATGAAGCCTGGGTCGGCCTCTTTCCGAGCATACCACTGTGCTATATTTTAGTGTACTTTCCCAACATTGCTAAAAAGCTGGCACTTCTCATTGGTACAAAACAATTGATGAAGCTAAGAGACAGTCGCCAGGTTATGAATACAAATAAAAATGATTAAAATAACTTCAAAAATGATTTTTTTTGTGATGAAACTGTGTTACAACACCAGTTATTATTCATAATGTGTATTTTAAGCCTAAATACAAACTTTATTATTTACTTTTTGTCATTTTTTTGAACTGGTATAATTATTTGCTTAAAACCATTATGAATAATTGTAATACATACCTACATTGGAATAGTTTATATTTTTTGCTATTTTTTAGGCTAAGTGGATAACAATAAAAAAGTGCTCAAACATTTTCCATTATTCCCACCTTAATTGTTCAAATTTATTCTTTGATTGTTGATTGGCTAGATTGTTAAACCACACTGCATGCAAAACATGTTTAATCATTTGTAAACTCTGGTTTGGGTTTGTTCTGAACTGCAGAAAATTAATTATTTGAAAGATAGGTGCATGGGACGTGGACAAATGCGTTGTATGTGCTATCTTTGTTTGGTAATGGTAATAACACCTGCCTGGAACAGACTGATGGAGACAAAATTTTTGATTTGGCTGGTATGGTTTATCCCCATTTGAATCTATATTAACACAGTCATACCAGTTTGCTAGACAGCCGCAGGCTATTTTGACTGTTTTGGTGTAATTTGAGTTTATGACCTTAGGTTTCTATGTTAAGCGTAATTCGTCTAATTTACATTATGTCCCCCAGCAGCTTTTTTCTTACAGGGTGTTTATTTCCTGAGATAATATTGCTTTCCAGAAGAATTATATTGAGTATTTATTTATTTATGTATTTATGCTTTGCTTAGATATGTATTTGTAGTAATTAATTAAATGTACAAGTCTTGGGTGTTGAAATGTGGGTTTTAATCAAATAAATCTGTGACAGTATTTTAGGCGCGATCTTTTTAATCAATTGCTGATTTATAATGAACTTTCATCGTTTTGCCCAGACTCCCTTAAATTTAATTTTTCACTATTCTACTGCTATTTTTGGTAAATTTATAAAAATATTGTTGAATTTGTAAAAAATATTCCTACATTGTTTCTTGAGCAAAGACTGTCATTTTATTATAATGCGAATTAATTTGTCTTGTTTTATAGTAATTTTTCGAAATTTAAGTATAGTCCACTCCAGTGAAGAAGGGGTGGTGTTTAGGTAAAGAAGGTATCATAAAGGTTACTATACTGGTAAAACACGTTTTGTTGTATAAAGTTATCAGTTTCTAAGTTATAAGCTAAAGTTAAAGATGGTTTTTACCACCGTAATCAATTTTGTAAGGTCAAAAGGGCCCGACGAATTTTGGAGGAAGAGGAAAATTTTTAAAATGGCTGCGGTTTGTTTTTAATTTATAAATTTATTTTTCAAAAAATTAATCCCAAACAATACAGGTTCTTTTATTTTGTGCTTATCCGTCTTAATTAAAATGTAATTGTTTAGTTGGTAACTTTGATTGAGAATTGGAAATGTAGGAAAATACTGTGTGCTGTAAAAATACCTGAAAGTAGATTATGTCAAATTACATCGGTGATAAAATCCCTGGTTTTGTCTGTTTTGAGAGCCTAACTTTAAAGGATTGAACCTGTAAATTAGTCATTTCTGATCATTTTGGCCTGCCTATTCATGCAAATATATGCTAAATACACTTGGAGTAGTTTTTGTTGACTCAGCCGATCATTCTATTAGTTTTAAGTATGGTTCCACACAAATTATGGGCTTTCTAGCTACGCTGTTGTATCGAAACCTGTTGGTGGTTTTACTAACAGCAAGCAAGTGGTAAGAGGCTGCCTTGGCCCATCAATAAATATTTTTACAGTGGTATTGTTCAGATTGTATTTTGCTCACCGTTCATACCACACATGGGCTTGGGAAGCTTTCGATAAGGTGATTTTAGCATTGTTCTTTTTTAATTAATTTTTTTTTAACTCTGTAGAATGGATAAAATAAATCACCACCATATCAATTTGCCACCCGGACCTACCACGATCAAATGAAAATAAAGAGAGGGCCAGCGCCAGGTGGTGGCCGCCTGGATCTTGGGCTTGCACAACCAAGCTCAAAGTGGCGTCCATCAGGCTGATGTTGTGTTACTTCAGGCCACAACTTGTTAAAAAACTTTCTCAGAATGCTCTAATTATTTCGGATGGATCCATGTCCACCTTTTTGGGATCACTTCATCGTCAAGGATCATGATTGGAATTGATACAGTTTGAAACTGCCGAGGAGTGTTAAGCAACCTATTGATGTATTGAATCAGCATTGGATGAACCTGAAGACATATTTATGTTTATTGTATGATTTCTACGTATAATCATAATATTAAATCTGATATCTGAAAGCTTCACCATTTGTACAGATGGAAGCAAGAAAGAGGGGGTTGGATGCACCACGGTTATTTTTGCAAAAGTACCAGTTTAAAATACAGATTGGCTGATGATTGTTCATTGTTGTACATTTTTTTTTACTAACGACTGTTCAGTCATTTGACTTTATTTTTATAAATTAATTAATTCTTCTTACGATATTTCCATCTACTTCATCTGGTGTCAGACTTTTATTCAACTGATCAAAAATCAACTAATTACAATGTTGGGATCGAATCCCAGATTGGCTATTAGTAGATAATAAATTATTAAATACTTTCAATATTTTTCCAATTTAAATTCTTTTTATTGTGAAATATTCTTGTTTCAGCATTTTGTAGGCCGAAGGAGAAATTGCTATTCAATTGCTATACGTAATGTTCACCGTGCCCTAGCCTACGCTACAAAAGGCAGACAACTCAAGAAACAGGACATGATAGATGTAATTATATCTGTTGTCATAATTTTTTTTTTCTTTTGTAAATCTATATTTATATTTTAGCTTTGGAAAACGCAAATAGATGCGGGAAGCCAGCAACATGGTTTGTCTTACAATTTGATGAAGGAAGGGTTAATCAGGAGCAATATTTTGCTCAATAAAAAAACCCTCGCCGATCTAGCCATTTGGGAGCCGTACACGTTTAAGGTCTGATAATTTTTAGTTGCCTATATGAAAAGTAAAACTGTAGCATGAGCCCTCCCCCCTTGTGTGGACTTTCAACATTTTCACATTCCTGATGGGCATATGAGTCAATTATAAAATATGTTGTCTAATTTTTATTTATTTTTACAGGCTTTAACTCAAATAGCAGCTGTGAAAGTGAAAGAGGAAAAAATGCCATTAGATGACGATACTGAAATCCCTGAAAACGTAATAACCAGAGGATTGTTATCTAAATAATGTTAGGTCTTATTTCATATAAAAATAATATATTATTTACAATAAAGTAGTGTAACTACACACTTTTGTAATAAACTCTTGTTACAAATTTTCTCTTTCTCTTTATTTTTAGTTACCATCTGTTCAAAAAATGATCACACATTTTGAGAAACGTCTTAGAAAAATTTCCAATCGCAGGATAGAAGTATTTCAATTATCCTTTCTCCATAATGCCATTTAAAAGATTAACATAATCTTTATTCAACAACAAAGAGGGTTTAGTCTGTATGCAATTTGTGTGGATCAGTAAATCTGGCAGTTACAATGTAGAAGAGGGCAGGCAAAGGTACTAGGCATAGGAAAGCCCCGTGAAGTACAGGTTCGCCCAGTTGAGTTAAAGATATGATACCATAACCATGTACTACCCAGTGGCCTAACACGATTATCAGGTTCCGTACATCCGTAACTGTGCTGATGACCAGAAACGTCATGGACTGAAATAAAGAAAAATTTTAAACTTTAATTTATGAACTTAGATTTGATAAAAAAAAGCAACTTATTTTACAAACCTGGTCCATTTTAAAAGCAAAATGAGCTGCATTTGATATCACAGAAAGTACAATTACTATGTATGGAAAGGTGTAATCTGAAAAATAAAATGATGTCCACGATCTTAAAATCCAAACTTAATAAAATTAATTTGAAATCTTGTTAAAATAATGTAACTTACAAATAATGCCGCCGAAAACAGCATGGAATACGGCCAAAATGGGAAAGAAATACAGGGCTGCATAAATCGTGACTCCACCCGTCTTAAGCCTGAAAAACTTCACAAGCCAAGGTCGCAGGAGAATCATAGTCAGAACAGAAGTCCCATAGAATACAAAGACCATAGTATGCCTAAAACAAGAACATTGTAGAGACTACACTGATGTATTTTTTAAAAAACATACAATGGATACACCGCTTCTTGAGTGCAATGCAGCAGTTCAGTATAATTTGGACGAGGATTATGAAACAGGGTATACCAATCGGACAACGATTTCACAGGACATGACTTCAAGTCAAGTTCTCCGAATGGTTCTACCAAAAGCAGTGTTATAAGAGCTGCTAAAACAGTTTCTAAAAGTGCTGATAAATGAAGCACCAGAGCACCTTGGCTTAGTCTGAAAATAAGTAGATATTGTAAATTTAAATAATATATAATACAACTAAGTACACATTTGTAATTTTGACATGTTCATCTTAAAATAATAAAGTCATTCAACAACTTGGATAATATATTAAGAGAAAAATAAATTTTGTTGCACTTTGTCTAACTATTAAACAACCGTACTTACTTTCCCCTGAACGGTGTTGTGTTGTCGATAGAAAACCAATGCAGCACTAAAGGTGAGAAAGTCATGAAGCCGAGATAAAGCCAGTCATAGAATACAGGTTTCTCACCGCAAGGCACACACAAGGAAGAATCGTTTGCCCTGAAGCCCCTCTCGCACGCTCCGCACTCTCCCCAAGTGCCGTTCCCCAATGGCATTCGACCACAATACAGCCCAGGACATTTGATCATCTTAAAATCTAATTTCTAAAATGTAAAATATAAATTAAAACAAAAAAATGTAAATCTAACAAAATTCAATTTTTATTAGGAATTGAAAGTTGTGGAGTTTCAAATATAAATATAAAGTACCTATGCTACTAAAACACTAGGAAGTCATAGTATCAAAATATCTTTCAAACATTATCAATTAAATTCATTAATGACTTTCCATCAAAAGGGAACATATTAAAGATGAGATTACGATCTAACCTTATGTATACAAAGTTCAAAATACAGACCTGCTGAGGAAGAGGAACCTCATCCCTCTAAATTTCTTAGATTTTATTTTTCAGTTGTCCACCTTAAGAAAGCTATGTTTATTCTACTTTATTATATTTTTATATTGAAGTTTGTTTTCTATTGTCTTCGATGGCCTGTTTTTCGGTTGTTCATCATAAACTAGATCAAGATCTATTAACCTTCATCAGTAACCAAAATTTAACGTGAAGTTGTAACCTTCTTATAATTTTTTTTTAATAAACTGCCATAAGCCGATTAAACGCGAGGAAGATGAAATGACAATGTTCATTAGCAGTGATATCAAAATATTTCGAATTTTAATTCTATCTTCTAGTCTATAATTTTTGTGAGCATACTTTAATAATAATTTTTGGCTTGAAACAAAACTGTCGGCATGTTGTTAAACAGTAATGTGAAAAGGCTGTTTAACTTGGCCAAGCAGTTCCAAAGAGTAAGTTATTGTACTATAATCAAATATATTTCTAAAATAAGTAAATATGTAAGTAACCAAGGTGTAGTACAAGTAGCGAGGCGGGGAACATCACGTTTGTTAAGTCCGACTTCAGATGATATGGAGTTCTCACCACAATAGTGAAAGTGGGATGTAGATGTCCAGGGTGACTGTCTGTTTCCTTGGGTGTTTCTTTGATATCAGGTTTGACACTCTTCCATTCATTTTTTTTCTGTGTCCCCATATCTAATTAGTTCGAACTAGATGTAACCCAGATTTTTGATATGGTGGTCTGGCACCAACTTACAAACTTAAATGCTTCTTTCCAACTCCTAGCCTTATCCTGAAATCCTATCTAACCGAATGCTGCTTCAGAGTGAACGAGTTCTCGGAAGTCAGATAGATACGATCCGGCGTCCCACAAAGTATTCTCCGTCTCATCGTTTAGCTCATTTATACTTCCATCATCACTACCTACATGGACAATAACACAATTTTGTCCTCTAACTTGAATCCAAGCTACCTCCAACATCCAAGAACAATTTGAGTTTATTGGAGATGGTACAAAAAGTGGAGGACAAGACTGAATGACGAAAAAGGTAATCAGTGTTCACATTGTAAAAACAGACTTGGTCTCCACTGTAAATCAATGATAGAAAGAGATACCGTTTTCCAATCAAGTCAAATACTTAAGACTATACTTAAACAGCAGACTGATGAAGAGTGGAACACAAGACTTAAGAGACAACTACAAAAACTTCTAGGACCGAAATTCATATTGTCTGTAAAAAATAAAATAGCTTTATTCAAGACTTCATTGTGAACACTTTGGAAAGTAGGAGTGGAACTGTGAAGTTCTGCCAAGCCATTCAAAATCCAGCACATTTACTCCTTTCAATTAAAAGTGCTCAAGCAATTTGTCAAAGCTACTTACTACATTACTAACCTCACAATCCACAATGACTTAAACAATATTTTTGTCAATGAATTGATCCGTTCCTTATTCCAAAAGTTTCACACCAACTTCTCGATCCATCCCCTTTTTGATCTTGAGCCCTTTCTTCATGTTTCCATTTCTCTTGAGCAATTTCGAACATTAGTGGACGCATGGAAACAAATGATTTAATTATGATAGGTGTTGGTAATAAATGGTACTGGTATTGCAGCTGAATACCACTGGTCAAGGATTATCAGTATTACTTCTAGAAGCTCAAGATCTTGCTAAAGCAACTTCTGCTAGTTCCAAAAATATTCCCTCACACTAAGAGCATTAGCTTGTTTCTCTTGGCATGTATGCTGGATCATGTGCTAAATAAACAGGCTGTAAATAAAAATATTTTTTTTTTAATTTCCCAGTAATATTATTGAGTTACATCAAAATTATATTGTTGTATTTGGTCATTCCCAAACATTTTAATATGTTCTTACTGTGTTTGTCTGTCAGATGCATTTCAGCTTTCATTAATTAAAGTGCTAACTGTACATACACGGAGAAATTTCATGCAACTTTGCACTTTAGATACAATGGAGAACCCAGAACCCTATACATTCTGGAATAATGCAATTATGGTCATTTGCACTACACACCAGGCCGTGAAGAACACTTATTTCAGTTGTCTGCATTTAAAGAAAGCTGAAATAAATAAAAATGGGTTTGTGTTGTCTAGATTTGAATCTGACAAAATACATTCTTGATAAACTTGAAAACATGCAGAAGAGTTCCAAATTTATAGTCACCTATTGATGTGTATACATTTTATTGACTTTTTTAACATTTGATTTTAATTACTTGTATGAAAAATATTAAGGTGTTGCGCTAACCCCCTTTTTTTACAGTACAAATATTATAAATTATCATTAATTATATTTTCAGTGTTCAGTGAGTACTGCATCAGATAAGTTGCAACCTCAAACTCAAGAGAATGCACCTGCTGAGGGGAAAAATATGAGCCAAGCTATGAAAGCTTATTTGGAACGCGCCAAAACATACAGTAAGTTGCTTATTTTTTAATAGTTTAAATTTGATTTTGTCCAAATACAATTGAAGCAATTTAAACAATTTCAGATGAGTTTATTGAGGGTGAAGTCAAACAGTACAACATAGGAAAAAGACATCTGGCAAATATGATGGGCCGAGATCCTGAAACATTTACTCAAAAGGAGATTGATGTAAATATTCCTACTTAGATTATTTTAATTTTTTTATGACACCTATTGACTAAAATTAAAATCATAAAAGCCAATTTATTTTTTATTGTATGTTTTGTCTGTTGATTGCTTTATTTTATGATTCCTTAAAAGTAAAATGTTGTAACATTTTCAAACAATGTTTATGGTCATCCTGGTCTGCCTATTTAAAAAAAAAACCTCGCTACAAAAGACATATGCACAGGTAAATGCACAGACCAATCATTTCAAGTGTGGCTTCTAATTAACAAAGCTGCCAAATGGGTGCCAGAATTATCAGAGATGAAGGAGACCGAGTGGTTAGGTTGTCCAACTCGTATTTGTCACGCTAGCAATTCTGGGTTCAAATCCCAACAAAGCTCATGGCATGTTAATTAATAATGGTATGCAAAATGAATTACAAACTGGTTTGGCCCTTCGTCTGTGACACCTAATGGGTAACACTCTCCTATATGACCGTAATTACTTTACTTTTATCAGAGATGATGAAAATTGTTTATATTACTGATTTTCCCTCACAGTTTCAAATTGAATTCAAATTAAAAAGAAATAGTTTGGAGTTCATAATAGTGATGGTGTAAAAAATTATACTAAAAAAAATTAAAGATGTCTATTTTGAATTAATTTCATAACTTGGCTGAGAGTTAAAAGTTAATAAATAAATAAAAAATGATTTCATTATATATCTAATTTCACTTTTTGGCAGGTTGAATGTATATAATTGTTGGTTGGCACTTACAATTCACAAAAACGTGTTTGTACACATCGGTCTGATAATGAGCATTTAATATTCACAATTAGGATAGTTGTTAAAATCAGTTTGTGAGTAGAATGATCCTTTCCAAAAAGTAAAAAGTATTGCAGTTTGGAAACAAAAAATAATCGAAGCAACAAAAATATAGTTATGTAATTTATGACATACAGGGGGGGGGGTTTCCAATTATGTTGGCTTTCAATGAGGAGGTGGTCGAATCACTTTAAATACTTTTTTAAATTATTCTCAAAAGTTTCAAAACCAATGAAAATATGAAAGCCTAACAAGAATTAGACAAGTATTGACTTGGCTACTGTAGTCCTGAGAATAATATCATTTGATAAATTATCTGGCCAAACTATTTCTAAGATACTGCAGCCATTTTCACCATGCACTGCATTTTTTCTCTATACTAGCATTTTTCCTTTTCTAAAAATAAAATGATATAAAGGAGCAGAAATATTAATAATAAATAATCCCACACTGCATTAACAATTTCAGTGGTCAGTATTTACAAAAAGATGTAATAATTTAATAAGTTTACAAATTCAATATTGTCAACTAATATCCAAAAATGGACATACACATTTATTCCGCTTAAACATCGTATAAGGAATTGTATGGCATACTCCCATTCTCAAAAATAGATGTTTGTAAACACGTAGAGCAATGAGCCATATAAATAAACTGTATAAGCGTAGAATTTTTTTTTTCTTCTTCTTCTTCTTCTTCTTCTTCTTCCACCTTAATTGTTTTCAACTTTCATTCCAGGAAGCCATAGAGTATTTATTTCCTTCAGGACTATTTGAACCGAAAGCACGCCCATTTTTAAAGCCGCCTCATTTGGTTTTTCCTCCTAAAAAGGATGCCGAATTTGACACAAGCGGCCGGCCATATCACTTTCTCTTTTACACAGGGAAACCAAATTTTTACAGCATCATGCATGTAAGGATGTATTAAAATATGATTATATGCTACATATATAAAATATGTTGATTTGAAAAATTAATTATATCATGATCCAAATTTTGTTGCACTTGTTTATCAGATATTTCAATTATAGGAAGTGGTGAAGCATATAAATTCTCTGACAAAAGAACAGGATCTTATTCTCAAGGGAAAACAAAATAGCTTTTATGGAAAATGGTATTTTTTTTTCTTTTGCCAATGCATTAGGATTATTTTGAAATTGTATGTTCTTTTAGTGATATTTCTGGAAGTAAATGGCTATCCAAACAAGAACTGGAAAATTTAACGGTTGAGATCATACATGATATAGAGGTAAGATTAAAATTCACACTCATCCTTAAATTATAAATAACTTTCTTCTCCAGTATGTAATTAACTTAGCACTATACATTTGTACCAGAAACATTCAAATATCTGGTTTTAGTTTAAATAAAATCCTCCTGTAAAAATAAATTAATACAATTACTGGCTTAAAACAAGCTAAATCTATAATACTAAAAATCATTGATAAACCCATGTACAAGTGGTGTTTTTTTCCTTACATAGCATTCTCATTATTTTTGTATTTTTTGGTTATTCTCTAGGGCATTTGCTAGAGAATAAACTTGATAAACTTGAGGGCTGTTGCTTGTAAAAAACTTGATAAACTATAAATTATACCTGTTTTATCAGAAGCTATCATACATAGCAATCATCATGATGCCCCCCACAGATGATCAGATTCAATCATAATACTCTTCTCAACTCATAGTATAAGTTATAACTCATTGTCAGACAGATTTGAGCCTTTACATATTTACTTTTCTAGTTAATTAAAATTATTATGTTTTTAATGTGTGAAACAAAAATTATTTCCTTCAAAAACCAAGTGTTTTATTTTAATTTTTCCCACCAGTATAATAATTTAATCTATGCGTTGGATCGACTCATCGAGTTTGGTGAGACAGCAAAATGCAAGGATTTTATAATGAAACTGAGGGTACCTTTGATGGAAGCGACCATGACTTTTGTACCCCCTGAACCAAAATTTGAAAGCGATGGAAAAGCCTATGTTACAACAAAGGGTAATTAATTAATTATTATTTAGGATATTTGATATTATTTTTATTTTAACAGGATTTTTTAAAAAATAATTTAATGTATGTGTTCATACAAGGAATTTTATCTCAAGAAAACTAATATGCTTGATTGAAAAATGATTAAGCATAAAAAAACAAGTTTTTATTCTAGTTTAATATGATAGATTAATTAGTCAGAACATTTTGCCAGTTGTGCTGTTAAAACAAGGCCTAATAATAAAGGTTGTTTATAGATTGCCCTAGAAAGTCAGCAAGAGCGGAGGTGACAGTCATTTACCCGGGGACAGGAAACATATCTATTAACGGGAAAGGAATTGAATATTTTTCTACAATACAAGCTAGAAATCAGGTAAATAGGCTGTTCTATTTTAGACTATAATCTTTGGAAATTTAGTCTGTTTGGAGCTTCTGTTCACTTGTTTGTTTACCCTTCCTTTTTCCATGTTTAATTAATCTAGTCTATTTTTGTGGTCAATGTTCTTTACAGCGTTATATCTTTCTTTGGTATCTTTTTATTTTTGGAATATTTGTTATGTTTCAAACTGAAAGTTATTAAATTACTTTTACCATTTCTTCTTTTAATTTGTTAAATGATTTAACAAGGACAGTACAGATTTTTTTATGTGCTGAAAAGATAAATTTAATTACTGTTGTTTTTACTACTTCCATTTTTATTGAGTTGAACAATTGTTTCTTATTTTATCGTTTTTATAGATTTTTTGTGTTTTTAATTGTGGGAACTTTAAAATGATTTCTGAAATAATCAGTCATGGTCTATTTTAATTGTGGGATTGGTGGGAGAAATGTACAGTTATGTCCAACCAAGGAGAGGGGAGTGGATGTTCTGCTTGTTTCTTGGAATCATTTGGATTCAGAAGGAAACTGTACAGTGGTGAGTCACTATGGAGAAAGTGAGTTTAGATAGGGCTACAAGTGTCAATTTAGAAGGTAGAAGGAAAAAGCCCAGCTTTATCAACAGGTGGAAGAGCTTCAGGTCGAAAACTCTACCGGCAAAGGAAATTGAATTCAAAGATGCCGCTGAAGAAGTGTTCAGTGAGAACATGGAGGATGAATTGAGCGTGAGGATATGCAAAGATACAGTCAGGCAGATGTTACTCGACTCTATGCGGTCGTCATCCGGTGATATCAGAATAATGTTAGAAATTGAAAATGGAAATGAGCCAGATTTAAGCAAGCTGACGCAAAAGGAGTTAAATATCTTCTTACTTTGGATTTGTTTTATAAAAAGGGATGACATCCTGCTAAAACTTTGTCATATCTATCCAAATATTAATTTGAATTTTGTCACTGATAGTTTTGGACCTTTACATTTGAGTTCTTTCAGTGGGGGTGTCAAATGTATGGAATTATTGATATCCAGAGGTGTTGATACAAATGTTCAAGCCAATAACCAAACAGCTCTCCATTTTGCAACAATAGGAGGTTCAACAGAAGCTGTGAAACTTTTACTTTCGAAAAATTGTAAAATTTTTGATACTGTCTTGCACTCTGCTGTACGTGCTAATTCATTAGAGTGCCTTCGAATACTTTTACGCAAAGGTATTAACCCAAACACGTGTGATATGTATGGTCTCACTCCTCTACACATTGCATCAGACCGGGGAAATCTACATATAATGAAACTGCTCTTAGATTCACCAAATGTAGACGTCAATGCTGGCACGTTAGAGAAAGGCAACACAGCATTACACTTCGCTGCAGAAGGGGGCAATCGAGAGTGTGTTCTATTGCTGCTTAGCAAAGGAGCTGATTTAAAGAGAAAAAACAGAAAAGGTCAAGTGCCGCTGCATGCTGCAACACGTTCACAGAGCACAGAATGTGTAGAGGCTCTTTTAAAATCCGGATCTAATATTTGTGAGAACGACAATGAAAACAGGACACCTTTGCACACCGCTGTTGGAAAGGCTCTACACGCTTATAATATTGTAGAAGTATTGATAAAATGGGGTGCAGATGTTAATTTACGAGATAAATACGGCTATACGCCTCTGCACATTGCTGCAGTTAATGAATTAAGACATTGTGTTGATCTTTTAATTATGAATGGAGCTGATGTAAGCGCAAGGACAAAAGGCGGGCTCACAGCTCTAAGTATTGTACGGAGAAAAACACCAGCATCACTTGTTGCCATCAGTAGACGATTAGACACATCAATTTCTCTACACGATCCTGAACAGTCATTTCGGGAGGTCGAATTGAAATTGGACTTCAGAGCACTTCTTCAGCATTCTTCAGGAGGTGAAGTAGGACTTTTAAAAACTTTAATTGATGAAGGTCAAAAAAATATGTTAGATCATCCTTTGTGTTGTGCCTTTTTACACTTGAAGTGGCAAAAAATCAGACGGTTTTATTTTTCTCGCTTATTATTAACTAGTGTTTTTGTATTGTTTTTGACTCTTTATGTTATAACGACATTGGCGCATAACTGTTACAATTCAGCAAAATATAACTTGACATCTGAACGAGAGCTTTGTGTTCAGAACTCAGCGGTGGGCAATATGTTGTTAAATAACCCAGTATTGATGGAAATTATCTGGTATATATTGGTATTTTTTACATTTTGTGAAATAGCGAGGAAAGTTTTTGGACTGGCTGGATACACCTCAGCTGGGCAATATTTTGAGCAGTGGGCAAATATTATTGAGTGGTTTAATATTTGCAGTGTATTTATTATTTCTTTTGTATACGAGGGAAGAACCTACGTATGGCAGAACCACGTTGGAGCATTTGCCGTATTATGCGGTTGGACCAATCTCATGGTTATCATAGGACAACTTCCAGTCTTTGGCACTTATGTTGAAATGTTTACTAAAGTCCAAAAAGAGTTTGCAAAACTTTTTCTCGCATATGCCTGTCTGTTAATCGGTTTTACAATAAGCTTTTGTGTTATCTTTCCAACATCAGATGCTTTCAAAAATCCACTTATAGGATTTGTTAAAGTGTTAGTCATGATGACAGGTGAATTAGATGTAGATTTACTATTGGGTTCGGAAGACAAAGACTCAATTCTTCTGAGTATAAGTGCTCATATAACATTTGTACTGTTTCTGTTATTTGTAACCGTCGTTCTGATGAATTTGCTAATAGGCATTGCTGTACACGATATCCAAGGACTGTCCAAAACTGCCGGTCTATCAAAACTAGTAAGGCAAACAGAATTGATTTCTTTCCTCGAACTGTCATTATTCCAAGGGTACCTTCCGAAACAGATCAAAAACATATTAAAATGGTCTGCACTCATGTCTCCTGCAGCATATCGTGTGGTTTTGCACGTCAAACCTCTTAATCCTCGAGAAAAACGACTTCCAAAAAGCATAATGGTAGAAGCCCATGAAATAGCAAGAAAGGCGAAGAATTGCTATGCACAAAATTGCGTTGAAGAAAAGCACAATGACATGGCGATGTTAAATCAAAGGATGGACAAAATTGAGGAACTTTTAAAAAAACAGCATTCTATTCTTGAGATGATTTTAAAGATGGAAAAAAGGATGAACAATGAAATGTCAAACATACTGAAAGATTGACTTCAATTACATTCTGAACAGATTTTTTTCAGCCTTGTTAAACGTATTAAATTTATAACTAATGGCGTTGAAAAATTAAAGTAGATATTATTAATTGGGTGTTGTAGATTTTATTTCCTCTTGAGCTATCTGGGCTAAGAACGTCCGTAGATATAAAAGCCTCTGTACAAAGTGGAGGAGAGTCTGGACAAGCGGGTGCAGTACGTTGGGGCATATCCTGGGGGCTGAGGCCATTTGTCACCAAAGACGTACTTGAAACGATGAGACTTGGTGAGTAGTTAAATGAGTACTTTAATTATACATGTGCAGTTTGGATTATTCAATAAAATTGTCCTACAGCCTAATCTTTTTAAATCGACTTGTCTATTCTTAATCATTTTGTCTGACATGTTTTGCCGTCTTCAGTGGTTGGTCTGTGTCTGACACCTTATCAACCAATTTTTACCAGAATTTAGAATGAACAAACTCAGAACAATTGCACAGATTAGGGGAAACATGTCTGATAAGCTAATAATCAATGATAAACAATACCCAGTAGACAAGAAAAATCACTTTATTAAGCTACCCGATCAACACCTTTCAAACAAGATAATTAATAGCCTCTGTTGTTTTTTCAAATAGAAACACAATGTGTTACACGAAAAACACATGCGTTACAAACATGCATATTAAACAGTAAAAAAATTCCCACATTTTTTTAAATCTTTTTCCTTCTTGAAAATGTAATTATTCTGTTATTCCTAGTATCTGTTATTTTATAGATTAAATGTTATATAACATATTAAACTTGACTCAGTTCTATATTTTTAGTTATCGCTCCTCCTTTGTGATAACAGAGAATAACTAAAAATATAGAACTGAGTCAAATCAGATCAACTCCTCAGTTTCAAGGTAAAATAAATAATAAATTAATTGCTTCTCCTCTTGCTTTTTTTATCGTTTGATTGTCTTAAATTGACAAATAAATAACAAGGAGTTTATTATTACTCCTATGAACCCTGAAGATGCATAGGCATCAATAAATAAATTAGTTGAAACAGTTGGTTATTTATTTGTCAATCAATTATTTAATTATTTAAAAAAAATTATACATTAAAGTGTTTTTCTTTTCTTTTCTTTTCCAGCTGGTCTTTTGACAAGAGATTTTAGAAGGAGGGAGAGGAAAAAGCCTGGTCAGGCAAGAGCAAGGAAGAAGTTTACTTGGAAAAAACGTTGAAACCTTTTTTTTTAAAACAATTATAGCATTTGGATAACACGTACAATAAAATGTTTATTTACATTCTGTCCAATGGTTTTAGCCCTAGTAATTGCATGGATATGTATAACGTTTCACGAACTTTACGAAAAAGTAATAGCCTTTGGTTTCCGATTTCTACAGGCTGATCCTTCACAAACAACTGTGTCAGCGCTTTTGCGCATAAATTGCTGTGAAAGAAAAAAATAATAATATACTTATTTACAAACAAAAGCAAAATAAAACTATACTTACCATACCCTAAAAAGATATTGCACTAGGTAAGAAGATTCAAGATCTTTGCTTGTATGTAGTAATACATCATCAAACCTAAAAATAATGTAAGTTTATACAAACTGAGGAAAACTACAATTTTATAATTGCTTAAGCCTGTTTTTTAAATTTGGCCCTCCAGTATGAGGGCTTGGCGATCTGATATTTTTGAAGGAACTTCTGGGACTATTTATCTTTTTTAATTGACCCTTCCACATGTGAAAAGGCAACCCACATACACATTGTGTTCAAAGCTTAAGTTTGAAATGAAAATTCTGAAATGATATCTATGGTCATAATTTTAGATTAATTATTGTAAAAACAAAACTGAAAAAAGTTAAAAAGCTCTAAACTAAAAAGTTTTACGTTACTCGTCTACCTCATAATCAAAATAAACATCATCCTGAGTTTCTGTGCCAGTTCTATCTGTGGCCAAATTATTGTAAAACCTCCTGGCATCTTCGTTGGTAAGAAACTTTGTCAGGTGTTGCAAGTTATATTTTTCCAAATTAATAGGACGTAGGAGTTACGAAGCTGCTGTTTTGGTGGGGGGGGGTTCTTTCCCCTTCTTTTGCCTTTGTGGCACCGACAACATGTGCTTATAATAAGCTCCACAGAATGAAGTGCGGTGGTGTATAAGAGATATTTTCAAACATTGAATCGTTCTTGTGGGGATGGGACATTTCGATTTGTACATCGAAGAATAAGAAATTCGTCTATGATTTGAAAAATTCCCGCTTAAAGTCTATAACAGTGAACGGTTAGGGTTTGCATCTGCTCGGACCAATCACATCCCTCCATCCTTGAGGCATATCTTCATAGGATTTTTTGATTAATCATGCTCATATCTCTATCACACTCCAGATCCACGGATGGGAAAGAAAATTTTTACACAATATATTCTCCCTTTTACTGTTGTGAGATGGTGAAGGAACGCAGAACTGTACATGAATCACAAAAAATTATAAGCGTTCTGACTGCTTGTGGAAGAATTTTTAAATGCTGGAGAGATGGATCCTCATCGTTCTTCCTTAGGCGCCCAGGAGTCCCATAGTTCTTCCACTGTGCCGCCCATTTTCAAACACGATTTTTAATGGAATCTAATTGGTTTTCCCTAGCAACATTTGGTGGATTAATTATTAGTTAATGTCACAAACCAAAATATGCCGGTGAAATCTCGATTCTGACAGAAAATGGACCCTCACTGTTTTTCCACTGTTCTGGGGGGAAAATATATGTATGTAAAATCAACTTAGGGTGGTGGGTCCATGTGTTCATCCATATTCTGGAGATTCATAAAAATTTGATCCAATAAATACATTCATAGAATATGTACAGATAAAATTTAGGGAATCACTATTTGATATTCTGCCAATGCCTCTCCCTTTCACTCTGAACACAATTACCGTGGGGTACTCTACATTACCACACTCAACTGATCAGACAAATAAATACATTCATTTAGTATGACAAACTAACTAACCTAGTTTGGTGGTTATGTCTGATAGTCATAGAAAAGCCACACGTTGTTCTGTGTGGCATGAAATGTTCACATTATACCAATAAGTGTTTTACAGTATTTGAGCACCACACAATGGTTATCACCATGGGTATGCTTTCTTTAAGTGTTTGACTGTCAGACGTTCAGCTGCCATCTTCAGCATGTACATTTCCACACGTAAGTGCTTTTTTAACTTCTAATTGTTTTCCAGTTGAATGCATCTGACACACAGCCAGTAAGATGCCAGACAATGAAGAGATAAAATGTTAGTGACTTATCAAAGGTAAAATGTTTATTTTAATTTTTTCTGCTATTAGTTGTTCGGATATCAAAAAAATTTACTTCTCAAATTTACCCTTGCCTTACTTATTTTAAGAAAATAATTTGAACTAAATGATTTCTTTAAGATTTTAAGATTTTTTCATTATAAGTAGTAAATAAATAATCTTACTCAAATAAAACTAAAGCCAATTCAACAGCAATATCTTCATTTAATAGAGATGGATCACATTTATCCACAACTCGGTCGTCAAACTTTTCCTCCAGGCTTTTCAACCGACAATGCGTATATTGGATTTTGATGCCAGAATCTCCTGTACCCTGTAATAATTTGTTACAAAAAGATTTCTTTTTTGGTGCCCAAAACTTGGCTTACTTGCATTGCAGTGTCCCAATTAAACTTGAAGTCACGTAGCCTGTTATGTCTTAAAATGTTCACAGAAAGTGCAGAAAGTCCTAGTATCCGAGTCGTATCAGGATCTGATGTTTTTGTATCTGAAAGAAAGACATTTGACAATAATTTTAACTTAGATCTTATAAATCGTTTAATCTGTATATACTTAATGAATTTTTTTGCTGCTCAGCCATTTTTATACAAACTTTATCCAATATATCTTCTAAAAATATACTCGTTCCTTTTCTAGTGCTCATTCCCACGACCCTTCCAAAAGGGACATGCTCAATAATGTTTAATCCTGAAATGTTACAAATGGCTTCTTTCAGATTGTCCATATGATTACTTTGGCTTTTATCAACAACGTAGAGAATTTTGTCACATCCGTATTTTTCAAATCTATCTAGAGCTGCTGCTACATCTCTACTGAGATACAGAGTAGTATTGTTCTGTCTCATCAAAGGTACAAACTGTCCATTAAGATGCATACCCTGAAAAACAAGTTTGTACAACAAATTATTTTCACATTTTATACGATTATCTTACAAGTTGACCATTCTCAAAGGCGACTTTTTTCTTTTCAAGGAGAGTGTTAAATAGCTCCTTAACCGATGATGCTTTGTAGTCAGATTCACAAGAGAATTCGTCAAAGGAAATCCCCAAGGTTTGATAAGTTTCTACTAAATGTTTTATAGCCTCGTCCCTCATGTACTTCCACTCTTGATTTTCTTTCTCATCGCCGTTTTCCAATTTGGTGAAAATTTCTTTGGCTTCCTCAGTTGAATTATGACTGGTGCAAGCCTCCACATAAGCATCGTACATAGCTTTTATTGGATTGGAAGAAAAATCTTGCTTGTTGTCTTTTTCCAGTCCAAGCTTGACAAAACCGATTTGTGTTCCCCAATCTCCCAAGTAATTGATTCTTGTAATTTTATTATCCCTTGAGAGTATATTTGATACAAAATGTCCTACAATAGTTGATCTCAAATGGCCAAAATGAAAAGGTTTAGCTATATTTGGAGAACTGAAAAAAAGTACCATTAAAATAAATATTATTCATGTAACTACATTTACAAAATTGTTATACTACAAAACTATTTCTTATTGCTATATCTATCTATTCTTGATGGTATCATCTCTGAGATACATTTTGAATTCAACCTTCAGAGGTTGGTCTGAGTGTTTTCTCATGTGTGTCCTTTTTAAAAGTTCTAATAGTTCATAAAAGCCAAAATGTGTCTCATAGAATAGGAAGATCATGAATGCAATCAAACCTTATGATGTTGATCACCTGTATTCCACTAAAATATTTCTTTTTTTCAAAACATTTTCAGAATTGAATTGTGGAAATAGGCATTCTTTGACGATCTCAGATTTTCTCACAGAGAAGAAAATCCTCCCTTCTTTCTCATGGACTTTTTGAATTATGTCATCCTTTTTCATATCCAGGATTCTTGTTGAAGGGAAATCCTGCAGTTCAGACACATCCAAATAAATATCTGCGCTGTCAGATTTTACATCATTTATCTTCGATGAAAATTGCAGTGAGAGGTGAACATCTTTTTTAAACGAGGCGCTCAAATGTTCAACAATCTGAAACAAGAAATAATTGTAATGGAAAATTCCACAATAAAAATCTATGTTTTTATTAAACTTTTCTGATTAATAAAATAAAGTGCAATTTATCATCAATTAAAATACATACAAAAATTAATGTTTGAACCAAACTATCACTTTCATTTTGCATACAAAACAATTTAAATTTTCTATTTTAATAGACCAACAAAGTGTTATATGTTACACGCTAAAAGGTTCATAGGGTCAGTATATTTAGTCCTAAAATCAAATACCCAAGGGAATTCAAAATGTTTCAAGTGAATTCATGCAAGGGAGAGTTTTGTTTAATTTCTGAAAAGAGATACATATATAAGGACATAAGTTTCATCATCTCTAATCATTCCTGATCAGCATATGCAATTTTTGTTTGCCATTTTCTCTTGGTCTGCCTTCTTTTATAAGCTCTGGTGGTTTTGAAATGCACAACTGCTGAATAATGATTAAAAGCAAAAACATGTTGAGAATAGGCAGATCAAGATGCTCAAAGAAAATAGTTAAGCTCATTCAAAGTCACTGCCCACTGGGATCCTGGACTACAGGAATAAAGAAAATTAACAAGTGTGTAGAGATTAGTGACCACATCTCACGATATCTGAATAAAAATTAATACTTTACAATTAAATAAATTACCACATTTCTGCCAAATCAATTATCTTACTACTAGAAATACATGCCATAAGAGGCGTTAAAATAATAAAAACAATAAAAGAAGAGAAGGTAAGAAATATTAAGAATATTCTCTCCTTAGACAAAGTCAATCTAATAGTTTTTCACAGGATTTGAAATTTATTACATAAGAGGAAGCAAGAAACACAGTAATATTCAGTTTAACAGATTCAGCTGGAATAAGAAGAAAAATATAATTAGTTCCAAGCATAAATCTGTTAATGTTCAAAGCTTTTAATATTACAACCACACATGAAATTTCAAGGGGTGTGAAAACATGGTAAAAGCTGGATTTCACACCTGTTTAAGTATTTTTCAATACCATGGATTTTAAACTAGAAAACAACACAAAAAAATATACTGAGATGAGATTTTATTTTAATTTCAGAAACCACATTCCACAGCAACCTATATCCAATCGAAAGAGAATGAACTAGTGTTTTATAAATGTGAAATAGGTCTTACAAGTGGTGGAGACAAATAAATATGAACATGAACAGACTGCATCCACATAGATATTTTGTAACCATAATTAAACAAGATATTCAATTATAGTTATATATATTTAATATTGATTATCAGAATTTAAACAATGAAACTATCTTTTTATCTAAAAATCAGGTTCTTTAACTTATTAATGTTCAAATGGGTGAATATTGTCAGTATCGGGCCTGCCCTGAGAAATATCGAGCATATGGGGGGGGGTGAATATGACCAGATTTATATGTTTGTGGTGATGTATATTTGAACACCTGAGGTACAAATGAGACTAACATTTTAAGATATGGACTTAGTTTTCATATAAAAGCAGTCAGTAACAGATCGAGATGCTCAAATGGCTGCAAGATGAAAAATACTAATGAAAGACCTGAAAAATAAGTAAAAACCCGCAAAGGGCCAGCGATGACTTCAGTTGATTATTGGCCCCTAAACTTCCCACATTACTATTATTATTATAATTTTCTGTATATTCAGTATTAACTAATAAGCAGCACAATATAACAATAATAATAACTATAATACACTTGCAGTTTTTGAAAAATAATTAACTTCTTAATATTGTTAGCTTTTAATAAAAAATTATCGTTGTGTCAAATTGCTATTTAATAAAGAAAAATGTTAACAACTGGAAAATCGTTCCTCACCCTCCTACGAATATATTCCTTTATTGACATTGTGATAATCGTTACAAATTTATTAATCTGTTTAAATAATTCAAATCACAGTTCCTAATGAAAACATTCCCACTTGACAATAATAAGAGAGTGGCTTGTTTTAATACCAATGGACAGATCAATTATTTCCAGTGCCGACTTTGAATTCACGTGTTATCACAAATGTTCACATTTTCTGAAAATCAGAAGTAACCGCTACCGGCAAACAACAAACTGATTCATGTGATATGTGATCAGTAATGTGATGTAATGACAAAGTGCGTCACATTCGGATAGTCATTAAGTAAAAAAACTAACTTGGCACCTTGCCCTTTCATTTTCCTTTCAATGTAACAACTGTCTATTAAAAATTAATAATAAAAAAAAATGACTGTCTTTTTATAATATGCTAAAAACTATGCTTAACATAAAACAGGCTAACATTTGAATTGAACAACAGAACTACCTCAATGAAAAATTATGCAAGAAGTTAATTAAAACTACACTTAGATTTTTTTAAATTAGGATAGGATGAAACAATGCGTCACAATCAGAAACCAACATTTGGTTCTACACAAGAAAATGAAAGGATTATATGGACTCAAACATATTCAGAACTGAAAGGTATGTATACAGTATAGCAATATTTTTAAAATAGAAGTTTATGTTATTGAGAGGTCACCTAGAATATGGTACTGAATTGTGAAGCTAAACTAAATATTTTTCTAAACTACTAGTTCTACTACTACTAGAAACACTAAATATGTTTGTAACTACAATATTATATGAACCATCAGGGTGCCAAAAAGAGGGAAAAAAAGAAATGTTCCAATCAAAAAATTGTTTAATTTGTTATCAGTTTATTATTAATTATTATTGTTAATTTTTTATGCAAAGATGGTTGAAGAGGATATTTGGCTTGCGTGGGTGGGTTCGAATCCCACTCGTGACACAAATTTTTCTTCTCGACTGTCTGTATAAAAAATTTATCCAAAATGCCACCAAGGGCTGTCAAAACTTTGTTATTCAATTTTTGTATGTCCCAAGTGCTCTGAATGCACATCCACTGCTTTTAAGGAGTCGATAAAATATAACTGACAGCATGAAGCAATTTCACCCTCATGTGGCAACAAATTCTATATGAATTAGTGGATCTGTCGTTTTTTAAATAACAAAATAATTTTTACTATTTTATGATTTCTAATTCAAATTGTTAAGATCTGTATTTGCTTTTATTGTAATTATTACATATATCTCATTTATGTATGATTTGTTAATAATTTATTTATACTTCATTATGTTAAAAATATAAGTATTATAAAATATACATGACAGTAACTAATATGAATAAATTATTATTATTATTCAATAACAAAAAGGGTAGGAAACAATATTTAATGTCAATTTTTTAAAACACAATTAAGTATACATGTAAATACAAATATTGTCGGTAAAATTGTTGTATTGTGTAAACATACACATAGACATATGCAGTATAATTGACTTTTTGTTATTTATGTGTCTTCATTGAGTATTTATATTGAATTTTGAAGGTTAAAATGAAATTGTGTTTAAAAAAATTTGACGTCCAATCTTCGTACAAGAACCGCCTCGTACGCCCTCTGTTTAACAGGTTTACGGATTATTTTGAGGTCGTTGTCCAGTTCGTAGGGGCACATCGATTTCGATATTCTCTTCTCGTTATAACTTAATATCGCCCACTTAATATTATAATTCGCCGGTTCGGGCATCCGTAGATATATTTAGTAAAATCTGTAAAATAAATAAAAATCTACGGTCGAGTGCCATCGGTCCGATTTGTACCGGCGTCGTTCAACATCCGTAAAACAACGCCAAGTCGGTCTCGCGTTGTAACTTTTCCCCGATCAAGTTATATCGTGGAGATTGGAAGCCATTTTACCCAAACCGAGTTATAATTCGGATGCCCAAATAGATGACTTGTTCCGTCGTTGGTTTTAAATTTAATTCTGCAGTTATTTCGATTTCTGCAAAGACGCCTTCTCCAGGAATCCCTACTTCAGACGGAATGTGGAATGTCAGCTTAGAATGGTGAGTTTCCCCGACCAAAGCCCATTTTATTAATGTGCGAAACAAGTTTTTCATCCGTTGGCTTTTGCTTTATTATTTTGATTACTATAGTTATTTTGGACTTAACAAGCAGTGCTTTTTCCCAACAAAAACGTTTTCTCTTACAAAACTCTATTTGAAATGTTATTGTTTATTTATTTTTTAAAAATCGACTACATTTTTATTACGGACTATTTCTCATAATGAAACACCGACTGTTGACATTTTAAAACCCAGTTTGACCTTATATTATAAGCAAACTTGCTTCAAAAATTTAAAACGGGTGAGACATAATTTTTTTTGTTCACGCCTTTTGTATACAATTGATGCAGGGAAAAATTGTTCATACTTTTATTATTACCGTTTTCATCCAGGATAAACAATGAGATGAACAAACTTCACTTGTACAACAGTAGTGTTGTAGTTTTTTAATGTTGTCGTTATTATATTATAATTATTAACTATTGATTATATATATTTTTTAGACATATACAATTATAGATATTGTAAGATTTTTCTTTAGGTATGTGTGATGAACCTATAGTTTTAAAAGTTTTGTATCATCCTGGTCTGCTTATACTCACTGTTGAGGTCTGTCAGGTGTTATTTTTTTCTAATTTCACCTTCTTCGTTGGTTTATCTTATTACGTTTTTCTTATTCTCCCTTTTTTCCACTGCGACCTGAAATATCTATTGTTTAAATGCTTTTATTTCCAAAACTGTAAAATGCAACTACCTTAACTTTGTAGTATGTTACAGCCTGTGCAATGTTGGGACTGAGTCGGTTTTAAAGGAAATTTAAGACTGCCTGTAAAAAACTGTCAATCTATTTAAGATGGTTTTTCCCTGATGATGCCCTTAAAACAGGTCGAAAGCTTAGCAGTAACAACTGAATTTGATTTTTTTCTTCAAGATCATACCTCGATCCGAACCTTAAGGTAGTTCAGCAAAAGATGGGAAATGACTGAACTTGCCAGAAGTCAAGTACTGACTCAAAAGTACTCCAAGAAAAACATTGTTTGCAGTTTACGGAAAAGTGGATAGACGCAAGATGGGAAGGCAGCAACAAGCATAGGCTAGCTTTCAAATTCTTCCTTAAAATTTAAGAAAGAGCTATCTAACGCCAACTGGTTGCTTTCTGATGATTTCGTGATGCAAATCGTAGCGGGGCATACTTTCAAAATTTTCGAAGCATATCTTTTTAAGTACAAATAACAAACAGTTCATTATGCTTTGTATGCCAATTGGATGATTATGTAGCACACAAAATTTTTACATGCCCTTGTCAACAAAAAAAAGAAAAACTAAAAACCTTACTGTCAAAAAACAGTCTTGATCAAATTGACAAGCGAAGAACAAAAAAATTGTTTAGCACAAGCATCATGCATAATTTTTAGGTATATATTTATTTATTTTAGAGTTTATTTATTTTACCTATTGATTTGTCTACTTTATGAAATATTAATGAATATATGTATTTATTAATCATAATTGACTGTATTAATTATTGCAATTAATTATAGTTTTATTTTATCTAAAGGCTTGGTTGAGATGAAGAAGAGGGATTCAAGCCCATGACCTTCGGCTCGTGACTTTTCCACGATAGCTCAAGTGGTTAGAGCAACAGTTTATTGACATTAGCTTTTTCATCTCGACCAAGACCTTAGATAAAAAAGTATAATTAATTAAAATTTGTACAAAATGTTTTATTCACTGAATTATTCATGAATTTATTGTATAAACATAAAGTATGTGATTATGTTGACAATTAGCTTCAATCATGGTACTAATGTCCTCTGTATTATTGTAAACGGGCCGCGAGCAAGGGAGACTCTTTAGGGTAGCTTTTTGGATGTAAGAGTTTTAAAGAAGCAAAAACCCTTGACTTCCTCTAGTCTCACCTTTGAGTAGGTAAGGCTGGAAGAAGGAGTTAAGTTAATTGCCCCTACTGTCTTGACAACATTTTAGTAAATGGGGGTAAAAAATACTGACGGGTAGGGTCTCGCTTAGGTAGACAGGTGGTGGAAGGGAAAAAAGGAAGTCCAGCATTTTCCAGGTTTCCTCTTCATTTATTATTTTAGGTGTTAATATCATCTTTCCGAAGAGGCTGTATCATTTCTGGGCTAATGCTTTGCAGTCACATAGGACATAGGATTCTTCATGATTTGGCAAGTTTCTGTCTCAGCTTTTCTCGTTATTTTGAGGAGGTTGATTGGACTGGGCAATGGTCCATACAAAGAAAGGCATATGTATTACCTTAATTCTCCTCAGATATGAGGCAAGTAAGATATTCATAAATCTCAAAAATGAAGGAGAAGGAACTCTGCAATATGTGATTACCAATTAAAGAAGACAGGACTTCAGTAATTTCCCTAGGTTCAGCAGGTTTTCCCCCTTGCCTAACTTCTTTGAGTGATCCTGGTGAACTCATCCAGTGTGTGGTAATTTCTTTCTCCATCCATCTGATCAGTTCCACTTTTTGCAAGCTTTAGGACATTTTGCTGTGTTTTCCATATGTGTCATTTTGTTCGTTCTAATGTTCATAATATTTTATACAAATTATAAATTCTATTTTGTTATATGATAAATAGTTTGTTGGTCATTCCTGATTATTGTTGATGTTTTTATAAAACCCACCACAGGGGATGGGAGAATCACCAAGCGCATCTGATAGACCAAAGCGACGAAAATAAGTGGACCATGTTGATTGGAAATAACCATACTACATATATATATATATTCAAAATTACTTTACATTTATAACAAATTTATACATTCACCGAGGAATAAAAACTACAAATAGCTAAAAATAGTGTTTTTAATAAATACTTTGATCTTTATTGTATTTTTCCTTGTGTCTACATTAGTAATTTTTTTATGCACAATGAGGAAAACAGCTCTACGCCCCTACTTCTAAATTTTAAGCCAGGACTACACCTGGCCATTCCAAGCATAGAAAATACTTTTCAAATGATACATTAGTGGTCAGTGCATGGCCTACATGAAGATCCCGCCCAAAAATATATTTTTTACTCCTACTCCTAGACCTGTGACAGTTGTAAAGTTTGATGTTGGCCTTTCTTCGAATGCACATAATATTTAACAAAGCGCTATGAAGACATGGCATGAAACCTGTTCATTGCAAGAAAGAATAAAGTCTCCTAAAACATATGGAATACTAACTTTAAAATGTTTAGAGATCTGTTAAAAATACAAATTCAGTCTGTTAACAGTGGAGTATTTCATCCATCGAGTGTACAAATGATTTACAAATATATCTTGCTAAATTTGTACAGTTTTAAATTGTACTAATAAAATAATTTTCATTCAAATTGCCACTTAAATGTATATTATTTGTATTAAATATTAACATAACAATTTTATAATTGTTACTTTATTATGCACACAAATAAAACCAACTTATTTTAATTTAAAAAACTTATGAATTACATGAGGGCTTCAAATTTTAATTTAATTCAAATTCTATATTATATTTATAATAAAAATTAAAATGGACTATTTTGTTTCAGAATATTCAGTGAATTTTAAACCCTGGAAGTCATGTTGGTAAGTTAATAATATAATACAATTATTACGTTTTATGGTATTGGTATGTAATGATATATTAAAACTGGTTCATATGTAAAGTGACACAACCTCTTTAACGCTTTCAACTGATTTAAATATTTCTTAATGAAAGACATTTTCAAAGAGATGAATGATGGCAAAGTAAAAACCTTGGTGGTTTCTCGCATGGGGTTACATGCTAACCATTTGTTTAACTTCCTTTAAAATATACTAAATGCTTATTTATACTGTTTTGTACACATCATTGTTTCCACATTAGCATTATTAGTATTCCACCCCCCTCTGATCAACTTAGTCCATTCAGTATTAGCGAAAAAATAACGCATCAGATTAATTAAAGGATAAAAATTATGATTTTTTAATTTGACCCATTGTGTTATGATGTTTGACCATTGTGTTATACTGCTCATCGCATATGATGTGCATCTCATGAAGTCAATTTACCACCAGAGTAAACTATTTACAGTTTGGGCTTACACTAAAGTGGTTAACCTTTTTTGGACTAGTAACAAGATCTTGTTCAGTTTAGCATGCTCCCCGGCCCAGTGAAGAGTCGTCCCAGTCTAGACCTCGTAGTTTTTGCCTTGTAGTTCTTTACTCAGGGCTTTGATTGGTTAAAGTTATATTCAATGTATATCAGACACCTTGGTAGTGAGGAGACCTCTCACACTTCTCTAAAAATTTACAAAATTGCAACACATTCCTTTCTTTGGAAAACCATTCCATCACAATATCTCATTAGGAATGACCTACTTTCGTCTACCACCCCTGTTCTTCCCAGCCCTCTACCCTTCCCTATCATCTACTCTGTTGTCTTTCTTATTTTTTGTCTCGTGTCTGTTAAATGGCTACAATTTTAGTTTTGTATAGTTCACCATAATTTTCAGAATATATTTTGTTGTCCTTATTTATATATATTTATTTTTATGTGCACATATATATTTTTTCAACTTTGTACTCGTATGTACATACATACCTACACATGAGTACAGAGTTGAGCTTCCAGTAATTGAATCAGCAATCAGTATTTATTTATTTTGTTTTTTGCTTATTACGTTTTAAAATAAATAGTGAAGATTTTTTGAGTCAAATAAATTTTCATTTAAATACAAATTAGTTTTTCCTTATATTTGTATAAGTAAAGTGAACAAGGAATGAACTGTCAAATTTTAAACCGTGCAACATAAAAGGAATAAGAGCGATTCAAAGCAAACATTTTGAGATAAAATATAAATCAGGCTGGGGGGGGTTAAGTAGTGGCTGAGGCTATTGTTATAGTTTATATAGTTTAGTTATATAAACTATAGGTTATAGTTATAGGTTCAGTCTCGAAAATATTAAATTAGTTATAAATTTGCTCTAAGATTTGATGAATTTTATATTCCTTCCGATGAATTTGCGCCCTACTTGTTTTAAATTGAGGCCAAAAGGATAGCAGGATGTATTGTCTACTGAGTACATTTTATTTTATTTTCGTTACAAAATCCAATTTATAATAATGTTTTTGTTTGTTTACAGAGTGATTCGAATGACACGGATTCCAGTAGCCCTTTGTGTAAACGCAAAAAGATAAGAAGAATCGTGGTAATTTTATTTTATTATTTTTTTTTTATTATATAAATTGTAAATATAACATGTTAACTCATTGAATTTCATACTAGTAATAAAATTACAACAATATAAAATGTAAAGTAATTCCTGTTCTACATGACGGTTTAAAACCCAACAATTAGGAGTCGTGGTTGGTGCAGACTACTTTGTGCAATAAATACTTTTTTACAACAATTCTGATAATATTCAAAAGGCAATGCTGGGATCAAGGCAAATATTGAATACCCTAGAATGCCATAAAGTAGGATAATTTAGCAAAATATTTGTTTTATTTCTTCCTTTTATGAGCTGTAGTTCTGCGTTTGTGTTATTAAAATATGTATTATACGTCCATGATTTGGCCCTATTCAACAGGGCAATTTTCTTTCCATTGGTAGACAAAGGAAAGTGAAAAAAAAAGAAAAAAAAAAGGAAACAATGATTTTAGTACATCTACCAATATAGATTGCAGAACGTGGCATACACTGGAAAACGTACTTGTAGATTTTCATTCAGTCAGGCGATGAGCATTTAAAAACTCGAAATCTGGATAACTTCAAAAAACAGTTTGTGAGTAGAACCATCGTTTTCGTTCAATGAATTGATATATTCACTCGATCTTAACTACTTCTATGAAAAAACCAAATACTGATGCAAATATATGAGAAAATAAAAAAAATGTTTGTTTAATGTTACCTGTTATTAATATCGATAGAAATAAAATTTTGCAAAAGGCAACCAGTTGGAACAAAACAAATACTTCATTTATCATATGCTGCTTGAGGTGGGGCATATTATTGGCATCTGTCATTATTAATGATATATTCTTAATACATAATTTTCATATTATGTTAATCCTTCCCATATATATATAAGCCTTTGAGAATCATTCCAAGCAAACATCTGGAGGCCCCACAAAATTTTCTTTTTGTTTATTGGCCTTGCATTGTGATTAACTATCCTCCTTAAGGATTTTACATATAACGCTCATTAGTAATATGCAATACAAAAATTACTGGATAATATGCAATCTTTGCCTCCATTTTATTTATACAACAATGTTTAACAAAATACAGTACAATAAAGTTTTTTATAATGACATTGAAAATGATAAACTTTATTTTCTGAATAATGTGGTGCTTTTTTGAAAACTATTGCAAAAAAGTAAACATAGCAAAAAAAAGTTGCCATCAAATTTAAAATTGCTGCATTAATATTTTCATTGTAGGGATTTAGGGTCAATCACAAAGCCATTGACTTAACATTCATGGCATAGACGTCTTGAGGGTCAAGTTGAAGTGTATGAAATTCCAATTTTTTGTTACTAAAATTGATCGACTTAGCAATAAATAACATTGTGTGGTAATTATAATTTGATTTGTAATTCTAAGCTATTATGATTTTTTTTCTGTCTTCATAATATTGAACATAAAATTCCCCAAACAATAATTTTCATAAAAGTCATTGTTATAATTTCTTTCATTTATACTAAATGTCAGAATGTATGTTGCATTTGGTGCTATAAAACACAATACCAGTTGAAATTAATATTAAGCTTTTTTTGTCAATTAAGCTGATTCTTGATTCATTAATTTTTGCTTTTGAAATAAACATTTAAATAAAATTAATGTATGATATAAATTATTATTTCAGCTTTCCAGCTCATCATTGGAATCAAGTGGCAGTGAAATTGGGAGGCCTACAAGAAAAAAATGCCATGTATAACATTCTCTTGACTTTTTTCCCCAACTCCTTTTTACATTTTTATTAATTTCAGGTAATATTGGATTCTGAATCACAGAGTAGTGATAACTTGTCTGATTCTGAGGATGAAGTTTTCCAAACAAATCAGGTGAGGCTAGTTTCTGAATTTGTATTGTTATTGATCAAATGGATTGTAATGCTCTGTTTCAACTCTAATTTTTGTTCAAGGGTTCTTCCAAAAAGAATGGATTGAATGGTAGCAGTACTGAAGGTATTAATTTAATTTGTATATACAGAACATTGTAAATTGATATTTTATAATTTGTCTGTATTTCTATTAGGTCCTAATCACAGTAAGAAAATGGGAAATTTTTCTGAGGTAAGTGTAAATTTTGCTGATATTATAGTAAACAAAAAAAAAGTTAAATTGCCAGTTGTCCCTAGAATATGTTTTTAAAGGTTTAAAAATGTGATTTTTGCAATATTTATGATAAGGGTGTGTTGTAAAAAAAAATGGTCGTTTGGATGGTGGACACCAGACTTTGTCGTGCCTCTCAACAAAAATTGTTTCAAAATATAGTTTTGCTCATTCAAAATGAAGAGTTTAGTTCTTCAACAGACAACGTCATGTGGTAATTGAAGGAGTTTATGGTCCAGCGGCCACTCCATCCTTAAATAGTTCCTCCTATCAGCGGGTTCAAGGGAAAGATCTTTCATCAAATTGATATGGGTATTAACAGCTTCTGTGCAAGAGTCAATTCTTACACCATTTCCTCTTCGGTTTATTGCTTTTTATATATAAACAAATAGCAGCATATCACAAAAGATCGTCATCCATTTTGAGGAAGTAATTCACTTGATGACGATCGGAGCGACTGGCTGTGGTGCAGTCATGAATGCCCCCTCAAATTTCGGGCACTCTAAATGGAACTATACGGCTCGGCACGATTCTATTTGGAGATTGGTGATTTTTTGCCCTGTTTTCATACCCTTTAACTTTTCTAACTCCCTCCACATTCATTCGTTTATTTATGTTTTATATAATTAATTTTAATTTATATATTAAGGGACTAAATTTAACTTTATTTCTAATTTTAATAGGAAGAGACTAACTCATCAGATAATGATGGAGATCGATGCATAATTTGCTTTAAAAACTTAAGGCCACCATTAGCTAAACCATTAAATTGCAACCATAACTTCCATCCTGAGTGTTTATCAACATGGTCTAAGGTAATCCTCTATTGATTTTGTAAATTGAATTATATGAAATTAAACGATCAATAATTGTTCCAGACTTCAAATACATGCCCGATTGACCGTGTTAAATATACAGCAATTCGTGTAACAGGGGTTTCAGGTGAGCTTATTTCACGGACAGATGTTAAAACACCGCCTCCACAAAATCACAATGCCGATTTTGAACCGGACGATGCTACATTTTGTGAAGTAAGTTCATTTTTTCCCATTCTTATTAGTGAACAATCTTCCACTATTATTTTTATTTCAGGTGTGCCACCAGCATGACCGAGAACACGAGATGCTCCTTTGTGATCGGTGTAATGCAGGATACCATATGGACTGTCTATCGCCACCTTTAACGCAAGTGCCAACTGGGGATTGGTTTTGCCAGTACTGTGCCGACCTTTTCAACGTTAGTAGTTTTCACAGCACATTCGTTTCACCCTTTTTATAAATTCCATTGCATGTTCATAAATTATTTTTACGTGCAATCCTAAACCATTTCCTTCCATTTTTCCTGCTTTATTGCTTGAAAACTAGTACCATATTGTTAAAATAATTTTTATTCTCACTATTTCACTCCTTTTTATATTTTTTGTTATCGGGTATTATCATGTGAAAATTTAATGTGTGAATATAGTCAAAAATTAAATAAAAGTTGACCTTGTTAACGATATCATTTTTATTAGCCAAAATTGAATGAAAATATAAAAAATGTATAAGCTACTACAATCAGTAAAGTTTATTTTCGGAGTGTCAATTAAATTAATAAATTAGCAAGTTTTTAATAATACAAGTTGTACATCCTTGCCATCAGTAAATTTAAAAACTTTCAACTTTTCACAAAAAGATATTTTTGTCATTATTTCATAAATAAACATAATGTTATTATTGATCAGAATAAGGCAATATCCTTGTGAAAATCCGGTGTTCATAAATAAATCTATTTTTTACACATTACAAATTTGTCGAGAACGAGGAAGTAAGAAGAAAATACAATTGAACATACATTATAATTATAATAATTTTGTTTGTAAATGACAATATACCATCCACTTGAAATTTATTATTATTATTTTTATTTTATTTGTGTCCAATATGCTTTTCTACCAGCTTAAAAAGTTAAAGTATAAGAAAATTGATTGCAAGGTGTTTACAATTTTTGTTCAGTAAAATATTTGAGAGTACAAAGACTTGTGGAAAAGAAAAGTGGTGGACTCATTAAAGAAATGGAAGAAGGGCATTTTATTGTAAGTTTATCAGAATGAAGCCATTGATAAATAGATGGCATTTTTCGGGAGTTCAATGTTTTAAAATGGTGCAAAAATATTCAAACAGTGGTGAGGTGAGCAGTGTATTCCTGGGCTACTCCCTTATCACCCTGGTCTTATTCTTTTTTATTTATTTATTTTTTTAAATAAAATTGAAATTATTTTTAAAGCTCTTATCTGTCAGGTGCATTTTGCCATTTTTCACTTCTATAAGTACAAGTTATCAGTGTTTTTCTGGTTTGGAAATGCATAAACTTGTAAAATGTGTGATAAATTGACTAGAGCAAGAAATACCAGGATGATCAAGAAGAAATTGTTAATCAAATTAAAATTATTTGAAAACTCACTTTTTATTTATTTATTTTTGTTCTGAATGTATACTTATCAGAATTTAAAAAAAATTGAATTCAAGTTTGGTTAACCGTAAAAAAATTGTTTAAAAAATGACCAATTAAAAAGTTTTTATATTATTTGAAATAAGGGGGAGGGGCAGACATTGGATTTAAAAATTTTATCTTTAGTTACACATATCAATTTATGTAAAGCAATCCAATATTGATATTAAAGCAAAGGATCTTTCTTACTATTTATGGTTAGCTAATTTTAAAAATAGCAATTTTTATTTTATAGAAAGTCTAAAAAGATCTTTAAACTCAGTTTTATTTATTCTTTTAAATAACGATTATAAGTGACAAATATATTTAAAGGATTTTGAAATAGAGGATGATGAGGTCCATGATATACTGTCTAACACGATTCTTCTCGAGAACCGCTTTCGCAGAAGACCCGAAAGGATGCCACGACTCCCTCGGGGACCTAGGACAAGGGGTGCCCAAAGAGTTTATAACATTATCAACCAAACTTCAACATTAAATCAGGTTTTTATTTTTCACAAACAAACAAAATGAAAATAAACAATTTAACGTTGAGTTTTTCATTTGCACTTTTACAACTAATGAATGGTTTGTCAGCCTTCAACATCCTCCGGTCGCCCGGCTGCACAAAGAAAGAGGAAGTCCAGAAAACGAACAAAAACAAAATATAAAGTTGAGTTAATTACTGTGGAAGATGGTAGTACGTTGGAAGTTAAAGTTGCAGTTAATAATCGGAAAAGTAAAAGGGCAAAAAAGAATCAAAGTCGCAAAGTGAGTAATGTCCTTATGCTTTACATAATTTAACAAAGAGATGGGAAGATTAATTATTTATATTGATGATCTCTTTTCCCACTAACGATACCATTTTAGCTTCTACTGTGGTCTTACACTTCAACATAGATATTTTGCAAAATGCAGTTTTTAGGGTTCAGAATTCATTGAATTTGGATTTTATGTTTGTTTAAATAAGCAAAAATAATAACGTTCAGCCATTGCAATCATATACACGCTGCGCAACCATTATTAACAGTTATACATGATTTCATCCATTGAAAGTATTATCTAGCATTATTGTTAATATTAACATTAATTAGTTTAACGATGTTTTGTTAGATGTGATAGATCATTTATTTCAGATGCGATATTTTAATAATAACATAATGTTTCATTTATGAAAAAATGTTTTATGCTTTGCATTCTAGCCTTTATACAATTTTTGCTTTTAACATTTTGCTAGTCTTTGTCACTGAAAAGATGAGTATGTTTAAAAGAAAGGAAAAAAGTCAATTCCAGAAACCAAACAACCAATAGCTTTTTAAATAACTTTTGATTAACAAAGGATATTTTTATTTTTTGGTTGTAGTAGCTCAAAACTTAGTCTCATTATTAAACATTTGTTATTCTTTAAAAATAAAATAGTTTTCTTAAGGAGGTGTGTGTGCATTTGCTGAATTTACTTTTACTTTATTTTTATTTATTTATTAAAAATCTTTCTGATTAAAAAATCATGACAATTTTGCTAAATAATTTTATATTTTTCAGAAAAAATGTCGCAATAAAACATCAAAACGAGCTAGTAAGAAGCCTGTCGAACCAGTAGGAAGTTCGTTTAATTTGCCTGTTACGCATAACTCTTTAGATCTGTTTGGTACCAGGCCACAGCTGGAATATTTTTCAGAGTAATAACTGACAATAAATGATCTGTTTTGTGAATTGTTCATTTTTTTAAAATTTATTTTAGTTGTGATGCTGAGGATGAACTTGAGGAAGAGTCAGGTGGAGGTTTGGGACTTCTTCGAAGAGCTCGTCTGGCTGTAAGAAGCATGGCTGGTCGGAAACAGTTAGCGGCTCAAATATTCAATACAAGACCTAGGAGAGTTATTCAGAAAATAACAGTAAATACAACTCCAGTTGATATCGTTTCTTCAATTCTCGACCAACAAAATGTTTGGCACAACCCAGATGCCGTGATTCATAGAAATAGGTTAGTCTATATTAACAAATTTATAAATAATTGAGAACTTGTGTTTAATAATTTTCCTTTTTCTAGCAATGGTGATGTCAAGGTGATTATAAAAGATCAAAAATCAATTCCTGTTAAAAAATCAGCAGGAGGCCATTCTGGTGAATCGAGTGCCATGAACCAAAATCAGACACAGCCAGAATCAACGGTAAATGAAAATAATCACTCACAATCGAATGAATCGAATGTCCTTCCACCTCTTCAACCACCGCCACAACCACCAGTGAAACTTTGTGAAGATGATGACTTTGATTTATATGCTGATATCGATACAACAAGGTAAGTTAATATAGATTAAATTAATGTAAACAAAATAAATGCTTATTTGGACAACATTACTTATTTTGACTATATCGTGATTTAGTTGTAAACTGCTGCCTCCTCCTGAACCCCCAGCAATGTTGTTGGCTTTAGAAGATGATCAAGGAGGAAGCTCTCCTGAGGAAGCTATGCTTGTCATCGATGATGAAAGACAGTGTTATGACCCAGATGTGCCTACATCACCTCCAGCATCTCCAGTAGCACCAGGTACTGAAAAAATGTAAAGTTGTTGAATGATATTCTGTAATTGCAATTTTAATAAAATAATGTATGTACCTAAATGAGTATGTATGTACCTAAATATAAAAAATATATTTAATTTTTCATTTTATTTATATATTTACAGAAAATCAAGAGCCTACTAACAAGCAGAATGAAGAGGACTTTAAAGCATTGTCAAATAACGTTGATTTAGAACAAATACGCCTTCCTTCACCTCCTTGCCCTCCTGATGCAATAAACCTCCCACCGTCCCCTGATGTAGATGCAATTAACGATTCCGACTGTCCAAATCGGAGTTTCTATTCAAAAGTGAGCACAGAAATCGCTAAGGAATCCAATTCAGATTTAGATTCATCTGACAAAGAAGATGGTGAAGATGCTAAAAAAGATATGGTGTTAGGAAATGATAACACTATTAATAAGATCGATGAAGATGGTCTACTTAGCCAAAAGGAAGATGAAGAACCGGTTAACTACGAAAAAAATAAAACAGAAAGTAACACGTCGAAAGATGAGGACAATGAAAAAATAGATATGGATGATAACACTGAGTGCAATAACAAAGCTCGATCTAAAGTAGGTGATAATCATAAAACTGATATTCTTTCTGGAGAAGAAACAGTCGATGTAGCTCCAAATGAAGAACAAAGTGATAAATGTGGAAACACAAAAGATGACATTACTATTTCACAAGAAAGTCTGACGACTGAAGATAAACCTGATAAAATAAATAATGTAAGTAAATCTAGTAGTAGTAATATAGAAAAGGAAACTGACGATATATTGGAACTTGGTTGTGAGGAGGATGAAAGGGATGGACTTGTAGACATTACTGATGAGGAGATCAGTACCTACGAGAGAAGTTGGGAACTTGAAGATCACAATAGGCCTGCTTCTGATAAAACTGTCGGCTTGGAAGGATTAGAAACAGAAGCGATATCTGATTGTGAGTATACTCTTGCAGAAGAGCGCCCAGAGGAAAACAAGCCTCAAAATGAAAATGGACCAAAGGAAGAAGGCGAGATTGTTTTAGAAGAAAGAGTCGCATCGGTTGCATGGAAAAAGTTGTCCAAAGGGACTAAAGAAAGAAGCTATAGAGAAAAAGACACAACTAAAGAAAAATCAACTAAAAAAGAAAAGAAGAAAACTAAAGAAAAGCGTAAAGAGCTTGAAAGATACGATGTGAGAAAGATTATCAGTGAAAAACCAAAAAAACGAAAAGTAGATGAGTTTGGTAGGGATATTTCATCAAGGAGCCGGAGTCGTAGCAATAGTAGAAGCAGGAGGAGTGTTTCTCTTGTGAAAAGACGAAAAAGTGTAGAAAAAAGGAGCCGAGGTCATAGCAGGAACCGCAGCCAACCTAGGAGTAGAAAAAGAAGTAGAGGTAAGAGCAGCAGAAGTAGAAGTGTAAGTAAAAGAAGGAGCAGGTCACCTAGAAGAAACAAAACCAGAGCCAAAAGTAAAGAGAGGAAAAAGCGTAGACAGTCGTCTGTTAGTTGTTCTAGCTGTTCCTGTAGCAGTTGTGAAAAAGATAAAAGGGTCGTCAGTAAGAAAGTTTCCACTTCTGAGAAAAGTAAAAACAGCACAAAAGAAAAAAGCAAAAGACGAACAAAATACAAATCAAGAAATCGTTCACCGAAACGAAGACGTTACAGTTCTCCAGTGCCCTCAAAAGAAGTTTTCACTTCAGGAGATAACATTTTAGTGAGTGTCAATTTCAAGTCATCAAAAATGAGCGATAGTCGAAAAGAGTCAAGCACCAGACGAAGAAAGGAAGAAGAACAACCGAAAAAGAAAAAAGACAAGAGTTCTAAAGAAAATCAGCCTTTGAGAGGTATTGTAACTAAGACGAGTTCCTTTGGTAAAAGAAGATTAAACACAAAACATCTCAAACCTGTGGCAATTATTGATTTGGATCAATCACCGTTTAGGGAGCAAACACCTTCACCAAAAGAAGTTATAATATTGACTGACAGTGATAATGAGGAGAAACTGAAGGAGACTGATAAAGCAAGAGAAACTATAGTGACTGGGCCTAAAACTCCTCCTGAACCTCACATCAAATTTAACATTGTAAATGCCAAACCTCAAATGCGAATTTTGTCAAATCCTCTGCTTGATTCTACTGACCAGAATGATGATGATGATGAAGTTGATGATAGGTCAAGTGAAATAGTCCACAAAGGCCCTAATACACCACCAGAACCTCCAATTCCTTATGATCCGTTTGAACCAACCAAATCTCGTTCACCAACACCTATTCAAAACACTGCAGATAGAAATGTGTCACCCACAGTTGATCTTGTTTCAAATGCAAGAATCACACCAGAACCGACACGAGTGATTTCACCACCAAAACCTCAACACGAGGCTCCAAAAACTCCTTCTCCTCTTCGTACTCCTCCGAGTAAGCCACAAGAGGAAATAAACTCAATTGAAAAACCCAAACAACCACCATTTGTTCCATCTGTAATGAAAGATGATGATTCTGATGATGATATGGGAGGGGGCGGTGGTGGAGGTGGGGATTCACCCTATTCACCTGGCTCATCTGAAGGTGATGACTTATTTGAGCCTCCACTCCCACAAATATCAACTCCAAGTAAAATCAAAACAAGGCCAATTCAACCAAAACACACTGTAAGTGGCAAAATACTTGCATTGCCCAGGAAGAAAGCTAAGCTGCCCCTTAATAATTCTAAAGGTATACTTTTTAAACATTCCGAAAGTATATTCCTTCCTGTAAATAATTTTTCAAATTATAATTTGGAAAAAATCCCAGGGTCTTCTAGCAAGAAAGATTGTCTGAAGTTAGATGAAGATCAATTAAAAATGTTAGATGAACTGCCTAACTCAGCTGTGGACATGCAAGTCAAAGACAAGGTAATTATAAAAATGTTCTATTCATTCCTCTGATTGTTACATTTAAATGGATATAATAAATTGATCCTGAGTTTCTGTAAATAAAGGCACCCAAAGTCAATGTTTTACAAGGCACACAACAAGATTCTCTTGGGGAGGTACGTACATGTAAATGTTATTTACTTTTTGAAAAAGATGGTTTTATTCACAGATCTGTTGTTAATAACGATCCAGATTTCAAACATTTAAAGCTCATCATCAGGTTAAAGGATCTTCAAAATTTAAATATACAGTGTTACACTCTTTCAACAAAAGGAGGGAATTAGATTGGTTTTTGAGAAATTTAAAATAAAAATTGTAAAATTAAACATGGAGATAAATGCATAAATAATATTGATTTTGATTCACATCCTATTTTAAACATGTACCTAAATAATATTTGACATACAAATTAATCATTAATTTAAAATTACTTTCTTACAGTATTTATTAGTATAATATTTAGTTTTGTTGTAATTCATGTTGTTTGCACATTCAAATTGAGTGCCATTAAAAACCATCTCATTGGAACTCGTTGGTGGTGGTTCAGCAGATTGACACTTACAATTCATACGCTTACAATCATCAGAGAGACGTGTTCATCCTTCACCCTGATGATGAGCATTTAATGCTCGAAATCCGGATAGTTGTAAACAACAAATCTGTGAGTAGAACCATCATTTACAAAAAGGGAATCTACATACTCACCCCACCTTCATCATTTCTACATATAATTTTGTTCATGGAATAACGTAACTGTCTTCCTTATCTTCATACGTGATCTGAAATTCCAGTTTGAAGAGAAGTTGAGGGGAGAATAAGTTATTTAAGAATATTGTTTTATGATTTTTTTTTCCTTTGTAATATTTATTTGTTTTAGAAACTGTCCAGTATCGTTTTATGGGTTTGATTTCTTTATATTTCAATTTAGTCATATGGTTTCTGTTTCGAAAGGCTCCAAGAGTTGGAAGAAAATGAAGTATTATGATCCAAATTATATTTTGATTTATTAAATTTATTTTCCATAATTGGCTATGGGATATTTGATGGTATTAAATTATTTGTTGTTGTTGGTTTGTAATTTCATTACTATTGTTCCAATTGTTCAAAAATGTACTTCCATTGCTACTATGCCCTTCTGGATTGTTAAAGTTTAGAAGGGTTTTATATCATATATAATTCTATCCTTTAAAAACAAAATATTGATTTTTTATATTCTAACTGAACTGCAATTAGAGGGTGGGGTTTATTAAAGCATATTTGTGTTGACAGAATAAATTTTGTTTGCAGTTTTTGAAGAAGTTGAATAGACAAGAACGAGTGGTGGAAGAAGTCAAGTTGGTCCTAAAACCACATTATGCCAAGAGGCATGTTAACAAAGAAGAGTACAAAGACATCTTGAGAAAGTCTGTACCTAAGGTAACATCCTGTCTAACTTAATATCTTGCTGGTTGTACATTGAATTTAATTAAAATTTTGGTCAATTATTTTTAGATATGTCATAGTCGATCGGGCGAGATCAACCCATTGAAAATTCAACGTTTGATCGAGGCTTACGTTAAGAAGTACAGGCACAAGAAGAAGAGAAAGCCACCGGCTTTGATCCAGCCTCTGCAGAACCTCAAACCAAAACCGTACGCTAATGTTCTTTGTTTGTAGGAATAGAAACAGTTTAGAGGGATTTGGGTTCAATTAAAAACAATTTATTTCAAATAGTGACTAGAGGTACAATTATTAAAAGCATAAGTTTTAATTAGAACAAAAAAAGTTTAGCATTTTTTATGTGTTGTTAATTTTTTTATTAATTAAGGAATTTTGATTAATAAAAATTCTTATATATTTATATATGACAGATTGCGGACTGTATGTGTGAGAATATTACTGATTTTTATTTATGTGTATGTGCATAAAAATAAATAAATTTAAATTGTAATACTATAGGCATGAATTTGCAGTCTCGTTTGATTGGAATTCCAGCTCCTACATTATTAACTTTTTAATTTATAGACTGACAGTTAATATTATTTTTACTTATATAATTAAAGATATATAACTATTGTGCAATGCTGTTCGTATTATAATTATTAACTATTATAAACAGTTTTTTAGAAAGAACAAGGTTGATGGATTCTAAGCAGTGATAAGACATGCTAATCATTTATATATGGTCATAAATATTCATTACTCTTACAAAAAATTAGGTGATCAAACAATCAAGGCTATTACACTTTTAAATCTTTTGGCTAGATTTTTTTTTATTTTTATACATGGCCACAGCAGGGATATCCTTTTAAGATGATTCTTTCAAATAGTGACAACATTGACATTTTTCAAGGCTATTAAAAAATGTTCTTTGAAAATATATATATATAATTAATACTATAGAATAGTAGAGGTAAAAAAATTGAATTGATATAGATTTTATAATTGAACATAGAATGTAAGGAGTAAAGTTTTTATTTGATATTATAGTCAGAATATTCATAGCAAATGCAAAATATATATCTTTTGTTAAGAACTGCAAATTTTATTGAATTTTTATTATATGAAGGACTTCTATTTCTATTTTGACAATTAATTTACTGAAATTATTGTAATTTTCCATAAGCAATTATTAACTTTGGCCCTTTTTTTAGGAAACAGTCAATGTGGTGTTAACTGCAGTTGTTAGTTGTTCCCTGAATTGTACATAGTCGGGTGGATTTACCACTATGTGCTTTCGTGTCACTTTTGCAGTTTTATAACCGCCAGTAAGGAAATTGATGCGGATTTTAAATTGGAGGTCAACGAGTCAGTTAAAAAACAATAAATTAAGCTTTTAGGTTTTATAAACTTTTGGAAAAGAAGAAAATCATATCTTTTCTCTCTTTCTTTTTTTCTTTTTAAATGTATAAATATTAATTGTAAATACTTTATTTAATTGCATGGTCTTGTGAAAGGGAGTTGTAAAATACGCCTGTAAATAAGAATTTTTAATTTGAATATTATTAAATAATTGTGTAATTATTTATTTAAAATTAAGTTATTCAAAACATGTGAATAATATTTCAGAAATGGTGACAACAGTTTTTGTTGCTTGGTTGTGCATAATTATAAATTATTTTAATTAATTACTGTGAATGAAAGATTTTCTAAGAAAATTCTTTTTGTATAATTTAGAATTTATAGATACATTTATATTCAAATATATTACACATACACATCAAGATTTATTAATTTATGTTATTTTTTTAATATGTATTAAATATGATATATAAATGTGATTTATCAGTGGTTTTTTTCCTGTTGATATTTTCAGTTGAACTTAGTAAGGATAATTTGATAACTCGACTCAACATTGAACTGAACTTGTGGAAATGTGTGGTGTTTAATGACCGTTAGTCAGTGATTATTCACAGATCGTGAGATGCGTTCTGGTGTGACGTAGGTTTTAGAAAAACATTTTCTTTATCGTGCCAACGTTCAATCTATATTGAGATCATCAATAGTCGATTTATAAATCCCAGGCCCTGAAGATGATATCAATAAAGATCGAAACGTTGGCATGATAAAGAAAATGTTTTTCTAAAACCTAAGTCACACCAGACCGCATCTCACGGATCTCCGAATAATCATTGAACTGAACTTTAATGCCTCGTTTGCATTCAACCACTGCTCCTTGTGTTGCTATATTTTTAATGAATATAATATATGATATTTCTGAAAATTTTATAAGGTATATAAACACAGTATGAACATGTTGAGCACAAGTGACCTATTTACATATTTTCCATGCTCACTGTTCAGAAGAGGACTGAATGCAAACAAGGGGTGACATTAAAAGGAGTCTGCTTTCTGTGACCTTATATTGATGCCCAATATTGATCTATTGTGCCATCTACATTATTGCCCCTGCCTTACTATCACAAGATAACTCAATTTAAAGAATGCAATTTTCAATTATTATCCCAAGTTAACTCTGGCTAATTTTTTTTCCTTAACTCTGGATTTTATCTCTGTTTGTTTCATTGTAGCTCTTTAAATTAAAAATGCAAATGTTTTAGTGCAACCAATATTAATAGTACAGTAATATCAAAAGCAATTTTTGCTACTAATAATTAAAGGAATGTTTTCATGTATTATTTTGTTCTCGAACGTGAGAGTTTTTAAATTGAGTGATTGCGGAAATTATTCAGAAAACGAAAATATTTCTAAAGCTGGTAGCCAATCCTACTATAGGATGTATGCAGTATGAAGTAAAAAACAAGACCATTGTATCGACACACTTCTTCAGTTCTTCCCTGATTGTCAACTGGTCTTGTATGTGACACCTTGCTTCAAAACATACCACTATCAACTTGAATTTTTTTTTATTTTATTTATTCATTTACTTGTATCTACAAGTTTTTTACATTTGTAAATGTTAATAAATATTTTAATTTTGGTTTATTGCAAATTTTGTGTTTTTTGTCAGTTAACTCATGATAATAATTTTTGAGCCGCCAATTTGGTATGTAAATAAAAGCCAATAAAAAAAAGTGAAAGAACTTACTTTTACATATCATAGAGAATATAAATCAATCATTAAAAAATGGGTGATTTTTAAAGCATACTTCAGAAAAAACTTGTAAAGCAAGAGGTTAAAACTTTGTAAGCTTAAGGCTTTTCATTAAATGCCAAAGCTTTGTTAAGGGCTCTTAGACGTAGGAATCTTTGCACCAACTCTTTTTCCACTGTTTATACTTTCTGAAAATATCTGCACAAGCTTGTTTTGCTTCTCCAGATTTCGCAGTGTCCAGTCAGTAGTGTTATCATTCTTACCCCAACCCAAATTAGGTTTAGTATTTCTACAAAGTCCTGGAATACCATCCTATTGAACTAAGAACACTTAGTCTTGATATACTGACTGATGGATCTATTTTTTTGTTAAATAGATGTCATAAAAAATGTACCAAAACAGGATGTCTAACAGGACCTTGGTGCTATTATAAATGGCTCTAGATTTTACTACTGATGAGGCTTTACTGCTACCTAATTGTCAATTGTTATTCTTTGTTGACATTTGTTGTTACTAAAATAAAAATAGATATCTTGCTGAGGAATGGAGGAAAACAAACTTTATTTCTGATTATCCTAGACTTCCTATCCAAACCGTTTTGGTCAGGGATAGGAATTTCATCATCTAAGATCTATTTCCAAAATACCTAAAGAGCAATTAAGAACAAAAATTAACATTTAAGTTAATGTGTACTATTTAGCAATCGTTAATTAATTATTTGGAGATCATGAGATGCGGTCTTGTGTGATGTAGGCTTAGAAAAACATTTTCTTTATTGTGCCATCGTTTCAACACTCACAACACGGCACACAACCATGACACATTTACCCAGAAAACCTATACTTTGAGACCTGAAGATGATCTAAATAAAGATCAAAATATTGACACAATAAAGAAAATGTTTTTCTAAACCTAAATCACACAACACCGCATCTCATGATCTCCAAATAATCATTTAATTTAATGTTAACGCTTTTGTGCTAAATAGAATGGAAATTGTTTAATTTAAGAGATTATGCTTGTACATGTTGTCTTTCTGCCTATGGTGTTTTGCATCAAATGTTTTACTTTTTGATTTATTTGCACGACAAAATAAAATATAATTGAACTTAAATTATTAAATGTAGTATAGCTTTTGTTTAAAATAGTAGTGTTATGTGGGTGAAATCGATCATTGTAATAAAAAGCACAAAACTCTATTTTCAAATTTGCAAACTGATTTTGAAATTTTCTTTGATAATAAAAAAACTGCCCTTTGCCATCTGCCAGTACAAATTAATAAAATGAATGTATTACATATTTTTAAATTTAATGTTGACTCAAAACTGAAGTGAAAATTATCCAAATTGAAAATCCATCAATCCTTGAAGAAAATAAATAAATAAAAATTCCTTTTTTGGCATTTATGGCATTGGTTTGCAATGAGAAAATCTTGCTTTCAGAGTTCGTTTTATCTCATACAACCTTGACAGTTGTCATTATACTATGATTCATCTATGTTTTATTATGTCACTGAGTTGGTTATAATAATTAATGACCCAAATAATAATAATAAAACAAAAGAAATAGACGCAATAAAACCAGATGTTTTATACTGCATTACATTGGCGGTGTTTTTACAACAAAGCTATTTTTTTAACGATTCAACAACCAATATTATTAAATAAAACAATTTTGCAATAAATATTAATATTATCACAAGGGAATTTATTTGGGTTGGAAATATGTTTTTTAAATATAATTGTTAATTGGTATCGTTAACGGTCAGTTAGTGATAAGTTAACGATTGCGCAGAGAACCTTTGACATTCTCCGTTTGACCACTTTGACCCTCCCGGCTCCCAGTCAACTTATCACAAATTGTTAATATTACTTGTTCTGATCTTCAGTCGTCCAGAAGACCGAAGGCGAATATGGTTTTAATAAAAATAATTACATTGATATTAGCGTGTAACGCATTACACGGACGAGCAGACGAGCAATTGGCGAGGTAATTTGAATTTTTAGCTTAGGGTCAAGGGCAAGTTTTAAGTATTATTAACTGTTAAAAAAACAAAATTTTGTTTATAATATGTGTTAGACAAGTATCAACATAGTTTTCGGTCCGACAATAATTTGTTCCTAATATATTAAATATATATTATTTATATATTTACACTTAAATTTCATGTTGCAGGAATGGACCAGTGCAGGATGTTTGATCCTGTCAAGGTCACAGATCCAAGACACATTTTTACATTAATACATAAATTTTCTTGGTTTTCTTCATCCGATGACCATTATTTACCTGATACTCACTCACATTACATATGTTTACATTACATGTTTTAGTCGATCCTATTGTTTTATATTTTTATGTCGGTCATATTTTTTATGCTAAGTATGGTTGAGTACTTTGCATTAAAAAAATAAAATAATATTAAACCAATTTTTATAAATTTATAAAAAATATTAACACGCTGGCAGACAGTTTAATTACCATGCTGTGTATACTTTTGTAAATTTCTTTTGTACAAGTAAGTTTTTTAGTTATATTTTCAAAAAAAGTATTATCTGTCTTCTGAACACGTTTTCAGATTCAGTTTTTAAAAAGATTAGTTTAATTTTGATTTCCCCTTGATTCTTTCTTAAAATTTAATTTTTTGCTTATTCAATAGTCTTCAATTTGTCGTACAACTGATTTAAAATAAAAATTGTATCTTTAATTGGACAAAATATGAAAATTTGTCTTAATTTTTTAAATCTAACTGTAAACAATTTTTTTAGTAGAATGAAAAGGACTTTAAAATGTGAGAAAAAATTAAATTTGTTTTGGTGATGTTGAAGTTTTCTTTCAGGATAATTTCAATTATCATAAACCAGTTACAAAAAATGGAGAAGATTTAATTGGATAAAGAAAATTTAATTTGTATAGGCTTTTTTTTTAAACTACAATAAGTTACAGGATAGATTTAAATTTTTGAAGGGGAACTTCAATACCAGGACAATTTGATAATTTTTTGAGTTTCTGGTATCATTTTTATTGTTATTTTATTATTTATTTTTTTTTTACAATGACAAGGACTCACAAAAAGTTTTTAAAAAAAGTTAGGCCGTTACATGCGGGGAAAAAGTTGATTGCCAGGGCAGCTAAATGCGCCAACTTAGGCATTTCTGATAGCATATTATTTTCAGTTTTAATTTGATTTTTTTAAAATTCTATTCTTCATTTTATTCTATTCTTCATTTTATTGCGTTGTACAAAGTTTACCTAAGACCCGAACTTCCAGCAGATGTACTGTAGTGTTTATGGTTAGGGCACGTATTTTTCATTTATTTTTATTCTTTCTTCTTTTCTAACAGGATCAGCAGGTTCAGCATGAAAAATTACCTTTAGAACCACACTTAATTTTACAATAAAATAGGCAACATAAAAATAAAAGGTCACTTCTTTTATAAAAACTCACATGTTTTATTATTATCCAGAGAATAGACAGATACAATCATAGGTTTAAAAATCTGAAAATACTGAATAACATGATTCATAAAAGCAATTTTTTCTCTACAGTTTTTGACTTCTTTTAATGAGATGTCAATTTGAGGTCTGCAAGAAATGCACCTCAGGTGTCCTTGATCATCCTGATATAACTTTTTTATCATTCCCCCCCTCTGTTCATGATAGTTTTTTAATCTAACAAGATTTCCTAAAGAAAATACTCCCTCTTACATTTATAAAAAAAGAATTTTTAAGAATAAAAAGTACAAAACCAAACGCAAATTTCGCATTTACGGACGGTTCCAGTAACCCAAGTGGTGTTGGAGCGGCATTTGTTTATCAGGATAGAAAAATGATGTTCTCTCTTTCTCAGATATGTAGTAACTACACTGCCGAATTAATTGCGATCAATAAATGCATTAACATCTTAAACTCGAACCACACAACCCTAGTTGTCTGCACAGATTCCCTTTCTGCTCTATTAACCATCAAAAACAAATTTTCCATAAATCCAAGAGATTTTACTTGCTATAAAAAATAGTACGTGTACAGCAGTTAGTTTTTTGTAGGTCCCAGGTCACTGTGGTATAAAAGGCAACGAGGAGGCTGACCGAGCAGCGGAATGTGCTGCATCGAATGGTATTTACATGCCGGAAGTGCCATGTGAAGACTTTGCTGTGTTTCTTAAAGGAAAAATTTGGAACCTCTGGCAATCGGAATGGTGAAATATCGAGGATAACAAACTCAGAGAAATTAAGGAAAGTGTCAGACAGTGGGACACGGCAATGCAAAGATCTCGAAAAGAAGAAACCGTGCTGGCCAGGCTCAGAATAGGTCACACAAGACTAACGCATGGTCACCTAATGGCCAGAGAACCTCCCCCAAGATGCACAACTTGTGGTGAAATAATCACCATCAAGCATATTTGTCAACATACAGAAACTTTAAAGACCTTCGGGTCAAACATAAGCTTGGAAACAATGTGACCGAAATTTTGAAAGATTCCCCAGGTAACATTAGAAAGCTTTTTGAGTTCCTAACTGAAACTGGGTTGACTGACAAATTGTGACAAACAATGAGTAGGAGGGCGGGGCGGCCTTGGGAGCGGGCGCGGCTCCTGGGGGGCCGGTGCTGGGGGTGGGTGGGGCTGGCCTCTGGGCTGAGTTTGAACCTTGGAACTTGGGAGGGCTGCGGATGCTGGCACACCATGCGCAGCCCTCTGAGAAGTCTGCCACTGTCTCACTACTAAGGTCTTGTGTGGAGAGGAGCTGGTCTGGGTGTCTGGTTCTTGCTTGGTCTTGTGGTGTCCGGTTCGCTGTGGGGGTGCGCCTGCTCTTGATGTCCCTGCCCCTCCTGGCTTATCGCTCTCTGTTTTCTTCTCTTATCGATTAATTCATCATCAAGGCAGTTTTGACCCATCGTGGTTGTATGCCTTTATAATTAAATAAATTTAAAAAAAAAGCCCCCCCCCCATTTAGAGTAAATCATGGTTCCATATTGTTAAAGCTGTTCCTGATATGTATTTAAACACAAATATGCTAATCAAAATGAACAGAGTTCATGAAGGAACAATTTTAAATTCCTGCATCCTCAATTTGTCAAATATGATAAAAAGCTGAACAAAAACTAAGATATCGTGTGTTGAGCTCTGTGAAGTGATGAGTCTTGATGCCCTTGATCATCCTGATCTTTCTAATCTCTTTTTCTTTATTATTCCCTTTTGCATTATTTTAAATTAGGATGTGTCCATTATCTACAAAAATAAGACTTTATTAGTAACTAAACAACTTGTGAACACACATCAACAAAGACAAAAAGGGCCAAAGTGATAGGAAATGACCCAACTGCAGAGAGAAGGAAATCTCACAATTAGTATTTTTGATGTAGACACTTAATGTACAGATACATTAACAGTAATACATTGTTCAGCAATCTCATGTAATGTTTATTTAAAAAAACTATATAACTCTAGTATTTCTATCCTTTTTCAAAGAATAGAGATACCAATGATAGGTGATAACTAAACACTGAATAATATGTTCATAAAAATGATTTTTTTTATCTCCACTTTTTGACATGTTTTAGAGAGTTATCAATTTTAGGTCTACAAGAAATGCACCTCAGGTGTCCTTGATCATCCTGATATGACTTTTTTTATCATTCCCCCCTCTGTTCATGATTTCATATTGTTCAAACTATTCCTGATATGTATTTAAATGCTATCAGGATGAAGGTAAAATATGAAATTCTCTATCGAAAGGAAAAACAAAAACCTGCATCTTCAGCCTCTCAAATGTGACAAAGAGCTGAAAAACCGAATAAAAACTGAGATATTGTGTTGAGGTCTGTCATGTGACGAGTCCTGATGTCTTCGATCATCCTAATCTTTCTAATGTAATTTTTGTTGTTATAATTTCCGATTCCTTTACTGGCTGAGCAGTTTTATATCCTTAAAGGACATTATTTGAAATTTTTGATTACAAATTGTAGGACTGTGTTGTAAGGACTAGTGTTCTTTTTACGATATTTTTTACATTTAAATCTATGTCATTTTAGTAGGAGTATTAAAAGTAAAAATACAATTAATATTCAGGATGCCACCATATTAACTCTTTCTTTCCTTCATAAATATATATATTTTTTATCATTATTTTATTTCCTCTTTTGTTTAGTAGTTTAACTACAATCTGTCTATTGCTCAAATGTATTATGATACTTTTGTGAAAAAAGTTATTTGTTATATAAATGAAACAATTTAGAATGCACAAACACATTTGGTTATCTATTTTTACCATTTGTTGTGAGATAAAACGACTCTATTGACAAGATTTGATTTATCAAATCAAAATATGTGTTAATAAGTTAATTTTAGAATCGGTTATAATAGCACCATTGTTATTTTATTTATTTATTTTATTTTTATTTTTTCAGAGTTCCTCTGACCAAAATTGACTCAGTGAGAAGAACGTTCCATGATGTTGGAACAGCCGTGAAGCAATTGACACTAAAGTATAACACTGGAGTAGGGGGCGTTTTTCCAGAACCTCTATCCAATTATATGGATGTAAGGAAAATAATATAATTTCCCAAGTGGTTTTCTTTTTGCTAAAACATATAACATTTGGTTCTGCTACATCAATATAATTTTGCTGTCTATTTTGTTTAATGCTGAATAAACTCCTAGGATATTTAAAAATATATTTTTTCCTCAGTAGATGTAATACTGTAAACAGTCTGCATGCAATTAATTTGCTGATGTTTAAACTATTATTAAAACAGCGTGCTAATTTATTACCAAAAAAAGGTGCTCGCTTTTCATAAATGGAATATATAAATCACAAATTAAAACAATTTGTTGTTGATAAAAAATTAACTTCAAGTTAACATTACCTTTTGAATATATCATTTAGTTGATTATACAGAAATCATGAGATGCGGTCTGGTGTGATGTAGGTTTCAGAAAAACATTTTCTTTGTCGTGCCAACTTTGATTGAATATAAAAAAATATTTTTTTGCATTGCATAAATTCACTTTTTTCCACATCGTACATGTTGTTAAATTTAAATAATGTTTTTAAATCCCAGGCCCTGAAGATGATTTCAATAAAGATCAAGACGTTGGCATGATAAAGAAAAAGTTTTTCTGAAACCTACATCACACCAGACCGCATCTCACGATTTCTGTATAATCATCGACTAACAGTCACTAATCACCACACATATTTAGTTTTTTTATTTTGGATTATTAACTGTTCTGATGTATTGTTTACCGTAAGGTGTGCTCATGTAAAATTTCTGTGTACCTCTCAAACCTCTTCAGAGTTTCATCCTCCTTAATTTTTAAATTATATTTGAATTTTCCATTTCAGGCCCAGTACTATGGACCTATATCTCTCGGTACACCTCCTCAGTCATTCAGAGTTGTTTTTGACACCGGTTCCTCAAACTTATGGGTGCCTTCAAAGAAATGTTCAATGTTAAATATCGCCTGCTGTAAGTAGAAAAAGTCCGTTTAAATTGTAAAAATTGATTACTAACAATGATTAATTTTTCAGGGGTTCATAGGAAATATGACAGCTCTAAATCTTCTAGTTATAAGAAAAATGGTGAGAAGTTTGAAATAAAATATGGGTCGGGAAGCTTATCAGGATATTTATCAACTGATGTTCTTTCTGTAAGTAACAGGATGCTTTAAAAAAAACAAAAAACTATTTATTTATTTTTAATATATTTAAGTCCCATTTATTGGGAGACCACAGTAGTTGACATCAGACAACTTCTTATTTGGAAAAAGTAAATTGTATTTAATTTTAAAAATTGTATTAATTTTTAGCATATATTGGGTGTGTACATAAGTTTTCTCGGTTTTTAAAATTTTGACTTTTACCCCTATAAAGGCGATCTTTATTACCTGCTAGCCCTGTTAGCTCTAGGGTGAGAAAAGCCCTATTGAAAGCGATTATTAAGAAAAGGATAGTTGACCCCAAGTTAGTCTAGAATAAACTGCGACGCATACAAGATGGAAGTAGAAAAAATTCATTTGTGACATTGTTTGCTATACGAGTCCGATCTCGGGCACAGAGCAGCGGATGATTATTGGAAGTAAAATTTGCAATGATAATGTAGTAACCGAACTTGTGTGTCAACAGTTGCTCCAATGTTTTCATAATGGAGAATATATATTTTATATTCAAATAAGTCAAAAAGTGCAGCTAATTCTAAATAAATAAGCTCAAAAACTTCTGTTCCTCTCAATTTTTGCCAGGCTCGCTAGAAATAATAACTTTTACACTACTCTGCATTGTCGAAAACAATAGGGGTATTCATGATGTTTGGTAGAATAAGGGTTTGTTATTCCTAGAATATCCCACCAAACAGTCAATAGGACCTTATGAGGGTTTAACGATGTTTTGCACTGTTTCATTCTATGCAAAAAGTCCTATGGCATTTAACATTATGTGAATGACCCACTTCCCATCTCCAGTGATCAAATAGAAAAAAAAATACAATTTATTCCTATGCAGTGTGAAATGCAACAAGCCATGAAGTATAGCGAAGCGGAGCCCCTGCTAGTTTATATATATATATATAAACTAGCAGGGGCTCCGCTTGCTAACCCGCTGGCCGCAGAACAGCAGCTAGCGCCTGCTTGATTTTTTTGTGTGAGGGGATGAGTTGGCAATGAGAAAAAAGGCAGCAATGAAACCATGAGCTGCTGAGAAGCGGCCTCTGGGTTGGCGAGCAAAGTGGAGCCCCCTAAGGTATACTAAAAATAAATTAACTTTTTATTTCCTAAATTCAGGTTGGTGGTGTTCAAATACAGTCACAGACATTTGCTGAAGCAGTGAACGAACCAGGAATGACATTTGTTGCAGCTAAATTTGATGGCATTTTGGGACTTGGATATGACACAATTTCTGTTGACAAAGTTGTGCCTCCATTTTATAATATGATTACTCAAAAAGGAGTCAACCGGGCAGTTTTCTCTTTCTATATCAACAGGTAATTTCAATTGTTTTAGTATCATTGTTTTTATTAATGTGATGTTATTGTTAAAGGGATCCTTCAGCTTCTTCCGGTGGGGAAATTATTTTTGGCGGTTCCGATCCAGATAAATACACGGGCAACTTTACATATGTGCCAATAACCAAAAAAGGATACTGGCAGTTTACGATGGACAGGTACATTTTTTAACTTGCTTAGTAAAGCCATTTAAGGGGGGAAATATATTTTTATATTTCAGGGTTGAAATCGATAAGCAAAGTTTCTGTAAAAATGGGTGTCAAGCAATTGCTGATACTGGCACAAGTTTAATCGCAGGCCCTATGGAAGAAGTCAAGAGTTTAAATGAACTTATCGGTGCAACAGCTATGGCCGGAGGGGAATATGTTGTAAGCTTTAACTCTCTCTTGTAAAGTATTCATTTTTTAATGATATATCATGTGAGTTTTGAAATTTTAGATTTCTTGCAGCTTGATCCCTAATCTTCCAAAAATTAATTTTGTATTAGGAGGAAAATCGTTTGCATTGGAAGGAAATGATTACATTTTAAAAGTAAGATATATTTTTCTAATTAATTCAATCAAATTCAACAAATTTTTACGATTTAGGTATCTGCAATGGGGAAAACACTTTGCCTGTCAGGATTTATGGGAATTGATATACCACCACCGCATGGACCATTGTGGATTCTTGGTGACGTTTTTATTGGGCGATTTTACACTGAATTTGATATGGAAAATGATCGAGTAGGGTTTGCTTTATCTAATAAATGATCAAGTTTGGATTAATTTTAAAGTATTCCCTGTCTTTTAAGAAAAACAATTTTGTATACTCATTGTACAACTAAACTATTAAAATAAAACTTAAGATACTTTGTTTGATACTCAATAGATAGTTGAGCCCAACAATATGGGCCTTAATCCTATAAAAGATAATATCAAATATCAAAATGTTACTTATGTGTAATTTTTTGTTTTGATAAATTGACAATAATAGTGAATAAAGATTGTTTCAAAATGAGTGCATAATTTTCCACATACGTAATAAAAACTGATTGTTTCTTTCTAAAACCCTAAATATATTTTGTTATTTCATAATTTTACACCATCATATTTTATGAATGATTACAATTTCATAATACAGAAAATTGATTCATTTAATGATATAATTTGTAAATAGTACCATGCATTACACATTGCATATACTATATATATGCAATATTACATTAGATTAGTAAAAAAGATTAAAAATTAGAATAGAATCAGCCTCTTTACAACCTGTGCACTGTGACCAGGATTGTTTTTTTTTCACCTACCATGTGTATCCTTCAGTTCCGGACTTTTAGTCTTAGCCTAAATACTTAAGTTGTACAATTTAATAACTAAATACCTATTGCACCAACCGTGGATATGTGCTGGCTCTTCTTCCTGGCAATATCTGCACAAGTTTGTTGCCATTCAGAGTCTATACGATGCCAATTGAGCCTGCAATGTCCAGTTAGCAGTTAAACTATTATTCTTGTCCTTACATGACCTAGATTTAGTAGTTTACCTTTAATTTCTGTGATGGTCCTTTGACAAACTTTTGCATACCTCTGTCCTGATCTACATTGAAAAAAGGACTTATTTTTAGTCCATTTTTGGCAGTTTAGTATATCACAAAAGGGTGCAGGGTCAATAAGTGTCCTCGTAAAACATGCTGAATATTTTCACAGAGAAAGGTTTATTGTTAATGAACTGACTTTCTGAGAAATTGTCTTAAACAATTTATAAAAGAGAAAAACTGGAACTAATATTTGTGGATGGCAATTCAGAGTTCTAATGCCAATTTGAATGAGTGCGGTATTTTGGCAATTGAGCTTTGCACTTTGCGACAGTATTTAGCATCTTCAATGGTAGTTGAAGTGCCAAAACACGACAGACCAAGATGATCAGTAAAGATCAAATTATAGGTTCATCATCCCGCAGAACAAAGGAGGAAATCTCACGAGCTTTATATTTGTTTGAGTTTGTGTTTAGATGGCCGAAAAGCCTTATGCAATGCTTCCGTCAAAAAGGACTGCTATTACTCGTAAGGGTAGCAAACTATCTATCTAGCTTCAGGCTTTGTTAGCTATTAGGTCTCCTCTAGGCCTGATAATTATATTTGCTGGATATAGCTTTCTTTTGTGCTGAAAAATCTTTTTGTTATTAAGCTTTCACAATTATATAATATCAATCCGTATATATTTAGCGGTCATTATTGTCTATATTAATTATTTTAATTCATTATTATTTTTATCTAAGGTCTTGGTTGAGCCAACAAATTTAGTGTCAGCGGGATTCGAATCCATGACCTTCCGCTATATTGCATTAATTTTTTTAACAAGTATTTTTTCATAAATGTTTCACTTATCGTAAGTTAAATTTTGAGAATTTTCTAGACGTGAAGTTCAAAGTGTAATTAACTGATCGGTTTTTTTATTTAAAAAATAGTATTTTTCTCATAAATGTTTAACTTATGGAAAGTTAAATTTTTTTAGACGTGAACATCAAAGTGTAATTGTTTATTTTATTACTTAAAAAATAGTATTTTTCTCATAAATGTTTAACTTATGGAAAGTTAAATTTTTCTAGACATAAACATCAAAGTAATTAATTGTTTGTTTTTTATGTAAAAAATAGTACTTTTCTCATAAATGTTTAACTTATGGAAAGTTAAATTTTCTAGACGTGAACATCAAAGTGTGATTGTTTGTTTTATTACTTAAAAAATAGTATTTTTCTCATAAATGATTAACATATAGAAAATTAAATTTTCGAAATAATTTTCTGTTTCTCAAAGTTAACGATTGATATCGTTGGTTGATGGCCGGCATGAAACCTGGCTTGTTATTGGAACCTCTTTGAGTCGTTTTCCTCACCTCACGACTCACTCCGTCAGGCGTACATTTGAGCAATTTATTTTTCAACAAAATAATTGTTAATATTGTAATTAATTAGTTCATTAATATGTCGAGGGGCAGTAGCGCAGGGTTCGACAGGCATATAACTATTTTTTCCCCGGAAGGACGGCTCTACCAAGTGGGTGAGTAAAATATTTGTCTGTTTGGTGATGCTGACTTGCATTATTTTTAGTTCGATGCAATGTCTTTCACTATTTTAAGCTGTTTTTGTTAATAAGTAACTTAGAGACCTCATTAAAATGCGGTATGCGATCATGTATTACAATGATTTTCCATTAAAAAAAAACATAAGTATTAGCTGTTGAAGAACCAACAAATATACTTTTGATCTGAATGTCTAAGCTAAAATGAATATTGTAATAAAACAACTTGATATTTTTCATAAACTTATTGAATAAGGGACATTTTCAAAACTAGTAGGCCTGGAGTTAGCAATAGTCATCAAAAAATCCATTCTTTAATTATAACGGATGAGGTGGCTACGACCTCCAGATTTAATCACAGTAATCCAAACCCTATACTCTTAAAATGCCATAAAAAGCATTATTAAAAAAAAGTGGCATCATCGGTGGGCTGATTGGCAGATAAGCTCTCAGCTATGTAGGCGGCTCTCAGAGGACCTGACTTGTGGAAGAAGCGTCATCTACACCCAATTAAGGATAGCCCATGCGAGGTTGACGCACATACACTTAAACTACTAATAACAACTTAAAGGACAATGGGAGTTTTGAGTTTTTTCCACACTACCAATGACTATTTAACTATTCTTTTTTTCATTAACATTTTACAGAACGATTAAACATTTTTCTTTCTCATTTTTTCTAAATAAACAATTTATGCCATTATATGAATTTTAACGATGAACAATAACTTTAAGATCAGTTTTTACAGTCAATAAATTATTAAGTTAATAGTTTGTGTGACTTCCAATTTTTATCAACTGAAAAACATGATTTGTCATTGATTCTACAAAAGTTTTGCTCAATTTTGTATCATTCAGCTTCCAGCAATCATTTTAGGTCATTAGGCGTCAAATAATGCTTCCCATTTCAATATACTCATTCTCATCCTTGCTACTATTGCTTTTTGCTAGCCATTTAAGGCATTTTATTCCCATGTGGTTCATCCAAGTTTTTACAACTTGACAAGGCAGATATTTATCAAAACGAAGTATCTTGCCTGAGAAGTTTGGTATAAACTGAATTTTCATACTGTCCGTAAAGTATTTGTTCACGTGATATCGACAGATCAACATTGGCTTGTTAATCCTTTTAGGGTAAAATTTGTATGTTTATCAGTGCAAAGACTTGTTGCATGTACACAGACAAATGTAAATATAATCTGAAGTATATATTACATAACATTGCTATGTCAAAGTTTTTATTAAGGGCTGTACTTTTGGGCTAATGCCCATGTATGTGTCTGACATGCAGAGAATGGAGCTTGATGTGTGCCACGTAAATGAAAAGTGCAATAGGCCCCATATAGAGAGTGTGTAGGAATGCCACCCGATATGAAAATTGTGTTCAAGCATTACAGTATTTAGGTAGGTCATTGTTCTGATTCTTGGGGGAAACTGTTGTTTTATTGTATTAGTACTGATAGTTTACTGCCCCTAGCGTGTGGTGAGAGTGTGTATGTATTTATTGCCAACGTATTTATTGGCATGAGTATGTAGTGTGAAAGTTCCAATGGCAGAATATTCAATAGCCTCGACCCTCAATTTGGTTAGTTATATAATCGGTGTAAAATGTTATGAAGAGATGATTTAGCAACTGAGTACGTTGGGTGCTGAAATGACCCAGCTGTTGAGGGTCCCTGGAGCCCAACCTTGGTAGCTGGATGGATATGACCAAGGTCTGACCCCCGGACTCCCAATACATGGGGAAGGTGTAAATTACACAAAAGCTGGGATTTTTGGGATCTCTGTTCGTGTGTGTATTTATGTACAGTGAGTGCAGATATGAGCTTATATAAATCAGTGATTAGTAACGATAACAGTGGTATAATCCATTTGTGAAACAAGGACTTTCTTAAATTATTACTTATTAAATTAATTCTTAAAATAGGGGCATATTTGTTAATTTTATTAGCAGTTTAATATATTACTTTTGTCTTACATAATTGTGTTTTGTTTTTAAGAGTATGCATTTAAGGCAATCAACCAAGGTGCTTTGACCTCGGTTGCCTTAAAAGGTGTTAATTGTGCCGTTGTTGCCACCCAAAAGAAAGTCCCAGTAAGTTCTTAAATGTTTTAAAGATATATTTTTATTATTTAATGAATCATCATTTATCAATTGGCTTATTTCAAGGATAAATTATTAGACCCCGCCACAGTGACCCACCTTTATAAAATAACCGATGAGGTTGGATGCGTTATGACAGGAATGATTGGTAAGATCAAATAATTTTCATTTTATAGATTTTAATTAAGTCATGTTATTATTAACGATGTTATCATTCATGTTTTCAGCTGATAGCAAGTCTCAGGTTCAAAGAGCCAGGTATGAAGCAGCAAATTTCCATTACAAGTTCGGGTATGATATGCCCATTGACATAATTTGCAACCGTATCGCTGATATTTCTCAAGTTTACACTCAAAATGCAGAAATGAGGCCTCTTGGTTGTAGTAAGTGTCTGAAACACGTACCCCTACTAAGACTGAATTTTATGTTTATATTGATCATTTATTCAAGGTATGATGTTGATCGCATATGACAAAGAAAAAGGTCCTTTAGTCTACAAAACTGATCCAGCAGGCTATTTCTGCTCATATCGTGCTGTGAGTGTCGGTGCGAAACAAACTGAAGCCAATGCTTATTTGGAGAAGAAACTGAAAAAGAAACAAGAGTTTTCAACAGATGAAGCAATTCAGGTATAATAATGATCCTGAAAGTATTATGACCTAAAGAAAATAATTCAATTGTTTTCTTTCCAGTTTTGTTGATTTTTTCCCATTAATTTCCCATTTTCAAATTTCACTGTCTGAGATTATTTTTCCTTAAATAATATTTTCATTATTTTAAAGTCATTAGATTAACTTTTATTTTTTATTGAATGTCTTGTCTCAACTGTGTGAATTTTCAGCTTGCTATTTCATGCCTTTCAACTGTTTTGTCAGTTGATTTCAAACCATCAGAAGTAGAAGTTGGACTCGTCACAGAGTCAGACAGAAAATTCAGGTATTACAGTGATAATACATACATGCATAATAACAATCATTGATTAATAATTTTTTTATTTTAGAGTATTAACGGAACAAGAACTTGATAAGCATTTAACAGTTATTGCAGAGAAAGATTAAGTCTTTTTTGTATGCTGAATAAAATAAAACTAAAAAATGGAAAAAAAAAGAACTTGCAAGTATAAACGGTGTTTGTTAATTGAAGATTATATTTCTCTACACTCTTTTTAATGTTCTGCTTACAAAAAATAAAACAATATTCTTATTTCATGTCTATTATTTGTACATTTCAAGTTACCTAATCAAGGATTTGTTTATATTTATTTAATTAATTATCTGTTTATTAATTATTATTTTCAATAATTCACTATTTTTGTGGTCCGCTTGACCAATTAATACAAGACAATTAATTAAGGTTTTTAGTTGAGATGATAAAAAGTTAATGGCACGAGAGGGATTTGAACCCACGACCTTCGGCTAGATATGCCACTGCTCTACCACCTGAGCTATCGTGACCTCGATCCACTCGGACATCAACTCCCCATCTCAACCCCACCTTACGAGTTTTCCCTCCTTTTGCCATTTTNTCAGGTGGTAGAGCAGCAGCGTATCTAGCCGAAGGTCGTGGGTTCGAATCCCTCTCGTGCCATTAATTTTTTTTTTCATCTCAACTAAAAACCTTAATTAATTATTTTCAATTTCACTAACGCATGAGGTAGAAGCAGGATATGTCAGTTTGTAGTTATCAACTCCAGCCATTGTGCTAAAGGGCTGTTTCTGGTGTTGTGTAATGTTACAAATGCAGAATATAGGTAGAAATAATGAAATACATTGATTATATTATTAACAAAATTTATTTTGTAGCTCGATTTTCTCTTAATCATACTGGCCTGCTTATTCTTGTTAGTCATGTATTTTGCAACCATTAGATCCTATTAAAAGAGTGTCTATGGTGAAAAAAAAGAATAACCATCAACGATAGGAAAACATCTAAATTTCGACAAAAAAACCAACGAGAAAAGGCAGGCCAGGTTGATTGGAGACAATATTCTTCGCCTCACAATGTTTCACGGAACTTTTCTCTTGGGAAATTTTAATATTTTTGAGAAGTAAGACAATTATTCTCTCATTATGTGTCATTAAAAATTATTGAAACTGACATTAAATGTTTCTATTTGAGAAGGTATGTATTAACATCACAAACAATATTTTAAATAATAATACAATTAAATATATTGTAATATGTACATTATTTTCAACTGAACTACATTATTTTAGATATCTTCTTCCGATGCTTCATTTAGAAAGAAGAACAGAAAACGCCACTGTTAAGGCCAAAACAACATAACCGCTTAAATAAACCTCTTTTATTGTCAGCCCTTTACCCATGTCCCAGAACTGGAAAAAAATGGAAATGTGTTAATGGAAAATATAATCAAGCAGTGAATTTGTTTTACTTACAAGATGTCTGATTCCATTAAAAAAATGGTAAACTGCTGGAAAGGCGAGTGTATATTTCACCGTAAATGTTACAAAACCTGGCAATGAGAGGTTTTTGATCGTATCGGCCAACGAACAAACATCATATGAAACAAAAGAACCTATAAACATATCTCATCAGATCTTGTTTAAAATTTGAACTTAAAATAACTTTTTTATCAGCAGAACTTTTAATGGCTCATAATTATCTTACCAGCAGCTAGGACAGTAGCATAGCCTGCCATCATAAGTCCAGTGATTCTATGTGAAATTGACATCATTGATGTCAACTGTGGTTTGTAAATGAGAAGATGTGGTGACATTGGTCGGACCCCTTCATTTTTCTCTTCATGTGTAAGCTTTGGAGGTGGGGTTGCAGGTGTCGCTTTGAGTGTAACAGCTCTTGAACTATTTTGGTAATAGGCAAAATTATGTTTAAAAATAAATGGTACTTAAAAAAAAGAAAAGTCACTCAACTGTAAAGCAGGTCTGAACATCTGGATACTGGGTGAAAGGACCCACCTGCCGGTCAACAAGCTATAACCATAAAAGTAAATATAAGTATATTTAATTTAATTTACCAATTGTACAAAAAATGCATACTACAAATGTAAAAGTATTGTTTGTATAGACAACCAGTAAATATTAAAAAAACTACTGCAATGTTTTATTAGGTTAAGAATAATTTTTATATACAATGAAACATCCATCTTTAAATAGATTGCTCATGGATTTTGATTTAGCGTTTTCAATGTATCACATACTACTTATTATATTATAGAATGAAATATTATGACAATGCATGGCTTTAATGCCCATAAAAAGGCTAGAAAAATCAAGGCCTAGGCATTGCATCAATGTTCAAATGTGGTCTACAATGCGAAGTATCTGCCAAAAGACAAATTGGTGCTTTGTGAGAATGTTGAAAGAATTAAGTGTAGGGACCAATCGTTTTAGGAGAATCTTGAATATTTTTGAGAAGAGAGGGAGTATGCTAATTGGACAATAGGAAGGTGCATTATTTGGGTTTAGGAGGATGATGTTGGAACCCTTCCAGAGCAAAAGGGAGTAGATAGTGCAGAATTCATGGAGGTGATGAGATCAAAGCCAGAGGACTTGCGATTTAGCAATCTTGATGGATTTTGAAAATCATTTGTATCTTAAAACTTAACCGGTCTACACCAAAAAGAAAAAATGTGACAAATTTAATTTACACTAATGATAAAATTAAGATATTTTTAACAACTATGATAAACATAGTTTTGTAGCACTGTTTCATAATTGAACTACCAGTTTAGAAGGAGCACCTAGTGATGTGAGAGACAAAGGCTGTACTAGCCAGGTGTATGCGATACACATATACGTCAGATCTGTTTCAGAATTAGAAAAAAGCCTATTTTCAAAAAGAACCAGTGAGCTCATAATATATTATTTCCATATATTTGATACTCACTCTGGCAAACTTGAGTTACATACTATCAAGGATTGTTATTTTTATTGCTTATCGTTAATATCAGGGGTATTATTACATAAAAAGGGAATATTTTGTTTAAGGAACTTTATCCACCCTTTTTACTTTTACAACTTTTAGTGCTCCTCACGAAGGTCACATCCTTAGTATTTCCAAGCTTCTACTTAGTTGAATTGTTGCTATACAGCACTAAGCAAAAGCTAAATTGGTTGTCCAGCTGACGGTTGAAACAATTAAGTATAGGGCTCAATCATTTTGGGAGGATCTCAAATATTTTTGAAAAGAGAGGAAGTAGGCTAATCTTGTATGTTAGAAAGATACAATATGAAAGAGCTTAGAAAAAGGATGATGTTCAAGTAATTCTAGAGCAAAAGGAATTGTGTAGACCGGAGTATACTGTTGTATAAGTACATGATGAGGTCACCAGGGAACTTGCAATTCGGCAATCTTGAGAAATTCTGCTAAAATAAATCATTGTTATGCAAATGACTTATTTTGCACTATAATACTTAAACGTCTAAACCGAAAAAAGTGACAAATTTAACTTACACAAATTATAAAATTAATACATTTTCACAACCAGCATAAATGTAGTTTTGTGACATAAAAACTGCACTGTTTATTTATAAATTGAACTACCAGTTAAGAAGGTGCAATCAAGTTTTGACAGCTTAGATGTAGATTCTACCTTGTTGAATTTTTGCTATAACTGCATCGAAAATAAAAATATCTTGTAAGAAATAAGAGTTTTTCGTGTATAAATTTGAAATTGTGACTTAAAAAACAGCGCTGACTCAAATAAAACTCATTGTTTTAACAATTAACCGAAAATATTTACAATTAGACTGATTTACATATCTAGTACAAACCATCGGGCGTAAGACATCTTCAACAGCAATTAACAAATTGTGAAAATAGTTTTATATAATTTTTCTGGAACAAGACAGAAGTTTTAACAAATTTGCAACCTCTGCCAGATGCCTTGATCTTGCATTTAAATAGTTTTAGATAAATGAGTTTTAAATAATGTTTTCATACTTGTTTTTATGTATTTATAAATATAATAAGTACAAATTTATAAGGGAAAATATTTGATTGTGTTTCATGAGCTTTGCTTATCAAATTAACGATACCTTAACTTTGCGCGTTGCGGTTATAAGCTATTGTTTATTCTGTGGCGTTTTGTATGAACGTGACCAGTTCGTCTGTAGTTTTTTACATTATAAGCACTAGTTTTTTTACTTACTACAATGGCGTAAGTCGTTAAAATATTGTTTTTGTTTTTTTAAAATAGAAAATCTGACTTTTTTAAAAATAAATTTTGTATTTAAGAACCGGAACGAAACCCAAGTCTGAAATGACGCCGGAAGAATTGGCCAAGAGGGAAGAAGAAGAATTCAACACCGGTCCACTATCGGTACTCACTCAGTCGGTCAAGAATAACACTCAGGTTTGTACAGGAAATATGCCACATTTTAAATAAATAATCTATTTTTATGAACCAATTTTTTTTTTACTTTACTGTATACACTCTTCTTCCTATGGTACATACTAACGTTGAACAAATATGTGAACACAGTGTTGAAGCTAATTTCTGCCTGACCCTCCAACATACAAAGATTTGTGTCCCAAAGGGCCGTCGCACACTGCAGACTTTGAGTTGGTTGCTTAAGCATTGGGGACTTATCGGAGTGCACACGCACAACCAATTCTAACTGGTCGATCCCTGCCAGACTAAGCAGTCAAATAAGCTGCCCGATCGCCAACTGAAAAGTCGGCCAACTATCGGCCGACTGGTTATTCAGTACAGGCTACAATGGGAGTCACATACTTCCCTACTACCAACCATTGTTCGACCTGAATTTAGCTTGTTATGTATTATTTTGTTTAATAGAGAAAAATAAAATAAAAAGTTAACTGGTTACCCTGTAAATCTTACATAGAAAATAAGTTTTTAAATAGTAAAAATAGCTACTGTACAAAAAATATCTTGCTTTGTTTACAATAGATCCATGTCCCTCTTTTAAAAACTGTTGTTGATTACCAGATCCTGAATTTGTATTATATTGCCTAGGATTATGAGACAATTACACAGCCTCTTTAGTACAAAGGGTGCTGACATTTATAATTATTTTAAACCATTTAAACCAGTGAGATTTGTGACAAATAGATTCTATTATTTAAAAAAATGACATACTTTACAAGGACATACTTTTCCTACATTCTGACAGATTCCTATATGTCCTTTTGCCACAAAGGTTTCCGACATTTATAATTAGCTAATTGTAGAACCGCTGCTGCTTTGACCTGCAACAGGAGTAAAACTTGGCCGACTGGTGGTTTAGTGTGAGCACTACCAATCAACCCAACAGTTTAGTCAACATAGTGTACTTGCATGCAACCCAACCAGACTAAACACGGCTGATAGTTTTGTTTGTAGTATGTGGTGGCTTTAAAGCTAATATTTGACTCAGCTACTAGGTTTCTTATGACACCTACTTCAAATTGTTCAATAACTCATTTTTTTAATCATACAATGAACTGAAGAACTGAAAGAATATATAACCCAGTATTGGGGCTAATCTCTGTCTGACCTTCCAACATACAAAAAATATTGTCTCTAAAAGTTCATATTTGACTTAAAAAGCCATAGGCTCTGTCAGGATTCGAACCTGTGAGTTGGACATTCAAACAGTGGTCCCCTCTAATACTGATATATTACACTGACCATCCAACATACTAAGACTGGTAATAATAAACCTTAGGCTGAGGTTTGTTGGTTGCTTTATTTGTACGAATGTTTTGATTGAATTAATAAATCTACAGATGTGAAAAGCATTTGTGACACTACTCTTTGCTCTGTACTTGGCATAAAATAGTGTTTAACATTTTTTCTAACGTAAAGTGCATCTTTGGATTATTCAGTCTGTTGGCAATAAAGGCTTATTTTTTGTCCCAAGGTAAATTGATTCCTCAACCTGTGCAATGGTACAAGGTTGAACCCTAGACCGTTCCTCTCTCTCTGTAATTTAGTCGTGAAAGCATTCTGCAAAATGTCTTTTTTGAAAATGTATTCTTTAATGTTATTTTGTTTTTCTAGGTCCTTATCAATTGTAGGAACAACAAAAAATTGCTTGGAAGGGTAAAAGCTTTCGATCGTCATTGTAATATGGTGCTTGAAAGTGTTAAAGAAATGTGGACTGAACTTCCTCGTACGGGCAAAGGGAAGAAAAAGGTTCAGTCACTCATACAATTTTCCATCCATTGAAATGTTCTATTAATTTCTTATTATTTCAGGCGAAACCTGTCAATAAGGATAGGTTCATATCGAAAATGTTTTTACGTGGCGACTCTGTCATACTCGTCTTGAGAAATCCATTGGCGACTGCGGCTGGGAAATAGAAACGCAATGTTGACTTGACGACCCACTAATTTTTACCTTTTAATATAAGTATTTGTAAACAATTATAAATAAAAATAAGTCAAATTTTTCAACATGTTACGATGTTTCTTTTTCTTCCTCACAACTATGTATATTTTTTGCAAAACGATCACATATAAGCACATAGAACTTAGTTACACACAATAATTTTCTTGTTTTACTGATTACTAATTTATCTATACTACTACTAGTTTTCTTAATTGGCTTATGTGGTTTATAAAAATAGCCTGTTTGTGCAATAAAAGGACATTTTTAAAGTAAATTCGTTTAAATGAATTAAACAATTAAAGGACAGTGTTTTATATATAGTATGATGTATATAAACTATAACGATATACATGTGATGTAATAAACTCAAATGTAAATCTGGATATACAATGTACAAATACAAATGTATGGTCTGGATGAAAAAATAAATTCAATGGTGAGGTGTCTGCCAGGCTATTGTCCTATTTTAAAGTCATCATCAGGGCAAAACAATCCCAAAGATGTCTACAAATTGATATAATTTAGTTTTTAATAATAAATTGTTTTGAAACCAATCAGTCCTAACATTCCCAGGGCTGTGACAATGTTGACAGTCGATTTATTAAAAACAATTATGTCTATTTGAAAACATCTTCAAGATTGTTTTGCCCTGATGACCTTAAAATAAGTCTAAAACCTGGCAGAAACAACTGATTTTTTATTTTTTTTAAATCCCTGTACTGGGATCTAGATTATTTATGAGTAAAAAGGGTTGATTCGTCTAACACTTTAAACAGAAATTGATTTAAGCTAAATTAAATTATTGTTTGTGTGATCATGGTAAGATGATGGGTAGGAAATAAATTGTCTTTTCCACAATAGGCATTACGTCAGATGCGTTTCAGTCTAATACTGTCCATCTTCAGTTGTTTTTTTTTATAAAGTGGTTTAATGGTTTTTTACATTCTTATAAGTTAAGAAGTGGATGTTTGCACGACCATAGATTTGCCGACTAATCTGTCAAGAAGAACATGTCTGACATAATAAATGCCTATTATGGAAAATAATTTATTTCCTACCCTTCATCTTATTATAGAGTTCTATAATATCAGGATGGACACCACCAAAAAATTAACAGTGGATTCTACTGGCTCAGTATTAATGGGATTCACTGTATATAAATATCTTCTTTTACTTATATGGTAGTTCAAATATAATTGATTTTTTTGTCATTGGGCACTTGCCCATATGTTTTTTTAATTAATATTTACTAATATATAATAATAAATATTTAAATATATTCTGTTTTCACTAGTTTATCGATGTAAAACAATTCTGTGTAAGAACGTAAAACGGTTAGGAACGATATGGTATTGTGATATCTTAGATATTATATTGGATGCAGTTCAAACTTCAAACTGCCTATAAATCGTTAACTGTTTTACATGCTTTTAATTTTCTTGGAAATTGCTTTAAAAAGTTAAATAATGTCAACAATCGATATAATTTTTTATATTGTTGTCATTTGCCATCGATTAACCGAAAGCAAGAAGTGGTCGCCCTCTGTGTCAAACTAGAAAGGTAGTCACTAGTAAACACCGATATGAAGTACTAGTTGAAAGTTGGAACTATTAGCATTCCAGTTCTAATTTGTGTTCGTAAGATAGTTAAAAAGCCTAGAATATGGCGTTCGTTACGGAAAATTCGAATGAAGGCAGGGTTTGAATAATACTGCGAATGCGATGGCTTCGAACGAGCAGATGGGGCTCAACAAAACTTGGGAGCTCTCTTTATACGAACTGCACAGGACGCAGCAAGACGCTATTACTGACAATACTGAAATCGCAGTCTCCCCTAGAAGCCTGCATTCGGAGCTCATGTGCCCCATATGCCTCGACATGCTTAAAAAGACCATGACAACTAAAGAATGCCTTCACAGGTGGTTTCATATTTATTATTTTTAAAATTTAATAAGTTTATAATTTAAACCAACTGAAAATTTGTTAACATTGTCATCTGGTTCAACGTTTATTGCTTGCCTAAATTAGACATCATTTAATACACTTTTTTAAAAATTGCAATGTTAGTATAATTTTTTTCTAATAATACTGATTATACACTCAAAGACCAACACAACCGGTCACTTTATTTCCATTACACAACTAGCTGTAGCCCATACATAGTAAACTGGGCAAAAATGAATAGGGATATTTGTAATTTATTCTTATTGTATTAATTTTAATTAAATTAACCCGTAGATTCTTGTTAGTTGGATAAAACAAAATAGAATAGCAACAACCCGTCACCAGCAACTCAGGATAATATGGTGGAGCGAACGCCTAGAGTTCTCTTCTAGGTACAAATCCCCTGTTCTCAGTAGATTCTTTGGCGCCTGCTATCACTATACAGACAGATACACGACTCATCAGTAAAAAATAGCATTCCAACTGGTGTTCTCTTCTAGGCGCTCACTGCACCGTCTTCTCTTGAGCTTCAGGCGGCGGGCTGTTGCTGCAGGTCGGCTCAAAGTGGCGTATGATGTGAGGCCAACTTCTTTGCTATTGTTTGTGTTGATAAAGGCCTTGCCAAAACATCTTGTACTTCATTTAGGATCTGGTGGGCACTTTGGAAAGGGTTCTGTATTGCAGCAATGACAATATTTCTGTCCTCTCTTAGTGTTGCAATGTGCTGTGATCCACTACTAGGCCTCCTATTGACACTTCCAGTTTCGGAAACAGGCTTTAGCCAGACTATGCTCTTGAGAAATGCCAACTGCTTCAGTGATAGCCACTTGCCGGTCACCTAGATGACTCATTCTACAATAATATTGCGAACTTCTGGTTTCAGAAGATGTCTTTCCTTGGGTAAAGAGAATGCAACTCTATTAAAATGGAGAAAAGACGAGAAAAGGTGTTTGTTTACAAAATGAGATATCTTCATGTTTACTATTCTTAAGTAAATCTGTTATTAAAAAGTGAGGATTATAAAAATTTTTGTGTTTGGTTTGTATATTCTGTTTTAGCCAAATAACAAGAATATATTGGTTAATTTAATAAAAATTAGTAGAATAGGAGTAAATTATAAAAATCCCTATTCATTTTTTGTGTAGTTACTTTAAATCTCGATTTCAGTAGGTTCTTTCAATTTTCCTCCATACCCATCATATTCATAAAAGCCAGATAATAATTTTTTTAAAATAAACGAGGGTTCGCAACAGTAGAGAGCATATCAACCCTTAGGGTGTGTAAAAAAAACCCTTTGTAAGGATTTCTGGTCATCTCGCATTACTAATACGAATTTCTTCAAATAACTGTTCCACATTGAAATATGCAATTGCAAGGCTTTCTATGGTGATCTCAGTATTAGGTTAGTTTGAAGGATGAATGCTGAGGTATGTCTTCAAATGAGTTGTAAGCGGCACTTGTGCCTACTGGCCACCCCAGTGGAAGATTTGAAGGTTTTTTAAAGCGTTTGGGGCAGTTCCCAATCATTTGTTACATGACTTCACCCCTTTCCGTCCAGTCTTGTCAACTAGTTGACTCAACTAACCCCCTCATCTGAAATTGTCTAAAATGCCTAAAACAGCAAGTTTGAGCAGATCGAAATGGTTAGAAATTACCAAGCTACAGGTTTATCTCCTCCCCAACAATTATTATAATTTTCGACATTCCCAGAATAACATTTCATTGTTATGAGAAGACCAGTGACACTCAAGAAGGCATGGTTGGGTCAACAATTCTAGCCAATTTCCTTTGTGTTTAGAAGACCTTTGTGGATATGTCAATAAGAAATTGCTACTTCCCCCTCAGTGTAGTAAAAATGTATTTGTTATCTAAAGGATAACAACAATCATATTTCTTTGTTATTTATAATTTCTTTATTAACTAATTTTAATAATGGTAGTGGTATTATAATTTTTTAACTCAAATTTTTGTTTTAGGTTTTGTTCAGACTGTATAATAACTGCACTTAGGTCTGGTAACAAGGAATGTCCAACATGTAGGAAAAAGTTGGTGTCAAAGAGGTCCCTCCGTCCGGATCCCAACTTTGACCTGCTTATATCGAAAATCTACCCCAGTAGAGATGAGTACGAAGCTCACCAAGTGAGAGTGCTTGAAAAACTGAACAAGAGCCACAGCCAGGCAGCTCTGATGAACTCGATCAACGAAGGCATCAAGATGCAGACGCAAAACAGACTGCAGAAGTCCAAGAAGGCACAAGCAGAGCCAGAGCCGAACCCTGGCAATTCGAACGCCACAATACCCGTCGAGAAAAAAAGTGAAAACATGGAGGAAGAAGTGAAACCGGCGAAAAGGCCGAAAACAGAAACTTATTCAACAGACTCAAATGACTCTGGGGATTCGGAAGCATCTGGGGGTCAAGATTCCGTTACAGAAGGGGAAGGGCCATCAGAAAGCAGTACCTCGGATGAAATTGAACTTGTCTTTAAACCCCACCCAGTTGAAATGCCAAGTGATATGAGCATTATGAAAGCTTTGAAGGACAATATGATAAGATACATTAAAACAACTGCTAATGCGACTGTCGACCACCTTACGAAATACCTCGCCACACGACTCGCACTCGATCTTGGACCTGAACTCCAAGAAAGGAGTCTTAATTTTTGTATTTATGTTGCCCCTACACTAAACCAATATATATCCCTAAATGGAAGCCACACTCTACGACAAGTGAATGAAAAATATTGGAAAATTAATAAACCTCTGGAAATGTTTTACTCTTGGAAAAAATCCACGTAAACTTTTTCACAACTTTTTTTAAAGATTGCAAGCTTTCAAAAACTCTTTCTAGTCCCTGAAACACAAAATATGGTCTAATTCTTTGTTTCAATATTATAAGTAAGCTTTAAGCATTTTACGAACACTCAATCAAAGTGTGGTCTTGAAAAAGAAAGCAAATTTAGTTTCTACTGCCAAGCTTTCACAATACTGTTGCAGTCCGGTAATGTTGGGACTGAGTCAGTCTTCAAGGAAATTTGAGATCGCCCGTAAAAACTTAAATATGTCAATCTGTAGTTGTTTGGCCCTGATGATGACCTTAAAATAGTCAAAAGCTTTTGCAGTAGCAACTGAATTTACTTTCTTCTTCAAGACCATACTTTGGTCCAGAGAGTTCATAAGTGAAAAAGTGTTTGATACTTCTATTACTGAAAACATTTAAGCATTTTAATGATTAATGCTGTTCTATGTTTTACAAAAACTGTTTGTTTTATGATAATACAGTAAAACATTTTGTACATATTCCAAAATATTGTTTTTATTTATTAATATATACAATGACCATACCCTTAATTTGTACGAAGTACATTAACCTTAGTGTGGATGCTGGGTGCTGGTCTGCACTGGGTCACTTATATTTGAGTAGTAGTTCAACAAGCCCGTGAGTGAAGACAGGTGGACCTAATAAGTAACCCAGGGGTTCAGCATACACCAATGTTGTCAATTTTTTTTTTTTGTTAAGGAAAATTATTGACTGACCAAACACTGAATTTGTCCAATAAATAAACAAGCTGTCAACATTTTGTTTAATGAACAACCAACTTCAACCAGATGGTAATTATTCATGACTTACTGACCAATAAGTAATGATCATTATGTACAATTAACAATGATCAAGTTTGTTTAACATGATTTGAACATTTTGGCCAAATGCATTTTATATAACAATAATGTTACATAAATATAATAATCAATTGAAAAAAAAATTATGATTTCAAAAATGCCATAATCTAATAATAATTGATTTTGAGTAATAATACAAATTATTATTTCTGCCAATTGCATGGCAGGTACTGATTTTGCTAAAACATTGTAATAATTGCTTAAATCTTTTTAGCAGGTTAGAAAATAGAAGTAAACTATGGCTTTTAAAAGTGTATATTCAATTTTCATCATCAGAATCGACTTCCATTTCTGAATCTTCATCTTCTTCCTCACTGCTGGAACTACTCTCTGATGTAGATTCGTGCCAGTCTTGAGATTCAAAATCAGGTGGTATCAATACTTCCCATTCGTCGAATTTTTTAATATCTGAAAATCCACGTTTCAAATTTGTTGAGCGGTTTTACAAAATGATTGTGTATATTGTTGAAAACATGTTTTTCTAATTTACCTATGGAGTGTAAATCGTTCAAAGTATAATCTATGTTCTTTTTCAAGTCCTCATATAGACCTCCATAGATATATAGCCGTGATCCCTTAATGGTCATAACAGCGTTTATCCTACTATGTGGATTATTATTTGGGTTGGTAGTGTGTACATTTTCACAGCTTGAAGTTGGCGTTTCATCCTTAGGTGGGCCAATCTGCATTGTAAAAACTCCATCACTTACTATTTCCTAAAAAAAGAAAAAAAATAATGCCCAAAAATTGCAATTTTATGTTCTGATTGTAGAGTTGAAAAAAATTTATGGAAATAAGGACAACAAAAATTTATTTGTAAAATTACTAAGGCCATTTGGCATACAAGAGGCAAAAAATAGGAAATGAGAGGGTTATTAAAGGGGAATTAGAGGATTAGGAAGGGCAGAGGTGAGAGGTAGAAGGAAAGTAGGACATTCCCAATGAGACTTAGACATTGTGGCCAAATAGTTTTCTAGAAAAAGAAATGGTCACAATTTCACAAAAGTTTAAAAGAGAGGTGAGTTTGAGAATAAAAGAGGGAGAAAAACGTGGAAGTTTGATGAGGATGAGAAAGAAAGGGCATGTCCATTCACTACCAAGGTGTCTGCTACACATTGAGTACAACCTCAGCCCAATAGATGCCATGATGTCCAGCTAGGGCTTCTTAAATGAAAAAACTCATGAGGTCAACATAACTCACTGGGCCCAGGGAGAGTGAGCCCGAATAAAATATCTTGTCACTAGTTTAAAAAGGTTAAAACCAACTCCAATAGGTGTCTTAGACGAGGGGTCAAAACCACTTTACAATATTTTTTTTCCAAATTAATCTCAAATAATATTCCAAAGGCTATGCTGTGATTCGAACCCAGAACCATTAGTGCAGACAATAAGAGTAGGATTATTGTCCCCAAATGTAAAAAGTTGACCACAGCAAAACATTGTGAAAAAAGTGATTTTTCTTTTCTTAAAATTAGACTAATACTTAGCAGCTCAATATTTTTGCTGATGAAACAGCTATTTTACAAGAATTTCAAATTCTTAAGATTTATTCTATACTAGAATAACTGAAATGCCTCTAATTTATATAATAAATATTAATTGATTTTTTATTGAATTATTATTCGGAAATCGTGAGATGCGGTATGGTGTGATTTAGGTTTCAGAAAAACGTTTTCTTTATCGTGCCAACGTTTCGATCTTTGAGATCATCTTCAGGGCCTGGGATTTACAAACATTGTTTAAATTTAACAAATACATGTGGGATGTGGAAAAAAGTAAATTTATACAATGCAAAAAATATTTTTTATATTCAATCAATGTATTTCTACTCACTCAGTGTTTGTTTTCTGCACAATTGTGGCATTCTTGCGTGTCGTGTTGAGAGTGCCAGGGAGATATTGCTGTTTTATGTTTATATATGTTGGATTTTGAAGGGGTGGGGAAGTTTGGGGAGAAAAGAGCCGACAAAGGGAAAAAGCGTAGGTAATAGTTCGGCCAGATTATCCTTTCAGGATTATATAGACGGGGTTAAATAGGAAAAGGAGAGCTAAATTGTTGAAAAATTAAGACTATGTAAAAATTGTTATTCAGATATCGATTAACGGTCACTAATCTCTACACACTATGTAAAAATGTTTGATGTGTGGAATGGTTTATATGTTATAATATGTTAAATACCTTGATTGAATATAAAAAATATTTTTTGCATTGTATAAATTCACTTTTTTCCACATCCTACATGTATTTATTAAATTTAAACAATGTTTGCAAATCCCAGGCCCTGAAGATGATTTCAATAAAGATTGAAACGGCACGATAAAAAATTTTTTTTCTGAAACCTACATCACACCAGACCACATCTCACATTTTCCGAATAATCATCGACTAACGGTCACTAATCACCACACATTTTTATTGAATAATAATTATTCCACACTGCTTGAAGCAAAATTATGATTACGTTATCTCTTCTTCCTCAATTGACATGTGACAATTATTATTCAGCTTTGAAGAAACTTGCTTGATACAGTTGAAATACTGTGTGTGTAATAGTAAACAAGCAGAAATGAAAATTTTTTAGTTAATTATGTTAATGGTTCAAATAAATCCATATACTTATACGAAGTAGTACCTTTGGCTCTGGCTCTTGATCTGGAGTCTCTTCTTCATCAGATTCTTCCTCGCCTTCTTCCCCATCTTGTTTTTCCTTTCTTCGTGGTTTCTTTTGTTTCTTTTTCTGCATCACAGTGACTACGAATATTAAATTAAAACATGTGCACAAAATTTTTGCAATAAGGTGCAATTTTACCCTCATTCCACATAAATTTGTCTAAACTTAAAACGTGAAGATCGTTGTGAAATTCCGATTCAATTTCTGCTTCTGTTTCATGATCTGTACTGCCTCCAAAAGTGTACGCTTTGTTGTTGAAGTATGCACAAGATACACCGCTCCTATCGAAGTATCTCACACCACCAGGTTTAACTATGCTCCACTTCCATTTTAACCCGGTAGTGTCATTTCCTGAAATATTATTATTAAAATAGACAATAATTAAAATAAAAAAGTGCTGAACATACTTTCAGGTGATAGAAGAAACATATCAGAATGTGCCGTTCCTTTTTCTATTTCCTTTTTGATGTTAGTCCTACTATATCCTCCCCATACCACAATTTTGTTTTCCGCAGTGACAGCCATTAGACATCCAGACCTTGGAGTAGGTGGTGTTCCTATAAAATAAAATTATTACTATTTTGTTTGTAACAAATAAAAAAATCATTTTTACCAGTTGGTTCTAATTTGGCCCATTTGCGATCGTCTAAATTGAATGCATAGACATCATTGAAATATTTATATTCTCTTAAATTGTCAAAATAACCACCAAACAGAATTAACTGTCTTTTACAAAGCACCATTCTATGACCGCTTCTTGGTGATGGGCCACCAGGGGCTCTAAAATCGAGGAATCGTATTAAAAAATGGCGCAAATGGATTAATGTATCTATAAACTGAGTATTATGCTAAAGTATTATAATCAATAGAAATTTTCGTTACCTGTCACTGAAGGAACTGAATATACTAAAAATAAAAAATAAACAAGCCTGAGAGGCAAGAAAAGTTGCTACCCTTAATTACATTTTTAATTATTTCTTAGACAATACTCCATTGATTATCTAACAAAATATTTGGTTTGTTTTAAAGGATTTGAGGTAAATAAAACATGGATCAAATCTCACACTTGTGTTTACAGTTGAATTTTGTAAATAAATTTTTGAATAGTCAATATCTTCATTGGTTTTTCTGTAAAGCATCTTTCTAACTTTCTGGTGGCTTCATTTTTTTAGTTGTATGTCTTCCAAAGGTTGCTAAGGTCGCAAACAATGATTCAAGACAGTACTGTCCTACTAGGGCCCTTGTATAAAAAGGTATCAAACAGCCCTTACATTAGAGAAATAAAAATGTATAATAAACTTGATGATGTGGTTAAAAACATGCTAAAGAAAGAGTTCATACTAATTTTAAAAGGCACCATAGTTAAAATCATCTATATACAATTTCTTAGCCTTTTTAAGGTATGTGATATAAGATATTTTTGTGATTAGGTGTTCTATCATAATAATTGACATTTGTATTATACAGTTATTGTAAAGAGTGTTTGTTATATTTTAGGTATGACAGCTACTCTCAGCCCTACAATTTGTAATGACGAATGTTATGTCAAATCTATCTATCTATTTATTACAAAAAAAAAAAAAAAATCCTTACACTATCTTACTCCATCGTTTTGAATCCAAAGAGAACATCCATAAATCCTTGAAGTGGTGGCATTGTGACTGGCTTTTGGTCATGAACTCTCCTCCGAATACCCACAATTCACCCTTGTTCATCGGAACTGCAACTGCTTGGTGTGAAGAAATAGGAGGAGGGCCGCAAGGCGATTTGACAAGAACCCACTCCTTAGTTGCAATTTTATACAGGAACAAGTCATTGTATAACGTTGTCTAAAAGAAAACAACTAAATTAGCATAATTTATTTAATAATAAAAAAATAAAAGGGGGATGTCAGTAGCCCCAAAGGCTTCCCAAACTTTTTAACCTGCAGACCCCTTTCCCAGAACAAAATCTAGGGCGGACCCCTCTCATTCAAGTATTTAAAATGAGGTAATTATAGAATATAGTAAATTAAAGTTTTATAAATTAGCCAGTCCATTCCTAATTAGGTGATGGAGGGGATAACACTATGAAGAAAAAAAATCAAATTGGACAGAACGGAATCAATCAATAGTTATGTAAAACTTGAACCAATTTCGAAAATAATAATTTGAACATTAATGATTAATGAATTAATGTTTTAGCCTTTAATTTGGATATGTTGGTTTTAATTTTTGATAGCTGGAGGCGGATGTCCGGTTCAGCATACAGCTTCGGTATTTAGTTTTATTGACTGTATAGACAGATCCGGATTCACATAGGTAGGTTGTGGCAAATGGAAGAGAACAAATTTGCTTTTTCAACAAGTGGTTTCTAGGTGGAGTCTGAGGAAATGTCTATCAAAATTCATATTTACTTGAATATAGACTGGTTGACTTTGTTGAAACTGAAAATGGTTTGACCGCCCATTCATTGTCTTGCAGCATTGTATCTTGAGCTGGAATAAGTGCTCAAAGGACATCTCCAAACTTCAAAAGTGTTCACATATTTCATCAATCAACATGCCATTTGCAAGCTCCAGTTATTATTCAAAAATCATTTAACTCAGGAAAAACCTCATCTCTTCATGGCCAATATGCATGGTTTGCATGGCCATTTTTCATCATTGAAAACGTTGGCCAATTTGACGCCACCTCATTTTTGTATGGAGAAGCAGGGAATGATGAAGGTTTCCCATATCGTCAGTATTATGAAAAGTATTGACCGAAATGGCCAGGACTTGGAATAATTAATAATTTGAACAGATTCATCCAAAACTTTCTTAAAAGAGGGTAGCATTTGTTTCATAGCTAAAGCATTCTGTGGAGAGCACAATGACAGCTGCTGCAAAATTAAAAAACTTTCGTTTGTTCTTAGTTTTTTAATTTTATTTATTCATTCTAAGTTTATTTTTGTAAATATTAATTTTTCTTGAAGTTCACCACAGACCATAGTTTGGGAAGCCCTGATTTAGGGATTGAAACTACAAATAACTGAAAGGTAGTGGCCCCGGGTTCAAATTCATGAGCATTGGATTTAAACCCAACATAATTACAGAAGTTTTTTTTTCAAAAACACTGACACCCTGGGTGTTTACATGACCTCTGCTGTTACAAACCCATATTTTTTTTTAAATTTAACTTACTGCATCTCCTGTACACAACTCGCCCCCAAATAGTATCAATTCATCTTTATAAGGATGAGCAGTTAGAGATGCGAAACACCTTCGTGTTGGTGGAGTTTTAATCTGCACTTCAACAACTTTTAACTTTTCCTGTTCTTCTTTTTCTATTTTTGCTAATATGGCTTCAATATCTTCCTGAAAACAAAAAATTAAGAAAATTTTTCAGAATTTACACACTGTATTGATTAATGCTGATATTTTTCAGATACTATTGTGTCAAATTAACCCAGATTATCTCGATTAAAGAACATTTTGCCGAAACTAGGACTTTTTCATATTATGCTAGTTTCTATGTCCCATTAACTAAAAGTAAAGTAACTCCTGTCATTCCATGTACAACTACCTATTGGGTAATGTAGGTATTTTCTTTGGTGATTGATCAGCCTTCTCAGTTTAAATATATGCTTTTCTTTCCAAAAGGTAGATTGGGGATGAAGCCAGGGATCTACCTTTTGGAAAGAAAAAAATATATTTACCTATTGGGTGTTGCGGACGAGGGGGTCAAGCCGCTTTGCAATACTTTCTTCCTATTATTTGTAATTAAAAAACCTTGGGTTATGCTGAGATTCAAACCCAGAGTGGCAATACGAGTCAGGTGCCTTAACCACTCGGCCACTGCGGTCCCTTTTGTCTGATTAAGATATGAAGGAAAACAACAGTATTCAATCAATTTCAACAAATACAGAATGTGGGGATACAACGGCTTTCACTTCCTTTAAAGCTCTACATTCTTTGTAAGGAAAAATGTATGAATACCAGTCAAATTTGAATTTAACAAACAAAAGAAATTAATGGTAACCCCTCGTTCATCAGGACACTTGACCGGTATGAAGTATGGTTCATAATTGGGTTTGAACTGTAAAATAATAATTTAGTGTTGAAAATGAAGATTGTGTAAAAGGACACAATACTTTTTATTTTCTGTTTGATACATAAACTTTGCCTTAAATTTTATATTTTTAATTATTTACCTCTCCTTTGTTGGACAATTGTTTGTTGAATTTATGTATTAATTTTTTCTCCGTTTTCGCCAATGTTTTTTCCGTACCCTTGCCTTTCGTTTTCTTTTTGGTTTTGCCCATTTTGTATTAATTTTTAGGATAATCAAAGGATCTAAATTACATGTGGAAACCACGTTGTTTGTTGCAACCTAACTTCATTCCCACTGTCAACAAGGAGTTGTTAGTACCTACTACCTACTACCTAATGATAAATACTTGAAAACCTCCTAGCCACTTGTATATTTGTATATATGCTTGTATGTACAATGAACCTAATTATTATTAAGTTATAAGTCTAACATTGTTTAATGGCCAAATATATGTACCATTTTGTCAGTAAAATATTTATCTATTTGTTAATAATGATTATTCTTGCTTTTTGATTTTTGTGCTGTTGAAATTACAAAACTCAGAGATCAAGCCAAAGGTATATTTTCATGGCTTAATTTAATATAATAACTCTTTATCTACGGATAAATTTTGTATGCATGCAAAAATTCTGGGTTGTATTGAGTTATGAAATCTAATAATAACAAGTACAATCGTCAAACTTAGTTGCTAAAATGTTTCACTTTTCCTTCTATTAACAATACTTTTTTCTTTGCCTATTGAACTTTTGAAAAATATAAATCTGAAAAAATCAAGGAATGGCTTAATCTGGAATCTTTTTAATAAAACAATTGAAAAGACACAAACATAACAGACAATGTTATACATAATAAATGCACAGAATACTCACATGTCTGCACACAAATACTCACATGATTAAAACAGGCAGACTTACAAACAATTTTAAGTAAAAAAATATACGTCCAGGAGAGTGAGAAATAAGCAAATAAGTGGACACACACATGTGCATGTTCACCCTGTTAAAAATAATTGCATTGCATTTTGCAGTAATGAGCACATAGGTACACAGACATGTACTTTCTCTCGCACCATACTTGTTGGTCAGTGCCTCTAAGCTTTTCTTCTTCTTATTATTATTTTTCTCATGTTTTAAACCTACTAGGGATAGGGATAAAAGAGACGGCCATAGGGCCTTCTGCACCATGACTTGAGTAAATCTTTTGTACTCCCCTGTTTTTTATAACTCAAGGGCCAGCTTCAGGCTTTTAACCAGCCTCCACAGCTTTGCCAGCGGTGCCTTGGTGTAGGATCATGCTTGTGGTTTTTCCTGTCCTAGTTGCAAGAACCTGGCACCTACTTAGACCTTCACAGAAACATAAAATGAGTTCTGCGGTCTCCTCTTCTCCTGGCAGTATCTGCATAGCGTTTCTTCTGTTTATACTCCTATCTGGTGCACGTGCTTTCTTAAGTAGCAGTGCCCTGTCAGGAGTCCAATCAGAATATTTTTCGGTTGCGGTTGCCTTCCAATAATTCCTTTGTAAGTTTTGTGGATGGCCCTTAAATGAATCTCTTCGCATGCTTCATACCTGTGGTATTGTTCCACCAGGTTTTGGACTCATTAAGGATCCATTTTAAGATGTATCCTCTTTTGTGGCAAGATGCTACAGGATACAGTAGGATTCAGTACCTTGAGGTCCATGTTAGCTCCCTCTTTGGCCAACATGTCAACCTTGTTGCTTCTATGCCCCAAATTCCCAGGGACCCATGCCAGGGTCGGGTTATTAGTGTCACTGACTTCCATCAGGGCCTTCATGCAGTTCCAAATACTCTTTGCCTTCACCTCGCATAAGGCTAGGGCCGTTAATGCTGCCTGACTGTCAGAGAAAATGGCTATTTTCCAGGAATGTATTCCTAGCCTTTTTATTTACCTGAAGCAGTGTTTGATGCCATGATTTCAGATAGAAAACTGTAGCATATTTACCTAGGTTTAAAGTCAGTACAGTCTTTGGATTAAGTACTGGAGTGGAGTAAGTACTGTGAGTAGGAACTATCTTTTTAAAAAGGATTGAACACCGCACTCACTCCACCATACATAATTTCTATTAATTAGATAGTTTTAATATAAATTTCAAATTGTTTCAATTAATTTTAAATTGTTTGTGGATTTTTGAAAAATATTTCTAAATTTATGTACAGTTAAAACCTTTAAACTTTTATTGTATGTATTTGTAATTGGGAAACCATAAAATAAATAAATAAATACCAAGTGCTTGGGGCAATTAGGAAAAAGCCCCTCTATTCACATGAAATTAAATTAATTTTACTTGTAACACTCATTACTATTGAAAAGTTAAATGAAATTTGTATTGATTGGCACATGAATGTACATTGTGATTAAGTTTGTGTATTTTATTTTATTTTATTTTTTATTAAAAAAAAAAATCCTATCAAGTTTGAGAATTATCCACGAACCACGCTTGTAAATCAATAAGCAAAAACGAGCATACCCTTTTAATTGTTTTTTTAAAAAAAAAAAAAAAAAAAAAAAAAAAACCACTGCCATTAAGGAGAAAATTAATTGTATGAGAAAATGTTTTCAGAGGTGTAATTACATTTTGATGGCTTTTCAGGTTTTCATCCACACCAATACTTTTCCAATGCAGGCCTTTAAAAACAAGCATTCAACTAAACTAAATTGTCGTTTTAAACGGCAAAGGATCCTGGAAAATATGATGACCCAAAAATTCGGCTATAATCCATTTCTTGTGATAAAGAGGGACAAAATGTTGCACCGGAGATATGCCATAGGTCGAATTATGTTATTTGCCGAGAAAAACCGGCATGACATGCTCAAGAAAGCTCTCAAAGAAGATGTAGGGTATAAAATGAAGAAGGTTTTTGTCAGAAAACGCATTATCAACTCATTTGCAGCTATAGCAGCTTTAAAACTGCAAGTTATACAAGTCAAAAATGAATTAAACAAAATAATCAGAGAAGTGGTTCGTATTAATTTTTGTATATTTACTTTTTATTGTTGGTTATTTTCTATTGAATATATACTTGCTGTAATATTAATATATTATTCTGTATACTAATTTCCTTATATTATTTTCTGCCATGTCTTTCTTACATATTTATTTTATACTGCTGTTAACATAGTATGTATTGGTATGCATAAACTGTAACATTGCAAGTTATTTGATTCTGTTTTCAACCCTGAAAGCTTTTAAGATTTCATTCAATTTTGTACTTCTTAATTTTAGAAAACAACATATACTAAAGAAGAAGTAATTAAGTTTGTTACTATTATAATAAACAAATATATTCCATATAAAATACTTGGCCGTAAAAAATATTATGAAACATTCCGGAGAAACTGTATTAACATTATCCTGGCAAATTACAAGCAGAATATGCTCTTATCAAACGCTATGAAAGGTTTAAACAAGACAAGCCTGAAAAATAGACATCTCACTGCAAAAATTGTGCTTTGGTTAAACAAGCTTTTGATGAGAGTTATAGGCAGTATTTTTTATGTTACAGAAGGTACCAAGGTATTTACCAAAACATTTTATGGTTTTTTGGCATGTTTGATATAGTTTGTTTATATAGTGCAGAGATATAATTTTTTATAATCCACGGTATTGGATTGGTTTACAAAAAAGTGCGCTAGAAGACCTCGAATCCAATGGGGAAATAAAACAAATTGAAGTGCTCTCCCATTCAGATCCTAGTATCGGCAAAATGCGTTTGGTACCTAAACCATCTGGAACTGGTCTTCGTCCGCTTGTACTCAAAAGGTGAGCAACACAAAAAAGAAATATATAATTAAATTAAAGCATTATTAATTTATTTTTCAGCACTAATCAACAGAATGAGTCAAGGCTCATATTGAGGTGTAATCTCTTCCTGAAACAATTAGTTGCCACAAAATTAGGAGCATATCCAAATGCTATTTCAGACATACATTCAGCCTGGCTGGAATTTAGCACCAAGAATCAACATTATAAGGAAAAGTTATATTTTGTTAAAATGGACATCAAAAATGCTTATGGATCAATAATACATGTATGTTCAGAAAAGCAGTTTCTCTTAATTTTCAGAAAGCTTATATTTGTGTACTTTTCCTGGTCCTAACAAAGTCACAAAAAGTGAATTTGTATATAATTATAATTTAAAATCAATAAAATTGTGGTAAAGACAGGGTAGTAATAATAGTAACATATTTGTTTAGTTGTCATAATTGTTATTTATTATCGTGTTATTTAGATCGTGTTAATTATTCCAATTAATTATTCTTTTCATCTCAACTGAAAACATTAGATAATAAGAAGAATTAATTGGAATACAATATTATGTGCTTATATAACTATACTTATTGATCATAAAAGCCATCATATCTAAGAATTTTAGTTAGTATAATAAGATAGAATACAAAACATTCATACTGTATAAAACTTATGTTTTTAAACATTTTTAAACTTTTTAAATCTGAGGAAATAGTCTTATTGCTAAGTTTGAGTTACCAGACATCGATCATGCCCTATTCAATATATTTACTCATCCTGGTTTTGTTGGTTTGTATGTTTTCTTGTGTGCATCTTCTTTTTATAGATTCTAAACAAACAATAATTAGCTGAAACGATTATGACAGGCTAAACTATCAAAATTAGGCGTACCAGGATAATCAAAGATCATCAAACATCACCAGGAGGTAAATAATCATTATCTCAATTAACTATTTGTTGTAGGAAGAGCTTAAAAACATTTTAAAACTTCTGTTTGATGAATGCCTACCAGTTGATCATTTATCAGTTAATGTGTGCTCCTACCAAGGAATTTGGAAGGAGGTCGAAACAGAACAATTTGCCGAATTGACTCAATCAATCTCTTCACACAAAGTAAAAAATGTTGTTCAGAGACAGACAGTAGGTAAATTAATGGTAAATTTTGATATATATTTTTACAAGTTTTGTCTATTTCAGAAAGTATCTGCAAATATATTCAAAACCTTCATTCTTGATTTTATTGACAATATTAAAGTTAATATGAACCACACAAATAAAACATACCGGTTTGTTAAAGGACTTCCCCAAGGCAGGTGTTTTGTGTCTGTTGTATGCCTATTTCTGTTAAATTTCTTAATATTATCCCACAATTTTTCAGGAAGTGCTCTTTCATCTGTTCTATGCGAAATTTACTATAGTTACGTTGATCAACAATTCCTAAACTTTACAAACAAAGAGGAAGGAGATTTGTGTATTCGACTGGTAGACGACTACTTATTCGCCTCCAGGAGTCAAGAAAGGGCTGAAAGGTGTTGGACATTGTTTTTCACATTTGAAAAATATTTTTAAAAAAGTTTTTTAAAGGTTTCTATCGTTGTTAGAAAATGGATTTCCAAAATACGGCTTGTTCATCAAAAATGAAAAGACCCTAACAAATCTGATCCAGGATGTAGATTTTGTACCGTATTTTGGTTTAAAGTTTAACTTGAAAACCAAACAAGTAAAACCGAATCTTGAGGGCTATTATAAAGTTGATCCTTTGTCCACAATGACCATTAGAAGGAGTTTTGATTTAAGGTAATTTCATAAGTTCTGCCATTGCTTATTATATTGTAAAACATATTCTTTATTTTTTTAAACTTGTCTCATGTCAAGAGTATTTGAAGTAATGAAAAGCTTTTTATAAATTTGAAACAAGTTAATTTATTTTATTAACAAATATTTTATCTTAATAAGAGTGAGTGACTAGTTGTTTAGTGTTTTACAATCGTTTTGCATGCGAGTATGTATTGGCTAAAATTTGTATCCTCTTCAGAATTTCATTTCATTATTTCAAATTAAATAATTAACATCTTTTTAGCACTTTAAAGGAACGATTACTGTTTACTCATACTTTGAAATTGTATAAAATATTACTAGATAATAGATTTCTATGGAAAACAACAATTATTTGGAATATTTTTGATGCTGCAACCATAATGGCTTTGCGGTTCAGCAGCATAGTGAAGAATCTTCTTAACTCATCAGACAAAATGGATTTCTACCAATTAGTTGATTGTGTAATGAGTTCAGCTTTTAAAATTTCCAAGACAGCATATGGCAAATTAAATTCTGGGACAGGTATAACCTATTCATATAAAATTGTTTTTCAATGTTTAAAGTAATTTTTTTCCTATATTTTCAGTGTCTTTAGAATGTTTGAAGTACTGTGTGATCAAAGCGTTTGTGAAAGTGTTGGAGAGGAAAGCTGTCCACAAAAAGGTTGTAAAAAAGCTTAAAGCAATTATGGGAAAATATCTGAAATTCTTAAAATGTAGAGAAATGAAAATTGCACTATATGTTGGAAAGAAGCTTTCCGAACCATTGGAGACCTGTCTGTAAAAATTAGAATATACCATATTTTAAGCGTACAATAAAATGTATTTTTAAAATATTTTATTTGTACATAAACATTTAAATAAAGTTTTTTTTTTTTTTTGTAAATGTGTTTTTATTTTGAGAGTGAGGAAGTTTCAATCAACTAATCAACTAGAAACTTTAACATTTTAAATAAAAATAAATTGCAGTGTTGGACAAAATTTGTATTAATAATTTTTAAGAAAATGTTTTGTTATTTTTTTCATATTTATATCTTAAACAAAACTTTTTTTAATATAGATGATCAGTTTTGCTTATTTAATTAATGTAAATAATTATTTAGGATCAACCTACAGTTTATAATATTCTTTAAAGGATCATTGTATAATCAAGGATTATGTAATACCAATTTGTCAATTTAGGTTCTGATGTAGGCGTAATACACGTTGAAAGCTCAGTGAAACTGTAATTAGTTGGACCTCTTACCGATCCATCAAATAAAAAATAACTTTATTTAATTTGAATTTTTTATTTTCAAACCAAGCCAAGTTGAACTCTGTATATTTTTTTTTTAATCTGAAAGTGTATAATGATTGATTAAAACTCAGCCTTGATATATTATCTAAAGCACCCTTGATAAACTTGGATTCAATTTCAGTTAAACACAATGCACAACACATTAATTATTGTCTCTCTGTCAGTCCTCACCAATTTTATTGGTGTAAACAGTTTTCAGTGTAGAATCGAAAATGGAAAACCAGTCGATTGGTGTGGTAGCTATAATTTCAATTAATGACTTCAATTTATGTATTTTTTTCAAATTTCAGGTATGTCATGTACAAACTACCAAAGATCACTAAACCGAAGTCCCTGTTTGGCGATGGCTATCACTATATGTATATGACATCAGAAATAAACACTTGGCAGTTTTCAAAACAATTAATTAACAGTAACAAATCCATTTTAGCATGGACACTTAAAGAATTCTATACAAGCAAACCTAGAGTAAGTGTGAAAAAACTTACTCTTGTTTAATTGATTGATTTTTTTAAAAATATTCTTCTAATTAATATCTGCCTTCATTATTTATATGATAAATAACAGTTTCGGTATAAAACCATGTGAACATAAAACAATATTTTATATAAAAAGTGGTAGGGCCAAGTGGACAGATAACACTAAATTCTTTCATTATCATATGAGGAATATTTCCACTTCAAACATAATAGAATTGTATATGATTAAGTTATGAGTTAGTTTACAGGGAACAAGATCAATTAGTATCGTTGAAAACTCAACAAATGAACTGTCTTTTCTCTCCAATTGGCCTTATTCCTGAACGATTTTAATTTTTTTTCTAATTTAAATTGTACTGATTTCAATTTTTTTAATAGGGATTTTGGCTCAGTTATAATGATCAGAGTGCCCATGTCACGTTAACAGAGGGTCACACAAAAGGTGTAATCGGTGCTGACAAAGAAACAGGGTTTTGGCTGATCCACAGTATACCTCATTTTCCCAATTTCAACAATTTCACATATTCTTATCCACAGACGGGTAGGAGGAATGGACAGAGTGTGCTATGTGTGACTTTCAATTCTTCTGAAATGGACAAAATTGGTAGAGTTTTTGGGTTATATATTTTCAATATGAAAAAAAAATTGTTTATTTTTCCTTCAGGAAATCTTCTTGAATACAACAGACCCTCCATTTGGAGAAAAGTATTACCAGCTGATTTAGCTACATTGTACCCAAACCTCTATTCAGCTGCAAAAGGAGAAACTGTTAAAAAAGCGCCTTGGTACACGATAATTGAGCTCAAATCCAAAAATGGCTTCAATCTTACTGCTTTTGCCAAATCAGAACAGTTTGGAAAAGGTGAAGTTTTAAAAGGCTTTAAAATATATATAATAACAATAACTATATATATATATATATTTACTATCAACTTTAACTTTTTGGGTATTCCATGTTTAGTGGGTGAAATCATCTCTTCTGAGATAGCTTTTTTTTACTTTTTGGCCTTGCACTCGAGTAGAGCTGAAATTTGGTTTGTGTGCATGGAGTATATTTAATTTATTTTACAATGTACCTTACAAATGTATATTTTGTATTAATAATGAAAAATTTGAATCTATAAATAAATTTGTGTATTTTTTACACTATTATCATTAGTTCATTTGCAAGCAATATTTGTAACAGTAGAAATCTCACAATATTACGTTTAATTTGCAATTTAAAAAAAATCTAATTTTTGTTTGTTTGTTAGATTTGTACGATCTTGTTGCTCAATCAGAGAAGGCTGATGTGAATACAGAAACTTGGCAGAACGAGCCTAGCCCCTTGCCTCCATTTTGCTCATTGACATACAAGTATAAAGTATATTTTTTTGGTTAAAATTAATAAGATTTACAATTATAAGTGTTTTAGGGTTTTTAATATCAGGAGCATTAGGATTGCAGAAATAAACATGACTTTCAAATCGCACAAGGACCACTCTAAACTGGCAATATCTGCCGTTCCCTCTAAACCATTTGTCTGCATTGGGGACATCAACCGAGCGGTAAACTTTTTCATTAATAAAAGATAATTTTGTATACTTTAAATTGTACATTGATGCAGTTACATCAGGAGAAGAGAGGAGGTGGCACGATGTGTCTTACGAGCAAGCAACACTGGACTTCTTACTCAAAGCTTATAAACACAAAGGATACTTGTTAAAAACATGATTGTTGCACAAAAAATTTTTATTGAATAATTTAACAATAAAAACATTGAACATATTTATTGTATTGTTTAAAAAAATATAATATACAATTTCATCACTGAATTAATTATAAATAAATAAAAGCAAATTCATTGTGTATATATTATCGTAAATGTATTATTTTACAATTTATCACTGGGTAATTAAGAAGAATGCTACAATGTATTCCTGAATCACATATTAGAAAACAATTATTGTTGTTGACATTACAGTTATAAGTGAAAAACTGAACACTACATTTAATAAGTTTTTTCTTTTAAATATTAAAAAAATTAGACATTTTCATACTGAACTTAGTTCTAAACTTGTTGCCGAGAACATGTTCGGCAATAAATCTTTTATCATTTGAATTTTTTCTGCATTTTTATTGCAACTGACCACCGAATAATAGACTGGACAATCAAGTGAAGTGCATTTTAACTCATATTTTCTGCCACAGCATGAGCCACATATCTGAAAATAATTAATAATAAATAATCTTGAAATAGTTTATTTGTTTGTTCTTTATTGTTATTATATTACTATTTTTGGTCTAAAGCCTGCATAGTGTCTAGCACATAAAGATAAGTTGTTAAATCTATGTTGCTTAATTGAAGAATGCCATTCCTTGGCTCCATATAGAGACCATGTAAGAATGCCACTTGATATGAAAATTGTGCTTTATTAGCACAGCAGTGCATATCTGGGTCATTTGTTTCAATTTTTAGAGGAAACAGGTCTGTTTTATAGTATACAATAGTACAATATAGATATCTCATGTTTATTTGTGTATGTTGAGATTGAATGTATTTATTATTGTGAATGTGTAACAGAGGGCAGAATATTGAGTACCCCGTCAACCATCAATTAGAGTAGTTGTATAAGTGTAGAGGGTAAGTTGAATATCAAGTACTCCACCACTCACTGAGTGAATGGTATTTAAAAAATTAATGTATTTAAGAATGAATGAGAGTGTGAGTGGGTCTGGGGGTTAAAATGAATATGATAATAACCCCTAGAGCCCAACCTCGGCGGTGAGACAGACAAGACTGAAATCTGTCGATGGACACCATACCTGGGTAAATTTATTGTAATTTACACAAAAGGTGGAATTGCCATTGGACTGCAAGTGATAGGCTCAATTCTGTACATGTATGTAAAATCTCTTATGGCTTATTTCTATATAAAAGTCAATAAAATTGTTGGTAGTCCTATTGAAAGTGTGTGATCGATAGAACTTACTACTTACCTCTTGAAGCATATGCTCACGTCGTTCGGCTGAAGCCCACTCGGAAAAGAGCTTGGATGTTACAAGTTTTGGATTATCTTGGCATTTGGAACATATATCAGATGTACAGAGTTCATTGCAAATGATGCAATTTACAGTCTTGAAATACTGAGATAATGTCTCCTTTTTACTCTTTCCTATTTTAACAGTTGGATATGAAGATTTTTTAATCTTTGGTTGAGCTGTGTACCTACAGTTTAAAAAAATAAAAAAAATTATATATATTTATATAATCTTAAATTAAAAAATAATATATATGTATCCATCCCAAAATGTATTCATTATAAATTACTCATATAACTTATACTTACCAAGAAAATACATCAGCTCCAATTAATGTAAAACATCGTTGCAAAGGAGGCAGTATTACTTTTGTAATGTAATATTCAGCATTTAATTGAAGTGAAGGATTTGAAATGAACTCATGTGGAGAACGAACAAGGCGTATGATGGGAACGCCAGGTGGTCCATATATTACAACATAGCCTACCCTTTCTCCGACTCTTGGTTCAGCCCTTCGGTCTTTCAACAGCCATTCCCTACAAACACAAGTTTATTGGAGTTGTTATGCCTATTATTAACAATTGAAAATAATTTACTTTACTAGCTTCATCGCAGGAACACAAGCATTTGGCTGATATCCCTTAATCCCACGGAATTCCCGGGCAAACGTTAACTCCTGTATGCTCAATTTTCCACTTGAAATTTTCAACAGTTGAGAGCACACATAATTTTTTACTTTGCTGACATCGTATGTTTCAAAAAGTATTCTTAGTGCCTTCTCCAAAATCTAAAAAACAATTAATAATTTTAATATTGTTTTCAACCTGCAGCAGGAAATAAGGTTCAGAATAGTGAACAGCAAGTTCCTTGACACTTGATATAAAAATCACTTGTTGCTTGATCAACAAACTATTTTGTCAGAGTAAAGTGTGAAATCTCTGTTGACGTAAGTTATGGAAAAAAGTGTATGGAGAGAAATTCCACAATGAGCTTCCAACACAAGTTAATAAAGTAGAAAATATACATATCCCATCTATTGAAAGAATATTATGAGACAATTAATATGTATATATTGTCTCAACTTTAAATAGATATTGTCATATAGATTTTATTTGGAACATTATAATTTAAGAATTAATAAAAAAATCACATACAGTCTTATGATCTTACTTTGCTAACTGCAATACATCCATCTCTACGAACTGTTTCTATTCCCTTAGCATCAAACTTGGGCTTTTCTTGATTGGCTGTTTCAAACATATAGCCTGCATATCTCTTTTTCGTCTAAAAAAGCAATCAAGAAACAAACTCAAATTCAGTAAATCAAATTTTATAAATTATTTTACTACCTGAAGCAATGAAGGTTGGTAAACTTTTTCAAGCTTAAGTTTGACAGGCTTTGGGTTGTTTTGGGTGACTAGATCAGCAATCTCTTCTCCAATGCGAAAGGCCTCTGCCCTTGTTTTCCCAGGGCATAAGACAAATAAGGAATCTGTGTCACCGTACACAACTTCAGCGCCCCATCGTTTTGTCTCATGTACCAGTTTAATTGTTCGTTCTAACGTTTCCCTTCCCTTGCTCACAACACTGTCACCGACCTAGTGTTTTTGTCATTTAGTTTAATGTAGATATTTTAATTAATTTATTTTATTAAGACCTCAATACAAGGCATACGCCCAGAGAAATTTGCAGACGTATATCCATAAGTGACATTTGCAATTAATTTTAGACCGAGCTGCCTTGCATGTAAGACTTTGTACAGCTTCTTGTCATTTTTATGCATCCCCATTGATTTTTTGACCTAATGAAAATCAATGTTAGTTAGTTATTATATAAACAATTTTATTTGAAGAAAAAGTAACAAATCATGCATAGCTTTATTTTCTCAGTGTAATAAAATAATTAATTTTGTTTAATCATGCTAAACATTCAACATTTTGAGAATGATTTTACTGATTATGGATTTATATAAGCTCAAATCATGTCATTGTAGTTGGAATGTTTGTTTATCCATGTGAATGTATTTTTTCAAGTATTAAAGGTTATCTTTTTATATAATGGGTATAAATTTTAATGACATTGAACATAGTACTAAGGTCTAACAAGGCAATGAACCAATGATCAAATAGTTGAGCCTATCAATTCTCGTAGCTCGCTGCAATTCCAGCTTCTGTGTAATTTAAAATAAATTAACAGAAGGCTTCAAAAACCAGACGACAGTTTTATCCATCCAGCCACGGGGCTCTCAACAGATAGGTCACTTTAGGCTTCAACACAATCAGTCTCCAGATCCAAACCTATTCATAAACCTAAATATAAACTTTCTAATTTACATACCATTTACTCAGGGTGTTGATATTCCTCCATCACCCTCTACATGTGTTATATAACTAATCTAATTGAGGGTCAATGGTTAATAACATTTACCATTAATCTGGTTTCAAGAATTTCCTCCAGCATCCTGGGCAGTATGCCTTTTCGTACAGAACTATCAACGAATGCAACCCCCGCTGGGCTAACATGGATATGATCCTTAAGGGACAACAGCTCATTCTTGTCCAGCTTCAATTTAGAACAGCCAAAGACAATTTCATCCTTTCTAAATCCATAAGAATTAATCTTTACAGTGTTGATTATATACTAACACTACTTACTCTAATATCTCATCCACCCTGCCTAAGCAAGTTGAGAAACAATAATTATATGCAATCATCATAGAAGGATACAGGCTTTGGAAATCAAGAACTATCACGGGGTCGGTATACAACCTTTAAATTTAAAAAAATAAAAAATAAAAAACTGAATAGATAAACAGCAGGAATTAATTTTCAACATACCTTGACTGAGGTTCCATGATTAACGGAAGGGATGCTGGAGCTCTCATAGCAGCTCTTTGATGAATATTTGGAGAAATTGCGACATAATTCATTGGCTTAGCCAATCTTAACATCATTGATTCTACTCTGAACTAAAATATATAATTTTTAGTTTATTTTGAATAGTTTTTGTCTTTGAATTGTTTTCTTCAATTTAAAGAAGGCTTTTGTTAATTAGTTATGCAAAGTGAGGTTGAAATGAAAAATTAGTGTCAGGGAGTTGAACTCACGACATTGAGATTGAGACCTGCTCATGACATTTTTCATATTGACCTCACTCAAAATAACTAATTATAAAGATTAGTTTATAATTAATGTATAATCAACAATTAAGATGATAAAGTTACAATTATATTTAAAGCCAAACATTACGATATTTCAACAATTCTTTTGTGTTTTGACATGTCATTGTAGTTGGAATGTTTGTTTATCCATGTGAATGTATTTTTTCAAGTATTAAAGGTTATCATTTTTATATAATGGATATAAATTTTAGTGACATTGAACATTGTACTAAGGTCTAACAAGGCAAGGAACCAATGATCAACCCCATCTATTCACATTGGCTTTAGCCGTCAGATGTGTTTTAGTATTCTGTGAGGACATAAATACAGATTATTGCATAGATCAAATACTGAAGAGATACTTATGTAATAAAATCATGTTTTAAGCAAACTAACAAAGTTAAGGTTTACATAGTGCTAAAATCAAAATATATCTATATAAATACATGCAATGGCCTTCTAAATTAATGAATTAATATTCATTTGCTTTGGACGTTTGGAACATGTTAGTGAATGTAAGAATACAAGAGACAGTGAACTAACTATAAAGTATGTTATTCAATTCTATTGTTTTAGCAATTAACTAACATCATTTTTACTACAGTTAAATACATACTTGCGATCCTCTAGAGAGCACTTCAAAAAACTGTATACCAAAAAGACTTGCAAGTTCACTGGTTCGTCCAATAAGATCAAGTGACTCGAGAAGTTTGATGACACCTTTGACTCTCGTCAGGTAATAATTAATAGTCAAATCCCTTGAATAAGTCAAGTGTCAATAAACATAAATCAATTAATTATATTTGACATACTTGTACTTATTGGAAAAATGGGACCACCAACTTGTCAGCATCTGGTAAGAATATTTTGGCACCCTTGTATCCAAAATATGATACATCATACTTTCAAATGTGTAACTCATAAGTGATATCTAGCATCATAAAGATAAAAAGCAACAATTTAAATTGTTTAAACCATTTAATAAATTGGCAAAGCATACTTCATGTCTCAGCATCCTCCAAACGCTGAGAACAACACGGCCAGTTATTTTCAAATCTCTGTTGAGATCATCAGTTCTAACATTAGTGGTCAAACTCTGCACCCTTGCAAGATCTGAAATTAAATTTATTCCCAACGAGTAAGCTCTTTGGATGACATATCCCCAAGATGAATTTTCGATCTTGAAAAAATATATATACACAATCACATACAATAAACTTGACACAAAATGTATGTTGTAAAATGATCTTACTTCATATCCCACTAAAATATCTGGGTCTTCTTTTCGCACAAGTTCTACTAATTTAAATATTATATCTTTCTCAGATTCAACTTTAAATATAAAGGTGTCATCTGTAATGTTTATATTAGATTCAGTAGATAAAACGATGATTCCTTTAAAAAATAAATAAATAAAAGAAACAGAAATTAGCAGAATAGCTAAAATTTTCAAAGAATCATACCAGTTTTATTTTGTTCAATGTTAATGTTATCTGGGACATCATTTGTTATTGTAAAAAATATTCCAGCAACCTGATCATATTCAGGATCTGGATTTAAAAGCCCTCGTGTTAAAACATGAATTTCCAAGCAAAATAGAGTAAGATATGTGTACTGAAAATGTAATCTTACAGAATCATTGACAGTATTTGAAAAAAGTAAGTGTAAATAAAATTACAGTGTTGGTGAGTGATTTTGCAGGTTGCAGGTCCAAACTTTCCACTGAAGATGCTTCAATGGCACAGCTGTTGTTTCTTATATCAATTATAGTTTTAAGTGTTTCAGAGTCAAATGATGAGTATACCTTAAATTTAATTAATAATTAATAAAATTAATTAACAATTATCATTAATTTATTTAATTATTAAAATTAATTAGCAATTATCATTAATTTATTTAATTAATAAAATTAATTAGCTTATAAGCATGATTATACAGAACAGAAGAAATCCAGTAAAAGTAATAATACAAAATTATAAAAAAATCATGATTTTAAATTAAACAATTTTATTTAGATAACATAAAAATAACTATAGTATATTAAATTGGTAAATATTTACTTATTTTATTTTTTATTTATTTAATAAGGAAAAGTCTAATTTCATTTTTTTAAATACCTCCGAATCTCCAGAACACCGAGAGACTTCAATGCCCTGTTGATCTGTGTGGGTTGGACAAGCTGTAAGTGGTTCTGAAATTCTTTCGCCATCAGAAATTTGTTTCTGTAACCATGCCTGCGCATCCTTGAAGTTTGGAGAGCTTTGGAGCGTGGTGAGAATAGCACTTTTTTGTGTTGTTAATGTTCCAATAAAATCATTGCTAGAGCTGTGAGCACCAAATATTGATTTTATAAAGCCTCTTTGAGTCAATTCCAAGCTCCCATACGTTCCGGAAAATTCTTCCAAACTGTACTTGTTCAAAATGGAAATTTTGCTCAGCCCGATTTCTTTTGATGTGCTGTTATCAATGAACGAACCATAAAAAGGTTTATGCTGTGGGATTTCTTGCAAATTATAATTTTTCAACGTGTTGATAACATCATTTCTTGTTGGTGGATTTTGTAATGGTGAAAGTGTTTTGCAATCTGGTGTAAAGTTCTGAGAAGAATTGTAAAAACTAGTGATACTTGTTTGAGAAACATTAAATTTATCTTCAGCAATTTCTACATCTGAATTTTCATTAATTTCTAGAATATTTTGTTTTACTAAATGTGTAGATGAATCTAGGTCTTGATATATTTTCCGTTGAACAGCAATATCACCTTCATTACGTTCATCTACTAAACTGAAAAAAAAGAGTAACTTTTAGTTGAAACATAATTATTCATTATTTAAATGTAATTATAGGTTGATTGCCTCCTATCGTTCTTGTTTGCCAGGCCTCACTTTTTTTTTAACCATGTTAGACCAATCTCCATATTTTGTCATCTTCAGAAGTTGTTCTATATGTTCCTGTTTTTCCTTCATTTTTCTGTGTCTTTTTTTATAAGTTTTAGTAGATATACCAAACCAGTGTGAATAGGCAGACCAGGATGACCGGAGATAATCAAGCCAACCATCAAGTGCATTATATCACAATTTCATGCTATTGTATAACATTGCTGCATGCTTAATAAAATTAAAAACAATTGACAAATAAAACTTACTGCAGAGGTGGGTTAATTTTTGAAACAGCATCTAAAAATTTAAAAAATACAAATTGAAAGTGTACATTTGAACAACACACATTTTGTATTACCTATTATAAGTTTATTTTCTGGATTTTTTAAAGCAATTTGTTTTCTCAGGTCAACTTTCTGCTTTTGCCTCATTTTTAATTTTATCTTCTGGCATTTATCTTTTGTCTCGCTGTTTTGAAAAGGACTCCCTATTGTCTCTGTAGATGGTTTCATAGGAGATTTATGAATTATGATATCCAAAGGTTTATATCTCTGAGGATCGATTTTTTTTCTTTTCTTCGGTGAGGCTTTTTTCTTAGGTGACTCTTCTTCATCAGCATTGCCATCGACAAAAAGAAGTCTTTCCAAATCTGGACTTCCAGAATCTGCAGGAGGATTGAATTGTCCCTGTTCGTCCTCGGAAAAAAGGTCTTCATCAGATCTTGATATATCTAATGGTTGAGACAGGTCAATTTCTTCGTCTTCTACTTCCTCTTGATCTTGATTATGTTCCGGTAAGATCTGGGTTCCTAAAATGCTGTCTTCGTCAGGCCTATGGTTTTCACTTGTATGTGATTCGTCCTCTTCATCCCACATTTGTTTGCATATTTCCAAAAGACTTTTAACCTGAGAATCCACTAGAAAAATAAAAAACAAAAATCCACATGAAACATTTTAATTAAAGACAATTTAATATACTCACCTAACATACTAACATCCATATCTTGACTATGGTTTTCAATAAAAGAAGCTTCCAGCATACCAGAACTAGTCAACTCTAATGAGTCTATTACATGAACTGGCTTTAAATGTCTCTAAACAAACAGTACAAAAAAATAAATTAATTAAATAAAATACAATTATGAAATAAATCACATATTCAAAATTAAATTTAAAAATTTGAGAAAAACTGTACTCTTATATTGACAGAACACCTGTTTTAGACTGAGCATAAATATTTTTTAGTCCAAGGAGGTCAAAATGAAAAATATTTTACCATGAAACTTTTACCTCTAAACTCTGAACAAGTTTTGCAATAAGTTGAAGCTCGATATTCGATCTGAAAGGGGAAACTGGATTGTCATATTTGACCAAAGAAATCTGCGATAGGTCACCTTTCATCCTCCTCCTGGATTTCTCTTCTTCCCACATATACACCAAACCCGGATTCATGTCCAAAGAAATGTCTACATTAATTTTGGCAATCAGCTCAACTTTCATTGTTTATTCAAACAAATTAAATACCTGCAGTTAATTTTTGGTTTAAAATATCTTCACCTAAAACATCAAGCTCAAGTTCACAGTAACTTTCTTTCCTCTGAACTTCAGTGCTAGAATTGTTATCTATCCTAACAACATATTTTGAAACATTCAAAAAACTCATTCCATAAAGATTATAGTCAATAAAAAATTGCAGGGTGAAAGGCAAGTGGGCTTCATATGGTTGAAACGGTTTGTTGAATATCAGTCCACTTTCAAGAATTTCAACGGCTTTCTTTATTACATATGGACGATAGAAAAATATCTTAAGGAAAGACTTTGGGCTGGAATGATACCCATAAAACGGTCTGAAATATTTATTTTCATTATTACCTATAATACATTAGAATTATATAAAATACTGACATGCCACAAACTTGTTGCACTTTAAAAATATGTTGTTTATTTAATTTGTCGTTTGACTGATTATTGATATGCCTTTCAAGCTCTTCTGACAATCTCTGCATGAATCCTTCAACATTGGTCTCATCATCATCCACTGGGATATACATATAAGGAAATATTCGATGGATGTGCACACATGCCTTCACGCCTGAAAAAAAAAAAAATTTAAAATTATCGCTTCTACAATGAATGGACATTGTCTATACAAAATAAACATTTAACTTGATTGTTTGATAATCTTCAGTTGAGAATAAAATTGTTGTAAATCTAGGTTTTTTAATTTTTATTTTTAATAAAAATAGTTTTGAAGTGATCATACTAGTTCTAAATGTATACTAATAAAAGCTAATAATTTTTTTCTGTTAGATGAATTATTTTGTCTTAAAAATAGTAAGATAAGTATGAAAGCTGCATTGATCGTGTTGATCATTTTGTGCTTTTTTATAAATTGTATACGTTAGGCATGCCAACTAAGATAGTTAATTGTACAGGAAGTTTGTATACCGGAACCTCAGCCTATGTTTGGTATCATGACGGGTTGTCAGATTCCTTTAATGGAGTATGGGAAAAGTACAAGTATGGTAAAGCAAGGATGCTTATTAAGTCCACTGCTTTTTACTTGCTTTATTAATGATCTGCACGTTTATATAGAAAGCAGGATTAAAGTAGGAGGTGATACGATAAGAATGCTTGTATGCACATATCTTGCTTTCATCTGATATGCAGAAAAATTATCTCTGCATTAAGCTGCTAGTGTGATTCATGGAATCTGGAGATTAATATAGAGAAATTGAAAATTGTTATTTTCAGAAATGGATGAGACAGTTAACAGTTACAAATACTTAGGCATTATATAACTTCATCATTATCATTAGAGCAGTATTTCAAAGAGAAAGATATAATGCTAAATTTGCATTACATGCTTTTAATAAGATAATATTAAATTCTAAAATCTTTTGCCCTCCTAAGCTTAAAATTTTCACTAGTGTGTCACAGGTATACTTTATTATTGCGCACAGTATGAAAACATTGAAATAATATTTAGATACTTTGCAAAGAGATGCTTTAATTTAGTAGTAAATAAACCAGATTATATTATCCATCTAGAGTTTGATCTTTAACTAAATTTAAATTACAAAAATAAGTGTTTAAATCTGCCAATAGACACCCCAATATTCTAACCAATCATAGTAAATCATCAATAGTAAATTATTCTGGTATAATTACATTAAAAGTCTCTGTGCAAAAGTAAATTTGGACATAATGAGGTTTTCAGAGACAAAACATTGATAGCACATTTAATAAACAAATATAAAATTGTAATAAACAATGAGTTTTGGCAAAGGGCGAGGAATAGCACACGTCATCCTTTTTTAAGCAGACATAATTCTTAATTAATCCATCAATAAAATTTAAATGTGATATGATCTTTCTAAGCTGTCTCACAAAAGTTAGAGGGGGAGCTAATTTATCTAAATAAATATCAACTCAATGTTGGTTTAAAAATTTGTCTACTATGTAATAGCGATGTGGACGAGGACGTGTATCGTTTCCTCGTTTTATGTTCTATACTACTAGAATATAGATTGTTGTTTTTTAATAGGGTTAAACTAACATTTCAAGAATTCTGAGACTGAACAGAAAAGATGTTGGCTCTTTAGGGAAATATTGTGAAGCAACCTGGAATTATAGGTATAACCTGATTACGGAATTCAATTTTTAAAATGAAATTATTTCTGTTAATCCTCTTACACAACTTGTTGAATTTTTTTTCAAATTCACAATAAATCTTAATTCTTATGTGTCCTAAAATAGTATTTACATAAATCACTCAGTTTGTATGTACAGTTATATATATTTGTAATGTGTTACTTTTACTTGTCTTCTTTAATTTTTCTGCTAGCAACAATCCCTCTGATGGCTCAAGGGCTATGAGTATTTTATAATGAAGAATGTATTTTATTTGGGTTTTTCTCTTCTAATAAAGAATTTATTATTACTATTATAATCAGAAATGCCAGCAAAATGTTTGTGAACATGACAAGATTATTTATTATTTCTGTCTCAACCATACAGTTTGTTCAAAATTTTATCAGAAATTTTTCCCATCTATGATGGTTGGTAAAAGCCTGGGTTGGAGTGCAATATTCCAAAATAATTTGTCAATTATTTTTGACCACATTCAGCGAACTTACAATGTTTTATATGGCTCTGTAATTCTATAATGATGATGTCCTTTGGAGTAAGGAAAGAAAAAGGACAGATGGAACTACAGAAAAGCAATAGCCTTAGTATATTAATCACATTCTTACGAATTTTCAACCAAAGAAATGTTTCTTCATAAAGCAAAAAAGAGAGGCGCTATAAGCTTGCAAGTCAGTACAAACATACCATCCTTCGTAATACCGAAAACCCTTAGCACCGGCACTTGGCCCACAGTTGCACCTCTGAATTGTGAATAAGTTGGATCGAGGCCGAACACAGGTGTAGACATATAGGAATCCACAGTGACAATTTTTACCGACAGCATCTTTAGTACTGAGCATTTTCAAAAAAAAAGTTTCCCGTGAAATTAAACAAAACACTTAAAATATCGAGTCACAAATTTGTGACATTTGGCGACTAACAGCATTTTGTTACTTAACAAGAAAATCAAATTCTGTGATAACTGATAACTTGCAATGCTTCCACTAGGGACTATAGACAGTACAAAGATTAAAATATTTTCTTTATTGACATTTATTTAAAATTATCGTTGTTTGTTATTAAAAAATCACAGTTTTTTCTTATATAGCAAAACTTGTAAAAGATTAAGTAATTATATTTTTTCCGACTTGTTAAAAAAAAGTGTTTGTGCGACTACGTAAGGTAATCTTCGGTTTTACCAGCTACCACTGATGCGAATTTGTCTTATCTTATACTATAATATAATCAAACTATGTTGTTTAAAAATATAAGGACGTTAAATTTAAGATTAATTAAACATTTCAGGTACACTGTTTAATATAATTATATATTCAATTATAGTCAATATTTATAAAATAGGAAATTAGTTAGAATAATTATTTGGTCTTCCATTAGAAAAATGGAAATAACAGAACCTAAAACAAGATTTTGGACATTATTAGAACGCAGATATTGCTTTAAAAAAATCTATTAGGGTTGTACAATTGTATTTTGAAAACAGTTAAATAAATAGTTTTTCTCCTTTATTTTGTCTGTACCCCTCAGTGTGATTACTGGCTGTCCGTGACAGGTCCTCCATCAAACCTTTTGTCGGACTCTTGTAGGATAGTTACCACAAGTATTGCAATATCTTGGCATATCTGTGGTTCTTGTCTGGTGGCTAAAACCAAGATGTCCCAGCCTCCAAACCTGACCATCGCAATTCATTTTTTTGTCGCTAAAAATGTAATAAAAAACAATTAAAAGAAGGTGGCATAGTTGAAAGAGAAGTTCTCACATTTCAAGAGCACTGTCGAAATGTAGCCCTTGTAGGTTTTGACTCAAAGAAGGCTCAAGATTAAAAATAGACAATGCAAAGTTGACAAATGGATGCTTACTTTTGGCACAACACCTGTGTATGTGTCACGTTAGTAGAGAAAGGTTGCTCGATACGTCCCACATAATTGAAGGGTCCCATTTCTTGGCCCCATGTAGGAGTGTCACTCAATATGAGAATTTCGCTTAAGCACGGCAATAAGTATTTGGGTCCCCTGTTCCAATTTTTAGATGAAACAGGTCTATTTTACTGCATATAATACTCCATCGCATTTCAGTGTATTTATTAGTGTGAGCAAGCCGATGGTGGAATATTAAATACTCTACCAACCCTCAGTTAGATTGGTTTTATATATATATAGGGTGATGAAGGAATATCAAGCTCTCAACCATCCTAACTGAGTGAATGGTATGGAAATAGGAAAGAATTTATTTAATAGTGAGTGGGTTTGTATTGAGATTGCGATGAGGGCTGAAATGATCTAGCTGTTGTCAGCCTCTGGAGCCCAACCTCAGTGTTTGTATGTACATATGTGTTCAAAATTGTGCTTATATTAATCAGTATTTAAATAAATGTCCTGTGCTTTTATTTTTAATCTTATTTAAAATATTTATGTTTAGTGGTCTAATTGACCAAATTACTTATTTCAATGTAAGTCCTTGGTTGAGTGGGATCCCGCTTATGACACTAACTTTTCATCTCAACCAAGACCTTACATAAAAAGAATAATTAATTTATTTAAAGTGTTTGTCTTTAGAGGTTTGATGCAGTATTTTTTATTTGTTCCTTTTACAGCCCTTCTTATTGCTACGTATCGTATATAATAATGTTGTTTTTACAACATAAGGATTTTGTGTAGTTTCTCGGTATCTACCCTGTTGTATGTTCAGTCCACTTGTATATCATACTGTTAGCTTCATCCAATTCCCTTGGTGCTTCAAGACAGGGAAGAGTGGTCCAAATAATACTCCTGGTTGATAAAGACCTATCTTAGCTTCAGACTCACATTATGTTATTGGTGTGCTTGCTCATATTATCCACAATCCACAAATAGCAATCAAGATATGACAAAGTATTGATTTTCTCTAGTAATCCTGATCTTCCTATTTTTACTGTTTTAGTACGACTATTAAAATCTATAAAAAAAGACATGCTCACACCACTGAAGATGGTGAATTGCATCTGCAAACCAGCAAAAATTGGCAGACTAGGATGATTGAAGATGAGCACGCAATTTACTTATATTACTTGACTAAGCCCAATTTATTAAGGAATAAAACTAAACCTTACCAAGAGGACTCGGTTGAAGAGAGCAGTCCAACTTTTATTGTAGTCCTAATACCTCCTGGATTTAGTAGTTCTGTGGTTTATTTCTGCGATAGCCCCTTTGATGAACAGAGGGCTTATTTTGATGTCTGATGAATCCACAATTTTTGCAGTTTTGTATGCTACAAAAGGGTTTAGGGTCAATAGAAGGCCTTGGCCAATTTATCAGTCCCATCAGAAACTACCACTCAATTTACAAATCATAAGTTTTTTAACATTGTCTTAATACATGATTATTTGGTTTGTAGCAGCATTTTAATTTACTTTTTCCTACATATTAAAAATGACTTATATTAATTCATTGATTTGCAGTAGTCGAACACAAGTCAATGAAGAGGGTCTCAAAGTATCTTCAACTGTCGATAAAAATGAAATTGAACAACATGTCAAGTTTGCTGAGGAATGGTGGAATGAGGACGGGCCAATGAAAGCACTTCATTCAATGAATCGCCTAAGGTAAAATAATTTTTTTTATTTATTTCATTAAATAATGTAAGTTGCCTATTTTTAAGGATTCCATTCATAAAAAATGGCTTGAACAATGCTTATAAAGTGAGTGCGATAGCAGAAGAAAAAGTAGATTGTCTTAAAGGTTTTAAAATATTGGATGTCGGTTGTGGTGGAGGTATTCTCACTCTTGTTAGTACCTTAAATTACTTTTACATTCTGTGCAAACAAATAATAATATATACATTTTTTTAAAACTTTTTTGTTTTAAAGCCTTTGGCTCGTCTGGGAGGTGATGTAGTTGGGCTTGATGCCTCTCAGGAACTAATTGATTGTGCCAAGAAATATTCAAAATTCAATTTACAAACTGACACCTTGGATTACGTTTGCTCTAATATCGAAGATTTTTCCGAAACGAACAAGGAAGTTTTTGACGTTGTTGTTATTTCTGAAGTTATCGAACATGTGACAAACAAAGACCTTTTCTTAAAAGCTATACATAAAATTTTAAAGGTAGGTAAAAAATGATTGTTACTCCTTCACATTATACATATTTGTTTTTTTTTAGCCTGGTGGATCCTTATTTACAACAACTATTAGTCAGACATTTGCCTCATGGCTCGGAGCCATCGTGGTTGCAGAGCAACTTCTAAACCTTTTACCACCTGGTATTCACGATTGGGATAAATTTATATCAGCCAATGATTTAACTAAGAAACTCGAAGAAGGTTAATGTTTATATTTGTTCTGTTATATATTGTAATCATTTTATGGTAACTTAAAAAAGTACAGTAATAAATATGTTAAAAACTCATTAAATTCACTAATTTCATGGTCTGCTTGACCAATTAATATATTACAATTAATTAAGGTTTTTAGTTGAGATAAAAAAGTCAATGGCACGAGCGGGATTCGAACCCACGATCTTTGGCTAGATACGCCGCTGCTCTACCACTTGAGCTATCGTGACATCGATCCACTTGAACACTAACTTCCCATCTCAACCCCACCTTTTTGAATTTTCCCTCCTTTTTGCCATTTTTCAAATGTCGTGTAATCGGATTGGATTCTCGACGACAAATGAAATGGCCACGGAGAGCTTTAGTGAAGTATACTTCATTTTAAATCATTAAATTCACTAATTTCGTGATCCACTTGACCATTTAATATAATACAATTAATTAAGGTTTTTAATTGAGATAAAAAAGTCAATGGCACAAGCGGGATTCGAACCCACGATCTTCGGCTAGATACGCCGCTGCTCTACCACTTGAGCTATCGTGATCTCGATCCACTCAGACACTAACTTCCCATCTCAACCCCACCTTTTGAATTTTCCCTCCTTTTGGCCATTTTTCATTTCCATTGTTTGACTTTCCACAATTTGAACTTTAAATATGATTTTAACTTTAAAAAAATGTTTGTTGGCATTTTGTAATTAAATAAATTGTTGAAAGGGTTAGGATAGTTGCACATTCTATATGCATACACACACATACAAATTATATGTGATTTAAAAACATCACAAGTAAAGATGTCATGTGCTAGGAATAATTACAAAAAAAAAAAAATGTGTTCGAATCCCGCTCGTGCCATTGACTTTTTTATCTCAACTAAAAGCCTTAATCAATTGTTGTTAAAAACATTAATTTTAGGAAAAAAGTAGTTACAAAGAAGATAACAATTTTTATGTTTAAAAAATTAATGTTTATTTCAATTGTAAGGATTATATTAACAAAGACACTCTCAGCCTTTGATATGACAGTAATTATATTTTTCAACCTGAGCAGTGTGTGAAAAATTATTTTTCCCACAGTCTTCAAGATCTCTTATCTCACTTTTCTTTACCTTTTAATGTAATTATAATAAACATTGTTTGTAATTAATTGCTGTTTTGTTTTGCAGTTGGTTTTTATACAGTTATGGTTCATGGAATGCTTTACATCCCTGGCCTTAATACTTGGAAGTGGTGTAATAATACATCGATTAATTACGCTCTTCACTCTTTGAAACGTTTCCGAAAATAGAAAGATCGATATAAAAGGTGAGAGGAAGTTAAGTGCATGGCATGAATTTACATTTCCGACTAAAGGAGAAGAATAGCTTCTATTTCACAATTTCTTGAACAATGGAACACATTACATGCTTCATAGCTTGTGCACATCACTTTCAGAATAGAGGTTTAATTTTGTTTTATTAATTTGTTATTACCTTTAACATAATTATTTTAAGCTTATTCTTAAATCTTAAATTAAACATGTATGCATTAGATTATAATAATTAATGATATTTAAACTTAAAAACTTGAATGGAAGATAGATGTCAGTATGACTTGAGATGTATCCTTCACCTACTTCTATTGTAATCTTTCACATCAAGCTTCTTCAATGGAAATATTCTTCAGTCTCTCTTCGACTTTTCTTGTCTTCACACGTTTAAAATGTCTAGACTTTTTATATCTATTGTGTTCTTGTTGATCGTTCTGGCCGACTTTAACCACATTATTGCTGTCTCCAGTGCAAATGTGACACGGTCTTTTGCCAGAAGGGCAAAATCAAGCCAAAGTAGACACCGGCATAGTACAAAAGTTGTTCAGAACAAGCCACCAATCATTCTTTTACCACCTTTTGAAGTGCGGGCGGAATTTAGCACACTTACTGAAGCTCCTTTTTTAATTCAAGTTTCATCATTAAACAATACGCTTCAATCAACAACAGAAGATTTTCAGAAAAGCCCCTTGAATGATTTGATCCAGCCACCTTTTGACTACCTACTGCCTCCTTACTTAAGCCAAAAGGAGTTGTCAGAGGAAATGGAAAATAATTCTCTGCCACTGCCCACTAGGAAGCCGGAATTTCTTAATCATGTACAATTAGCCTTTTTCGTCTCTGATTTGTTTGATTCTGTGGATTTCTCCACAGAAATTCCAAGTTATAACTTTACTGAGGCCTATGAGAAAGTGACAACCTCTAAGGTCAACGATTCCTTGTTTGAACAGACTCCCGTCAGAAATGAAACTCTGGATAATAAAACCTTGGTTGCGCAAGAAACTGGAGATTTCAGAAACCAAATTTTGATCGGCAATGAAATGAAGAACAGTGGTGAAATATATTATGATTATGAAAATGGTATGTAAAACATTTATTTGATTAATAGTGAGGTAAGTTTACTAGTTAATTTTAAATGTTTTTTTTATTTTTTAAAAAATTTTTAAACTTAAAAGCCTATTGTAAATTAACAGAGCATTTCACATATTATATTCACTGCCTATATGAAAAATAAAAAACTAAAAACCTTAAAATTTGCACATGGTTGACTTAATATCTCACAATATATATAAATATAACCTTTTTTCGAGAGAATGTTGTAATTAAGTTTGAATATTAATATTCCAGCCTAAATGAGCTGAACAATTNTATATATAAATAGCAAATAAAAATAAAAATTGTGAATAAAATCTATATTGACTTGTAAATTTTTTTCTCTTTTTGTTTGACTTTCCACAATTTAAACAATATGATCTTAACTTTAAAAAAATGTTTGTTGGCATTTTGTAATTAAATAAATTGTTGAAAGGGTTAGGATAGTTGCACACATACACACATATACAACTACACATACAAATTATATGTGATTTAAAAACATCACAAGTAAAGATGTCATGTGCTAGGAATAATTACAAAAGAAAAAAAAACATTTTAATTAAAATTTATTTAATGTTTTTTTGTGTTCATTTTTTTGTTTCCAGAAGATACAACACCAATGCCGGAAGTATTGAGACAAAGCAAGACTTCAAAAAATGTTTGTAGAAACCACCTTGGCTATATTGCTGACGTATCAAACGGCTGTCAAGTATGTAATTTGTTGTGTTTATAATTTTAACACATGAATGAACTTTTTGTTGTTGTTGTTGTAGACATTCTACATTTGTACAGAGCATGGCGTTGTTGAGCCGATGTCGTGTCCAAATGGGACTCTCTTCAGCCAGGACTTTCTTGTTTGCGACTGGTGGTACAATGTTGAATGTGTTGACAAAAATCAATGAAAATTTTAAATTGTAAGCCAAAATATTAATTTAAAGGGGCAGTATCATGTCCATAAATGTATAAAGACTGAAATTAAATAATTTAAAGTTGTAACTGTTTTATTTAGCTGTCTTCACTCCTTCCACTTTTATCATTTAACATAACAACAGCTTTCTTCTGTAGATCTGCAATTGCAATACATTATTTTTATATTGATTATGCTTATAACTAATCTTAATCACCTTTACATTTATCTATGTTTTCTGCTTCTTCCAAGCTGTCTGGAAGTTTGGTATTTGCAGTCTCAGGGAAATAAATGCAACAAAATCCAGATAAAACTGACATGGTACCAAATATCAAAATAGGATTAACATATTTACTCTGTAAAACATAAATATGTACAATGTACAAGGACACAAAAGGTCAAATGCTAATCTTCAATAAAATATGTACCAATAATGGTGTCTGGGGTGCAGCCATTGAACCGATTCTGCCGAACATCGAGCAGATACCAAGTAAAGAGTGGCGTAATTTTGTAGGGTACATTTCAGATGTAAAAATGTATAGAACATTAAATGAAGCTGTAATGGAACACTTTCCTAGCAGAAAAAGTATCAATCTTCCATTTACTTTTTCTAAAATTAAAACAAAACAAAAATAAACCCTGTACAATATTACAATTGTAATATATTACCCTCCGAAAGAAAACAGAATCCAAAGCATGACAGTGCACTAATAAATAAAAATAATGCATTGGAGACCCTTCGACCGAATAAGTCCAACACAAACAGCGTTACCACATATCCTGGTATTTCTACTAAACTAACAAGTATGAAATTAGCATATTTGTTCCCAGCTACAGAGACAGAATTAAGCGACAGGCCATAGAACACAAAAGTATGGGTAATCCTGAAACAAAGTTGTTTTCTAATATAAGATTTAGTTATTTATATAAATTATATTAAACTATTTATATTCATCATTCCTCTCCTTTTTAATATAATATTTCATTTAAAAAAAAAATTAAATAATTCAAGACAAAACTGGATTAAAAATGCAATTATTATTTAAAAGTGTATTTAATTCCTTACAGGTTTAATTATTTTTTAAATAATTAACTGTGATACTAAATTTTTTTAAATTAAATTTATTCTAAAGTTATAATTTTTTACACCTACCAAACAAATGAGGAGACTAATAGACGAGTTTTAATTGTTTTCGATTTTGATATCGTCTTCCAAATGTGTTTTTCTTCTGAATCTTCCTGAAATGTTTTTAGCTTTATTAATAAAATAGTTTTTAGCATGTATATATAATCACCTCGATTTTGTTTTCAGTTCCTAAAGAATCCAGCTTTTGTATATTACTTTTTGACAATGTTTTCCCATTAACAATTGCAATTTTATCGATAATCTTTCGCATTTCTAAAAACCTATTCTGTGTGTAAAGCCAACGGATGGATTCTGGTACTATCCTTTTAAGATATCAAAAAATAACCAAAATTGTCACAAAAAATTAAATCCTAAGTAAATTTACCATATGTAAAATACAAATAAAAGCCCAGGAATGTACAGGATTCGTAAATAAATCCGCCAGTCGGGGATGGCCCAGGCTGTCAGGCCAAGAATAACTTCTCCAACTGTGTAACAGCAGCATAGTAAAATACTTCCAAAGACCCTTTTTTTATAACTGATAATCTCCATTCCTAGAATGAAGGAAGCGCTGTAACAGCCACTTGCAACAATGGCATCCATCATCTCTAAGAAGAGGAAGACATAGTATGTAGGAGAAAATGACCTCAGGATTCCCATAACAGTTGATAGCAATAGCATAGTCGTTAGTGTTGTCTTTCTGCCACATCTTTAAATCCAAATTATTAACTCGAAATCCAACTTTCAAATAAATAAAAATTACTTGTCTGAAAAAATTCCTGCAAGAGGCATTCCAATAAACTGGCCAATATTGTTAATCGTCCCAACCAATGTCAGTTTCCAATGATTCTCACCACAGAGTAAATTAAACTAAAAGAAAGAAAAATATAATTATCTTGATCGTAATGAAAAAAATTCAATTTTGTATACCTCATTAGCAATAGTTTTCTCATTTGTTTGAAAGACAAAATTATTGCACTTTTCAGTCTCCTCTTTGTTGAAAGTAAAGCAGCTTTCAAATGTCTCATTAAAACGAATGTAAGATTGACATTTAGAAAATTTATCATTTTTAAATGGTATGGCATTTTTAAGCCACTGTTGCTCGAAGACGGGAGTCGTCTTATTATCGCAATCCTCCACAAAACATCTCAAAACATTCAAACATATACTAAATGATTTTTACTTTTTATCAGTTTATTACCTGTAGTTCAAATCGCCTGCAGTAAATATATAACTTACTGAATAAAATGTGTTGAACGTCACAGAGGCAAATAGCAATAAAAATATGTAAACCTGGTATCTGTTGAATTGGCCCAGTTCTTTTATAATGCATTCTAAATCCATTCTGAATCACAACTTCGAAGCCTTGAAAGTCAGACTACACAAAAGAACAGTTTAGGCTCACCAGCAATCATCACAGGATGACACGCACTCAACAACATAATTTGACTCAATACCCTTGGCAAATGATTATTCAATTTGACCACCATTTTTTTTGCAATAGTTTTAAGCAAAAAATGATTATCTCTTTAGCAAGAAGTCAAACTAAACTCTAGGGTTGTGTTTACAAATCAGTTCAAAATTAAATGTTTAACAAAAGTACATTTATAATAATAATTGGAGCTATATTCAAGATTATGACATTTCCCCATCCACAGTGCTCTTGTAAAACCAAAACTGGCTGAGAAATTAGAACACGAGGACCTTTTTATTCGGGAGAGCTTAATCCTATTTAAATAATTAATTTTGTAAATGTAAGGTTTATTCTTTTACTTTATTTGATTTCAGGCTGATCTTAATTTTATTGTCTGTGCTTAATTATATTTGTTTTGTGATACTTTTTTAGATATAATTTGCTCAATGTGAAAATAATCCTTGTTGATTTGACTTTAAAAAAAAATCATAATAATATTCCACAATAAGATATAAACTGGTAATTCAAAAATCTTCTATTTTCTGGCACTACAACCCTTTGGGGATCCCCTTATACCCTTGGGTCCCAAATAAGTTTTTTCCCAAAAATTAAAAACTATTTTGTGCAAATATGTCTCTTAACAAACTATAATAGTAGATTGTATACAACAGTTTCTAAAAACATTTGGCACATATTAAGTATAAGTATAACAATGTCTCAATATGTTTTAAAAGCCAATTTCCTGAAAATAAAATAGTTTCTTCAAATTAGATTACTATTTATCCTCAGCAGTAAAATGCTGGAAGAGCATTCATGAACCTTCTGTAATTGCCTATAAAGGAAGCTCCCGCACCAATTTATGTTTTAGAAGCACCAATATAGGTAGAACGTAGGACAGTGAATGATACAAAGATTGATAAATTCATATTTGTATAGTCAGGTGGTGTTTTCTTCTAGAAATTTAATTATATAATTTTTTTTCTTTCAGATAAATTTTAAAGCCATTTGAGCACAGCCAAGTGGAGTCTGAGTTGAGGGAGCTTTGACTCTTTATACCCACATTATACCATCTATTTTCCAAGCTGAAATTCAAGCAATTGTGTGCAAAATAAATACTTAAAAAAAGTATTAAAACGTGCACAAATGTACATATTCTCAAACAGCCAACCAGCACTGAAGGCCTTAAAACACCTCCACCTCCAACTCAAAGCTGGTCTGGGAATGCCTACCATATCTCCAGCTCTTGGAAAAAAAACTTAATCAGGTAACTCTGATTTGGGGACCAGGATACAAGAGATTGAAGACAATGAACATATCGATAAACTGGCAAAGGCAGTCCTCACATCCTTTGAGCTATAACTGCAAATTGGATGTTGAAAAAATTGATCACACACTGCATGAATTCAACAGTATAAAATATCCAAAAAGTTCATCAACATCTAAACCAGGAAAAAACAAGAATAAAGGAAAATAAAGGCCTCTATACTGGTCATTGTCCATTTAATTACCATGTAAAAAATGTCCAGAAATATGCCAACTTCATTATGAAGAAGTGGAAACGTTGCAGGATGTCCTCTTTTTACTGCAAAATATTAACATGGAAAGCCTCTTCAATAAAACAATAAATACACCTAAAGAAATAAGTAAAAAGGAACCCAGAAAGTGTTAAGGGTAGTGCACTTTTCATTGTTTGTAAAAAGAAAAGGATCAATTACACAATATATTTGTTAGGTCAATGAAAGAAAGGGAGACTTTGGTCACCAGTGGGCCCAAAGAAAGAAGGCCTTGGAGGACATTTTCCTCGAAGTACTCCTATGATAAAATGTTGCCTTATCTGACTTGAAAGGTGCTAACATTCATAAAATTAATTACCAATATCCAATGCGAACATTTTAGCTAGATGCTTCCACGTCCATACAGAGATGTCATTAGTGACTGGAGTGCTGTCTTTTTTGGAGTTTAGGGCCAAGGCAAATACTCGAGAAGAGAAGAACTGATTAAGTGGATTGTTCAATGTGGTGTGAAAGGTGTGACCTGGAGGCTGAAACTTTATTGTTCTCTTTTCGTTCTGCTAGGTAAGAAAGATTATTTTCTACTCTGAATTACAATCTACATCAGTTTGGATCAACTTATGGAAGATTTTTGGATAAGGGAGGGAAGTAACTTGTCTTCACAAACAGCGCTTTCTGTCGTGTCTAGGAGGCATGAAAGCAGAAGTTAACAATTGCTGTTACAATTGTTATCGTTAACTTGCATGGTATACATGCACCAAACAGTATGAACACTAATGAAGAAATAATTCCCATGTTGCAAACTGAATTTGCAATTTTATTTTGTTTAAAATTGTTATTATAATTAACTGCTAAATGTAAGTTGAAATGTCGTTGCTTTCAAAAAGCCTTAAAGAAAGAAAAAACGAAAACCATGTTGATATAACTGAATTGCCGAAATGTAGGCTTTTGGATTTATTGGATAGGCAGAACAAAATAGCATCCAACAAGTGAGTTACGTTGATTGCTTTTCCTCACAGAGAAAGCAAAAAAGTCATACTCAATATCTTTTGAGCATTTAAATTTGTTTTGCATATAAAGGTTTATTATGTTTATAAAAGCTAAATTGTCTAACAGGCCCTTAATTCCAGATCAACATTGTTAAAGCTCCCAGATAAAGGAGTGAAGTTACTCAGCTTCAAAAAGGAAATTGAGGATGAACTCAAAAAACGAAACGACATTGCCGACATCAGTGATGTCATGGCAGGATTGTCTATCCGTGCCGACATACAAGAAATCGAGTGGACTGGAAAGCTCAGTAGTCAGTCTGAAAGTAAATTACAACCTGAAGACGAAAACGATCCTTTGAAGATTCTTGCAACCCATTCCGGTACAACTTTTCACCAAAAGATTATATGCTCAAAGTAAGTAGTGGCAGTTCAAATTAAATTGTACCAGAATACAAAATAAATATAATAGTTTGTGTATGCTTGATGGCCTCAGATCATCCTGGTCTTTTTATTTACATTAGTTGTGTTTGTCGTCGTTTCCTTCAGTGGTTTGTATGTTCATTTCCTTGTGTGTATGTTATTTTTACATATTATAACAGTTTTAAGTATTACAAAATGGGCATAAATTTTATTGAAACATTGTTAGACAATAAATGAGGTGATTAACACACAATTTGACATCACCTATCTGCCCATTCTCACTTGTTTGTTATGCTATATTTACATTTTAAATGTTACAAGGATATACGCATGGGAAGAAATATATCAACCACTGAAGATGGAGAGATGAAATATATCTGACATACATGGAAATAGTCAGACCTGTATTATAAGAGTAAATCAATGCTACCACAGACCACACCAGTGTTTCCAAAAGCAATTTATGTTTTGGTAAAAAAATTGTTTAAACATTACTTACTTCTTATTCATTCATCCTTGAGATATGATCAATCTCGTTTCTGTATAAACTCATTATGGTAAATGGTGAGGTGTTGCATAAAGTAATTTTTCATCTCCAATTATTAATTATTTGATGTTAATGAAACCAACTGGATGTGGTTTTTGGAGTTTGTTGTCTTAGTCACGCAAATCAAAAAAGAGCAAAACATTTTTATTACATCCTGTAAGAAGAGAACAAAACATTTTCTTTACATTATTATTTGTTTATAATCATTTTTAATTGGAAAAATTATTAGGCTATTGAATTTAATGGATTGCCTAACTATTCCAACAAAAAGCACAAGTTAAATGCAGTGTAATTTACAAAATTTCATAAAAATTATTTAAAAAGCAGGCATTTAATGATGTGATCTTTTATTTATTTAATTCAATTTTAATTAATATAAAAATTTATGCTAGGTCTGATGATGACCCAGAACCTGATATTTCTGAACAAGACATTCAGGATGCCTACGCCATTAACCTCTGTAATAAAGTACATAAGATTGAACCTCCAATTAAGTTCCTGCCACACAAGACATTAAATAAAGTTAAAGAAATGTCAAAGGACAAGTTAAGAGACCTTTCTGCCGCAGCTGGTCCCCCATCAAAGTTCGGATCATCAAAAGAAGTCTCTCTTGAGGACTCGCTCAAAATTCAACTGGAGCAGGCAAAGCATCTGAAAGAGATACAGTTGAAACATGCTGCAGAACGCCTAAAAGACAGGACATACTTAATCGGCACTAAGATGCCCGATGAAGACGGGCTGAAAGTCTACAGAGAGGTACAAATTGTAGATAGTGAGGAAGAAAACGAAGACGAAGAAGAAGGCTTATGATTAACTACTCATTTTATTTCTTTATTACTATTTAAACTGCCTGTAAATAAAATGAAAATTATTCTTTTATTATTTTTTATTTATTAAAACACGGACCATGAACATTTCTGAAATACTTAATCATTGGTTGAATACATTGTCATTCTTTTATATTTTAAAAATAAATATTTTTTTAAATTATTGAAAAATTAAAGATACACCTTGTCTAATTAAAATCATTTAAATAATAAACAAAAATAATTACTTAAATGTAGAATGCAATAATGCTCTTAGAAACAGAATTTCGTTAATATTGCTGGGATAACAAGTAGTCTTGGCATTGACTCAACATATTCCTGGTGTTTTCATGATCAACAAAGGTCAATGCGTCATCTAGAGTTGCCCATTTGAAATCTTTATGCTCATGTGAAAGAACAACTGGATTCGGGTTAGTACCAATGTACTCGGCCAGCCAATAAGTGACTTCTTTTTGTTTCTGCTTTGTTATGTATTTCAGCACAACTTTGAAATCTGTGAGCCTAAGTTGGTCACAAGTCAGACCAGCTTCCTCTTTTGTCTCCCTGTATGCTGTTTCCATAAGCTCCTCGCCTGGTTCGACATGGCCCTTTGGCGGTGTCCAATGCATTTTCTTAGTCGCCTGGAGTAAAAGAAACTCCAAGACATCTCCACGCTTTCTATACACTACAAGCCCAGCTCCAATTATTTCGGCCATTCCACAAATAATTTCAGTGTTTAGAGATAAAAAGAAATTATCCGTTGTCACCTTAAAAATTTACAGATCTGAAAACAAAGTTGCAAAGTATATTGTTTTAATGAAGTTCCTTCTAATTTTAAACTATTTCTTAACTTGTTTTGTTAGTTACTATTTATCATTAAATTATTTTAAAGCATTGTCAATTTGGTCTTTACCAATCATTTTGGTCTGCCCATTTCAGCATTTTGTTGTGCCATGCCAAAGACAAGACACTCTGAAAGTGGTAAAATGATCAGTAATGACTAAATTGCAAGTTTTTCATCTTGCCCATACGTGCTAAATTGCATCTAAGATGTTCAATAAAGTCAAACAAAAACATGTAGAACAATTTGAGAAAATGGTCAATGAAGCTGAACCAAGAATTCCTGATGTAAGACATAATCGCCACAATTATCTCTCAAAGGGATCAAATTCTGAGGAAGAGAATTGACTGCTAGACCATTGGAAGAATTCCTTGTTAACTTGGAAAACGTTGCAGCCTGCAGCATCTGGATCAATGAGAATAAGTTTGCTTTGTTATGAACTTAAGTTCCATGGCCCAGTGATGGCCTTTGTACATACCCTAAGACATCAATTTGACAATGACAAGTTTTGAGCAGTATGAGAAGTTGCTAATTGACCATAGGAGTTACCGGTAAAGTACTGAGATCGGGAGTTATATTGCAAGATAGGAAAAAGGTGTATCCAGCACTATTTTATGATAGCTCCCCTTTAAACTGCTTTGGACGGTATGATGATTTAAAAAAAGGTCCCAGCGTACATCCAGTCGGAAACAACTAATGTTTGAAATGATTTCTCCAAAGGAACTAAACTTGATCCACACAATAAACCAATTGCAATTAGTGTGATGAACAAAATAAATAAAATATAAACAGAGTTCTTTCCATTTCCCAAAATCAGTATAAAAAAGTAGTTCAGAGCTTATGGTGAATGTTTTCTTATCTCTTACACTATATTTATAATAATCATTCTATATACATGATACTTTCTTTACTAGTTATATTTTTAAAATAATAATCTGTCATGCAAAAAAGGAAAAATGTGTTAACATATAATTGCATCATGAGTTGCTATTGACAACAGATAAGAAGTTATTTTAAAGATTCGTACTTTACAGAGGAAATAATTTTCACTAGTATCCAAGGGAATATATAAGCCCTAATGGAAAGGGTTCCAATTTATTCAATCTCTAAAGGAATTATTATGATTTTTCTTTAAATAAGAATTATATTTATTTTATTGGAATACACTGAACCAACGATGCTAATGTAACTTCTAATAAATGTATAAACGAGTTAATATAATCTATAGGTTTGAATATCTTACCTATGGCCTTATGCAGTTATGCCTAAGGGTTCATTTTAACCTGACGTAAACAGCACAAAACGGACGAAGTTAACGATATTGATAACGTTATCGGGTGTTAAAGGCGACGAGCTGATACACCGGATCTTCACTATGGTCGATAATTCGTTAAAGATATCAGATTAGATTTTGTTGTATTTTATTACCATATATTTTAATTATGGATGAGGAAGACCCGAGGGTTTTGATTCCCGAAATTTGCAAGCAGTTTTACCATTTAGGATGGGTAACCGGAACAGGTGGAGGGATGAGCATCAGAAAAGGGTATGTGGTTTGTGGAGATCAATTTTTAATTAATTTGACTTTTTCAGCCCTAAATTAACCTATTGTGCAGGGCAGATTCACAAAATTGTAAGTGAGGTTGTGAATATTTTGCTGAAATAAATTTCATGTTACACTGATAAAGGCACACAAATGATAGTTGTGTTGGCTAATGCAGGGACATGCTCCAAAGCCTACTCACAAATGCCTGTTCATGCCATGATCCCTAAATTCAGTTTGACAAAAAAATTTCTAATCAAAATACCTTGTAGAACAGACTGGGAGAAACGGATCACAGTTAATGCCAACCATATCTGGTTTGCAGATGGCTTCAAAACCAAATATGGGTCAGGAGCTAGCATTTATGGAAATAAGGACTAGAATTCATATAAGCCTATGCCACCGTCTTTCAGGTGGAAACTGTGACTATTGAACACTGTGCCAGGGAGATAAAAAGGCTGGAGATCATCAGTAGAAGAGTAACCATCTACTCAGACATCATGGCGGACTGAAGGCAATTGCCGCATCGGTGGTAAAGTTTGGACTGCATTAGAGCCCTGTCAGACATTAGGGAAAATAATGAAATTACCCTTGACTGGGTGCCAGAGCAGAGGGGCAACAAAGAGGTCAATAAATTTATTAGGCCAAGGAAAGTTCAATGAGGACACTTTTGGTCTTGAACCCTTTTGTAGTTTACCAAAACGCAGATCTATTAGACAATGGATTAATAAAAAGTCCTTCATTCAATGGGAATGTAGCTTGGGACAGAGGCATGCAAAAAAGTTTTTCGAAGGATCATCACAGAAACTAATGGCAGGAATTTCGGACTAGAATAATAGACTGTTAACTGGACACTACGGACTCAGGAGGCATAGGTATGTATATACTTGGCGTGGCAAAAACAAGCTTGTGCAGATATTGCCAAGAAGAAGAAGAAACAGCGGAACACACCCTCCGTTGGTGTGAAAACCTGTCACGTCTTTCTGTGTGTGATGAGGGTGTGCAATCATCATAATGGATAAATCGCTGGCATGCAAAGAATTTGTATAACATCAGCTCATAGACCCTGCAGTTGTAGGTTCAATTCCCACTATCGTCCCTGGCTTTTTTTTTTTTTTTTCAAACTACCCTTCCTCCAAGAATAAATTGTATTATCGCATTATCTGATTCTTCTCACACTGACTAATATTGGAAAATAAAGCCATTAAATTTTTACAAAGTAATAAAAAATACAAGGTGTTGGTTAGAATTATCTCACCAAATTTTAATCAAACCCATTACATAGAAAATACTTAGAAGCCCGTTTTAACCTTAATTTTACTTGAAATATAATTAAAAAAATTCTGAATGTTTTGTTGAAAATTTATTTAAAAAATGATAATTAGATATATACATTTCAATAGGAACCAAATATATATTGCTCCTTCTGGTGTTCAAAAAGAAAGGCTTCACAGTGAAGATCTTTTTGTTCAGGACCTAGAAGGTAACGATCTTGAGTTGCCACCGGCGAAAAAACGGCTGAAAAAAAGCCAATGTACTCCTCTTTTCATGTGTGCTTACAAACGTAAGTTAATATCAAAAAATCCAAAAACAAACCTTTTTAATCAATTATTGAATTTTCAGTGAGAGATGCTGGTGCTGTAATTCACACGCACTCGAAAGCCGCCGTTATGGCAACCTTGCTCTGGCCTGGTAATGAGTTCAGTGTCACCCATCTGGAAATGATTAAAGTAAATTAAGCATTATCAAAATGCCTCTTGATAATATATTTTTGAATGTATTCCAGGGAATTAGAAATGACAAATTAAAACGCTGTTACAATTACAATGAAAAACTGGTTGTTCCTATAATTGAAAACACACCTTGGGAAGAAGATCTGACTGAAAGCTTGGCTCAAGCTATCAAAGATTATCCATCGACAACAGCCGTCTTGGTTAGACGTCATGGGATATATGTGTGGGGTGACACATGGAAAAGTGCAAAGACTCAGTCCGTATTTTTTATTTTACTTAAAAATGTATTTGTTGTTTTTTTATTTTTTGTTTCTTTTATAGATGTGAAAGCTATGATTATTTGTTTGATGTTGCTGCACAAATGAAAAGATATGGCTTAAATCCAAGTGAAGCACCAAAATAATAGAAGAGTCAAGTAAAGGATTTGAGTGAGAACTTTTAAATCCGATTATTAGTTTTTACTTGTTAAATTGTAATTGAAAATTGGGGAGTTGAAAATACACTGTATAACTGCAAATCAACAATGTTGTTCAATGGTTCCTATTGGGAACATATTTTTAAATTATGTATCTTCTCTTCTTTTTTCTATTTTTATTATTGTTGAGTCCTTATCCATTTGTACCTGGGGATATTTTTACATGTTTATATTAAGTTTTGAGCTTGGAAAATAATCGCTTCCATTGATTTTAAATGTTTGAATTCATAAAGATTTATTCTCTCCTACTGTAATATTTGATGATTATTTGGAGGTCGTGATATGCGGTCTGGTGTGACGTAGGTTTTAGAAAAACATTTTCTTTATCATGCGAACATTTTGATCTTTATTTAGATCATCTTCAGTGCTCAAAGTGTTTTATTTTTCCGTATAGATGTGTCATTCTTGTTTGTCAGTGAGCATTCTCAACAGACATCTATACGGAAAACAAACACTTTGAGCCCTGAAGATGATCTAAATAAAGATCAAAACATTGGCACAATAAAGAAAATGTTTTTCTAAAACCTACGTCACACCAGACCGCATCTCACGACCTCCAAATAATCATAAAGTAACGGTCATTAAACACCACACATGCAATATTTGAATTATTTCTAAAAGATTTTCTGAAGTAGAGAAGGCCAAAATCAAATGAGCAATATTGCAATGGTCTTCTTATTTTTCAGTTACTTGAGATATGCCATGGCCTGGTTTTTGAATTTAGTTTTAGGGATGGGAATTGTCATAAAATTCCAGATGGTGGGATTCAAACACACAAGTGTAGGATCGGATGAACCAAAAGGCTGCAACACTAATCACTCTGCCATTTGCGGTCCCATTAACTGATTAATTTTGGTTTAGGTTTCTGCCTTCCTAGTTAGTTTGTCTAACTTAGGCCTCTTTCAGATGGGGTGGTTAGGTGATTCAACTAGTTTAATAGCCATGTAATAAATGATTTGGAACTGCCAGAATCCCTTCACACGAAGTCAACTCGTCTGCCAGGCAGGTGGACAGCAAGTACAAATGCTGCTTATTTTTCATCCCCACTGGTTGACTCAATTCAAAAGGCAATTCAGCATCAGTCCTTCATACATATCACCTAGTTGAGTCAACGTAGTTCATTATAGGAAGCGTTGCCATAGCAGTTTTAATATGTAATATTTCATTGAATAAATGAAGCTTGAAGGGAATTGGCTCAGCAGTAGTTGTGCTCCAGTTTTCAATTTTATTACAACATAGAACCTACACTTTTCTTCGGCTGGGTTTCCTTCTTTTTTGGTTCTCCTGAAGATAAGAGTTTCCTGGTGTGAAGCCAGCGTAGAAAAGTCAAAAAAGCACGACCAGGCAACTTAGTTTAAACAATCTTGTCGGAAAAAGGCATTACATTAAGACATTTCACTAATGACTTCCATTGTTTAAAATAAGTACCCTATTTTTTACAGTAGTACACATCTGAACTCTGCTATATTTTATTAGTCTTTAGGTATAATTGATCAAGTCGAACGACTTCCTTTTAGATGCAATGTGCCTTTTCAAACAACTCAAAACATTTTGATAATTCTATTTGTACCAAAGTCTAAACTTAAAAATAGCAATCCTGAAAAGTTGTGTTTTTTGACTTGTTCAGTTTTGACCCAAGCATGTAGATATATTGTCATTTATAAAACATTAAGAAAAATAATTATATATTAGAAAATCAAAGTAATAAAAGTTATAGCAAATTCTAAATTCAAGTTTGCTGGAATTGTTCTTAAATTGCATAAGAAACACATAATTTCTGTTTGTTGAAATTAATATCAAAGAATATTTTCTTTAAAACACAATCCTGTGTGCAAAATAATGAAGCCTCAAATCATTCTAGTTTCTACTTTCTAGTTTTCTACAATGAAATCTAACAGGAAGACACTCCCACCATCCGCTCATTGAATTAGCCCCTCTCTTTCATCAGTGCTCCCTTTACTTTTCTCTATTCATTCTCCTCCCTACCCATTCTTTGGTATATCCCGTGGACCATGGTATCTCCACCCCCTCCAACTATGACTCATCCGTCGACCTCAAGGCTCAAACTCAAAGCCCTATTAACATTCCATTCCTGAATACACAGGCTAAACTCTTTAAGCATCCATTTTCAAAGCCTGTCTGCCTCAATGCAGTTGCCAGCAACATGTTAAATTTAAGAGTATTGCTAGTTTCAGCTTTCATTTTCAACTGCAAGCAACACAACTGATTTTATTTCAAGTGTACATATACAAAAAAACTACATATGTACATTTTTCTCCTGGCCTTGAGCAGTGACACATCAGCCATATGTACAATTATGTCATAATTTATATGTTATCTAAGAGAATTAATTCTGTATAAGAGCATTATACGATTTTCTAATCTTGATATTATCAAAAGCAGTGAGTAATATTGAAATTAAACAAAAAAGTTATCAACTGTCAACATCCCAAGATAACTGGTTTTAAACATTTCCACTATTATAATTTGTAAGAATTTATTTAAAAATAAATTACCCTTGTTTTCTATCTTTGAAAGAATCATGTCCTTCAAAAATCCCTAGAATGTTGAGTCACATTTCTTCTGTATAAAAGTATTTTATCAAACTGATGAGATAAAACCAGTCCTATAATTCCCATTCAACAAGAAACAACTGTAGTTGCCCTCAGTTGCTCAGTTGGAATAATTTTGACAACAACTAAAGTAAGTAATCAGGTTTATCATAAGTCTTGCATGCTAAACAATTATAACAATCATAAATAATACATATTTTATGACATTTTTATTTTTTATTAATACATATTTTACTTGGTCATAAATAGTGTAGGAAGTGATAGATTTTTAAAAGTTTTTTTTTATTGAGTCAGTGTTGAGCATATGGTTGACAGAATATTCACCTGTTTTTATAATTATTTTCTTAAACCTTGACGTTTTTAAAAAGAAAACTTTAATAGTTCTTTAACCTTTCATAGGATCTGTTTACAACAGTGCCTCAGGGGAAATTTCCTATATTAAAAGGAAAACACGTCATCCCTGACTCATTAACAATATTGCAATTAAGTTAATTTGAGTGATATTTTTTATCTATTATATCACAATTGGTTGAAAACGTTCGTATATAATAAAAAAAATGAACTAGAGGTTTTCATTTTTTCACATCGAATTGTTTGTCGAATGTGACGGTTTTATCGCAAATTTGTCAAAACCCTGTTTGTTCAGCGATAAAAAAACAGGCTCTCTTTCCTTTGGAATTGGACCCATGCTGCGTGGAAGGCAAACAAAAGGAAAGGAAGGTACAAAGTAGAAAGGAATGCCTGTGATTAAGCCCTTCACGGACCTAACGTGCACGAGGCCCACCGCATTCCAACGCGAATAAGATTCAGCCTCCACGCCTATAGAAATAAGAAATATTTTAAAATACGTTTACGTTGTCAAGGGCTTGAAAATATTTTAAAATTTACATTTTTTTATAGATTACATAACACATATACTATCAGTATGATGATTTCCATATTTAGTATACTGCTAGGTATTCCATTGTTTTCTTGTTACCAATTATAGTTTTGATTTTGTTGTTTATACTTACATATTCATTGTCGTGCTTTGTAAAACGTTATTTGTAAATAAATGTAAAGAGCCCCAAAGCTAGCGTCATGGCATAAATACCACCATTTCAAAAAATATATATTTGGCCAAATTCAATATAAATGGAGATGTGTTACAAGTTTTAAAACAAAATTAATAACGAGAGTTAGATCTGGGGCATAAAATAATCACTGGTACGGAAATTTGTTGAAAGTTCAAATTAATGCTGGTGTACAAAACGGAAATTATTTTGAGGGAAAAATCTTTGAACAATTGTGCAGTCTCAGTGTACGATCTAATAAACATAAAATACGAAGAAAAACAGCGAGCTTAAATTTCCCAGATTTGTCTATTTGGTGAAATTCTTATGGAAAATAGTTTTGCAAGAAAAAGACAAAATCAGTCATTGTACGATCTAATAAACATAAAATACGATGAAAGAAACAGCGAGCTTAAATTTTCCAGATTTGTCTATTTGATGAAATTCTTATGGAAATTAGACGTTTTACAAGAAAAAGACAAAACCAGTCATTGTACGATCTAATAAACATAAAATACGAAGAAAAGAAAGTCAGCTTAAATTTCCCACATTTATCTATTTGAAGAAATTATTGTGAAAAATAGAAGAATTTTGCGAGAAAATGTCAAAAATAGTGTATAAATTTTAAATGATTTTTCGGATATAATGTCTGTTTATACAGATAAAATATAAAGTCCCCATAATGTGAATATCACGTGAAATATATTTTTTTAAATATATAATCGCCGTGTACCCTTATAAGTTTTTGTTGTTCTTTTTGAGAATTGATTTTCGGGTATAATCTGTTAATATAATGCTACTAAGGAACCGCCATAATTATTCAGATTGTTTAAAATTTAAATAAATTTAGACATCAATTATTAAATTTTAAGTATTTGTTTAAAATTTGCAAATCGGTGGAAATTTGTTGTACTGCTAGTAAATATAAATACAAACGTTATTTTTAACCGATGTATAACGCGTTCCTTCCTTTCACATACTTTTCGATAGTAAACATCCTATCTGAAAGTCATCTCATTAAAGCGGGGGTCCCCCCAGGGCAGCATTTTAGGGCTCTTCCTATTCGCATATGAACAGCCGACATTCCAGTTTTTCATAACATGCAATTCAATTTAAAAATTAACGTAACAAAAAAAATCCTCTTGTCTGATAGTTTACTTCAGCGTTCTAAAGCTCTGTAAAGTTTCCTGTTGATCAGTGGAGTCCGTTTCATATTTATCTTTTTTTTCGAGGGAAAAAATCGTTTTTCTTAAAAATTGTAGTCAGGGATTTTAGGGGTTGCAAAAAGCAAACATCAACTTTTTTTTGTTAAAAAATTTTCATTTTGTTTATATTTGTGATGGAAATAAACATACTCATCAAACGTTTTATTTTCTATTTCAAATTCTAATTTATTTACGAAGCATGAAATCTATGCCATTAGGGGCATTTTATAGGAAGGGTTCTACACCCCTGTGAAGTTTCCTATTGATCAATGAGGTCGTTTCATAGTCATCACTATTCATCTAAACTTTATCTCTTCCTAGGTAGTCATCACAATCAAACCAATTTAAACCTCATCCTGTCTTGGAGGATAAAAATTATCGAACCTAAATCCACCTAAAAAATCCACGTGACCGACGGTCTAACTTCAATGAAAACCCATTCCAATCTAACCTGTTCTAAACCCCTGTAAAGTTTCCTGTTCATCAGTGGAGTCGTTCCATTATTATCACTATTTTTGGAGAAAAAAAAAATCGTTTTTCCAAAAATTTGTGTTCTGCAGTTTTTATGAGTTCAAAAAGCGAATATCAACTTTTTGTGTTTAACTGTGTGGTGATTAGTGACCGTTAATCGATATTTATTTAGAAATCGTGAGATGCGGTCTGGTGTGATGTAGGTTTCAGAAAAACATTTTCTTTATCGTGCCAACGTTTCGATCTTTATTGAGATCATTTCAGGGCTCAATGTTAAATAAAAAAAATGTTTTTCTGATACTTACATCACACCAGACCGCATCTCACGATTTCTAAATAAATTTTTTGTGTTTGTATTTCTGTTGTTAAGTGTCACTGCTGGTTGACTTCTCTTATCCTGTGTAACATGCTAGACTTTATAGAAATGATAAATGGAGGAGTGGGTTATTCAATCTTTTAAAAAAAAGTAGTTCCTATTCACGGTTAGTTGTTTTCAAATATCCGCATTTGAAGCTTTTGCTCATCATCAGGTTGAAGAAATTTACTACCTGATGATGAGCTATAAGCTTGAAATCCGGACGTGAAAACAACTAACTGCGTGTGGGAACTAACTTTTTTAAAAAGATATGCTAGAGTTTTATTGTCATTTACCTCATTTGCATGTTGCAACCATTAGACTAAAATAGGTGTTGTAAAAATCATAATAAATATTTTTAAAAAAATTTTAAAAAATGATAAGGCAAATATATGTAATGGGAGTATCGTGCTAAATATCTTTTGTATCTTTTCATGTGACTAAAATTCATTCAGTTGTTGAAAAAGTCTGAGTCACAAATGTAAACAATGAATGTTCGAATATATTTTATTGTTGAATGATACTAAGAATACGTTAGATATATTTTAGGCTAGTTTTATTAAATTGTCTTCGTTTCATTAACAGGAATGAGGACAAAAAATAAACAAGACGGTAGCCAGTCTTATTGAATTAGCAGTTGATCAATGAAATGAGAATTTTTGCTAGTATATGTAAGCAGTGGGAAAGTTTTTTTTAAGGTGGATTTTAATAACGTATAAGTAGTCTAATTTCATACGAAACTAAAATAAAAGTATTTTAATTTATTAATAAATAATTTAATAATACGAATAAAATAGAAAATTTTTAAAAGAGGTGGGTCAGCCCATTCCATTCCTACCATGACGGTCCTGTTTTGGATATTTGCTGCGTGATGCCGCGGCAGTCACGTTCTGAATTAGTCGCAATCATCGGGTTCAAGTTGTCTTCGTTACTTTTACGCGTTCCTATTTTAGTTATTTCTATTTTAAATTGTAAACCTTAGATATAATTTTTACATTTTAGTTTAAATAGTGTAACGAGAGGGACGAAAGCGCATTTCCCGTCCGAAACAAGCCCAGGTACGTTTGGTTTTACGGTTTGTGAATAATATTCTTCCCTTTTGTGAATCTCTTTTTTTAGAAAGTCGCACGTCCTTCAATATGATTAACACATTTTCAATAGTTTCTTTTCAATAAAACCCATCAAAATTTCGTAAACGTGTTTCGGGCAAGTTTTTATTTCGTATTCTTTGGACATTTTTAGTAGGTTTGTTTTGAAGAAATAGCTGGGAAAGGACTCGGGGAGAAAATGCCCCATTGCTTTTATCGTTGAGATATTCGGACTCGTGCGGGTGCTTCCTACTTTTCGTCTGGGTCCGACTTTTTTTTGTCTAAATGGAGCTCACAAAGATATTGAAACATTTCAGGTATGATTTTGGTTTTAGTTGGATAAAAATGGAATGTAAAACTGCTGATTTCGGGGTCGGGAAGTTTCAAGGCGTTCCAAATTCCATTCGAGACCAGATCCCATAGTTATTTCGACCTTAAACATATTTTTCAAAGTTCCAAGTTAAATTGTTCGATATTATTATAAATTGGAAAATAATCGCAATTTTGAATTATTTGCTCATAAGTCGGTGTAAGTATTGCAAACATTCCAAATTTGTTTTATTTTCAAGCAATCGCTACATACAAAACACAATATAGTGTATTTGATAAACAATTTCTAAACAAAGAAAAAGAAAAATTGTTTTATTATTATTCTAAGAGGGCTTATAATAATAATTAAAAAAAGACGAATGCATAGTTTGTTATTTCTAGACATAATTTTCTATCATGGGTAATATGAAATTTTAGAATTACTGGCAAAATTTAAGTTTTATTTAAAGTAAAAACAAGATATTTATGTGGTTGGAAAGTTGCAAGATTAGATAATGTTGGATGAATAAAACGATGTTCGATTCACATTTTAGTTTGTATTCAAAAGAGATTCTACTCGCCTGGTTAGATTATATAAAATCCTAACGACGAAACAAAATTATATTTACAAAAGTTGGCACAATAAAGAAAATGTTTTTCTGAAACCTACATCACACCAGACCGCATCTCATGATTTCTGAATAATTATATTTACAAATGTGTACTACATGTTTATACTTAATGTAAAGTATGTAATAGTGAAAATATGGGTTGAAAATGTATGTATACTTTACATGTAAGAGTTCATCAACATGTAGTACACATTTGTAAATATTATTTTGTTTTGTAATTAGGATTTCATATAATAAATTAAACATTTCTTTGTTGGTTATTTATGTTAAACAAACACCATCCAGGTTTGCAGAATGGGACTGGGGGAAAAACAAGGAAATATGTATATATGTTCTCCGTTCACTAAATTCCGTTCCTTGATTGTCTCTGGAGTGTTTTTATTTGAGTAATTTCGTTTTGTAAGCAATGTGGAATTGTAGAATTTCAGTATGATAAATGTTTTATTATTCTAAAATGGTTGATTGTGTTGGTTGGAAAGTTTAAAGATAAGATAACATACAATCTAAGGATTTCAGGTTGATGTATAATTTATATTTTTGGAAAATTCCAAGATATTCTTAATTCCACCAGAAGATATCTAGTTTCCAAAGCTGTTTGTACTAAACTTGGTGATCATGGAGTCTGGTATATCAATACTTCTTAAATGCAATTATGAGAACATCAGCTCCGATAGATATTTTGGCTTTATTACATATCCCCAGGTTACAATTATATAGTTCGTTATTATTATTATTATTATTATTATTATTATTATAAATTGGAAAAAGAACAGATATTTTAATTATATACTGATGAGTTGATGTAAGTATTGCAAGGATTCCAAGTTTTTTATTTTCAAGCACTCACTTCATACAAAACACAATATGAGGTATTTTTTTAAACAAAGAAAAAAAATGGTCTAATATTCATAGAGATCTAACTTAGCTTATAATAATAATAATAATAAATATGGGGAAAACTGCTGAAAAAGTATGTACTTCATGTTATTTCTAAATATAATTTTGTTTTATGGGTAATATGAAATTTTAGAACTACATACAAGGTAAAATTTATGTCTTATTTAAAATATAAAAGAGTTAATTTGTGTGATTGTGTCATTGGGAAATTTCAAGGTTGTATTATGTGGGATGTTATAAAGCAAGGTTAGATTTGTATTTGAGTTTGTGTTCAAAAGGGATTCTAATAGCCTGGTTGGTAAGTTTAAAGGCTGCATATTGCACATTGATTATGGTTTTTAGTTCTTAATTAAAAAAGCGAAACACTTGGTTGAAAATAATACTTGAATGTGTTTATAAATATGTAGTCACATTTCTAAATAGAATTTTGTTTTGTAGTTAATGTGGAATTTTACAATTACAGTATAATGTTTTTGTTTTGTTAGTCTAAACTTAGTGATGATTGTGTAGGTTGCAAGTTCCAGTATTAGATAAAATAGAATTTACGGGTTTCAGGTATTTATATTTTAGTTGTATAAAAGGAATTTTTAAGAAGGTTATTCTGTAATTGGAAAATTTGAGGGAATTCTTAATTCGTCAACAAGGTAATCAGTTTCCAAAGTTTAAGGGATGGTTAGGGTAGAATACACATCTTCAAGAGAAAACCAAAATATTAACAAGCAGGAGCATCTAATCATTAGCAAAATCATTCAGAGGTCCAAAGAGCAGCAGTGTGACCAGGAAAATCATCTAGATGTCTTAAATATTGACAAAAATATGACATTCACAAGTAGCCACATCTAATTACCAGCAAAATCTTTCAGAAATCCATCGAGCAGCAGTGGTTAACAACAAGTGAAATCGTCCAGTCAAGCAGCAGGAGCTAATTACTAACAAAATCATATGATGGTCCTCAGCACCTCAGCCAGCTACTAATAGCAAAATCATCATGTCCTAAATGCCAACAAAAAAGTGGCACTTTCACAAGTAGCCACATCTAATTACCAATAAAATCTTTCGAAAATCCACAGAGCAATAGTGGCTAATGACCAACGAAATCAGGTTGTACTAAATACTGACAAAAAAAAAAAAAAACAACATTACCAGTCATACCTAATTCCTGGCAAAATCATCCAAAGGTTCACAGATCAGCAGTGGGTAATTATCTACAAAATCATCCCACATCAAAGAGCCGATGTTTGTAGACATAATAATACAGGAAACAATTGGAATGGCAACTACTTTTCTGTGTGATTAAAGCTTTCCTTGGATGAACTATAACTCAAAGATAATATGTGATACAGAAAAACCCATATTCTTTGGCAATGTGAGGCAGAAATGCTAAAGTTTATCTTCGTCTGTGAGTTTTTATACTTGGAATTTTTACATAACATCTTGTTGGAGTATGGAGGAATGATGATTTTTTTATCAAATTACAATAACTGCATGAGTGAAACGGCGGATAACAGCTAGTATATTATTTTTTCTGAACATAATTATATTTTGTAAATTTTTATCTCAAAAATTCTTTGAAGTTAACAAATTGCTATTTAAAAATATTTTTTATTGCATTTCAGTAGCACAATACATCACAAATATTTTTATTAGTACAACATCAGTATTGAGGCGACAGTTCTATCCGGCATAAACATGAACTTTTCCATGGCTAAGTGGTTTTTTCCACATCTCTCTGATAAGTTTTTAAGAAAGAGGGATAGAAGCCCCTAGAAGTCAAGTGCCTGATATCTGTCTTGGTAGTGAAGGGCCTGCCGCCGCTGAATTTGGTAGGCCACAGGCTACCTCCATGTTTTAGCTTCAGCTTTACAATATTATAGGGCAGATTGATTTTTTAGATATATATTTGTATATACATCATGATTTTTTAAACTAGGTCAAAGGTCATTTAAGTGTCTTTAGTAATAATGAATAAGTTCAGTAACCTTTTTTCTTCTTTTCAGTGTTATCTCTATCAGATATTATTTGTCTAGTCCAAAGTATTAAGATAATTTCTATTGTGACCGATTTGAGTAATAAAATGAGATTTTATCACAAACCTCGTGGAAATCTCATGCAATTAGTTTCAAATTATAATGCAAAAGGAATGTCAAGTATTTTGATCAACTTGAGTCATAGGTTGGTGTTTCATGAACTCATGATTGATTCCAGAGTAATTTAAAATGTACGATGTTTAAATTTTGAGATTATTATGTCAATTACTGACAGATTGAAAACCAATTATTTGAAAATGTATAGATTTGTATTTTACCTTACTGCATTATTAAACTATACATTGTAATAAAACTTGAATTCTTATGGATAATTGTTTTGATTGAATTGTAGATGCCTCCAACTACCAATGGTACTGTAAATAAACCTCTAAACATGGCTCAGAAAACAACAACAGTGACAGACAACTCAGTAAGATTTCCTGCGACGGTAGAAGAAGATGGTCCACTGCCATCAACGAGCTGGAGTATTCCACTTTCTGAAAGCATGCGTCATGAGGCTGAAAGGCTTAAAACATTTGAGCAATGGCCAGTGACTTTCATCACACCCAGAGCAATGACATCTGCAGGTTTCTACTACTTAAAGAGAGAAGACCTTGTTAAGTGTGCTTTCTGCGGTGTTGAAGTCGGTCGTTGGGTGCCTGGTGATGACCCGATGGCTGATCATAAGAAATGGTCTCCAGGGTGTCGCTTTGTTAAAGAAATCAATGTTGGCAATGTACCAATTAGCGAAGAAACTAACATGAACAATATTGAAACTGACAGGGGTAAGGCAAACATATTTTTACATGATTTTTTGGTTAAAAAATATTAACCCAGTGACCAAAGTGTGTCGAAAGTATTATCCATCTTGTGGATTCTCACTCTTAATGCATTTTATTAAAACATTACATGTTTATGATTATTTCTCTAATTTTTTTGTTTTTTGCATCTTAGGATATGACACATGTGGTTCAGTTGAAATAGGACTATCCCAAGATCAAGTAACAAAGGTGAATATCCTGGAAAAACATGCTGGATATCAGAAAACAAGGGAACCAGCTTTTCCACATTATGCAGCTTACAGTTCAAGGCTAATGTCGTATGAAACCTGGCCAGTTTCTCTTAAGCTAAAGCCAAATGTGCTTAGTGATGCTGGATTTTTTTATACAGGTAAAATAATAGAAACATTTCTGAATATAATTAAAACATTTTTTCAGGCCACCATCGTGTAATAACACTTGTGTTCTTCACAAGAACTTCTTGTGAAGAACACTAGTGTTACTACACTAAAACAGAAGTGTTTTTCACAAGAACACTAGTGTTACTATGCTTAAACACTAGTGTTCTTACGAAGAACACTTTGGTGTTATACACCAAAATGCTAGTGTTCTTCACGAGAACACTTTGGTTTTACAATGACAAATCACTTTACTAGAACATTTTACAAAATGTTACTATGCCAAAACGCTAAAGTGTTCTTCACGAGAACACTTTGGAGTTACAATGCCAAAACACTGAAGTGTTCTTTACTAGAACACTTTACAAAGTGTTACTATGCCAAAACAGTAGTGTTCTTCATTGGAACACTTTGGTGTTACAATGCCAAATCACTTTACTAGAACATTTTACAAAATGTTACTATGCCAAAACGCTAAAGTGTTCTTCACGAGAACACTCTGGAGTTACAATGCCAAAACACTGAAGTGTTCTTTGCTAGAACACTTTACAAAGTGTTACTATGCCAAAATACTAAAGATTTCTTTACGAGAACACTTTACAAAGTGTTACTATGCCAAAACAGTAGTGTTCTTTATGAGAACACTGGTGTTACTGCACTAAAGCACTAGTGTTCTACACAAGACCAAGGTAGCACAATTTGTACCTCGTTCTTCCATTGTGTACCATTGTAGTCTTAATCAGGTAACACTTATTCAATTTTTTAAATTATCATACTAATTGTAATAATATGTTGTTAATAATTAATTTTTTTGGCCAGGTAAAAGTGATCAAACTGTATGCTACCATTGTGGGGGTGGATTGAAAGATTGGGAAGAGACTGATGAACCCTGGGTCGAGCACGCAAGGTGGTTTTCAAAGTGTTCATTTGTCCTGCTTGTTAAAGGCAAAGATTTTGTCGATGAAGTGTCTGGCAACAAAGCAAGTCAAGTGAGTATCTTTATTAAATATAATTCACTATTTTTTGTGGCCCGCTTGACCGATAAATAAATTGATTCAACATAATGCTCACAACATAGCAGTTGGTATTATGTTTCAATATTGCTGATTTTCCTCCTTTAATGGTACTTAAATGTCAATTGTATGTATTTCTTATATTTGTCCTTTGTTGAAATATAGTTTGTAAAATGTTTATTGTACATTTTCAGGTATAAAGTTATTTTAATCAATTAATTTAACTATGGTCAAACTATCCTTGTTGATGTTTTTAATTATGCCATTATTAAAAACTCTTAGAGGATCTTTCATAAAGATAGAGTTTTTTCTTAATTGCTTTCCGCTTACTGTGTTAGCAAAACCTATCTTTTTTTTTTTCTTTGGAGGAAGTTATGGAAAATTCTTCTTTTCTTCTTTCGAGGAAGGTATTGAAACTTTATATTTTCAAAGCTCCATTCGAACGAAGTATATCCACCGACTTCTTTGGGTTATGCATGTTGTATAATGTTTTTATCTAAAAATATGCTTAGCTAAAAATAAATCTTATTTTGCTGATTTCTGATTAAGATTAAAATAACACAATACTCCCAACATGACACACAATCATGACACATCTGCACAGAAAACAAACTTTGAGCCCTGAAGATGATTTAAATAAAGATGAAACATTGGCACAATAAAGAAAATGTTTTTCTATCCCTACATCACACAAGACTGCATCTCACCATCTCCAAACAATCATGTAAATAAAATATATTTTCATGCAATAAAAACTGTCAAAATGTGTAAAAAAAAAAAGTGCAATAAAAGTAAATGTAAAAACCTCTCCCATTGAACATAGTAAAAAAATTTATTTTCATAATAAAATTCATTATTGCCTAATGTTTATGATGTGAGATTGTTCATTTTATAATAGAATTACAGAATATTACTAGAACTATTTATTTTATAATAGAATTACATCCATGTGTACAAATATACAGATAAATGTGTGGTGTTTAGTAACAGTTAATTTATTATTATTTGGGGATCATGAGATGCGGTCTGGTGTGATGTAGGTTTAGAAAAAAAATTTTCTTTATCATGCCAACGTTTCGATCTTTATTGAGATCATGTTCAAGGCTTGGGTACAGATCCTACCTGTACAGATAAATGTTATAATGAAATTTCAAAATATGCAATTAGATCTAACAAAGTTATTCAGATATCGTGAGATGCGGTCGGGTGTGATGTAGGTTTCAGAAAAACATTTTCTTTATCGTGCCAACGTTTCGATCTTTTATTGAGATCATCTTCAGGGCCTGGGATTTACAAACAATGTTTACATTTAACAATTACATTTAGGATGTGGAAAAGTGAATTTATACAATGCAAAATATATTTTATATTCAAACAAAGTATTTCTACTCACTCAAAGTGTTTGTCTTCTGTGTAATTGTGCCATCCTTGCGTGTCGTGTTGAGAGTGCCAGTGAGATTTTGCTGTTTTATGTTTATATATGTTTGGTGTTGAATGGGTGGGGAAGGAAGTCGGTATATAAGACAATTTTGTGTAAGGCGTCGGCTTCTTTGTAGTGAAAAATCTCAATAAATTGAATCTCAATAAAAGATCGAAACGTTGGCACGATAAAGAAAATATTTTTCTGAAACCTACATCACACCCAACCGCATCTCACGATATCTGAATAACTATCGATTAACGGTCACTAATCTCTACACAGATCTAACAAAATTAACTTCGTGAAATTTAAAATTGATTTTGTTCCCATTTGCCTTATTAAAATTTATTTTTATTTGTTTTTAAAACAGTAGGAAATATATTTGAAAACAATGATTGGGCACTGATGACCTGAGGCAAGGTCGCCTTTGCACTCGGAGTTACATTTCAGACCCTTAGCTGTTGAGGGTTAAAACAAATTAGGCATCAGCCTTCCGGTGGGTAGCCCTGTAGCCACCACTATGAACTGAAGGTACTATGAACTGAGCAGGTGTCTTTTTACATGGTTTTGCTTTGCTCCCAAGCTGAAGAAAGACAAAGAAATAAAAATCGAGAAATACGTATATGATGGAAATAAAACAATTTCTTGGAAAATTCTAGGCATCTGAAGTTAAAAACTCCGATGAAGCACAATAAAAAAGATTTTACCTTCAATTCGGCATACAGTATGGTCATGGCCGCTACTGTGCATTTTCCCTTTTGCTGCGGTTTTTTCGTATACATGTATTATCTTCATACTCTTATCCCATAAAAATGTTGCATTTTCATGTTGTTTTCAACCATAAAAAATATTAAACACCAAAAAATTGGAAAAATGCACATTTGTGGATAAAACCTTAAAACATGAATTTTTTACAAAGTAAGATAGTGTCAAAAGAACACCTCTTTTCCATGATAAAATTTCTGCCTTGGGTTTTTATTGATTAGTATAAGAAACGATGATTGAATTTTTTACATTAAATCTTATAAGCAGGCTATTAACAATGATTGAATTTTTTAACATTAAATCTTACAAGCAGGCTAATAACAAGGATGATTTAATTTCAGGAGGCAAAATCTTCAAATTCAAATGATGAAGTGGGTCAGGTCAGCACATCCACCGATACTGAAAAAACCCTGTAAGTGTTCATATTTATCCATTATTGCATTCAGCTTTTTATTTAACAATTATTATTGTATATTCAGGATGGAAGAAGGCGGTATCGTAGATACCACTTGTATAAAGAAAACTGCAGCGAATAACGAGTCAACAAATGACGGCCGTCTTTGCAAGATCTGCTATATGGATGAAATGGGTGTTCTGTTTCTGCCATGCGGGCACATTGTCGCGTGTGTCAAGTGTGCACTCTCCCTAAGGACGTGTGCAGTGTGTCGGAAACCTGTGACAGCCACGTTTCGAGCCTTCCTGTCATGAATTTCCAGAAGTTTTAAATGACATTATATTGTAACTTCTAGTCAATACTTTTATTTCTCCTCATAACATACTCCAGTTTCGTTTATCTCAGTTTCGACACATGTATAATTGTTTTTATTATATAAAGGTATTATATAAATTTGTCGAACATAAAACCCAATTTAATGTGTTTTGGCATTAAGATTTTACTACCTCTGTTTTTATATAGAAAAGTGAAGTTTTTTTTTCCTTGTCGGTGTGCTCTGTAATTTTCAAATCCACCCTGTGGGGGGCGGTCACTAACGACCCATGTATTTTCACCCTGCCTTACTACCTTTGTAAATATTTAAAATAATGTTAGATGGCCCTGTAGAAACAAAACTATGGGTACGTTTAGAGGAAATTTTTATCAAACGATTTTTATCAAGCTTTCACATTTATTTCATATTGTAACACACCAATGTATAAATTATGTGTATTTAGAAAAGTAAAAAGATAAGTGAAGATAAATAAAATACATAAATTGTAAATAAATTATAACTTACAAAAAAAAAAAAAAAAAAGGAAAAACATTAGGTACAAACTATTATTTAGTAATTTAGAAAAAAATTCCAATGCCTGAAATTCTAGAGGTTATTGGCACAAATTATTTCAGAGAGAAGATAATGAATAGAGGACACAATCAAATTTCATTTGTAGATCTGTTTCCATTTGTCTCTTCCTTCAAACTTTAGTCCTATCAATAAACACAATTTTGTGACAATACTTAAAGTTTAGAGAAAATAAATGCCAGTAAATATTTACATTAAAAAAAAATAGTTTTCTTTCATAATCGAACAGTTTTATAAAATCTGTTATAGAACAACCTTGCATTATATTTTCGCTTAGAAATCCTAAGATATTAAATTAGCCATTCATAGATAATAATGTTAACATTTCTATGAATAAATCTTTTATAAATAAGGACTCATGGTATCGTTTTCCATCTTCTATTTGAGATGTACATCTAGAATTACAGGAATCTTATTAAATAACGATTTTGAATCAAAGGGAACATATTTTTTCTTTAAAGATTTTCTTTCATTTTAAAGTATTTGAAATCATTGTAACTGTCACATTATTTTTGTAAATAGTATTAATTTATGTGTAACGTTAATATATCTTATTCACAACATTGATAATAAAAATAAATTGCTAATTTAAAAAAAATCGTAAAAGGACTTTTTTCATTATAAACCCTAAATTGGGTTGTTTTTAGTTTAACGCCTATTAAAGCAATTAAAAAAAAAGTAGAGCAACTATTAAAAAAATAGATTGCTAATTTAAAAAAAATCGTAAAAGTTGACTTTTTTTCATTATAAACCATACATTGGGTTAAGTTTTAAGTTTCATGCCTATTAAAACAATTTTAAAAAAAGTAGAGCAGCTATTTACCAAAATAATGTAACTTTATGCCTTGCACATTTATATACTTTATTAAGCTTTTATTATTGATTAGATGAATATATAATGTTGGGGCAAATTTGTAAAATTTACATTTGTAGGTATTTTGCTATTATTTGCAATTGTATAAATTAGGCTGAATATAATAAATTGAATTAGAAGTTTATTGGTTAAAGGAAAATTGTTAAAACCCTGTACTTTTTTGTTCACCATTGATATGCATACCATATATGACACAAGGCACCATAAAAATATTGCAACTACATTGCCTTGCAAAGTGTGAAAATAATATCCCTAACTAAACAGCAGCTTTTAGCTTTTTGAAAGATAAAAAGAGAATTTCCAGTAAGTATAAAAACTTATAAAGAGAACTTATTACTAATGTTGATGAAGAAGAAATAGACCACGATGATAATGTGTTTGGGATCTGGTTTCTGGTCAGGTAACCATACATTATTACAAATGTAATTTCATTCACCCTGACAATTGACTAAGTATTTATTCCCCCTGGTTTTGTCAGTCGTGATCCGTTTCTATATATTCATTCGGTGCTGTTCTGTGTCATTCTTATTATCATTGAGATCATATTTGCTCAAAGTATGAAAAAAAAAAAATTGAAAGACTGAATTCAGGACGGAAGAATGCTTCGTCCTAGCCCCTTTATTTTCTTTGGGTCGGCTTTGTGAGTTAACGTTCTACCTAATTTCACAATTGACCCAAGCTATCTTATAGAGCATTTCACCCAAAACATATTCTTTTTGAATCAAATTCATCTTTATTTTAAACAAGTAAGTATATATTATTATTGATGTTTTCATGCAATTATTTAAACTGATTGTTCACTAACAAGATGATGCTTTGTGTTTAACGCAGTACAGCAGTCTGTACAGTACGAACTCATGCCACATGGCCAGACCATCCACTGCTGAAATCTACTCAAGCCAACTGCAATGAGTATCTCTTGCCCTGACCCAGAAACAATCTGCTCTTGTGAATAGAAAAGGCATGATTATTGACCTATCCCAGGTCAATGGGATACCTTATACAGCCAAAATGACGAGGTGAAGCCTAGTTAAACTTTTATAAGACTAATTTTAATTGTGACACTTATTAAACCCGCACAAACCTTTCTGGTTGCTTGTATATAAAAATACAGAATTGAGATCACATCCTTCAGCTACATGTATCTTATGCACTCACATTTCTATTACATGAAATATATGTAACAAACTTAACTACTGATGCATGGAATGACTAGAAGACTGATTCGCTCACACTTTTGTTTCTTGTGTTGATGAAATCAATGTTAAAAGCTAAACTGCAACCTTGTGATGTACTTACCACCATAAAGCTCACTTCTGATTGTTAAAAAATGATGCAGTTTGGATATTCAATCCAATTGTATAAGCATATATTTGTAACTTCATGAACCTGGATTCATCAATAATTTTAAAAAGAAACAATGTGGGATAGAATTGTGAGGAGACTGTAAAGCTGGGTTGAGATTTCAGGGAAATATGTTAACACTATGCCCCCCACTGTTCCCAACAATCGCCTAGGCTGAAGGAACAATAATTATCGAGAAACCCCTAGTTGGACTAGTATCCTGCTGTATACCAAGTCCAAGCCAATAGGAAGGCTTCGGCCATATATGGCCGGGGTAATGCCTCTGTATTACTAATGGTGAAGGTCAACAATGGCTTTCAGTGTATTACCATGGAATCTTAGGCTGAGGGAGACAACCCTAACAGAAAACAAAATTTATGGCAATGTGCCAGTCATCTTTTGCATTCTTGAACCTCGGAACAGAGCTAAAAAAGGCTTGACATGCTTATTTACTTCAGTATAGGTGAATAAAATTCTAACTAGAAAGAAAAGAGAGAAACAGTAAAGGCCAACTGACCCTTGCAACTTCAGTTGGAAAACAAGCTAAAGGAAGATGAAGGAAGTTTTAGATTGCACGAGCTTACTGAAAATACATAAAAATAAATAAGGTGCAGCAAGTTGTTAAAAACACCAGCCAAAAAATGAGAGCAACAGGCTTGAGGGTATTCCAAACAAATACATACTAATTCTGAAGCTTAGCCCTCGCAATAGTTTCATAGATTACGACTGCAAAAATTGTGAGTTGTATTTCCTCAGTGCTTTGGGAATATATCCCAGGACAAAGGAATGCAAAATCATTCAATAAAGGACTATCGTGGAAATACTAAAATTATGAAATTTTTTTTTTGCCTTATGATCTTTGCATATTAGCCATGACGAATTCTTATATATGTTGTTCAAATTGGGGGTTATCGGGAAAAAAGGGCCAGAGGCGACGGTGGGAATCGAACTCACGACCGCGGCGTGAGAGTCTCTCATGCTAACCGCTCGGCTACCGCGGTCCCCGAATTATGAAATGTTAGGATTAAAATGGTAGTAGGACTACTAACTGCACACTACAAACCCCAGAATCATATGGTCAACTAGGAGTACAGAGTAGCTTCTGCTCTGACTTTGATTAAACAAAAATTTATATTTTAGTTTAATATTACCTTAAAGTTGTGTTTTAGGCAGGAAAAATAAAAATAATTCTGTAGACTCAATTTTTAACTTTTTCATTCTATTTCATTGTCTCTTCAAATCGAATATATGTTGTTGAACAGGCACTGAATCAATACTGGGATGGTCTACACCTGGGTTTTGATGTTACTCAAATGCCTTTCAGCTTGGTACCATCTTCAGTGAGGGACCTTTTACGTTTTAGCTGTATGTATATTTATTTAATTAAGCCATTAAATATCTTAATTTTAAGACATGATTTTCTTTATAAATGTACAAAAAGTTGGTCTTGATTAAGGTTTGAAGGAAACAAAATTAGTTAATAAAAATATATATAAATATATTGCTAACAAATAAAAAAAGATGATTTTATTCTGAATACATTTACATTAATTACTTCAAAATATGTGAGTAAATAACTGAAGCTATGATATATTGCTCATACCTGCAAAAATTAATTAGAAATATGACAAAAATTTTATTATGTTAATTAGAATTCTACAAAGTATTTACATTTTACATTTGTCACATTAATTACATGTCTGAACGTAATGGAAAAAAAAATTAAATAAAAAGAGAAGTTGAATGATTGGAGTAATGTTAATAGTTAAAAAAGAATGTATTGACAATTTTAAAATGTAATAAACAAGTAGGCGCGTGTTTATTTTGATGTCATTTTACAGGATTAGTAAAGTTTTGTTCTGTACATTACCTACAATCTCCTATCTTCTGCGGCCGGACTTACGATTACGGTGTTCTCCAGAGCTGCTCGAGGAACTGCGCCTTCTTCCTCGATAGCTCTGTTTTCTGCTGTCAGACCTGTGTCTATGAGATTTTTTGTGTCTTCTATCACGAGAACGGCTTCTGTTTCTGCTTTTTGACCTAGACCTGGATCTCGAGCTGCTTCTCGAGTAACGTTTGCGATGGTGTTTGTTATGCTTCTTTTTGTAATAAGGGCTTGGACTTCTCGAATCAGTACTACTTGACTCGCTGGAATTATATGAATGGCTTCTCTGATCATTGACTTTTTTAACATCCTTCGGTTCTTCCCGAGTCTCGTTCCCCTTTTCTCTTTTCCCTTCGTTCACAACTTTTGCCTTTTGACTTTGATTGTTATATTTTTCCTTGTGATTCACAGTACCTAAAGCATTGAAATAATATATTTAAAAGAGAAAAATTATGTTAATACCAAATTTTTGATATGAGTGTTAAAAGTCTGGAAAAAAATTTAATTCACAACCCACAACAAGCTGTTTACTTTATATAATTTAATCAACTAGAAATAAGGAATAAATCAACATTAACATGATTAAATCTTTTGGTATTTAATTTATAACATTATTAGATGCAAATTACATTGACTAACAAATCAGTTATGATGAAACAAAATTGAGACAATGACCATTTTAAATTGGGATAATAAATTATGAGTACAAGTTCTCACCGATTTCATGATCAATTAAGACAAAACTTAATACATAGGCATACATTTGGCCACTTCAGGCCAAAATAATTTTCATATTTGTTATTCAATCTGATTTAGAGTTTGGCATTTTGCCATGCGTTAATAACTATTGTTATTTTTTTAAGAATTCTGTTTGTTAATTAAGTGAATTTGCCATCTTACCTTTGTTAATTGGTTGTACCTGTTCTTCAACATTAATACTTCCTTCATTGTTCACGTCTCCTCTCAGCTGCTTCCTTTCCCGCTCCTCCTGTTCGGCTACTTCACGTTCTATTCGGACTTCTACTTTGACAAACTCGTTTTTCAACCTTTCAATCCGGTCCTGAAACACAAGAAGGAAGCGCATCAGCGTCAAAATCTCCCAAAGTAAATTTAGAAAAAACAAAACAAGAAATTTTCTATAGCTGAATTAATAGATCTAAAATTACTCACACGAATGTCCTGATCTGAATCTGGGTCAGTTACCTTCTCCTGTTCACTCTCGCTTCCAGAATCACTCTCATATATTCCAAGTCCTGCCAATCAATGTAATTAAGAGATGATATTTGATTTTAAAAAAACTTACAAATTATTCTACCAATATTCATTTTTCATTTTTTATCTAGCGTTTAAAATTTAAACTTTGTATTATTATAATTGGATTGCTTGTACAGTTTATTCATTATTGGTTAAGCATTATTAGCAAGACATCTCAAAAATTAATTAGTTTGATTTAATTAACGCAATCCAGAACAAAATACAAACATTTTCATGTTCTGACTTACCGAGCTTTCCAGTTAAAGAAGATAAAGCTGGTGTCTTGCGAATGGTTGCCGCTGGAGCTTAATGGTAAATAGAAATTTTTTATTAAACATAATAAAAACCAACTTAATGAAGAATCAATTAAATTTTCAAAGATGAGTTAAAGTTATGTAGCCTTCGGACTTGGTGTGTATACAGTGTGAATTAACAACCAAAATCAAGCATTAATAACTATGTTTTCAGCCAATCTTTTGGATCTGGTTTAAAAAGATAATAAATAAAATAAAGCCATAATAATAATAAATTAAAATTTTAAAGCTTTTCATTTAATTTGAACGACCACAATAAATGATTAAAAATAATCAACACCTCACAAGTAAACACACAAATTATGTTAATCCATGTTTTTTGTTTTGTTTTTTAATTTGTCCTATTAACCAAAGTAATGATTAAAATTGATTTTATAATTGTTAGGCTGGAGCAATGAGACAGGTCATGGGTTCAAGTCCTGCTTGTGACTAATTTTTCATCTCAATCACACTACATAAAAATTATAAAATCAACAAAAATTATAGTTGGATCAATGTACAAAAATAATTCAAGGTTTATATTTTACATACAAAAATCTGTATCTTTCAACTTAGAACAGTAAAAAATAAATAAAAATCTTAAACCAAAAAAAATCACAGAAATGAAGGTTTTGAAAAACAAAAACCTGACACTAAAATCTACTGAAAATCCTAAATTAAAATTTGGCCAGATCCTTCTGTTAAATATTAACTCTCAGTTCATATTCGTTAATAGGTGATGTTAAATGATACAATAAACCACCCGTTATGAAGACAGTCGTCATTATTTAAAAGGAAACGTGTTGTTTGCGAAACTGACATCCATATGAACATTTGTTTACATTTTATGCACTGTCTACCTTTCTTCTTAAATTTTTTATAAGTTTCATTGACTGCTTTGCGAATTTCCTCACTTGTCACCTCCATTAAAATTTGTGTGAGAATTTTCCTTACATCAACCATCTGCAAAACATTAATAGTAACGATCACGACTGGAAGTGAAGAAATTAATTACTGAAACATACACAAGCTTGGAGTATTTGTTCCTTAGTCCTAAAAACAGGTTTGAGTGGAACAACCTTAGTGAGGCTTTCAGTGTGACGAGACTTTTTGGGATCCTGAACTTGTTCTACCTCTTGTTCGGACTCTTCTGAATCGCTTTCCTAAAAAAATTCAATGAATGATTTATATGATTAATACATTTTTAAATAAAATCAATAACATACAAATTTGCTTTTTTGTGGCAATTGAGGTTCGCCATTAGAACTGCTGTTTGTAGGTGTGGAAATTTCAGTCTTTTTCAGCAACTCTTCCTGCCTGAGTTTCTCCAGTTTCTCATTTTCAGCCTTCTTTTGTTTTTCCCGTTCCATTTTCTCAAGTCCTTCGCGAATCCATGCTGGCAGCTGTTTTCGTTTTGCTGCATCTGTACAAAAAATTATATATATATTGTGATTTGATAAAAATTTAGTACAGTAAAACTTCCATTATATGAGGTATAATGGTCATTCCATTACATGATGGATCAATGTATAAAAATAATTACATTAATAATGTAAAAAAATACAAAAAATACATAATCATCCATTATATGAAGGGTAGGGGTTCCATGGAAAACCGAAAACCCTGGATAATGGTATTTATTTATTTTTAATGCATTTATGGTAATGTGCACCAATATTTAAAAAGAACCACTAAATGATTAGTAAATTATTTCAAAGAAAATTACCAAACAATTAAGAGAAATTTAAAAATTTAGTATAAAGATCTGTTCATGATGGTAATTAACTTCACACCCATTAATTAGAAACATATTTATAATAATAGCTGACCTAGCTCAGGAGGGGTGTCAGCTACAACGATTTCTTTCTTCCTGGAATTTGTTGTATTTTCCCATGATTCTTTCGGTTCTGCACCAGAACCAGACCAATAAGTCTGAAATCATAAAAAAACAGTATATATACATATGCTTACTACATTACATCTTACTATAAATAAAATAAAAGTAAAAACCTACAGAGCTTGATGAATACGTCTCCTGTTGCACTGGAACTTGAGGAGCTGTGTAACAAAAAACGTTTTGAGCAGGAATCGGCACAACTGGCTCTACCGGAATCACAGGTGGAGTGTAAGTATTTGGAAATGTTGCAGCAGGAGGGGGCTTGGCTGTATTCCAACACCATCCGCTGTTCTGGTCCCACCCCCATGTTGTGTTTGTCCAATTGCCTTTAAAAAATAATTAATTAATGAAAATAACTTTATTTATGACTTGATCACCTTGTCTGCCTATTCTCGTTGATTTTTTGATCATTGACAATTATCCATCTTCAGGGCTAGTTTTTCTGAATTAATGGGTAGAGATGGTTTTATGTATATATATATATAATTCTAACCGTCATGCAATTTATATATTAAAAAAACATTAATGATTGTATTAATCAAAAAGTAAACTGAATGACTGCTTTTGATGATTTTGCCATCTTTTTTATGTATCGGGTTGTCCGGAAAATAATGCAGGATTTTAAGTTTTCATTAAAAAAAATCTATATAAAATATTCTGTTTACGTTTACAGGATTACTCATTTGTATGAATGTCAACACTTATTAATCCTCTTCCAAATGATATTGTTTGTTTACCTCTGTAGCATTCCGCTACTTGGAAATAATTCAGTCATCCTTATAATGTCAAAGCGAGAATTTCGTACGATTTTCTTTTACGAGTTTAAACTCGGCCGAAGCGGAGCCCAAACGGCTAGAAACATTAACCAAGTCTGGGGCGAGGGTTGTGTTAATGAGTGCACTGTGCAAAGGTGGTTTAAAAAATTTCGGGAGGGAGATTTCAGCCTTGAAGATGAAGAAGGTCGTGGAAGGCCTTCCTCTCTTAATGATGATGTTCTGCGATCAGTGGTGGAAGAAAACCCCAAAACAACTGTTCGAGAACTTGCAGAGCAACTCAAAGTCAGTAAAACGACCGTCGCTGACCACCTCAAGGCGATTGGAAAAGTGAAAAAACTCGAAAATTGGGTTCCACACTCATTAAACGATCGCCAAAAAAATCAGCGCTTTGATGTTTGTGCATCACTTCTTTGTCGAAACAAAAATGACCCATTTCTGGCCAGAATTGTTACATGTGACGAAAAGTGGATTCTCTACGATAACACTAGACGTTCTGGACAGTGGCTCGACAAAGGAGAAGCTCCAATACATTTTCCAAAGCCCCCAACTCATCAAAAAAAGGTAATGGTTACGGTATGGTGGGCTTCATTTGGTTTAATACACTACAGCTTCTTAAATCCTGGCGAAACCATCAATGCTGAATCATACTGTAACCAAATTAATACCATGCATCAGAAATTGGCAGTAATGAAGCCCTCTTTGGTCAATCGGAAAGGGCCCATTTTGTTGCATGACAACGCTCGACCACATGTGTCACGTGTAACGTCACAAAAATTATTGGAGCTTGGCTATGAAACTTTGCCTCACCCACCCTACTCTCCGGACCTCTCGCCTACTGACTACCATTTTTTTAGACACCTGGACCACTACTTACAACACATAATATTCAAAAATCAAACGGAACTGGAAAATGCATTTATTGACTTTATCAATTCTAAAAATTCTGAATTCTACTCAGACGGAATTAATAAGTTACCAACACGTTGGGAGAAATGTATTGAGAGTATGGGAAATTATTTTGATTAAAGAACATTGCTTTAAAGTAACTAGTTTCTTTTTTTTTGTTTAATACCAAAATCCTGCATTATTTTCCGGACAACCCAATATCTTTTATCAATTTTTCGGGCCTTTATCTATTTCTTGATGTTGCTGGTGGGTGTTAGTCTGAGGGTCAGTAAACACATATTAGACAGTTCCTCAAGAAGAAGATGGAGCAATGTCAAAACGCATTTGAATAATTAAGACAACTGTGAATGTAGACAGACCTAATAAGTAACCCAGTGCTGGTTGCCTCTTTTTTTCTTTTTAGTATCTCTAGTAATTTCTTGATAGTTTGTTCTTACCCTCACTGGTTTCATTGTATTATGAAACAAGTATAATTAATCTCTTTAAGCAGACATTTCTAATAACCAGACATTCTGATATGAGCATGGACACTACGTTTATATATTTTTCAATGAAAAATTATCTTATAAGTACACAAACAAAAAAAGTCTGCCAAGTGTGTGGGCAATATAGCTTCCTCACATTTTGTACATGTATATGTACATATGTTAATCCGTTTGGAATATAATTCATAGGGGAGCGCCTAGAAAGCAACGCACCTAATTTCTGAAAATTTCATAAAAATTGGTCAGATGGTTTATGAGTTCTGCCGGTTACAAGAAATTGACCACAGAGAGACATGGAACAAAAGTTGTTCAGAAAGGTCTAAAATGCAAAATGCGAGTGAAAATTTTGATTTTGGAAAACAAACATTTTTTCAACTTCCATATGAATACAAAGTGCCCAACTTTCTGTAGTTCAGAAGCAAGAGATAGAAAAAATAAATAGGTCAAAATCATAGAAGTCCATATACATTTGTTAGAATTCAATTAATTTTATGATGATATACCATGTCACTCAATGTCCCTAATTTTACATAAGGACTCTTCTAATAAGTAGATAAAATCGTATTCTCTGATTGGTTGTTTTATTGCTGGAGTTGAGTTTCAATTATCCCAGGGTTTGGTATTTCTTGTAAAAACTCCATAAAATAGTGAACCACGACATTATTTACCTGGTGGAGGTGTAGGTTGCCAAGGCTGTTGCGGTTGCTGCTGTTGTTGCTGTTGCACAGGATTGGATGCAGGTTCGTCCTTTGTTAGTTCCATCGGTGCTTCACCACCTTCTTTTTCAATGGGTGTCTCCTCTTTCATTTTGATCCACTGCTGAGCAAGTGAAGCCCAATCCACTGTAAAGCAAATTATATAATGAAACACAAGAAACAAAATTTAAATTTGCTTATAACTTAATATATGTGAACATAAGTTGTAGGAGAGGTTGAGGATAACCTTAAGATTATTTGGAAAATGTTCCAAATTTATACATTACAGACAGAATAGAGTCTGAATAGAGCTACAGCTAATATAGTTTCAAGAGTTTAACGTTTATTTTATATTTCTAACAATTTATTATCAAGCACAGAAATGCAGCCTAGTGTATCTGTTTATTGCCATCTATGATGCTTAATTTTATTGAAAAAGTCGAGTTTTTATTTAATGTTACTTTTTCCCTTAACAAAGATCATTAATTGGCAGGGGTGGTAGTCGGAAGGAGTTCCAATGAATGTCTTTCTTTTGGACATTTGGAAGTAGGTAGCGAGGCAACCTAATGAGGCACAACTTCCTTCTTGTTCACCATAACTGGCTACATAATGTATATGCAGTTGTTCTGGTTTTGTATTGATGCATCAAGCTGTTCTGGCTACTTTTTTGTTTAAATAAAATTAAATGGAATTTGTTTTTTTTTTAATTGTAATTTTATTTTAGGGTGTAATATAAAATACGAAAGATTCTTTAATTTTACTCTTTGTTCTTTATAAAGAATAGATTAAATTAGAAGGAACAAAATTTTATTAGGTTGTGGTATAAAAGATTTTAAATTTGTTCTTTGCTGGACTTAAAATAAACAATAACATATCTCAACTGCATGTCTGGGAGATGGCAGAATGTCGGAACAAGGTGGGAGGCAGACCAGGATTATCAGAAATGACTAAACTGCATGTTATAACCCACATATGTAAATTTCACAATTTAATTTGTATTTTTTTTCGTTTGGCAATTTTTTTTTCTTCCAGCAAGCAGTAACATGCGCCTATTTATAATATGGAAAGGGGTTGTTCAACCACACACCAAGGAATATTGAGTACTCTGGGGGAGGAAATGTGACTAGGCTCTATATTTATATCAGATGATGTGTTTATGTTTAAATATTGAAATGAACGTAATTTATCAGTGTGGGAAGGGGTTGCTTAACTGAGAAATATCGCGTACTCTGGGGGAGTGAACGTGACCAACATCCATGTTTGTATAGGATGGTGATGTATTGTACTTTGTTTTTCTTTAGTTGTAACCTGAGGTACAAGGAGAGGATAGCATTTTTGGATATTGACTCATTCGCATAAAAAAGCAGAGTAACAAATCGATATGCTCAAATGGCTGCAGATTGAAAAATACACTTAAGAACAGAAAAAGAAGTAAAAACACAAACAGAGCAGGGGATGACCTCAGCTATTCGTCGGCCCTTAAACTTCCCACATTATTATTAGAGAGTATAACATAGATAATAGAACATAAATATGCTGAACTGCTGGGCAATTTTAATGTGCTTAAAATGGTGGTTACATTAAAATAAAATAAAAATTGAGATTTTACTTCATTTATGCATGAATGCTGGTTCAATTATGTATTGTTTTAATCATAACTTTAGGATACAAAAGAGAAAAAAAACCTTGCTCTTGTGGAACGTTCATGTTGTACTGGGTTCCAGAGCTCATGGACCACTGTGGAGGAAATGAATCTCCTTGGCCGGCTATATTGGCTGGCCAAATGTTTTGAAAATCTATAAAAACCCAAATTTCAAGTCTTTTATTATTAAAAGCGATAAATAATAACGATATTGAAAATTTGAAAGAGAAAAAGCGTTACCTGGATTCATGTTTCCAAGTTAAAAAATATCAAGCACACCTCTAGTGTTGAAGTACTAAGCGATAGTAGCAAAGTACATTTGAAATCATTTTAAATTAAGACATATCGTTGTGGATTTTTGTAGGTCGCCGTCTTGAAAAATGTCCCAGGCGATTAAACACATAATTAAAATAAAAAATACGCGTGTGCCTCGGCGAACAAATTAGTTATTGATAATTTTCCAGACGAATCACAACTCACAAACAGAGAGATTCAAGAATTGAAGTTCAGAGAGGAAAGTGAAGGTTTCTCACAAAGAGGTTTGCTCAAGAGAGATATGTCATTTGCTCAATTGGAAGGAGCTTCAAAATTAAAGTTCAAAATGGGAAAATTTATCTTTAAAAACAATAAAACCAGTGGCAAATGAAAAATTCACTAAACGGAAATAAAATGTACGCCTCAAACACCACGAGATGCCTAAATCGCAAAAGCTAGTTAAAATTATCTTTATTCATTTTTAACTGTATAAAATACGGTTAGTTACAAAAAAATATACACACATATGATCATTATTACAAAAATAACATCCCGAAAAAAAAGAAAGGAATGAAAGATTTTTCCTTGCCACATGTAATATAACATGGCTCAATCATTTGTAGCATTTAAATTTTGCGATTTTTTCATTCAATTTAACTATTTGAAGAAAAAATATGCACACAGATGATTAAAAATGCGACATGGCAAAAACTTACACCCCTCTGTAATTTTTATGAAAATAAACATATTTTAATGAATTATTTTTCTTCTTTTCATTTTGTTATTTCAAATAAAATCCTCTACAATTATTTTTATTGTATGTCAGAGAATAATTTTAAAATTTCTAACAATAAAATTTGATGATATTTTACAATGTAAATTAAAGTTATGCAGGAAACCAGATAATAATTATAATAAATCTTTAATTTGTTTTAAGGGGAAATACAAAAGAAAATACAGTTTTTGAATTCGAAGTAGAATAATAAAGAAAACTATTTAAAAAATAGCACATAATTATAAAGGTATTCTATCATTACAGCATGCTTTCCCTAAGTCATACTTGTGCTGGATATCACGAGTTGAAAAATTAACCATGTATTTTTATTATACTAAAACAAGTTGATTCGGAAGATCATTTTTCTTTTGTGATTACAGTGAGATAGCATTCTAAAAAATTAAAACACCATTAAAGAAGAAGACGTATTTTGTAAAATTCTATTATGTATTCACATTGTGTATGAAACGTCAGGTATACTAATTCAAAAATATGACGTCTTGTTGTCGAATGACGAATCGATTGAAATTCAAATTTCGATTCTTTTGGAGATATTCGATTCTATTGTTTGGCAAAGGGTGTTTCCATCGATGGTGTTCCTCTTAATTGGCTTATCGTCATGTACTCATGTCCTATTTTCCTTTTATTATTTTCACACAAGTTATAATTTTTAATGTCTGGAGGGTATTTATCTAGCCATAAAGACGCTGTAGAATTGAAAATCAATCTTTCACGTATTATGCTGTAAATTTGAATGTGAGCTTTGAATTGTTGACTAAGAGTTAAGCTTTTAGAAATCTTTTTTTGTTTGTTATTTTTACATTTGAAAATTCTCATGCAGTTTTAGAATGGCAAACGATCTTTGGAGGGATTGCGTCAGTTGGCTGACCCGGTGCGGTGTGCTGCGTCCCGATCATCGGGCAAATTGGCCCGACGCTACTTTGACCGACCTCGCCTATACTTTGAGGGACGGCGTCCTCCTATGTAACTTCCTTCACAATCTGGAACCAGCATCAATCGAGATGAAGGACGTCAACCAGAAGCCGCAGTTTTCTCAGGTAATACTTTACTTTTCTTACTCATCACAATGTTCGTGCAAAGTATGTGCGTTGAGATCATAACAATGATTACTCAAAACATACACATATACCAAGAGTACGCTGATGGCATTAGACTGATTGCAGGCGACACTAGAGTTTTACAGCTCATGATAAGAAGGTTGAGTGAATATGATGGGAAGTCTGCTTCTATTTAGAAAAACAAAAATCATGGTGTCTACGAAAGATGGAGGAAGGAAGTGTCATAAATGACTATAGGAATAAGCAAATTGATGTGGCATCAAATTATAAATAACTTCAAACCTCATCTTCATCAAAACTTGCTAGCAGGAAAACAGTGTAACGGAACCATTTGGGAGGATGAATTTCATGATGAATTGAAATCATGAATAGGCAATCAGTTTAGTAGCTAAATATAAAGTGTTTGATGCTGTAATGCGCACATTGATGGGCTAGGTCTGGGTGGTGAAGCTTATAAACAGGTTGAAAAACTACCTTTGTTTATAAAAAGGCTATTTTAAGAATGGCACCATCTACTGGTACACAGATAGATCTAGAACACAAGAAGGTATGGGGGCAGGAGTTTTCGGTCCTGGAACCAAATACTCAGAACTCACAAATACACCAGTATTTACCAAGCTGAGTCCATGTAAGAGTACAAAAACAAGAATGTAGATATCATGTTTGATAGCCAAGCAGCCATCCAAGCTCTAAGTTCAAACACTGCTCAAAATTTGTACTGAATTGCAAAACCAAACAAGACAAAGGTTTGCAAAACAAAGTCCTCTGCTGGGTCCTAGGACGAGTGGGAGTAGAAGGCAATGAGAAAGCGGATGCCCTTGCAAGAGGAGAGGCAGCTATATCGCTGATAGGACCCGAGCCTTCTGGTAATAGTGGATGGTGTTAGTGTTGAGTAGTACTAATAATACTACATTAAGTCTATCAAATACAAACAAACCAGCATACATTTCCATGCCATTTATTCAAGGCCTATCACATAAATTAAACACATTTCTCTCGTCCGATAACTTCAAAATAGCTTTCAAAAATTATAAAACAATTCAAACACTTTTTTCCAAAATTAAAGATCCCACACCAATAACAAATAAATCTGACGTAATCTACAAGATCAACTGTTTAAACTGTCCGGCAACTTACATCGGTCTTACATCCCAATATCTGGACAAGAGAGTAAAGCAACATATCTATGATTGCAAAAAACCTAAGCAAAATCCTACAGCACTCGCTACCCACCATCTTGAACACCAACACAATTTCGACTTCAAAAATCCAAAAGTATTACACACAGAACAAAACAAACATAAACGTAATTTCTTAGAAATGGTTTATATCAACAGAGATAAACACAGCATCAATTACAGAACAGATACATGTAAACTCAGTCGCAGCTACGCCAATATCATTAATCAAATTCAATATAGATAACATACATATATCATTACATTACATTCCACACATCAAATATTTTTCACATAGTCTAATTGTCCAACAATTTAGCTTCCCTTTTCCTATATTTCCCTTTCTATATAATCCTGAAAGGATAATCTGGCCAAACCATTACCAACACATTGTTTCCCTTCGACGGCTTTTTTCACCTCAAAGAAGCCGACGCCTTATACAAAAATGTCTTTTCTATACCGACTTCCTTCCCCACCCCTTCAAAATCCAACGTATATGAACATAAAACAGCAAAATCTCACTGGCACTCTCAACACGACACACAAGAATGGCACAATTACACAGAAGACACACTTTGAGTGAGTAGAAATACTTTGATTGAATATAAAATATATTTTGCATTGTATAAATTCACTTTTCCACATCCTAAATGTATTTGTTAAATGTAAACAATGTTTGTAAATCCCAGGCCCTGAAGATGATCTCAATAAAAGATTGAAACGTTGGCACGATAAAGAAACTGTTTTTCTGAAACCTACATCACACCAGACCGCATCTCACGATTTCTGAATAATTATTGATTAACGGTCACTAATCACCACACACAAAAATAATGTTTGGGGTTTGTCTAGTAAATAAAAACGATTGTAAAACTACATAATCAGTTTGAGATTGCACCACCTTCAGTGTGGAATTAGGATAGGTGTATGAGAGTTCCTCACTGAATATGGTGCAATGTAGAAATGCCGTGACTGTTTAGCACGATCTAATGGGTATGCTGATTACTGTGATCTCTTGTAATGAGCAAATAAAAACAACAACAACAATTAAACAAACAAACAATTCAAAAGCAGCTTCTCATTGGACATTGCGTTGGTGGGGGACCAGCAGGTTCACTCTTACAATTCATGTTGAGAAATGTGTTAGTACCTCTTTCAACCTGATAACGATCGTTTAATGCTTGAAATCTGGATTGTTATAAACAACAAATGTGATCAACATATTCCACCTTCGTCATTTTTAATAATCTACAATCCATTTGGTAATGATGGTACTTTTTAATCACTATGCCTCTATTATTCATTGCTCTTTCATAATCTAGTTTGTAATATATTGTAGAATGGCCGAGATGAAAAATTAGTGACATGAGCAGACTGTCCTGGATGTTCAAACTACAGATCATTGTACAGTTCCCTCCACAAGTTTAACAATTTAACAAACATTCAACTTATTTAGATTGACTAGATTTCTGTCAAAAGACAAATAATTAAGCATATTATGTAATTATTGTTATTTTAGATAATTCTCCTTTATGATTTCAGGGAAAGTATAAAAATCCATGGAGCTCTTTATTTCATCAGTTTGATAGTATGCATTTAAAATTGAACATGTTCATTATTGTGGCCATTAAATTATTTTCATAATAATTAATTGTTTAATTTAAGGATCTTATTTAATAATATGCATATTTTTTCATTTATATACCAGCTTGGTCAGTATATACAATATTGTAAAATGTTTGTAAAAGTACGCATCCACATTTTTGATCAAACTGCTGTCATGTGGCAGATTGGACCTGCTAATTGAATGGATTAGTAATATTAGTCATTGGGTGGTCTACTCATCGAGGCAATCAGTTGTGTTGTGTTTAGTTAAAACTAATAATTGTACTAAATTAAAATGATGCATTGAAAATTGACATCATTTCTACTCAATCATTTTGCTTTATAACTGTAATTTTAAATGTGTTATTTGTATTTTGTTTTTTTAGTTTTTATGCCTGCGAAACATAAAGACATTTATTAATGCTTGCCATTATCACTTTGGAATGAAAGAGAGCGATTTGTTTGAACCGTCAATGCTTTTTGAATTAACAGACTTGTACAGAGTCATACACACACTGTCGAAATTATCCAATTCACCTAAACTGCAGAGGCACAATATTGAGTGAGCTTTTTTCGTTGTTTTAATTTTATACATTTTTGTATTATTAAATGAAAATTTGGTCAATTTTTTGAAAATGTTGCAGGGGTTTTTCCATCCACAAGCCTAGGACTTTATCCCAAGAAGACATTTATAGAAATCTCAATTCATCGTAAGCATTGTTTTTCTTCTTTTTATAAAATATGTATTCGAAGTTGCAGTACACGTATATTTTCTTTTTTCAAACTGCATTGCTATAATATGGTTGTTATATACAGAAGAGTGAATACTCCTTGTGGAGATATGCCATGGTCCCAGTTTATGATAAAATCAACTCATTTAAATGATGAGAATGAAGATATATACGAAGACCTTTGTTACGTTACTTTCTCATCTGAGGTATTCAGATTCAGCTTCAATTATTTCAATCATAGTTTATTGTAGTGTGTCCAGTAGGTTTTAGTATTTTTAAATATATATATATTTTTTTGCAAGATGAAGCTGATTTTATGCAATATATTTTTGTAATTTGTATTTTGTGAATGATGAATTCAGTTAATTGTTGTTTATTTATTTTTTTACCTCAATGTTTATAAATGCAATAATAAATTTTGATTTACAAATATTTGTTTTGCTTTCAATAATTGGCATGTCAAATATGATATTTAATTTTTAATCGTGATTTAAATTTATTGGTACCTTACATTACAATTTTTATTATCAGTTTTTTTTTTTTTAATGAAACACTGGTAATAGTATATTGCATATATTGTATATATTGGGAATAGAGCATTTTGCAACATATTTTTTTAAAATTCTTAGTCCAATTAAAAATTTAAAAATTCAAAACTTGAGATTAATATATATATATANCATTAATTAATCAATATTGATCAATATTTATTTATTTTTTACTTCTATTTATAGCAAACTTTTGCTTTATAATTTAAAATGTTTTCCCAATTTTTTTTTTTTTTTATACAAAACCTGTCGTTTCTTTCATATTTATCTATCTATTTATATTATATGTTATACTTTGATTTTTAAATAAAACGGTTATGTATTAAATGCAAAACACAGTTTTCCTTCACTTTTCTGTCTCATTATCACTAAATTTTCTAGTTTTTAATTTGTTATTATTATTTCATTTTTATTTATATGTGTTAGTTTCGTTGCATGGAGTTTGTTTTGGCATGACAATGTTATTTGTAGGGGTGGGGAAGAGGGAGCTTGTGCTGTAGACAAGAGTTGTGTTGAGTTTGCACATTATGATACGCAAATTCGGAATGAGGAAATTTATCAGGATTTATGCTGTATTGACAAACACTCGACACCCGTTATTTACGTAAGTGATTACCTGTACTAGCTGAAAGAATCTTAGATACTGAGTCGCCTCTGAGGAAGAAGGGAAAACTACCAAAAATTTTAATGTGTTTCACCTTTTTAGGCACCAACAACCATAAACCATAGTTTCGAAAAGAGAGATTACGTTATAAACGAGCTAGTTGAGACTGAAAAAAATTACATTGATGTTTTAAATACTTTATTGAAACATTTTATCCGGCCTTTGACTTCAATTATCAAAGACGATGATATGAAAACAATATTCGGGGGGATCAAGGTAAAATAATAATAATGATAATAAATTTATAAGCAAAACAACAGGAAATAACTCTTATACATTTCCAGGAGCTTTATGAAATCCACATGGGCTTCCATATCCAACTATTGAAAGCTGTAACTCCAGGAAGTGGGTTTAAGCTCAGCGAGGCATTTTTGAATTGGCGAGAGCAGTTTCTAGTTTATGGAGAGTACTGTGCCAACCTGACCAAAGCCCAGTCAAGAATAGTTGAGATTTCTAGAAATGAAATTGTCAACCAGAAACTAATTGTTAGTATAATTTTGATTATACTACAAGGGATTAATTTATCCCTTGAATGAAATAATAAACATTTTCTGTCCTTACAGAAATGTCAGCAGGAGGCAAATAATGGCAAATTCAAACTAAGAGACATACTTTCAGTCCCAATGCAAAGAATCTTGAAATATCACTTACTACTTGAAAAACTCATCAGTGAAACCCAACCGGTATTGAACTTGAAATCTTAATTATTATTAAAACAAACCACCAAAAAAATTTTGACTTGTTCTTAATTTTCTTGCTTTCTTTTTTTAAATAAGAATCATGAGGATTTTCGAGGGTTGGAGAGAGCCAGGGAAGCAATGGTTGATGTTGCACAATATATCAATGAAGTCAAAAGAGACAGTGACACATTACAAATCATGGCAGACATTGAGGTCAATTTTGATTTATTAATAAATTTATTGTCATAATACAATTTTATAAATTGTTCTCATACAGGAAAGCATAACCGATTGGGAAAGCAAACAAACAAAGTTGACCAATTTTGGCCGCCTCCTTAAGGATGGTGATTTGCGGATCAAAGATCACCACATTCAAAAGATCAAGCCTAGGTAAATAATCAAATTTTACACCATTTTGTAAATTACATAGTAAAAAAATGTATGTATGTGTGTTTTTAGATATGTCTTCATTTTTGATAGAGTAATGATACTGTGTAAAGCAGTCAGGGTAAGTCATTGGATTGTATGATGAAAAACAAAAAATCCATGCTTTAAAAACATTGTTTGAACAGGATCAATACAGCTTCAAAGCTTGCTTGTCCCTGGCGGATTTCAAGGTGGAAGATGCGTCTTGTAGGAAAACACTTCATAGAGACGCTCGTTGGAACTATCATTGGTATCTAGTAAGAAAGTCTGAATCAACTGCTTATACACTTTATGCAAGAACTGAAGACCTTAAACGCAAATGGATTAAAGCAATTCAAGATGCACTGTAAGAATGCATTTTACACTATTGTTTCAAAAGGTTTTTTATACATTATATATTTTTATTTTCCAGAGATAACATTGAACCTGCAGGCTGTAGGTCAACAGACCATAACTTCAGCATGCATACATTTGATAAACCAACAACATGCACTCATTGCAGTAAATTTCTCAAAGGAATTATATTCCAGGTACATTTCAAACATTGTTGTTTATGACCTATACAAAAAATTACTCAAGGGAAACATTACTTTTCCCCCCTCTCTAATTTATTTGAGATGTAAATGGGGTTATGATGCTCTATTTTCCTTATTGCTGAGTGATGCTAGGCTATTAGCATAAGCGCAATTATTTTTGTGTGGCGGGAAAGTAAGTTTCAAAAGTACAACAAACAAGAGAGATAATATTCATAAACATTTATTTTTACACTTTTCTGTACCGTCTTAATATTGGATTATACAAATAAAATCGAACTAATAAACAGTTAAATCCATTAGAGTTTGTGGTCCGATGGACCAATCAACTTTTTTCAATTAATTCATCTTTATGTAAGGTATGGGTTGAGATAAAAGTCACGAGCGGGACACTGACTTTTTTATCTCAACCAAAACCTTACATAAAGATTAATTAACTAATAAACAGTCTAAGTCAGCCACAACTCTGGGGATGTGCTTAGACAACTCATGTGCTCAAAAACAACTAATCCCAAACGGCACTTGTCAACACCAGTTTCCACATTCTTCAGAGTCTTTTAGTTTGTCCTTTCCACTGCTTCCTAGACACTCCACAGTCGACTCTATTCAACTTGTCTTAGCCCCCAACTGCCCCCTTCGTGTCTATAGCTGTGACAAAGTCTGCCCTCCTTTCAGCTGTGACCGAGACACTTGAAAGTTGATTCTAACAGACTTGTCTCAGCCCTCGACAGTTGACACCATGACTTGACTCGGAGTTTTCACTCACACTCCATCTGTCGGAGGTCCGATTACGTCTCTGAGACACTTGTCCGTCAACTCGTTATGTATTGGGCCACTCTTCAATAGTTGACTTTATTCGACTCTCGGCTCTCCACAGTTGACATCATGTCTTGAGAGGGTATCTTCACTACTCTCCATCAAGCTGACTCTCTGACAGAGTGTCTGACTACTTTTTGCTTTTTCAGTAATTCCCTTTTATATTGGTTTCCAAATAAGAGTGGAGCGAAGGAAAAGCAATTCATTGGACCCTTCTTGTAAGCGTTGGTCGTGACCTGACCCTCTGAGCAACACGTTGTAATTCCTGGGAGTTTCTGTTTTACAGCTCTCTAGTCTTTTGACAATGGCTTCTGGTGTAGTGTGTACAAAGCCCATCTTGCTGACGCGATCCCAAATTTATGGTTTTCCTAGGCTTGATGAGCCCTGTCTGCGACATTAATAAAAAATAACTCTTTGTTATTGTAGATTTTTCGTCAAGAACTTTAGTCCCGTCTTTTCTTAAAATCTTTATTTTTATTTTTCTGATATTTATTTCAGGAGCTTCCACCTCCCCTCTTCAGTCGTATTAATTTGGTTTATTTGCTAAACTGCATTGAAATTAATTAATATGGAGTTCAAATACTTAATGAAGTTCTACTCCTGTGATTTGAATAGTCCTTCACTCCAATTTTTATGTTTCATAAATTTAATTATTTTGCTTAAGGAAAGAGGAAGTTCTAGCTTTATAATTCATTTATGTGCGGCCAGGCAACTTGTTGAAAAAAACTTTTTTAAGTATTTTAATTTTTGCCGACCATGTGTGTTGTTAAGGTAGGTATAAGGGTTTAAAATTAAAGATGAGGTGTAATTATCTATCAGTTAATTGATGTGTAATAAACAAACAAAAATGGCAATGGTTATGGCACAAATGCACACAAGTAATAATATGATAGTATGAAAAGCTTATATTCCCGAAATTGTTGAAGTACTGAGCATTTTTTTAAATCATTATGTTTATTAAAAAGGGATACAAATGTGAAAAATGTAATTTGGCTGCTCACAAAATGTGCATTGTAAATACTGGACGATGTGGATCAAGGCAGCCACCAGAGTTACCACCTCGACCGGACAAACCTGAACAGGAACTCTCAGTTCATCCCATTGTGGTAATATTTAATAAAATCCAAAACCCGAATAATTCTTAATAATTATAATCTATTGCAGCCAAAATCCACAAGTGACGTATTCCCTGAATCTTGCCGGACTTGGACTGATCATGGTGAATTAGTGGAATACTTATGGTAAGAACTTTTTGCGTTGTCCTCATATTTTTTTTCTCAAACTTTTGATGCTTTTGCTACAGGTTTGTCGGAGAAATGGGCCGGGAAAAGGCATCACGTCTTCTCGAAAGTCAAGTTGATGGAACTTATTTGCTCAGAATACGGCCTCAAGGAGCAACACATCCAAATGAAACTGTCTATGCTCTTAGCCTTAAGTAATTTTTGATGTTTTTCTGTTAGTTTTTTAATTACTTAATTTTTGAAAAATGATTTCAGAGCTGATGATAAGGTAAAACACATGAAAGTCTATGAAAAGGAGAAAGATGGGACAACTCATTTTTATTTATCAGAATCCAGGTTTTTTCCATCTCTTGTTGAGCTGATTAATTGTTATGAACATACGAGCCTTATAGAAAATTTCAATGGGTTAGTTTTTCTAATAAAATGGCTTTGGATTATTATTATTATTGTTTTTTTTTTAATAATAATAATTTTTACATTTTTCAGTCTTGATGTATGCCTGAGATGGCCTTTCAGAAGAATCATAGCTGTTGCTGATTTTGATTTCAATCCTGCTGAGTCAAATCAGCTTCCATTGAGGCAAGGATGTCAGGTGATAATATTGAGCAAGGAGGGTGATCATAAGGGATGGTGGAAGGGTATGATTCAAGACAGAGTAAGTATTATTTCCAGGCATGTGTTTTAATAAACAATTTTTTTTTGTTTTTGTTTAATGGCTCATTGTATTGTACTTTGGCAGGTGGGATTCTTCCCAAAAGTTTATGTCAGAGAGGTTTCAGACACGCTTCAAAATTCTGACTTACTCTGAATATAATAGATGTTATCTTTGCGCTGCTTTATAGAAAAAGCTATTTAAAAACAAAAGTTGACTCATTCTTTTAATATTCTATAAAAGAAAGGGGCAGATAAAAGAGGCTCAACTATTTACATAAATTTAGAAGAAGAAAAAATAAAAAATAACGAAGTTACCAGTATGTGTCAATACTACAACAATGCAAATTTTTAATAATGTTGGTTGATCATACGAAATCAACTCACGATTTGCATATTCTTGTTAGATTTGTTGTTGAGGTTTGAACAAACCAAAAGCTGTTATAAATTTAAAAAAGCTTTTATTTTTAATATTTTATTTCAATCGAAATGCTGCCTTTGTGCCACTGAGTCCCACTTTGAATATTGGTACAAAAAAATTATATATATTATTTTATAGAAAAATACAAAAAAAGGTGTATTTTTCATCACTGTTTCATAATTGCTTGCAAAACGCCACACTTTAAAAAATTGCTCAATTGCATGATCCAGTGATTGAAGCTTTGTAACTTAATATGCCACATTCTAGCATGGACCACATCGTATAGTCAAGTGGTATGGTGAGAAAATCTGCCAGTCAAATAAAGGTGCATTAAGAAATAATATTTTTAAAACAATTATGAAATATTGTTTCAACTACACAGGTAATAAAACAGAGAAAACAGTATCTCATTTTCATTTTTTGTTTTTATTAATATTATTATTAAACCCCATTTTAATGGATCTTTGTGGTGCAGCTGAAACTCATTTTATTACAAGTCATCACTGAAAAATAAAGAGATCTGGTTAAAAAGTTAGTTTTCTAACCACAACAAATGATTTTTCCTTTATTGGAAAAGCAACCTTGCACATGTGAAATCAGCTGTTGTCCTTTCATCTTTTGCACAGCATACGTTCTCTTACACTCAACGTACTTAGTCACTTTAATATTTTAACATGTTTATCTAATTTTTTAATTTGTTTTATTGTGAATGTACAACACAGACTAGATAGATGTATGCCATATTTAGAGCTTTAATTGTATTGTATTCAGGTACCTGAAGACACAGTTGATGTAAAAAAAAGTGTCAAGTGTTGAAATATTGTGTTTGGTGTTCTAAATATTCTATGCCCACCTATCCCACATTTTTGTCTTAGCATTCCAGAAAAAAATCTGAGAATCATAGTTTAAATAAATCAGTTCAAAAAGATTTAATTAAAGTACAACATTTTTAACTGTATTAGTGGCAGAATAAGTAGAAATGCTTTTATCAGAATAAACAGCTTATTTGTTTATGTATTTTATCTCTATATATTTTTAATTATAAATGTTGTAAATAAGAGATAAAAATGTACATAATTGATATTTTAAAGTGTAGCTTAATAGCCTGTGATATTGTATGAGTAAGCAAATAGTTATATATATATATGTATTATGTTTTCCATATAGATAGAATTGTAATTGTTATATTTATGTATAAGAAGTATATTATATTGAAGTTATGTGAAATGCTTAAAAGAAAAAAGAAAAACACACTTGTTTTGTTGTAAATGTGAAAAAAATTGTTGACTAATTCAAAATTGCAGTACTGAAGAAAAAATGTTGTTGCTGAAAAAGTCAGTAAATAAATGTGTCATTTACTAAAATAAGTCTGTATATTAAATTTTCCCTGGCATTTAAATTATTTAATTATTTTTTAACAACCAACTCTTATAATATTTATTTAAATATATAATTATTTCATACGGTCGTTTACCTTGATGTATGTACTTTTTCCTTTTTATCCATTACAGTTCGTGATCCAATTGACCAATTAACTTTTTTCAATTAATTAATATTTATGAAAGGTATTGGTTGAGATATTTTTATTTAATGTTTGCTCGTACGTCTGCCAAATTATGGCCGATTGGTTTGTGGACCGTGTCCAAGGGAAAGGGCCATACTTACCAGATTATGCATAGGCTTACTTACATGTAATATGATAAATGGTTTGAGCAGCGGCATATTGAGCCGAAGGTTGTGGGTTCGAATCCCGTTAGTGACACTAACTTTTTCATCTCAACCAAGACCTTATATAAAAAGAATAATTAATTGAAATGTATTATAATGCAGAAAACTAGAATCCTGTAGGATGTCATTATGGCATATCAGGAGGGACGTTTCAGAACCTCAGCACTATAAGAGTTTGAAATGTATATAGTATATGTTTATGTACTGGTGTGAATGTAAATTATTAGCATAAATGAGGTGATCATCCTACCTCATCCCTGAGGCATATCAAGTACTTTGGGCTGTGAATATGATCAGACTTGTTCTGGGAGGTGAAAGGATATCGGTATTAAATGACTATGCTGGACATGAGTTTCCTGTATCTTGCTGGGGAGCTGTGTGTGTTTTTGGGGGCATCTACCAACTCTTCACCAGGGCATTAAGATCCATAAAGTTTGTGTTTGTCTACGCACTGTGCAGGAGTTGCAGCCAGGGGGCTCCTGTCATTAGCTGTGTTTCTAGAAGTGGTGGGAAGCGTGAAAATCATTTCATCGTTTTCTTATTATAATAGTAATTTCACAACCTGAGGCATGAACAAGTTAAGAAAAAGAAACAGAATATGAAAGAAAAAAAATCCTGTTTAAAGTGCAGTGGACCAGAGATGATTACTTGATGTTTGTTGGCCCATAATATTACTCTTACTTACATTTCCTTACATAAATATAACACATTTTTGTGAATGATTAACATGAATGGGGGCTTTGTTCTGTTAATGACTAGTTGAGTTGTTTTGATCTTCCTTTTAGACCCTGGCAATGTGGTGTTTTGTGCTTTGGCTAGTTTCCTACTAGGTGCAAGTATATTTGCTGACAACTTGAGCTAGTAACAGATCTAGTGAGGACGTTATATTTTACAAGTCGTAGCTAATTGCTCATATGGCTGCAGGTACAAATTATCTTAGTGCTAATTTATTAAATTTGATGCGATTGATGAGCCGGTTCAAATACACTTCATACTCAGAGAGAAATAGAAGCAGGGCAAGTTCATGTTCCAAAATAAGATTTACCAGGATGAATAGCCACAGGTTCATGTTTAAAAAATTATTTTGTTTAACCTTTGAACAATTGCAGTGGGGTAGTTTTGCACTAAAGTTTCTTGCAAAAATGGTCACGCAAATGTTTTGGAATTGTTTACTTCAGATGGTGTGGTGATTTTGCATGAACTACTGGAGGTTTTTACATCTCATGAGATGTCTTAGGCCCTACTCACACAGGGATACTGAAATTTCTGAGCAACTGTGATACTCAACAATCAAATAACCTCATCATGTGTAATTGGTGGCATTTCTCAGGTTGAGGTACTTCAGTAGTAGCAACTCAGTCATCACCACATGAATACTAACGAAGGGGCCCTGGTATGTTGGTCTAAGGGCTCACAATGACAAGCACAAGTTATATACTTCACCAACAACCAATATAAAATTGATTAATTTTATATTCAAACTGCAAGCAACTTAGTAATATGGGCAACTCGAAATTGTCACCTCCTGTCTCCTGGTCAGGCAACTGGTGAAGACATTTTAAGACTGCTTTAAAATTAAGTTACCATCGCCTGTTTTTAACTCACTTCTTTTTTTAAATGGCCTTGTGTTTTCCATATTAACCAGAGAATGGTACTTGTACTGGTTGATTTATGTATGGGGAGAAGATCGTGATAGAAAATTACAGGGGCAACAGTGGGAATCGAACCCATGACTGTGAGGTCTGAGCCATTGAGAGTCTAACCACTGAGCTACTGTGTCCCCAAGCTCTCTCCTAATCTTTTTTAAATGTTAAGTAGGAGTAAAGTTTTAGCCAAGTACAAGTGATCTATTATTATTATTAACATGGGATAATAAGACAATTATCAGTAAGAATAAATCCATTTTGTATTAGTAACTATATATTTATTATAAACTGCAATAAAAGTTTGTTTTCTGTTAACAGTAGTTATTTTACTAGAATTGATGAAGGTGGGATGAGTACTTAGATCCACTTTTTGTAAATAATGTTTCTAATCACAGATTTGTTGTTTATAATAACAAAACAAAGAATAAAAAAAAAAGGAAATAACAAATTTATAAACAGAACCATCATTTACAAAAAGTCATTAATTACTTTAATGGTACACTGAAACTTGGGCCCTATTTACTGTAGAGAATGTTGCAAAATTTAAATGCGAATATATTTTTTATAAATTTAGAACATTGTCATTCCAGAATTGAAAAACAAACAGAATTAATATTTAAACTGTGCTAGTATTTTAAAAAAAATAGTAAATTTAAATTTTAATATTATAACAATATTTAGCTTTAGAAACATGGCCACTCAAGTATTAGTGCTTATTACATAAAATTCCTTTAAAAAACAAAACATTTAATTATTGGGTTTATTATAAATTTAATTTGAAAATTAGCATAATTTATCATGTCAATTAAAAGGCACTTGTTTTTTTTTTTTTTTTTTTAATATTTGTTATTTAGATATATAAATATGTCAGGAAGACAAGTTGACTACAAAAAGTAAAACTTGGTAACAAACTTATATTTGTAATGAACACGTTAATTTTTTTTAACCTTAACACATACATACTCAGAAGAATAAACAAATACAAGATTGAAATAACACAAAATGTAAACAAAAAAACAATCCCGCCACGAGGGATGCGGATATATGTTCTCTCTGGTCCCAATGGTTTTTCTAATCCCGACCTAAAACTGTTGACTTGATACTTCGCACTTATTTCTATATTCTAACTTATATTTGTGTTCAACAAGGACTAAATAAAATTAACATCTGATCTAAATTGTGTAAATTCATGCAATTTGAAATATGATTATAAACTGAATATCATTGACTTTTTTTTAATGAAACAAGCAAGGCACACTTAAAGTCACTACTTTCAATAAATCATCAAAACCGAAATATTTTGTTTATCCTATTTCTTTTTATTCTTAACATAGTATTTGTAACGGGCAGAAAATCAAAATTTTACTTCCCCCCCCTTCAAAATTTACCAGTGATTCAGCAGTCATTGTTCAAATTATAAAAATGACTTGGTCGTTAGTTGCAAACAAAAAACCTGATATTTATACCAGATCAGGATGTCTTTGAAATTGTATTGCTATTTTTTACAATTTTCATTCAAATAATAACTAGCTTCAATTGTTGGCATTTGCTTAAAAGAAAAATAGTCAGGAGCCAAGCATTGATTTCTGTATTGATATCAAAGAAAAATGTCTTTGTTATAAAGCAAAAACGAAGTTTTTGAAAAAACTTTAACTAGATGACTATTTCTTTCTCTCTCTCTTTTTTTTTTTTTTTTTTTTTTTTTGTTGCCTGTAAATTATTAGTATGTTTTACTCAATTAAAACTGGTATTACTCAATTCTTGTAATGTTTACATTAATTAGCAGTGTATTGATAAATTTATAAATAAGAATATAATTGTGATAGGATACATTATAATAAAAATATAAAACTTTTTTCCTACCGATTTCTAATTTCTAAAACATTCCTTTTAACAGAACCGATTCTTAAAATTGAAATTTAAAGCACCAATTGGAAATAATTTTTGATATTCCATTAAAAAAAAAAATGCTGATTGTAAATTCATTATTAGTAGTAATTAGTCTTTGTAACTAAAATAATATGATTTCAGTTTTGTTATACAATTATAAACTAACAAAATAAGAAAATATTTTGTTAACACTTAATGGTGTTTAATGAAGCGTATTAGTATATGAAGTAATTTTGTTTTAAATATATGTATATATATATTTTTTTATATCTTCTTTACTTGGTGTTTTCGTTAAAACTTTATCTCCATACTTAGAGTATGGTACACTTTTTCTTTTGATTATTGTGGTTTGGCTTCGTTAAAGGTCTCTCCGAAGCCTGGAACTTCCTCACTATTCTGACAAGTTCGTGGAAAGCCTGATCAACATTTATTCGGTGCTTGGCACTACATTCGATGTACGGTATCCTCAACTCTCTTGATACATTTTGCGCTTCGGTTGTTGTTATCTAAAACAAAAAAGAAACATAAAAACAATGTTAAAAATGGAGTAAGTATTTGCTCCAGAAGGACATTCTAAGTTCTATTAGTTATGAGCTCGAATGACAATACAAATGATATTTTGATAAGCAATACCCTGCTTCATTTTTCGAAGACTACATCTGGTTGCAAACTTCCTGACATACAAAGCGAAAACTACCACACTGTCCTGTTCTTTATATTTCACACTATCACCTCTACAGAACAATAAATGAGTTTTGTAGCAGCAAAAAGCAATAAGATGGAAGTTTTGTTTCTACCAGACAATGCCCAGTATCATAATTCTCAACATACAAAACAGAATCTTATTAAGCATCTAACACACCCTCACTTCTTCAGATTACCACGTCTGATAAGTAATAGTTATTTTCCTCAGTGGAAAAATGATCTATATACAAAGCATATTATAATTCCCATTGTACAAATCATAATATATCTCATCATAATGTCCAGATAAACTGATGAACTGGATATTATGTTTAGTTTTATTAATACATTCAAGATAAATCAAAATTTTCAAGATGAGAGTACAGGTAATATCAAGTTTTCTAATATGCCTAGCTCAAAAATTAGAATTACAAAGTACGAAATTCTATCTAATTTAGAAAATCTTAAATAATTAAGCATAATGGTTGATGACTGTGAAACATTTTACTATTTTTTCAATGTTCCTTAATTTTCTTCGGTAAAATATTAATGCCAAAACTAATTTTGCCATTCTAAAAAAAATTATATTTTTCATAAATTGATTTGTTTATGGCATGATATTTAAAGAAAATCTCGTTTGTCAGTCTAAAAAAGGTGACCATTTTAAATTTATTTTGTCCATCTTCAGGCCTGCAAGGTGTTCGTCCTCCCTTTATTCATGCCAATAAATACATTCATACAGAATTGAACCTTCCAAACTGTGTGGTGATTAATGACCGTTAGTTGATGATTATTCGGAAATCATGAGATGCGGTCTGGTGTGATGTAGGTTTCAGAAAAACATTTTCTTTATCATGCCAACATTTCGATTGAATATAAAAAAAAATTCACTAGTTTCGTGGTCCGCTTGACCAATTAATATTGAATCCCGCTCGTGCCATTGACTTTTTTATCTCAACTGAAAACCTTAATTAATTATTTAAAAAAATATTTTTTATGCTCAATCGAAGTATTTCTAAGTAATGAATATATATTTTTTTTCACATTGTATAAATTCACTTTTTTCCACATCCTACATGTATTTGTTAAATTTAAACAATATTTGTAAATCCCAGGCCCTGAAGATGATCTCAATAAAGATCAAAATGTTGAAAGAAAATGTTTTTCTGAACCCTACATCACAACTGACATCACACCAGACCATATCTCACGATTTTCGAATAACCTTCCAAACTATCTACATTAAAGAGTTGGGGAGTCACCGTACATTTGGGGACTCACTGGCTTGTCACAGTATACGCATTCATAATAAACATTAACCTACTTGATCAACAGGACAGGGTACTCTGTATTCCATCAGACCATGAACACACTTAATCATTCACACCTATAAATACATTCACACATGGGAGGGGTAGATGTTACACTAGTCTGTTACCCCTTCTTATTCTAGTTAATTTATTTTTCTATTCCGCTTTTTTTAATGTTATTTTAATGGAATAGGAATGGCCAATAGAGTTATTGTATAAAGAATAAATTATTGTTTAAGGAAGATGAAATTACAAGCTATTTAATTCAAATTGCTTTTTTGTTATTCATAACATTTTGTAATAATACTTATAACAAAAACCGACAAAAATTAGTAACTCACCATTCTCTGATTTTCTAGATCAGCCTTGTTCCCAACCATGAGCATCGGAAATTCGTCTCTGTCCTTTACTCTCAATATTTGACGATGGAATTTATACATCTCATCAAAACTAGCTCGGTCAGTAATTGCAAACACGAGCAAGAAACCTTCTCCTGATCGCATGTACTGTTCCCTCATAGCACTGAACTCTTCTTGTCCCGCTGTATCTAAAACTGAATGAACAAATGTTTTATTCGATAGATTTTCTAGTTTATCACTAGTTTATTACCAGATTACTGTCCTAATTTCAAGATAGAAATGATCAATTAATTATTTATCTGCAGTCATTTTAGCCCCTGGATAGAACTACATTAATATTAAGCCATTCTATCTGAGACACCGATTACCATACCCGGCAAGCAAACATGCCCAGATGCATGATTTATTGTCAGTGCATACAAACAATGAACCAAATTAATTAGGAAATATTTTAGCTATGTAATAAAATAGGTTGGAATTAAATGGTTATAATTATAACAACAAATGGTCAACAAATTAACTCAATTTTCATTTGAGACTTTCCTTGAACAATTGCTGACTCATACAAATGAAACACCATCCTTAAACGTCAATGAACAATGTAGGAAACTATACAATGCAATTCTTCTCTTACTGCCCTGGAAATATTTTGTCTTAAGAGATTTCTCATTTCATGATTTTACAATGTATGGTGTCGTGATTAGTAAACAGTAAACACAAGTTAAGCACACAAACTGAAGAAGAAAATCCCTAAAACAATTTGGATAGTAGCGCGATCGAGCTACTTGTTTTATTTTTTAGTTGTTTCTCTCACTCAGCTATCTTTAGATAGAAAATAAATTAAGTTTTTAGTGTTATTATTGTGTAATTAATTACAAAAACTAATCTAGTAACCCTGACGTGATCAGAACACGTAACCTTCTGATTGAATAAATGAGTTGATGGTGAAATACAGTTATTAACTTACAGAACTTCAAGCTCTTTGGTAAAGACATCAATCCATTCCTAAGATGGCTCAAAGCCTCAAAACCCCTGTACATTCCAGGTACATTAAAAAAAATATATATAAAAAAATTCACTGAGATGAAAGGATCTCCAGACAATACCTACGTGACTACACACTGAATAATTCAAAACAGAATTTGAGTTTATGCTCAAACAAGGCCTCTGTAGGCCATCAAAAGTTGGACCAGCCCGTTACACCTAGCCAAAAAGAAAAAATGGTGATTAAAGACCTTGCAAAAAATACACCTTTATTCCTGATGCAATCCCATTTCTGACTGCTCACACATCATATATATATAACAACTATATTCATCCATTGATATTGAATGCGCATATCAACAAAGCCCAGTTCATGAGGCCAAAGCTAAAACGGTGATAACCACTCCTTTTGGATTTTTCAAATTTCAAGACCTTCAGTTTATGGAACACCACCCAGACTTTCAAAGGAACATGAATCACACTCTCAGCAGACTAACTTCGTGTTCACCTACTCGGACGACATACTTATAGCCTCACCAAATCCAGTTTCACATTAACACTACTTAATTGCTTAAATGAGTTTGGCCTCTCTATTAATCAAACGAAACATGGTGATATACCTAAATTGATACACATTTCATCTGTGTCTCTTGTTGACCTTGATTGACCCTTTTTTGATGTGACATCATGCTTCATAGTGCCTACAGAAAAAAGACCTGCCCAAAGATGATATTCTCCTGGAAACTTTCTACAGAATGGAGCCATGAAACCCAACTAAAAATAATTCAGGATCATGATGGCTATGTTGAAAAATTTCTGTACTTTTTCCAACTACCTTTAAACGTGTCAATGATGATGGAAATTGAATTAGAATGAAAATTCCAAGGGTACTGGGAATTGAAGCTTTGGGCTGAGATGATTATCTGACAGGATTATTATGCTAACCCACTCCGCCACAGCGATTTCATGAGACGCTACACTTCATACAGAGATTAAAACTATCGTTAATTGATATAATTGATTTTATACATCAGTGGATATTAACAGAGTGATTTCTTCCAATTAAAGTGAGATAACGTTAAATTATTATTACTTACTGTCCAGTTTTGCAGGTACATCGTCTATAACACATTGCTTGGTGTAAGAGTCTTCTATTGTAGGATCGTAGTCCGTAACAAAATAACTCTGCAATATAAATGTGTTTTTTTATCGTTTTGAACATTGTAATAAGTAAATTCCTCGGTTATTTTATTTACAAGGCATGTAAAATGCAAAAAGAACCACACCTGTTCAGATCTATGTAGGTGTTAAAGTTAGCATTCTTTAATTATATATGGTCCTTATGTTACATTTAATAGTCGAACAGTTGCATTATTGTTGCAGTACTTATTGTATTAACTTTATAATTTATAATTCACCTGAATAAATTGTATGGTGATGGCTGATTTGCCTACACCTCCACCTCCGACTACCACCAATTTATAGGTCGGTGAGTAACTCTGGTTGGTCCTCTCATTTTGTTTATACATTATAAAAATTCAGATATGTACAAGTTCACTAATTCAAACACTGTCAAGATTATACAAAAAATAAATAAATAAAATAATGTGGGCGCTGGGTCAAAATAAATTCATTTCGTTGAGATACGATACGACGACGGTAGAGCCAAAACCCGAGACTTAATTTAAACCAAACAAACTTTAAAATGGGACGTTTAAAACCAAAAAGCAAACTAGGGCAAGAACAGCCCAGACTAATATGGCACTAGTACTACTACTCCGACTTCATAGACATAAGAATATATATATATATATATATATGACGTTATATTATCACAACTGGAAAGGCTGACGAGTACTTGCGCCACCACAACTAGAACTTTACTCACAAGTTGATAGTGACGAAGCAATAGTCAATATTGACGTGCCGACAAAAAATTTAAAATGTCTAAGCTTTTATTTTGTTTTTAATTAATCTAGACTTAGAATGCTTCATTTTATTTATAATAATCAAAGCAAATAGTTTTTTTTCCAAGGAAGTCTGCTCGTTAGATTTGTATTTACTCATAATTTGTGTTTGTTTTTATACTGCATAGTACATGATTATTTATGTTTCAACACCATTTATGTATATTCCAGCAGAATTTCGTATTTTAAACTGTCTCATATGTTGTCTACAAATTATTCTTACAAAATAATTCTTCTTTTTCATTATTCTACAGTCAAGTGTACAGACACTTTGTTAAATCTTGAATTATTATGTTTATTTTAAGTTAAATTATCTTTCATTATTTCTATAATAATAAAATATTTTTCATATAATTTTTAAAAAATATTACATTTATATAAATATACCTACTTGCACTTTTGTACGTGTATGTAAATGTATGCATATTTCCACGTTCAACTTATATTATTTCTAATTAAAATATTTACTGAATATAATTAATCTACGTTATTGTATTTTTCATATAATTTTTTTTAAAATATTACATTCATATAAATATACCTACTTGCACTTCTGTACGTGTATGTAGGTACATGGATATTTCCATGTTTTACTTATATTATTTCTAATTAAAATATTTACTGAATATAATTAATCTACATATATTATATTTTTCATATATATTTTTTAAATATTACATTCATATAAATATACCTACTTGCACTTCTGAACATATGTCCATTATGTATATTTCCAAGTTTAACTTATTACTAATTAAAATATTTACTAAATGTAATTAATCTAAATATGCACAAATATTCTTATTTTTACTTACTTAATCAAGATATTTTTATGTAATTGTTTTCTAATGTTATTTATATAATATTGCAAAATATGTAACATTGTTTGTAAATGTGATTTTTTGAGGTATATTTAAATGAAACATTCTTTTAAGCTATTTTCTTACTTTATGTAGTTTAAAACTTAAATAATTTTTTCATTTGTTTTCTTATTTTTGCTTTTATATTGTTATACATTGTTTATATTGTATATTTCTATATTTAAACTTTTTTTTAATTGGCTTAATTCCGTAAAATATATTATTATTGTTGTATTTAACTATATAATTGTTTGTTTGTATGTAATTGTTTGTTTGTTCCTGGTCAAAATACACCCTAACACCAGGAACTTTATTTGATGCTCCATTAATTATATTTCATTTAAGATGCCAATTATATATTTATTATAAATTATAAGTCATAATATAACTTTTTGTTTTTGCAATATTAAACTTTTCTTTGTATTTATTTTTTATTTCTTGACTGCCGTGTTACACAAATAGATCATTGATAAATTCTGTGTAATATATTAAGTGATCCGCCTATGTTTGGTGGGATTAAGTCAACAAATGAGTAACCTTCAACTAACAACACAGGTGGACTGTTGCTCTATGGCCAGTTAGAAATTGTCACACGAAATCCGTTCCTAATGCCAAATTCTTGTACAATTGTGTTTACATGACTTAGTACGTGGTACATTGATAGAAAATGAGCAGGGAAATAGAAAAGTACAGGTACGATTACGAGGTATCGAGCCAGTGGGAGCTGAGGAAAAAGTTCATATTGGCCCATAGGGACAAATACCCAGAGGAGCGTCTCGTCTGCCTTGCACAGATATTTTCAAACGTCCACTTTCTCGGTTGCCGGTAAGTTTTTTACGTTAGAATTAGTTTCGATTTGTTCACTTTGTTTAAATGTGTGGGTGTCACTCATTGTCTGACCTGCTATGACTGAGATGCCCATCCAACTGTGATGATTACAGGGTGTCTTTCATTTGTATCCAATTTGTAGATTTCGTAAGTCTTCATAACAAACGCTAAAATTTCCGCACTACTTTACACTTACTTATTTAAAAAGCTTAATAATAATAATAAAAATCCGAAATCCTTGAGATTAGAATGTATCTGCCTAGAAAGTTGGATGGTAGACGACTCGTCAATACCCATGAGACCTAGTGTAACCGGAAAGTGCTCTCCGATTTAGGACATGTGACTCGAGAACTACGTAACAAGTTGACCAGATTGGTCGAGGATAACTGCACTTGATTTGACTGCACGGAAGGACGACAGTTAACCACACATGAAAGATGGTGGAATGGCGAGACAAGGAATTGCATAGGCAGTTTTATGTGGCTCTAAAGCTTGGTTTCCAACGTGTGAAAATCACTCGCACAACTGATTCACAAAACTTGTTTCGCATTGTGTATACCTAGCCAGGGCTCTGAAACTTTTGACGTGAGGATGTTTAGGGGTGAGTGACAGGCCGACTAGTTTTTTAGTGCACATCGAAATGGTTCACGTCATCTGTTTCTCTGCACACGTCTCGAGCTTCAGAATGAACCAGGAGGACTGTATTTGACTTATCTAACTGTATTAGAGCTATCGATTTTTGTGGGATCGTAAAGATAAATGTCATCATAATAAGAACAAGAGAGAAGGAAGGAAATGAAGTGTTTTCTTTATTTGTTTTTCTTTTTGTTCTTAACATAAAGTATTGCCATGATAATAAACGCTGATGCTGCACCATTAACCCGAGACAGCCGTTTCGCAAGTGATTCTTGCTCTAAAATACATTGAGTAAATTCATTTGCAAGCTGTGGTTCCATTCACTCTATTTGTAGGGACAACTTTGTATTAACACATAATGCTCGACCGCATATAGCTCAAATTATCATCCATTATTTGGAGGATGTAAGGATTACCACAATAAATTAGCCACCATGTTCTCCTGACATTAATCCTATAGAAGACTTATGTGACATGAAAAAAAGATTGTTTAGACATCATTCACCTCTCCAACAAGCATTGAACAGCTTCAAATTGTTCTTGTTGAAGAATGGGATTCGGTTTTACAAGATGAAATCTGATCACTTATTTTCTTGATACTTAGGAGACTTATGGCCCTATGCTAGGCCAGAGGAGGAAATAAGCATTATTAAGAGGAAAACTTAATCTATCTATCACTGAATGATTTTCTGGTGTTTTGGTGAATTTTCTTTCAAACTAACATAATCTTTTCTAAGCGTTTCTGAGCCATTCCTCCTTTTGCACTACTAATTTTCATGTCTAATATCCAGGCCTCATTTTTTTATGGTATAGTGCTACTTTTGCTCTTATTTCTAAACTAATTAGCGCTGTTCCTACTGCTGGATTTATACCAACAAAAAAATACAATATTATGTATTAAATAGATCAGAAAATGTGACTGACAATAATCTTGTAATTAGGCTGTCAGTGAGGTTGCCTGGCAGGAAAAGCAGGGCTTTATTTACTTATTATTATTATTTTAATTTTTTTAAATATTAGTGCAGTTAATATTAAAAGTGTGAATTCAGCCAGAATTACACAGACCACTACCAGAAGTGGTCTTCCCTGTCTTTCAGATTGTACATTGAGCGTAATTTGGCTTGCAGGCCTGCATTTATTGAAATAAGCAGTTCCCCTCTAATATTGAAGTTGAATCAGCCACTCCCAGCTCATGCATAATATTCTCCTCGAAGAGCCCTTAAATCCATATGTGCAATCTTAATGACCTTCATTCCATACTACACAATAAATAATATGTCAATAAACAAACTTTTTAACTTCTCTATAGACATCCAACTAAAATAGGCAATTTTATATCCCCTCATTATTTGTTTCATCTCTGCTACCCTGAGGAGCCTTATTGAGGAGTGCCTCCGCTGACTCTTAGATTAAAGTATTTTCCAGCTAGTTTGAAGGAGTTGACTGGACACCAACCCATCCTTGATAAAGCCCTTGTGCATTGTAATGTTTAAAAGGATTGGTCTGCCTTTGTCAAGTAGTTTGCGGGGGCTTGGCTCCGATGCTTTGGTTGTGCCATTGACGATGTATTAATGACTGAAAGAGCGAGAACAGCCTATATTCCAGACCAGGATGATCAGAAACAAAACAAATACATGTTCAACTCCTATAGAAATCAACAAAGCATTCCATAATTTGTTAAAACCTATGTACAAACCATGTATTAAATATATGTTTATTTTTAAGGTATGAAGAACCAGTTATGGAATTAATGAGTGAGTTATCGAAGGGCATTGCAGTAAATAATGACAAATGGAAAACACAAGCTTTTGTGTCAGCTTCCAGCGCTGTTGAACAAAGAGTTAAAGGTATTTTTAAACTTACTTTCTAAGTTAGCAGTTCCATACTGTTATTTTTGATAGCTTTTCACATGAAAAATGTATATATTTAATATATTGTTGTTTTGTATTAATTTCAAAATAAAAATTCCTTTTGTACTTGTGCTAACTGAGAGTCTGGAAATTTTAAATGTATATCAAAGTCAAAAATAAACAACCATAGACTAAGTTATATATTTTCATTTGAATTTTTGACTAATTATTAGCTAATATTTTGTCATGATAATTATCAGTATTGCTTTTCAGACCGACTCGGTGGGCAAAATAGCAACAAAGCCCCTCAGAATAAACCGCTGGCGACATATGTAAACTTTGTTAAATCGGAAACAGAACAAAATCCTAATGTGCAAGAAAATAAGATTGGCTTAGATGCACATAGTGTGAAATTGGGGAAACGACTGGTTGAGGAAGCCAATTTAGATAACGAGCCAACTACGAAGCGCCAAAGACTAAATGCCGAGGTGACAAAAATTAAAGATGACATACAATACGTCATCGACAGTGGGCCATTTGGGCAAATTGTACTTTTTGAAAGTTCATACAATAACGAAAGTACTATAAGTGTTATACAAAGGACTGTTAACGCTGCCCATATGGTTGTCAACTACATTTTCACCTATGACTCAAATCAAACGTTAGTAAAAATTTTTTGTCTAGGCTTTAAATGTCCCTAAAAAATTATTTTCTTTTTTTTGTGTAACAATAAGAATATGTTACTTTGCATGTACTCTTGTTTAAGTAACTTTTCTAATTTTTCAAATGCTTAAAGATGAATTTGCTCTGAAATTCGTACAGGTGATGACAATGATTTATAAGAGAAATATACTAAATTACTTTTCACCATAGCACATTCAATCTAATAAATGCATGTATTTTCAGAATTCATTACACAAGATTATGAATTTATGCGAGACAAAAAGTGAGAACAAAAATGGCCTGATGTCTAAAATATGTGCCCAGATACCATGTACCATTATTTAACTATGACCCTTTAAGATAATATCAGCAGCATTTCCCTATGTTTTTGAAATAAAGAATTTTTATTTATACACATCAATGATTGTTGTCTATGAGTGGCCAAATTACTAAGCTTTTTTTTCAAGATTTTATTATCATTAATGTAACTTATATATTCGTGCACAGTCAATGTGATTAAAGCTAAAAACCTCTTATTATAGCACTTGCAAAATGATGCTTGATGGGCTTTACCTTGCAACAGGTCAAGGGCCATCACAAAAGATCTCAAAAGAAGCTGCTTGCAGAGTCGCAATTTCAAGGCTCAAAGAAACATCCTTCACCATTCTTGTAAGCGACCTCTATTTAATAAAAATTACAAATACTCAAAATCTTTTTATTAACAGGTAAAAGCGGTGTACAGTGGGAGTGAAATTGTCGATAGGAATTTAGACAACAAGTTACCAGAATTTAAGTCTGCCAGTGTTGAAGAAAAAATTGAAGATACCAACATTGGGAGTAAGATGCTCAAGCTCATGGGTTGGCTTGGTGGCGGCCTAGGAAAAAATGAACAAGGAATGGCAGAGCCAGTCAAGTAATAAGTTTATAAACTGGATTTACTTAAGTTTTATTTAATGATTTTTTCATTTTAATAGGGCTGTTGAATCAAGTATAAGAAGGGGCGGACTCGGGATCAAAAACTTTTCAGATTTTCGGGGGAAGGTGAAAAACATAATTAGGAATTTTGCTTATAGTAACACTAAAGAGGATTTAGTATTCTCACCAGACTTTTCAAAGGATGAAAGGAAATCTATTCACAAGTGAGTAATTTGATTTATAAAAAAACTTCAACCAAAAATGATTTTCATTACAAAAAATTAAAAATTAAAATACAGTAAAACTTCGTTATAATGCTCTTTTGAGGTCCAAGGCAAAACAGCAAAACCAGGAAAACACTATTACCGGGAAATCATAAAAACAGATTAAAATGAACAAAATCCATTTAAAAACATAGAATGTATAAAAATGGGTTTGTGGGTATTTGTTAATATAGAATAAAATAAAACTCCAAATGTACTTTATTAGATGTACCTGTACTAAAATATAATTTTTTTATTTTTTATATTTTTTTATTTTATGTTTTATTTTTTTAATAAAGTCAACACATTTTTTTAACACACAATTTTCTGTTTTTATCTTTTTATCTATCTGTTTATTTTGTTGAAGATTTCTTCATTTATGCCGATGTTACAGGAAAAAATGTGCAAAGCGTTTTGATCGCAGTCAAAATGTCATTTGTTTTCAGCGTGATTGTATCATCATCTTCTTCACCGTCTTTCGATGCACTGAGATAATCTTCAATTATGAAGTTTTGCTGGTCCCAAAATTATCGTCGAAAACGTCAAAACCTTCCAACTCAGTGTCTGCGATTATAAGGTCTTCCAAAGTTTCGTCATTCATCTATGCTCAAACAAAAAACAAAAAAAATGTCAAAAAGTTAAAATTATAAATAAGAAAACAATCAACTTTTCGATTTCTTCACATTCTGAATTTCCAACTCCTGCTTTCTTGAAATAATTCTGAATTGTTTCTTTCTTAACACCCATCCTTGCAGCATGCCAAAAGTTGATGGCATCTAAAATACATTTTTTGGCTAAGTTGTAGATTATAGATAGATAGAAGTCATAGATAAGTCGTCCATCATTATAGGTATTTTTGTACCATCCTTCTTCTGTAGCCTTACTTCAGGACTTTTATTATTCCTTGACCGAGAGTTGCAACTCACTAGTAGTGTTTGGCAGCAAGAAAACTAGCTTGATGTTCTGCAGATCAACAGGTTTTAGAAGTGTAGCACAGTTGTCTATGAGTAAACATATCTTGCGATCTTTTAGTTCGGCAGTTTTGTGTTTAGTTTGTGTATGTATTTAACAAGATTTTTAATCTTAAATTAGAGCAGTATAACCGGGAAATTAGAGCGTTAAAATGATAAAATTGTTATTGAAAAATAGTTTTGGGATCAGGATCAAAAGAAAAGGGTGTTATAGCTAGGAAATTGTTATAAGCGGGAGTGTTATAATGAAGTTTTACTGTATTTGTTTATACTCTCTATACCTTACATCAATTGCTAATAACCCCCCCCCCCCATTTATATCTAATTTATTTTTTCTTCTTCAATCAAGTATCATGTTTATAAAGTGTTCTGAGTCTTTCTCTTTTACACCAAAGGACAGCAGGTTATTTTGGCATTGGTATTTTGTGTATAGAGAGTATTGTCTTTTAATAATTTGCCTAAGATCATAATTTTCTTTTTCAATGCATACAATTTTGTTATTTTATATTGTATGGTATATTTTACATTAATTTAATTATTTTAAATTGTAGTCTTGTCCAAGAGTTCAATCTAAAGTCTCGAAGCTTCGGGAAAGAGGACAACCGTCACATCGTGATATTCAAGAAAATCAAACCACTTGAAATAGTTGAAGATTTACTCGTATGTGGAGGGGAAACGGATAAATATAAGCTTATACCTCCTGAGTCGATGAAGGACAGGTTTTCTCCTTATTTATCAGATAATGTTTAAAATAAAAAACGTTACAATCTTAATTTCAAAAATCCTCAAATTTTAATTAATTAAATAAAAATAATTTTATAAGATTGGATTTTTATAAAAACAAAAATTATTTACTTAATAAATATATCTTTATATAATAACTTGTAATTTTATACTTGAGTTTACTTGAACTTATCAGACCACAAAACAAATACAGATATGTATAAGCCTATTATCATTTTCGGCATTTATCGTTTGTAACATCATGCTTGAACTGGTCTGTATCATCTTTTTTATCTATAATGAATCCAAGCGCCTCCTCGGCCTTGCGGAAGTTTGCCATTATATTGTTAGCATACTGGCGAATTTCTGCATCTCCGGCATTTTGCAGTGCTTCTATTTTGTCCTTTTGAATCTGAAATATAATAATAATAATCAAACTGGTGCAGTTAGGATCAATTACATAATTTAATAGCAATATTTTATGAGATAGTGAAGTAAGATGATGTGCCTGTAGTTGTTTGATAGTCTCTGATCATTCTGGTTTGTCTACTCTTGCTGTTTGAGAATAATTATTTGTAGATTGTGAGATGCGGTCTGGTGTGATGTAGGTTTTTAGAAAAACATTTCACGATCTCCAAATAATCATTGGCTAACGGTCACTAAACACCACACATTTCTTTTGTGAATAATTATTTAGTTAGTTTAGTAATTAGTAAGATTAGTTATTTTCTCCCTCTAACATCTCACTTGGTGGATTTTTTGGGGAATATACACCGGCAAACACTGAAATGCAAAAGCATCTGATTGACAAAACCAGTGAGATAGGCAGACCAAAAAATAAGAAACAATCAAGTGACCGCAACATTTTTACAATAATGATAATTTTCTTAACATTTTTAACCTATCTCTCAAGAATTTTTAATTTTTTACATGAATTTCAGTAATTTTAATCAAAAAACAGAATATTCACCTGCTGTAGAATTTTGAGTAAAGCAATTGTATTGGGGATCTCAAAAGTTAATGATTCCAGCAGTCGAAGAGCAAGGACTTTCAACTCAGGGCATTCCTCGGATGCGACGATATGAGCCAGCGTCGTTAACAGATTTTTGTCCTCCTGTATTAGATTCAGCCCCGTCTGATTAATGCTTATATTGTACAAAACCATCAAAATGATCCTACAGCGAAAAATGTTCAATTATTACACACATTTATTTATTTTTTTATCTTGATACCTTTTCAATGGGCTGCCAGACTTATGTGGTATGTTCGGAAGCACTTTGAGCATCTGTTCTATTGTCTCTTTCCCATTGGCATCGGTAACGATATATTGTCTTCCTTCTGGCACAGCTGCTATATTTGCAACAATGCCGCACATTGAAAGGATAAATTGTGTTTCATTACATTTAACTTCAGGCATCTCGCGTGTATACGTGCCCATGAAGGAAATAAGCGTACCACTGACAATGCAGAAAAATTCTGACAACTTATTCTGAAATATAGTTGAAACCCAAAAAATGTTAAATAGGTGAAACGTATATTTTTACGTCATAAAATTTTTAAATTAGAAACTATTGTGAAATATTTCATTGGGGTGAATCTGTAGCTTGATCATCTTCAATTGTTCATTTATTTTTGCTGGATTTGTCTCCCATGCATCTTATGTCAAGACTTACACACTGCCTGATCAATGCCAAAACACAAACCAACTAAAATAAGCAGACAATGATCATAGATGATCAAGCTATATTAAGTTTCTTATTTAATACAATTAATTAAGGTTTTTAGATGAGATAAAAAAGTCAATGGCACGAGCGGGATTCGATTTCGCTTGATACGTTGCTGCTTGATAAGCCGAAGATCGTGTGTTCGAATCCCGCTCGTGCCATTGACTTTTTCATCTCAACTAAAAATCTTAATTAATTGTAATATATTAATTGGTCAAGCGGACCACGAAATTAGAAAATTTAATTTCTTATTTAATGTTACACAATCTCCTTTGAAATCCTTCCAGATAATTTATAGTATTGTACATTGAAATAATTGCTGTCATACAAGAGAGTTTAACATCCAACTACCCATGGATGAGATGTTTAATGTTTAACTATTCTCAATTAAAAACCATGGGCTGTGCTAGGGTTTGAACGCAGAACCGCTAGCGTGTCAAATACGAGTCAGATATTAACCACTCAGACACATGATCTCCTCTAATGTACATTATATTTAGTCCTGGGTTTCTATCCCAGCATAGCCCCTTGATATTTTAATTGACAATAATTTGGAAAAAGTATGTACATATTTTAATGTGTTGTACCACCCAAAGTGTTGGATGTTAGGCCCTCCTGACATATATTATTTGTATTTTTACTATTGTACATTAAATACAAACAGTTGTTAATAGAAGTTCGACAACAGGTTGAAGCCTGGATGCTTTCCAAACTAGGTTGCCCAAAACCGAGCCTAAAGCTGCGCAGAATGAAGACTGTGTCTGCAGTTGGTTTCTCAATTTGTAAACTTCGCCTTGAAGTCTGCCCAGGTATTCCTGTTGGCTGTCCCATTCCTTCTGCAGCTGTTCATACTTGCTTTTAAGAATCTCCAACTCTGTGCTTTGGTTCGTATACATGTGCTTTACTTTGAAAAAAAAAAGAAAGAATAAATACAAAGTAAGTATACAAAATTTAAAACATTTTATATTTAAATTTTGGTACAAGTATATCATTTTTTTCTTCTCAAAAGTAGGGTATTATTTTTTATAATTATACTACTAAAATTTCAAGGAGAATAACAAAATAACATTAACTTTTCTTCTCGATATGAATACTTTAAGTCCCTTAAACTATGTTTGCTATAGTTGCTCCTTGTCTTCAGGAAAGTATGTAGATGAAGAAAAATGTCCATACTCTTTTTTTCATTATATTTTTAAAGACTTATCTATGATGGGTTTGTTCCAGACAGGAGTTCTAATAATTCTGAGCTCTATTCAGAACAATGAACAAATTTTGGGTTAGCTTTGACGAAACTGAAAGCTCTTCATGACACAAAAAGCAAAAATTGCCTAAATTATTAGAATTAAGCTTATACTACACCCACCAAATTGTTCCGAAGTACTACTAGGCTTCAATTAAAAGTAAAAATATTTTGTATCACCAATACATGCATACTAAAAACCCAACTAAATACATTAATGGAATTGAGGTTTTGCCACACCTCGCCATATAGTGAAACCTTGTACCTTCGGACTACTTCTTCCAAGCCCCATCCAAACCAAACTTGAATAAATGACTTGTTCAAATCAAAATTAATTTTTACCTATGTTGTAAAATTAACCAAAACTTTATAACCTTGAGTTTTATTAGTTTACCTTATATAAACAAAGTTTTTAGGTAAAAGAAAATAAAAAGGATAACTTTTATTGTTTTTATATTTTAAACAGTTAAACTTACGCCAAGAGATATTTTTCATAGAGTTGCAATCTGTCTTCATTGTCAATTGCTCGATTAAGTTCTGAGAGTGTAAGTTCAAACTCGGGAGAAAATCAACTTACTTAGTTGACTTTCATTAAAATACACAGAAATATTATGTGCAAATTTTGAAAAGAATTGGGCCAAAAGTAAAATTTTGATGGTTTCTATGGATACAATTTAGTAAAATATTTAATAATTTACAAAAACAAAATATGTCTCAGTGGATAAGTTATGTTAGTACTTATACAATTATTGGAGATAAAAAAAAAAATTGAATCACAACATTAAACATTAGAAATGTTGAAGGTGGGGTGAGTGTGTAGATACACTTTTTGTAAAGATGGTTTACTAAGATTTTTAAATCTGGAGTAGAAACATCATTTTTTTTTTTTTCAATGGATACCAGGGACTGGAGGAGTTCCCTCCTGAGCACTGCAGCTGAGCTGTACAGCTATTGTACTTTATCCCTGGCTACATATTTGGGGAGGGGGCTCACAACACAAATGTGAACTTGAGCCCCCGTTGTATCGGTGTTCTTTGATCGAAGAAACTCATTTTTGAAGGGGGTTGGGACCAAATTCAGGGTCACTGAGATCCGATCCCACCCCTTCCATTGATAAGTGGACACCGGTCCCCTTAGGCGTCAGAAAAAGTCCAGAGGCGATGGTGGGGCTCGAACCCATGACCGCGGGATCTACTAGCCGAGAGTCTGACGCCTTAACCACTCGGCTACCGTGGCCCCGCTGAAACATCATTTACAAAACATGGTAAACATTATTAATTTAACGTAATTATTGATTAATTATTAAGTATTGAAGTAGTGTGAGATCTGACAATCTATTTATATAAAATAAATAAAATTAAATATTTAAAAAAATATGAATTGTCTATTAATCATAATCATAAGTTATTTTGGTAAAAACAGTGGAAAAAATGAGAGGAGAAAAGTTGCCGAATTGTTTATTTTCTGATAATATTTACACGAGAGCATTATTCTTTTATAACAAAAACCATCTTATACATATATATAAAATACAAAAGAATTTTTTTTTTCATCGCTTTGTGTACCGTATATACATTTTATAGTATTATCTGAATATATCGTACTGCACATCTAAAAAAATTAACATTAAAAATTGCCAATAAATTTTCCTATCTCGTGCATGTTAAAACTACTTGGAAATTTCAGTCTTCCTTGTCATCAAGGGCCCTCAACCTTTGGAGGAGAGGAGGGTGTGAGTGATGCCAGCTAGAATAAAGCCAATCAAAGACAGGAAAGCTCAAGTTGTCCTTATGAAGCTTGATCAGCCCTTGCCTCAGGTACTTTGTCTTCCCCAATTGCTTAGCAAAGTTGTCTGCTTGAAACTCAAACTTGCGACTTAATATAGTCAAAAAGAATGTCATTATCTGAAATAAAATTTTTGTTAATACACAAATGTAATAATAATATAAAATAAAAATAGTTTAAATAAAGAGGCCACACTTACACTATTATAGGGGGCAAAAACAAACTGGAGTACGATGATTAATCCAATTATAATAGGCTGTTCATGTTGGAAGCCGAAAGCTTTGTAAAGCTGTGGGTACTTAAACAATATTCCAAAAGCGAAAAATTGTAAAAACAAATTCACCTGAAACACAAATTTACAAAATGGTGGAATGAAAGTTTTTGCACACAAACAAATGTATACATTTTTAACAGTAGTAATACATGAAACATGATGTTGTAATCTGCATGGTAATGGACTAGTAGCCTGATTTTTATAATCATCCTGGTCTGTTGTTCTTGTTGACCTGTCTTTCAGAGGCATTTCAATATTTTGCCAACTATTATAATCATGGATAAGACTTGCAGACCAGCTTGTTTGGATATGATTAAGCAATAAGCTCATCACCTTGGTTTTAACTTTTTATAACCTTATAATTTGTACAATTATGAAGAGATGAACCATAAAAGGTTGGCAATTTTTTTTCTTTTTATTCAACTTTCTTTTATCTAGATCACCCTCAAGTTTATGTTTCTTTGATTTGTCCCCACAACTCATGTTCCTATCATCTCGCAAATTATTATATTATAAAAAAAATAAAAGACAACAAAAAAATTGATGTACATACACATATAGTAGGTTATCAATAATTTAATTAAAATAAAAGTGTTGTTATAAAAATTACTATCATAAATTAAATAATTCATATGTACCTGCATGATAAGGATGTTTTTGGTGACATGGTTAAATTTCCAGTGGCCAAGCTCATGTGCAAGAATCGCTAATATTTCATTATTGTCACAGCCTTTATCACCATTTTTTTCTGACTTCAATAACGTGTCAAACAGTACAATCCGTTTGTTTTTAAAAAAACCGTAAAAATATGCATTGCTGTGGACAGACCTTTTAGATCCTGAAGAAGAGAAAAATTAAAATGTGACATAAAGTTGTGTTTTCATTATGCTTACATAAGTAAATTAGACTTAAACAATAAATTATTTATGGTACTGGTTACTTAACAGATAAATATTTATGGTAATAGAAAAAAATTAAGAATATCTGATTACCTTCAACTAAATAAAGTTTATACAATGGGAATTTAACTTTGGCTGCCAATTCCTCAATCTTTTCCTTTAGCTCTCCTTCAGGGAGAGGTGTGTACTTGTCAAAAAGCGGTGCTATAAAATCAGGGTAAATTGACATGAGGAAGAACAGTGTCACCATTGCAAAAAGCCAGAGATACAGGAAAAAATATTCCCCGCCAGCTTTTACGATGTAGATCGCAATGCATGTCAGAGGGACGACCAGTACAGTAAGCACTGTGTAAGACAATATTTTATCCTTAATAAAAAATGGGACAGTCTGAAAATAAAAGATTGGTAATATAAATGAATTTGATTTAAAATTAAAGGGGGGGAGACAAAATTTGCACCTGATTGTTAAACCCATGTTTTTGTTCGATGACAAACGTATCATAAATCTTGAGCGGAAGCGAGAAAAAGAAATTGATTGTATTCAAAAGTATAATGAACAGTGCGCTTGTCAATATTTCGTTTTCTTCAAATTCAAAGTTAGCCAGAATTGACTTGCTCTTTTCCCAAATGTGGTACAACATCATATACCACATAATTCCCTGGTAAAAAATAAAATAATAAAAATACTGTGAGACTAAAATATGTATATTCTCATATAACTTACAGTTCCAAGCATTGTGCCATAAATGCTTTTGATAATTGAAAATGAGCTTTTATCTAAAGAATAACTTCTTGATTTCTGAAAAATATTTTCATCCAGTACCTCTGCCAATTCATCAGGAATTTTTTCTGTCACTAAGTAAACTTTGTGCTGAAAATATAACAATATTTAAAACTGGCCGACTTATTTTCACAGTGAAACTTAAAACTATGACACTAATTGATATGATCAGATTAAATTGTTAATTGTAATATTGTCATGAAGAAATTGAATGTAATGAGAAGAAAAAAGGGACTCTCGTATTTTTACACAGTTAGAAAAACACTGGTCCAGCTCTTTCGTTATTGAATGTTTACAAGCCTGAAAAAAACCTAATTGTGTTTATTGGATAATCCTACAAACAAAAGAAGAGATGAAGTGGTGTTCATACATTCAACCTGTTCAAATGTTAGCTGTGACACTGAAATAACAGAAAGAACAAAAAAAAAGTTTAACATTTTGTAATGAATCAATAAATGACCACCTCAATAATTTATACTCTGTTTTCTGTGTACAACATGTTACAGATATTTTGAGATATTAATTATTCAGCAATCGTGAGATGCGGTCTGGTGTGATGTAGGTTTCAGAAAAACATTTTCTTTATCGTGCCAACGTTTCGATCTTTATTGAGATCATCTTCAGGGCTCAAAGTGTTTGTCTTCTGTGTAATTGTGCCATTCTTGCATGTCGTGTTGAGAGTGGTCACTAATCACCACACATTTTGAGAAATGTTGCGGTTTGTCTGGGTTATGAACTTATGAGCAAAATAAAGAGGTAAGGAGCTCCTACACGATATGGTAAACCTAGAGGTAAGCCAGAGGTTTTAGCTTCATAGGTCATGGCTTCATCCGAAATGATTGCAGAGGTCGATTTATTTTTGTTATTAATTTTAAAAAATAATTGAAACATTGTAAAACTTGGTGTCCTCTCACCCATGGGACCAGAAGCACAACTAAGTGCACCGTATTGTGTGCTTAAGTTGGAAATGAAAAAATGGATCGAGAAAGAAAAACTCGAACACTGGACAAACGCATCAGGTATAAGGCAATCTAAGAGATTTATAAATCTCTCAAAACAAAAGGTGAAAAATCTCCTCTCTCTCAACAGGCAGGGTTAAGGAAAATTATAGGCCTCTATACTGGCCAATGCCCTCTTAACTTTCATATGAAGAAGATGGGCAAAACAGAGGCAGAAACATGCTGATTGTCAGGAGGAACAAGAGGTATCAGCACGTGTCCTTTGTTAAACATTAGCGCGGTTAGGAACAGCCACAGTGGGACATTTCTCACACCAAAGGAGTCCCCAAAGAGGCACCATGGAAAATGCTTAATCTTATAAGAAAAAGTACACTTTCCAAGGTACAACTTTAATTTATGGGGGTTCCATAATAAATCTACTTAGGCCGCAGTGAAGAAAAGTATTGACATAAACACATGCCAAGTATGGGGATTTCAACGATATGAAGAAACAGAAAAATTTAACTGTTTTTTTTTTGTTTTGTTTTTTTCATGAAAGAAAGAGCTCAGCCTTCCAGACTCAACCCCAAACTGTATCTTGGATACAACAGATCTAGTATTTGTTTTTACTTTGAACCTTAATTTTTCATTCATACTTAAAGTATTTGGCTTTCCAGATTCTCGACTATCAAAAATAACTGCATTAGAGATTATTCACAAGCAAATGTTTTGAGTAGCTCAATCGAATAAATTAGCGAGCGAGCTAAATTGTCATTTTTTCTTAAAACGGGACAATGTCGATAGCTGGCCAGAATGGTTCATTATAATATTAGAACAAACTAAGTTAACCCGCGGAGAAGCAAGATATTGTTATATATTTGAACCCGTTATCCAACCTAGATGTTGCTCAAAGAAGTAACCACGCACTTAGATTATCTGACCTTTGCTGCTAAAACTAAGGAGTGAGCAAATGTATTTAAATGGTTCCATGGAGGGAGGTCGGAAGACAATGTTTGTTATGCAGCTCAAAAAATAAATAAAATAAATGGAAAAAAAGATGTTTTTCATTTTGTTGCTGAGTGCACTGTGTTGGCCAAGTTTCATCTTTTGTATCTGTGGCAGCGAATGTTCACTAGAGCTCGGCTGCTTTGCCTACTGGACTTGATAAAAAAAAATTGGTGTAAAGATTGGTTGTTGAAAAGAAATTGGTACACTCATCAATTCATTACGTGAGTATGGGAGTGTGGAATAAGCAGTCTATCATAATTACTAGCGAATGAATGAAATAATGAATTAATATTTGCTTTAAAAATACTACTCTCATAAAAACTGCTATATCTCCGCATGAAAGGATCCTTGAAATTCTAAACTGAATACTGAAACATATGTGGACCAATGAGCTCTCCGATACCAATGTAATTTTACTGGAAGTTGGCACATTCCAGTTTATGGGTACAGGTAACTGTGCAGGTAGACTGCAACGTACATGGCAGGCCTAAAGCTTGGCAATCCAATTAAAACATAAGCCTGACATAACCCTGGGTCTGTCTACCCTTGTCAGCTTTGTAATATAAAAAAAAATATATTAAAAAACGACACAAACATGTCTTCATACATTTAAATATATAACAAATATTTTAAAAACAAATTTGTTTTACACGGTGCTAGTCGAAAATATACCTGCCGCAGTGCCAAGAAGAGCTCCCAAGAGAACTCCAATAGTGATAATGCGAGAATAGAGACAAAAATCTGTTGTTCCTCCATAGCGAAGAGGAAAAAAAATCCAGTCGACCTGACTCGCTTAAACTTTTAAAATTTTGTTTATACTGTCTCGAGTCGGATTATTCATCCGTTTGAGCAATTTCAACAAAGCCCGCATACAAATTCGCTGTTAGGGAACCGCTGTTTACCTCACAACGAACTCATAACAAGAAACCGAATGGTTTGCCAAGTACTAACACGAACAATAAGTTACTGATTAGTTTTAACCATAACGTAGACGACCACGGACCGGTCTTAGCACCTGGGTGCTGTGGCTGCATGATAATGTTTCTAATACTGGAACTATGAATTTCATGTATCAACTATGTTTAATGTAAAGGATTTATTTATTGTTTAAGCGTAAAACGAAGAAAATTGAATTTTATACATTAATAAAGATTGTTAATACACAACGTCTTTAATAAATCTGAAGTTTCTTTTCAGACTATAAAAAAAAGACAAATTTAATTTAAATTATTCTTAAAATTTAAGCAGTAGTTGTCAAATGTCAAGTTTAATTTACATTTATTATTTGATCACAAATATTAAATCAATCCCTTGAGACATAGAAAGAATGCTTTCCAAATTATATTACAATTTATATAGAATTGATTTTCATAAAATTTAAGGGACAATTTTTGTTATGATTTTGAAAAAAAAATTCTTACAATTGTAGAATTTCAAGTTTAAAAAGGAACAGTCATTACATTTTTTAAATTCCTCCTATTTATTATTTTGCCATGTTGATACAAAAGTCATTGAAAAAAGTTTCATTTATTTAATCAGACATATGCAAAAAATACAATATACATTTTGCCACAAAACAATACAAATTTGTCCTTATGAAAAAAAGAATTTAAATTATACTTTTGCAATGAACTATACATTCATGAGGGAAAATTAGTTGAGAAAGTAAATTGCACAATTGCGAAAAATTAAACAAAAAATAATTATTAAAAACCTATTTAAAAAGTATAAAAAAAAGACAACAGTAAAAATCAATTATTTTGAATAGCTAGGAAATATGATCTAATGCATTATTTATTGAATACATCTAAGAACTAAATTTATCTAGTTGCGGAGAATTCTGAATTAACTATTTTCTGGAATCAGTTGATACTAGGACAAAGAAGATAATTATAAGGATTGTGAATTAGGAAGAACATGGAAGAAACCCTGATTATGGAGTGGAACTCAGAAATTTTATGAGAAATGGTGGAGAAATATGGTTTATTACAAAGGGAGCACAAATAAATCTTTTCTTTAATACATTCTTTATAATTAAGGTCTAAAAGGTCACCTCTAATTTTAATATTAAGTTAAAATTAATTAATTAAATTTTATTTGCTGCTATTATATACCAATTTATATGTATGTGTAGCAGTTCCTTATGTAATTTGTGATAATAAGATTGTTGTTGAAAGTTTTATAAAAAAAAAGAAAATCCTATCATTTCTGGATATAACACATAGTTACCCGAAGGACATCAAGTACTTTGGCGTCGTGTGATATATTTTATTAGCATGAACAAAAGGGCTTATTTCCAATTACCCTGAAGAATATGAAGCACTCTGGGGTAGAGCGAACAATGAATGTGCTTATTACTTAGTACAAACAGAAGGCCTCATCCCAAATTACCCCGAGCAAAATCAAGTATTCTTGGGAAATGTGAATGCTATCCAGACTACTGTTTTTGTGATAATTTATCCACAATTGTCACGACTCTGAGGTACAGAGAGGCTACCAATAGGATAAAGAAAATAGTCTGTTATTTCATATGACATCAAAACTTTGATACTTTTTAAAAGGATAGTTCCTACTCACAGTAAGATTTGTTAATCTTTGAGCATGAAAGTCTCAGTTTATAATAAAGATTTAAAAGTACTTGTTTATTAACAGATTTTAAGTAATTGGATGTGATGTTATTGATTGTGTTATAATCCATTACTGCTTTGAATAGCAAATTAATAGAAATGATAAATGATGGAGTGAGTGTGGTGTTCAATACTTTTTAAAAGGATAGTTCCTACTCACAGTAAGGTGAGCGTCTTGATGTAGAAACGTGAAAAGCAATTAAAAGAAAGTATGTAATGTATAAAAATCTATATTTATCTTATGTTGATAATATTGTTATTCGCATAATATTCTATAGGTTTTTATTAAAAATTACTTTTTACCTTAACTTGCTCTATTCCACAGACAGAAGCAACCAAAAATTATCATTTTAGTATGTAATATAGTTTGCTGGCCCCTAAAAATTCTACTTCTTTTAACGATCGTAGTTGTAATATCATTTAATTTTAAAAAGTATCAATCATTGTCTAAGAAACATTTATTTTTGCTCCTGTCATTTGTCAACTTCCGTTAAAAATTGTTTTAATGATACATCCAATTTCAATTTGCACATTTTCAGTTTCATTTAAATATTGACTGGTTGCTTTAAGTCGGATAATAGATATTCAATCAGCTTAAAAAAACCCACCAGAAAATAGAAAAAAGGATGACATGGAAATGAACAACCAAATGGACTTACCAAAGCCAAATTTATGGTATGTCAATTATCAAAAAAATCTTATGAAGTTTTTAAAAGAGAAATCTATTTATACAGAAATTTGAATAATTACGATAAACTTCTGTTGGATGTTAAAGATGCACAAACCTTACTTTAAAAGGATGAAAAAAATCACAAATAACGTTGATTTACATATATATTTGATAAAAGAAACAATAAATATATTTATAAAACATCCATTTACAACAATTTACTAGTTCTAGATTGACAACAACAACAATATTAACAAATGCCTTTGTAGATATAATTTAAACAAAATTAAGAAAATAAATTTCAGAAATCATTTCATCAGTTAGTGTGATGTTGTTATTCTAGGATTTGAGTAATCGAAAATTAATAAATTATGTTCGCTAGCATTTGAATTTGTATGATATGTTACTCTGATCAAGCCTTTGAAAATAAAAAGAGCTAAATGTAGAATCGAGGAAAATCTCTCTTTTCAACAGGCCAATATCTACTTTCTATACAATGTTTTATAAAAGACTAGTACTACATTTTTCCAGGCCAAAAATTGTTATCGTTAAAGACAAAATATTAGGCCCAAGGAATGTTCTACATCCTTAAAGATTTAGGATAATATCATGCTACATTTGAAAAGATGTACAAATATACTTTGACAACAACATTTAAAAATAATCCTCAAACACCACAAAGCGTAAAATATTCCAAGGCTCGTTTTTAAAAGTATTAAAAGCCTAACTTTGGCGCTCATATAATTTTAGGCACAATCAGCCCAGCCATCATATCGAAAGAATTACTATCAGGCTGCACCGTCAGTACTTCACCTTCACTGGTTTCGACAGTTAAGTACCCATAAGAATCTATCCCTTTGATTCTAACATTCTTTTTTGTTTTTTGAGGTAGATGGACACTCACTACTGCATCACTGAAATAAAATAATATATGTCACCAAACAATTGTTACTTACGAACAGTAATAGAGTAAAATAACAGATGTGCAAATAGATACATCTACATTTTAGTTGGTATAGTTAGTGTTTTAAAAAGTAATTTACTTTAAGGACTACACTATTTGTTAAAAAAATTAAATAAATTTAAAAAAAATTCAAATGTACCTGTGAAGCCAATAAGTGTAGTATTGGGGGAAAAATACTTCAATCCCATCAGTATTAATTGAGTCAATCAACTCTTCCAATTTATTAAAAACACAAGCAAAATAATGCTCAAACGTCAATCCTTTAATGTTTATCTTTTTGTCATTACTCATGTTCGATATCAAATCGTTAATACTCAGTGTCGGCTCTGTGTTTTGTAAGTTGACCCCGCAACCTGAAAGTGCCAAAAATAAAAGCAATAAAAAAAATTAATTAAAAAAGTAAAAGTCATACATACCAACATTGCAAATTGCTTTGGTGCTAGACAACATTGATGTAGCCATCACCCCGCCAATTTTGGTAGTTTTATTAGCATAAATGTCATTTGGCCATTTTAAATGGATATTTAGATCCTAAATTTCAATTTAGAACACTAAGTTTTTTATCAAAATGTAAATTTAACTACATACCTTTAAGTGAGGCAATTCACATATACTAGATACAATCGCAAGACTTGAAATATGTTGTAAAAGTGACAAATGTTTTCCCAAATTGGAATCCAAAGGTATATGCAATTGGATGGAAAACATAGCGCATCCTTTTGGACTCAACCAAGTGTTACCGCTTCTTCCTGATTTATATACAAATATAAGTTATGAAATCAATTAATTAAACTTAATTTTTATTTTTATTCAACCTTTCCCTTTTGTCTGGTACATAGGAATTGTCGTGAAGCCATGAACCATCTCAATGCCGTCTAAAAGATCCATAGATGAAGTCATAACTTCAGAGAATATTGCTAACCTTCCAAGAAAACTCGTTTTCAAATTCTAACACCAAAAAGAAATGTAAAGTTAGTAAAGAAATATGTTAATGACCTCATTGAAACTCACATCAAAATAATCAACAGTTGAAAAAGATTCAGGGCAGGAGTGGAGAAGAACTGGAAGCTGATTAGAAGTAGCTGGTCCAGGATTGATTCCCTTCCCACAAAACTTAATAGTTAAGTCATTATGTTTTAAAACACAATTCTCATCTAATTTATCATTGGCCTTTAATTTATTTAAGAATTGTTGTTTCACCTAAAGAAAAATATGTATTATTTATGACTCAACACACCTTAATTATAAATACCTCATGGTTTCCTAAGAAATAGCCATGTGTGTAATTTATGTTTTTCTGGTTTGATGAACACTTTAGGCCTAAATGATTTCCAAGGACGTCACTAAAAATTTCAATTCTTGCCTTATCACTTTTTTCCAAAGCCTGCCTCTTTTTGTCGTCCACTTCGTATTGTCCTGGGTCTATTTCTAAATGAACCTAAAGGTAAAAAATTATTCATACACAAACGTAAAACAATAATGATGGTAATTAAAGTGTGGTCTATTTCAATATTGACAACAAGCAAATGGTGTGAATAAACATTTATAGCATGCTTTATTAACATTAATTTTTTGTAAATTACCTAAAGTTTCTAGTAAAGAAATTATAAAATAGGTTTTATATATTTTCATCATGCAAAATGCTTTGTGTGTATGTGTGTAAATTACAAGTTGAGGAAGGTAAAGTACAAGAATCCTCTTTTATATGGAAATAAATTTAAAAAAATTTAACATTTCCTTCCTATACATATCAATAATAATGATGTACAATACAACAAAACCAGTTTTAAATCAACTCAAGAAAATCTTATGGATGATATCAAAAGTAAATTAAACTTGCAAATAGATTTTAATTAAAAAAATAAAAACAAAATGCTGGTAAATATATGATAAATTAGTACATTACTGCTTGATTGTACCATTTCCGAGTTGGTTTTTATATTTCCCTTTTTAAAGTTGATTTGATACATACTAAACATTACAGTTAAAACGATGTGACCATTATTGTGTCTATCATCCCTGATAATTTTACATAACAAGACAGTCCAATGAAACCAATCCACATTTAACAATCACTTTCAGCAGAATGATAATTTTAGAATATTATATTCTTTTAAATATTGTCTACAGATTTGATTAAGTGACACAACATAAAAAAGCAAATGAGAGCAAAAATTGTTAATTATTTTCCAATGACATTAGACATGTAAATTGTAAGTTCTGTTGTAATAATTGGTTAGTCCATAATTGAAAATGCAGATCTGACCTCAGTGTCCATTATTGCTCCTTGCTTCTTAATTTGACAAGAAATTCTTCATTTCAGTCTTCAGCCAAAGATAGGTTTACATTGGATGAATGCACATCTATCAAAAGATAGTTTATTGATTTAACTTGCACACACTTTTTTATATTAAAAAAGTATGCACCACAACAAGGCCATAATTGCCATATCACAATGAAGTTTTATTTATAATAAAGATTATCTAATAGGAATTTTTTATTGGCTAGAACATTTGTAACAAGGGTCCAAAAAATAAACAAAGATCTCTATAAAGTCTATTTTAGTACCGATGATTACTTTCTGGTAATTACGATAAATAGTGATGAACAAATTTGAAATAAAACTTAAAAAGGAATATTTATGCATATTCCTAATGCCCACAAGCAACAATACAAAGAATAAAAAATTGAAAAAGAAAAGAGTCATGATTTTTTAAAAGAAAAAATGCCATCAGGCATGACAATTGCTGGAATACAATGTAAACTTAAACTTTATAAAACTTATTCAATAGTTATTAAAAAGGATTAAAAATATAAGGTAATCTTTTAATAAAAAATATCAAATATGACAATGGCTATCTGTAAGTAGAATTAGACACACACACACTCATGCGCACGCACGCATGCACACTCACTCACTCACGCACGCGTGCGCACGCGCACACACACACACACACACACACAGCCCCTCCAAAGACATACATTGCCTTCTAAGAATTTTTTTTTAATAAGGGCCATGTTCTGCATGAGAGAATGGAGGCCTGATATGTGTGTCACACTTCAATTTTATTTCATGGTGACAATTTTGTGATTTAGAGTTCATGATTAGTACTGCAATGCCTGGTTAAAGGGTCCTCAACTTTAGGGTAGAGGGATCAGATTAGCCTGTTTTTGTAGGAGAGAGCTGAAGTGTGGGATCCTAAAAAACCACGCAGAAGAAAAGTTGTAGTTCACAGTGGATTGCCTTAAAATTGAGCAGAGTACCTATCCACCCTTGTTTTTCTGGCAGTTTGTACATAGTTTTTAAGAGATTAAATTCCTATTTGTTTAAATTAAAAAAAAAGGATTTGTTTTCAAACTTGTAAAAGAAAGAAAGGTATTTAATTTGTGTTATAATTATTTTCTTGTTGAATTAATAAATTTGTTTCAAAATTTTGATTCATTTTTATCATAAAAAAGCACCTGTTCTGTCTGTGTTTTTTTCTGTTTGTTCACTGTTTGCATGGGCCAATGGTTTATTATTAAGTTAACCCTTGTATGAGCTAATTATATATTGGTGTACTTTATTTGGAGAATTCCAAAATCCTAGTAGGGTGATTATTGTGTATACGGGAATGAATGTATTTATTTAACAAAGATCAAGAGGGTAAATGTGAAATTTACCAGTTGTCGATAGTCTCAGAGGATACTTTGATGGGTAGGATAGACAAGACAAACTCTCATGGCTAGTAGATGAACAACCCCTTTCTCCTAAATATTATTTTAAAAATATTCCCCAATATAGTCATTTGTTTGACAAATAAAATAAAAATAACACCTAGAACAATAGTATATTGAATGTGCAGGCTCATAACATAAAAAACACCAACATAGTATTAAAAATTTACTAATTGCATGCAGTTAGAAGAAATTAACCTTATTGCTTTTAATCCTCACACTATGATTATTCTATTAATCTAATCCATGCAGTTTACATAAACATCCCTACAATGTAGGAGTAGCTGGGCATGTACATACTTGGGAAAAAACAATTTTTGAAGTAGAGTTTACTAAAGAAACGAGAAGTAAGCTGGGAGTTTGCCACGTTTCTTCAGCACCGAGAATATCAACTTTAAGCAAGTGTACTTTCTCATGGCTATCAGTGATTTGAACAGATTCAGGAATTGCTCTCAGACTGGTAAAGGAAACAAAAAATAAGTATCTTTGAAAATAGTTTACACTGTTACCAATCATCACCTTGAGTGTTCATCGTGTGTGAACTGTGGCTTTCTCGGTGTTGGCTGATAACAGAAGACATGGTGCATTAAAGGGACGTGCTTCCATGTCTTATAGGAACATCTAACAAGCTCGTTTGGTCTCACTTCGGCAGTGGCAAACATTGGGAGTATCGAGCCAATAAAATCTGAGCAAAGACACAGCAAAGACCCAGAATATTCCAGGAGGTATTTCATAACATGAGATGTAAAATTAGAAGGGATATTTCCATGAATGACAACTAGACAGGCATGTTCTAATGACAAAACCCCTTCATCCGAAAAATTCACTATATAAATTGTATACCTAAAAAAAAGAAATATAATAGCGCAAGATAAGAAATTTATAAAAACACTCTCACCTGTCACGGATTAAACAGTTTTCTAAAGCTAATTTGACAGCCTCAGCTGAAGACGGACTGTCGGAAAGTATTATAATATTGGGAGGTTTGACCACCGTGCCATTCTCCTTTTCTTGAGTCTTTTTAGGTGTTGCAGGAAAAGATCGCAGTGAAGACATTGAAGTCGCAGTTGAATCTGCAGCTAACCTGTCATAAAAAAAATTGTATATCTAAAGTCTGATTTTTAAATAACTTGGCTTTAATAATAAAAAGTTTACTTTAGAAAGAATGTCTTACATAATACCGTCTTGTTCTCTGAATGAATATATATGATCATGCAGTCAAACATATTATTAACTTTAACTATAACATTTAATTTTGTTTACAATTATAAATTTATTTTGAATTGTATTAAATAATATGAATTTACATTTAAATACTTTTATTTATTTTTTGTAACAAAAAGGCAGATGAGGCGCCTGAGGCCTAGTCCCACTTCTGATGCTAAAAATGCATTAAAAACATGGTTAAAAGAAAGTGGCAGTGCCAGTGGGTCGGATTGGCATAGAAGCTATCATGTATCAAGAGCACTGTCAATAACATGACCCTTGGAGGATCTAACTCATATTACATGTACAGTATGTAGAGAAAGGTTGTTTGGGGGAGGGGGTCCCCCATTAATTGAAGGGTGGCACTCCTTGGCTTCATATAGAGTGTGTAAAATACCACCTAATTTGAGAATTGCCCTTGATCCCAGCAGCAAGTGTTGGATCCACTGTTCCCATTTTTCGAGGAAACAAGACTATTTTACTCTGTGCAGTACTTTATAGATGTCTCATCTTTTTTTTTCTTTTTTATTGATTATGTTTGTTGACTTGGGTGTGAGGTATGAGAGGGCTGTTGGCGGAGTAAATAGGAAGAATGTACTTAAGAATGAGTGAGAGTGTGAATGGGAGATTTATTACGTTATCTCAGTGCTGGATCGATAAAACTGAGGCCTGATCCCAGATTGCCAACACCCAGGGTGATTCTCAAGGCCTGCCAGTAATTTATTGCAAATTACAAAAGCTGGAATTGCCAGTACACTGCGAGAAGAAATAGGCTCAACTCTATCCACAGGTGTGTGCATGTACAAGCACGCACAGATTTGAGCTTTTACAAATTAGTATTTTATTTTTTTAAATTTATTACCTTCTAATAAACAGTTAAGAAAAATTCTAATGTGATATTAACAAATATATAATTTGTAATTTTACTCCGATTTTGCCGATTGATCTCTTTAAGTTAAAAACAAAATTCATAATTCAATCTCTTCTTATTTAAATTACAAAAATAAATAAATAAAAATAAAATAGAAGAATTTGTTTTAAATTGACATTGAGCCATAGCCAACTTGGGACTAAAAATAGTTGATGGTGCATGAATCTGCAAACTAAATCTACCAATGGCAATTAGTCATTTTGTCATGTTTTCCAAATTTGTAATTAAAAAATACATATATAGCATTTTGGGTTAGTGTTTTTTCTTAGATACAACATGACAGTCCTTGACAAAATTGGACATGCTTTTTTGAACATGGATCAATTCTAACATTCTAATGGCTATATATATCTTTGGTCAACTTTTTTCCAAATAATTTTACATGGTTTATATCCACAAATGAATATTATGTATGTATAACTAATGACCAGGAGACTGTGATGGTTAAAATTGTCATGCGTAAGAGGCCTTGTATTTGACACGTGATGGTTCTGTGTTCATCTTCATTACCATTGAAAAGTTGAATTTGAGAACACATCATCAGAAAAACCTAACTGTACGAGTTGGTTAAGTTTCCCTTTATTACAAAAATTACTTTACTTTTTTAAGATCACATGTTTGATTGAATAACTTTAAAAAAAAATAATAGATTCTTTTGTCTTATTCTTATTAAAAAAAAATAATAAAAAATAAAAAAAATTAAGTTAGATTTTTTAATTTAGATCAATGTGTTTAAGTTTAATTAGGACTGCTTAGGACCTCATAGAATACATGCATTTTCTTGGTCACCATAAAATCAAACACTGACATTTGTCAATTGTGAAAATATATCGCACTTTAAGCGTTGCCTCATTAATTGACAGTAATAAAATGAAGTTTCCTTGCATCACAGGAAGAACAGCTGCTCGATTTCCAAGTTTAGAAGGAAGAATAAAATAAACACAATTTATATTAAATTGTGAACAGACGAACTATTAAAATAGTGATTATTTTAGTCTCTATTTGTTAGTAAGAAGTAATTTATACTGATTAATTTGTCAGAAGAGGTTTTATGATAATAAAATTGAATACAGTTTTTTTAAAATTATGATTTTATAAGAGTGATTTATAGCAAGATTCCTGCTTATTCACTGAACCACATTTTCGCTATGACTGAAACATTTTGCATACCCTGCAGAACGTTTGGTTTATTTCATAAAAATTTTCATGTTCAGAAGGTATCTGGGATTTAATTTTCAATCACTATTGCTTAGTTAGTTTAATGATTTATTGAGCCACTGTCATAAATCTCAGCTGCAAAAAATTAATTTGAATTACATTTTTCTAAATTGCAAAAGCAACATCAAACTGCAGAAGATGAGTATTGTTTGATAATTAAATGCTTTAATTATAATAAAAAATTATTAAAACCTCTTTTACTTTTTACATCTTAAAATTATTTACAAATAATTTATTTAATTTAAAAGAATAAATTTAGTTTAAAATAAATAAAAATTATGCTAAAATTCAATTTTTGACCAGAATTTATAGATGAATTACCGAGTGGAACCTTGGGCTGTGGACATCTCAGTACTTGGATTTGAAACACTTAAAGTGGGACTTTCAACTGTACACGTATTCGATGTTATTGACGAACATTCACCATTTGAGATTTCCTCTTGAATAGATTGTTTTGGTGATAAACTTTTGCACTTTGGACTTCCTGGTACCAGTTTTACAGCCCTGTGTAAACATATTGTTTATAAAACAATTTTATTTTTTTTGGGGGGGGGTTTATGTAATGTTAAGACGTACCCAACTCCAGAGCCCGGGTGTCTTACAGAGATATCCTGATGCATGCTTTTAACTTGAGATATGGCATCGCAAAACGTGCAAAGCATAGAAATATGAGCTCTCCAGCGGCCCATAAAACTGTCTTTCAGTTCTTCCTTTGTCATAGCTTAAAACAATACCTTCTTATTATAAAGGTCAATGAATTAATCACTGTATGTGAATATATCAAAGTATAATCTGAAGTCATTAAATTAATACATTTTCTTTTTTATTTATTTTAACATAAAGATTATTGACTTACAGGTGTCAAGTTGTGCGTATGTCTCTGGGATACATTTAGTGTTTTCTATTTTGTAAGGTGTCCCTGTAGTTTTTACACCTGAAAATAATAAGCCCAGACATAAGATAAAATAACAACCAGCCAAAATTTTAAATGAATTTACTTTCTATTCTCATTATTTCGATTCCATTTTCAAGGGTGATGTTTTGCTGCATGAATACCAATGTGAGGTAAGCCAATTTGTCATCGTTCATTTCGAGCAAAATACATATCCTGTCGCCAACAAACCAAGCGATGGGATTACCGAGATCTTCAACCTAAAGAACCATTATGGGTATGTTGTGTCAATAAAAATGAAAAATCAAATAACAGACCTGTAAAACCTTTGAGGAATAGTTAAATTGGCAGGTGTTGTAATTCGCTTCGAGAAGCACTTGGATCTTGTCGTCAGATGGAAAATTGTGCCTGAACTCATTTAGTTGAATTGGTAAATGTGTCCTTCCAGGCAAAACTTCTACCCAACCTGATATGTCTAAAACTTGCTAGAAATTTTACAAAAAACACTGATGATCATTTGATAGCATTCTAGTTTACATTAATAAAATTCTAAAAAAATCAATTAAGGAATAACAAACTATAAAATAAAATCAATTAAGGAATAACAATATCCAAAAAAATGCCTGGATAACAAGCATCTCAATGAACAAATAATAATGATAAAGAACCTTTATCAAAATCTATGTTACATTAATATTATAACATTTATAAGGAATACTTAATTATTAAAATAAACAAACCAATAAAACTTCAAATTAATGGAGTAGTAACAATAACAATGATTGAAAAATTATTCCTCTATTATCAATTTTTGTGCAAAAAATATTGTGGTAAGGGCTGCAATGAACCTGTAATTTGATCATTACAGATCATCTTGCCCTTCAGACGTATTTCAACATTCACAGATATATTAAAAAAACACCCTGTCTGAATTGGGGAAAATTAATATTTCAAATGTGAACAATAAAATTGTTACACAGGGAATCGAAGATCCAGCCATCTATTTTAAATTCCTACAAGTGTGTTTCCAACTCCATCACTCTTGTCAAATTAGTCAAGTAAAGTCTTTTTCAAGGTACAAATATTTTTTTATAAATAAACAAACAGAAAATAACTTTGAAATGTAACTTCAGATTATGAACTTAATTAGGCTTAATTATTTATTTTGTACATTCAGAATTATATATTTTTTTGTGTGGCTGATATATTTTTCTGTCCTACTTCCTTTCAAACTGAATATGTACCAGGCGAAAAAGAAAGTTAAAAAAAGTTAAGTGATGTCTCTAACATTCATGCTGCTTCTTTTATTATTTTTATTAGTGCAAATTATATGGCCTATTTACATATATACAATATTGCATATTTGAGGCTTTATTTGTGTATATTATATGGCACTTTTATTTCATGTAAATTTAGGCTGTAGTTATAAGCAAGTATGATACATGTGGAATACTCCATATTCAACATGTTCAAGAAGTAAGCAGCAATGAGGAATGTGCGCACAAATTATTTATTTAAACATGACAATCGACTTACCATAGGATTGACAACATATTATTTTATCTACACTAAAAGAATTCAAGTGTGTTTCTTGAGCTATGAACCTATTTCTCATCAGAATCCAAACCCAACAAGAAGACACTATAAAATATTCACAATCTGACATTTTATAAACACAATCTTGAGATGTTTTAAAAGCAAAATTTATTGTTTTAAGAAAATTGATCTTGAATTGCATACTTATAATTTAGAAACTGTAACCTGTTACTTTATCTATCTACTGTACAACCTGTCCTATTCTTACTGTATTTGGCTGTCAGCATTTTACCATGACAGATCACTGAATATAGAAGTCTAATAAACAAAACCAGAGGGAATAGGAAGGTCAGGATGATCGGGACAATCAAGCTAGAGGAATCCCTTAAGTATCACGAAGTCAAAGTTGTTTTTTTAGTAATAATAATGTTTCCAATTAGTGACTTTCCATTAACAAAATCGACCAGCTTGTCTGTACATATGTAATGCATATATGTTGATGTGAAAGTAAGGAACGTGCTGAATAAATTACCTTTACCTTTGGATAGATAGAAACCATTCTTTTACTTGAAGCGTACAGCATCAAATCGGCAATCTGTCCATTCCTGTAATTCTGGCAGTAATCAGAGAGAACACTGGTTACGATTAATTTGCGTTGAACGCCTAAAGAAAAGCGATTCAGCCGAATGAAAAACATGATAACCATCGACATCAACATTGCTTGTTAAGATACTTGCCTCCGTTATACGACAAATAAGGTGGCAGCTCTTGATGGACGACGACAGTACCTTGCTTTCTGTGGACGGTACTAACTTTGTGCAGTATCGTGTTCAATCTCCTTGACTGCAGCCATGTTGCCGCAATGTAATACACTGTTAACATGCTAAATTTTAAAAAAAATATATACACACATTAGTACCTTGTCCTCAATTTATATATTTTCATTGATCAAATACAAAACACTGACTTGATTAAACTCTAAGACACCCCCTTTCAATTCCTCATTGGCTATTTATTTTTAAAATTGATTTAATAAATTACATCAAAGTTAAATATTAAAAATATGATAATTACAGGTTGATTGTGAGAATTAAACGACGTTGTTTATAATTTTAATGTTAAATATCCACACAAACTCATTTACATTACAACCCTTGAAATACAGAAGTTATTTTTATTATAGTTGTTATAATTTAAAATTAAAAGATTGTATTTAGGTTACAGCATATAAGCACTATACTGTAACCTCCACAAAATCTCATTGACATACTGTGGCTGGAGACTTATTTTTAAAAAAACCTTTACTCCAACTCTTGAAATAGACAATTTAGCAGTTTAAATTTAAAATTTTCATCCAGGAAATTGTTTAGTCGTATATTTTTTGTTTGATTTATTTTTTATTTTTCCTTTTATTGATCGGAATTGATTTGGCGGGTAAAGGGTGTCTCCAGGGAGATGGCTTTGACAACATCCGGGCTTTTTTCCACCAGCATATAGGTATGCGTCCAAAAAAAAGAGACAAGGATGGCGTTTAGAAGAAGAAATGTTGAAAAGGACCCTTTAGAGGACCTGGGAAGCGATTTGTCAGATATTTCAGATGTCAAACCAGAAGACTTGGATAAAATTCTCAAGGTAATAATAAACCAAAATTGCCCTGATGCAAAATTTATTTTTAATGAAATATATGCTAAAAAATTACCAAGGTAATATTTCTCTGTTAATATTTTATAATTTGAAAATACTACAAACATATTTGTGAAAAACATATAACATAAACAGTATACTTGCTATATGCCAACATAGAAACATTACATATATATTGACAATAACTAGCTAAAGCTAGATAATTTGTTTTATATGTTTAATATTTCTCTATTAATTTTGTTTTAAATTAATTGATGAAATATTTACAAAAAAACCATCCATAACAACACAATATGAATATAATATAATAACTCAGTAATTCTCATAATTTGAAATGCCTATTTTATGCCAATAATTTTAGGAAAAATCACCTAGGCTAACAATGAAGATGGTGAAATGCATGAACCTGTCTGATAGACTAAATCAGGGAGAATAGGCATTTAATTGCCTTTAAATTGATTGAATAGACATAGTACATACAATAAAATTAGCTAGCTAGATAATTTGATATGTATCTTTAATATTTTTCTGTTATTTTGTTTTTAATTAATTGAATTAATTATTGATGAAATATTTATGGAAAAAAAATTAAACCATTCATAAAAAGAAAAAAACGAAAGACAACAAAAACAAATTATAAATATAAAAGCCCTCGTATTTTGAAATGTATGTAGCATAAACATAATATACATATTATATGCCAGTAATTTTGAAAATTTTTCTAGTCCTAATAATGAAGATGGTAAATGCCAAAACGTGTCTGATAGACCAAACCAAGGATATAGACCAAAAATGATCGGTAACGACCAAATTCATCACCTTGCAGACCCCCTGGATTAATTGGACATTCATTCTGCTTCTTTGTTATTTTTAGTTCATTTTATATGGCATATTTAAGGATTTTTATTGCTTATAAATCTGGGACTACTTAAAATGTATAAATATGGATAATCCATTACTTGTATAAAAATATATTAGATATTTATATATTAAATTGTATTTATGAAGTTAAAAGTATTCCTGTAACTGTTTTTATAATAACTTTATAAATATAATAATTTTAATTCAGTAACCTTTTTTTCTATGCCTGTCAATAAATGCAAGCTTGTTATACCTTTTATAATACAATATGTATACAGTAAATTATTAATCTAATACTGTACAACGTTGCTGATGATGGGTATATATTGTCAAAATGACCAAGTAAATGTTAATAAATTATGTTTTTACTTTATTATTATTAAAAAAAAAAAAAATAGTTATTTTTGTAGTGCTAGCATATATTTATTATCATTCATTATAAACAATATAGACATTGAAAATATCTTAGAATGTATTTTTGTTGCAGAGTGCTGATGATTTGGATAATGAAATTTTTGCAGATAAAGTTAAGTCACCCAGGAACAGCTCTTCTGATGTGAGATCAAATTTTTCTGTTATATGTTATTTTATTGTATGGAACGGATCTTTTTTTTTATATTTAACATTCATTTAGGTTTTTTAATTATGTATTTACTTATTGTATTTAGTAAATTTAGTAGTTTGACACTGAGACTAAGAAATTGTGTGTCTGTAGATCTATGGAGGGCGATCGACAATTAAAGAAAATTGTAAGTTTTTAAAGTTTTTATTTTTAACTTGAATAATCTGCATTTAAAGTAATTTTAATATTGATTAGATGAACCTTCAAGTAACTATAATTTGAAAGAAGAAGAAATCCCTCCTAAACGAGGGTATAAAAGTCAAACTGAGTAAGTGAATTTGTGTTACTTGTGAAACCATGTAATTAACCCCTATTGTATTTAGATTTGATAAAGATGAAAGCACACTGCCATCGACAAATAAAAATCGTGGCTCTGGTGATTGGCTAGGGTTAAAGGATAATCAAGGTGAGCCATCAAGTACCAAAGAAAGCTCAAACCTGTTCAAAGAGCCACTTTTTGGTGAGAAGGAAACCCTCCCAAAAGAAAGGCTATTGGCAAGAAGCAAAACTTCTGACAGTCTGCTAAATGTGAAAAAAGAAGAATCAAAGACCCCAAAGCCTTCAAAACCTGCATCGGCAAGGAAAAGAGTGAATATTTTGGATAATCTGTTTGGCGACTCGCTTTTAAAAAATGAAACTAAAACTCCTGGAGTTAATTCAATCACAGGTTGATTTTTATTAATATTTCATTACTGTCAATAACTACAAAGAGTTCTTCCTCCCTTAGGGCTGGGCTTGTCACCAGAAACACATGAAACAAATGAAGATACCAACAAATACACACCTTCACTAACTTCTGCAAGGAAACTAGACAAAAGGAAAGACACTACACCACTAGGCTTGGGGTAATTTTTATAACATTTTATTTGTATTATATGACATTTCAATTTTTGCATTTCTAGCTTTGATACAGATATCGATTGGGTATTAGGCCCTAAATCTCCTGCCATTGTACCTACTGAAGAAAAAAAACATGAAGACAAACTAGCCCATTCAACCACATGTAGTTATTTATGTTGTAAATCGAGTCTATTTATATTTTAAGTGTAAATTTTTATAGTGCATGAGAATTTGGGACCAAAAGATTCATCTATTATTTCACCTGCTGTACTCCCTGATAATTCTATTAGGTTTAATGAGAGGGAAGTTTCTAAATCGCAAGTCATGACTAAAGGTAATATTAAGGTCAGAATATTAAGTTTATTTAAAAAAAAATTACGTTTGTTTTTAATTTAAAGGAAGAAGTGGTCTTTTAGAAGTCCCAGAATGGCTAGGAGGGATGCAGAAAGAAGAAGCACCACAAATGTCACTATCGGAGAAACAAAGTGACAATGATACAAAGCAAGGTACGATTTATTCAATGTACACATGATAAAGTGTATCTACTTCCAAAGGTTCTTTCAGAAATTCCTGAAGTGGATAATGTCATTAACCAGCTGGGAAATATTAAGGTCCAATTGGGCGCCGCTATGGCTAGGCACAACCAGAATTTGCAGAATTACATGCAGGTAATTTTTGTCATGGTAATGCACAGAATCATTCATAAAATTATGCCTTTTTTTTTTACAGGTTTTAGTAAATGAAGCACGTCGAATGTCTTGTGCTGAACAGCTAATTGGCCCTAACAGACCTCCAGTTTCAAAAGTGGCCAGCAATGATGAAGTTACAATGAAAGAAGATGTGGAAATGGAAGATAGCAAGAAACAGCTAGAAATTTCTCAAAAGAAAGACGATGGCTATTTAGAAACTATTCGTTTTCAGGAGGATAGAATTCATGACTTAGAGGTCAGCATATACAATTTTTCTTAAAAGTTTTGATATGTCAATTTCATTTATATTTAGGTTAAAATCGCAAGGATGGATAGCCAAATTGAACAATTAAATATGAAAATTGAAAGCAGTGAAACTTTAAAAAATTTGGAAATTGATAATTTGAAACAAGCCCATGAGTATGCCACTCGCAATTTTACAAATAAAAATAAATAAGAAAAGAATCTAATGAAATAATAATAATAATAACAGGTTAGAAGTTGAAAGCTTAATGAAACGTCTGGAAAGGGGTAAAACAACGTATGAAGAAATAATTAATGAACTAGAAGAAAAAATAATTAAGATGAAGGTAGGACATAATCTTTTAATAAATTCCCTATTACAATTTTAAAAAATATGCTTTTTGTAGAGTCGAGAAGATGAAATTGAAAAAATGAACAAAGAAAGGATTGAAACACTTCAAGCAGAACGCCTGGAGGAATTAGAAAAAATAAAAGAGTATCACAAAATGGCTTTGGAGCATACTTTATACTCAACACAACCAAATATGTAAGAAAAAATTGATTCATTATAAAACAGGAATAATAATTAATGCTTGAAGGCTACAGCTTAAAAAAAATCTTGATCATCCTGTGCCACCGGTCACATTTTGGTATTTCACAAACTATTATAGCCTTTAAGAAGTACAATACAAAATAAAACACACTGAATCACTGAAGATGGTGAAATACCTAAACATGTTTGTTAAATAGGCCGACCAGAATGATCAGGGATGATAAAAGTAAATACTCCAATTACATTAGTTTGGAAAATTGTGAAATTTGGTATAAAAATGTTCTCATAATGTAACTGAATCAATTGAAAATCTTTTTAGTTTTAATCTTACACTAAATCAGTTAATAAGATTCACAGCATAAAACTACATGCATATCTTTCAGTACGGGCATTCAATTTTCAAAGCAGTTGAGACCTGTGGATGACATTGAATTATCAGATCGTGAGGCAACACTTTTAGAAAAAGAGAAACAAGTTGAAAGTAAATTATTTATTTAACCTTTTCAATAAAAAAATTACAATGTATCCATTTTTTCTATTTTATTGTATGTTTTTATAGTTTTGAAAGCGGATCTGGCTTTCCAAAAGAAACAACTAGATGAAGCAATTGAAAGGGAAAAAGTTATGAGGGAAGAAAGAGAAAGGGAAATGCGACGAGTTCTGCTAGAAGTACAGTTTAAAGAAGAAATGAACAACAAAGATTTTGAACGAAGGAAGCAGCAGCTAGACACCCAAGAAAAACAAATTCAAGTACGTACTACTTAAATAATACAGTAATTGTATTATAATTAACTGAAAATTTGTGAATCTAGCAAATGAGGACAGAAGCATTGAAAGAACAAACAGAAATTGCAAAAGAGAAACTCACGCTTGCAGCCGAGAGGGCGAGAATGGACGCTGCATTAAAGATGGAGAGACCTAACGAAGATGGCCCTCTACTCCAACCACTTGACTTAATGAAGGTTAAAAAAATGTTATGTTTATGGATGAACAATGGTTAATTAAATTGTTTAATGAGCAGGCTAGGATGGAAATGGAAGCTGCTTTGGATGCAGTGAGGGAAGCAAGGGAGATGGCAGACGAAGAAAGAAGGCGGCATGTTGAAATGAGAAAAGTGGCTGAAGAAATTACTTGGGAACAAAAGAACAAGGATCAGCAGCTGGAAATGCGAGAGAGGCATATAAACACTGTCTTGAAAGTAAGATTAATATAAAACTAACTTTCCCTATACAATTTTAATGTTACAAGCTTAAAATAAATATAACTAACAAATTATGTTAGGATGCTGAAATGACGAAAGAAGAGGGAATTGACTCTCTCAGGAAAGCTGAAGCACTCAGGAAGGCAGTTGATGAAAAAGAAAAAGAACTACGAACAATAATAATTGAAATTGATACAAAAGAAAAGGGCCTAGCTAAAGTAAGTGTGTTAAATTTGGAATTTTTTTTTTTCAGAATGCCATTATAATGAATGATAATTAATCTTTAAGGAACGTTTGGAGATAGCAAAAGAAAGACTTGAACTTGAAAAGCAACAGTCCCTTCTAGAGGCATTTTTGCCTACACTTCATCCATCAGAGGAGCTTAAAGTCACACCTCTGAAAATTGATGATGGAAGGGTAAAAAATATTTTAAAAAATAAATAAGCATTGTAACAAATTTTAAATATATTTTCAATTTCAGGGCTATATTGACCCAAAAGAGCTTATAATGAGACTGAGGGCGGAGAAAGATTTGGGCTTTCTTCCTGGCCAAAAATTATGACATTGGCTATTTTTGAAATTCACTATGAGAATTTATTGTATTTGAATATCATATGTTCACTTTTATATGCATTTCTTAAGATTGTTAATAAAGTTTAAAAAGAAGGACAAATTTGTGTTCAAGTTTAATTGTAAGAATTTGAGTAAGAAGTAAAATTAATAAATAAACTTACTTATAGTGCTTGAAATTCAATAATAAAACATATTTTTCACACATTTTAATTTAAGTTTATTATTGTTTATTTTATCCAATCACACAAGCTTTCAAAGTTAAGGAAAAATCTAATCGAACCGAGGACTTATTCTTTACCCATTGTCTGATGGATCTACATTTTTGGCAATTTTGTAAGCTGCAAAAGGGTTCAAGGCTGATAGGTGTCGTAATCAGGCGGCTGTAATAAAGTATTAATTGGTCAAGCGGACCACAAAATTAGTGAATTTAATTATATTATATTTAAAAAAAATCTTGTGATGTCATAAAATTGATTTTGAAAGCCAGAAATAAAACTTTACTGTAGACCTTTCCAAGCAGCTTTACTATGCTCATAGCACTTGAAATTCGATAATAAAACTTATTCTTTATACACTTATAGTATGTAACTTACACACATTTTAACTGTAAGTGTACTAAGCTTTTATTTCTTTTAAATATGCATTAAAAACAATGTGTAAAAGTAGAGAAAATTAAAAAAAAAACACTTTGAAATGGCATATTTCTGTAATGGGTTGAGATAGAAATGAGTGGTTAGTGGCATTAACTACATTTTTGGTCTAGTTTCACATACCCTATTTTTGCTTGAAATTGGTTAAATTCTTTCAGCATACTTTCTGAGAATGAACTATGGGCATATTTAAATGGTAAGAACTGAACTATTTAGTTTTTCAGTTGTACTTATTATTTTTATCCTCTAAAATATAGAATAGTTTAAATTTGTAAGATGTATAAACAAAAATAAAAGTAACATAAACATGGAATTCATATATCAAAACAAAATTTATATAAATTCCTTTCCCTTTATGTAATTAAAGAAGAGACATTTTTAAAAGCAATGTACTAAAAAAAATAATTATTTAAAAAATTACATAAAATGTCAATAGTCAAATAAATTGAATGTATACTGCTACCACTATTTTGAATAAATGTGTTTTTTGTTTACTTTTGTAATGTATAAAACTATTTGTGAGCTCACAAATCCTGTTTTCAAGCCCAAGTCAAACTTAATGAGGCTGTTCATTTTGCATTATCTTGTTCTACATTATCGTTTATTTTTTGCTCAGAATAATGTATTCAATGTACAGCAAATTAATTAATTTTTGTCATTTCTGGAATAAGAAAGTATTTTGGAGGAAAAATATTATCCATACTATCGAGTTTTTTGTTGATTGCCTTTCATTCTTAAGTATATATAACTTTGTTGTTATAATCATGAAATAACCTACTACAATGTAGAGTGTCATGTTTGACAATTCGCCGCGATAACATCATTAATTGTCAGTTTCTCTTTTTGACACAGGACGAATTCTTTTTCCTGTTTTTTATTAATTAAAAAATGGAAGAAGAATTCCTAGCCAAGAACAACCCATGTGGGCAAACTTTGCTCGAATTGGTATCAAGAGGGAACGTTATAATCGCCGAATTATTAAGGCTCAAAGATCATATACCAGCAATTTTTAAGTGAGTTCTTGAACTGAGTGAAAAATAAAATTGTTAAATGTAAAGTTTTAATTTATTCTATTTTAATAACTACTTACACAGTACAACTGTAAGTTCTGCTATTGAGGATTTTTATTGCTTGTCCTAGTTGTAACGGTTGTATTGTATAGTATGTATATTGTATGCTATCAAGGGCATTCAACTCCAAGGCTTCATATTTGCACGTTATGTGTGAAAACAAAGCACAAATTAAAAGTTAAACTGCTTCTTCATTTCAGATTAGAAACTAAACAGGATGTTCAAAAATATGGGGAAATATTGTTGGATTTTGGATATTTCAATTCTCCTGAAGTAGTTGAGCAAAAGATTGAAAACAGTTTGGTGAATAATCACGGATTTTTATGTAAATTTTTAATTAATAAAGCCCGGTGTTTCAGACTTTAAGAGAACTGTCCGAAGAAATACGAGAGTATTATGGAGATATTTTAATTAGATTTTACAATGCTTATGAAAGTGTTTACAAGTATATTTCTGATCTTAATACCTTCATCGAAGAACTTGAAGAAGGTGTGTACATCCAACAGACCATGGATACTGTTTTTCTTAGTGAAGATGGCATGCAATTAATGGTATTGAAAATTAAAAAAAAAAAAAAAAAAAAAAAAAATGTATATGATTTAAAATTGTATTTTAGTGTGAGAGTGTGTATTTGTATGGAGTAATGTTGTTCATACTTGATTTGTACCATATCGGTCCTGTTAGGGAGAGATTGATTGTATCTTATTCTCGTTACAACATAACTGTTGTAATGTTGGATCAGGTTTGCAAGCTGATGCGCTGCAGTGGTTTTATTAATGGCACAAATAACAAACGGCCGCAAAATTACCCACAGGACTTGTTCAAGTATGAGTTTCTTCTTATTAAGAAAAAAAACCTTTGTCAATCATTGAAATTTGCCTTTTCAGGAGAATCCCAGTCAATGAGAAACTGGTCAGTGTGATCATTGGAAAGTTGAGGACTGATGACATTTACCATCAACAAAAAGCACTGCCGCTTCCTCAGCACAAGACGACAGCATTGGCCCAGCAGTCTGCAATTTTGTTTGTCGTACTGTTCTTTGCTTCAAATATTCTTCATAACCAGACTTCCAGAATGAGAGAAATCGTTGATAAATATTTTCCAGATAATTGGGTTTGTTAGAAAGAAAAACTCCTTCAATTTAATTTTTTTATATTTAGTTTCTTGCTGGTTGTTAATACATGTAATTACTTTCTAGATTGTTAATATTTATATGGGCATAACAATAAATTTAATTGATATTTGGGAACCATTTAAAGCTGCAAGGACTGCATTGGCAAATACTCTCGAGACTGTTAACATTCAAGAATGCGCCTCAATGTACAGAAAGGACCTAAATGTAACTTTTTCATCAAAAAATTTAATAATGTATTATGTTAATAGCAATGGTTTTTAGAGGCTCCTTGTTGAAACAGATGAGATGCTGATGGAAGGAAAGTTGACAAAATCATTTCTTATGGATAATGTAAGCAAGATAGTTTCACTAGCACGGGAGTGTAATGTTACACTGCGCTGGCTGATGCTGCACAGGGCACAGCGGGTGACGTTTGTTGAAACGCTGAAAAAATGCAAGACAGTGCGTGACGAGGTTATTTCAATGGTAAATCACTCGGACAGTAAAATACTTCAACTACTTCTCAACACAGCTCAGTTTGAAGTTATAATTTGCAACATGTTCAAGACAGTGAGTTACTTCAGTAATTGTTGATTAAAAATTCACACTTTGAAACGATAACATTTCCAATTTTTTTTAACAGGTTTTAGATCAAAGAAGTGATGAGTGGTCAGAAGGGAAAAAAGAAAGTTTAATTCGTATTAACGAGTTGTCAGAGGTTTTTTCTGGAAGTAAACATATAATGAGAGTGAAAAAGAATGGTATTTAATAATTTTCAAAAATTGTCTTTGATTGTAAAGTAATTATGAAACTATTTATCTAGATAGTTTAAAGAAATGGTTTGATGGGATTGCTGAGCAGATTGAAACTCTAAGCCTCGATGAACCAAACATCTCTGCTCGGAAGATCGCCCAGCTGATTGAAGCCTTGGAAGAAGTGCAAGGTAATATGTTCATATATTAAAAAAGCGTTCATGTGAATATTCACAGTTTGTTATAGTCTTTCAGCAGATGACAAGGAATCTAGGGGTTAAACAACTTGCAACAGAAACTTGTTCTTTACTTAGGAACATGCTGGCAGCGGTGAACATCCGAGATACTCTTTATGTTCATATGCAGATAATTGGCGATTTCAGCTATGGTTGGCTTGTTATTGACAATTATACACACTTGATCCAGCTGAGAATTAAGCAAAACCCAAGTCTTGTTCATAAACTAAGGGCAATGTTTTTAAAGGTCAGTACTCACAAATGGTAATTGTTATTGGGATGTTAGCCAATATTAGAAATGGAATACTTGTTTAGTTAAGTTCTGCAATGGAAACATCGCTTTTGAGGATAAACCAAGCAGAGGATAAGAATCTTCCTTCAGTATCACAATACTACAGCAATCAACTTGTCAAGTATGCGAGAAATCTTCTTCAAGTTATCCCAAGGGAGATGTTCCAGATAATGTCAGAGATTACAAAAATACAAACAACCCAAATCCCTGATTTGCCGACGAGGATGGAAAAAGATAAAATTAAAGAGTTTGCTCAGCTTGAGGAGAGATTCCATGTATCGAGGCTGACAAATGAAGTGTCCGTTTTTTCTACTGGGCTTTTGAACATGCCCAACACTCTTGTTGGGATCGTATGCGTAGAGCCAAAACAACTGCTTGAAGAGGGCATCAGAAAAGAACTATTTTTACATATTAACAAAGCTTTTGAAACTGGACTCACTTTCTCTTCTAAATTAAAAGTATAAATTTGTTTAAAATTTGTAACTACATTCCTTGCTTTTTAAATAAATATATTTTTTTTAGAGTTCTGATTTGGTTTTGAAACTAGAGGAGCTTGGAATGGTAATGCAAGGGCATAAAAACTCTTTTGAATACATCCAAGATTACATGGGGATTAATGGTGTTAAAATGTGGCAGGTAATACTTGTATTATGACTGTTTGCTATTGATTTTTCACAAATTCAAAAATTTACATGTTAAGGAGGAATTTAAAAGAGTTATAAATTCAAAACTTGAAGATGATTGTCGATTACTGAGAACTAAAAGTGCTAATTTGGACCTTCAAACTATTTCTTTCATCGGTAGACTCTGTAAACACATCATAGAGATAACTGATCCAAAGTAATTTGCAATACGATTTGTGTTTTTTTATACTCCTCTTAAAATTATGTTTTTCAGAGTGACATTTTTTTCTGAGCAAGATACTTTATGGCTTGATCGGAAGACAAAAGCAAAAATAATAGATCTTAAGTTTTTCAAGACTTTGATGAAGGCCATTGGCGTTCCAGGGCTTGTTGCTGTCAACAAAATAATCTGTTTTATTATCACTAAACAGCTTCAGGTAAAAATTTATCATTATCAGTTTTAAATAAGGTTAATTACAATAATTGATTTTCTTTTGTAGAATTTGGTGAATTTTTTATCAAAAGAAGCGAGTAACAACAAAGCTTGGTCAGATATATTTGGAAACCTTTCAAAATCATTGAGTCCATGCTCGTTGATCATAGGTAGATTATTAATGAAATTAGAAAATATTGAATGAATATAATTTATATTAACATTAATTGTAATACATACAATTTCTTCATTTTATTATCTTAGTTCAATACAAGTTTAATTTTTAAAGCAACAGTGTTTTATAAAAAAATTGCATACGTTTGTTTTCAGACCAGCCAGCGAAATTTTACCCAAATTCTGTGAACAAACTGCAAAAACTGTTCTCAGCAGGGCTTTTCGATACTTTGATTTCTGTAGGCCAACTGCAACTTCTACGCAAACAGATTTGCTTCACTTTGAATCATACTGCGAAAATACATGCTCGAAATTACACATCTTCTCTTTCAGTATTGAACGAGTAAGGATAACTTTAGTCTAATTGATTGTTTTCATACATCCGATACAATATAGATCAAATGTGTCCAAAATTGATTCTAACATTTAGAACATGTTGAATGTCAGATTTGGGTGTCTCAAGTTCAAAATAATGGGGAAGTTTATGCAATAGAACACATTGCAGGGGACCGCAATGGCCGATTAGTTAGGGCATCTGACTCGTATTTGCCATGCCACGGTCCTGTGTTCAAATCCCAGAATAGACCATGGATTTTTAATTGTGAAAATATGGAGAAAGTATTGTAAGATGGTTTGAACCCTTGTCCGTGACATCCAATGGGTAATTGGACATTAAGCCCTCCTGTACAATAGGAATTATTTTACTTTTTTTAAATGAGTGTGTGATGATTAGTGATAGTTAGTTGATGATTATTTGGAGATGCGGTCTGGTGTGGTGTAGGTTTCAAAAAAAAATTTTCTTTATTGAGATCATCTTCAGGGCCTGGGATTTACAAATATTGTTTAAATTTAACAAATACACGTAGGATGTGGAAAAAAGTGAATTTATACAATGCAAAAAATATTTTTTATATGCAATCAAAGTGTTTGTTTTCTGAGTAATTGTGCCATTCTTGCGTGCCGTGTTGAGAGTACTAGTGATATATTGCTGTTTTATGTTTATATACATTGGATGTTGAAGGGGTAGGGAAGGAAGTCAGTATAGAAAGACATTTTTGTATAAGGAGTCGGCTTCTTTGAGGTGAAAAGAGCCGACGAAGGGAAAAAATGTTGGTAATGGCTCGGCCAGATTATCCTTTCAGGATTATATAGACGGGGATAAATAGGAAAAGGAAAGTTAAATTGTTGAAAAATTAGACTATGTAAAAATGTTTGATGTGTGGAATGTGATGAGTGTTTTGTGTGATGTGATGATATATGTATGTTATCTATATTGAATTTGATTAATGATATTGGCGTAGCTGAGACTGAGTGCGACACTTTTTTCCATATCCTACATGTATTTGTTAAATTTAAGTAATGTTTGTAAATCCCAGGCCCTGAAGATGATATCAATAAAAGATCGAAACATTGGCACGATAAAGAAAATGTTTTTCTGCAACCTACATCACACCAGACCGCATCTTTTTTAACGTTTTTACAATAGATTGCACACAATCAATCATTTAAGAAGTTTAGAATATGATTAAATGGTTCAAACTTGGAATATTATTTTTTTTTAATCAAGACTTTAAATATTATTAATTATTGTTCAGTATCTATAGTACAATGTAAAAAATATTTTAGTGGGTTGCTTTTTGAGGTGAAACAACATTTGAGAGATCCTAAATTGTTTTGCCCTCCTTCAGAAGAACTTATGAAACTAGCGCCTTTATTGGATTCTGTTGGACTTAGTGATCCTTACATGCAAATTTATATCACAACGAAAGGCCTGCCTTACATGGGACTCTTGCTTTTTTTGTTTACATCGTCATTCATGAGTAAATTCAGCCTCGACAAAACCACAGGTAAAAATCACAACTTGTTGTTTTTGAATAAAATGTAACTTTTTTCATTCAGGCAACATGACATGCAAAAAAACCGGAGAAGGTTTGACCCCGTTCACAATAGGTTTGCAGACGTTATTAAGACAATTCCATCCACAGGTCACAGACCATTATATCACTTATGCCTGCCAGTACATAAAGTCACATATGTTTACAATCTCTATGTAAGTATGCTGTTTAATACGTCATCGTACCATACTGATATCATGTGTTTTAGAAATAGTAAACCCGAGATTCCACAAGAAGCTCTAAGCATGTTGCAGTTCCTGGAAGACCTCGTGGAATATATTGGATGTGGCAGAAATTCAATCGCTCAACATATTCCTCTTGTGATTGTCAATCTTTTTGGGCGAAGCATTGCTGCTTATACTGACTCTTAATGCCAATTTAAAAGTATATATTTAAGAAAATGTATTTTTGTGTGTTACTTATTCTTTATGTATATCTTTGTTAAATAATTGTATACTATCAAACATTTTATTAATAAAAATATAATTGTTGTTAATTTATGAATACAAGAAAATTCACATACATAGGTACCTATATGTACCCTTAAATACAAGGGAGAAAAAATTTGATTTCTTTACAAAACGTATACTTATAAACTACTTAATATTTACAAGCTTTTTCGCTTGCATCTGGTAGTGCACATCATGATTTCACTTTTAGTAAATCCTTAATTTTTCATAGAATTCAAAAAATTAGGTCAAATCACATACATAGTCCTGATAATGTACATCCTTTAATAGTGAAATTATGTTCCTCACATCTAGTCAAACCTCTTTTTATGTCATTTAATACATATACAGTCGTTAATATTTGTAAAAAAATCTTTTATTTTACCTGTTTTTGAAAAAGGTGACAGAACAAAAATTGTTAATTATTATCTATTTGCTAAGTTGTCTTGAATTCCGAAGTTATTTGAATCTTTTTGTGCTTGTGCAATTGCTAATCACTATTTTCATTTGACTGCAGAAGCACAACATGCTTTAATACCTGGTAAGTCTACAAATAATCTCTTGGTTTTTCGTGAATTTTTTATCAATGAGATTGACAAAGTTTCCCAGGTTGATGCAGTTTACACTGATCTTTTTAAAGCATTTCATTTATATTGGCTTTAACCATCTATTGTTTCAAATTCAATGCCTTGGTATTCATGGTAGGTTGCTATCTTGGATTGTTTCATCTTTGAAATGCTGTGTGTTTTATTTGGTGAAAAAATTTTCTGGGTTTATGGTTACCTCTGGCATCCCACAGGGTTCTAATCCCAGACAACCAGTTTTTTTTAATATTGTATCAATGATTTCTTCTGGTATGAAAATTCTTCTTTATTAGCCTTTGATATAAAGATCTATAAAGAAGTAGAATCTATCAATGATTGTGACATCCTTCCAACTTTGCTTGAGTTTTCTGACTGGTGTTCTGGAACTGGTCTTTATATTAATGTGAATAAGTGTAGTGTAATTAGATTTGACCATAAATTAACTTTTATGGCCTATGATTATTGTATTAATGGTTTGTCAATTATACATGTTAAAATAATTTGTGATTGGATTTGATCAAATCTTTTTTTTTTATTGGTTGTAGAGTAGACCATCATACTAGGCCCATGTCCAATTGATTGGCCTGTTTCAATTTGTGCCCATGCTCGGTGATTAAGATATTAGACTGCTTATTTTATTTTAAAATGTTGAAATGGATCTATTAATTGTTCATTACTAAGTTGGATTCAGGGCACACATTTTTCAACAAACCCTATGATGTAACTTGTTATGGTAGAATTTAAGTTTAGGCTGTTTGTTGAATATAGTACAGTAATTAAATATTGTCCGTTTCCCAGTTAGCTTTTCTTCTTTCAGTTTGAATATAAGTTGGAATGCCTTACTGTTAAAATGAGCTTTTTTGTAATTATTAATTACATGTTATTTAGATAAATCTATCTATATGCAACTGTATAAATAAAAAATAATAATAAAATAGCCATTTCAACTTTAAAAAATTAATTTCATTGCTTGGCAAAATAAACATACAACAATTTTACAATAAGTCCATAGTTTTTCCAGGTTGTGCGGTAATTTCTAAATGCAAAATTTGGATTTTTATGAAACTTAACCAAGTTCATAGTTTTACTTTTATCTTCAACCAGTGATAACCATACATTATCATCGCATATTTTTATTTTATTATGTTATTTTATTACTGAGAGATATTCAGAATTTGCAGTTTATAGAAAGCAGTAGCATTTAATTCTATCAAAAATCACAATTCACATCTGGGAGGTTTTGTGCCCCTAGTTGTAAGATATACAGACAAGAATGTCAGTAAACCTGAAACCTCATCATTAGTGAATCAGGTTATATGCTTTATAGCACAACACTACGTCTTGGTACTTGAAGTCTGAATTGTGATAATTATTATAATGGTAATAAGAAATGAGTATATGATATTAAAATTAGATATTCATTTTTACGTATTGTACATTTAAATAAGTGTTAATTTAGGAGCTGTTTCAGATTAATTTAAAGAATGGATCATTATAATATAAACAAACGAAACAGTGCAAAAGGAAAAATACATAAAAAAAGAAATATAAACGGTCGTTCTTTTTTATAAATGCTTAAATTAATGACTCATTTCAGCTTATAAAAACTGCAAAACTATTCAGGAGGTTTAAATACCAGAATATATTTACTGGAAGAAAGCTGTGTTCCAACCCAACCACCAAGGTTGAGAAATCTTGTTTTAACTTGTTAAAAACAAGAATCGACATGTGTGGCCCTTTGACAGTCGCAGACTACATGAAGGAGATATTTATGAACCCAAAGATGGGTTACTACATGACGAAGGACGTATTTGGTAAAGACGGTGATTTCACGACTTCTCCAGAAATCAGCCAGCTTTTTGGTGAAGTAGGTATGTTAGAATTTCTATCTCACGGTTGATCACATAGTCTTTGCATTATACAATTCTTGAAATTTTGCAGATGATTGCCATCTGGTGCATAAACGAGTGGCATAAGCTCGGCTCTCCTAATCCTCATTTCCTCGTTGAACTAGGCCCTGGAAGAGGCACAATGATGCAAGATATACTTAGGGTATTGATATTTGTTTACCTAGTTTCTATACAACATTCACATGCTATGTTCATATCTTATTTCATGTTTAATGAAATTAGTGATTGATTATGTTTTTCATGAATCTGAAAGACTTGAAAAATAGCTAAAATTACTCAAAAGTTTTAATGTTTTGTCGTTTTAAAAAATGAGAATAATGTTTTGTTTAAAGAGATTTAGTAAAAGTTGGTAATGATTTTTTTTGGGTGCGATAGGTTTTTAACAAAATAGGAATGAATAATGCGGGTCTGAGTGTACATCTTGTGGAAGTCAGTAGAGAACTGAGCAAGATACAGGCAAAGAACCTGTGCACCACGGTGAAAGAGACCACAGGTGCTCATTTTATGGAAGGCGTTACTGAAACTGGGGTCCCTGTTTATTGGTACAACAGCATTGAATCAGTACCAACGTGCTTCACGTTGATCCTCGCTCATGAGTTCTTTGATGCCCTGCCGATTCATAAATTCCAGAAGACAGATGAAGGATGGCGTGAGGTCCTCATTGATGTCAATGAAGCTGGAAACAAGCTTAGATATGTCATATCAAAAGCACCTACTCCTGCTTCACTTTACTTCACCGCTGTATGTTTTGTTTTTTAAAACTAAATTATATTTATTTAAATGTAGATTGTTACAGGGCGAGGAGAAAAGACATCATTTGGAAGTTTCTCCCCAGGCTGGTATGATAATGCAGCATATCGCACAAAGATTAGTAAATCATGGAGGCTTCCTTTTGGTAGCTGACTATGGACATACAGGAGAAAGAGAGGATACTTTCAGAGTAACTAACATACACTTTTTACTTTATTTTACTAGTTTATAGTGAGTATTAATTATATTCGGTCATCATGTTTCACAGGCATTTAGAAATCATAGTCAGCAGGATCCACTTTTAGAACCTGGGATGTCTGATCTTACAGCAGATGTCGACTTTTCTTATTTAAAAAAAATGGTCGCTGACAAACTTTTAGCCTTTGGTCCAAAAAGCCAACATGATTTCTTAAAATCACTTCATATTGACATCAGACTGGAGGTATTGCCTTTATAATAGTGTGTGGTGATTAGTGACCGTTAGTCGATGATTATTCAGAGATCGTGAGATGCATTCACACCAGACTGCATCTCATGATCTCCGACTAATCTTTGTATAGTATACATAAATCAAAAGATTTTTCACCAATTTGTACAAATATTATTTGCAAAATTACTTTTGTGATATACTTTATTTGAACTAGTTATATTTTGTAGTACCATCAAACAGGAGGTATTTTAATATATAAAAATCATTTGGGGATTGATTTGCACTAATGACAGCACAAATTGCTATGCCACTTCATTCTGTATAGTCTATTTTTAGGTATTAAATTTATCTAGAATTGTTACCTTGGTGGGAAGGTGATTTTGGTGATAATCATTAATCAGTTCTGCTATTAAATTAGTAATATTAAAATAAAAAAGCCAACAAAGATTATGAAATCCCTTTTGATGATTTTATCACATTATCCTGCGAGGTGTTGTACCTGAAATTGGGTTGTTACCGATCCTTTTGGTCTTCCTATCCTTGCTGGATTGGTCTGTCAGACCAAGTGTTGGCATATAAGCATATACTACTATGTAATATGAATATATGCTATGTATATTTGAAAATATGAAAATTTTTATACATATTTGAAATGGTGAAATGCCAAAAATGCGCCAGACAGATCAACCCAACAAGGGCAGACCAAATTTAAGATTTTATCACAGCTTCCAAGATAAAGTTAAAGAAAGTAGGATACTTGAATAGATTCGAAGTTGAATATAAAGGATAATAAGCTACATAAAAATTAATCTGTTGTATGTACTGCCAAATAAGTATCAATATTTCACACCCTATAGGGAAAGACAGTTTTTTCCCATGATAATTGTTATACTCTTTTCTTTATGGTGTTTAAAAGTTCACTACAACTGTGAATGTCTATCCTGATACGGAACTATGTATATATTGTATATGCTGCCTCAGAGTCAATGTATATAGCTTCCAATGTCTGTCACTATCCTTCTGCGTTCCTGGGCATAGAGTTTCCTCACTTCCATGTGCGCTTTTATCATCCTTCTCTAGATTTATTTATACCTGTTCAGTATTGTATTGAATAGGCTCCTTGTTTACAAATAATACGCATGTGAATGCTGATGCCTCTCCTTCAAGCCTCATTTGTTGTTCATGCCTCGCTTTTGGGTCGTTAAATGCACAGCCTACATTTGTTCCTATTTTGAACCCAACCATGTATAAGAAATATGCCTTTGGAAATCTTTCATTTATTTTGACTGTAAATTCTTGATTTACAAATTGTGGGTCAAGCTTTTTGTTTACAGCACTACATGAAGCATTGTCAACTTATTAAAGTACTATTTCTGTTGGTTTCAAAAATCAGTAGTTTTTTGTGATCTGAGAATTACACCCTGGTATTTACTGTACGTAGTAAAGCTTTCTGTCAAAGGTGGGGGGGGGTTTCTTGTACCAGAAGCATCAAGTTCATTAGGTCTAACACTTTTTCCCCACTAATGGATAGTTATGTGACTTAAGCTTATGGCACATTTGCACAACTCAACTTTTGTTGATCAACTAACAACATGCCTAGGTCTTTTCCTTTGTTTCTTAGTTTCTGTTGATCGAGACTTATATCAAATGTTTGATTGAGATTTGATGTTATTCATCCATTAAAAAAAAAAGTTGATTATGACATAATTTTATTTAGTATATATTATATTCAATACAATTTTTTTTTTTGTTAAACCCTACTTATGTTATATGGCCCATTAAATATGTTTTAGTTTTAACTACAAATATGTTATATTCTGACAAAAATGCATTTAACTAACTAAATACAACAATTCATTACAATTATTTTAATACAATACTGATCATATTTAGCACTCTTATTTTGTGTTTATTTTAAAATTTAAATTAAATAAAATATTTCCAGGTCCTTCTAAAAAAGAGCAAAAGCAAAGAAGAAAAAGAGATGCTACTTTCTGGCTACAAAATGATAATGGACAGGGACAAGATGGGCGAATGTTTTAAATTCATGTCATTCTTCCCTTCTGTCGTTAAAGAGCTCCTTGAACAATTCCCTGTTGTTGGTTTTGAAAATTAAAAAAAAAAGTTTAAACTTAAATTATCTTCCATTTGAAAATTCTAATAAAACTGTTCCAAACTATTGACCTCGTTTTTAAGGTCTTCAAATGATGTTAATTCCTGTTAAAAAAGAAAGTGTTATTAAACGTTTTTGTTGATTGTTAATTCGATCTTACTTACCTCCCAATATTTCTCTTCCCATTTTGGAAATAACTCACGGAAACTTGGTGGTTCTTCACCTTGCCTGACTGTAATGATTACTTTTTTCTCCCTTGATGAATGTTTTATGTAAGCCTGTAATATAATTGACAATAACAGTAATAAAACAGTATAAACATTGAAAAGTGAATTTAAAACTGACCTGCGCTAACTTGTATGCATTCATCTTTTCTTCTGCGTCAGCATCATTTCCAATCCAAATATATATACCTTCTTCTGAATCCAAAATCATTACATCATCTGGGTATAGATCCTATAATATATTTTTACAAAAAGGTGTAACACGTAAAAATGTACACATGTAAAAAGGTGTAAAAATGCCTTTTAATTACCATAAAATCTAGTACTAAGTAAATTAATCCAACTTATGTTTGTATATTAGTGTTGTGTATGTGCACATCTGTGAGAATGAATTTGTGTTTGCATCCATGCATACTATTATTAATTTTTTATTGAATACAAAATAAAGGACTTACTTTTTGCTGATAATCAGAGATCTCTTCAATTTTAAATTTATGGTTTTCTTTAATATAGCAATGAAAAAGGCGGTTTGTAAAATATGAGTAGGACTCGTCAACCTCTTTTTTATACGATTTTCGACCACCTAGAGTTTGCCAGAAATCGTCAGGCTCCTCGCCCTCCTCGAGAACAACCGCTTCCCTGTCAGAGCAGAAGCGGTCTCTCACCAACTTGGCCATTTCTTTTTCAAAGTCATCACAATTCTAAAATTAATTCGTTTGTAATACAATGGAATAAATTTGTTCAGATTTTACTTACGTTTCCCATCCAGAGGTAGCTTTTAGTCGGGGTCTCGAGGAGAAATGCATCGTTTGTATTAAGCGATTCCGTAACTTCTGGGACTTGAATGGCTCTTACATTATTTGCACAAGTGCCTACAATCTGTGGACATCATGCACAATTTTATGCAATAAAATATTTAATTTATTTTTCATTCTCTCGAATCAAGCAAAGGTGGTTTAAAAAAACACTTGGTGAAGTTTTTCAACCAAAATGGTTAAATATTTATTTATGATATTAAGTTAAATTTTATTAGCTTTTTACTTACACGGAAGAGCCTAGTTCCATCAGTGTCATAAGAGTCATAATCTCTCAGGTTTTTGAAGCCACTGGCATGTCCTCCCATGAAAATAACCATTTTACCTAAAAATAAAATATCAAGTTTTGTAAATAATAAATAAATAAAATAACTAAATAAAATTGAAAACAACACCTTTAAATAATGAATTGAAGTGGGCTGGCTCTAAGCCTTGTTCCACTCTGATTTGAATGGCTCTACCTCCAAGTTCATTATCAAGTTTGACTGCTTGCATAGCAGAAGCAACCTTTTCATCAGCAGTCGAATCTTTGCCCTAATAAAGAAAAAAAACTCAGTTTCAATATTTAAATTTATCCAGGATAGATTTACCTGCCAGTAGTAGATAATGTATTTCCTTCCAAATTCGGAATTGTACTCGTATTTTATAACATAAGAGTCGCCACCGAAAAATATCCCATAGTTTTCTTCTTCGACTGGAAGCAGCTCAAAGTTCTGGACTCGAAAAACTTGAACTATGCCATTTCCATTGTCTGGCATGAAGCCGCCAACTGTACCACATCTAGTGGAGGCTGACCTTTTATTTCTTTCTTGTTTTGGAGAAACTGAAATGTTTCAAATTCCATTTACAATTTCTTTTGATACACACAAGAGTAATTTGTGCAGTAGAAAGTGTACTGGTTTGCAAATCAATTAAAAAAAGTAAAGTGTAAATAATTTTTCAGTCAAAATTTATACTCTTTTATATGTATGCCATAAAAGTCATACTTCTATTTTACTTGCAATAAAATAAAGTTAGAGTGCAAGTTTTGATTAGTTGTACTCTGCACAAATGTAGTAACTTTAGTCTGTCAGACTCAAATCATCACTTAAATTACAAAATTTAACATAAAAAATTGTTAATGCATAGTTTTATTTTTATACAACTTTTTTCCTAAGAAAAATTAAAATTCACACAAATTTGTAATAGCACAGGGTTTTATTGTGTGTTTTCATTTGAAGGATTGTTTACTCAAGCCAAAAAATAAATAAATAAAACATTCGCTTGTATTTTATTATTTATTTCGAACTGTACATATTTTTTATCATTATATAATTACATGTAGTTATTTTAATGTAAGCCAAATGAAATGAGTTCAGAAGTAACTGAGTTTTATTAAAAATTAATTAATTATGATGGTTTGAAAGAAAATTCGCCAAAACACCGGAAAATCATTTAGTGATTAGAATATATTTAACTAACAATTTATTGCCTGGTTTTATTCTTAATAATGCATTAAGAGCAAAACTATGTAAAAAAAATTGTTAGTAAAATGTTCATCTATCACTAAATGATTTTCCAGTGATTTGGTGATATTTCTGTCAAACTATTATAATAATATATTTTTTTTAAATAAAAACTCGTGAATTTCTGATCTCGTTTAATTTGGTTTACATTAAGTTATGTATGTTGTAATTAATATAATGATAAAAAGATGTACATATAGTTTTAATAAAAAAATATGAGTTTTTTTAGTGTATTATGAAAAAGAAAAATGTATTTTTCTTGTGGGTACTTTCTCAGTTTTATTATTGAAATTAAAGCTCATAAAAGATTATTCATATTGGATTCTGTTTACCACTGCTGTAAGTTTCACATCAGGCAACTTGCTTATGGCACTTTCTATTCAAACTTTATAATTTGACATTTTTATATTGACGACCCTGGTGGTTTATTTCAAAGTTTGGTTTTAAGCCGCTGTGCTGTTTTAATTAATTTTAATAAATAAAATTATCTTTAATTATTGTCATTATTGTGAAACGTAGTGATTAGAACATCTCCTTAAACCCAAACATCCAGGATATCCTTATAAAACTAAAACAGTATCAAGACAAAGGTGTAAAAGTATTATCCAAATGGATTTAAGGCCACGCTTGTGTGATTGAGAATGCAAAGGCAGACAGAATGGCAGTTGGTAACTCAACTGATACTCCTCAAAATGGGGTTCCGTTCAGTGATCTCTGCTGTCACATTAGGCAGCTTGTGTTGGAAGCCTGGGGGCATGTATGGGGTGCCTGTTCAGGAAACAAGCTCCTCGCAATAAAAACAGATGTAAAAAAATGGGGATCCTCTTCGAGACCTTACCAAAAAGAACAAACCCTTCTAAACACAGCTTCGAATTGGCTTCTCCCGGCTCACCCATAGTTGTAAGGGTCCTTAAACCTGTGTCCAATCTGTATTTTTCCTACATTAGATCCTACATCATAATTGATTATCCTTTATACACCTCTGCCAGAATCCTCTACCAAATCTGCAAAGACCTCCAATCCATACTAAACAATAATTAAACACCAATAAACAAAATTTTAACTTCTTAACAGACATCCAACTAATAGATAAAATGTAATTTCATATTCTCTCAATTCTTATTTCTGCTCACACCGCGTGTTGGTGGTGTGGTGGGGCTCAGTTATGGCAAAGCCCGTCTGGGATCTCAGGTGCTGGTCGGTCTTGGGCTGGATTGAGGGGCCCTCCTTGAACTCTGAGATCAAAGAATCTCCAGTGCGCTTGGAGGAGTCGATAGTAACTAATCAATCACTAATCCTCGATAAAGCCAAATGCACAATATTACAATTAATAAGTCGCAAGAGATCCTTGAGATCCCTGCCTGGGCTGTCACTGTACCATAATTTGTGGGGGTTTTGTTTGATGATGTCAGGCTATACCGCTTACTCTGTTTAGTTCTTGTTTGGCAACGTCACTCAGTTTGTCTGGATAATGAGATCACTAAATGCCTAACATACCATACCTGAGAGAATAGCTGTCAGGATTATTGGAGATGATCGATGTGCAATTGTGATTATGTTAACAAACATTGACAACATATAGGGGAGAGATGTTAAAGTGATTGGCACTTGATCACTCTACTGGGTCTACCTACTCTCTTGCAGGTTTAGCGCATTTATTTTAGTTTATGCCTTCTTCCTTACTGAACTATGTTCAACACATTTGAGTGGCATATAAATCTGCAAGATAGTAGACAGACCCAGTAAAGTGATTATGTGCTGATAAGTTTTGCATGTGTTACTCACTTGAAGACCAACAACCACCACCAATAATATATATAGTAAGAGAAATAGAAATAAGTAGAAACATAGAAATTGATAGATAGACCAAGAGGGAGGGGGAGGGAGAGTGATATCCTACAATATTTGTAACAGGTTTGGATTAGCACAGAATAAAAAAAGCAAAAACGTATTATTTAATATTGCTGCTGGCATAAAATTTACATAATAATATACAGTAAACTACAAAATGAAAAGGCTAAGCAATTCAGTTAACATTGTGTTAAAATATTATACAACAGAAAAAGAAGAAAATTGAATTATTTGTAATTCTGTACAGATTAATTATGCATAAAGCTGAAAATAATATTTGAATGAGGTTGGGATAAGTAAAAGACAAAACAAACCATAGAAAAATAAAGTAGTTTTTAATAGAGCTCCTTGCAGAAAATATATGTAGTAATACAAAGTATAAGAAGTTAGATAAGAAAGCTTAGTGTCACAAAGAATAGTGGAAGCACAATGATATAAGTTTTAATATAGGTACGCAAATTGAGGTACAAAAAATACAAGAAGAATACAACAAAAACTGTTTAAGCAGCAAAGCAGTATGTCAAGACAGTTTGACTAACCTCTGCCAAGACCACCGGTCAATTGGCTATCCCTCCAGTCGCTGAAGTATTCTTTGAATGCAGTTGGTTCAGCTCCTTGGATGATCCGTTGCATCTAAAATTAATACTTTTCATTAAAATGTTTTTACTATCATAGAATATTAATCACCTTTGTCCATTTGGGGTATGAGCTTTGGTCCAAAAATGCCTGCCCTTTCTTCAGAGCCTCAACCCTTTCCTGGCTTGTAGCTGTTTTACCAACCCAAACGTAAATTCCAGAGTTGACAGTGTCCAGAATGAAGCAGTCCTTGAAATTTGTGTAAAATTTAATTTAGTGTTATCAGATTTTTGATGGTTTTTCTCACCTCTGGCTTGAGCATATCGCGTTTCAGTGGTTTTTGACCCAATTTTTCTGACACGAGTTTTCCACTACTGTCTGTGACTTTGTACAAGGAGACAGTTGCCTAATAAAAAAATCGATAAAACTAAATTCATTAGAAGGTAGGACACTTCTATTTGTTATATATGCTGCACATTTTATTAAATTAGTTCTTATTAATAATAATCTTGGTTTGTTAAAAATAACTGACATTACTTACATCTAAGTTTTTTTCAAACTCTTCGTCATCATCAACAGCAGCTTCTTTTGGAATCTGTGCCTGAGAACCGGAACCCAGCAAAGAGAAAAACTGCTTCACTTCTTCTTCATTGCTCGATGAGTCTGAAAACACGACGGTGATAAAAACAGCCACAAACATATGAAATATTTCAAATGGTACCAATAATGTAGACTTTTGCTCTTCCAGCATGGTCTTGATCTCTAATCTTGTTGGCGGCGCTGACAGCCTTGAGCCTCTCAGTACCTTTAGCTTTAGCTCCTACATAGACGTATACGTCTTTTCCTGAATCGAGGATGAAGCAGTCTCCTTTGTTCATTGACTGAACACCAACTTGTACCTGTCTGACCCTGACGTTCTTCTTTCCTTTGACTTGGTACAATTTCTTCTCGCCTTCAGCATTTGTCACTGCATGATGGAATCCTGAGGCGACACCACCAGTCACATATCGAAGACCTATAAATAAAATTTTTAAAAGGTGCCATTCGAGTCAGTTGATGCTTCAATTGATTTTGTTAATCCCAAATTAAATTCAAATCATAGTTTGATGTTTTTAAATTATATTATCAGTTTGAAAATTAGCCATAGCTGTTTCCAAACAATATTTGTATAAGTTAATTATTAATTTAATTTAAATTTTAAAGACATGAATATTACCAGATTTAAAATAACTTTGGAAAAGGGCTGATTCATGAGCTTGGACTTCCCTGTGTTGTACTGGGCTTCCTCCAAGACCATCGTCCAATTGGACTGCTAGAATGGCAGCAGCTCCTGACTCGTCCTGTGGTATTATTACATTAAAAATAATACTTAATAGAAAATAAAATAAAGCTAAATTACCTGTGATGTTTTACTACCGAGCCAGTAATGAATATCCCATGAAAATGAGCCTTTCTTTCCTTTAGTCTCAGTGGTCTGCAATTAAAAAAAGAAAAAAAAATATTTGCAAAATTAATTTTATTTAGTTGGATTTTAAATTTAAGTTGCTCTATCAGGTACAATTACCTTTAAAACGATGTAAGAATCGCCTTCAAAAAATTTTCCATAATCGTTGACTGGAACAGGAACAGGCTTGAAATTCTGAAAAACAAAAGTATAAAATGAATAATATATAAATGAAGTTTTAAAAACAAAACTCTGTTGTAAATTTGGATCAAAAGGATCAAAATGGCATATGAACATAAATCATTATTCACAATTCTACGAATGTGTTCAAATCTTTGTAGGAAGCAATTTTTTTACCAAACAAAAATTTTGCTATTTGAGAAAAGTCATTTTGAAGTGAAACAAAAAGGAAACTACTTAATAAAATAAAACATAAAAAATACATACACATGAAATTAAATAATTATGCTTTTTTTTATTATTTTGCAAATCAATTGGCAGGAAACTAAAAATAATAAATAACACTTTTTATATTTGACAATATAATTGACAATAAAAATTGGCACAATTAAAAAATATATAATTTTTTAAGCTTATTATTTTGTTAATTTTTATAACATTTTATTGAAAGGAAGAAACTTTCATCTGTCATCTAAAATGTCTATTCTAATTTACTGGAAAATTATAAAAATAGAATCCTGAGATCATCAGACTAAAATAAGATAACCCAACTTCCTCCGGAAGAACTTTTCTTTTAAAATCTAGTGGTTGTCAGTGATGATGATTCACCCTTCTGTTTTGGTCTGTCGGTCTTGGTCACTTAGGGAAATTTGTTCACCCGTGAAGGCCAGACTATGAAAACAACGACTATGAAACAACTTAAAATCGTTATTTTAACTAGCAGTTCAGCCTTCCTTCAGTTTATAATGTACATAAAATTATCAGTTAGGTAGATTGTAATCCCGAATTTATGCAGTTTTTGTTTATACATTACCAAATACTTTTTTTTATTGTTTTATGTATATATATATATATATTTTTTTTATTAAGGTGGGATGGTATTATAAATAAACAAATCAAAAGACCGAATTTAACAGTTTTGCAGTTTATAAATAAAAATGTGTTTTTAATGGTAATATTAAAGAAATTATAAAAAAATAAGAATAATTAAATTTAAAAAAATATATTAAGCTTAACAATAATAAAAATAGTATGCAAGTATAATTGTGGATCAATTGATGTATACATCATATCTTGAATTATAATTATAATTTCAATTAGGACAACCTTCAGATGGCAAAGGGAATTTTTTTAACTTTAGCCCCACCAGCCAATCTATTTTCTACACCACTTTTATTTAATCTGAGATAAAAGGCAAAGCTATAAACTTTTATCTCTGGCAACTTTAGTGAAAAAACCTTTTATCCCGAAAGAGAGCGGGTAGAAATAGAAGTGATAATTTAATTTTAGCTTTTCTAGTTTTTTTAGTTTGCACTTTTCATAAATGCGAGATCACGAGCTTTTTCAAAGTCGCCAATCCTTGCACATCTCCATTAAATCCAAGACAATGGATTTCAAAAAGGAAATGCATTGTAACATTTATAAAAAAAAAATTTCTTGGCAGAAAATTGTTTTAAAAAGGTGGACGATTTTCCGCGACAGCGGGTCAACTATTCTTTCCAGTTATATAATTTTGAATTATACGATTTTATAATATTGTAAATAATATCTTATACATTTTTGAATAATTGCACCTTATTTTTATTTTATGCGACGATGCGCAATTCTAAAAGGAAAGAAAAGATGGGAATCACTAGCCATATCAACATATTTAGGAGAATTTTACAAGACGAACTATTGCACTTTTATAGATTACTAACCCTGTTGTCGTCAGGAAATAAAACAAGACTATTTTGAAAAAAAAAATGTATTTTTGACTTGTTTCAACACGAATGTTTGGTTTTCTATTTCCATTTTCTTTTTTTCTATTTCCAAAATTGTTTTTAAGGGAACAAAGGAAGCTACTTAGAAAAGCTAAAAATCCAAAAGTTTTTGGGGAAAATGTTAAAATTTGTTCGTTTTGGGAATAAAGTTAAAATCTATCTATTTAACTAGCTATAAATCTATGGGAACACCACAACCAGATGTAACTTAAGTGTGCAAACAACCCGCGGAACTTTTGACAATGTAAAAACCTCTAGATTGGATACAAATTCAGGATTTGGCGGTAGAGGTGTAAAGACAGACACTCAAATATTTACTTCTAAGTTCCAAAGAAATTCGAAGTTAACATAATCATCCTCACGCTCCACACAATTAGGAAGAAAGTGACATTTATGTGTAAAATCTCATGCCGGCAACATAGGCAAATCTGACATAGTTAAGTAAAATCCTAAAAAGCGGAAATTGATCACGAAAACGTCGTGTACAGATGAATGGGCAGGAAGTAGTACAGGCTCTTGCATAAAATAATTTTTCCTTATAGTTAAGAGTCATTTTGACTCCGCCCTTCTTCAAAACCGCAAAATGACTCAGATCTTGAGTATCCATGGGAATAAAGTCGTATCTTCACAGGCTCAAAATTATAGACGACCAGAGAGATCACTAAGTTTCTCAAACCAGTGATCATAAAATCTAGGAGCGATTTTATGAAAGAGTGGCTCTTAGAAAAGACAGAATTCCACCATTTTAAAATATAATTGTTAAGATCACTTTATTGCAAATTAAATAAGAACTCTTACTATTTAAAAACGACTAAAAATGGTTCATAGTAAATCGAAACATTTATAAGAAACGTGAAAAAAAATTGATTTGCTGGTTTACGTTAAGTGAATATTTTATCTGTAAATATAACAACAAAATTTATAATTACATAATATTTGTACAGCTGCACGCAGACAATGTTTAACATCAAATTTCAGAAATTTATACTTTTTTTCCAAGTTTCATTTTTAGTAAAATAACTAAAATTATTTTGCTGTTGAACATATAGAATGTAAACGTAGAGGGTGAACGAAGAAAATATATTGCAGTGAAACAGCTTCAGCGCCTGTTTCTTTTGAACTGATTCCAAAAAATTTACACTATGCAGGCACCGAAGGTTTTGAAAAAGACCAACATTTTTCTAAGCATTAATACTAGTATAAACCAAGTTTAGAGTAATAAAAAAAACAATGATTTTAAAGTAGATATATAAATTTGAACAGATTGATCCGGCAATGAAGGTTTTCAGCATATTCACGCCGACATCAAGATTGCAACACCAAAGGTTTTTAAAAAAGACCAACATTCGTTTAAGCATTAATACTAGTTTAAACCAAGTTTAAATTAATTTAAAAAAAATTATTTTAAATTACATATAAAAATTTGAACAGATTGATCCGTTAATTTTTTTTTGGGGGGGGAGGGGGGATTTTTTAACGTCAATTTTGATCAGGTTTTCATCAGAACCATGCCGACATCAAGAGTGGAACACTTAAGGTTTAAAAAAAATATATTTCGTAGTCCGATTGATCAAATAACTTCTTTAAATTAACTATTCTTTTTATGTATGGTATGGGTTGAAATGAAAAAGTGTCACGAGCGGGATTAGCATGATGATGCATTTAGCATTAACCAAGTTTAAAGTAATAAAAAAACAATGATTTTAAATTAGATATATAAATTTGAACAGATTGATCCGGCAATGATCGGTTTTCAGCATAATCACGCCGACATCAAGATTGCAGCACCAAAGGTTTAAAAAACCTAACATTCTTCTAAGCATTAATACTAGTTTAAACCAAGTTTAAAAAAATAAAAAAAACAATGATTTTAAATTAGATATATAAATTTGAACAGATTGATCCGTTAATGATCGGTTTTCAGCAGAACCACGCCGACATCAAGATACAGCACGATTAACAATTTTTAAATTAGAATTACACGGTAGGTACACGGTAATTCCATTGACTCTTACACTCTCTCTATACATAATCTATGAAAATTCAATAATCCATAGATAATGTAATTAATATTTACAGTATTTCATAATTTTGTCAATGTTGAAATATCGTTTTATTATTATTATGATTATTGATCTTTAAGATGAGGCTGCTATTTGAAGAGGCTAGGAATTGGTACAAATTAATAATAATCGATCTTCAGTACATTTTTACATCAATAATTGGTCAATTTCTTGTTAAAAATAGTAAAAATTGACTGACCTCAATCCTCCAGACTTCGAGTCCGTCCTTTTTTCCGGCGTTGTTAAATGCTGGGTGCATGTCTTTGGTGTTGGCGACTGTGGCGGCGGATCCAAACTGAAGCGCAGCGAGAATGATCGCCAGGGCTACGGGGAGCCGGAGTGACCTCCAGATAGTGACATACATCTGGAACAAAGTCACGAATGAGTCAGACTCGTTTGACAACTCCAATACACTATTCAATGTATAACACAATGTGCGTGATACAACAGGAAAAGTTAATTGTTTAAATTTTTTAAATTGTTAATTTTTAGTATTCATGTTTTATATTATTTTTATATATTTGCAAATAAAAATTGTTTAAATACGGTCATACAGGAGTAAATCAAAAATTAGTATCTATATAGACTCTAATCAGCTGTAAGTATAAAAAAATTAGAAATAATCAAAATGATTCACATTAAAGGGAGTGGTTTTGTGATTGTCTCACAATACCATCATCATCATAATTTTGTTTGAACCTTTAATAAATTAACCGTTATAGTCAAGATTTGTAAGTTTAGAAATAGAAAACATAGCCATAAATTAAACAAACTAAGTTATTTCATGATTGTATTTTTTTCTTTGTACATCTTGCATGAGAAATTTCATGTGTTTATAGACTATCAAATCAGGATTTGAATCAGGAAACATTTTCGATGGGTTTTTCTGAATCTGAGCGTTTTCAAAATAAGACGTGAAGAATAGATTCAGCGAGTAAGCAAGGTGCATGCAAAAATATATTTTTTCTGGCAGAAATAAGACTAATATTCTTCTAAGCCTTAATTCTAGTTTAAACCAAGTTTAAAGTAATAAAAAAACAATAGGTTTTTATTACTTATTTATTAGGTAGGTGGTTCTTCTGGCCTGGACCTGAATTTTTCAGAATTTGAATTCACAAAAGATTCTGCATTTGAATAAGCAAGGTTAAATGTTAAAATATTTTTCTTAGCAGAATGTGATGTCGGTCGCTCCTTTCGTAACTTGCAGCGTTTTTCTTGGATCTGTGCATTTTCAAAAAATTAATTCACAAAAGATTCAGCATTTGAATAAGCAAAGTGTATGTTAAAATATTTTCCCTAGCAGATCGGTTGCTCCTTTTGTAACAACATGCAGCGTTTTTTTTAATCAATGATAAATTTAATTTTTGACCGATATCGAAGTCGAATTTATCTACATGAGGCACTAATGATGCAAGTCTGGTACAATTTACTGGTAAAAACGTTTTATATCTCTCACTATATAAGTTATGTAATTCATTATTTAATATGGTTTTATGGCATTTACGTAGTAAGAGAGTTGAACAGTTCTTTTTATTTAATTTGACAAGAACGAATTTTGGGCTTAGGTTTAATTTCTAGCATTCGGAGTCAAACCAGATTGATTTGTTGATTTTCAAACATGAGAGTCTTAATTTATAACAAAGTTTTAAAAGTCCATGTTTGCTGGCTGATTTTAAGTAAGTGGAGTAAGTGTGGTTGCGTTATAATCCTTTAAATGCTTTGACTAGCAAATTAATAAAAAATATAATAAAATGATTATAATTATTTTATTTATAATGTGTTTATATTTAGTTTATTTATATTGTAATTATAATTATAATGATTATATGTAATGATGATATATAACGATAATAAATAATGATTGGCGGGGGATCGGCGATTTATTCTTGCAATTCATGTCGAGAGACGTGCTTGTAACTCCTTCAATCTGATGATGAGCGTTTAATGCTTGAAAACAACAAACTGTCAGTAAGAATTATCTTTTAAATTAGCCGTGGAAAAATGATACTTATAAAGTATTTTTGGCAGTAAATTAAAAAAGTTAACTTACACACACACACTTAAGTTAAATTAACGTTTTTTTGCTAGGAAAAAGTATTTTAGCATGAACCTTGCTTATTCGAAATGACGTATAAGAAAAACGTACGAACACGTGCTTCAACACAATAGTTCATGATAGAGGATTTTACACACAAATTAAAATTGGTCACATTTGTTGCAATAGACCTGTAGATCTTTTGCACTTGCGATAATGGTCTGGGGGCCGACAAAAAATTTAATTAGACAATTTAATTGCAATTAGACGAAAACAAGCGATTATTTCAACTAGTAACCCAGACAAATAGCGATTAGAAATCGAAGGATTCAAAGATAATTAAAATAATCACCCAATACGAGCAATAAACAAACAATAACTACCTCTTCCACAATAGAACTTCATCTGAATACATTTCGACGGATTTAAATATTTGAGCTGGTCATAAAAATTCAACTAGAAGTAAAAAAAGAAAAAAGCGATCGAAATAGTTTTAAAATTTTTTAGTAGAAAATTTAAGTTTTCAATTTCAAATCCTAAGCTGGTCTTGTGTTGCTTAGTGCTTAAAAGCCGAAATTAAACGATAGGACGTATTTTCCACTAAAACTTCCTTGTCCTCGTTTCGCTTATCCGTGGGTAAATCTCTTCTATCTCATGCTACTGCTGTTTAATCTCTTCCATCTAACAAAACGCACGTTTTGCATAAACCCCTCGCTATGTTTAAAGTTAGGCGAGTGTATGACGTGCATTCGAGTTCTTATTTCTCATAAAATTAACAAAACAAAAAAATCGCCAATGTTGCAAATTTAACATAACTTCTGGGTTAATTTATAATTTTTTATAAATATTAATTTATGAAGACAAGAAAACTCTTTCGAAAATGGCTGATTTGTTAAGAAAATTATTTAACAAGAAATAACTATTCCTGAATGCTAATCCTGTTGGCATTGCAATAAAATGGTTTAAATTACTTTTTGTTTTTAAATTATCTTTATAAAAGCTTAAATGGTTGAAGTGTACGCCAAATAATCAATTTTAGACTTAACCCAAAGAGAATTGTGCTTTTAGAAAAGGTCTGAGGGGGTTTAAGGTAGGCTTAAGGTACGAGGGTTGTTAGGCGGAAAATTAAATAAATTTTCCCAATTATTTTAATTAGTAGTCATTTAAATCCAGCAGTAATAATGGATAATAGTAAATTTAAAATTGCTTGAATTATTACGCCAGAATAAATCCCTTCAAAAGCGATTCAGAATTAACGGTTTGAAGCGCCGTTTCCTTCCAGAACAGCATCGTCTCGTGCTGGAAGAAATTTTAATTAGGCACAGATGTTCTAGGATAGCAAAAGGAAAAGAAAACAATTAATTAACTATGACCCAAGGACGAGCGGGAATCCTTGAAGAATATTTTAAAAAAAGGAAGAAGTTAAACCCAACCGGTTCTGTACTGATGGACAAAAGCTGGAACTTATGTACATTAGTATGTAAAATCAAAATTGCACAATTTTCGAATGCTACCGTTGGATTAATTAGAAATAGTACAAAATTAGAGAATATTTTTAACTTCCTCCGACAATTTTTATATATACGAATCGTGAGCAGAATGTCAATTGTAACCACTTTGCCTCAATTTAACTTTGGACGCGTAGAATTTCATTTATACCCCTTTTATTCACACATTAAAGAATCAAAACCATCAAAATACCTCGGTCGTATTAATAATATAAAAAAAACCATGCCGTTCATAAAACATAAAACGGGCCGATAAATGGTTCATTGTACAAAGCTATTGGAGTCAGTGTTTTGTGCTAAAGAATGAAAAATCCCCCCTCCGATAAGATTATCATTCTTACAAATTTTTAATTGTTTAAAATATATTCCTTTTAGTTAAACAAAGTCTTGGATAAATTAATTAATCACCGAGTTTAATAATAGGTTTTATAAACAGGCTTTCAAACAACTTTCATACTTTCATATTTGAAAGACCAAGTATAAATAAATTTAAGTTCACTTATGTTTTTCTAACTTGATAAAGGTAAAATTATGTTATTGCATGATCAAAATATAAGCTAAAATGAAAGTGATAAATTTTGTTTTTAGGACCTAACATAAACCTATGTAAGAGAGGAAGATTCTTTTCCCAAACTACACCAAAAAAAGTTTAAAATTCGACAGTTTTAGGATTAAAATATTGTATTTAATAAATATATCCTTTATTTATAGTATTTTGCCTATTTGCGTGAATAAACAAGAATAAAATAAAATGGTCTTGGAAAAACACACCGGCCAAAAACGGTGGTTGTTAGATGAAAGTACTAAAGTTTATTTTGTAATTTATTTTGTATTTTTCCAAAGAGAAATATCTTAAATTTAAAACTGTGTGTTATTAAATAGAGTTTAAATATTACACTTCTTGCAATGAATGAAGGCTTTTTTTAACTGCATCAGTCTGCAATAACAAACGTTAGATTTTTATAAAGAAAAATTTAAATTAGACCCTAAACAACCAAATGATTTTGTTAAAAGAATTAAGTTTTTTTTTTGTATTGTTAGATTTTACCTTTGTGAACTGCTAATCTGTATTTCTGTACGTTGATGTCCGTCTAGTGATTTGGTGAAGACTGGTTGATAGGCCGAGCTCCGCTGTTCTCTTGTATCAATCTTGTTTGGTGGGGTCGAGGTTGAGCTCTTTTCACCGACCTTTCTTCAAACTTGATCCAATTATCTTATCCACTTTGATTTCTTAGATTTCTCGTACTCACGATAATAATTGGGTTTTTTAGGGACGCCAGGGACGTTTCCGAGAAGAGCACCCTATAAGCTGAACTATCTGGATGTTATCCTCCGATCGATTATTTTATATATAAATAAAATTTTTTTATGACGATTACAAAATAATAAGCATTCTTTCGACACTGCCAACATTGTTCTCGATGAATTTAGATTTTGGTACAAGATTTTACAAAGAACCAAAGCATAACAAAATAAAATAAACAAAACTTACAAGAACGCAATAGGAAAATGCTTCCTCTTAAGTGTAAAAAACAACAACTTGTAATTAAATGTAAATAAATACGTGTTTATGTTTTAAATTTGTGGTTAAACACGTTTATGTTTCCTGCACTCGGTGTTTATGATTTCTAATTCTAACAGAAAGGTTTCTGTTTTGAGTTTGGATCTAACGGTATACATTATAATATATAGTAAGTACGGATACTTTTTCTTGTCAAGAATTAAAAATGGTTTGGTGGCCAATTCAATTTTGGTATAGCCATTTAGTCTTGGGTTGTTTCTGCAAGCTTACAGATCTCCATTGGTGTGGTCGAGGTTGTGCACACTGCCCTTGTGATTTAGAGAAAATTTCGACATCGCATTGTATATAATTTTAGTATGTTGTTCCTTAGAAGCACTAAGAGCGGAATGTTATTGCATTTTTATTTTTTGCGTGTGTTTAGAGTAGTTTTGTAGAGACGATGAACCTATTTCTATAAACAAACTATTTTCATAAAAAATGCCAGTTCTTCTCTTGATTGTATGGCTCAAAGGAGGCTAATAAAAATGCCGAATACGGTGAGTTTTTAAGCTTCCTATTGTCCTCTTCCTTGTGAATGGAATCATTATGTTTTGTGGGGGTTAATAGATTTGCACCACCTGTCAACCAGATTACGGGCTGATTGTGTACGATCCATCGCGATGGCTGCCCTTTACTACTATGACAAGGTCGTCCGCGTAGCCTAGACAAAATCCTTCATGTTCGAGCATTTGTAGGAGATCGTCTACCAGCGTCGTCAACAGTAGAGGTGAGAAAACACCTCCTTGCGGGCATCCCCTGGCTGTCTTAGCCCGGATGGTCGCACCGCCCAAGGTGGATGTGATTATCCTATTTCTTAGGCTTTCTTCCACCCATTGGCAAATCTTTTCTGTGATTTTCTTTTTTGAATTGCTCTATATAGAAAGGTTGTGGTTGCAAGTGGTTAAAAGCTCCCTCTATATCCTTGAAAAGTGTAATAGCTATCTCCTCGCCGTTTATGGACTTGGTTAGCCTATATTCTAAGAATAATAATGCTAGGTAATTAATTGATTAATAAGTAAATAAAATCTAAATCCTAGCATGTTTTTCTTTTACTCTTAGACATTCATAAAATAAACTTTACTCAGCAAAACTCCAGATAATAATCATCAAAACACAAAACAGACAAATTAACCATTACTAGATGTTTGGATGTTACATGATTTTTATCAGTGAATAGTTCAATTTATGAAAGAAAAATATAAACAATTTCTCCGAACGATTGGACACGTAAAAAGGAAAAAAGATATCACAAACGAAAGACAAGATATCACCATATGTACGTACTATCGGAGATAAACATATCTTGGATATTAGCCAAAACTAATAAATGACGTTTTTTATATTTCAAAAATTGATAATGCGCTAACATCAATCGAGGTTAATTATCAAGGATGTCCTATCGCCGGGGTTTTTGTTTTCAAAATATTTCATATTTCTACTATCAAAGAGGGAAAAGTAATAATTAACTTAAGAAGCAATATAATTTATTTTTAAATGCAAAAAATGTAAGATATATTATAATGCAAGATGAGCACTGTAATTTTTAAGGGCTGTCAATAATTTTATGTTTTTATGAGAAGATTGGGAAACTAATTATATGTTATGGCCGCATAATTTTCAATAGCGGAAAAGAAAAATATATTTATGTATTTAAAAAAGCAAACTGCACCAAATGCATATTCTCTGTGCTTTATTATTGACAAATAATTTATCATTTTATTGAATAAGGAAATCCAAGAAGTTTTGAATATTGGACTTATTTTTCAGTTCGAACCTTTTAAGAAGTGGATGAAAGACCACTAGGTTTTTTTCGGTTGACTATTCAAAAATATCTAGTTTTCAGTATTGTTCGACCTTAAGATCACACAACCACGGATCGTTTCTAATCTAAGAGATTATGAGCATGTTTTAAAAGATCTAATCGAGAACTAGTTGCTTTATATATTTAAAAAAAAAAAAAAAAATACTGTGTTAGAGGCTTCACTTTCTGTAACGACTTGGTTTCAAAGATTTTTCTTGTCTGTTACCTTCAACGTTACCACAAAAGGGGGAAAAATAATTTTTGCGTTTTTGGTTGACTTCAAAGCAGCATTTGGCTCGGTAGATCTAGGGTTTTTTATTCAAAAGATTTCAAACCTTGGTTTCACATCGACGATCGTCAACACGCTAGCAGCCTTTTTTCCTATTTCAGAATCCGATGTTCAAGATAGTAGTATGATCTCGCAATATTTCCCTGTTAAGTGGGACGTTAGACATGGATGCGCCCTCAGCCCCTTGTTCTCCCTCTTTATAAAAGACCTTCCTGGTTTCCTAGACTTTTTTGACATTGCTCTAAGTTATTAATTAAATCTTTTCTATGCTGACGACTAGTCCTCCTATAGAAAAGTATTCCTCACAATGGAACCTTTCTGTCAATCTGAGTAAATAAAAAATCATGGTTTTTCGTAGGAAAAGAAAGCACGAAGGGATCACTAGTCCTACCAGGGTATACGAATTGAATTGTGAAGGAGTATAAATATTTGGGAGTTCATCTTCACGCCCAAAACTCTCTATGGCTCCTCATCTCATAAGGAAAATTCACACGTCAAAATTCGCGATTAACTTAACTCCTGCTCTCAAACTCTTACAACCCACCAATTTCGAAGTTTAAGGTATTTAAGGCAGTATGTCGGCCCGTGGTGTGCTACGTACACAGACTACCTAAAATTACTGTAGTCGAAATGATGCCAACTAGTCCTGGTTCATAACACCCTTGATTCTCAAATATCTTGCCCACCACTTTGTTTATACTGTTAGTATCCATGAAGAATGGATTTCAAAATTCCCGGTTTTTGAAACTTGAAATTTTTTCTTTCCAGACATGTCGAAGAATTTTCCAAATTGGCTCGTAGATCCAATAGATTTCTACTATACAGGGAATTGACCATTCAAAAGCTTTTTTTAACTTCAATAATAAAAACCTCGTCCCATGTAATATTCGGTGGTTTCAAGCTTAGATGCGAGCCGATCTACCTACATTTCTCAACACTGAGAGATAATTCTGTTGTTCTCTGTTCACTAAGCAACTCCCCCGTAGGTGTTTTCCAACCTTGCTTAATTCCCGATTCGTTTTTTGGGTAGAAAATAGTTTTGAGAGATTCTTATTGATAACTCAACTTTCCAAACTGTGCAGACATGATTGATTTTACTAGGAGTGCAATTGAGTACCGCAAAGGGCTCGTGGAACAATTAATTATTATTAATTTATTTTAATTTTAGTTTTATATTGAAGACCATACGAATGCTTGTTTTTGTTCTGTGTATTGTAATAACCAAGATTTCTTTTTGTCTTACTTTTTGGTTTGTTTTATTTTTATTTGTTATATGTATGTATATCCTCGTTTTCCAATTATTGGGTTGTCCGGAAAATAATGCAGGATTTTGGTATTAAACAAAAAAAAAGAAACTAGTTACTTTAAAGCAATGTTCTTTAATCAAAATANCATACAAATGAGTAATCCTGTAAACGTAAACAGAATATTTTATATAGATTTTTTTTAATGAAAACTTAAAATCCTGCATTATTTTCCGGACAACCCAATAATTCCCCGGCAACCCCTTCCAGCAGACGGTTTTACAGTCAATGCTGTATAAAGAACTTTTTTATTTATTTTTGATTTTATCGTATTTTCTTTATTTTTTAAAGTTCTGTAATTAAAGTTCTTTTTCCATTCATTCATTTATTCAAAAAATATTTTTAAAATTTACTTAATGAGAAACGTGTAAAATTTAATAGAAATCATCTTCAAATCAGGTTTTTCATTATGGTAAATCAGTCAAGTATTTTCGTTGTTTTTACTAAATTAGAGTATTCAATTTTAACTTAACTTAAACCCGATGTACCTTTATATTCTTTAATACCGAGGACTTTTAGTAAATAAAGGAAAATTGTATCGTGACGGATGTATCGACCTGTTTTCTTCTTTGTTCTGCTGTTTGCTGGTTAAACATCGTGCCGTTCGGCTAGAAATGAAGATCAACCGTAGTCTGTCCCCGGCCAGTTATGGGAAATGAGGTTCTCCAGAATCATCATGATATCCATCCCCTTGTGCACGTCGTTCGCCCTGCTGCTTTCGACCATTTTGTTCTTGAGATACGGTAAGAAAAAAAGGACAAAAAATGAAATTCTACTATCTTGAGTAGTTATGTAAAATAATTCAGCCCAATGTCACAGGTTCGTGTCCGGAGGGGAATTTTTCTTGTGCCTCCTCCGACATGTGCGTGTTGCAGCGTCTTGTCTGCAACGGGAAAGCCGACTGCCCCAACGGCGAGGATGAGGACGTAATTATTTGCTGTAAATCGATTTTATTTCCTACTCCATTATATTTAATTTTATGAAAAATAATTTGCAATGAAACTATACGCATAGTCTGAGTTATTGCTTAACAATAATTTACGGCTTAAGACTTTTACCCAAACGAAAAAGAAAAAAATCAGGTTTCTGGTACAAACTGATAGATAAAATTAAACAAAAGTTAAATACAAATAATAATTGAACAAGAGTATAGTGAACGAAAGAGCAAAAAAATGAATAAATGAGAAGAACAATATTATAAACAAAGTTTCAAAATATTTAAAAAACTATGAAAAATATCGATGTCACCAGGCAGTTTATTAGATATTCTTTGAAGTCTGACTATTAGATTATGATATGTGTAATTAGTTAGTTCTGTGATAATGATTGAAGAAATAATTTTGATTTCTAAAGTTATACTGCGGGGAACATTGATATTAATTTTCAAAATAATTCTGGACAATTTTGGACAAATTTATATAAGAAAAATAACGTCGCGTTTATCTCTTCTAGAAGCTGGTGTTTCTAAATTGCAAAGGGAACGTATTGACGCGTAATCTATTTTAAAATTGCAATTTTCCAGATTTCCACCATTTAAAAAAATATATATCTAAAGAATTTATGTTGAACTTTTTCCAGAGCATTTTTGACAATTATTAAATGAGGAAACCAAACTGTTGAGCATCACAAAAGGGACCAGACTAATGATGTATCAAATATTATTATATGGATATGGCTTAATATGCTATGCATGAGGCAAAAAAGTATTATTATAATTAGTTGATTTTTTAAATCTATAAAAGTTCTAATAATAAAATCTAGTTGCCTAATAGCTAAAAATCTAAATGATTTAAAAGGATAAGCAATCATTAATGAGTAACCCTAAATCAATAATGGTTGAGGACTTTTCACATATGTACCTGGCTGTTTAATTAATAGGGTTTTGGGATAGGGTTTTTTGAGCAAGAGAAACTAAATAAATAATAAATTAACATTTATTTGCGTTGATTTTTAAGCCATTGTCAGTACACCACAGCCTAACATGAGATAAATTTTCTTGAAATAGGTGCATGTCATTAATAGATTTAATTGAATGATAGATTTTTTTATTATTTGTGAGAAATAAAAAATTCCTATTGGAAAAAACATCTGCAATATCGTTTATAACAAAAAAATAAAGGACCAAGGTGCGCCCCTTGAAATACACCACTGGTATTCTTACATTGTTTAGAATATGAAGGAGACAGTGAGTGTCTATTTGTTAAATAACATCCATGATAAGAGAGATTGCCTAAATCCATAAAGATACATTAACTAGATTAAAAGTTTTAGCCATGTCTGTGTAGACTGGGTCAACTTGAGTTTTTGCTTCTAAATTGCTGGGAAAAAGTCAGAATAAACTGAGTTAGTTTCAGTGCAAAGCCCTTTGGTAAATCCATGCTGTTGAGAAATGATAATGTTTTTGAAGAATGGGGAAATATTATCATCAATTTGTGTTGTGAGAAAATTAGTGCAGGACAAAATCTCAAGTTTATGCAAACTGTTCACAAAAGTTGAAGAAAGATTGAGAACAAAAGACAAATTTGTAAATGAAAAATTTGAATCTGTGTTGGGAAAAAAAGCCTGCTACAAATGTTCCATTATTTATTATTGTAAAAACATTTTGAGTTGTACAACATCGTACATTTTATGAATGTACTAAAAAATTTTTACTTTTTTAAATAATTTTTTACAAATGCATTTATTTTTATGTATAAATAATGTACCTAAATACGTGTTTTTCATGCATTACTTTTTAATCTTTTTATTTAAAAAAAAAAATATTTTATCGTATTTTACTTGGATTCAAACTAGGTGAGATAAGTTTTCCATGTAATTATATTGTAAATCATTGCAAAAAAAGTATTATTGCATGATTTTGCACATTTTGAAGCTTTTACCAGGTCCCTAATTATAACTAACAGATATAAACTTGTGTACCATCTTTTTGTTCCATTTTCAGGTGCCATATTAAGCTTTTTTTATTTATTTATATTCTTTATTTAATTGTCTTATATATTTTATCAATTGTAACATTTTACAGCTGATTTGCACGGGGGCTTCTCGAGTATGATCGCATCCCTGAAGAACAGGACAAGCAATGCTTTTTGCGGTAAATAGCCAAATTTCCAAATGTTTGAATTTTTTTTTAATGCAACCACCAACATCCAAGTCAATCCAATCTTGAGTTGAACCCCGGTACAAAAAGTGGAGGATAAGACTAGTTGAGAAGAAATGTTCCCAGTTATCATTTGAATTGGAAAAAGAAAAACAAAACAATTTTGAACTCCTCAAACATCAACATTAAGGAGCTACCAACTTCCAATGAAGTCAGATACTTATAACCATAGTGACAGAGCAGACTAACGTCGAATCCCTACTTAAGAAAAAAAGAAAAAAACGTAACAGACGACTTGGACAACTATGAAGACTTTTAGGACTGAAATCTGTATTGACCATTAAAACTCAACTACTTCTATACAAGACATTATTGTAACTACCCTGTACAATGAAGTGGAACTGTCTGGTTCCACCAAGCCATCACTACCATCAACATTCCTTTTGTAAATGAAGTGATCCGATCTGCTTCAAAAAGTTCCACATAAAGCATTCAATCTATCATATTCATACTGTCCAAGCCTTATTTTCCCATCCTGAGAACCCGCTACGTCTCTTTAGGCATGGTCTCAAGATTCCTTGCCACTTATCCCTCATATTAAATTTATGACCTGTGGATGCATTGCTAGCCATAGTGTCAGTGTGATCAGGAGAAAAAAAAAACATATAAGCACTGTAATATGTACACATTTTATATGTTCAGGCAACAAATAAATATTTATATATATATATATAAAAAAATGTAATTCTTAAAGAATTGAGCAACGTACCAAAGCAGTGCAAATGCAAAAGCTCCGTGCTTTGTTGCAAATCAAGAAACCTGACAGAAATACCGACTGGAGTTCAGGGAAATGTTAACGGAATGTGAGTCCAGAGCATGTTTTCAATATTAAACATTGCATTTTCTTTTTAAATCAACAAACTGTCTTTTATTTCAGAATAGTCATGAACACCCAGATTGAACTTTTTGATACAACGTTTTTGAATTATCATCCTTCTCTAATGTATGGTAAATATTGTGTAAAAAGCTTAAAAACATTGTATTAAAACTTTTTTTTAAATCAAAAAATCAGAAATCTTGGGAACAACGGTTTAACCAAACTACCTTCGAAAGTCTTCAAAGGGCAAATATACTTGAAAAAATTGTATGTATTTAAAAATTTTGTATAAAAAATTATTTGCAGATATTTTGAAATTGAAGGATACAATTACTTTTGTTTAGGTTTTTAATTAAAAACAAGTTAGAAACACTGAATGGCAGTCTTTCTGTTGAATTTGTAAACCTGAATTGGCTTTTCCTGTACGACAACTATCTCACTGAACTGAAAGCCAAAAATTGGAAGATGCAATATCTTACCTGGCTGTAAGTACTGGCATGCAAGTTTTTTCTGTCTGTATTTAAAAACAGAGCTAAAAGATTATCCATAACAGATTATCAATAAAAAGATCAATAACAAAAATTAATTTGTAATATTAAAAAGTTTATTTAAAATTAATTATTTTTTTTATGTAAGGTCTTGGTTGAAATGAAAAAGTTAGTGTCACGAGCAACTGTTAATTAACTTTTTCATCTCAACCAAGACCTTACATGAAAAGAATAATTTATTGAAATAATTAATATGGTCAATTAGACCACTAAACATAAATGGATTTATTTAAAATGCCTAGAAAATTTCCACTGTAGTAAAATATTTTTGCTACCCAAAGAACCAAGAATATTTTGATGTTGTCAACAGGAACATAACATATTTAATATCTTGATATTATAAGGACAATAAACTACTGATTTTTAAAATTTGTTCCAGGGATGCCTCAAAAAACAAATTGACTCTGAAAAACGAGACTTTCAACCGTCTGACTTCTCTCAAGTTTCTGTAAGTTCTGTTCAATAATTCTTTTGGGAAACTTCATTTTTCCCCACAGATGGTGAAACTACCGACCTGTGTAGCATGAAAGCCGAGAATTACTTGAACTAGTAATTAATATTGGCATGATTAAAAACTTTTAAGTTCAAAACTGCAGTGACTTCAGATTTCAGTAAGTCTGAGATATGTATGAAGAAATGGAACAAGCTTAAAAAGCTTCCTTGTGTTACGCCTGTGTTTATCTCATTACTACACACAGAACACGACACCACATTGTGAATAATTTTTTATCTAATTATTATTTTAATCTTAAAATCTTGTTACAATTTTATAAAAGGCTTCTGTGTCCAGATACCAAAGTCAGATTTCTTTATTTACAAAGGTATTAGACCTTTTTGTCATTCATGGTCATGAAAGGATGAGTTGTTAATTGAGCATCTTTTCTCTGGATATATTTTTAATTTTAAGACCTTGGCACAATTGTATAAAAGGCTTTTTCTGTGCCTGGACTTAAACAAAGTAGATTTCTTTGTTCTCAAAGGTATTAGACCTTTTTGTAAGTCATGGTCATGAAAGGATGAGTTGTACATGTGCAAAAGGAATAGGCTAAAAATGCTTGCTTGTAGTACATCCACATTTATTTCATAACTGGTATATTGAGAAGCATCTTTCCTCTAGATATAATTTTAATTTTAATATCTTGACACAATATTTTATGTGTCTAGATATAACCAAAGTAGATTTCTTTATTTACAAAGTTAGTTGGCCTTTTTGTCAATAGCTGACAGGGAAGTTCAAGAAGAAAAGAAATGGGCTTAGAAGAATGCCTTGTAATATACTCACTTCATAATTCCCATATTTGCTAGTACATGGTGAACAGTATTTTCTTTGGATATAACAATTAATTATTTATATAATGAATTATTTACAAAGTTTATCATTTTTGCTTAAAAAAATAAATAAATAAAAAATAAAAACAATTTTGTTTTTATTTTTATTTTCATATTATAGTGTCTGCATTTTTTATACTATTTTCCATACAGTTATCTGGAGAGAAATATGATTCAAGAAATAAACAATGACATATTTGCAAATCTCACTAATCTTATTGACCTGTAAGTGTAATGTGATCCCAAATAATTTCAATGATTATGTACTTATAATAATTTTGTTATTTTTTGTTTAAAGAGATCTGAGTTGGAACATCATAAAATTTATAGGACCAAGAGCCTTTGCCAGTCTTTACAAGCTGACAGATTTGTAAGATTTAAATATTTAACTCTTTCTATTTAAATTGTCTGAAATTCATCATCAAATCATTACTCTAAAGAAAAACATAGATTTTTTTTAAATTTATGACCTTTTTATTTTAAGTAGAGATTTAAACAAATAATACAATCCATTTTTAATTGTAAAATCTAAATTAGTCTCATTAAATAAAAAAATTGTTTTTAATAATNTATATATATATATATAATTGTCTCATCACCAAATTTCACATTTTGAATTGTCGTTTTCCCACATTTTGATATTCTGCAAATTTGGGAAAGACAGGAATTTAATGAACAACTTAATCCTAAGGCTCACTTCAACCCATTTCCTCATGTTAAAAAATGTCCAGAAACTGTAAGTTAATTTTGAATATTTCTAATTTCAATTTGACATAAAGAATAAAAGATGATGTCGACTTTGCAGCCAACTCGGAGGCAATGCTCGCTTGGAAATTGGCAATTACTTCTTCCCATTAGAATCATTGAGATCGTTGTAAGTTTTTGTAAGTAATGTTTTGACTTTGCTAACATAGTTTTTAATTATTTTTTTTTATGTATAGGAATTTAAAGGATATTGAATTGCCAAATTTGGAGTCTAGCATTTTTGAAATGTTGACAAGATTGGAAATTATGTAAAAAATTTAAAAGCTAATGTTGCTTGTTTAGTATAATGTTTTAATTATGAAAAATGTTTCAGCTATTTCAAAAAATATAAATATTGCACTTATGTGCCACAAGTCAAGAGATGCGTACCAAGAGCTGATGATAAGGATTTAAAATTTTAATAAAATTATTATTTACAAATAGTTGATTTCAATGTATTATTACAGGATTGTCTTCAGAAAACGACTTGATCGCAAATGATCTATTGAGGTGGACACTTTGGACAATAATGATTACAACTCTGATAACAAATTCAATGGTCATCTTGAGGAGGGTTGTCAGTTTCCAGACGTCCCCGCTGAGTTTGATCATCACAAACCTTGCCATAGCCGACATGTTCATGGGTGTTTATCTGCTCATCATTGGAGCTGGGGATTTATTTTATAGAAATGTTTACAGGAAGTATGCTCACATTTGGGTCAACTCTTGGACCTGCACAGTGGCCGGAGTCATTGCAATGATGTCTTCGGAGGTGTCAAATTCAAATTGAATTAAATTGTCAGTCCTAGTCATAAAAGCTTAGTACATTTTAGGCAAGCATACTGTTCTTGTTACTGATCAGTGCTGAGAGGTTTCTGCTAATTTCATCTCCCCTGGGAGCTCACAAAAATTTGACTACCAAATCTGCCTACAGCAGTTGCATCTCTATTTGGCTGTTCTCCCTATTACTTGCAATTCTTCCAGGCAATATTTAAAAAAAAAATCTTCCAAACAATATTATTAATACATAATGTATTACAGTATTCAATTGGCGATATGCTACACGATTTTATGGAAAAAATAGTTTCTGCTTTCCACTACATATCGACGAGCCATATATGGTCGGTTGGCAATATTCATCTTTGATATTTTTAGGAATCAACTCTTTCAGGTGATTTGAAATTATATTTTATAGGTTTATTTTTAATGTTAAGTGATCAGTATTATAGGAATTGGTCTTATGTACGTTGGAGTCTTCGTGAGCATTTGGAAGACGAGGAATGCAACGACCCTTTGCGTCAATGACTCAAGCTTTGCATTAAGATTTATTTTCATTGTGATGGCCAATTGCTGCTGTTGGGTTCCTATAATTGTGCTTAAAATTATGGCTTTTCTTTCCTGTGATATATCGAGTAAACTTTCTCTTATGACGAGTACCATCTACCGATTCATCTAATTTTTTTTCCTCTATCTCTCACTTTCCAGAAGATATAATTGGATGGATTGGCGTATTCATTCTACCAGTCAATTCTGCAGTTAATCCCGTCCTGTACACCTTCACCATTCCCAATAACTAATACATTCAAAGGCAAAAGCCTCAAATTTTATTCTCTAAAATAAATGTAATGGAAAAAAATTTACAAAATAAAAATACTATCAATCATTTTTATGTATTTCCTCTCCCCCATTTACACAAAGATAATTTATCTTTGTTATTGGTATCCTCCCAACATGAAAATGTCTTTGGATACCTCAACAATTTTGTGTAACAGTTTCAAAATAATTATTTAATAATGTGCCCTCATTTATATTATTACATAAGAATAGAAATTTCTCAAATTTATAAACACAGGTCAAGGTAAAAGGAGACATTTGAAATAACCCCAACAAACATCAACACAAAGGTCAAGAAGTCAGTATAAAATTTATATTTGTTATGGTATGCTATTAATAAAATGATCAAATCTAATTCTGTAGTGTAATCTACAAGTTCTAGCAAAATAATTAATATACAGAACATTACGGGTGGCCTGTTGCTGAACGGGTGATAATCCCTGAACATCTTTATATGTATAATTTTGCTGTATTTGATCTGTCTGATCAACAATGGTTCTCATAGAACTTAATAAATTAATGTGAAATCACTGTACTTTTCTTGTTTGACTGAAGTTGAGCTAGATTTGAACTAGAGGTTTATGCTAATTTTTATATTTTACATTTGTAACATCATAAGAAAATGATTTAAAAAATTTCTTAAATAATTATTGTTTATCTACATTGAACAAGTTAAAACCAAACTCGATTCAATAGAAAACTTATCATTTTAGAATGTATGTACAGTGTTAACCATATTTTTTAAATCAAATCATCACATTGAGGATAAATAAATCTTGCTCAAAAAGGGAATTTATCAATTGTACAGTACTCTATACCAAATGATTGTATAAGAATAACCATTCATACCATTATACTGTGGAGGTATGAAAAGGAGGGGGCCCTTTGTAACTCTATGATCATAGAGGACATGTTCCATTTCTTAGCAGAATGCATAATTTTAAAATAAATTTGTGTGCTCCACATAAACTGCTACCCTCTGAATCAACCCCACTTCTAAAATATTACAGACATGCTATACAGGTATTATGTTAAATAACTAAATACTTAATGTAATTTTTTGGCTTTATTTTCATGTTCTTTAATTTTTTTCTTCTTCACTTTTCTGTATTGTTCTGTTCTTTAGTTCTTTATTTATGTTTTAGTCACTCTCATGTAATTTTCCATGCTGTATGGTGCTTATACTGTAGTTTTTTATTTTATATGATTGTATTATAACAAATAAAGTATAATTATTATCGTCTATCTGATATTTTCATAAACAATGAACAATTTAAAACCAAATTTGATTCAATAGAAAACTTGTCTTTTTACAATGTGTACAACCCTAACCATATCCTTAAAATCAAATCATCACATTAAGGATCAATCTTGCTCAAAAAGGTTGAGCAATTGGTCCAAACTCTATGTAAAATGTTTATTATATAAAAATAACCATTATACTGTTGAAACCAAAACTATAACAGGAAGAGCACTGGTATTTTCTGCAATAGCCCTATATTTGAAAGATTCCCCCTGGGTAAATAAGCAATTCTTCACAGTTTACTTATACAATATTAATTTCTGTTTTCCCTACAAATTTCCAATGACCTAAGTAAATCAATTGTAGACTGGAATTAATTTTTGACCATACTCTTTTTAGCTAAGGCTTCTCGGTCATTGTATCACCTAAGACACCTAAGAAATTTTGAAGCAAATATATATATGCAAGGACTTTCAGTAAACCCATAAATAAAACAGTTTTAAAAATTTTCTGCAAGCGAATGGTGTTCAAATGAACATCCTATTCAGAGATTTGATGATTTATAACAATTGCAATTTAAGTTTTTCTTAAAATTGTTGCATCATCTGCAAGATGTGCTGTAAGTAAACTTTCTGAAGTTCTTTTTTATTTTATTTTATGATTTCAACTATTATGTTGATCATGAAAATGGTTTTATTTCACTCTTAAGACTTTGCCACCATTTTATACAAGGCATTTTTCTGTTTTTAGCACTCAGGCAGCACAAAGCAGATTGCACTATTTTGAAAAATATCTATGATTTTGTCGGTTCTAGGCAAGAATGGAAAGTTCCTAAGGCAAACTGAGTTTTTGTCATTAAGCACAGAGGCAAAATTCACGTTGCACATAAAAATGAAATTTCGTTTAACCTGTATTGCAACCGAAATGTAACCTAAGACAATGTTTTGTGTTTTTTTTAAATAGTAGGCAGGTTACTAAGTTTGTAATTTTTGCACAAGCCGATTCTTTTTTTTAAACAGTAAAATTAATTCCTTTAAGGAGTTAGCAAGGAATTTTCCATCTACTCGTGCTGAAAGCATAAATAGTTCTTTTTCTTTTTCAAATAGAAAACAACAAAATGACTGAATACACAGTGAAAACAAGCGATTTTCTCAATGTCTTCATAACTTCTTCATGTGAAGATAAATCAATTGAAAGGCGATTTCACAAAGGGATAACAATAGCGGATTTGAAGGTATTAAAAAATTAGTTCAGTTTTGAGGTATTTGTAATTTTTTCGACCCTCTAGGGAAAACTGGAAATTCTGACAGGAGGCAACCCGGGTACAATGAAGATCAAAGCTTTTGACAAAACAGACAAATTAATATGCAATCTTGACAATGATGAGGCGTTACTTGGCTCGTACCATATCGACGATGGAATGCGAATACATGTAAGTAATATAGAAATAGATTGTCAGGATAAGATTAAAAATGAAAATTTTGCAGGTTGAGGACAACTTTGAACTCAGGAAACAGCTAGATTATGACATGGATGTACAAAAATTTGAGCTATCGCAAGAAGACTATGCAAAACGGACAGGTAAACATCTATTCAGCGAACATGTGGTATAACCCAAACTTTGATAAAATTTTATATTTTTAACCTACCAAGCTAATAATCTCTTGGGGGTTATTTTATTTTATTTAGGTATGAAACAATAAGTGCAGAGTTTGAAATGTTAACACGCTGGTAACCTACATGAAGGCCAAAACTGGCCCAACCTGCTGGATGGATGGCCAGCATGTAGATAATGTCGCAGAAAAAAATTAAATTGTTAGGCTGCACTGAACATATTAAGTCCAAATTGGCTTAATTTGAAATGTCATAATATCGTATCTTCCATTTAGCAGGTGACAGTTATCCTCCAAATCAAATTTTGCTAATAGGGTACTTCATATTATCTCGGTTAGCATTGAATCTGCATAGATTCCTAAGTAGCAAGTTCTGCAACACTTAATTGACAGTAAGATCTTGGACCAGCTTGTTGACTTAAGTTTGAAAGTCAATGAAATTTTTCCGTTATTGGTGCTGATGAACATCAAGTGTGGGAAATCACTACAAATAAGATGGGTATTAATATATATTGCCCTATGGTGTGCCCGATAGCATATGATGCATAAAAATATAATTAGTAGCCTATATGGTAGATGAGTCTTAACTTTATACTGTGGTCCAGCATAAACCCAAAAAAATAGGGTTACAGTACATCTTGAATAAAGTAAAATGCAACCAACCAGACTTTCTATCTTATTCCAGTTGGAAGTTATGAATTTTTGCGTTTTTTTTTTTTTTTTTTTTGAAAAATCCCGACCTTAAGCCATGAATTAGCAGATCTAGAGCGTCTGTTACAATTTTTAACCACATTTTTGAATTCTGCATTAAATTTCCTACAAGAAAATTTAAAGCTATAAGAAGGAGCTATTTTTAATGTCATGAAAGGCCGATGTAAATTCATTAATTAAACCCAAAATGAAGAATTTTAGAAAAAGTGAAACTTTTGATAAATTTCCAAAAATAACTGTTTTCAACAAACATATTTATAGGGGTCAACATCAAGAAAACTTTTTCATTTAATAAGCTTTCTTATGGTGTACTCAAATTACCAAAAACATCAACCCTCTTCTTTGGTAAAATCAACCTGGAATATTAAAAAAAAGTGGTGCAAATGTGAAAATTGCAAGAAAAGGACTTTTTATTTATTTTTTATTTTATATATTGTATTCCTATTGTGACAAAATAGGAGAGGATTGAACTTGTCTCGAATTGGTACAGATTCTCTAGATCTTGAAAAAATGCCACTTTATGGCTTAAGGTTGGGATTTTTCAATAAAGCATGTAAAAATTTGAAGTCCAGCCAGATTGAGATAGAATGGTTTGATTGGTTGCATTTTACTTTATTTAGGATGTACTATAACCCAATTTTTTTGGGGTTTATGCTGAACCAATCCTGTATAACCCATTAGATGATGGGGGAATGTGGGTTGCCCACTCAATCGTGCTGTACGGATCTGATGTATGGGCCGAAGCACTAAATAAAGATAATTTCATAAACAAATAGCAGTTGTCCAATGGAGAGGAGCTATAAAAATAAGCTCCTACAGAATGGTTTCCGAGCCAGCAGTCCTAGTGCCGCAAGAGTGATCCCTCTTGATCTAATGGCTCTGACCTCATGTAAATAGAAGGAAAGGTGGCTCTTCGAACCATGCAAGAGATGGATGGTTCAGCACACTACTGTTTGGTCTGAGAGGAGACATGGAGGAGTTGACTACTTTGTCCGATTCCTGACTGGCCACTGATATTCAGGATGGGGAAGATGGTAGACCCTTCTTTTTGGCGACTCTCTGTGGGATGGACATAGGACAGATTACACCAGACACTGTTGTCAGAATCATGAGCATAAGGATGGCAGCCTTCATAAAGAGGGTTCTGCTACATAAGAAGGTGATGCTCAACTGTTGTATGCAAAAAAGAGTATATATAAAATCACTTTGTGGTATGTCAGATAGCATATGACAATAAATATATATTATATAAATATTATACTTTGTTGCTTATGATTGGGTTGCCGTGCCTGGAAACTGATGTTTTTCCTTTTTCACTTATTTTCTGGTGTTAAATTATTTAAATTTTATTAATTTAAGACAGAAAAGTCGAGTGGTAAGGACATCTAGCTAGCAGTTCTGGGTTTGAATCTTGGCATAGCCCATGACTTTAATTGATGATAATATGAAAATTGACCCTTTCTCCATGACACCCAGCATGCAAGTCGCATGTTAAGCCCCCCTGTTTGAAGCCACACATTGTTAAATGCTCTCTTAAGCTAAGTTATCCAGTGAAAAATAAATTATTTCAGATTCTCTCCAGTCATATCTTAAGATGCACAGACTTGGAAAGTACAACGAAACTGAAGTGGAAAAGAAAGAAAGGGAAAAAAAGAGAGAAGAAGAACTGGAGCAGGAGAAACTGAAGGACATCAAAGTCGGGCTTAGATGCCAAGTCAGTACACCCATGCAGCCAGTTAGAAGAGCCACAGTAAAATATGTTGGTAAGAATTTTTTAAATTATACTAACTATATGTATAGAAAAATAACAGGGTGATTAAAAACTAGAANATATATATATATATATATATATATATATATATATATGTGTGTGTGTGTGACTACTTCTATCAGCATGGTTCACTTTCTTAATGTTTTATTGAGGCATAATCAGACTAAATAAAAAAATATTTGTTTCAAGACAATACCTGTTCTCACATTGAGTAAAATCTTTACAAAATGATGGAATCTCTGGCTTCCTTTCTTTACAAATAATCCTGACCTTCACCGCTGATAGCAATGACTAACCAATGTTGAAAGATGTAAAATTTGGAGAATGGCTTTTTTTTTTCTATAATTAAAATACAATTTGTACACCAGATATTTATACACATATATATATTTATGGCAATTATTCATTGAATATAGTATATATTTCCATAATTAAAAATTATTTATTGTAAATATAAGATTTTTTGATTTATTTACTTCCTGCTCATCCTAATTTTATAATTGTTTGATAAACAATTTTAGAGAAAACTATATGATAAAGCATGACAAAAGTATATCTCTTTGACAGGAACTACTGAATTCAACTCTGGCTTCTGGGTTGGTGTTCAATTTGATGAGCCTTATGGAAAAAATGATGGATCGTAAGTTGTGTTTGCAAGTTTGTAGTGCAACTTCTCAAAAAAATAAATAAATAAAATAATAATAATAAAATGACAATAATTTTAGTGTTCAAGGAAAACGGTATTTCGAGTGCCCGCCAAAATACGGAAGTTTTGTCAAACCGATGTACATTGAAGTTGGAGACTTTCCTGAGGAGGAGATCAATTTTGATGATGAACTCTGATTCGACTGTATTTCGTTAACAAAAGAAAGCACAAGCCTTCAAATTTTGCCATTTTTTCCTCCTAATTGTTTACATTTTTGTAAGATTATGCTTTTTTTTAAAATATTATTTAACAGTACATATGATCAGCATTATAACACAATTATTTACATTCACAGGGGTTCATGTGATACTGTAGAAAATTGAACACCAGTATTTTTTGGCAATAAAAAATCCTGAGTCTAGATTAAATATTTTTTACTTTTTAAAAATGTTTTTGTTTATTTATAGATATATATCATATAATTGTATCTAATATTAAAATTGATGAAAAAAGGTTTCTTATTACAACATTCCTCGTTTAGTTCACTTTGTTTTACACTAACATCAATTGTTTAAAAATAAATGCTTATTACATTTAACATTTTACAATTGGACAATAAATTCTGGTTATACAATCATTGTAATTTAAACAAGTAAAAAATTAACTTTTTTGGCCATAACCATTGTTTTCTAGTTTTAGCTAAACTCTGAAACTAATTATTTTCTTCGACAATTGATCAGCAACTGCTTTAAAGCTGAACATTCAGGTGTGATAAAATAGTCATGATAGATCATATAAAACACTTAAAACCATGCGTGATACGCATATTAATATTTACAAAAAAAAATTGGTTCATTTAAACTGGTTCTTTTAGGGTTGATTTACAATATATACTCAACATAAATACTTCGTAATTGATATTGTATTGATCAAAAAGTGTTTAATTTATATATAAATAATTAATTTTTATACATATTAAGAAAATATATTGTTTGTATAAAATTTACACAATAGAATATATACATGTTTTTCATTCTAGTATTTCCTCCTTTTGATAATTTCCGGTCGCCAGTGTATAGGGTGGGATTCTTCAGTCTGGAAAAAAGAAAAAAGTCAATTAATAATTTAACAAAAGTTGTCATTTCCTGTTTAAACAAAATTTACCGCAGTATCATCTTCTTTGTAGATTTTAATCGTCTTGTCAGCTTCTGTTGTTATCAATCTACTTCCACTCTGGTCAAATATCATCGAAAATATTCCAGATTCGCTGTCCATTGATCCAGGTTGTACCGGAGCCTAGAAAGAAGTCAGTTAAGACAATAATCGTTTTTGTGTTTTGGGTTGAGCAAGCTATTACAGACCTGCAGCCTTTGAAAATTGTATCCAGTCCGCCAGTCCCAACAGTGTAGAGTACCATTATCTGCCCCGGAAATCAGAACGCCTTCTGGGTTAACAGCTAAACAGTTGACTATTGCATTGTGGCCAGATAGATTTTGCAGAAACACGCCCTCAGGGCATTTCCACTGTTTTATGTTGTCCGGACTGGCTGATGCGAACATGTATCTGTAGAAGTTTTATTTTATATTATTACTGAGCATCTTTTTCTTTCAATACCAAACTGAAACTTACAATGTAGGATGAAATATTACAGCTCGGATGCTCTTTTTATGGTTGGTAAGTGTTGCCATAGATTTCCCAGCAGCCAGATCCCATAATCTAATCGTGCAGTCATGACTCCCTGTGATTACCTGAAAATTAAAAGTTTTATTTACAAAATCTGAAGGATTCTCTTTTTTATTTTTTTTTACCTGTGGCTCAGCTGCTTGTGATATGACGCTGGCAATAGTGTTGGTGTGGCCTGTTAGAGTGTGGACGTTAGCTTTGGTCCGCATGTCCCAAACACGAGCAGTTGAGTCCCTTCCAGCAGTTATAAGTACGTCGATCGTCGGATGAAGGGTGAGTGAGTAGACTGCGCTCAAATGTCCGTGATAGTGACGGATGACCTTGTTGTATTCCAAATCCCAACATTTCACCTGACGGTCTTCACCGCAACTGAAGAGGTAAGGATGACGGGAGCTGACAGCAAGTCCTCGAACGCTGCTTATATGCCCTGTCAGCGAAACTTTCAATTTGCCAGTTGCCAATTCCCAAATCTATCAAATTTTCAACAGAACGTTAATACCAACAAAGACATTGGTTGAAAAATTACAACATTATGCAGACAATTTTGTTCAACATGGTTTTATGTGTATACACATTAACATAAGTATATGAGGTAGGAAAAAAGTATTTCTTACCTTGATAACTCTATCAGCAGATCCTGTGGCAAACCACTCATTCCCTGGTTCAACTGTTACACAACGAACCCAACCCAAATGCCCAGAGATGACCCTGTATAGTTTCCAAGGAGGATGCCATTTTGGCTTTGGCATGGCTGGAGCTTTGCGGGGTTGGATAGAAACCACATTGCTAGGGGCTTGCACCACTGCTCCAGTATTCGGTATGTAAGATACAACTGATGTGTTTGTTTCTGATGGGAGATCTACATTTTCAGCTGGCACTTCTAGGGGTGCATCGCTTTTATCAGCATCCTTTGATTTGACAGCTTTATTATGCTGAACTTTATCCAATACTAAGCTGTAGCTGTCCCTCGCCTTTACTCCTTTCTTTAACTTATCTCTAAAATATTTAGCAAAAAAAAGTTTTATTATGCATACCTTTTAAATATAAAGTAACATAATGGTAATAAATTATGCATAGTACACAAATTCTTGCAGGCACAGTGCAAAAAGACAATCCAGTTATTTAATAAGAAATGAAAGAAAGTGAAACATACATTATTCAATCTCTGGTCAAGTATAATTCAAGTATTGTGGAAACATGTAAAAAAGACAACAAACATGTACAAAAATAAATAAAGCATCAATGCTAACATAAAATTATAGGGGTGGGTTTTGAAAAACATGTCTGAAGGAGCGAGAACAGGACTAAAGAGAAGAAGGTCAATTTAAACCATTTATGAATCATTTTTATTTATTAGGATGTATGTGGCAGGAGGTTGTCTTGGAAAAACAACAATGACATGCTGGCATAGGACCAACTGAAAATGCATAAAAGGAGTCACAGGAATTAATGGACAACACAAGCAATTGGTGCTCATGCTGGAGGATATGAGAGGAGTTTGAAGTTGTTCAACACTTGTTGGAGGTGGCAAACGATGTCTAAATCATCTCTTTATCATGTCCCATAAGTGTTGGACAATTCTTTATGGTAATCCCTACATCCTCCAAATAATGGGTAACCTCAAGCAACATGCATTTACACAAAGTTGTCCCTAATAAATTAAGTGAATGTGGCCACAGCTTCTAGAAGAACTTCCTCGATACACATTAATGCAGTTACAGATCCATCCATTCCATCCAAGATAATAGTAAGATATGGCAATGTACATTGGTTCAAATTTAGTAACTCCAAGACTGTAAAGTTGGGCCAATAGAAATAACGCCTTGTTCTTTCATTAATACATCTATACTAGTTAGGGATTGTTTATTATTGAAAAATAAACAGCTTTAAATAGAAGTAATAACTGTTAATTGATTATTACAGTTAATTCCCAAATGTGTGGATACTTTGAGTTTGGCTAAATCATGAATATTTGCGCACTTTAAAGCAGACAAGAAAACCAACAATTAGCTGAGCATGGTGAGTACTGAATATTGTTGCTCAGCGAATAACCGAGCACTCATTCACACTAGTCAGGATTCGGTGAACCTTTGCTTGGCATTCGGCCAATCCTGCATGTCTGGAGCTGCCTTTACTATAGAGATTCACTCATATGTTAAAATTAGGTTGAATCATTTGTGACTTTTGACTATCTAGTTAGTTTTGTGAGATCAGCCTTTATGGCACTTTCTGATTGTTGCAAGTATGTTCCTACAGATTAGCATCTAGAGATGGCAAAATGCTGAAATTTATCTCTCAAGACCTGAGAGAATAGTCATTGAATAAAGTCAATCAAACTGCATGCCAACAGGTTGCTTACAAAATAGAAAGTAAAACACAGAGAAAAAAATACTGCTGTTCAAAGAAGAATGTTGTGTTTAAACCATGTCTCAGTCGTCATTTATTTAAAGAAGATTGTTTATATAATTTTAATTAAACCAATACTCACGCTAATTCATCAACAGGAGGCAGAACCCCCTGGCTTGCCAGGAACATGTCATGGGTCCTTTTTAGAGATCTGAACAGTAGCGTGTGCACCGAATGCCTTTGGACCTCCTTTAAGAAAAACATTTTTAATTGAAAAAAACAACTCATGGGTTGTATTTTATATCAATTTACCTCGAGCATTTTTGAAAGAAGAAAGAAAAATGTCAGGGAAAATAATGCCTCTCGCTTCACCGGGGACGCTCAAACAGTCAAACCTCCTTTGCTGTTAACGATGGGAGGTTTTAATCACACGCTTAAGTTATATTCTAAGGTTAAATTTAACGATAACCCATGTGAAAAGCTTTTGATAACTTTTAAGTTATAAACAAATATTATTTTTTAAATAATTATAATATTAACTGGATAAGACCATTCGTTTAGAAATGGCTACGAAATTAGGAAGACTGGGTATGGCTTTATAAATTGCAAATTTATATTTAATTTAACAATATCTTATGATAATAAGTTATTTTTTTAAATTAATTAATTTAATCAATTTGTTTTTTGTTTTAGTTTTTCGTTTGCCTACTGCTTCACTGGGAAATAAAAAATGCCTGATGTCCTCAGTCGCTCTTAAGAATCCAGTTGTGGAGGATGGTATTTAAATTAATATTTTTGATTACATTTAAATTAAACATTAATATCAAATTTAAAATAATTTGCTTAGGCCTGGATGGTAATGAAAAGCCGGAACGTCTCAACCTCCAGACTTAACCACCAGTGTAGTGTTAAAGGGCCGATGGTGGAATATTGAGTACCCCATCGACCCTCAATTAGTTTAATTATATAGTGTGTAAAGGGTGATGGAGAATATCAGAGAGTGTGATTTAGGAACCAGGATTGTGTCGGATGTTGAAATAATTTAGCTGTTGACAGCCCAACCTCTGTGGCTGGACAGATAAGACCAAGGTTTGCCAACATTCTAGAGGTCTGCTGGTGGTTTATTGTAAATTACAAATTCTGGAATTACCAGTGGACTGTGAGAAGTGATTGGCTCAACTCTGTAGATGTGTGTATGTATGATGTATGTGCAGTTTTGAGCCTATATAAACAGTAATCAGTAAAATAATATTTCTTTAGCCTTTGCTTTAATGTATGTTTAGTGTCATCTTTTCCCATTTTTTGATGAAAGAACCCTGGGTCCCTGGTATTTACAAACGTCCCAGTCCACTGTGATCACATTTGTGTCTATACCATGTAAAATAAAGCAAAAAGTCAAATAATTCCTGTCATACAGGAAGGCTTAACGGCCAACTTGGGTGTCATGGACAAGGGGACCACTTTACAATACATTTTTCGTATAATAATAAATTATAAAGCGAAGGGGCCAGGATTTGAACCCAGAACCCCAAATATGAGTCAGGCACTCTAACTACTTGGTCACTGTGGTCCCATATACCATTGTTCTGAGTGTTCTTGGCTAATTTCATTAGATGTTTTCATTATCTTGCTGTACATATTACTACGCCTTCTTCTTGGCAGATTTGTCAAGTATCAACTGATTTACCCATTTTTTGAAGATGATTCTTTGTTTCCTGCCTTCTGAGAAGTGGATGATAGTATGAGTATTTATTTCAATAATTCACAAACTGGTTTAGCCGTAAATGTATAAAGTAACTGCAAAACCAGTTTGTGAGTAAAATCATCCTTTTCAATTTGTGTAACTTGGTCTTCTTGTTTGAAATAAATTTAAACTTTTTCAATTATTTAATATCTGACATTTTAGTCAAATGTGAGATTTTCTTTTTATATTCACATATCCATTCTGATTTGAACGTACTTTTTGTAATGTCTAATAGTTGTTCTCGTCCAAGGGATGTGAATGCTGCACCTTCTTTTGTAAATTGTCCTCTAGTTCAATTCCTTATTGGCACCCATATGAGGTCCACATTATTACTTTTCCCAAGGGATTGGAGATTAGGTACTCAGAAATGAAGTCCTTAAAAAAAAACTCATTTCCAGTTTGGAAAATTAAATTTTTCTTTCATATTGTCAGATACCATTTTAGTCATCTTGTTTAATTTTAGCCTGTCCAGGGTTTTGTGAGTTTTCCCTTAAGTAATTATTACAGTCTACTATTACTTAAAAGTCTATTGAATTTTCTCGCACAATGTTGCTGTACAACATAAATTATAACTGTAGTAATATACTTATTGTCAAGTGTATGCATATAGTGGCTATCCCAGTGCTACTACCATTGCAAAAGTTTTCGGATCAATTTCCTATGCGAATTACTTACATTTATCTGTTTATTATATTCATTTTTTGTCTCTTTTTGTAAAGGTTTTAACCATACTAGGGTTCCATAGTCACTCTTCTCAACCCGCACAAGTGTCAGAACCCGGATTTTACTGTTGTGAAAATTAGCTTGAGCTGAATCTGTCTGAGACAAAACATACCCACAGTCTGACAGACAGCCAATGTAGTGTGCTCATTTTCTTCAATTAGATCTGTAATGTTCCTAAAATAAGGAAACTGTAACTAAGTATGAGCATTCAAGGAAATGATTCCTCAGAATATCAGTGAGCGGTTTTGTGAACCATACAGAAGCATATCTCTTCCTTGGGTGAATCAAGACCATCAGACAGTTTGAGATTTTCAGTATTTCCTAACCCTTATCCACATCGTAGACCTGATGAAGATATATACCTACCATGGTCTTTTGTAGACTTTTATTGATCCTGTCCATTACCATAGTCTAACCTCTTAATTAAAACTACTATACCATTTTTTCTTAAAATTCTTAATTTTTAGGTTCAAAGGCAGAACTTCATCCTTTACATCACCCAGATTATTTTGGCGTTAATAATCTTTTCACTGTGAAGGATCTGTTCGATGCTAGAGTCCACCTGGGTCACAAGATGGGCTCTCTCAATGAGAACATGAAACCATACATATTCGGTTCAAGGCTTGGACACTTGATCATCGATTTAGACAAGACAAGCGCCTTGTTGAGGAAGGCTCTCAACTTCACCGCTCACATTGCCTACAGAGATGGCATTGTCCTTTTTGTCAGTCAGGCCCCGCAGCATTCTCTCCTGATTGAGGATACAGCAATCGCCTGCAAAGAGTTTGCCCACACGCGATACTGGAGGTTGGGAATGTTTACCAACTCGACGATGATGTTCGGGGCGATGACACGCCTTCCAGACCTCTGCATTGTAATCAACACGCTCACAACAATTCTGGAGCAACACCCTGTCATACTAGAAGCAGCTAAAATGGCCATCCCCACAATCGCCATTGTTGATACGAATTGTAACCCTAATTTAGTGACCTACCCAGTACCTGGAAATGATGACACTCCTTCTGCCATAAAACTCTACTGTAAACTTTTTGAAACTGCAGTTTTAAAAGGGAAAGCAAAAAGAAATGAATCAACGTAAAAATCAGTTAAATTTCTCTATAGTGTTTTTAGCTTTTAATATGAGTACACTGTACTTACATGTATATTAACAGTTTAAAAAAATCCATCTAGGGATTGAATTACCATTTTCCAAACAATGGCTGAAATGAATTCCTGAAAGCTTACATTTAATATATACATAACATGTGTACATAATTAATTTGAACAAAATACAAGTACTTTAATACAGAAAGATCATTTGTAAATGAAGTTGTTTTATTTACTAATTTTTGAATTTCCTATATCTTCATTTTTAAATTTGTTGCTACTTTAGTATATAGTAAAGTAATAATATTAATAAAAATCTTTATTTGCCAGTTTAGATACTATATGGAACTATAGATGGTAGATATTATATGAAGTAAAATGGAAAGACTATTCTTATGGTTAACAGACCATCTGAGGGGGTGTCTATTTATCCTAATGAACAAAAAATAAATAAATTCAGAATCTTTGTAGGAGGTAGAACAAAAGATGAAAAGAAGGTGAATATGCATATATAAATATTAAATTATATTCCCTAATTCTTATGTTAATTATAATCTGTATTTCCAGGCTTTACAGTAGTTAACTAAACTCATATTTCCTCCATATACATAATCAATAAACTGCTGTTAACTCAATTTATTTTTCTGAAGCTAAAAATGTTATATAAAACATGATTAAAAGAAGGTGGAAGCGAGTATCAAGAGCACTGTTGATAGGTGGCCCTCAGAGGATCTGACTCGTAGAAGAGGGGTAATCCTCATTTGATTAAGGTTAGGCCATGCGAGGATGACACACAGACACTTAGATTTAGGCCAAAGCTCATTTATGTGTCTGGCATGTAGAGAAAGGTTGCTCAATGTGTTCCTTAACTCCTTGGTTCAAGTGGAAACTATTAGTGTTTGAGAGAAGAGTGCTGAGAAAGAATTGCAGCCCAGTTAAGGCAAATAATCAGTGGATAAGGCATAACCATAAGAACTTATTGTCTTATACAGATAGGTAGACGCCGTCAATGCACATTCAGTTAAGAAAACTTAGATGGGCTATGTCTTACAGACGGACGGAACTTCAATTCTGAAGAAAGACTTGCAGCTCAAATCAGCCGGAAGGAGGAAACGAGGAAGAGCAAAACTAACATGGATAGATTGTATAGGCAGTTTGCTAAAACTGGGCATTTGAAATGAGTGGGCGACCTCAAGACAGAAGGCAAAGAATTCTTCAGAATGTTTACTGATGAGTCATGTTTCTGTCTGTATAGTGAAGGCAGGTGCCGAAGAGTCTACCGGGAACAGGGATGCACACAATGCCCTAGTTTCTGGTCCCTTAGTGAGTGCAGTTTGGAGGAGCGGTGTAATGGTGTGGGCTGGGATTTACACTGGAGGACGAACTGTACTCAACATTGTTGTAGCCAACCTCACCGCAGTTCATTATGTCCAAGAAATTATTGAGTAATACATTCATCAAACCAGGGATCTAATTGGCAGGGATTTTCAATTTCTAATGACAAAGCTAGACTTCACAGATGCAGAGTTGTACACAAATGTTTAGAAAAGCTGGAAATTTCCCATCTCCCCTTCCCCCATTGTCTTCAGATATCAATCCCATTGAGCACATGTGGGATGCGGATCACCATCCGCAGCAACTGAGTGCAGTGTTGCAACATCTTTATAGTGAAATTCCTTATGAAATTAGTGACAACAGAATGCCTAACAGGGGCACAGAAGTTTTAGCTAACAAAGACATTTTATGATGTATCTTTTATTTGAATAACAAGGCTACAAATCATCCATAAATGCTTGATTAATTCAATTTTACTAATTAAGTTTCTTAATGATACAATAAATTGAATGTTTAATAGTAAAAGTATTAGCTGATTTTTTTTTCTCTAACTATTAAGTTAGTACAGAAAAATCTGTATAGCCAGACTTTCTGCTTGTACTTTGTTACTTGAAAACAAAAAATTCCTTGTTATATGTATAAACTTATTTCGATTTTTATACATAATTTATTTTATTTTTATGGATCAAAAACCCATTTCTTAAACAAAACATATACAAAAATAAGGAAAAAAATACAATACAATGCTTATAACTAACTCAACATTAATAAAGAATAAAACACTATACTATATGTCAATGAAAAACACAATAAATACTTATAAATAAACAACATAAAGATTTAATGAAACACCCTGTCTGTATAATTATAACAATTAGGAATAAGATATAAAAATAATATAATAAAGCAATTATAAACTACATACATAGTACATTTTTATCTTCTTTTTTTAATTAAATAAAATTATTAGGCTTTAAGTAACTGTTTTAATGAGGAAACAGAAGTATTAAATAAATCAACAGTATTGCATATTAGTCCATTTATGTTTAGTGGTCTAATTGACCAAATAACTTATTTCAATTAATTATTCTTCTTATGTAAGGTCTTGGTTGAGATGAAAAAGTTAGTGTCATGAGCAAGATTCGAACCCATGACCTTGCTATACACTAATAGTATTGCATATGTTGTTACATTCTGTCATCATGCGATGCATTGGGGTTGTGTAGTGAAAAATGTGTTCCTTTATATTCAATAAAATATATTTTGTAATTTCTGAGGTGGCAAGGAGGTACATAAAATTGGATGAAAAAAAATTATATATCTGTATCTGGGGAGGATTCCAATTTTAACTTTAATCTTTCTTCTGAACTTCTTGCTTTTAATAATTTTAAAGATTAACACTTTTTTTTCAATAATGTTATATATTTTTAGAAAATCATGCTCACATTGTTGGCATATCACTTGCACATCAGTAATGAAAGCAACCACTATCCAGCTCCAGCATTCCAGTGGCTTTATTTGTAAAGGTTAAACAAGGATAGGTTTTGTGTACGTTATTTGGTCATTTTTACTTTAATCATAATTTTAAAGATCTTATGGCTTGAAAGTGATTTTTATGAAAAGATAAAAATGTCAGTTACTTTTGGGCAATTAGTCATCGGCCCACCGGGTACAGGCAAGTCGACATACTGTCATGAGATGTCCAAATTCTTGGCCCAGGTAGGCAGAAAAGTGTCAATCGTCAATTTAGACCCGGCAAATGAAAAATGCCTGTACAAGGCAGACGTCGATGTAAACGAGTTGATCACTGTGGAAGACGTTATGTCTCATAAAAAGCTCGGTCCGAATGGTGCTCTCCTCTACTCGTTCGAGTACCTCGAAGAGAACATACAATGGCTCTTGGATCAGCTGAAAGACATTAAGGGCACATATGTCATGATAGACTGCCCAGGCCAGATAGAACTTTACACTCACCATGAGTCAATTAGAAATATTATAAATAGGCTGAAATTGGATGGGTTCAATCTTTGCGCTGTGTATCTACTCGATGCGCATTATTGCAACGAGCCTGGGAAATTTGTTTCAAGCCTGATGCTCACTCTTTCGACAATGCTACACATTGAACTGCCCCACATCAACGTACTGACGAAAGTGGATCTTATGGCCAAGTTTGCGGAAAAACTGCCATTCGGGCTTGATTACTACACGGATGTCTTGGACTTGAAATATATCTTAGAGTACCTGGAAGAAGAGTGCGGCTCTACTAGAATGAAGTTTCATAAATTCAATGAAGCTTTGAGCGACCTTATCGAAAACTATGGGCTTGTTTCTTTCTTACCGTTAAATATCGTGGACAAACGTATGATGAACAATATAAAAAACAGTTTTGACAAAGCCAACGGCTACATTTACCATTCTAAGGAGCAAAGGCATGTCCAGACTCTACTGGCATGTGCTGTCGGCGCACAAACTGAAAATGAAAGAATCGGACTGGACAGGGATCTTTATACGACAACAGATTATCAAGATACAAATGAACCTTGAAATCTAACATTAGTTTGAAAATATATATTTTTTTACCAATAAAATGTTGTTTTTTCCCCCTCATATAATTTCACAAAATCTATTTTTACATCAACATAGTAATTTTGCACTCTTGGAGTAAAACTGGATAAATCAAATTTTAGCAAAATGAAAAAGCGCATCTCAGTCGATGCCTGGATTGGTATCCGGAGTTCTCTTTTGCATAAGTGCAAAACCGCAAATGTCTACATTGAAGCTAAGGGTTTCTATAATCTTCCAAACAAGCAGCAGTCAATGTGTTCGGATTGAAATGTCAGTTCCAACTTACTGCTTTAGTGTATAAATGAAACAAAAGTTTACTAAAGGGAAAGAAAGATACAAGAAAATAATTCTTGTCATCCAGGAGGGCTTAGTGCTTGGGTGCCGCGAACAAGGGGTCAAACCACTTTCATATAAAAATCAAATTCATCTCCTAGTATGGCAAATACAAATGAGACACCCTAATAAACACTTGGCCATCAACAACAAATGTATAAACAAAAATAGCAAAACCTGAAATATTATTTCAAACTGATAATATTGGCAAGAACTTATAAGTTGTCTAACATTTCAAAGGGTTTCAAATAGATCTCACGTTTGATTTAATTTCAATTATATTTTGTTTATAAAATTCACAATATTTCCCGAACAATTATCTAAAACAAACAAAACCCATTTCTGAACCCCAACAGTGAAAATATTCTTGTAACAAAACAATGTATAATATTACAATTCTTAACTTATTAAAAAAAAAAAAAAAGGAAGGGAAGAAAGAAAAAGGAGGAAAATCATATAAATTAATATCATACATAACAACTTCATGACAAATAAAAGAGAAAACCAAATTAATAATTAATTACTTATATACGTATATTATATATATTATGTATAAAAAATTTTACACTAACTTTGGTACAAAACTTTTCATGCATTTTGTTTAAATTTAACATATATTTTAAATAAAATAAGATTACAAAAAGAAAGAAGATACAATAGAAAAAAATTTACAGTAGTAATAATAAAAGTAAAGGGACTGGTGTCAAAATCAAAGTTTAAAACTTAAATAATGTTCATTCAATTAAAGTTATTCTCTAAAATATTACACATAATTATTTTTTACGTGGTGTTAATCTTTATCACTGCACCACTAAGAACGTACATAGTTTCATACATATCTTTCTTTTAAATATAATTACACTCAGTTTTTTAAGAATCATATAAATATACCTTTCATCCTAGTTCTTTATTTTGAGGCACTTGCATTTAGAAATAAATAAATAGAACAGTTAAAGGGTAAACAGCAAAGGCACAAATTGAATCGGGCGGTCGGCTGTAACATATCCAAAATTGATCCTCGCTTCTTTTATGACTAGTCTTAGAAATATGTAAAATTTTCTTAATCCTAAATGCTCTTAAGCACACAAATGTTGTTTTGCTCTTATTATTCCTGAGACTAACATTTCAAAACATTGTTATTCAAATTTTATTCTTTTTCTCCTTAAGTTGAACACAGACTTTTTGCAAAGCCGACCTAATTCCACCTTAAAATGTATTTGATTATAGTTATTTATAGAAATATATTAGATGGAAATTAGATAAATCAAAAATTAAGACAAAATCAAATAGGAACCGTCCATCAGTCGAAAAAAAAAGAAGAAAAATAGAAGAAAAAATAGCACTTCTGGCTTCTTGAGATTCCAATCCCAAACAATTCCATCTTGCAACTTCATGTTTTCAATATATATTTTCTTCCATAACTAGTATATAAATTTTGTCAAACTTTACAAAAATATGTTGCTTTATATATATATATATTTTTTTTTAAATTAAATCTAATATATAATTAAATATAATGCTATCTAACCAATCATATGTGACAGCACCATTAACAAAACCACAATAGAAGAACCTATATATTTCTTTCATGCCAGCTGAGTGAAAAAACAAAATGTCATTTTTAAATTTTTTACCAGTTAAAAACAAATAGTTTGTAAACCACACCTACCATATTGAGTATTAGTGGAATTGAATTTTGAAAATACATTTAATTTTACTTTATTTTATTTTTCTGAAAAACAGTGCATATTTCGCAAATTTGGTCCCTACAATGCATGCAAGCTATTCTAAAATTCAATTCGTAAAATTGTCAATCTAGGACAAACTATCTAATAGTGCATATTTAAAAACACCGTAAAAAAATATTGTCTATTGCCAATAATTAACAATACTTTCCGTTGTGTAATTTTTATTATCAAAACTGTAACTTGCATGTGCGTATGTGCATACTTATGCATTAAATACAAGTAAGATTACCCAAAATGCTTAATTTAATTTTGCTCAATTAGAAAAATGGATCTGTGTTTGGCCATCTGATAACAGATCTTGATAAATTTCATTTTGTACCACATCAAAATGCATGAATCATTTTATGAATAGCATGCAATGAGAAGAAAAACAAAACATTTCCACTGTACTTGGTAATAAATAATGTGCTCTTACAATAATTTGAAAGACTATAAAATGGAAAAACTGAACTGTAGTATTTTATAATTATAACTCATTAGGAACTCCAACTGACATAAAAGAACAGGAAAAAAACATTGAAATATTTTAACAAAAATCAACAAATTTCAACATTTGCAGTCTCACTAAAGGCGATACCTATTTATATTCAATTCAAAATAGTTACCTAATTCCGTCTTCCATTTTAATAATAATTATAAAAATAAATCAGGGTTGATGTGTAGATGGCTCCCTGAAAACTGAGATACTCGGCTTTTCTATGGGAAGATGGTGTCTTACAGGGGCGACTTGCTTTTCGATTGTAATGCCAGAATGTCTTAAAGTGATAGCTGGAGGTGGGTTATGTGAGGGATGTGACTGAGAGGAAGAAGCCGGCATTGATACAACCGTCAAGGCTTTGGGTAATTTTGGCAAAATGGGCCTGTTACGATACTGCTGGCCAAGTTTTAAGAGAGGAGGTGGCTGGGAAATGCTAGAATTATAATTAACCATACTCTGCTGATGTCTTTGTTGGTTCAATTGGTAGAATTGCTGCTGCTGTTGGTATCTGATTGGTGGGGCCATGCGGACAAGTGATTTAGCTCTGTCTAAAGGAGATATTTTCTTCTTTGCTTGCTGCCTCATGTACATTTCACGGAATTTGTCAGGCATCGGGTGTTGCTGAGGCATTTGGTGTTGCTGAGTCATCTGGTGTTGCTGAGTCATCTGGTGTTGTTGCATTGGTACCCTCATCTGTGGCTGCATGTGAGGTCTGTGTTGGATGGTCACTTGGGGAGGACGACTTTGTTGAACCGTATTCAACTTTGGTGAAGGAATTAAGTGTTCATTTTTAATCTCTGTTACCTAAAAATGCAAACGTTTTTGAAATGTGTTTGAAAATTCGAACTATTTTATTAAAATCTTATCAATCATGCAAACAAAACATATTTTCAAACAAGTTCTTGCACAAAATTCTTAGATTTAAAAAAAAAAAAAAAATCACTGAAATTGTATTAAATCTGACTCTTTTTTTAAATTACATTTAAACGTAAAATACATATAACAAATGTCATTAAACGTATAAATCTATACTGGTCTGTCTGTCAGATGTGTTTAGAAGTCAACCATGTCTTGGCTTAATAGCTTAGTTAATGAGGGACTGTGTGGAGATGTGTTTTTGGTATTTTGTTCTCAATTAAATGTATGAAAACAGACTAACCAATGAAGATGGCAAAATGTGTCTATGGGTTTATCACAAAAATTTCAATGTGATTATTTTTCCTCGTTATATGCCTCACAGATAAATCCCATGAACTATTATTTTATTGGAGAAATGATTTTAATTTATTCTTTTTAAAATAATGGGAGAGATATTTAAACTACAAATATTATATATATATAAATAATTACTTCAATTTCTCCAGTGGCTGGAAATACTGGATAAGTTGGTTTTGGAGGTTGTACGGCTACTTGAGGTTTGGGCTGTTGCAGCTGAGACTGTGAAAGTGGCTGCTGAGCAGCCTGTGGTAGTGGTGTAGACACCACCGGTTCATGTGACTCTTGTGAAATCTCCTGCTCTTTTTTAGGGACTGGAGTGCCTTCGAAAGCATGTATCCGATTTTTGGCGGATGTTATGTACTTGACTGCCCTCTCGTCAGCATCTGGCCTCAAGACGAGGAACCCGGCTCGCCAGACTTTCTCCAGCATAACAAGGTGACGAAGGAATGATGATTGGCTCCCATAAGGCCTCTGCAGTTCTGTCCACAACTGCTTTGTCTTCTTGTCAAACATTATCGTTGATGTGTACCTCTCCCATGAACCATCTGGTGTCGATGAGCCTTGGTACTCTAGCTGGGCAGAAAGCGCGGGTGAATTTGAACCATCTGACTTGGGACTTAACTTTGAACCTGCAGTATTTCCCTGTTGCCCGATATTCAAATTGCTCAAAGTTCCAATATTGACATTGCCAAATTTCACCTGAAAGTTGTATATAATTAGAAATTTCACTTGACCGTTTTAAATTATTATAGAACCTACCTGTATTCGGGCTTGTTGCTGAGGTTGATCACCAAGAAGTGTAGCTAAACCGTGTAAAGACATCATTTCATCCTTTCCTTTGTCATCACTTTCATTTTCAACATCACCATTTGTTGAGGTGCTCTCTTGAGCCCTCATGCCTCTTTGAACGTCCAGTGAATCTTCATCACTCTCACTCAAGGCAATATCAAGAGATAGTAAAATCCTAATGACAATTTTTTTTTTTAAACCTTACTCCCACTATGTGTGATGAATTAGTGACCATTAGTCGATGATTATTTGGAAATCGTGAGATGCGGTCTGGTGTGATGTAGGTTTCAGAAAAACATTTTCTTTATTGTGCCAACATTTCAATCTCTGGGCCCTGAAGATGATCTCAATAAAGATCGAAATGTTGGCACGATAAACAAAATGTTTTTCTGAAACCTACAACACACCAGACTGCATCTCTCGATTTCCGAATAAACTTACTCCCCCTATTAAAAATATATATAAAAGTATAAACTCACTTCCGCCGGTAATCCCTGTAAAAGGCTTTTTTATCAGGAGGGATTGCTTCAGTGTCAGTATATTTGAGACGGAGATCGCTATAGTATCGACAAAGCTTGCATAGGAACAGATTATCGGAGAGTCTTGCTGGTATACCGTCTTCAGCAAGCATCAAGTTTAATCTGTCTGTTTCTAGACCAAGGGAGAAAAGGTTGTTTCTGTTCAGCCTCCTCCGACAGATACCGCAAACCGTAAGATATTCAACCTTTTTAAAAGTAACTATATTAATAACAAATTAATGAAAATATTTATTCTTTGCTTACCCAGTTGTGATGATTTATGCATAAAGGATAGAAAACACCATGGCCCGGTTTATCGGTGTCAATCTCAAGCTAAAAATTCGTTATTTCAACTGACAAGAAAAAGGCGAGAATTAATGTACATTTACCTTGTGATTAATGCTTTTTTTCAACTTGATGAGCCACTTTCTTTTCATCGTCCTAGTCGCTTTCTCTGTACAACCTGTGACACAGCATTCTGCCGATGCGGAGAGTTTGGATTTGACGTTGTTCCCATTGCCTTGAATTGACTTAGACGGACAGTTTGCCTTCCTGTCCACATAACGATAACACGCATCACAAAGACAAGATTCACCAGTTAGGTGTGGTTCATCTGTAAAAACCAATAAATATAAGAAATAAATACAAATTGACAAAAAGGATAATAAATGTGATACTGACTTTGTAATATTTTCTTTTGCCTCTCTTCCCCTTTGAGTTGGGCAACATGGCAAGGTGTATCCAAAGAGCCGAATTTGCCAAAGCAATAACTGCACACATCTGAGCATAGGCGACCGGGATGAATTGAAAATGAAGAACTTTTCTCTGGGATTATGAGGGATTCTTTTTCACTAAAAACCATCACAAACCATTAATTACGCAATAATTTAAATTGGGAGGTTAAAAAAATTAATTGCTAAAAACCAAATATATTGGGTTGTCCGGAAAATAATGCAGGATTTTGGTATTAAACAAAAAAAAAGAAACTAGTTACTTTAAAGCAATGTTCTTTAATCNTACAAATGAGTAATCCTGTAAACGTAAACAGAATATTTTATATAGATTTTTTTTAATGAAAACTTAAAATCCTGCATTATTTTCCGGACAACCCAATAAAACATTAAAACTTTGAAAGCCTACAGTAGATGTTACCTTATCCCCTTATCTTCTTTGTTATCAAAATCTTCTGCTGGCGAACTTGGCAAACTATTAGGATAAATGCTGTTTGATCCTAGAATAAGAAATAATAATTTAAAAAACAAACATGTTTTAACTAATATTTCTATATTTTCAACCAACTCACCCATTTTGTTCTGATTTATGTTCTGGACTTCCTGATCCTCTTGACTCATAGCCTTTAAATGTAATTATTCAGTTAAAACACTTTAACTACACATAAAAAGAAAACATACAAATTTACCTCTGAACATATTTTATATTCAAGTTTGTCATTTGAAGAAATTCCACCCTCGGCCCTTTTGTAAACCATCTGTTTCTTGTCTCCAAATCTGTTTAATTTGATAATGGCTTTCAACGTCCCAGTATAGCCTTCAGAGCGTTTTTGTGGCTTTTCCTCGGAGTCCAACGATTTGAGACCGAGGGCATGGAGGACAGATTCCTTCATCTGTTTTTGTTCGCTGGTCATTTCAACGGTTTCAACCTTTGATTCATTTTCATTTTCACAGTTATCTTGGGTATCCTCAGCCGTTTTCTCACTTTGTTCCTCTTGAATTTCTTCTTGTGGTTGATCTTCCTCAGAAAATTCAAAAGTGTTGAGTTTGTTGGCTCTATTCAACTCTTGTTGTTCTAGTTGTGTCTGAACTTCTGCCAGGAGCTTTTCATCTATCTCATTATCCTCGTTTTCAATACACTCTTCATATTTATTTTTTTCGACTTCTTTAACATCCTCTTTTTCTATGGATGCCTTTGTAGAATCTGGTAATACATCATTGCTAGGCTCTGTTTGGTTTAAAAGTTCAATCTCATCATCAGGGATAAATAGAGATAAATTGCTAATCGAATCGTTTGCTTTATGAGGCACATCTGATGTAGAATCTGCATCTAGAGTTTCTTTCTTTGGGGTCACAATTTCTTCATTTTCTCCATCTGATTTTTTATTTGGTGTTTCTATTACAGGATCCTCCTCACATTTATCTGTATTTGGTGTAATAATATTTAATTCTTCTTCTTCTTGCATCCTCACTATTGTTTCCTCATCTTTTGCTGAAGCCTGCATTTGTTCAGAAGAACTGTCTTTACTTATTGCTTCTATTTTTTTAATCTGTGCTTCTTCTTCTTTATGTACTATTTCACTTTCTATTTTTATTTCAACTGGTTTGACTATTTCTTTGTTTAAATCCTCTAAACATTCGAGTTGTTCATTCACTGTTTCCATTTCTAAATTTTCATTTTCTGTGTCAGTCTCAAGTAACATTTCTTCTAATTTATTTTGAGCTTCATCGACTCTTTTAGTTTTGTCGACCTGCTGAACATCCTCTACTAGTGGGAGATCAACGAATTCAGCACATTTTTCCGATTTTGGTTCTATTGTCATTTCTTCAGCATCTCTCTCAGCTTCGTCATCCTCTTCCTCAGCATCTTCATCTTCCTCTTCCTCCTCTTTTTTTGGCGGCTTTTTAATTTTTTTCACATGCCACATTGAACACCTCTTCCTTCTTTTTTTCCTAACTACTCTCTCTTCTTGCAATTTTGTTTCTTTTTTAGGATTTTGTTCCTCCTCTTCTTTTACAGTTTTCTTCTCTTGTTTCTCTTTCTTTGTATCTTCATTTTTCTCATTAAATACATTTGAGTTAGAATCAATTTTTCTTTTACGACGGACAACAGGGCCTAACTGTACGAAATTTTTTAAACGGTTTTTCTTTTTTAAAATATCTGTCATACTTCGTCCACTTCTTAATAAAATGGGAACTTTTGCCTTGCTAGAATTGATCCTTGTCGAACGATTTGAAGGCTCAGATTCACTCTGTTTACCTTTTACTTTTTTTAATTGCTTATTGGTCTTATTCGATGGAGGGACTTTATTCCCGGCTTTGTTAGGTTTCTGATTATTTTCATCCCTCTTCGCCCGTTTTGGAGGTGGCTGACTTTTTGTGGGTTCTAACTTTCTTTTGACAGCCCCTTTCGGGTTTATTGTCTTCTCCTTGACTGGTTCCACCTTTTTCTTCTTACTGGGCGCCATCAGGGCAGTTTTATTTTGGAATATCAACCTGTCTATCAGTGTCGGCTCTCTACTGAGAAGTACTTTTCTGGCGGACAACTCTGCCAGCATATCAGCAGGCTCAAACACAACAGGTTTGGCCCCTGTTTTACGCCTCTGGCTTGACGACTGCTTCTCCTCAGAGCAGTCGAAAAGGCAGGAACAGTTTGATAACTCACTCAAAGTGCAACTCACCAGACGCAGCCCATTTCCACTTTCGACGCTGCCGTCCCCATACATCGCAGACCTGCACGTTCATCTAACATCATTCACTATGATTGTCAAATTCAAAAGCTTTACTGAAATAAAAAATAAAACAAAATTAGTATTCCTATAAATTAATGATGGGACTGTGGAATCTGGCAAAATAACTAAACAGAGATGCTAAGAGATAGATCTACCATATTTGCTACCTCAATGTCCAGGTCCAAATTTTCTTTTGGGTATAAACAGCACATAATTAAATATTTTTAGATGTGAAAATTTATATTCAACTAATTTTACTTTTACAATATTCAATAATTCTTGCAAACTATGCATGACAACAATGATCAAAGTTGTAAATGAATGCTGCTAGTAGAAGTAGCATATGAATATGAAGTTCTTCTCAATTCAACAAAGATTTAGTCAAATTTACAATTTTAAAATTGGACTGTATCTCTTGTTGAATGGACAGGTAAGGTAACAAGCCATGACACCCTGGCCTCATATTAACTGTTTAAGAAATTTTTAAAGCTTTATTGTATTAACATTTTTAAGTTTTTTATTGGGTTGTCCGGAAAATAATGCAGGATTTTAANTTTTTTTTTTTTTGGCGTTATGAACTATGCATATTAGCCATGTGACAAATTCGTATATGTGTGTTCAAATTTGGGGGGTTATTGGGAAAAAAGGGCCAGGGGCAACGGTGGGAATCGAACCCACGACCGCGGCGTGAGAGTCTCTCATGCTAACCACTCGGCTACCGCGGTCCCCCAATTTAACAAATATGAAATTCATTCAATACTGGCCAATTATTAGAATCAAACATATTATACGGTGGCAAAACTTGTATATCAAAACTGTAGCTTTAAAAAGTGGAGCGTACCAACTTCAGACAGAATAAATAAAACCAAAACAACGAAACTTTGAAATGTGCAAAATAAAGAAGTGAGAAAATTATATTTTGAAATCTTTCATTGACTGAGAGATCAGATTCATCAATTCATTCAGATTCATTTTGAAAGAGGAGCTTGACCGCCAACTCTTCAGGATGATGTCATTATTACATGAAAAACTGTTTATCTTTGATCTGTCAGATCAAAAAAATTAATACTTGATTTGGTCGACGAGAAAATCTAACAGTATATGCTTTAAGCCAGGGCTTCCCAAACTTTTTAGCCTGCAGACCCCTTTCACAGAACAAAATCCACTCTCATTCAAATACAATTAGGTACTTATAGTATATAGTCAATTAAAGTTTTATAAATTATCCAGTCCATTCCTAATTAGTGGATGGAGGATTATCACTATGAAAAACAATTAGAATAACATACTAATAAAATCCAGAACACAAAAATAAAATTGGGCAGAATGGAATCAAAAGGTAGGTAAAAATTGAGCCAAATTCAGAATTAATAATCTATCATCTGGTAAGCCCTGGTATTTAGTTTTGGTGGCTATATAGAGAGAAAACCCAGATTCGCATAAGTAAGTTGGGACAAACACATTTTGCTTTTTCAACAAGTTTTTTATGGAGCCAAAAATGGAGGTAAGTACATACTCGAAAGTAGATTTCAAAGAGGATTCTGAAGTAATTTCTATCAAACATTCTTAATCATTTTAAGATAGTAGTTGGCTTTCTCAACTGAAAACTGTTTGACCACCCATGATCTTCCAGCATTGTATCTCGAGCTGATCGAAAGTAGTACTCAAAGGACATCTAACTTCGAAGGTGTTCACATATTTCATCAAGTGCCCTTCGTAAACTCAGTTTGATTTCTTTTAAAAAATAATTTAACACAGAAAAACACTCCAACTCTTCCTTCTCAACAGATTCAACCCAAAACTGATTTTTCTATTGAAGGCATGGATTTTGTCATTAGCATCAAAAGTTGTGATACTCTTCCCTTGCTAAGAAAGACTTATCTCATTCATTTTCATGAAAATATCTGATAAATAGAACATTGTACATTGCCATTTCTCATCAATGAAAATGTTTGTCAATTTGACATTATAGACCATCAACAGAGGTAAGACTTCGGAACTTAATTCCTGTATATAGTTTTTCCCACGAGAGCCACCTCACTTCTGAATGATGAAGGCATCCCATATCGTCACATAATATTTTGAAAAGTCTTGACTTCAATTGCCGTGACTTGATATAATTAATAATTTAAAGATTCATCCAAAACTTTCTTAAAAGAGGCTGGCATTTGCTTCATAGTTAAGCTCGCCTGTGGAAAACGCAATAACACAAACTTTCATTTTCAGTACCCAGCTTAAACAATATGAAATTCATTCATTACTGACAAAAAATATGGATCAAATGGATATACAGATTGTAAAGAACTAATTGTGAGTAGGAACTATCTTTTTATAAAAATTGAACACGAATACTCACTACACCATTTATCGTTTCTAAACAGATTGTATGTTGGTAAATATTGGACCATCAGATGGATCAAGTGTTAGGATGGTGATCAAACAGAAAAAGAACCATTCGGCTAATATGTTCAGCATAACTGTACGCAATATCTTTAACTTACTATGAAAATTTTTATTATTTTAAATTAATGACATTTTTTTAATGAAAACTTTATATGAGGGGTAGGATGTTTTGTAGGCAAACCCTTTTACATTAAGTTATTTACACACAAATTTTCATTTTAAAAATATATTGCACATATAAAAAGTGCTGTATATAAAATAGTTTATTCTTTTCCATTAGCTAAAAAATCAAGTTCAAAAGCGAGAAGTGGGTCAGCTTTTAATTTATCCGGGACATTTAATTGTTAAAATTTAATTGGAATGGAGGAACGAGGTGCGATATGAATATGCAATAGAAAGCAAATAGGAATTTTTTTGTTTGATGTAGAAGTAGAATTTTTACAAATTAAAAATACTTTGGAATAGTTGTATATCCTCCGGTGTTAAAAAAGTTGTAAAACAGATTAAAATGGCTTACCGAATTTGTTTAAAAAGCAATAAAGCCACTCGAGATTATACCCGTCTCCAACTAGCGGTAAATCGAATATTATCATAACATTTCATTTTCCCATCCGTGGAGAGAAGGGGAGCCGACGGGTGAATTGTTAACAAATCAACAAAAACGGAACTCGAAACTAAGCGAAAAAAGTTAGAAAAAAATAAAAAAGAAACACAAACACTGTATAAAAAAATAATTTAAATCTATAAAATCCGGGCCCGACTCTCAGAAGTCTTCCATGTTGTTTTAGCTGTTTTGGTCTTTTGGTTATGTTTAGAGGATGTAAAAAAAGAAGGGGAGAAACTCCAGAACACGACGCTAGGAGACGGTCTAGCCGCTTTCTAGCGACGGCCGGCCCAACAAAGCGAGACTCGACGGACGCATTCTGGCGTTGGCAGGGTCAATGCCGAGCAGCAGCGAGTGCCAGGACCGTCTTTCTTGTTTGCCCCTAGATCGTCCTTATTTGGCCTCGTGCATTTCAATTTCACGGCTTCTCGTCTAATTTTAACTTCCGCACTAGGGAAAGCCAGCAGTTAATTTATGTCCTACTAATTAACAACTACAAATAAAAATAAGGAAAAACAATTTACACATCCTAACAAACTACCTGGACAATTAATTTATTATACATGCAAAGCCTATCAAATGTATACAATAGTTACAAATATACTTAGGAAAGATAATATAGATATTCACTGTAAAACATAAATACATAATTAAAGAAAATAACAGAACTTACAACTAGAACTTACAACCCACATGGTTTTCAACCTAACAAATCAACCACTTCAAATCTTCCGCTGTTTGAAAATTAGTAAATGCTTCTTTCCACAATAAATGAGTTGTTGAAATTTAGTTGGTAAACTCCAATTTTATGTAACTCCTTGCCATCTCAGAAATCAGAAAATCTTTTTTTATTGAATATAAAAGAACAAATTTTTCACTACTCTACCTGATGCATCGGATGACGATATAATGTAACAACATATGCAATTCTGTCGATTTATTTAATATTTTTGTTTCCTCATTAAAGCATAATTTTATTTAGTTTAAAAAAAAGTTAAAAATGTACTATGTATTTAGTTATAATGCTTAAGTACATTATTTATATTATATATTTATATAAATTTATATTATTGTATATATTTATTATCTTAATATAACTATATAGACAGGGTGTTTAATTAAATTTTATGTTGTTTATTTATAAGGATTTTATTGTCTTTTTCAGTGATGTATAGTACAGTTTTATTCTTTATTAATGTTGAGTTAGTTATAAGTATTTGTATTTTTTCTCCTTACTTTTTATATGTTTTGTTTAAGAAATGGGTTTTTGATCCATAAAAAAATAAAAATAAAATAAATTATGTATAAAAATTGACATAAGTTTATACATATAACATTGAAATTGTTGTTTTCAAGTAACAAAGTACAAGCAGAAAATCTGATTACACAGATTTTTCTATACTAACTTATTATAAGCATAAGGGGCACTATGGCAATGAGGAGGCGGACAGCCTGGCCAAGGAAGGTTCAAATACTGAGTTCGTCGGACCATAACCGGTATTACCCCACTCTTTAAGCACAGCAAAAGAGAGTATAGGTAGCTGGGGCATGAAACAATTCCTAAAGGAATGGAATATGTCCCCAGGATGCAGACAATCGAAGGAGTTTCTGAAGGAAATCAAACCTAAAGAATCGAAATGGCTATTCTCTAACTCTAGGAGGGGAATAAGGAGGCTGATAGGTATCCTAACGGGCCATTGCCCCTTGAGAAGACACCTCTTCATAATGGGTACTCTACCAGACCCCTTCTGCCGCTTCTGCGAAACAAAAGAAGAAACGGCCCGACACTACCTCGCAGAATGCGATAGGTATGCTAGGGAAAGATTTAATACTTTCGAAGGAGAGGACATAACCAAAACACTCCCCAGGATAAAATGGTCCACAATCCTGGGGTTTGTGAATAGGTCCAATAGGTTTATACAGGACTCGTGAGCCGACCAGGTCCCGGACCTTCTAGGGATGGGGTACGGGCCTACTCAGGCTTTTAACCCCTCGGGTCCTGGTCGCCCACCCTGTGTAATATATAACTTATTATAAGAAAAAAAAATCAGCTAACTCTTTTACTATTAAACAGTCAATTTATTGTATCATTAAGAAACTTTATTAGTAAAACTTAATCAATCAAGCATTTATGAATAATTTGTACAATGTTTGATTGTAATCAAACTAAGTTAATTATCAATTAATTAAGGTTTTTAGTTGAAATAAAAGCGGACCACAAAAACTAATGAATTTAAATTCACCAGTTTCGTGGTCCGCTTGACCAATTATTATCTTACAATTAATTAAGGTTTTCAGTTGAGATAAAAAAGTCAATGGCACTAGCGGGAAAGTTAGTGTCCGAGTGGATCGAGGTCACGATAGCTCAAGTGGTAGAGCAGCGGCGTATCTAGCCGAAGATTGTGGGTTCGAATCCCGCTCGTGCCATTGACTTTTTTATCTCAACTGAAAACCTTAATTAATTGTAATTTATTAATAATGTTGCTGAATTTCCCCCTCAGAATATAAAATTCTTACTCTTGGCTGATGATGTCAAAGTGTACCTTAATAATGATAATGACACAAAAAAACTTCAAACTTTTTTTTCTTTTTCCTACTTCTTCTAATTTTATTAATTGGTGCTCAAAAATTGACTTAAACTTAATTTTGATAAATGATTTGCAATGTCATTTTTTTAGATGTAATAAAAAATTAATTCATCCTCTTTTAGCAACTACAAACTGTGACAAAAGATCTGGTGTAACATTTACTCATGCCCTTGAATTTTTCCTGCATGTAACCAATATTCAATAATATTTGGAAATGAATTTTTGTATCCAGGACATTTTATATATATAATTTACTCTTTAACAACTCATTATTTTCAATATTTATAAATCTATAATTACAAAGAGTTCTTAGCCAGATTGGTCAACTTATTATTGTGATGGAGAATTCTTTAAAATACTTTACTGTTCCTATGCTTCTGGAACCATCTGGAATATCTTCTGTAGTATGGTCTCCTTAGCTCATAAAGCATATCAATAACACTGAAACTATACAAAAGAAATTCCTATTTTCATTTTTTTTATCTCCTCACACTAGAAAACTTAAGATTTAATTTTCTTATAAAAACTCCTAAACAGCATTGACATTCCTCATTTATTGGCCCTATTAGATTCTCAGTAATGCCTTAGATGAATTGAATGCCATTTATGTTTTTACTTATAAAAAGAGTGTTGTCGACCTATAATTACATATACTTACAATGGATAATAAATCATATTTTTATTTTTTTTAAATAACAACCACATTTACCAGCTGCATTTCATTTGTTTGATTTTTTCTGAATTCACTGGTGAAATATAGTCTAAAAATCAGTAAAATATTTGTGCAGTGCAATAAGTGCCAAGTTTTTCAATCGTCATCATATTAAAGTTCTACTTGTACTGTACTGCTTGTACTATACTAATTTGTTCACAGTTGAAGAGTGAATACTTACACACTTTATCGGAGAAAACAAAATATGTATCAAAGCTTAGAACTACATGAACCAACAAACCAAGGTAATTTTGTTATTGTGAATTCATTCTATTTGAATTAGCAATAGTAATATTTTAGAATCAAATGAAGAGTCCAATCCTAAGCTTGAGTTAGCACTGATTATTCTGTCTTACATCTTTGTCATTTTAACATTTCCTTTGGCAGTCTTATGTGTATTTCAGGTAGATTAATATATTTTCATTCTACTTTGGTACAACAATTATTTTAAATTATTTAAAGGTAGTAGCAGAGTACGAGAGAGCGATAATATTCAGATTAGGGAAGATGAGAGAAGAAGGTGTAATAGGGCCTGGCTTATGTTTTGTCCTGCCTTGCGTAGACAGTGTAGTAATAGTTGATCTACGCACTGTGTCAATGAATATACCTGAACAGGAGGTACAGATCATTACTTAATTTATCTATCTCAAATGATCAAATAATAATCAAATTTACTTTAGGTCATAACTAGAGATTCGTGCAGTGTATCAGTTGGTGCTGTTGTTATTTACCATATTGAACATCCTCTTTTTGCCACGCTTCGTGTTATAAATTACAAGTATCATAAGTTAAAGTCATTATAATATAATTATAAAAAAATGTTTAAATTATTTTGTACAGTGATGCAACCCATCAGTTAGCTGCATCGACTTTACGTACTGTCCTTGGGCAGAAATCGTTGTCAGATATTATGACACATCGGGAGTCAATAGCAAAGACAATGAAAGAGTTTTTGGACAGAGCAACTGACCCTTGGGGAATCAAAGTGGAACGAGTTGAAATGTAATAACTTAAAAAAAAAAAAAAATAAATAAATTGATACGTATACTTGCGGTTGTTTCAGAAAAGAGATACGACTACCGCCTCAAATGCAGAAAGCAATGGCTGCAGAAGCAGAAGCTGAGAGGGAAGCAAAAGCCAAACTCATCACTGCAGAAGGTGAAATACTTTCAGCACAAAAACTGAAAGAGGCTTCGTACGATCTTGAGAATGACCCAATCGCTGTTCAAGTATATTATATTAAACAAAATAATGTACATCAGAGTAATTTTTTTTTTTTTTCAGCTTCGGTATCTGGAATCCCTCAATAGTATGATTGGTGAAAATAAACAAACAGTAGTTTTTCCAGTTGATTTGTTTCAACCATTGTTAAAATAACAAAAATGATTTCACTGCCAATGCCTTGTAACGTTCTCATTGTAATACTTTTTAAAATTTAATTATACTGTTGAACACAATCAATCATAAAATCATAAAAAGTATACAAATAAATGAGACATATAAAAAATGTCTTAAAATGAAAAGAAAATTTTGATGGATCCTTTCAAATAAAAATAACAAAAACTGTTCGGAATAATAAAAACCCTAAAAGTAATAGTGAGGTGTTACTATTGTATTCAGCTGGAGAGATCCATGCACTAGAACTCTATGAACAAGAAATAATAAAAAAAGGATTAAAAAGTCCACATTCAAACATATTCTCGGAGTAAGGAATACTTTAATTAATAACTTCTCTTCACCTTCATTTCAAAGCTGATCTGGGAATGACTAACATATTTCTAATTTTTGGGGAAAATATAATTGATTAATTCTGATGTGAGCGCCAGGTCACGAGGGGAAGGAAACGAACTCTGACAAACTAGCATAAACAGGTCTCACACCCTTTGTCCAGAATCCCAAATTGGCATACCCCAAAACACCAAAGTGGATTCAGACAAATGGATGAAATTACCACACACTAGATGGATTCACTAGGGGCAAAAGAAATCAAAGAAATCCCTTGACATCACAATCAGGAAAATGAAAATGAGGCTATTGTCACCAATAACGCTGGAAAAAAATGTTTTACTGTCTGTAATCCAAACATATCTGAAGTCAGTGATAAAATGTAGACAGTTAATAAATTCTTATATTATTTTAAAACTTTTTTTTGTAATATAAAAGAGCATGCAAAAATGTAATATAAAAGAGCAGTGTCAGTCAACTTGGCTGACTGACTAAAGTCCATGTCTAAGTTCTAAAAATTATTTTAGACATTGTATTTGATGATAAAAAATAATAAAACGAGTTATTATACAAGATTACATGGATATTTTTTGGTTTTGTTAAGTCACAAGCTTATCAAACATCTAATGATGATATTCAAGTATATTTTGTTAGCAGTGCATATCCATCCTGCTGTACTATTTTATTCATACTTAATGTTACAGTTATAGTTTCTGCTAGTATGAGTATGAGTTTTGTGCATTTAACATTGTTTCACCAATTTGTCAATGTTTAGTCATGTATACAAATGTTTGTAAATAAAATGTAGTTTATTGTTTTTCCTTGTGCAATCTGGTGAGCATTATACAGAGTTCAATTTGCGATCCCTGCTCATTGCTCCTTGCTTCCTTCGTTTGTCATTTTTGTCGGCTTGCAGATTTATTGTTCGTTAGTATTATTAATTATTATCGGTAGTAGTTGTTTTTTCTTTCAAACAGTTATGAGCAAATATATGATTCCTTCGCTGTCTGACTCGTTCAAGGCTAAAAGGACCCTTTTGGTCCTTGGAGGCTGCGCGGTCTCGCTTTATTTGATAAACAAGTACCTCGACAAGTACTTGGCCGGTTACTTTTTGCGGCTTAAAAGACAAAAAGGGCTCGACGTGCTTGGCATTAACAAGCTGCTCACTTTCGGCGTCAGCAGCCGGCCCTGCAACGGTCACAAATTCAAGGAATTCGACTGCGGTAACTTGGATTGCAACTACGGCCGGCTATGGTGATTGTCTTCTCTTCTTTCAAAATTAAAAAAAAAATCTTAAGACCTAAAACTAAAAACACACCTTTTGCCTAGAAACGTAGCATGATATTTTAGAAATGCACTTTATTAAATTTTTTTATCAACCTTCCAAGGGTTTTGTGTATGTAGTCAACGACCAATTGTTAAACTGGCATTGGTATAAATATAAATAAAGCCAAGACATCCTAATGTTAGAACTTTACCATTCGATTCTACCGAAAAAGCATTAAAAACCTCAAAAAAAGAGGTTGGGTTGGTAAAACGGAGGAGCTCTTCAGCGTTGAAAGCGTGTACAGTTTAACTGCTTTCAGAGGATCAGAGTCGAATGAGAAAGATTCCTCTTTTCTGTCCAACTGTCTTGACATGGTTGACACGCTGACTTTTGAGCTCAAATCTAACCAGTTTATGGTTGATCAGGTATCAATAACGGATGGACTATACAGTAGGCTCTCGTTATTCGAGCTTTCATGATGCTCGTTGCCCTCCTGTTGATGTATGTACATATTGTTTTCCTGTGTGCGATAAACTTTGTATATGTTAACGTACATCGTATTTTTCTTATTGAAAAAAAATCCTTGAAATATGTCTAAATAAATTCATCAACGATAAGCACATACAATACAAGAAAGTGTCTGCTTGGTATGCAGAAAATGCTTAGAAGCCTGAAATTCGAGGTAACTATTATCCATGATTTTTGTTATCTGCAGTGATGCTTAGTGCATATCCCCTGAGAATAACAAGAGTCTACTGTCCTTCCGTATCAATAAAAGAAAAAATCCGAACACTTGTATTTATTTGTTTATTTCCATAATAGCTATAAAGATCAATAGTTGACTTAAAGTGTTAGTTATTAATAAGTTGTTGTTTATCTTTATAGTGTTAACTCTTTTAAACTCTTTAGAATAAAAAGTAATTAAAATCAGGTCTATTTCATCCTTTCCACAGCAAACTTGTTGAGTAATTTTTTTTTGTTTTCTTTGATGTCACAATAAATTTGAGTAAAAAATTAATCAATAATTTTTTTTAGTTTAAAACAAGGTTTTAAGTTGAGAAGACCTCTCCCAGCATATGTTTTGGCAAACAATATACGCAGCATTTTTTTTTTTTTTTTTTCGAATGGATACCAGGGACTGGAGGAGTTCCCTCCTGAGTACTGCAGCTGAGCTGTACACCTTATTGTACTTTATCCCTGGCTCCATATTTTGGGGAAGGGCTCGTAACACAAATGTGAACTTGAGCCCCCGTTGTACCGGTGTCCTTCGATTGAAGAAACTCATTTTTGAAGGGGGTTGGGACCAAATTCAGGTTGCTGAGATCCGATCCCGCCCTTTCCATTGATGAGTGCCTTCCATTAAGGTATATTGAGGAAGTTCTTCTGAAAGCGTAGTCCCATTCTCTCCATTTATTGGGGACAACTTCATATTAATGGATGATAATGTTTGACCGCAGGTAACTTGAGTTATCATCCATTACTTGGATTACCAGAATGAATTTGCCAGCATGTTCTCCAGACATGAATCCCATACAACGCTTATGGGACCTGAAAAAGAGACAGGTTAGACATTGTTCGCCACCTCCAAGCGTAGAACAGCTTCAAACTGCTCTTGTTCAAGAATGGGATTCTGTTTCGCAAGAAGAAATCTGATCATTTATTTTTAATGATGCCTAGGAGACATGAGGCCAGAGGAAGTAATATGTGTTATTAAGAGCAAAACTAGGTAATCAGTTGTTAGTTAAATTTTAATCTCACTAAATGATTTATTGGTATTTTGGTGAATTTTCTTTCAATTATTCATCATAATTAATTTTGATTAAAACCCATAAATTTTTGATCAGGTTTAATTTGTTTATATTAATAAGTATGTTGTAATTAACATACAACTATAAAAATACATGTAGTTTAAAATAAACAACAAAATACGAGTGTCCGGTTTTTGTCTTTGAGTGTATAAAGCGAGTAAGATTGAGTACTTGAGCACAGTAGTTCTGAAAAAAAAATTTTTTTTCATCAACCTTATTTTCTGACCACCGGTTTGGGTTTATATCCTGACTCCATTATTTAGCAGTGCCCACACATCGTTGCTGCTGTTGAGTGAAAGGAGTACTGCTCCAGTTTGCTCCTAGATGTGAAGCCTTCGATTGGGTATGGCCCTATTCCTTTTACCTAATACTAAAATCTTACTAGCCAACAGATACTTTCAAGTCATACTTAGTCACCTCAAGGTAGTATTTTAGGACCCATCCTAGCACTAGCACCTTTCCCTTGTACTCGAAACCTGCAAACCCATGTCTCAACCCTGAGCAATGGAAAATGACAATAAACAAACAAAAACAACATGCCATTGTCATCTGCTCACATTTATCTAAACCTTTGGCTAAAAATTGTCAAACAGCTTACACAGAACGCACTCGTGACTCATATGATAACTCCGCAGATGCTTCAGACTTTTTAGACTACTGGACAAACGATCAGAACTGACTTATATTTTGTATTATATGTATTTATATACCCATTCTGACCAATTTAGACATACTGTACCTAACTTTGGGGTCTCTCCATCGTATCCAATCCTTAAAAATCCATAATCCCCCAAACCATTATTAATGCTTTTATGTATCTTATTTTACCATTCACAATTCAAAATGTCCTTCAAGTAGCCAAAAACACTACAAGTGGCCAAGTGGTTAGGGCTACCATGTGGTTTACCATGCTATCGATTTTTGGTTCGAATTGCAGCACAGCACATGGTTTTATAATTTTTAGCAGTATGAAAGAAGTATTGTAAAGTGGTTTGACCCCTCATCCATCTCTCCCAATGGGAATTTGGACATCGAGCTCTCCTGTATGAAAGGATCGCTTATTTATTTATTTATTTTTTTTAATAATTCCAAAAATTATACTTTCACACAATCCTAATGTCAGTAACCTTTCATCCTGCATTATTCCAGATAATCCTCACCGATGATTAGAGCATTATTGGTCTTGTGATCTTCTAAGTGTTAGAATGATTTATTGAGTAGTTCCTCCCCCCCCACATACACTGATGTGCAATTTACTTGCATAGCGGTTGGCACAGATTTAAATAAATCTTTTTTTTAAATATCAAGTGAACCTGAATTTACTATATACAGTGTGAGAGAGCCTTAATGGTGGAATATTAAGTAGTATCTAGTGTATTAATGTGTAAACTTTGTAACACAACATTTAACAAAAGTCATTCTATTTTCAGCTATATGTTGAGTTTTATTGAAAATGCTCGAGTTTCCGTTGATATATGCATTTATATAATAACAGCCAAAGTGTTTGGTGATGCGATAATCAACGCACATCGAAGAGGCCTCCGAGTGAGAGTGATTGCTGATTCAGACATGTCATTTTCAGCGCAGTCGGTCATAAACGACCTGAGGTTAAACGGTAAGCATATAAGTTTTTATTATTTTTGACTGTTTCTTTAAAAAAAATCAAGGAAATATAAAATATTAATTTAAATGTACTTGTTTGAGATTTGAGAAATTTTTATTTTATTTTTACTTCAAAACCATTAAAATCTAAGTTTTTGTTTTTTCACTGTAGAAATTCCTACTAGGCAAAGGATGTCGCCATATATTATGCACCACAAATTTGTCCTCATCGACGGGCACATCCTGCTCAACGGGTCGATGAATTTTACAATGACTGGAGCATTTTGCAACTGGGAAAACGTCATGATCACGACGCAGCCTGAAATGGTGAAAGCTTTCGCCCTCGCATTTCAAGGGCTGTGGGAGGATTTCGCCCCGGGGAACAAGACGAACACACAGGAACAACAGCAACACCGAAAGAAGACCAACATACAAAATATGTAGCATAGATAATGAAAAACGATTTAATAATGTGATACTTTAGATGTTTATGCTTAAAATAACTTTTTTTTTAAATAAAAACTTTTCCATAAAATGATCACGGCAATGATTAGACTAAGATTTGGCTATAATTGTCTCCCTGTACATCTCAGGAGACTTGGTGTTGTGGGGACCGCCATTTGTCCACGGACAGCATATCCATGGGGACGTAGACCATGTGATATTGGCATGTCCCAAAACCATGGTTGTTAGGGGACACCTGTACTCTGTTCTCATTAACGGCGGAATACGACTACCTACTAGGGTATAGACAAAGACGAAATAATGAAGGTGTTGTACAACATAATAGTCAGCAATGTTGTACAAATGTAATAAAATATCTTGAAGACCACTTAAAAGAGCATTGAGTCCCCTGGCATGTACAGCTGGTGGCTTTGGTCAAGTCAGACAGGGCCAATGTTTAAGTACAAGGCCAGAAGGAAAAAAACCAACAATTTGTTTTTAATATCATTTTTTATTAACAAAAAATCTGTGATAATTTGTGAGACTGATATTTAAAACGTTAAATAAATTGATTTTTTTACCAAACAGTTTTCTGAAGATATTTCTACCTCGAACCTTTAAATGATTTAATCACATCTATTGCAAACTGACAAAAAATCAACATATTGCCATTTTTCAAAATTTCAGATTCACTAATATTAAATTGAAAATAATTGGCATTAAAATGTTTCATTTCCTTTTATTTATAAACCAGTTCTGGTGAAGGTCTTGTTAATAATTGTTATAAATTGTTAAGAATATTAACACGTTTGGATTTTTACAGTCATGCACTGAACTATATACAAAATGCTAAAAAATCCCTTGACATTTGCATCTATATCTTTACTGAAAAGATGTTCATGGACGCTGTCATAGCTGCGTACAACAACAATGTGGCCATAAGGTTAATAACTGACTGTGACACATCTTTCAGCCAGGGGTCAATAGTACCGCAACTTCGCCGACTAGGTACTCTCATTTTTTTTCAGTCGTAAAAAAAATCAGTTTTTAAAAAGGAAAAGTCCATTTCAGGTATACCAACAAGGCAGAAGATGTCAAAGTATATAATGCACCATAAGTTCATCATCATTGACGGAGAAATCCTGATCAACGGCTCTATGAATTTGACGACGACTGGGGTCTTCTGCAACCATGAATCTGTGATGATTACAAGTCAACCGAGCCTAGTCAAACTGTTCTCAGAAGAGTTCCAAAAGGTCTGGAAAGAATTTGCAATCGGCAATGTATTCCCAGAAGAATAATTTTTAATTTTTAAAATGATTCAAGTTTTGTATATTATAACATAAATATTTCTATTGTTATCCTATTATTGTTAATTACCACTTTCTATCTTTAACTTAAAAAATATGTCAATGCTACTGATCTAAGAGAAAACAAACTAGAAATTATGTTATTTTATTTACATAATAAAAATTACTTTAAAAAATCCTACATATAGACACTGTTAAATGTTATCATCCTCTTCAACACCAGTAATGGAATTAGCCATGTCTTGGGTATTCCCCTTTTTTTGCATGGTTACAGCTCTGAAGGATTGTGAGATGGACAATACTAGATAGCATAGCTAAGTCCTTGCATGGAATTGTGTGGCTAATGCGTACATATATTTTTATTAATTTTTGTTATATTGATAATATAAATTTTAATTAAAGATTATACTGAACTATATGAATATTTAAATGTTTGATCTAATGCAGGTGTTTGAATTTGTTATTTTATTGTATACTTTAATTTTACTAGTGTAGATGTGTGTTTAAGTAGTTAAAAAGTTAAATGAATGAAATCGTATTGATTTCTCTTATCATTTTGTTAATGCTTTTTTTTAGATATAAATTTGTTTTGTAGAAGGTCATATAGGTGGAGGAATAGTTTATTTAACAATATAGCTGCTACGTGTTTTGGTGATAAGCCAAATCGTTCAAGCACAATACATATTATTCTAATTTTTTCCATTTTTTTTAATCGGCCATTCTCTACTTATCAACGAAGTAACAAATGCTTTTGTGACATCCAGGTTGTTAGAATGATCTTTTTATTATAATTTATTTAACTATACACATGTTTAGTAAATTTATATATTGCTTCCACTACACCCATACGAGATAGAAAACCAAATAATTGGTAATGAAAGACCATTAATTATAAATTATGAGAGTGAAGGCAGAAAATTAAAAGTTCTCGCACTCACGCACATTTGTCTTTTTCTTCAGCTGTCTATCCATTCCTTTATAACTTTATTTGCATTCCTATTGTTGTTTGTTGCCAGTCTGAAGTTCACTCAAGACCAGATCAAGGATAGCTACGTTCTTCCCAATCTTATTCTGCCAATATATTTTTTAAACTTATTTTTCACCTATCTAGCAAGAATGGTTCATGTCTTGCTCTTCATGTCATGACTCATCTCTTCATGCATATTTTAGAGCTCAATGTTTCTTCCAGACTAAATTATTTTTTCCTTGGATCTTTTTTCATTGAAGGGCTAATTAATTTTCAAGATGTGAATGTTGTCTTCCTTTCCATATGTCAAAAGACATTTATAGTTTAATTTTAATAAGATTGTGAGATGGCGTTTTTTCATAAGAAAGCAGCATTGATAGTCAAGCAGACCAGAAAAATCAGAAACAGTTGATTGAAACAACTATGTAAGTCGAATAAATCATTCCTGAATTATTTCCAGAACTGTTATGATAGAAGTTGATTGAAAATTGGGGTAAAGATTTATTTTTAACTCAATTTTATTCGAAGTTCTCTAATGTTTAGGGTTTGAGTCATTTCGGAACGCGGCTCCATTGTTTCCTTTTTTCAAAAGATTCGGCACACAGATAAAAGAAGGGTCTCAAAGTCTTTCTGCATTGTCAGTGTAGGTACGACAGATGCTACCATTTTTGTAAATGTCCAACATCATTTTTGTTGTGACATTAACAAGAAATGCTCTGTACATTTCAACCTTCGATCAAAGTCGAAATTATCTGGACTACTTCAAGAAAAGATCCGACCAAACATAAGGAAAATAAGCAGGTCAAACATGTTCTCAGCTATATTTTTCTCGCAGTCTGTCTCCTTAAATTGATTCCATGTTTTGACCCAAAATTCCAGTTTTCACTTTTAACTGCCTCAACTTTGGCATATCAGTGCTTCAAGTTGTTTTATTAGATTCACTCATTTTTCGCAAAAGTGGTTCGATGACCCGTTTTAGGTTCATGTGTTTGATTATGGTAAGTGGAATGATTCTTCGTGATGTTCTTCATGAAAAAAGACGTCTTTTTTTTACGTTATAATTTTTTTCTTCTGGGACTTGAAGTACTTATTTTATCCCTCCCTTGTGAGAAGGTTCAGCTGATGCATACCCACGTATTCAAACTTAGCCTAACCATAGTTTGGTGGCCTGCCCTAATTCACACTAATAAATACAGTCATACTGATTACAACCTTTCATACCATATGTACAGCTAAAATTGTGCAGCCACTGGGGTAATATTTTCCTCGTTCCTACCCCTTTATTTTTTTCTGATTCTATCATTATTTCAACTATATAAAAAATGGAGCAGTACATCATAATGTCATGTGGGCAGTTTGCACAGCGGTACTGACTCGAACCACAAATGCCTTTGAGGCCTTTCACAGTCACTTAAAAGACAACTTTTACACACCTCATCCATCAATTCATGTTTTCCTCGAGGTTATGATAAAACATCAGAGTGAAATTTATGTTAAAATCAATTGTCTTCATATACCCCAACTGGTCCTTGGCAAGCGAGCTATTAGTAAAAAAGAAATGGTTGAACACTTAATGAAGATGTACAGTCGAAAGTGTCCCACTCCTATTCTAGCTCAGTTGATATTTGACTCATGTACGATAATGCCATACCGAACATTTTGTTTCACTATTAATTGTGTGTTATTACTACTGAGATGCTCACGTTTAAAAGTTAAGAATATATTATTGGAAAGAGAAAGATTGAGACATATTAAAGACTAAATTATAAATTGCATTCGAAAGTAAGTTTATTATCTAAAGTCAATCCATTACATATGCACATGTACACATGTATAATTGACACAAATATATATATATATATATATTGAAAAAGAGATAGAACAATTTGCAACCATAGAATGAGAAGAAGAGAAAGAGATATGAACATATACATAACACATACCCACTTACATACAAACACAGCTTCAGGAACACATGTGAACATTTGAGAAGGTTGAGAAAATTTCATTTCAAAGTAGAGACTGACAATTTATCAATTTTCTCAATCAATCATAAATGTAAAGATTAATGGTAGTTTTCCGTTTTATAATTGTAATATAATTTGAAAATTGAAACTATCCTTAATAGAGAGGAACTATCTTTAAGCCAAATAGAAAGAGGAATAAAAAAAAGAGTTTTCTAGTGAGTCGAGTATATTCGCAGTTATAGACTATTTTTAGATTTGTGTAGGCAAACCCGCACTTCTGCAAGGGCGTGGTGGTCTGTGACTCGTTTTGTAATAGTATTGTGATGACCCAACCGGCTTCTATTCAGACTGATCATTGATGACTTTGGCCTATTCTCAGTTTTGTTTATACGTGCTTTTGCTGTTTTGCTTTCTTTTCTTTGTTCTCACAGAACTCTTAATGAAAATCTCTTAAACTCTTTATTATTACAAAAATATTCTTAGGCTGTTCATAGATGAAGCTGTTTATTATTCAACCAGATGATTAGTTAATCCTTCTAATCATCTATCCATAACAAGTAACTGTAAAAACCGGTATAAACTTCTGCCAACAGCGTTGTTAACACAATTAATAAATCTTTATGAAAGGTATTGTTTGAGATAAAAAGTCAGTTTCACAAGCGGGATTCGAACCCATGACCTTCGGCTAAATACGCCGCTGCTCTACCACTTGAGCTATCGTGACTTCGATCCGCTCGGACACCTCACCTCTCGAATTTTCCCTCCTTTTTGCCATTTTTCAGAGCAGCGGCGTATTTAGCCGAAGGTCGTGGGTTCGAATCCCGCTTGTGACACTGACTTTTTTATCTCAGCCAATACCTTTCATAAAGATTAATTGAAAAAAGTTAATTGGTCAATCGGACCACGAACTGTAATGGGTTGTTAACACAATCGACATGGCATCAAATTTGTCTTACAATCGAGATCGCTATGTAAGGTTAAATAAGGGTAAAAGGGGGTTTGGAAATATAGCTTAGATTATATAGACAAATAATCTATACCAGTCCCTCATCTCTCTTTTTTATACATGATAAAACTGGTCGATCATCCATACGAGTACAATTAAAAAATCCACCACACTTCACATTTTAAAGAACGTTATACAACGATGTCACACTAGGAATGTGCAAATTACAAAACAAGTTTAAAAAATGAAAATGGAAGACAAAATAGGAAAAACGAGGGGTTGGCGTTTTAGCCCATTCAGTCACGCGCTCCCAAAGAGAATTGACTGAATAACACATTTTAACCCATGGGCTATCATAACTTAGCTGCACCACCGTTTTGAAGTCAAGTGATGAC